GAAAGAAATCAAGAAAAAAAAATCCAATGATCATATTTGGCACCTTGTCGCTATCTCCACTACAAAAGAAATAAAATGACGATAAAACAACGTATGGATGGAAAACAATAATAAAGAGAAAATGAGACGAATAGAAAAACTTGCAACAATAAAACTGACGTCAGAAAACAGCCTTGACGATTTCTTCCGTGTTTCTACGTCGATTCTAGAACTATCCACATCAAACTGCCAAAACAATTTTGACTGAAAAGGAAGTAAATTTTCAAAAAATGTTGACTCGCGCCTTACTGAGCAGGCAACTTCTACACGGGGACGCTTAAATACATACTCGCAAACTTATTATTATTTTTTTTACTTCAAGTTGAATTGGCTTTTCCTTTTTGAGATCATCGAGAGATCAATTGACCAATAAAAAACCAAAAAAAAAGTTCAAAGTCCGAAAAGGTTTTTTCCATTTTCCCAAAACTTTTCTCGAGAATTTCCTCGGTCTGCTGCCTGTTTCAAAAACATTCCACATGGGTTTTTCTGTGAAGGTAAAAGACCAATAGCACGTGTGAGTGGCGTGCATCGCAACATAAAAACTCGAAACGACGGGAAAAAAGAGATAAGAAAGAAAAGAAAAAAGAGAGGAGGAAGGGTTTGTGGCCGAAAACTGTCTTTCACAATTGCTTGTGCGAATCCTCTCTAGCCGCCCAAACTTTTTAGGGGTCAAAAAGAAGGAAATAGGCAAAAAGAACTGAAGAAAGGCAAGAAGCCAACGGGACGTGTAAAAAGTGCTAAAGAAGTGACAATTGGGGAAGACTTGGTGGCGACTTTTTGAAGGTGCTGAACATGCGTGTGAACTTTCTATACAGAAAAAAAACATCAAAATTCAAAAATGGCGAGATTTCTATCAAGAATTTTGTGAAGAATCAGAAAAATATTTATGAGGAACGATTTATGTGAGAAAAGCTTTAAAAAGACCGTAAAAACTATTTTCTAAAACGGGAAAGCTGTAAAACTTTTATGGTAGTTTTTTTACGAATGCACTTTCGATCTTATCTTTCTTCAATAAAGATAAGTCACATTAAAGACATACTGAAGTGATTAAAATATTGGATCCACAGAAAGTTGGTCACTCCGTTTGAAATTATCTCGCATCATGAAGAAACAGTTTCTTTTTCGAACGGAAAAAAGTAATCGACGTCTCTCACTTTCTCAAGTTCCACAACTTTTCAACTTCAGATCTCTCCAATAGTTCTTCCTCCATTTAGAAACTTCTTGCGATTTTCATTCTTTTCCGAGAAAAAATTGACGCCATAAACAGAAAAATGTGATGTTTGAGAACAAAAAAAAAATCGCATCAATTTTCGAAAATCACTGATTGCTGCCCGAATTACCTTCAAAGAACAAAACACGCCACATTCCAAGACAATATCAAATCAAGAAAGTCTATTTATAACTAAACTTAAAATAGAAACAAAGAGTAGAACAGAGAGGACAGTTTAATAAACGGGTTTCCAATCACTTCATTGAACCCCCTTTGGAAATAATAGATGATCTGAAAAAAAATCGAGAAATCGAAATTCGGAAAAATTTACAAATTCCTCTATGTGTAATCCACGCCTAGAAGTGATTGATTCAAAGCACCCGACCTAAAACGACTTGCGCATGCGGACATCAGAAAGTATCGTGCTATTAAGTTTCGAGATTCGATTTCACCGCGTCGAGAGATCACGACGTTTTAAATTAGATCTCATTAATAATGTAATCATTCCTTATTTTCCTGTCGCTTTTTGATATTAAGTTCCGAAATTTGTTTGATAACTACTTCTTGAGTACTTTCAAGGTCCGTCGCTTAAATAAGCCAAAACAGGCAACAAAGATCTTGAGAGCCAACTGGGGGCTTTCCTTGGAACACACCTGACCTGGTATACCTTGTTCTTCTCATTATGCGCGTGCTTCATCAAAACGGTTATCATGCTATCAAACGGCCTATTATTGTAATCAGATGACAGTTCTGACGACGGCACGGCGCCATTTGCGTGCGTATGTCTTTTGAAAAATGTCGAGATTATGTTTAAATCAAGTGAACGTCATCCTAATTGGAAAAGATGGGGATCCTCTTTTTAATGAACCAAACCTTGGCTGGGTAAAATTGACCCAAACGGTTAGCTGAATAAAACGTTTTTTTGAATTTTAATGTAATTTAGCTATAAAGCCTTGCCCATTAATTTAAAAAATCTAAAAAAAAATCAAGTTTTAATAAAAATTTTGATAAAGATGAAGAGTTTTTATGAAAGTTTCCAAGTATTTTTCACCGCTTGAAATTTTTAGGAAGCTCATTAAATTTCACATAATTATTGTTTCAAAAATGAAAACGAAAAATAAGTTTTTGAACTGAATAAAAGAAAATCTGGACAGAAAGCGGCTGTTTTCAACGCTTCAGTATGCTCCATTGACAATTTTCATTTTTTGTTTGCGAAATTTTATCTTTTTTCAACTGCAAAAAATACTCTGTATGAATCATCCACTTTAATCATCTTCAAATTATTATTAGAGCGTCTCAAGATAAAAATGTAAAAAAATCCAATTATTTTCGCTTATTCAGTGGAAAAATGTACTTTGTATTATTTCATTTGTTTTACACAAGATTTTGCATAAATGGGGTGACTGCCTCCGATAACTCTTATCTCATTGTCCATTACGAAAGATTGCAACAAATGCGCCGGTTGCAACAAAACTCACAGATAAAAAAGAGATAACAGTGATAAGCAAGAATATATTGTGACGCAGTGGGAACGCAGAAAAACCAAAGCATAAGTCATTTTTTCTTCTCTCATTTCGTGGAAAGCCGGTACAGACGGAAAAGGTCAAACATTATTGCAGTGATAACGCTCGGAGATGTGAAAATTGGGGTAAAGAGGTTCTCGAAAATTGATTGTAAGAGTGGTTGATGATGGATGATGACAGTTCCCAGCGAAACTATAGGAAAGAAAACTGAGCTCTAATTTTTCCCTCATTAGCCCTTGGTTGAAAAAAGAGCTTGGTCTATAGTGAAAGATTATGGTCGCACGGGAAGTAGCTGAAGCACGAGGGCTGAAAAGCAGCCACTACAAATGCGCGCCGGACATAAAAGCGACTTTCGCCGCCGGCATTGAAAAAAGTCTGTGACGCTACAAGCACAATATTTGAATATCCTACCCAAAACGAAAAAACGTTTTTTTTCTTTCTAAACTACAGGAACTTTGTAACAAAGGCAAAATCCTATTGATGAATATTTTCATCGAATAATAATCATGTTCCTATTTATACTACTCTTTCATTAACGCGATTTCAAAATAATATCGATCTGTACAAAGTACAGTTCGGAGATAAGCATTGGTGATTCGATTTTTGTAAATAGCTCCAAAACAAGCGAGAAACTTCCAAACCACTTGTTTATTCATTTGAGCAATCATTAACTCTACCGAAAAACAAAACTTCCCCTTATCAGTCTGTATACCTGTTTAGAGTGAGTCAACCAAAATCAAAAACAGATTTAAAAAAATGTTCTGTCTGTCAAAAATGACTCAATTCGATAGACAGGAGGAAGAAGATAATTGAGTGAACTTCCTTGACATTTGAGCAACAAGTGTGACTCATTTTCGTTCGAAGAGATTTTGAGGGATTTTTCCTCCGATAAAATACTATTTTAAATGGCTTCTCTTGAATTTGAATTCATAAACTCTCCAATAAATTTCTTATTTTTTTTTATTAAAGATTATCGTCAATCAGCTAAAAATCTCTTTAAAGAATCTTTTAAAAGTTATACGTCAAAAATGATCCTTCAAGGTGTGAGAAGGCATCACAGAGAAAACGGTCTTCCAGAAAAGAATTACCAAAAATCATGAAGACTTTTTTTTCTTGAAAAAGTGTGCAAAAGATGTTGTTGATATGAAACGTTTTGTGGTTCAAAAAAGATTGAAGCTAGTGTGAAACTTTTTCGTTTGTTATTTCCAAACGGCTTTTCGGCTCATCAAAATTATAGCAATAGAGAAGTCTCTGCGATTTGTTTACAAATTTAATAAAGCCAGCAAAACCTTTTCTTTGCATCCAAAATCAAGAAAAGGGCGAGCAGATGGTTTTTCTGCGTAAACTTTCTCTTCATTTTATTCTAAACTTTGAAATTTCTCCGCTGTTGGAGGACTTTGAACTCCTCCGAGTTCTCGAGCACACTAATGGGACCAACATAAACACTCGGCCGGAGACAATTCAAACGGAATCTAATCCGAAGTCTTCGCAAGATTCCCAAATTGAAGCAATCTCAAGCCGCAAGTCTGTTTTGGCCGTTCGCAGAGGAATTGGACTGAATTAAGGTGAAACGAAAGACAAATTGCTTTTTCCCCAGCAAACCGAAAATCATCGAATTCTCAGTTTTTTTTTTCATCTATCACATACAGGAACGCACTAATATTTTTAACAGATATAAGCTTCCAAAACTCGAAACACTTTTCAAGCTCATCTTCTACGTCAAAGATTTCCAATCGATTGGTTGTTCCCTTAGAATCATAAAACTAAAAGCTTTTTTGTTGGAAATTAACGCTGGAATTCCATTTTGTTCTCCCATCGAATCTCTGACGTAAGAAAATCCATTGAACTGGCATTTTGAGCAATAAAAACAGAGAACTCTTCGAAATTTTTTTCTAAAAGTTTGAAAATATTTATCTTCGAATTAATTCAAAACAGTGAAAGATAAAAAAAAACTTGAAGCACAGTTTCCCTAACTATATGAAACTAACTAAAACAATCACCATGAAGGCATGGAAAACAAGAATCAACACGTAATTTTGTTATGAGAATAATGTGATACCAAACTTTCAGCTTTAGATTTCAGCTGAAATGTCACCGTCCAAGGTTAAACGGATCAACAATTAAAAGAACAAAAAATAAGCAGATTTTTGAAAGCTAAATGCTAATTTTCTAAGTGGCTTTAGCACGAAAAAAATTTGATCATTAAAATTAATTTAAAATTGAAGACCTCAGCAACGAAGACCCTGTGCGACGCCCATGAAAACGCCGAAAGAAAGACCCGATTGAGCGACAACTTTTCCCGTCTGTAAACTCAAACAATCATTTTCTCATTCTAAACTCCTTTTGAAAATCCAATTGAAAAAAAAATGAAATATATTATTAGAAAGAAAAGAAAATACTGAATTACAAGGAATACCTGAACTAGTAATGCTTTTCCACGGTAACCCATCCGGAGACCTGTGAAACCGCCTAACAAGACTCCTGTAGCACCGCCGATCATGGCTCCCATCATCAAACCCATTCTTATCTGAAAATGTGTGAATAGAAACTTGCTAAGAGGAAAATATTAAAAATGATGCAAATTTCCTACATACCTTGGCCATGCAATTTGGCTGATTTCCTCCTGGAACAGCTCCATAGCCGGAAGGGACTGGCATGTTTTTATCTAGATATAAAAAAAATACTGACAGCTTGGAAACCAACTGACGAACGAAATAGAGAAAAATTAAAATCGCGAGAAAAAAAAAATGAATGTAAAATTTGCGGTTTGCAACTTGCGCACAGTTAACACTGTCGATTTACGTCCGCGGGCAACCTGCGGGATATCCAAATATTTGAATTAATTTTTCAACCTTTTTTTCCACAATTTGTATTCGATAAAATTGTTTTCTGTTTCATAAAATGAATGGACATACTTATATCATTTCTTTATGTCTCTCGCTTTTTAGATCTCGTCGAATACTTTATCTTTTTCCTTGTCATAATTTTTAACCTTCGAAACTCATTTACAATTTTTTTCTTTTTTTAATTTAAATAATTTCTTTTTATGAGGTTCATCTCAAATTAGTTTGAAAATTATAAATTAAAAACTTTTTTTGTTCGTTCCCTAGACTTAATTGTTCCCACTGCCCCGCTTATCGTCAATTTCCGTTGATGATGAAAACATTCAATATTTTCTAGAAACTCATCGGTGGTGATAAGTTTTGCTTACGGAGCGTTTCATTGAAATTTTGGAATGGGAATAAAATGTCGATAAGACATTCATTACGCCTATACCTAATCGTTAGAAGTTCGTTACTTGTTCAGCGATCAAATTTTTCGCGTTTCGAAGTGAGTTTCAATTGGACGTTTTAGCTAATCATGATTTATTGCAGGTAAACGCTTGCAAGGGAAGATTTTCACGTGCAATGACGACCTCAGCAGTCACAAATGAACGGAAGCAGCCGTTGGATGCGCTTCTTCTGAATAAAATCGATACTGAGCAGGTATTTTCATAATAAAATTGACTTTTTGAAAGATTCGAATGTGTTTGACAAAAGATCATAGTTTTTTTATTAAATTTACAGTTATAAAACCAAAGTGTTATCATTTTTCGATTTCAGGATGCTTTCCTCAGCAAATATCCGCAGTACGACGGTCGCGAGATCCTCATTGCCATACTCGACACCGGCGTCGATCCGTCACTTCCCGGAATGCAAGTGAGTTCTTCCCTTTTTTTTTGTTCTGTCAGATCAAAAAGTTGACTTTTCGAATATTTGTACGTTACTCCACAAAGTACAACACTATTTGTCTAAGAGTGTTCTTTAGCCGAAATTTTCCCAGGCTCTAAGCCGACCGGTTTCATCGCTACACTGAGTCAACTCATATAAATCGCAGGGCAAAACATATTTGTTCAATATTTGCCCTCGAGATGTTCTATGAATAGCTGAACGCTTGAAACATCAAAATATTTGCTTGTAGGTTACCTCGGCTGGAACCCGAAAAATGGTGGATTGCATCGACTGCACGGGGGCCGGCGACGTCGAAACTTCGACCATCCGATCAGTCGCCGAGGGGAAACTCGAAGGCCTCTCCGGACGCATTCTCAATGTAAATTGGCAAGATTTTGTGGCTTTTGCGTAGTCCTGCATTTTCAGAAGATAATATGATGATTTCTTGAGTTTTTTCAGAGGGAAACTGAGCTCTCTTATTTCTAAAAACGCCATAATATGTAGTGTCAACGTAAACTGGCAAGATCCTGTGTGATTCGAGCTGAAATCTCAGCTTTAAAGATTATAATTCGATGGAAGTGTGTCAAATCTAGCATTATTAGACTTTATTTGCTTATGCGAATTTTCTAACGCACATCCTCGAACGGAAAAGTAGAATTTTCACCTCGAGGTTCTATGAGAATAAAAATTCAAAAGGAGCTTCTTACGTTTTTAACCTTTTGATTTTAAACTTTTGGTAACCATGTCATCAAGGCTTTTGAAGCCCACTTAACGTTGTAGAAAATTTTTAAAGTTTATAGGAGTCGAAGTTGTTCTCAAGGTTCGCAAAAAGTGTGTAGTTTGTCCCAGAGTTTACAGAATGTTTTGCCAAATTTTTCTGACAAAAAAAAATTTGAAAAAAAGGTTCCTTCACTGAGAACTGAGAGTTCAGATAATCTCGAGTTTTAAACTAGCATTTCAGTTAGAATGAAAGTTTTTTGATCCATTATTCTAGACATCAACGAATCAATTATCAGCACGATATAGTACATCTAACAATTTGAATGTATATTTCAGATTCCTGACTCTTGGGAAAACCCCACAGGAAAGTACCACCTCGGTCTGAAACCGATCTACGAGCTCTACACAAAAGGAGTTCGCGACAATATTTCGGTTCAAATCGAAAACCGTATCCAAATACCTCTGTTGTTCAGAAAGAGAAGTACAACGACAACTATTATCCTCTGCATAATCAAGCCGCCGCTGATGCTCTCCGGTTACTCACCACTCATGAGACGGACGTTGGAGGAACTAGCGAGAAGATGGTACAGTTATCTAAGCGGAAATATAGAATAGATTTCCTTTTATTAAGCGTTTTTCTCACTTTTCCACTTTGTTCTTTTCGTTGGTACATTAAAAAATAAAACCAAAAATGTCATATCTTGAGTAATAACTTGTAGGGAACCCTTCCTTTGATTTGATCTAAAATGAGAAACAAAAATAATTTATCATCAACTGGAAAAATACAGAAATTTTTTTTTGAATCAAGTGAAATAAAACATTTTTGCAAATTTTCGTCGACCGGGCACCAGAAAAGGTCTTTTTTTTTTGGAAATTTTACATTATTTATTTTTACGATTTTTTTAAGTCGGACAACTGGGACCGCGACGACCATGCATGCAAGGTCGATTTCCTGAAAACCATGAAGAATGTGACGGATGTCGGACCTGTTGCTGATGTCCTGGCGTGGCATGACGGCAACACCTGGAAGTTTGTCTATTTTTTAGTTTGATCTTGAAAAAATATAGAAAGAGGCGCGAAATGGAGAAAAAAAAAGTTTTTCTCGAATAATTAACCGGGTAAAGGTTAGAAGAGCACTTCTAAGTAGTGTTTTAGATAGTTTTTCAAATTTCAGTTCTCAAGTTAATTCATCGATCAAAAAAATTGTAGGAAGATTTTTACGTTTAAAAAAAGGTAAAGAACACAATAAGACGGGAAATAAAATTATCGAATAATCGAAAATAATATTGGAAGTTACGGTATTCAACAGATGTTTTTCTCAAAGAAATTTTTATTTTTTTCTATGAATTTTTTTCTGGTGATTTTTGATCTTCTTCTTCCTACGCCTTGTGATTTTTGGTAAAGGGAGCGAAAAAAACGTATTATTTAAAAAAATGAAAAAGAAGTTTCCTTTACTATTTCAAAGTGAGAACTTATAGTTTAATTTACAATTTTTTTCACTCGTATCGAATTTGTGCACGTTAAACATAAGTTTTTTGACTGAACTATCCAAAAAAAGAATTCATTTATCTAATTTTTCTGAAAAATGCTTCGAAATCCGTAAAAATGTCTACCCTTAAACTTTGAATTATTCTTTTCAAGAGCTTGTATCGATACGTCGTTCCGAGGACGATTGAATCTCTGTAAAGTGATGGGATCTTTCAAAGAGACAGGCGAATTCGATTTCATCACAGCTCGAGGTTGGCCTGAACCCAGTCTGAAACGTAGTTCGAAAGCGACAATTTCAGACTCGGTCGTGTACAACTTCAGAATTGCGCCCGACGGCAACTTGGTCGAAATCTGTGTGCCCAGCGGCGCTCACGGATCTCATGTCGCTAATATTGCCGCGGCCAATTATCCAGAAAATCCACAGCTCAACGGACTTGCTCCTGGAGCCAAGGTGAGTTTCAGTGGATCGATAGTTTAGGGTGGAAAAATTTAAGCTTTGTCGGAAACGGAGAAAAGTACAAAATTGATATTTGGCTGGAACTTTTCATTAAATGAAATTTTCGAAAGTTCATTGTCGAAACTGACCTATTTATAACATTGCGAATTAAAAATTACTAACTTTTCCTCTCGTTACTCATTAACTTCAAAATATATGAAACATCGGGTCTCATAAAATAGCCAGTTTTGGTTAAGTGGCCCTTGTTTTTCTCATCTTAATCTTTTCGAAAGTGAGCTTTGAGCAGCTTTCTTGTTTTTCTCATTTTACTTCGGCGTTCCCTCAAAAATCTATCTTCTCTGCACTCTCCTTTCCTTCACCGATGCGTTCATAAAAAGTTTGAAACTAAAAAGATAGAGCCGCTAAGAGAGATCACAGACACGTCAGACAGTTTCGAGGGATTTTTCAAAGTCAATAAATACTTGAATAGGTTATATCGTTGAATATTGGCGACATCCGGATGGCGGCCATGGAGACGGGCCAGGCGATGACGCGCGCCTTCAACATCTGCGCAGAAATGAACGTCGACGTCATCAATATGTCGTTCGGTGAAGGGTCTCACCTTCCAGACGAGGGGTTTTGTGAGGAATATCGAGAAGAAGTCGGAACGTCTGTCTTTCAGAAGAGTTATCGAGGAGGCGAGAAAGCTCATTGAAAGGAAAGGAGTCATCTACGTCTGTTCGGCTGGAAATGCCGGTCCAGCTTTGTCCACTGTTGGAGCACCTGGCGGAACCACAACGGGCGTCATTGGTTAGAAATATACTCATTAGTTTCAAAAAAAAAATCTGACTTTCTGATAACAACAACTTGTCCACCGAGAATGGATTAACAAAATGTTTTTTCAGGTATCGGAGCATACCTGACCGCAGAAACAGCAGACACTCTCTATGGAGTTTTCAACCAAGTTGAAAGCAACATTTATCCGTGGAGTTCGAGAGGTCCAAGGTGAGTCAATAATTTGGCTACAAAAATTATGCCGGATTCGCTGACAAAGTTGGAACCTCTGAGGATTTTTTTAACTGTTACTAGAAAGGTGGCAAGGTTGTATCATGCTGAATTTATCAGCGTTTTGTTGACCCCTTTTGCTGAGTCGTTTCAAACTTGGAAAAAATGTATGCGAAATGACCTCCCTTGTGAAATCGTGGATGTTCAGCTGCGACGGCAAATTGGGAGTGTCGCTGGTAGCTCCTGCGGCTGCCTTTGCCGACGTGCCGAAGTACTGTCGTCACAGCAAACAGATGATGAACGGCACCAGCATGAGCTCGCCCAACGCCGCTGGAACCATCGGTAGCACTTTTCTCCCTAATCCTGATCCGTAAGACATAACTGCCGCTTGTAACATCGATAACTAAATGTTGAGCTTTGAAATGAGTTATTTTTTGAAATGAAAAAAAAATTTAAAATTCATAGTTTTCCGCCCACAAAGGCATTATAGTCTGTTCAGTTTTCAAATGTCAAGTCCTCGTTGAAGTTCCGCCCCCTAATGGCGCGATAGACCAATCAGAGAGCGAGCCATCCACAGAGAGTTTTCGAATGGCGTCATTCTACTTGACATTCAAAATCTGAACAGACTAGAACCAGTTTCAGATAAGTTATGTCTAAAAACCCGTTTTGAAACACCTTTATATTGTATTCCGTCAATTTAGTTGTTGTGTGTGAAAAATTATGAAAAATTTTGAATTTCGATTTGAAATTCTGCTCTTCCAGCCTGTATGCTGTCCGGTATCCGAGCCCAAGGGCTTCAATGGACTCCGTACACTGTCCGACTCGCCTTGGAGAACACCGCTCAGCCTTTGGCTAACAGCGATCCTTTCTCCATGGGCCAGGGCATGATCAAGGTGATTCATCAGTGAAAATGAGTGATAAAAGATCTGCTCCTTCAGATATCATCGGCCTATGATAAACTTCTATCAACCCTTAAAGCGGAAACCTTCCCCAATCGTCTCCTTCACTTTAATGTTACCGTCACGGACCTTTCCAAGACTTCTAAAGGTCTCAAAAACTTTTTCCGCTTCAAGAAATCTTACTTTTGAAGGTATCTACATTCGAGAGCCTGTCAGAGACAAACCCCAAGAGTTCACCGTGGTTGTGAAACCGGTCTTCAGAGATCAAAGTGGTAGGTTTGAGAGTTTGAGCAAAAGTTTTCATTTGGGACAACGTAGAAAGAAAAGATGGCTTTATATTTCAGGAATGCTTTCATTTGGCGTAATTTAGCTAGAGCCGCATTTTTAGAGTTTCTCAGTTTCAGAGATCCAAAAAGAGCTTTATTTTTGAGCGTGTTTCTCATCTTAAATCACATCGAATCTTCAACTTTAAGGCGGCTACGGATTTCTGTAACCAGGAAGACTTATTTTATGATCATTTTTAGAACTTTCTACAAATCATCCTCACTTTGAAAAAATGACCTCTGGGTTCATAACTCAATAAAAATATCTGCCAAAGAAATGAGTTAGAAGGTGCGTATATAGCTAGACAAAGTTAGGATAACACATATTTTCCAGTTTTTCTCGCTTTAAAATTTTCGTTAAGTTCTACCCTTTAACTTTTTTACTTGCCTTAATTTTGGGGTCTGAATTTTCAGCCGACAATGACGAGCAGATCAACTTTGAGCGTCAATGTATTCTGGAGTGCGACGCCGACTGGGTCCAGCATCCCAAGACCATGCTCCTTGTTGGAAGCGATCGGAGCCTCGTCGTGACTGTGGACGCTCGAAAATTGACCCCCGGCACCGCTAACTACACTGAAGTACGGTAGCCGAAAAATGAAATAATCTTGTTTGCTCAAGTTTGTAAGCTTTTTGCTGAATGGAGCTCAAATTTTGGCGCGCTTTGCCTCAAACTCCTTCTCACATGAGTTTTCAGTTGAAACTTCTAAAAGTTTGTCTGGGTACGTGTAAATAGAAAAGTTTTCGATTGATATCAGAGAATAAAGAAGTGAAGTTTATTAATAAAAAAAAATTACAACTGTTTTGAAACACTTCTCAGTCATCTCTAATCAAATAAATTGGAAAAACTGAACTTCTTCCAGATCACGGCTTTCGATCACGCGGAGCCATCGCTCGGACCGCTTTTCCGTATTCCAGTCACTGTAATTTCTCCTGAAGTTGTGGAAAATGTGGCCAAAGGCTACATCTCCAAGCTGAAGGGCCGTTCCGGCGTCCCTGAACGTCGATTCATCGAGATTCCCTCCTATGTGAATGCCGTCGGTTCGTTCGGACTCGGAATTATCGTTTTTTTTTTTTTTAGAAAGCAATTCACTCTTGTTTCAAGTTGTCATAGTTCTATAAGAAACTTGAAAACTAGCTTTATGTAGAAGAAGATATATCACTGATTGTCTCGTAGATACTTTTTGAATTTTTCAGAAATATCTCTGGAGCCTGGAAATCGAGAGCCACTCGATCGATTCACGCTGCACACTGTGTACTTGGAAGACGACAAATGCGAAAGAAATACTGAGACTTGCAAGCTTTTCGGACCTGTTGGAGATACCTGGTCGAAGGTGATCAACGTCAAGGGCGGCAAGACGTTGGAGGTGATTATACCTGACAACCAGGCAGAACTTTTGGAGATTTGAGAACCCGCGTCGCGGCTTGCGAAACGGTCGAAATTTAGGCACTTTTTGCTTTTTTCTGTCAAAAAAATTGAGCGGTTTGAATCACTGATGATTATGATAGTATGACATCGAACGAAAGCGAAAGCTCGAAAATTGAAACTGAAGGCTTTCCTTCGAGACCTGGGCTGATCTCGGAAAAAAGGAACACCAGTGAAGGAAAATTGAACTTTTGAAGACGAAAACAACGCAAAGAAAAAAATTTGAAAAAAAAAAGTCTTACGTCCGATTAATAGATATAGGTCGTTGAGTTTCCAACATACCAAAGAGAGCAGCTGAAAAGACGGGGCAACCGCAACGCTTCCCTGAGACTCCCTACGCGTGAAGCGGCCACATTGTCAAAAATGCCATTTTTCATCATTTTTTCACCAGTTTTTCACCGTTTTATCGGCAGCTTTGGCTCCAAGGCCAATTTAATGATTTTTAGACCCTAAATTTTCTGCGTGTTTTCTTCTGATTCTATGAAACTGAAATATTATCTTTAAATTCTTCTTTTTGTAGGTTTGTATTGTCCGAAGTTGGGCGAGAGGAAAGGATCCCGTCGATGTCGATCTGAAATTGGCGTTCCATGGTATTCAGAAACCGTCAGAAATTTCACTGGTATATTTCTCTATTAGCTTGCTTTCATGTCACTCTTGCAGATCCATGGTTCTGCAAACACTCCGATTCGAATCCAAGCGCCACCCATCCGCTCAGTTGAAATTAGTCCTAAAATCATGTTGAAGTGAGGAGAAAGTTGAGAATTTTTGCGTTGAATTCTGGAATTTAAGGTCCATCGTTATTCCACACAAGCCGACGTCGGCAAAAATTGAGCCATTGGGAGCTCGGGACGTTTTTGTCGTTTCGGGACTGCAGATTCATCGGCTTTTGCTTACTTACACTTTGAAAGGTAGGTGCAAGAAAACGGCAGACACCAGTTATAGAGTAAGGTAAACTTGGAGAGAGCAGAAACTCAATTTTCAGGCTCTAAAGTGTCTAAAGTTCTGCGCGGGCATGCCAAAAAAAAAAAAAAAAATTATATCCGGCTTATAAAATATTTTTTTCCAGTCACAAAAAGTTGCGAAGTCCGATTGGAAATGGCCGGACTGACGCCTTTCCTCTACGAATCGCCGGTCGACTGCATCCTTTTCCAGATCTTCAACGCCAATAAGGCTTACGTCTCGGCCGCTGGCGCCTATCCAGACCGGGTTTAGCTTTGAAAATTTATCGAGTAGAGTTGGCCGGAATAATTGAAAAAAAAAATTCTTTAAGGCAACACAATTTCACCGAGATAAGGCTTCAAAATGTCACAAAAATTTTCCCTTTTCAAGAAAACCATTTTCAAAGTTTCGAGAATGAAGCTGTTATCTGCCAAAGTTTCTATTTCAAGAGATATGCAAATTTTTTTAAAAGTAAAACGTACTTCATTTTTCTTTTTTTTTTTTCATTGGAACGCCTTTCCTACGATTTTTTTCAGGAACTTGAAAAATAACTCACCACGAAATGAAAATTGAACCATCTCATCAAGTTCTTTTTTTCAGTACACCCACAAGTTGGAAAAAGGCGAATATACGGTCCAAGCTCAAATCAGACACCCGGATGATGGATTTTTGGAAAAGTATCGCGATGCGCCGCTTTTGTATGTTTTGAAGTGTTTCTCCTTGTTTTACCGTTTTTTCAAGAGTTCACGTGAAGTTACCGTCGCCTGTTGATCTTCCCATTGCTAACAAGCCGTCGATTGCTGCTTCTGGAAAAGGTTTTCATTTTATTATTATTTTCAAGCGACTTATAAGTAATTTTACTAGAATGAATTGAAACAAAAATTACATTTTTCAGACTCAAAATACGCGAACAAAGGCCTTATGCCCAACCAGGAAATGACAATCTACGTTGGATCCTTGGCGGAGGACAAGTTTGAGAAAATCTTGAGACAAATTTGGAATTCAGTACTTTAGAATCCCTAAGCTGATCAACGCCAGTAGTGGATCCTACTTGTTGGGCGAGTTTACCGTATTGAGCGGCGATTTGAAGGTTTTTTTTTGGATGAAATAAGACGTGCGGAGCAGTCTCAGTAGTTTGATGTAAAGTTTAAAGCTAAAGCTCCAGTTTTAAAATAACTTTGAAAGCAAAAATGGACTTCAAAAAACTTTATATTAACTCTCAAGCTTCTTTTAATCAATATATTCAAATAATAGGAACTTGGTATTGAGTTTTCAAACCAAGATCAAAAAACATGGCCAGTAAAAGATTCGACACAAAAAATGGACATGCGTGTCGGTATGTTCACGTTCACTTTACGCTTTTTTTACATCCAAAATTTTATTTCCTCAGAATGTGGGTACATTTTTTATTTTTTATTATCCCTATTTCTTTAAGATATTATGAGAAACATCTCAGTTTGAACTTTATTGTTGGTTTTTCCTTTCAATTTATTTTCTCTGCACTGTTCATTCATTGATAAACAAATTCAGCGATTTACAGAGCGCCGACAAATCAACGGTTCATTATTGGCTTGTTGAGTTCAGCTCAAGACCTTCCAAGGGTTTATCCATGGTGACAATGAAGAAGACTCCCGATCAGAATGTTGAAATGAGCGGTTCGAAGTTGAAAGAGCGCCCAAATAAGTCCAATTATTTTAGATGCGATCCGAGACTTGGAAGTTTCTTGGATCACCAAGCTGAAGGACGACGCCGCGGCAACGCAGCTTTTCGAATCTTGTCGGCAAAAGTACATTTTTTTTTAGGAAGAAATAGCCTTGAAAAATCAGACGGTTAGACTCTTTTGCGCTCTAATGACAATTCTTAAAGGACGATTTTCATAACACCCAGAGAGCTCAAAAGGCTTGAGCGTTTTTCGATCGGCTTTTTTATTATGCTTTTGCGAGTATTCGAGTAATACGCATAAACATGTAAATATTTGAACTTTAGGTACAATGACCACCTCCCTCTTCTTACCGCTCGAATCAAGCAACTCATGTCGAAAAAGGTATAGTTCAATGATGATAAAAGAGCTTCATATATAATTAGCCAAATTTTTAAAAAATTCAATGATTATCTTTCAACCGGAAGAGAAAAAGAGAAATTGAAAACATTTCGATCTAAGATGGAACCTTCAAAAAAACTCGTGCTTAGAAAATTAATCGAAAAAAGATCAAAACCCTCTTAAAAATCTGGTTCACAAGTTTCCTCGATATCTGCGTTTTTATTCTCTCTAATAACTTTTTTTCCTGTTGTCGGACGCGACCCGAACGTTTTTGAGTTTTTGTAGTGAGCACTTAAGGGGGTTAACGCCACCAAAGTAATCACTAGAAATGCTTAGAAGCGTCCCGTGCGCGTCCGGTTCGCGTTACCGTTTGAAACAATATTTCTTCTTATGTATCTTCTTCAGTTCTCCGAGCAAACGCCTGAAGCACTGACGCAGGTCATCGAAATCTCATCCCAGATTTTGAACATTTGCGACCTGAAGGAGGTCTTGCAGTACGTCGCGATGCGGCCTGAAAACACCGACGACCTTTTGGCGATCGAGAAATGGGCGGCTCATAGTACGTTCCACAAAATTTCGATTGAAACACCCCTAAAATGTCGTCAGTTAACCACTTTTTTTCAGCTGGCGTGGAGGAAGACACCAAGGAGACGGCGAAGAAGCTTCAGTTTCTGGAGGAGAAGAAAAACGCGATAATAATCGCGTTGCAAGCCTTGGCGACTGTTGAGCTCGACTGGAAACTGCGAACGTCCAGCAGGACGATTCCTTCGTCGATTCGCTATGGCGCCTTCACTCCTTTGATTTTCGGAGGGAAAGTTGTGAGTTTATCAGCAGGATTGTCGGAAAAGCCTCTATGTGGATATTCTTAGTCACAAAAGCTGGTTCTCTATTAAACTTATTCTTTGTTCTTTGGTCCTTTGTAACATATCCGATGTAAATTTTATGAATAGATTTTCTCCAGGAGCCGCCAGCAAAAGGAAAGAAAGAAGTGACTGACTCGAAAACGAAAGGAGACGCTTTGGACGCGGCCGTCGAGGCGGCCTTGCTGAAGATTTCGCCAGTCTCGGCCACAGCCGACGTCAGCACCAACAAGGTCCAGCCGAAGACTGGCCTCTGGTACATGAAGCTCCTCGCTTGGCTCCCGGCCGATGATCAGAAGGTGCCCGATCTAATCGTCATCATCACCACTTTTCGGTTGCAGAACGTCCTGGTGTCGGCCAAGCACGCTGCTCTTCACGGTCATTGGGGTCGTTGCGCGAAGATGCTCAACAAGTCGGCCGAAGAAGTGCGCTCTGGCGCCAACGACTCAAGAACCGTTGATTTGGGCTTGGCGGAGGTATCTACTCCATAAAATTCGAATCTTTTTTTCCAATTTGAAAATTTTTCTTTTTTTTCCTTCTTATTATCAACTTTAACTTCAAGGTCTGTGACGAACTCGGCTGGGTGCACCTCGCCACTCATTTCCGCAACACGATGCTCGTCAAGAACCGGCCAGCCTACCGTACCTTCTAGTATTTTAGCGCTTTTTTTCATCAGCTTAGTCTCCCTCGAATCTTTGAATTTTTACGCATTTTCATCGCATTTTCGGGTACCTTTTTCAAAATAGGACAGGTCGTAATATTGCATGAAATAAATAATTTATTTTCCAGATGATTTGAGAGTTATCTTCAAAACTGATAAAGAGTTCGTTAAAAGTACACAATTTTAAAAGAAAGAAAAATCAATTAAGAAGGGGTTTCATTGGCCGAGACGCATTGTTGCTTTTTTTCAAATTATTTTTCTTGAAGCATTTTTATGTTCGAGCAAGAGTTATCGAGTCAGAGTTGATATTGAAAAATAAAAAGTAAAACTCGAATAATAAATAAAGTGTAAAGTGAGAAGGGAAAAATCATTTCTGAGTGAAGCAACATCGCGGAGATGCGGCGAATTTTGAAAAAGAAGAAAAGTCTACAGTTGATTCACGCCCCAGACTATCCGAATGAGAGGTGTCACGATGAGCCTCCGAAAATAGAGGTTGAAAAAAGAAAATCTTCAAGAATATTCCATTTTAGGGTGATGTCATAATGAAAAAATTGAAACGGATCAACTTTTCCAAAAAATATTACGCCGAGCTTAGCAAAGGCTTCTTGAAATTTTACGCGTCGACGAAGAAAAGTGAGCTCCAAGCCGAGTACCTCGTTGATCTGGCCAAGGTTCTCACTCTTTAAACTTTGAAAAAAAAAATGCCTTCTTGGAAATCGATTTTTCAGGTCAGCTTGTCGTTCTCGGAGAAGCGCGTTTTCATTCAATTTCGTGTGGAATGTCGGATTCTTGTACCTGCTGATCAAAGCGCGTTCGATAAGTGGAAAGACGCCTTGATCAAGCACAGGCTGTACCGTCAAGAAATGTGGTGAGGAACTTGACAAAGTTTAGGGCTTTTCTTGGAAAAAGAAGAGTTTTATTTTCTTTGTGAGGTTTGACCTCTACGCAATAATAAATAGAAGAAGTATTAGTGCTTCTTGGCGCTGCGAGTAGGGCAGGGACAGTAGTTGGCGTCGACGCCGACAGCTCCGTCCTTTCCGGGAGATCCTGGTCTGCCGTCGTCGGCATCACGGCCAGGGTTTCCAGCATGTCCGGCAGGTCCGACTGGTCCGGTCTCTCCATCAGCGCCAGGCTCTCCGTTCTTTCCGGGAGTTCCTTGTGGTCCTGGCCATCCAGGGTTACCAGGCTGGCCAGGAAGTCCTGGTGCTCCGCTGATTCCGTCGTGTCCAGGCTGTCCAAGAGGTCCGTCGATACCAGTCTGGCCAGGTTGTCCCTGAAGAGATTTGATGTAATGGGACCTCTGAATCAAGACCAACCTGGTCTCCAATGATTCCTGGCTCTCCTGGAGCACCGTCCTCTCCACACTCGCCAGTTCGGCCAGCAGCTCCTGGGAATCCTTTCTCTCCGACTGGTCCATCTGGTCCTGGCTCTCCGGCTGGTCCAGGTGGGCACCGGATGCATCCGCCAGGAATGTCGTGCGTGACTCTGAAAGACGTCTTTAGAACGTACTTTTACAAGAAAGTTGAAATTATAGACATACGTCAATCAGAGCTCTTAAGGAGTTTGAGGGCAATTTTCTCAGAATGCTACTTTGAATCTTGTTCGAAATGCTCATTATCTTTCTTATAGAGACAATCAACCTTGAGTCAGTATCCCACCGAACTCGAAAATCTTGTTTGAGTCTAAGCATCCCCTTGATTGGACTCATGAAAAATAATAAAGGAAGGACTCACGCAAGGACGATTCCTGGAGCTCCATTCTTGCCGTCGTCTCCGCCAGGTCCTTGTTCTCCACGAGGTCCGGCCTTTCCTGGAGGTCCAGGTGGTCCGGGAGGACATCCTTGCGAGTTGGTGTTGCAGTTGCACTGGCCGCCGGTAGAACGCTTGGTGCGAGAGAAGATGGAAGCGAAGGCGACCTGGGAGTTGGCCTCGACCGCTGGGCTCAGATGAAGGGTGACGATCTTGGTCCAAGCGTCATCCGACATGAGCTGCAACTCCAGAATTGTATTGAAAAAGAGAGTGATCACGACATACCCGCATCTCCTGGACGCCGGTCTCGATCTCATGTCGCATCGAGTCGATCTGGACGACGATGTTGTGCATGGCGACGAGGGAGCATAGCACAGCGGCCAGGGAAATGGAGGCGCCGATGGGGATCGCGTACTTGGACATCTTTCCGATGTTTCAGCCGCAACTCTCTCATCCTTGTCTTTTATCCTGGTGTGAGAACCCCCTAGCGGCGAGCTTTTTTCGAAGTTTTCTTCCGAAAATCGAATAAGAAGTGGCGGCCTGATGTGAAACGGTTCGTTGCGCACCTTCACATTTGCCTGTTGACCCAAATCCTGATTAGTTTTTGCTAATTGGGCTTCTTTGTCACATTAAAGGGTACAGTTACCCCGAAAAGTAGGGTAGCAAATTGCAGGGAATAGGCAGGTTTCAAAGAAAAAATCTCTCCATAGGCTACAAGTTTTGCTTAAAACTTACGTCAAAGTCTTTCCGAAAAAAAACGGAGTGATAGAAAATTTTGATGAATTACCATCTTTACCTTCTCCGATCAGAAAAAAATTATCAAGTTCCGTTCAAAAATTTTCATTTTTTAATTCTTTTCTGATTCAAAGCTTTCAGTAAATTTTAATAGAAACAGTGAACTTTTATTGGAAAAAAGTTCCTGAATGCATTGGTGAACATGAAGATTGAAGTTGCTTTCTTTCTTTCTCGAATCGAGCTTTTTTCGAGTTAAGAAGAGCTTTTTTTTTTAATATTAGTTCACCCGGAGTGTTTTTCGTGAAGTTTTCTACCTTGGGTTGAAAGGAACATGGAAATATTTCATAAATGTCTGAGAAGTCTATTTCAAGTCCTTCTGCGCCTCCAAACACATTAGAAAGGACTAATTAACTGAATATGTTCATTTTTTACAAAAGTTCTCTTTCAGCAGTAGAGTTCAAAACCTGGCCGATGTCTCAATGGCTTCCTTTCCCACCACTTCAAATATCTCATTTTCTGACGCTGCTGAAGTTAGCGTCAGGTAAAAAATTCAAAATATCATTCCCAAAGTGAAAAAAGCTGATTTGAGTGAAAATCTGCGCACATGGGATTCTTCCGAAACCAAAAAGATTGACATGCAAAGTGAGCAAACTTTTTTTTTAAGTTCTAAAGAGTGCTTCAATTCAGGTTTGCAAGAATACACTGTTGATTTGATTGATAAACTGACGAAGACGCTGGAGCAAGTCAAAGAAACGAACAGTGAAATGAAGAAAACTTTGAAAGAAATGAAGGTCGAGAAGTTTTGGAAAAGGAAAAAAAAGGAGAGTTTTCGCAGAAGTTTAGTCGAAATATGACAGCGAAGAACCAAGCTGGGAGCCCGGCGAACGCTGAAGAGGATAGTTTTTCCTCGGGCATGTTTTATTTTCAATATAGTGTGGCTCAACGCGCAACAGCTGTGAAGCTGTTCCATAGAAATGCCCGACCGAATTACGACTTTCGCGCGTCTGCCTTGAAAAGCTTAATAGCATAGAAAGTTCTGGACTCCGCCTGTAATCCCAATTTCAACCCTAGCGGAACCGCAACCCGTTGAGTCATTTCGAGGCGACCAGAAGGTCTAGATCTTAGTTGACCTGACCCTCCAAATGTGAAACCAGAGCTGGTGTTGAAACAGGGCAACCCAGGCAGGGGAACGCGATTCGGGACACCTAGACCCGCGAAGCGGTCAGATTCTCAAATTAGCCATTTTTCTTGATCTTAGAGGACGATGATTCCAAGACAGACAACAAAGCCTCTCCTGTTCAAAAAACCGAAGTTGACCCGCCTAAACCGTATGAAACCCTAATAACTTCATTTTAAATTCTATTTTAGAGTTGCAAAAGAGATCGCCAAAGAGGTTGCAAAAGAAGTAGTCAAGGAAATTTCGAAGAAAGAAAAGTTGAACAAGAGCTCTCAGCGACCCAGGGTAAGAAATCCAAAAATTGAGTAAATCGTCTCAGTTTTTAGTATTTATCAAGATAGAGCGATTATTCAACTTAAAATTCCAGAAATTGCGAAAAACTCGGAGTCTGCTGCCGGCCAACCAATGCGCGGCAGAACCTATCGGCTTTAGAGTTCGTGAATTTGTTTTTTGCTTTATGAATAGCAGTCCTTTTATTTTGACCTGAAACATGTATTTTAGTTCTAGGAAATTTGAGTTTAATCTGGATCCGGAAATTTTTAAACCGTATCGAACAAAATATATGAGATTCTTAATAACACTTTCAATTAAAAAAATTTCAGAGCATCGTAGCCATGGCGATACATAAAGGAGGTATTCCGGTCTGTATGTACGAGCCTACAGGACTGCTACAGGTTTCTATTTTGATTACATATAGAGAAATTTTCCCAACAAAGCTTTTTCTTTTCCTTTTATATCGATATAGTTACATTGGCTTTTTAGCTTTAAACTTAGAAAATAAAAAAGAATTTTTTTTCTTAGTTACTCTGCGAAGAACTGAAATGGTCATACCTACTGGACAATGCGGCGGCTTGCAACTCGCCCGATGAAAGACTTTCTTGGGTCGGTTTTTGGGAAATCCGTAAAGTTTTTTCATGAATTTTGGCTAGACTTGTGTGCTGGGTTTGCAATAGGGTCGAAAATTTTCCAGTTTTTGATATTTTTTGTCTCAAAATCATCTCAGAGTCTGTGATTAGGGAGTTGAATGATCGAAAATGTGTCTTTTACCAACATTATGTGATTTAATTTTTGAAATGAGAGGAAAAAAATAATTTTCTATGTCGACTTCCGGCCGGCGCACGCACAGCTCTCCTTTCGGCTATCAAATTTTTCACAATAGACGTGGCATTTTTTGAAAAATTCAGATAGTCGCTTACGCAATTTCGGTCTACTCTTCTACAATCGGACGATACCGAAAGCCGTTCAACCCGGTCATTGGAGAAACTTTCGACTACATCGACAACGAAAGAGGCTGGAAATTTCATGGCGAGCAGGTGTGTTTTGAGGAAAAACCTCAATTATTAATTTATCAAAGAATAAATGTTAGGTTTCCCATCATCCTTGTATCACCGCTGCGCAAGCCCAAGGCAAGAATTGGCTTTGGTGGCAAAATCTGAGTGAGTTTTGAGTATATTTTCGCATCTTGTCCAAATTGAACAGGAAATTTTTTTGAGTTTGTTAAAACCGATCGATGATCGAAAACTGTGTTTTTCGATCTTTCTTGAGTTTACCATTATAAACAGGCTCGTTTCAGATAACGATTTTGGAAATGGAGCCGTTTAAAATTTCCGTTGCATGTTATAGTAAAAATCCAATAAAATGCTTCTTTGCAAAATAATTTCATGAACGGTTTAGCCGCCGAAGTAATCACCAGCAAACTGAATATGATTTCCGAACTGACACCGGGGATGCCGGTGAGAGTGAGGATCGGCTCTGAAGACATTTGCTGGACTCGGGTTCTTTTTTACTCCTTTTTTTCTACGAAAGTTACAGAAAACAGTATCAGATAGCATCGGAAAGTTTCAATCGAAGCTATTTTGTGAAAGAAGTTAATAAAACACTCATATTTAAAGTGTAACGATCTGAAAGATGTATATCGATTTTGAAGCCGAAAACGACAATTGAAAAAATCAACGCGATTCCGGAGAAGCGGAATATTTACCACGAAGGCTCAATGCAATTCCGCAGTTCTTCTGGCTGTTCAGCCCGGCTTGTTGTCAACCGAACAAGGGTTAGTCGTTGGAACTAGGCTTGTGCGAGGGCCGGTCCGTGCCCGGCCCAGCCCGGCCTAAGCGAGGTCTCAGAAAAAACAGCCAGCCTGACCCAAAGAGCACAAACCTTCTTCAAGTCAAGTATCAGACTTTCTTTACGGCAATATCCACGTTTTCGGTTATTTATCCCTTTAAGATTCAACTGAAAATATGATTCGATAAGTAAAAAGGGTTTTTTGGTGATGACATTTAAAAACCCAGGTCTGGTCTAAGCCAACGCAGGCCTCTTCGAAAAAAAATGGTCTTTCTGGCCCAGGCCGCCCAGCCTGACGTACAAGCCTCGTTGGAACAAATGAAAAAGTATGAAAGAAAGTCTAGGAATGCGCAGGAGAGGTTTTTGATCGGAACGGCAGGCAGTGCTTCAAGCTCTTCGGAGGCTGGGACGTCGGTCTCTCGAGGCATTTCTTTACCAATAAATATCTTCTTAAAACAGAAGGTTTAGATCAAAACCAGGTGGAGAGAACCGCGAAAGTCTCTTTGAGCTCAAAGGACACGATTACAACCCTGCGCAATACGGCTTCACCAAGTTCACGATGTCGTTGAACGAGCTCTACGAGGAGGACAGGCCTTCGTTGCCGCCTACAGACTGTCGTTTCAGGCCAGATATGAGAGCGCTCGAAAGCGGAAAGGTGGAACAGAAGTACTGAGAAATTAGAGATAGAAAAGTGAATGTTCAGATCGAACTGACTGCCCAGTACAAGGATGCTTTGGAAAGGGCTAGTTTTTATGACATTTTTCCCACTAAATTGTCAAGTTTCAGCTTCAAAGAGCCCGCGAGCGTGCTAACACCTACACTCCTCTCTGGTTCACTCCCGAAACGGACAGCTTCATCGGCAAGGGCTTTTTCGTCTCGAATGGCAAGTACTGGGACGCCAAGACGCGTCGATACAGCGAACAGCACGAAAGAAACTTGTTCCCTGCTGTTTTTGCTATCCAGAAATGAAAAGGTTTTCTCGTTGAGATTTTCTTTCTATCGGTCATTCGTTCTCATTCTGATGCAACATCTGAGAACCATTGCAATACTTTGCGGAAAGTCTGACGCAATGTAATCGCCTTAGTGAATTTTTTTTTTCCAAGCTTTATTTAGGCTGAGCTTTTCTATATTTTTAAAAATTAATCTTTGCAAAGGTCCTTAAAAAGCATAGCTAAGTTTTGAAAACTGTTGAGTAAAAAAACGTTTCCAGTAGTTATAAATATTATTGACGCTTAACATTTTATTGAATTAATTACGAGTTATAAAAGTAAATTTTAAGCATGCAAAATAATTGAGTTGTCGGCTCAACAAAGATATTTTGGAACTTTTTAAAGCGCTTACATCTTGATTTTGTTAGGGATTTGAATTAATTTTAAACATGAAGTTAACTTCACCAATACATTCATAAAAAAAAATTTATCTAGGACACTAAGTATTTTAATACATCTCAAAGAAAAACTAAAAATTCGAATATTTCAATTACGGTTCTCTCAGATGCCGCAAGCACATTCACGCGCTTGCCTCAAGAAGAGCCGAAAAATCAATTTTTCCTGGATTTTCAATTTATTTCTCTTTCGTTGCGCGTTCAATGTTAGTATGGCGGAACTATTCCGTATGAAAAGTGATTTCGGCTCACTCAAAATGACCTATTTTTTCGTGCATATGGATACAATGAATTCAAGAAAACGGGCATTTTGCTCTACTGTATAATAATTGGGTCTAAAAATAGCGGCTAACGCTGCAAAATAAAAAATATATGTAGTTTGGTTTTTAGTTCACGTGAATTTATAGCCTCAATCTTTTGCCATTTTTTTCACTCGCTCAAAGTCTTATATTTTTTTTAATAAACTTCTTACATAAAGTTCTTACTTTCGAGTTTTTTAGATTTACTACGGCATAACGGGCTCTCATAATGTTATTTTTCTGAGTAAGCCAACAAATTTTCAGACTTTTTTTAACTTTCAATGAGAAATGTTTCGAAGAAATGGTTTTTTTTTCTTTTCGATTTGTTGATTTTTGGTGTCGCCAATTCTTCTGATGAATCTGTTTCGTTTATTGTTTGTCATTCCACAAAAGATCGTTGTCTTCTTGTTCAGACGATTGCAACACGAGGCTGCAAACTTTTAAATTGTTTGCAATCTTTGATTTAATGAACCTTTTCAACGAAACTTTCGTCAGTCGTCTGTCAGGCAGGTTGGAACATCCACATGGGGTGATTTTTCACCTCGTGGTTGTCTCTCAAGGCTGAATCGCTCTCTAGGACACTCGCGTGTTAAATGAGAATCGTTTCGATGTCGACCCAGAGCGGAAATTTCCAATAAATGTGAGATGGTGTTGCTATCGATTCTCCGAGCAATTTCTAGCTTCAAATTTTAAAATGAAAAATATTCCTCCCACGCTTTAAGTCATTTCGCTTATCTAATCGTTCTTATCTTCGAAAAGGCAAAACTGTTCGCCTTATTTATTCGGTTTATGTGAAGAAGCATCAAAAGTCTAGGTAAGCTGCAGAAATCAGCTGAATTTTTTGCAGAGTGAAATCATTAGGAATCACGTTTCAGCCGCTTCAGTGAAATGAGGAATAAGGCCAATAAAACATGAGACCATTCGGCAAACGGCGGAAAATTCGTTGTATTCAACGAAAGAGAAAAGGTTTTTTGTCTCCGTTTCTTTTGTGGTTAGCGAACATTCTCCATTCAGAAAAACACAATCTTTAATTTAAAAAAAAAGACTTTCGAACCGTACAGTATCGGGAAAAGAAATGTGATTTTTTGACTCACATTTCTGAATTTTTCCAACTTTTTCAAGTTTCAAATATTGTAAAAATATCTTATAAGTTTTAATCTTGCAAGCCATTTCAACTAACCAAAGTACAGAGCTTTCCCTTTCTAACCTCCTTGCCGTCGACCAACCATTGGTCGCTTGCTTTTTGTTCCGCCTCTTTCCCCACGTGGGTCAATCATCGTCGCCTCGATCAAACTCTTTATTATTGTCCTTTTTTATAGGTTTTCGACCTGTAGAACTTCGATGATAAGGAAACTTCTCCTGCGGCTTTCTTCAATCGTGGGTCCTCCTTCTTTTGCTCCAAAATAGGTGCTTTAATCGAGTCGTAAAGCCGTTTTATAGAGGCTTTTATCGTGGAAAGTTGTTGATCTTCTAGCTTTCTCTCAACCAAAGCTCAACTCTAAGTCCTGGTTTTTTGATCTCAAGTTTTAGACACCATATTTTGGCTGCGAAAGTAGTCCGAAATTTCTACGACTTCACTTTAAACATTTCAGAGAATATCTCAAGATAAATGTGAAAATTTGTAATTGATAAAATTTCAAGTATTTTATCTCAAAATTTTTTTCAGAACGTTTTGATCTTTTTTTCATAATTTAGGACTACTATCCAGCGAGTCTGGTAGTTATATAACTTTTAAAGGAAATTATTTTCTGCGGCTTTTAAAAGAACACGAAAAAAGCTTCATGACGGTCTTGAGTCAAAACAATAGTCGTATAATTTTTTTTGCTCCATTAAAACTTGAAAAAAGTTCAAATAAGACTTTGGTGAGAATTTAGTCAGTAGAAATAAGAAACTGAAAATAACTCGGACATTGGCAACGTGAAACGGACGTGCTCCGGACGTTTCTGTGCATTTCTAGTGGTCACTTTAGTAGCGTCAGCACTCTTAAGTGATTCCTAGAATTGTACAGAAACGCCCGGAGCATGTCCGTTTTTCGTTACGAATGTCCGAGAAGTTTTAGTTTCAGTTACTTTGATCACTCCATTCGTAAATAATTCTTGATTTGGATTTTATCAACAGCGTGCTTTTTATCTTTTTCTCTCGAGCCTGGACATTGATCAGTTGATTTCGCCTTTGTTTATTGTTTCCCTAATTTCATTGCACTTCACAACGCCTAGCAAAGCCTCAAACTTTGTTCGGTGATTCCGATGGACTCTTGTTATTTTCTCGTCAAGCTGACAACTTTTCACAGCCTAGAACACAGTAACCAGGCCGTTATCACTTGATTAGAACAGGTTCTTTTGAGGACCCCTTCAAAAGACGAGGACACGAGGATGGGGTTACCCCCGTCCTTATCATCGATGAAAATTTAACAATTCATTCCTTCGGCCCCGCCCACCGATACCCCGAATTTCTTTATATAAACAGGTTAGGACCTGGAATCGCGTACCATAATTTTCCGGTTCCGAGGTTGGTAAGTTCTCTCAAAGTTTTTTTTTTTTTCTGAAGTTTGCCGAAAGCGCTTTATAATAGCATCACGGCGAAAACAAAATCAGTTTTTTTTCCAGTTTTTGGTTTTTCTTTCTCAAATAAGTTTTCAGAATTAAATTCCAAAAGTTAGATTAAATTTCAATTTTACATATTGGTCTGCTATGAGACAAATAAATAGCAAAAATTTTAACTTTTGTCAAATTTAACTTTTTCGAAATAATTATCTTTACTTCTTGCGTATCAAAAACAGTTTAAATACTTGGATTTTTTTAAAAGATTTTTCGTGGTTCTTAGAGTAGCAACGTTATTTGAGAAAATTTGCTCGGTCAATCTTCATTCTTATTATTATTATAATAATTATTATTATTTTGTCATAGTTTATATAAGGCTCAAATTTTTTTTGGGATACATAATTTTTCCGACAGCGGGTGAAAAAATACTTTGAAACTTGCTACTCCTCTGAAGTTCCCTCCAAAAATCCAAAACTGTCAACAACTCTAACCAGGCCAAAATGTATTCAAGCCTCTTATTCAGAAACCAATAAGCATTTATTACTATCTTCCGCCTCGTGACTGAACTGGGGCGCCGAGAGACGAGCGTACTTTGTCCCTTTCGGCTTGTCTCATTGAGCGAGGCCCCCAGTCGCTTCGGAGTGTGTACACTCGATGGTGTAGACCGAATATCGATTGATTTTGGTCCCATCATTCGTTCTTTTGTTTATATTTTATCTTGCTTTTTCATTTAGTATGCTCTTCTGTCGGCCTCGCAGTTACGTTTGCCTCCTTTGTTGTTATCTTGACGAAAAGTTTTGCGATAGGTGCGAAGTGTGAAAAGTGTCTAGCAGCTTACTGTAAGGTTAGCGAAAAGTTTTTGATTTTGGAAAAAAAAAAATTAAAAATGATCCACTTCTCTACAGTAACCTGAGCTTCTTTGAGACCCGATTTATCGATGAATGAGCAAAAAAAAAGCTCTTTTTCGTGTGTGTGCTTCTGCTTTGAGCTCAAAAAAGCCATTCCGAACAAACATTGGCATAGAAGTCGGATTGAGCTATATTGAGTTCAGTGCAAGGCTTCACTCCAACTCTGTAACTGACTTAGTTTTGAACTCATTCTAAAACACAGGTTTTTTGACCTTTCCAGAAAACTTAAAACTGCCAGAAAACCCCACTCGATGGGCCGAAAAAAAAGGGTAGAAGAGTTTCAAGCCGTTCGTGTGCGATTTCCGGAAATCCAGTCGTACCATCACTTGATTACCTCGAAATATCACTGTTCGACCTGAATTTGTGGTGGTGCCGAAACTTGATAGTTCAAATCTCCGCCTACTTTTCTTCAAACACCTTCCACCTGTTCCAGTCATTCAATGATATGAATCAGCGCCCCGTCAAATAATGATTTTTTTTACTCTCTTTTTGTTTTTTTTTTCAGAACCATCTAGTTAGAGGGGTAAAAACGAACAAAAGTGTGTAGCAATCAATCAGCCGAAAACTATAAGCCGAAGAAAAAGCAAATAATGAACCTTTTTGTTGATTCTTTTTCTTTCATCTTTCTTTAAAGTGACTCGAAAACGTGAAAATTCAGCCTCAGTTTTGACTGAAAAATTAGGATCTGTTGTATAGCAATTTTTATCAAGAATTTTTATCTCCTGGTGTTTTCGCAACCCTGTCTCTGATCTATACAAACTACAAAATCATCTCATGATTCTTATTTACATCATTTTGCACTTGAACTTTGTTTTGAACTAGTTCGAGAAAGTTCGTTGTTTACCGTCGACATTTTGTTCATCGAAAAAGAGAGCAGATATAGAAGATAGATTTGCAGAAGCAGCCATTCTGCCAAGATGATGTTCGAGTGCGAAGAAGAGCCGGTGGATCCTTTGGACGCACCAAAAGCGACGGCGACGTCGACCGTGAGATCTTCGGGCAGCGGCGGAAGCAGCGCCTGGAGCAGCATGTCGGAGAATCCGTTCCGGTTCTCTCCAGACCACGTCCGTCGGTCGACGTCCCTGTTGACGACGCCGTCTTCCGAAGACCTTCAGAAGTACGCCACGCGTCATCTCGACTCCCCGACGGCGGTTCAGGTGAATAAATTGATCAGACTGGCTCCGAACTTTTTGAATCATTTTCCTCGAGATCAGAATTTTGAAATTTCAGGCGAATTTCCGTGAAAATTCTTACATTGGAGAATGACAATTTCAAAAATAAAATTTTGTGCAAGTAGCAAGTAGCCATAGATTTCCAGCCCATCGAAAGGGGTTTCAACGAATTTATCAGTAAATCCCAGGGTTAATTTCTTGCCATGTTAACTCGGATGTTACTTCTTCTTTCTCTTTTTTTCCGTTAGTTCCCAATTACAAAGAAAAAGTAATGAGCAGTTGGTGCTGATGTAATCTTACAACATCACGTGATCGGACACAGCTGCTCGGATTAGAGATCGAATTTTGAAAAAAATATTGATTTATCTGGTGATAAGGAGTAGTTTCATCTTTGGGTAGGGGACCCCTACTAGGGGTGTTTTAAAAATTGAGAGGAAAGGAGGAGAAATTGTTTTTGATTTTTATTGATCGATTAGTTGAGAGTACAAAAGTGTTACCGGAACGTGGATATTAGGAAATCTCTGGGCGAATAGTATAGTCATAAAGGAACTCGGAAGGGATTCTGACTATTTTAACGTTAGATTACATTTTTGTACCATCAAAAGTAGTTTTTATCCGGGATTTATTGCTTTTTTTCTTGAATTAAAAAAGTTCAAAAGTCTGTCGTCGTTTAACTTCTCTTCCAAGTACTTCGGACTAGCTTAGATTCTCTAGAACATCAGAAAGCGTCAAGTTTCTCCAAACGCCTGAGCAGTTGATTAATGAGCCGACAATCAAGGTCGATCCTTCGCACTTTGTACCCACAGCCGTTGTTGTACATATAGTTTGTTTTCTCGACTATTGTTGTGTTGCACTCGACTGCCGTTGACTGAACACGCTTGTTGATTATTGACGCTTCGAAGCAAACGTGTTTTGTCGCCCCTTGATGAAGAAGAGAGTCGGAGAGAGGAAGAGAGAGAGACGTTATCAGTTGCCGCCGTCATCGACCGTTTTTCTGAGGAGTGATGCCGACGCAAAAGTGTTTGGGAACAGACAATACGGCGGAATCGACGAAATGTCCCCACGTGGGGCCTTTTTATCGGTTGTGGCGACTCTGGGGTAGAAATATACTGTAGCGGGATAAGATTGATGACTCTAATCTTTGCTCTTTTTACGATAAGAACTGTAGCTATGGCGTAGAGGCTTTAAATTTGGGATAATTCATAATAATTTTTTTTTCCTGTAGAAAGCTGTAACTTTCCCAAAAGTGATAGAAGATATTTGAGCTTTCAGTTGTTTTTTTGTAGTTTGAAACACTTTGAAAAAAATGATAATTTTTTTGACAATGAGTCAGGATGTGGTAACGTGATATGTTTTGAAAAGGTTCTAGTAAACAAAAATGAAAACTTGGCGCTCATCCTAGAAGGTTTACAATCGTAAATAAGTTTAGGAGCTCGAATTTTTTCAACTTCTTTTTAACTATACCTTGTTTTGAAACGCCTTGGGGCTTGTAATGAGGCAAAAATCTACTCATGAAAAGTTATCTGTCACAAGCCGCGTTAAAAATGAACGAATCTCCTTGCTTTGCCTCTCGGAAGCTTGAGATCTTCGATCTTCTTGAAATTTATCTCAATTTGTTCAACAAGCTCCGGAATTTCAGCGATCTCTATGCTTGAACGCGACGAGCGCGCTCAACATCGAAGTCGACAATTCGGACGACGAGGACTTGAGCCCTGGATCTCAGCGAATCCTGTGCCTTTGCGCCAGCCAGAACCCCAAAGAAGTAGGAATTCAAACTCGAAAATTGACTTTATACTGTATTTCCATATAGACTCAAGAGCAAGGACAAAGGACTCGCAGTATCATGTCCGTCTCTTTTCCCTACCACACCCATCAGATCACCGAAGACTACACCGTCTCCCATGAGGTAAACACAATTTTTTTGGTGCTCCGGTGTTGATTATAAGTTATCATTGATTCATATCGAGGTCAATATTGAGAGGAGCTCAATTTTATATGAAATAAAGTTTTTATAGATCATTGGAATCGGCGAATCGGGAAAGGTAATGGCGTGCTACAGGAAGTCGACAGGAGAAAAGTTTGCCCTGAAAGTCCTTCGAGATGGTCCAAAAGCACGCCGCGAAGTCGACCTTCATTGGTTGACAAAGTAAATTACTTTTGATTTCTTTGAAGAAAAGACTCCACGAACATTCAAAGAAATCTTTCCTTGAATTTCAAGTTTTTTTTTTATTACACTGTCATTAATCAGCTTCAAAAGCTTCAAATTCTCCACTTGCAGCGGCCACGAACACGTGGTGACGATCCACGACATTTACGAGAACACGTTCGATAATGTAAAATGTCTTCTAATGGTGGTCGAGTTCCTCGAAGGCGGCGACCTTCTCAGCCAGTTCGAAAACCAGGGCAGCCGGCCTTATACGGAAGAAAGTTAGTCAGAAAATCTGAAAAGCCAGGAAGTAGAGTTTCTCGAAAGAGGGAACGATAAGTTTCCCGAGATAAAATATAATCTTCAGTCTTTGAATAAAAAAATTTGAATAGGATACTACTTTCTTTCTCGTCTTTCTTACACAAATTACCTACTTCAACCGGTTTTCTTTAATGACGACTTTTGTTCGCATTGTTCAGACGGAGAAAAAACAATGAGCTGTGTTTGATGGATTGAAGTAGGAAGTTGGAAAGAACAGCGTCTCTTGCGTTTGGCCAATGTGGTGTGACCTTTTATGGGTGTTTTTATAGCGCTGAGGGAATTTTTCGGCACAAAAATGGGTTTTTGGACGCAAAAATCGGAGAAAAATGGTTTGAGAAACCAGCGACGAATCAACTAAACCTTGATTTTTGAGCCTATTAAAAAAACGTATAAGCTCTGGCATATATTTTTTTTTTTCAATTCAACCTTTTTTTTTGCAGCCGTCGGCAAAATAATTCGACAAATCGGGTCCGCCGTGCAATACCTTCACGACATGAATATTGCACATCGCGATATTAAATTAGAAAATATTCTTTGCAGGTCTTGAAACGAATTTAAATGAGATTCGAACTTTTGCCTCTTTGCAGTTCTACGGGTGATGACTGCGTGTACAAATTGGGTGACTACGGGTTCGCCAAACGTCCGGAGCGCAACGTTCTTATGGAGTCGCCGTGTTGCACGCCTTTCTATGCGTCAGTTCAAGATTTGAAATTGATAATAGGGGCAAACGTGAGCTGTACAAAACTTAAATAGTCCAGGAATAGGAGGTGAAATAGGAAAAATTTTGAGAAAAACTGGGAAATCCTGAATGGGCGCTCAAGAGGTTCCTTTAGGACTACTTTGAGAGGACACTTAAGTGGTCACTGAAACCACCTTACAATAATGTCAAAAAAAGTTAGCGGCAAAAGGATTCGAACCTTCATAATAGGCTCCGCAGGCTAACACGCTAGCCACTGCACCACGCTCCTAGCTGCTATGCAGTGGTTGGTGGCGCGGCCACATTCCTTCCAAACGGCGTCACATGATTAAGGATAAAAACTTTGAAAAATCATATCTCCAAAACAAAAAGTTTGTGCAGGTAGCGACTATGGGGGATCGACTCCCAGTCCATCAAAGATTGTTTGAGCAAATTTATAAAAAATTCTGAACCCTACGCTAAAATGACCTCCCATGTTAGCTACTATTTTCCTCTTGGTGGCCACTATAGTCGTTTTTTTTTGTTCCAGTAGTACAGCTTAAACTTCTAAAAGGCCACTAAATTTTAGGAACTTACATGACCTCGAATTCGGTTACTGTAGTGTCCCGGTTTTATGAGTATTTTTAAACAAGCTCAGAAAAAAAGTATCCAACAAACAAGCATTTTTTTTAATTGTCTTTTTTCAGGCCTCCGGAGGTTTTGGGACGTGAAAGATATGACAAATCGTGTGACATGTGGTCACTTGGTGTCGCTATGTATATATTGTAAGTTTTTATCGATTATAAACGAAAATTTTATAAAAAAAACGGTGATTGTTGAAGAAAAAAAAAGTTAAAGAAACGAAAAATCGAAAATTTGAGTTTTGATTTTCTCACGTGAGTCGAATCTTTCTGCCAAATGAAATAATGTGTCTTGCTCTTTCAAAAATCTCAGTTAACAAAACTGGCTCAGGTTACCTAATTTTACCTGTTCTTAACTATTCATTCCCAAAAGATTTGACCGTTCATCGTTTTCGTGCTTTTAATTTTTCTCGTCAAGTTTTCTCTACCGAAAAGACCTCTGATCGGCTCGAAAATACAGAAAAAAAGCATTCACAATGAATCAGAGACTTTGTTCACTTGGACGAAAATTTGACAAGCAAAATGAAGTGCTCAATATCTCGATTGTCACTTACTCCACCCAAATTTCGAGTCTTGAGCTTGGCCAAAACATTCAAAAATAAATAGAAAGGAATTTCCTTGATTTTTTGGCACTCGAGGTGTGGATTACAGGCTTTGCGGCTATCCGCCGTTCTACTCAATGAAAGGCCTCGCCCTATCACCGGGCATGCGGTCTCGCATTGCCAAAGGCTACTACGCGTTCCCACATGAGGAATGGGATCCAGTGTCGCACGATAGTAAGCGCCTAAGGCTCTCAATGTAGTCCATTCACCGCCGGCTTGTCAACTCCGACATGTACGCTCTAGCGAACTGCTTCGCTGATTGGCTCTTTGCCTTCATAGAAGGCGTGGCTAGCCAGTTATATCAGTAGTTCGTCAGAACGCATTTGAAGGGCTTGACCAACTAATCGTGAATGAAAGTCTTTTAGATTTCTTACCTGGTTAGAAAATAATGCCGAAAAAATTTAAGTGAAGTGCATAAAATTCTATTTTTCGATTTGAAAAAGCTTCAAAGGCTTTCTTAGAAGAAATTTTTGCATGTTTTGATTTTCAAAAGCCGTTTTCAGGCCTGTCCGAATATTAACTTATTGATTGGCATGAAATAGAAAGAGTAGTGCAAACTTTACTGTACTTGAACTTCCAAAGGCTGTCAGGAAAAATAAACGAACAGCAAAGACCCAATTCCTCATGTCGACCTCAACACCTGATCTTCTTGTCGGCAGAACAACAGTTCTAACATTTCAGCTAAGGAGGACATTCGCTGCCTGTTACGTACAAATCCCAGCGAGCGGATGACCATCTACGAGCTGATGGCGACGCCCTTGGTGACCGGAAGACCGGCGGCTCCGACCAGCGCCGTTATCAACATCCCCGGAGCTGATAACGAAGACGAGGAGGAGCTGGAGATGCTACTTGAGGAAGCTCCTGATAAGGTCCGTTTTTGTCGCAATAGAAATAAGTCAAGGCTTTTTTTGAAGATGGAAGAGTTGCCCATACCAAGGAGTGTCCGATTCTTGCGTGACGGCGTCAAAGCTCCACGTCTTCACAGCATTCAGGTTAATTTTGGGTAGTTGAACATCGACTTAAGCTTAAATTTTTATAGGTGTGAACAAAATTTTTTTTCTATGTTTCCTTGAAAAAGGAAAAACACGCGCATATTTGTAAATTAAAATGTTTTCTTATCTCTCGAAACCCTTCATGAAGCTTAACTTTGTCAAAGATCTAAATCTTAGTAAGTTCAGAGCGAGTTTGAGAACTTTCCTTTTTCAGTTAAACAGAGGGTAAACGTATCCCTCTTTCATACAAAGAAGAATGAAATCGAATCAAAAATACGACGTTTCCAGGAAGAAGTCGGTCGCGCCTTGGAGATCATGCGTCTCGGCAACGACGCGATCTACGTGAACAATCCGCAGACGTCGTGCAACAACCTGATGGCGCGACGTCGCACAGCTCACCTCAGCATCCCCCGTGTGCAATGCTAGATTTCTGTTTTATCCGCTCCCTCTGCTCCATGAGCAGGATACTTTCTTCTTCTTTCTCGGACCCTCACTGACTCAGTGACCAGAAGCTGCCTCTCTCTCCTTCTCCAAACTTGGAAGATGAATAAACTAGGTTATTCAATTGTCTATGTATATGGAAAACATCTGAAAATATTGTAACTTTTACAGTGAATGGAAAAAAAAAATTCTGCCACACGCCTTTTTCTTGTGGGGTACATGGAATTACTTTCAGAACCCTTGAATCTGATAACTTATATGCTTGAAAATAGCTTTGAACTGTTCATCTAATACAATGCGTTTCAGTTACACTTTTGAAGTTTGTTTGCTCCAGCGGTCTTCTGTTCCTGATTTGCTGATTTTTTTTTTCAATTTAAATGAAAGATTTTTCCATCTACTGCGAAACGTAGTTCACTAAAGCGAAACTTACTTGAAAAAATGACGAGCAAAAATAAAACGTGTCTGTAAAAAAAAAGAGAGTTTTTCTGAGCCTTCTAGTTGAATGGTTTGATAGCTGAATTTTAAGATTCCTTCCTCTCAATTGTATTCTTTAAAATATTTATTGAATGTGGTTTAACGACATTTACTTTAAGATCGCATGGGAGGATAGACAGAGTCGAAAAAGGTTATCGAGAGATTAAGCTCCAATGATGCGTTTTAAAATGTTCTCAACCCATTTCTGAAAATACTGCTCAATTTAAATAAAATGTTTTCTAGGAATTTCAAAGATCGCTTATTTTGTATATAAGTAGACTGTTTACTGCAATAAATGTACTTTGTCGTATTACGTGATTTTAAACTCGAAACGAAGACAAAAAGTGCAACTTGCTATACGATTGTAAACAGATGGTTGGTGTGTATGATACCACGGGAGGTACAAAGTCTACGGCAACAATCACACAGATCAAGATCTATCACGGATGACGTCGTGATCTCTTGTTCACAGCAGCGCTTGACCGGACGAATCTAATGAAAAGGGTTCATCAAAAAAAAGGGAACATGCATGAATATTCAATTCGAATTCAAAAAGAAAATCAGAAATCAAAAAGGTGTTTTCGTCGTCATTTTCTACGTTAAGTACGTAGACCGTCAATGTCACGACAATCAACAAAATATTTTGTTTTATCTCAAAACTGCAATTTTGAAATTCGAAACTGAAATTTGTTTTATGCCGTGTTCAAAGTGGCCCCGCGAAAACAAAATAGTCGTCCGAAAGTGAAAAGGGTAACTGGATTATGGAGAGTCAGAGACGCTTTTGAGTTTTTGCGGAAATTACTTTGAACGCGGCATAAACTTTCGCTTCGATTCTTTTTTTTTACAGATCTGAATCAATTTTTCATTGAAAAAATGGTTGAAAACTTTGAATTCTTTTATTGGGAGCTCGTCAGTCTTCAGAATTTCTTCGTAACTATTTAGAAGATTTTTTGATTATTTTCCATTCCATTCCAAATGACTTTTTTTCATACGCTTCAGTTCTTAATAACATATATTCTGTTTTTAATAACATTGAAAAGCACGTAGGATGTTGAAAATGGAAGCAGAATAATTTTTTCCCTTTTTTACATTTTCGTAATAAGTCCATAAATTCCGTTTTCAGATATTTTTGTCTTAACTTCAAGCTCTTGGATAGATGCCAACGATTAAAGTAAGTAATTTTGTACTTGTTGCTTGAGTTAATTCAATTTATATCAAATTTCAATATTTTTCATGAGTTCTCCCTCAAATGAGGTTTTATAATTATTCAGTCTAATTTATTAAGTTGTCCTCTGTTCTATCGTTCGATAATTGAAGTGATTTGAAAAATGGAAAACCGAAAAAAAAGAATTTTTTTTGCCATTTCAAAAAATGAAAAAAAAATAAGGACGTGAACCAATTAAACGTTTATTCCAATTTTTCTTCATTCAGCCTCTTGACCGGTTGCTCTCCCCAAAAAGAAATGTCCGTGAAGGAACAGCGTCGCATTCAGGAATTTGTTCATCAGAGTATTCAGGAGGTTTTCTCCTATATTTGATTGGATATAGAAGGCAGAACTGATAGGTCCTGCGAGCACACGACGAAGTTTGTCGGTCGACATCGAAAAAGGCGTGTGAGGAGCACTGGAATCGGCTCACCCACAACATTACGATCTTGCGCAGGCGTCTCAGCAAGCTGGAAACCCATGGATACGGTATATTCGAGAAAACTAACTGGGGAAAAAAATTAATAATTGATTGACAGTGAATTCGTGAAAGTTTTTTCCAAAGACTTTTTCAAAATTTTTGAGTATCTTCTGTCAATTTTTGTAAGAAAATAGAAAGTCCTCAAAAGGATAGAAGTTAGTTATTTCCTTCGGGATAGAATAATTTAAAAATTTTATGGTGACTAAACGTGAAAAGACAATGGTTCGATGGTTAAACTGGGAATATCCTTTTTTTAATTATCGCTCAAGCGACCATTACTGTTTTAATGTGTATTTATAAGTAATAGTAAATACACCTATTGAAAAAGACGTACCACAAGCCTTCAATTAGCAAAAGCCTCGAGAAAGACTTTGATTTTGAAGAAGTTCTCTCGAAACGCTTCGACAAGCTTCGCGCTCCAGTGATGCAAGAGACACTGGTCTCCGAACTTTCGGATCCATGGGAAACCCAAGGAATCGTCCAGGAAACCTTCGAAGTCAATGTGAACGTAGTTTGGCCTGAAGCCACGGCTCCCAGGTCCCCTCTCGCCGAAATGGAGAACTTCGAGGATGAAAAGTCGGAATTGCAGTCGATCGACTCCCTTTCCATCAGAGATTTGTGAGCCTTTTTAAAAGTTCATCCTTAATAGTCCTCTAATATGGAGGCAGGTAAAAACCCTCTCAAGTCTTTTTTCAATGAATTTTGAAATCTTTCTTTTTTTCTGATTTTTTTGCCGCCGGCTTTGCAACCTTGTTAGACTGTTAGGAAACACAAAAGCCTTGTAGCTTAAAAAATAGCACTGAAATTAAGAAATTCATAAAAAAAATTGGTGTCTCTCTTAAATCGTACTCAGAACTTTCAAAAAAAAAAATGTTCCTGGTTTTTATTAGGGTTTTCAAACAGGCTAGAAACTTTTTTGGGTAAGTCGATCATTTTTGAAATTTTGTTTGCCTCAACTCGCGATGAAACACTTCGGTTTAGGCTTTTGCTCAGGCTTGAGTCAAGGATTTTTGAATAGCGGGAATAATTTTTTTCTAAAGAATAGAGAAAACTACTCTTACAACAGATTTTCATTTTTTTCAAAAACATAAACTAGAAAAAAAAATTACTTTTTTTTTAATTCTCGGGATTTTGAAAATTTCTGCATCATATATATTTTATATATCCTGAAAACTCGGTATTGTCAAAATTTCAGAACAGCTTTTTCAGAAGCGATCTATCGGAAAAAAGTAGCCTTGAGAGCCAAAGACTGGACAGTCCGGTACCGGAGGAGGTGATCGTGGCGGAAAAGCCGACCAACAAATTGAACCTCGAAGGAATGATGGACGAATTCCTGGTCATTTCCACGGACGAAAAGGATACCAACATCAACTCGCAGCTCGCCGAGCAGGAAATGAACAAGGTTGACTTGAGTTGATCACGGTGTTAAAGCAGGTACTCAAAACCTTGAAAAAGTATCTCTCTGCTCTACTTTTTTTTTAAGAGATGAAATCAATTTGAACCTACTTTACATTAGACTTTTGGATAAGACTAGGCTCCCTAAGTGCAGTTTTTGCGCTGATTCAAAATCTCTAGGTGCAGTTTTTGCGCTGATTCAAAATCTGGTCAAAAACTGTCGAGAAGCTTGAGAAAAAGTAGAGAGACTTTCAAAAGGCAAAATTTTCAACGCCTCCGGTTGAGCCTATTTTCGAATGGTGATTTAGTTCTTATCCGTCTGGTCGCGAAAAATCACCTTCTTTCTCTTGAAAAAAGTGTTTGAGACGAAATTTGGTGTCAGTCTCATTCAGAAGTCAGACTTTAAATCATTCCTTGACAAGCTCAGAAATTTTATAACCGACTTTCTAGAAGCGCTTCGAAGTCATTCTTCACTTAAAAATTATTGTGTCACTTTTTTTCGAAACTAGTGTCTGTTTTCAGAACAAGCTAATTATTAAGTATGCGGCTAGAAAAAAGGAGGTTCAGAAAATATAAACTATAAATGAAGTTTAAAAGGTTATATAAAGCCCTAATGTCCAACATGGAATTTACAAGACAAATGAGAAAGATATGAGACACGCTTTTTGAGATAAAAAAAATTAGTTCAGGTTATCAGAAAAAGTTATAAACAGTTCATTAACAGTTGTCCCAGAGATTTGGTTTCAAAGTTTTTAGGGTGATACAAAAATATTGCAGGATCTCTACAATCTCATTCGTGATACCCGCTTGGTCCTTCCCGCCGCCATTCCATTTTCGAAAGACTCGGAGTTTCCCGCCAAAATTGTGTATATTATCTCCCCCATCGAGTTCTACATTGTCAAGCAGTCACATTTAAAGTTTCATCTCAATTTTCGGTCCAAAGCGAAAAAAAGTGAACTTTCAGAGTGCTCCGGCAGATGGAAAAGGTTCTGGACGCGTGTGTCGACAAACTCATTAGGTTCGCTCTGAGCGATGAGAATTACAAGGCGGAAAACGCGTGTCTTGTTCTGGAGGAAAAGCTCCTCTACCGTGCCGTCATCAAAGTTGCTGGTCAGCGTGAAGTCCAGGTTTCTCTTTATTTTGATTAAAGTTAAGCGTCAGAAGTTCTTCTCATTGCTGTTCTTTTTTTTGGTTCATCTCGTTTTACCTCCGAAGCCTGGGAAGGTGTTGGGAAGGTAACCAGCAGGAGGTTGGAATGAAATCTAGGAGACCTTGGGAAGGTGTTCAGAAAATTAGTTGGAAGGGTTTGTAAAAATTGAGAAAGCTGGAAACCTTCCAGCAGTGATAGAGATGTTGGGAAGGTATGTGGAAGATGTTTGTCCACTTGCTGGAAAGTTTCCAAACGCATTCCGGGGAACCGAAAGTAGGTTCTCCTTAATTTTTACCTGAGAAACTAGCTGATAGGAAATAAGCGTTGTTCGTGAACTGGGTGGTATGAAAAAAAAACCAAAGAGATTTCAAACGGCGACTTTTCCGATTTTTTCATATCGCTAGGTAACTGGGATAAGTTTTAGGGGGCCCTATAGGGGGTCGCGATTTTAGGGGGCCCTATAGGGGGTCTGCAAGTGGCCTTTTTAGGGGGAAATCCTTAGGGCCCCCTATAGGGGGTCCTAAATCGCTCCCTAAAAATTGCAAGACCCTCAAGGGGTCGCGAAGACCCCTTGGAACGAACGTGGTTTTTTTTTTAAATATCTTTCTCATTTTCTAAGTTTTGAGTTGACTCAGTCGACCCAGTTTTAGTTTAACTTTATAACTTCTATTTATATTTCATCAATTTCTGTGGTGCTTAAGGAAGTAATACGTTATTCACGAACGAGTTGTCAGTAGGATTTTTTCGTTATGGTTTCAAATTGTATTATAATGATTTGTGCGTATTTTTTTTTGCTCCATAAAAGTTAACACGGCAATCTGTACATTGGTTCAGTATTTTCAGTGTTTCGTTTATGTACAATTGATATATTCGTTTATGTAAATATGTTCAGAGTATTTTTTTATTTTTGGTATTTTTCAGAGTTTCGTCTATGTATAATTGGTCTACTGGATTGTGTGAAACCGTCAGAAATTCACCGGTAGATGATTTTTTTGTTGGAGGTTTTTTTGATGTAAATGCGTGTTTATATATTCTATTCGATTATTGCTCGTTAAAGAAGACTTAATTTTTTTATTAAGATGCCGCGGAGTCGCGATTTTTATTGATGCGCATTGGTTCTACAGCAGCGATGAAGATTCTGAAAGGTATATCGAAAAATGTTGATAATGATAAATGATCGTAGAAGCACGGAATCAGCCGGCGGAAATTTTGAGCCGCCACATGAACCAGAATCAAAGGAAGATTACCGCGGGCCGAGCAATTCAATAAGTTGCTTTCAAATGTCAAAGTTGGTTGTTTTTTGCTCACTGTTCAATTGTTCTTTTTTATATGTGCCAAACTTTTTGCCCTTATGTAAGTAGTTTCAACCGTTTCCGTGTCGAAGTCCCAACGTTTTTTATTGAAAGTTGCCCAACCATTTGCCTTGACACAACGCGTTTTTCTTCTATTTTTTCGCAAGTAGCGCTTATATCAATATGCTTTAGGCGTATCTTTATTGTCTTGAAGAGCTTCTATTAGATTGATCAATACGGTTTCCGTTGGCAGTGATTTAGACGTGTCAAATATTTATACGGGTCTTTTACGGCCAAAAGTTTTTTTGCTTCCTCGAATATCCTGTTACGTATACATATCTTCAGTTTTTTGCTCGTTTTTTTGTTACTTATGTCTATCTGTTCCCATTGATGATCCTGATTGCTCTTAATGTTTTCAATTCCTTTCAATAAATTTGGAAACAGTTTCAAACGCAATGAGATGAGTTTACTGCGGATGTGTTAACGATTCGCATTCAATAAGGGTTTCTCTATTTCCTCCCGGAGCTATTTCAAAAATTTTCCGTCCCCCCTAAAGGGACCCCTAAAAAAATTTGTAGGGGTCCCTATAGGGTTTCATTTAGGGGCCCCCTCCAAGGGGCCCTAATTTACCCCCTATAGGGCCCCCTAAAACTTATCCCAGTAACTTTCCGAGGTCCACCTTTCCGACGAATCTTTTTTCCTTGATAAAATCTTCGTTTTGAATACTCCTATATAAAGTAACGAGTTTGTTCATGATTAAAACACATGAAAAAGGAAAAAAAAATGTTAATAGATGTTTTATAAACCGAAAAAAAATAAGGGAAAAAAAAGTCGGAAAGGTGGCCGTCGGAAAGTTTCCTGGCAATACGAAAAAATCGGAAAAGTCGCCGTTCGATAAGTCGGTGGTCTTTTTTTCATACCACCATGAATTCCACTACAAAACACTGTAAAAACAGATTAACCAAAAAAAGAAATTTTTCCATCTGCATCTCTGACTTGCCGAAAAATGCCATGTGGAGAATGGATATCCTTCTCGAGTTCTAGCTTTTGAATGAAACAAAGATTGTTAAATCCGATTTCAAAAATATCGGATTTATTCAATTTTTTAAGGTGTATCTTGTGGACTATGGCCGACCAAAGTTTGTCGCCCGTGATAAGTGTTATCCGATCCCGAAATGCATCGCCAACATGGCTCCTCCTTTGGCTCATTGCTGCACTCTTCACGGTCATTTTTCATCCCTTTTAGTGGCTTCCTTTAAATTTTTGACTTTTTGGAAATCAAAACTTCTTTTTCCTTTTTTACTTTCAGACGCGGACAGCCGTGTGCTGGACAATGAAGCGATGACCAGGTTTCACGAGAAGGCTGCGAATCATCCTGATGTGCTCATCCAGGGTAATCTTTCTCTTTTCTTTTTTTGAGACTTGAAAAAAACGAAAAAATTTAGTGGCCCCTTTAAAGGTCAATGGATCATCATAACTGGTCCAATCTGTTTTTGTTATAATTATCAGAAATACTGGAAAGAATACTAGATGAAAAACTACTGAAGTGGCCACTAAAACGGAAAATAGTGGCCACTTCACTTTAGTGTCCTCTCCAAATAGTCCTTGGCGAGCCTCGAGAGAGAATATTTTTTAGAAAGTCGCCACAATATTTTAATTTTCGTACTTCTTTTAAGTTCTCGAGTAAAGTTTCAAATTATAGCATGTCCATCCAAGTTTGATCATAAAGAAGCTTTTTGGCTTCTTATAGAAAGTCGCGAAAAGTTTCCTTTTATTTTTGAAAATCTTTTAGATCGAATAAATTTTCAAGTAAAAGCTCGAATTCAAACTCAGCTTTCAGGCTCATGGCTTCAGAAAAAGGTTTTTCGGAAGTTTTGAAGACGAATATTCATTCAGAAAAAAAGTTTTTTAAATGGCTTTTTCAATATTTGTGACCATTGATAAGCCGGAAAATCGAATAAAGGCGTATCAACTGTCCTGCTTTGTTCACAATAGTTCTCGGAGAGTGATGAAGTTGTTACAACGAACAAACCATCTCATTGGCTGACCACGCCTTTTTTCTGGAATAGTAGAGGCCAAGCAATGATTTATTCTGATAGGGCAAGATTACAAGACCTGAAATGATGTCAGAACTTTAATTCCTTTTCCAGCGCTTGGAGAAACTCGCCAATCGCACGGTCAGCTAGTCGTGATTTTGGAGCACAATCCTATTTTGCAAGATTCTTGAACCTTCACGCGAAATTCTCCTCTATTAATAATTTCTTTTTTGATGATCCTTGTTTGATGACGTTTTTGTGTTTTCCCCGTGTATACTGTGTCATTGTATACTCTGATTTTACGGTGCTGTGAATTTTCTTGCGTTCCTTTTTCTGTTACTCATCCTATTTTTTAAAGTAATAAATTTATCTGAGTGAGATTCTTAATATGGACGTTCGATAAATGTGGCCTTTTCCTGTATCTCTCCCTGCAAAGTGGCAATTTTCTTCGTTTCACCTGCCTAGGCTCTAATTTTCGGCTGTTTCGCCACTTTCAACTGTTATCTAAACTTTCTTACGAGCCTTTCTGTCTGTTTTAATCCAAAAACCTTTAAAAAACACAGAATTCTAAAGTTAATTCAACTTTTTAATTTCTTTACAAGGAAAAGTTTTAACCGCAGTTTTTATCTTAAAGCTTCGTCATGGGCAGTTTTGTGCGCACATGAATTCTGAAATTCAATTTGAATCATTTTATTTTTATGATTTCAGGCAAGTGAGCTGATGAAGCGAAGAAACTGGCCATTGGCAGGTCGGCCTTAAATCTCAGTATAACGAGTGGAGGTTGGTAAAAAATTTGAAGTACCCAGTCGTTTTCTTCCTTAACAGAAACCCATCATAGCTTAATGAAAGATACAAAAATATACCAGATGAATTGAACTTTAAAATTAACTTTTCGATATATTTTTCTTGTTACACATCTCTGCCGCCGCAGAACCGTCTCGAAGTTTTTTTTTTATTTCAACCATCCATCTTCCTGTCTATTTTTTGTTCGCGTCGCCGCGTCTGTTTCTTTTTTCTCCCTTTTGTCTTTCTTGATGGATTTTATTTGGTTCTGCGCGATCTGACTTTGATTTCAACAGGGGTTTTTCTCAGAAGAAGTCGGGCGCGCGTGGCGTCAAGGCCGTCTGAAGGCCTCCACTCGAATGGACCCTCTGTTGGCTGATCGCCAGTCAGTCGAACACGCTTAAGTGCCCCTCTATTCTTCCGTCTTTCCTTCTTTCTTCTTTTTTTTTCCTGCGACGCCGCCGACCGGAGAGTCTTACTTTACACAGTAACAACACACTCACTTCTCTCTCTCTTTCTCTCACTTTTTTTTCATTTCGCGGGGTCGCCTTGCTTACACAAAGGTTGTCGGAACAGAATAACAAACAGGAGTACTGCAAGGCTGTTTTGCGCCTCGGTATAAGTATGTTCTCTGGTCTTTTATGGAGCGGATGTCTAGTGGTCTTCGTCCTGTTGGTCGGTAAAGAAAACGTTCGACGAGTTGAAGTTTTCTCGAAAATGCCTGGTAGAAGCCCGAAAACATGTTTCAGCACGGAAAAATCAAAGCCTTGTAGATTTTGAAACTATCATCTGAGGAGAAAAATTTCTGAACAGATATTCTTTGTCTTTTTCAGGTAAGAAATGGTTTAGCACGTACTTACATTATTAGCTAAGCGTCAAGGTGCATAAGGAAATATGAGATCTCATCTTTTTTTTTTTTAAAAGAATCTTTACAAAAGGTTTTGAACAGACAATACTTTTGAACTTTTTTTTCGTTTCAGCCTGAAGAGAATTAAAATAAAACAATGAATTTATTCGAAATTTTTTTCTTACCTATAGCAAAGTTTTGTATCGTGGGAAAATAACAAAACTCGGAAAATTTCTAATTTTTCGATATGATCCACTTTAGCTCTTTTAAATGGATTTGAAAGCTCTTACACATATCAAAATATTCCATTCAAAGTTTGATCAATTTGTTATTATCACAGAAAAGTTCGAAGTCATTGCATATAGCCTGTGAAAATCTTTTTAATCGTTGAGAATTTCTGCCGCGTTCAAAGTTTGAAGCAATTTGAAAAACATAGATTAAAGGAGTTTTTTTGAAACCTTATGATCGAATGACTTTTGAAAAAAAGTGAAAAAAAGTTGTTAATCGTAATTTTTTTTTTCAACGGTAAAAAGCGAACAAGCGGCATCTCCGGAAGAGCTTCTGTACCAAATCATTCATTCTTTGAAAATTAAAGCAGGCGTTTTTGAATTCAAAAATGCTCCAAACCTTTGGTGAATGGAAGCCTTTAAAAATATGAAAATCCGACAGTTCGTCGTGAGAAAATTCATGGCGACACCGTGAGAAAAATTCGGAGAAGCGAAGGATTACAATATAATTCAGGAACGGAGCCCTACACAGCGGGGCCGACGAAACGCTATATCGTGGTCGTGTTGTGTGCGAGGCCGAGTCTTGTGACTCTCGTCGCAAACATTTGCCGGCCCTTCTGCACACAGAGAACCGCCACGTCGTCTCTCCTCGTCTCTCCCTCCTTGCGGCTCTCTCTCTCTCTCTCTCTCTCTCTGTCTACGTTTGCTTTCTCTCCGCCCCTCTCTCTCCCACTCCCCCTCCTTCTTCCCTCTCTTCGGCCTGACATATGTAGAGTAGACCAAGACTAAACGTTCACAAACGCAAAGACCTTGGTTTCGGCGATTTTATCGATCGGTTCCGGGTCCACTGACTGAGTTATACACTTTTTTAGCCGTGGGAACCTCGTAAATAGTGTAGTCATCAACAATTCTATGGCCCCTAAAAAGCGACGCGAAATAATTTTTGGGTTTATTCAGCAATAAACTGCGAAATTTGGAGACTTATCATGAGCCGACTTGGGAAAGAACTAGTTTCATGGTTTTGGGATTCGATTGCGTTGAGATTTCAAAAGGAAACCATTATTTTTATTTTTGAATGTTGGTGTCCGTGAGAGAACACTGATGAAAAAAAAAATTATTCGAATTATGAGTTTTTTTGGGAAAAATTGGTGGGTCTCACAATTATACGCTTTGCAAGTCGAATGAGAAATATTCGATTCTTCAGATTTTGATCCAGTTTTCGGTTTTCATTTAGACGTCAGAATTCTAGAAGAACTTTGAAAGATTCAACAACTCTCTAGAAATGGAATTAAGGAAAAAAAGTTTGATATGGATTTTTTATTTCTGATTTTCTCAAGATTTCTACTCGAAAGCATAGATAGCAAACTACAGTCAATCCAGTTAGAAGCTTCAAAAAAAAAATACGAAAACGGTTCCTAAATCTCTCATTTTTACGAGTTTTCCACTAACTATAATTAAATTTATTCTAAGGAAGGGGTAAAAAAAGAAATCAATTTTTGTAGTTCGTTTTTTTTCAGCTTTGTTCATCAGAAATACATGTTTTTTTTAATCTAACAAAATCCAAAGCTTTTTGAATAATTTTATTTTCTTTGTCCAATTGGTTCAATGCGATTTTCAGCATATGTTTATTTTTCCAGCCTCACATATTTCAAAAAATAAGATATCGTGTTACTGGTTCAGCTTTTTTTTAAATTCAGATAATTAACGAAAAAAAATTCGAAAAAGCAGCCACAATCTAATGGTGGCGGCTGGATTTCTCATCATTTTAAGAGAAAGTCTTTTTTTTTCATTTAATTCTATAAAAATGAATGCTTAATTGAAAGTCTGACAAAGCAGAAAGAGGCGAAATCGCTGTAAGATCTAAGTTCTTTGAAAAATTCAGGCGATTGTTCAGCACTAGTATAATTTGTTAACCATTGGCGTCAGACAATGAAACAGATTTTACGAGGCTTCTAAACATCTTCCTTTCGTACAACTCTTTTTTTGAATGTTGCCGCGAACTAGCGATGAATGAACTATACCTGCATTTGGGACTTTGAACACCCAGTAAGAGAAATTATAGGTATAGTTAAGCTATTCAAATCGACTGGTAAAAATAAGCACTATTCTGTATAGAGAAGCTACTGAGGTGAAGCGGCGGAGGGATGGTGGGACTGAGGCGACCGCGCGCAGACCGACGACTTCCATTGAATGACGACCGGAGACCTTGGTCGGCGTCGCTGCTTCTCCGGCCCTCTCCTCGTTCGACGTGCTCCCTCGACCCTTGCGCTGTTTACGTACGCGGTTTGTGTAGTGGGCGGAGTGTGTCGCAACGCGGCACGCGCTGCGGTCTTACACACGCCGTGGAGAGACACTGCGAGACGCAGAGAGAAAACGACATCTGGCGCTCTCACGACTTGTGTTTGGTGTTGGACGACGACGACGTGGTGGAAAAAGAGCGTCGACGACTCTAACCGTCTATCGCCTCTTCACTCTCTCCCTCTTCGTATTTTTCTTTCTCAACCTCGCCTCTATCAGCGTAGACAGCGGGTCCATCCTCACCACTTCTATCTATCTCTCTCCCTCTCTCTATGCTTTTTTTTTGATGAGTAATCTACTTGGGTCAGGCCCAACTTTTTTTTTTACTATTACTCAACGACTTTTTATTCTTGTTTATTTCCTGTTTGTTTACTTCTCTTTGAATGTTTTTCAGAGGTTTAGGCCTACATGTCAGAAAATAAAAATTAAAATAGAGTTTTTTTTTCTGATAAATTATAAAATGTATGATAATAATAGACACGCCTATTGAAAGTAAATAAATAATTCCAGCTTTCAATCAAAAAGTTTCTGCCTTTTTTTGAAGATCAAACAGCTGTGGCGTGAGAAGTCTTCTTATTAGTCTGAAATCTTTATTGAAATCGGTCATACTACATAGAAAAAGAATTTCCTGCCCTTCTGAACGAATCAAATGAGTCTTCTAATTAAAATTTAATTAAATCTTCTTCTCTTGTTTTTAATCAAACTTTTTTTCAGTCTTTAATAACAATAGATATATAATTTGAACTAGTAGGAACTTTTATAGCACTAAACTACTTTTGTATCCATTAAAAATTCCATCCAATTACTTCCTTTTTTTCCGCTCATTCTTAATGTGCCTCTGTTCGTTCTATGATCTCTCGTTTCTTTCTTATGTAACGAATTCACTTTTTTGTTTTTGTTTTGGCTTTTGCGAGCTTCTTTCTGATTCTTTGCAACTCCCTTTGTTCTGGAAATGAAATCAGAGAGCGGGGCAGATCGATCGATTGAGCTAGCAAAAGGAATTTTGAGAAATTCTTTAGTTTTGTTCTGTTTGAAATTTGGAAGATGTCTAAATTTGAGCTTTTTGGAGTTATTTTTCAAAGTTTCGAGAAAACGGTTATTTTTGAAAGCAAAGAATGAATAGCTACAAAGAAAGATAGTTGAAATTGGTCCGAAATCATCAAAATCCAAACATTTCTCTCTATTTTCAACCAACTCTTTCGTCAGCTATTACCGGTCAAACAGTTTTTTTTTCCTGTTTTCTAATTTTTTTAAACCTTCATCGATTTCCTTTAATTCACAAAAAAAGGAGGAGGAAAGTATCGCTCTCGAGATTTTTAAAACATTTTTTCGGCTGCTTTCCAATTCAAGCTTAATTTTGCCAATTTGACCTAGAAATCTCCTATTTTTTCTCTTCACTCTGCTGTATTGATTATTTTTCTTCTTTTTACATTTGAACTCTGAAATCATCATAATCCTCAGTATTCCTGGCGTTGAAGCTTTTTTTTGTCAAACAAATTGTCCTTAAAAATGATAAAATTCTTTCGTTTTGCAACCAAGCGCAGCAAGGGTTTCGTTGAAATAACTGATTACCAATTTACAGACAAAAAAAAAAGCTGCCGGCGCTCGCAATCGACGAGGGCAACTGATATTGCAGCTGCCACTGGCCTAGACACCTATGGCCTCACGCGACGTCGCCGCCGACAGCCTATTCACCTGAAACTTTAATTCCGTTCTGTAGTTAGAACCTCACGCTGTTCGTGTTAATTCCGGCGCATGGTGGTCAACCAACCGGGCGCGTCCTCGTCATCGTCGTTGGCCTCGGCGACGGCGGCCTCGGGGACCGTCGGCGGGCCTTCCGGGCCGGCCTCGGGCTTCCGCGAGAGCCGCCATGTCACCGTCCACGGTCTTCCAACCAACCTCTCCGAGGAGAAGATCCACAACTTTTTTCAAACGTCAGTTTGTTAGATTCTCTTTTGTACTTTCGTTCTAAGTTACTGCGCTCTAGGCTAACAGGCTTCAAAAGAATACCAAAACAATGGACTTTTATCCTGGTTTAGAATCTGTGCCCCAAAGTTGCCATAGAAGTCTGTGTAAAAAGATTCAGAACTTTTGATTTGAAAAAAGCTCCAGGCGCGATAAATCTTGCAGATTTTTATCGGTATTTTTTCATTGAAGTTTTTTTTTGCGAGTGTGAACCTTTAATCTCACCTTCTTCCTCTCTTTCAATTTTCACTTAAGACCGTTTTGGCGAAAAATTCCGTCAGAATGATGGATTTTAACCTATTCTTTGTCTTATCAACTTATCTAGGAAGCTTTTTTTTCTTGAATCGATTTTTGAACACTATATTATCTTTAAAATTAAATTCGAAGTGAAAATTTTAAAATTTCTGTCCATTTTTCTTGTGAGAATTTCAAAAAAACAAACGAATCAGACCGATTTCTCAACCGCATTTATTTGGAGGCTTTTTTTCAATTTTCTCACGATCCGATTGACGTGTGACTTTTCCATTGGAAAATGTTTATAATTGATTTCAAAATGCTTTTTTTGTCGAGAACCTATCTTCACAGGGAAAAAAGCAAAATCTCTCCCGTTCAATCATTTTTCTTCCCAATTCTTTTTTTTTCTTCGATCGGCCAACCTCTGGTGGTCGTTGAAATGTCTGTAGGCGGCGAGTGGAACCCGATTTTGTCCTCTCCACTTGTTTTTCTCGTTAATAGGGGTGGATAATCGGGTATGTGGCCAGAAGAAGCTACAGGACAAAATTGGATGGAAAAATAGAATCGTGGTTGATTTTTTTTTTTCTGTGAAGAAATTGTCCCATTGATTAGTTCACTGGGAGGTGTACATCATTAACGCAATTTTTTTTCACTTTTTGAGCATAGTTCATAACGATAATTGATTATTCCGCAGCTCTAAGAGTTCATTTTGAGACGATTTTTCAAAAAATAAAAAATTCTCAAATCTATGAGCTTCAGCTTATTTTGATAAATTTTCTCACTTCTGAGTTTGAATAATACACAAAAGTTAATGCAAATAATTCAATTTTACAACGGTGAGTTAGCTTGTAAATTGCTATAGACAGATGTTTTCAAAAATAAGATTCTCCCAAAATGCTCTTTTTGGTCTTTTTTTTAAGACGCAAAAGTCTTGCAAGTCGAAAAAACAACAGAAAACGGTCCCTCACCGCGATACTCACATGCATTCAGTCATTTTGAACACTCTGAGTATTTATCTTTCAACACAATATATCAGCAAAAGTCTCTCCAACTTCACAAACCGATAAAGCAAACTCTTACGTGGAGAAAAGATCATTCCGAGCTCTGTTCAGACGTTTTCTGATGCTTAATTGGTACAAAAATTATTTTTTCGAGACATTGATCGACAAACAACTTTTTTGCACTGAACATTGAACACACTGGCGTGCGCGATTTTGCAATAGATTATCGATTGGTAGCTCGACGGCCGGTCGCCTCACGACCTCCCCCCATTCGCTCACCGGCCTCTTTATCGACGCGAACGAAACGCGATTTCTCTTCCCTAGCCTCAGTCGTCGGTTCGGAGGGAAACGAAAACTGAAACCCTGAAAACTGCGGGGGTTAAAACACAAAAAAAGAGTCAAAATAAGAAAAGTTTGTGCTGTGGAATTTTAGGTTATTGGATCTTTTGAAAGTTTTCAGTTTTAGATTTGATGTTCTATAAGAGGAACTGGATCTGATTCTGGTCAGACTGTATTGTTTTCTACCTAGAACTGAGCTCCAAAAGATTTCTTGTTCTGTTACTAATGGAATAAAACCGTTTTTTTTTGGAGTTCAGGGCGTTTCACAAGTTTTATAAGGCGTTCTAAATCGGGTTGAAAGTGAAAAATCAGGTAGAAAGTGAAACACTTTGTTTGAAACTTTAAAATAGATATTTTCACTTCGAAAAACTTTTTTGAGCTTTTAAACTAAAAATTAAACCGTTTACTTGAAGTTTGATTCTTTTGATTTCTCATAATTGGATGTAGAGAAAGAAAAACGATTTTTATTGCCATTAAATGCACCTGGAACTTTCCAGCTGTAATTTTCCGTTCCGGAATTGAGCTTTTTTTTTCTAATTCTTGGTGTACTATTGCTCCAAAAAAAAAGCTATTCTATCAAGAATGCTGATCTTCAATCTTCTTTGAAAATAGCTCAATAGTTTCAATTTTTCTTGGTAGTTTTGGCGCCTAGATAAAGCCCTCATTATTTAAAAAAAGGCTATTTTTTTCAAATTTTTCTTAGTTCATTTTCAGAATCAAAGAAAAGTCCCAAATTGCTAACTCGAAAACAAAAAGGTATAAACTTTTTGAGACTCACTTCACGTTTCGAACCCCCAGACATAAATCATTGTTTTGAAAAGACTACGTTTCATCGTTTCCAATTTATTGCTTTGCGGAGCTCGCCTCCGGTTGCTTCATAGATGAAAAATTGTCAGTTGCTATGCAACAATGAAAAATTTGAATTGAAATACGTTGCGGAGTGCTTTGAAACATCAAAAAAGCCATGTTCCAAGCTGGTTTTTATGGGTTTTTTTTCGACGAAAAATTTTGAGGGACATAAAAGAAATGTTCTTGGGGACAGATTCATGTTTATGTTTTTTTTGCTGGAAAATTTTATTGGAAAACATTTTTTCTCCGGAAAGTCCCATTCTTAGATGATTACTATGGTTACTGAAAATGGTCAGAAATAGGGGAAGAAATGGAAAAAAAGAAGAAAAAAACGTTCCGATAGACTTGTACTTCAGATATTCGATTTTTCCGAACGTTGATAATAATAAATTATTTTTCGAGAATATGAAAAAAAATATGAGTGGAAAAGAGATAAAGAATTTGAATATCTGCCCTCGATGCCCAATTTTTCTGTAGCAGGCTCGATAATGAAGATGAAAATTGAACCTTGCATCCCATTTTATTGAAGTCCTTAATTTTTTGTTTCAGGCTCATCGATAGAGCAAAGTATGTTAGTTTTTGAGCTTTTTTTCTAAGCTAATTTGTGTCTTTCAACATTTTCCCCAAACTCAGAACTTTGGTTGTGTTTTAAAAATAACTATTAATTATCAAGGAAGCGCAATTTTCACGGACTTTTCAACTGTTCGTCAAACGAATTTTGTAGCCTTTCGGTTTCAGATACGGTCGTGTGCAGAGAGTAGAGCCGCGGAAGGCCGACGGGAGCGTCGTGGTCAGCTTCATGGAAGTGAGGTCGGCCCTGAAGGCTCACGCCGGCGAGCACCGCATCGACACCCTGCCTTTCCGCATCACCTTCCAAGAACCCGACGCGAACAGGTACCTTTTCTTGTCCTTCACCATGATATACGAAATGCCGTGGTCGCACTTGGAATGGCTTGGCTGCAAAATTGTTTGTCTCAAGGCGCGTCATACCAGGAAAAAAAACTTGACACGGTGGCATTGGTCACCATGAAAAAAGGTTCTAAAAATGCAACACTCTGAGCCATTCCAAGTGTGACCGAATCGTTTCAAACTACCTATCTTTCTAGTATACTGACGGACACGATTTATTGCCTTTCTTCGACAATTCTTCTTTTTTTTTCTTTTTACCCGTTCTACCTTCTTGTTATTTTCTGATTGTTCTGCGAACTTGGATACGACTCGATTGCAAGTTCTTTTTTTTTTCTTTGGTTTTCCCCATTATTCTGGTTCTTTCCAGTTTTTCGAGTTTCTCTGTTATAAGTTTATTGGGGTCTAGGTTACACGAGAGAAAAAGAGTTGATACCATTTTCCGACGGTTAGTAGTGAATTGAAAATTTGAAGAGCTTGATGGAATCGAAGAAAAAGACGTAAATCACGTTTTTTTTTCTTTTTGGACAGCTTTTAAGATATTATTGAGAGGCGCTTATGAAAGGTTGGAATCATGAAACGTGAGGTCAAAAATCGGAAATTATCGTACTTATGAAAGCTTTCTAATCCTTTATTAAGGTTCCGACAAATTCAAAAAAATTTTTTTCCAAGGAAAGCTCAAATTAATTTTCTTGAAAATTTCAATTCATGCTTTGAAGTCACATTGTTTGTATTTCACAGAAATTTGAACAAACTCGAAAATTTTGTAAGGTGATCAGGTTTGCTTATCATCTCAAAACGGCCGTCTGTTTGTACAGCCACAAATTTGGCCCCCTTCGTCGTTACGTTCAGTTTTGCCGCGTCCATCGCTCGGCACGATGCCAACGATTACACGTCATCAAAACGAGGGGGCGAGAGACGGCAGACGGACAACGAAAAGCTGACTCTCAATGCCTAACTCTCTCCCTCTGTCCCTCTCTTTCTCTGTCTCTCTATCCTGTCGTTTGTTCTGTGATAACGGAAGGAGAGGTTTAATGACAGCTCAATGAGATTTTGGCGCGCAAATTGCGCAAACTTTGGGATTTTAAAGAGATATTGGGAACTGATCTGAGGAAATCACCATGAATATCAAATTCTGAGTCATATAATTTTTTTTTTTGGACAAATTGTCTTCCCGTTGAAAAGAGTAGCAGATGCTTCGAAATTGAATTTGAACGTGATAAATGGAAGGTTTACGAGCGATATTGGGAAAAAAATACTGTAACTGAACCATAAAAAATTTCATTTCTGAAAAATTGAATGAAATTTGGAAGACAAATCGCTTTCAATTGAGCGAAATCGACTTCCGAAATTTCGAACAATTGATGATTGGGAAGAATATTAACTAATGTGTCCTCAACTCTTAACACAACAGCTTATTATAACAATTTCTAACCCGCTTACTTATTTTATGCATAAAATTTTCCCGGGAGCGCATAAGATTCGACTCAATAGCCTAATTTCGACCTATCTACTTTTCATATTTCAGCTTACTCCAGTACGCCTTGTTATCTTTTGATTTTGAAATGGATGAGGATGGTGTTTTAAAAAAGCAACCACTGAAAAGAAGTAAGCCTCTAGATTTATCCATGGAGCGCAAATTTTTCGACCAAACAGCCTAGTTTCCGAATTTTATACTTCCTACCTATCTTACGGTTTATTTCAATGGAACGGGTGCCGGTGATGGTATGAAAATCGCCTTTCAAAAATAGACCTATCCTATCTAATTTATCATTGGAGCTCAAATAACCCAAAACTGACTTTTCGCCCCTGCTGGTTCGTTTCTTATCTGTAAACGATAAATATCTTTCTCAGCTCTTCTTGACTGTTCACTGTGCAACCAAAACAACCGCTTCTACTCGATGACACCTAACCATTTTCAGGCAAACGATAAAGCGGCCCACGTCTTCTTCTTCGACGTCGACCTCTTCACATCTGCACCGTCCGAGAGATCATGGGTCCGTTTCTAAATTTTTTTCTTCTAATATAAACTTACCTGCATTAACGCTGCTTCTCCACTCACAAAATCTTTCAAGAACTTCTATTTTTTTAAACTTGACTGAAAAACTTATCATGTGAAAAAAAAGTCTTTCAAAGTTTGATTTTGCTCGCTTTCAAAAGCGTCTTCGAAAAGCTTTTAGCGGATTAACTTTACACTGACAATCTCGGCTCAAATCCTTCTGCTTTTGAAGACCCTACTTTCTATATGTCCCATGCAGTTTGTCAATCTTTTTCCCCATATTCAGTCTTCGACAACTGAGAACTCTTAAATAATACCTTCTCTTGTCTAAAACTTAATTTATTTGAGAACTTATGGGAGTGCACAGTAAATAGGAAAGAAGAGAAAAGAGAAAAAAAAAGGTGGACAGGTCGCCGACTTTTTTTTTCGACTTTTTGCCTCCCCTCACCCGCTGAGGCTATATGGCTCTTTGTCGATTTTGTTCGTAAAAAAAAAAACCTTTTTCGCGCCTTTTTGCTGCTGTTTTTTTACTAAATGAAAGTCGATTATATATTTGACTGATGTCTTTTTGAATATGTCTTGAAGTTGTCCCGAACTTTCGATCGGCTGGTCTGAAAAAGATCAGCTGAGAAAAAAAATCGCCTTCTCTTCAGACTCATCACGAAGCGCAAACTTCGCTCTGTTGCGATTTTTTTGCGTTCTTTTTTCTTGTTCCTTGATTTTTAATATTAGATTCATGCAATCTTGTCTCTAATTAAGTTTTTTTGTTGCGTACCGAATTTAGCTTTTTCTTTTTCAAAAGTGCCAAATTTCGTGCTAAAAAAATATTTTAATAAAAAAACTCTGTTTCATGTTTTTTTCAAACCGATCACGCTTTTTTTGTAAGATTATTTGTTTTTCCTTGGTAAAATCCGTTTCAAAAATTTGAATGCGATCCTCATTTTTATGGTATAATATTTTTTTATTGGAGTAGAGTATATTATTATTATTTTTTTGAATGAACTGGAAAGAAAGGAAAGTGGTCTTCATACGAGACTATTTGGGTTAGTGATAGATTAGCACTGCGGGTTTGAGCTAAAGTTGTCGACGGAAGAGCGTATATTTATTTTTGGCCGAGAGGCTCGCCAATTGACCTCCCATTTCTACCTTTTCCTCCACGTTCTCATGCTTATATTCTTTTTCAGTCGACTCAAAATTAATTGATTATTATCAAGTGCTTCAATTTCGATTATTCGGTGGTTAATCCCTCCTTCCCTTTTCCGAGAAAAATATACTGGAATTCAAGCCTTTTCTCTTAGTTGAAACATTCTGGTCGCATTAAGAACGGTTCAACGCGAAGAGGTCGAATTGAAAAAAAATGCTAAAATTTTTGCGATGGATTGACTCCACAGTTCTCACGTTTCCTATTTTTTTTCCAAAGGTGTACCTTTTTCTTATTTTATTTATTTAGCCCTTGTCTCTCCTAATATGCAAATTCACTAGCTGATACCTTGAGAACGTTTTTGTTTGCATTTCTCACGGGGAGGTTGTTTTACTGACGACTGTTCTCCCATGATGCGATTTTTTTTTTCTTTCAAGTGCTCGAAAACTTTTTGAGTTAAGAATTGGGCTATTGGTCAGCTAGAACGGCGCTTTTAAAAGCTGGAAGATTTTGAAAAAATTGTTTGTAGAATTTTTCAAACTTTGTAATGGTCCGAATAGGAGATTTCATGTTTCTTTTTCAAACTGAAAAAAGAGATAAACTTCTAGTTTCATCTTTGGGGCTAAAGATTTTTTCAAGCATTTTCGCTGTTTTTTGCTTGAGGTTTATGTTTATATGCCTTTGTTAATTCTACTATTCTCGCCTCATCTCCCGGAAACGCAATTCTTTCCATGGACTATCCAATCTTATACTTTTCAGGCCCAGCAGCTCAAACCACGAGTCGATCGCCGGTGTCAGTTCTGCGAACGCAGCACTCACCGCCGTCAGCTCGACTGCTGCGTCGACGTCAAACGCCGCGACGGCCGGCGTCCCTGCGACTCACACCGTCGTCATCGATCGGCTGCCCAATCGAAGTGATATCACGATTAAGGTTCAACTTTCCTCTCAATACTTTGAAGTTCTAAAAAATCTACAGGAACAACTACGCGAACCACTGAGACGGTTTGGCCGTGTCGTCGAGATCAACATCGAAACCGACGGCAACGAAACCAAGCGGGCGACTGTCTTGTTTCGGAGGTGAGGCAGTCTTCTGTTTGAGATTTATGTTTTAATTGAGATCAACTTTCCCCTCCTGATTCCCTACCGAAGTTTGTCATCCTCCGTTATTGTTTCTTTTTCAGCCTCGACGTCGAGAAAGTCCGCGGCGAACCGTTCTTGCCTATCCTTGGAAGCCGTGCTCGTCTGCGACTGTGCAGTTCGAATACGACAAACGCAACGACATCTTCGGCTGCAACGCCGTCGACCAGCGGCGCTGCTCCGGCTGAGGGAACGTCGTCAAGTCGGCTGTCATCTGCCGCGACGACGCCTTCCACCTCTTCGGGAGTTCGAGCTGCAGCTGATGCAGTGGCTGATGAACTGCCGGTGGATGGCTTCCATCCGAAGTCTTCGCGAACAATGTACGCAAACGGGTTGGAGACGCGAATCTCGGAGAGTACACTACGGCAAAGATTCGGCAAGTTCGGCGACATCCTGGACGTCGAGGTGAAGAACAGCGAGTCACCGTCGCCGTACGCCTTCATCCAGTTCGTCAATATCGACTCTGCGGTCAACGCCATCAACGCCAATACTCCTATTGCCAGCACGAGCGCCACCGCCAGCAAGCGCAAGGAGAAGGTATTGAAAGTTGGGTTACATAGGAAAGGCTTAAAGGTAGTTTGGTTTACTAGTTGAGCTCATGATCTACTAGCCACTTTTCACAAAAAAAGGGAAGAACCATAGTTACGAAATTAAGAATACTCTGTAAAACGTGGAATAACACTTCATTTTACAGAGCAAGACGTTTTTTGGTCGATCTATGGTCTCGGACAAACTCTGGCTTGGCCATATTCCTGACTGGGTGTCCGAAGATCAAGCTGAACACAAGATCAAGTCCCTGAGCGCGGCTATTACTGATATTACTGTCGATTCTCGGCTCCATGAGGCTATCGTTATTTTCGCGACGCAAGAGGCGGCGACCCAATGTCTGAACCGGCTGAAGTCGGGTACTCCAAAATTGTGAGTTTCTTTTTGGAATATTTTTTGTGTTTTTTTCGAATATTATTCTTCATTGATGTTATTTTTTGTTCTTATTTCTCCTGTTTGATCTTTTGGCAAATTTTTTTCTCGTTGTACCGAGAACTTTTGGCTTGGAAAAAATTTTTATTCTATATTTTTCTCTTTCTTTCATAAACTGCCTTTGATATCCGCTATGAACTACTTTGATCTGTTCAAAAAAAATTTTCTTTCTACTTTGGATCCAAAAAGTGCTCATTTTCAACTTTGAATATGATCAAGCGTGATTTCAAACTGGACCTATAATGTATACGAAAATTACGATTTTTTGTTTTGGATATAAAAAAACATTAAGTCTAGTTTGTCATTCACTTAACAATGCTTTTGTACGACTTTTTTTTAAATTCGGTGACAATTAGTTAAAGTTAAAAATAGGCGAATCGTATGGATGTATAATGATAATGTAATAGTGATAATGGATGGAGGAATAATTCTATTTTAAAACGTTTTGACCCATTCTAAATGCGAATTCAAGCTTTTTTAACACAGTATTGAATCCAATCCCTGATTCAAAACCATCCAAATTATCCTATATGTTTACATGACGATTTACGAGCAAGCGTTACTGATCTTCTGCCGAGAATTTTGACAAACGACGGAAATTATTCCGAATTCTCATCTAAAATCCCCTTTACTTTCTCAAAAAAAAATTTTTGAGCATAATATCAAACAAAAAAGAGGAAAGATGAGGCAGAAAAGTCTAGAAAAGCGGAGTGAAAGGCGAGGGGAACGGCTCGCTTGTCGGTTTCGAGCCTCGGCCGGTGGGAGTCCACCTCCTCCCTACTTGCACAACTCGCCGGCCAACCGCCTCGGGTCGATATTCATGAGAAGACGTCGTCTTTCTCACTGTGTCTCGACCCTCCGGCTCTTTCTATCTCTCATCCGGCTGCCCAGTCCTCGTCGTCGTCGTCGACGTCGTCGGCTCCATGTCGATTGATATTTATACTCGAAGACGTCGGGGTGAATTAAGCCGACAACAGCTTTTCTTTTCAAATTTTTTTTTTCGAGTCTCTCACATTCAACTACTACTTTGTTAATCCCTGACACTATCCTTTCCATCTTTTGCTGGCCATTTGATGATTAATTTTGAAGATTTTTCACAACTTCTAACTCTTTTTTAGCTCTTCAAATGGTTTCACAGTAGCTTACATTTACGGTTAACGAATTAGGGTAACCGTATTACTTGAGAATACCATTTGAAACCGTATTATCAGCTTCCAAGCTTTTTTCGCTCATTTTTAAACACGTGAAGTTTTACAAAAATGCCTTTGATGACAATGGTTCAAAAATACATGATGGTTTAATAAGCTTTATCGTGATTTTTTTGGGACGCTTTCCCGGAAAACGTGCTCCTGAGATATTGTCATACGATTAAGCATGTTGTCTTCTGTGTTTCGAAACTTTCCGATTCACATTTTTAGTTTGGAACCCAGCGTTGTACTGAAAGCTCTTTGATAAAAAATATTGATTAAAAGTTGAGTATAAAAGTTTGAGGGTCCTTAATTTTAACTTTCTGTCTTTGAAACGTCCACATTTTTCATTGATAACGCTAGAATTTGTTTTGAAGTAATTTCAATACTCTATTCTCTGTGTCTGTCTTCTGTTTTCTACATCGATAATTTTTTTTGAAGCGTTTCTGGTAGTTTTTTAAAGCTCTCCGGTATGCAATGTTTTTTTCGCATCGCAAGTTCCAAGACTGAATTTTTAAAAGTTTCATGTTTCCTAAGGACTTTGAATTTTTTTGAGATCTTTTTTTGAAGCTCCTATGATTTTTTTAAATGATTCTTTCAAAAATTTTTTTAGTTTTTGAAAAAAATTTTTTTTCTGGGATAGTATTATCTAGGCCTACTTTTTCCAAACAAACAACCTTTTCCTACCTAACTTATCAAATATTAAAACTTTTCGATATCTGCAAGCTCCTTTCACAGTTTAAAAAGATAGAGTACTACAGAATGTATCCGATGAGAATATTGATTCGAAATCAAATTTTCCCATGGCTTCCAGACGCTATTTACTGTAATTGTTTGAATGGATTTGCTGGATTTAGCTTTTCAACGTGAAGGATCTGCGTAGACATAATCTTATTGTTTTTTTTTCGGATCGTTTTTGTGAGGTTTCTGTCTTGAAAAAGCTATTCTTCAATTCATCATTTTTACTTTCTTGTTTCTTACATAATTTAGAGATCCTAAAGGGAAAATTTGTAATCTCTCAATCAAGAGTCACCGCCTTATAATCTGCCTTTTGAGAAATTATATCACGCCTTGAATTTTTTCTGACGTTTCGTAGTTTTGATCCTTCTGAAAATCTCCAAAACCTTTTTTATCCGTTCCATGATCGTCCACGCTTTTTTTTTCCTGTACTTTACATTGGTTCTGTCGTCAAAAGTAGCTGGATTCGCTATGAAAATTAATTTTGGTCAGAAATTTGTAGGTAATGGACAGTTCCACAATAATTTCTTGACGTTTCTCTGAACATCTCAGATATTTTTTTTCTAGCAAAACTGATATTTCCCCGAAAAAAAGCCAAAACTGGACATGTTTTGCTTTTACATCACAGCTTTGAATAGCCTCTCATAAGAAGATTTTTTCAGATTCAAATAATAATCTTTCTTGAAATTTGCCTCTTTTAGCAAGACTTTTTGAAAAATTGACTTCTCATAGAAGCTTGTTAAACGTCTTTAAAAACAAATTCGAAAACTTGGACACTATGAAACGTAGTTCAATTATTTTTTTTCCGAAAAGTCTTTTTTTTTCATTGAGCGTCTGTGCAGGCGTATTTTTCTCTCAGTTTCAGATTATTATTATTTTTCAATCTTTTGTATCTTTCTTGTATTGATGAAAGTTGCTGAACAAAACAAAAGATTGAAATGAAATAAGTTTAAAATAAAAATTGAGGCTTTTCTCGGTGGAGCGCACTTTTTTGACCTTTTCCGGTTCATTTTGGTTAGCCAGTTTTTCTTTACGTGCTCTAATATTCACTCTTCCAAGAATCTCCTAAATTGGCGTTTCCGCCTGCATAATCCGTAGAAAAAGAAGAAGGAGGAAAAGAAGCCCTTTTTGCGTGGAAGGCTCAAGGCAATCCAAACGACGAAAAGAGTTGAAAAACGGGCAACCTACCGCCGCCGCCGAATTCGTCCATCCTGGAAGGGCTATCGAAAAAGCCACGCGCAGAGGAAAAGCCGCGAGGAAATTAGCCAAATTTGCTTATTCGCGAGCCTGCACACGACACCCCGCTGAACGTTGCCGCGACGGCGATTGCTCCAATTACTCCCTGAGTCCTAATTTGTTCCTTTTTGTGTGTTCTGGGACTTCATCTACTGATTCTCAGAAGTACATCCCTTCCGCTTTGATAGGGAAAATGTCGATTATTTTTAGCTTTTTTTTTGTGACCATAAAGAGACCATCTTCAAGGACGTTCTCCTGAGTATTTCCGAATGGAAGCCAGTACTGCCTTCAGAGAAGATTGAAACTCATTTTGCTACATTATTTTTTTCAAAATTTTTGTAAGCCAAACCTTCCTCCTGAAATAATTCAGATTTTTTTATTTTTATCACGTATGTTTGTAAAAAATTTCTTTTTTTAAAGCTGGAGGTTTTCTTTCAAGTTTTTAGCAAATTGATTTTTCACAAAACTTGGAACTTTTAACTTTTTCATTACCTTGTTCGTTCTACTCACTTACCGTTTTTTTAAGCAAATTTGATAAGTGATCTTTTTTCCTAATTATTTCGCACTTTAAAACTTTTCATCACTTTTTTAGCTCCTTCAAATCGTTTCTTTTTGTGATAAATCTTGAGTTCAATACAAAAAAATTTCTGATTTTCGAGCTTTTTCTCTCATCGCTACCTACACTGGTCATTAGGCGGAAGCTGATCGGTGGCTAATGATCAATTACCTGATAGCTAATGAGCCGAAAGATAACGACCACAGATTACCTTCCGCCGACCGGATTTGTAGCAACCACTTGTATTATCTCCCCGATTGACCTTTGTGTGAGGTATTCTGGAAGTCGTCCAGTACAGTTTCCTGATATCTTTCCGATAATTGTTTTCCTTATTGAACAAAATTTAATTTCGAAGCGAAAAATTATATTTGGCACGCCCACAGAGTTTATTCCATTTAATTTTTTTGCTCATTCTATTGGACTAATGCTTTTTTTTATGCGATAGAAGTTTTTTGACCAAAACGATTTTTCTTCGTGGTCGAAAAAATTCTCGACGTCCTGCTTTCCAACGTTTTTGCTACCTATTTCATAAAGTTATACTGTGAAAAAGCTTTCTACTTAATTTTTCGCGAACATATTCGAACTTTTGCCTCTATTCTAAATTATCGAGAATTTTCTGTCTAGACAATTTCCTTTCAACGGAATTAAATCTTTTCAGTTTGTTTCGAATCACAGTTTTCGAAAATTTTATCCCCAATTATGAAGTTTTGAAACGCTCATTCATTTTTTTTTTACAAATTTTGTTTCGATCTATGAGTTTTTGATTTAAACGCCTATCAGAGAAAAATCACGATTTTTGTATATTTTCGTTCATAACGTCAAATTTTCCAGATTCTTTATTTTTTTTTTTGCTTATAATAATTGTTGATTTCGTGTTATACGGAGCTGAGAAAAAATAAATGTGAGCTTAAGCTCTAGTTTTCAGTCAATGACCTCATTTAGAGAATACTAAAGTGATATATTTTTAGAACAAAATAAAGTTTCTCCGGTATTATTAACCGTAACTCGTTGTTTCATACACCTCCGCAGACTTGATTAACTTTATTACGATTTTCAATCTGCTCTCGGCTAAATTAATTGTTTTAATGCGTCCCCCTCGTGATATCTCTCATAAATTAGAAAACGACTCACCTTTTTTGTCCTTTACACCGTCGTTTGGCCGCTACAATATCCCTCAGACTTTTTTTCTTTCAATTATTCGTATCGCCGGGTGTTATTGTTCCGCTCGAGGTTTCTGCTCAGCTCCTCATAATCTGAAAACTTTCCAACTAATTGGCCGTAGCTGTACGATTAATCACAATAACAATTACTTGTTGTTGCACTTTCTCAGTTAAGTGACTAGGTAATTGGAAAACATCAGTCTTTTTTTGCACTTTTAAATGTGTGTTTTGCTTCGTAATATTATTAGTTTCATGATAAAATGGAAACTTTATAACTCCTGTCCAAAGTTTTTTTCGAAAAAAACCCTCCTTAAATTATCGAAAAAAAGCTTAATCCAAAAATAATATGAAAATCTTCTACTTGAGTAAAACATTTATTACATGTAGTTATGAATATTAAAAACTTTTTTTCTTTACCAACTCCCTCATTAGTCTCAGAGAAATTTAAATTTTTCTTAAAAAAATTGCGATTTGTGAAACGCTATTAAAGTAACATTTTGCACCTAATTACACTTTTTAACAACCACTTCATATTGGAAAGGTGGACGAAAAGCTTTTATTTCAAACTTTAACCCGTCATTATGAAACTATGATAAGCTCACGAAAAAAAGAACAGAGAAAGTGAGTAGGAAGAATAAAAAACAACATTTTTTCAAACTGCTTTTGCGCGTAACAATTTGTTTTTGTGCAAACAGTTCCGCGGACAAAACACCTTACTTTCCGCCGGATCTTCTTTTTTTGATTCAAACTTTTTCATTTCACGATTTTTTTTTTAATTTTAGTTTCTCTATCTTTTGATAATTTTAGAAACATTTGAACTAAGAACACACATGTGTACTATATGACTGTGAATGTCTATCGAGCTTCTCTCACTTTTCATAAAATTGCATCTCTTTTCCAAGACTAGCTCAGTTTACTTTTCAAAACCTCAGATTTTCGTGTTTTTTTCAGACATTGGAATTGGTTGCTAGGCTCTCCGAAGTCAGATCCTGTCTTTTCCTCTTTTGTCCCTCTCATTCCTGCCGTTCGTGTTGAAATTATCCCAGTTGCACCAGGTGTCGAGTATCATATTAGGCGTGGGGCGGCAGGTGTCTACGAGCACATCTTTGCCGCCGAGCAATTATTTCTTATCCGTTTCGTGCTCCCTTTTTGTAGAAAACGGGCAAAAGCCGTAGTCGTTAGAAAGTTTATGAGGTTTTCGTGCGTGTATACAGTAGAAAACGCGATGGTTTCCATTATTATTCATAGTTTCTGAGAAAATCGTTAGTTTGGAGTGATATTTTTCGTGTTGGAGAAAGCTATTGAAAATTCACTTTCAGTTTTCCATAAATTTCTGGTGCTTGAAACCGAATCGAAAAAAAATACGTTGGATAATTTTTCTTTTCTAGAGGTATAATCAAAAGCGTTCCTATTAATTTTTGAAATGAATAATTGCCATGTGTCTTCTGTTTTGTACTCTACACTTATAACATAAATTTACGTTTTATTCATCCAACCTATCATCACAATATTTCAGTGCCTTTAAATTGGGAGACGTGGAGCAGCGTCTGCACGTCGACTACTGCAGCGATCGGCTCCTGGAGACGTTCCTCGCGCGGAAGGCACGCTGTCCGACCGCCGCATCGACCTCGTCGCCAGCCGCCACCCCCGGCACTTCCTCCGCGCCTGAGAAGTCGGACCTCGTCCTCCAGCCGCCGCCCGACCCTCCAGTTGACATGACAAAGTCAGTATCAAAGTCCGATTTTTATAGTTCGGGACATCTCACCTATTTTTTTAATAAAGAAAGATTTTTTTGTTTAGAAAAAAATTTTTTTCAGTAGAATAGTTAAATTAAAGTTGGAGTACAACTTTATTAAAATTCCGTTTTTAACCTGAATGTTTTAGTTACCGACATGGCTACCGTCGAAGGTCAAGATCGCCCCGTCGAAGGGAAAAATCTTCATCCTCACACGATCGGAACCGATCCCGCTCCTACGACAGAAACCGTTCGAGGTCCTATGAACGGAATCGCTCCAGGTCCCGAGATCGGCCGAGGTCCTACGCCAACCAAAATAGATCTTACTACTCGGAAAGGTCCTCTGGAAGGAAAGGAGACAGGAAGCGAAGGTATTTCGATTTTGTACTGACTACTGTAGGTGTGAGAAAGACGCCGTTTGTAGCGCGTGAAGCGAATTTGTAGCGACTCGTAACGTTGCAAGGCTCGAAATAGCCATTTCACAAAGCCTCTGCAAGTTTTCTTAGAATGCGTTTGAGAGAAAAAAGTAACTTTGATTACAAAAAGGGATATATGAGGCTGTTGATAACGATTTTTTGTATGTATTCTACTTAATCGTGGAATCGAACAAAGTAACAAGTTTTCGGCAATGTCCGGGCGCACTCAAATTTCTGAACTTTATTTTTTTTTTTCAGTTCTCAAGAACTTTTTTTTAAAAGCTTTTCGTATAAGATAAATGGTACGTAGTAGAGAAAGCACGAATCGAATTGAAGAAATTTTTTCAAAAAGTATCACGCAGTTCGTTTGGAAGATTCTGAAAGTCGCGATAAAATATAGAAAGAGTAATCATTTTACGCAAAACTAGGCGTTTTGTTTCCAGCTGCACAAAAAAATAGAGCAATATCCTTGTTCTGCAGATCTCCAAGCCCATCGAGCGACAGTTCTTCGTCTTCCTCGTCGTCGTCCTCATCTTCGTCGGCGTCTTCGCGGAGCTCGCATGGTTCCTATCATTCGCGATCCAACTCGAGGAACGCCTCTCCAAGAGGAAGGACGCGATCTGTTTCGCGCCTCCGTTCCCCCAAGCGAAACGCCTTCGCGACTGTTCGCAACCGAAGTAGATCCAGAACGCCGTCGGTGTCGCCGAAGCGAGAAGAACGTCGCCGACGCGACACCAACGAAAGTCGTCAGCGACGCGAGCGCGACAACCGACCCAGCGGTCAATCTCGCGACACGCCTTTCAGCTCTAGAATTAACGGCACGTTTTGGTCGTTTCAAGTAAAAATCTTCGTTTCTAAAGAAGATTGAGAATATACGTGCGCATGAAAAAAAAAACTCAATTAGTCATGGAGATGGGTTGACTCACAGAACATTTGTAAAAAACAAAAAGAATGGATGATGTGTTTTATAAGAAAATCTCAAAAAAAAAGTACAAAAAAGACATAAATTAATAAAAAATATTCAATAAGTCCTTTTACAGGTAAACCAACCGACATATCAAGCACATCAAATCGGAATTCAAACACGGGTGAAAACCGAATACAGGTCCAAACGACGGCTGCACGTCGTCCACAACAGGCTGGTAGCAGCGGCCTTCTCAAAGCATCAAGTTCAACACCGGAGCAACCCTCAGCGCTTTCAAAAAGCAACTCATCATCATCGACTATCGAGCACAGCCACGAGCCTTCGACATCGTTCCAAGCGGCGCCCCCGCGAGTTCCTCAGAACAACGTCGGCCAGGGCGAGCGACCCAGGGAAGCCGTCCCAAGGACGCCTCCACCTGCAGACCCACCGGCAGTACCTCCGCCTCCGCCACCGCCGCCGCCGACCTCACTTCCAACCCCGCCGCCCGTTCCTCCCGTCGACAGACCCGTGACTCCTCCTCCTCTAGCACCGCCACCGCCTCCGCCGGCCGTTCACGGAGTCGCGTCCACGTCTTCTGCGCATCAGAACTTGGAGCGGAGAGAGCAACCGCTGCCCAGGTATCAGACGCAGCCGAGCACGTCTTCTGCCCACGTTTCCTCGTCCTCACGCTATCCACCGACGACGCCACAGAAGATCTCGCTTGGAAACTTACCGAGGCACACAATCGACCATGACCCGAGGCCTCAGCAGGTTCGAAAGTAGTTACAGAGGCGAAGAAAGGATGGATTTTTTTTATTAGATTTCTAAAAGTTTTTATGTAAAAAAAAAGATAATTTTTTTTCCGAACAATATTACTTTCAGAATTTTTATAGAACCTAAAAAATGCAAATTTTTCTTGAAAAAAAGCTTGAACGAAACTCTTTGAACGATCCGTCCGACTATGTACGGTTTTCCATTCGAAAAAGTGTTTGGATCCTACTTTTCTCATTCAGGCGCCTGCACAAGTGGCACGGCAGCAGAGTTTGGCAACACCGACGCAAAAAAATCCGCAACCACAACCGCAATCGCAGTCGCAAAATCGTTCTTCTTCTTCGCAGCAGGGGAAGGAAATCCCGCTCAATTGGATGGGAGATACTGAAGTGATTAATTTTTGAGAAAAAGGGAAAAAAAACCCTGTCACTATTTTTGACATGAATTTTTATGATGGCTCTTTCAAATCTTGAAATGATGTCATAATAAATGTTTCGAAACGCAACAAAACTGGTTCAAAAAGGAAAATATGTTGCCTTTTTTCAATAATCACAAAAGGAGTTTACAAAAAAGTTAAATTGAACCATTCGGAACTCCTTTTGCTCTCCAGATTTTAATATTTATCCTACTTCTCTGATAAAATTCCGTTTGAAGCCCTCTTCGCACGATCCGCGTGTCCAAGATGGTGTCCCTCGCGAAGATTATTGCCCGGCTAGAAGTATTTCACTGCCGATTTTCTACATGGAAGTGAGTTTCTATTTTTCTCCTCTCGCCAATCAAAAACTATTTTGCAGATGCGAAAGAATTCGAAATCAGCGGATAGGCATTACCGAGGTAGATACTTAAAAAATTCCAACTACTGTGGTTTTAATATTAGTTAGTACCCTGCTAGTAGATTCGATCAACCTTTTTTTCTAAGAAAATGATCACTTTTTTTTGGAAATCACAGAGTTTATCATGAAGATTAAATTGACCTTTGCTTTTTTGAAGATCGCGAAGGTTCGCATGCGTCTTCCTCACGAAGTAGTCAGCAAAGGCTTTCGGGCTCATCGTCAAGACCTGAAGAATACCGGAAAAGGTCCGGCGAAGGCGTTTACGACAGCCATAATGCCCCGCAGAGAATTCACTCGACGTCTTCGAGGGCGTCGACTTCGTCTTTTCATCAGAATCCGCATAGAGCTCATGATGGTTGGTTTTGTCGTTGGCAAGCTCAGTAACACTTCTAGGGTTCATAGATAGAACGTTTGAAGCTACTAAGTTTCGTTTAAGGAATATACCCCTAGAGGAAAAAGTTTCGAAGTTTGACGTATAGTTTTGAAGCTTGACGAAAAATCTTATTTTCTAGAAATAGAATTCTGATCAACGTTTTTTTAAATCAATCATGGTGTCTTCTCATTCTCAGTTTAATATCTTTCATATGCCCAATCGAATTACGAAAGTAAATTGTTCAACTGATTTGTGAGAAACCGTTTTTCTACACCTCTATCCAATGAAAACAACGTTTCTTTTGCTTTTTTCTCTTTTAAATTTTCAATTTTTGACATCGAAATGAGATTTTAAAGGGCTAGTTTTTTCGTGTGATTCATCGGTTTTTCAAAAAGGCGTATTTTTAGATGGTAACTTTCAGAAAACCGGCCGGATGGAGCTGAAATGTCGGGAGATGATCACAGAAATGACCCGCGAAGGATTCTCTCTCCAACAAACATCCATGATATGAAATCCGTGAGTTTTTCTCATTGGAACACTGTCCCTTGTCAATTTAACTCTAAATGAGTAAAATTTTAATGGATTATTTAACATTTAGAAGTTCGACACACTCTCGCGACACTCCAACGCGTCAAGTTTCGACGAACGCCACAGCACCGACGTCGCGCCGCCACACCTGATGACGTCGAGGCCGCCGCCGACGACGCCGAAATCCGCGAAACCCGACGAGGACGACTTCGAACGACGTCTTCAGCTGATCGAACAGAAGAAGAGGTCCGCCGTCAACAACGACATCTTCTTCATGGACCGACGGCTGGACAACAACAAGAAGGAGGAGGAGGTGAACCCATTAACAGCTTCTACTTCAACTTACTCAATTGTTGGTTCAAGCGGAATTTTCCCTTTTAAACACATTTTTGAAACGAAAAAAAATCATAGATAAATCCAAATTTTTTGGTCACGTCCACATTGTATTTTGAGTAACTTGCATGCTTTTCCAATTTTTGAAGTGCTCCTTTTTGCGTTAGTTAGAGAAATTTGAACATTTATTCAATTTTCTGCGATTTTTCATCGCTCGCATCTCTTCAAGAGTTAAAACTTGAGTAAAAAACTTTACAAAACTGATTTTTGAGACTGTCGAAACAATAAAATTATATTTCGACGAGCCCTGAGTTATAATTTCAAAATTTTTTCAAGTTCCTTTATGGATATTGCCAGAAGATGAGAATTCTTATTGAGAAAAGGAGGCGGAAGCGAAAAAGGGCCTAAACTGCGTACATGAGAATCTTTCAAAACCTTTTCTCAAATCTTCGATTCACGCCTAGTTTGAGACACAAAACTGATTCTTTGATCACACCCAATTTCAAAAAGTTGAATTCGATTAATTTTTATCAAAAGCTCAAACTATGCGGACTTTTTCGAACTCTCTCCTTCTCCGACTTTCTTCCCTTCGTCGCCCATTTACCTTGACTTTTTCAGGTGTTTACGGTGCAATCGACGTCGGCAGGCCTTCCATTCAGGGAGGCGATGCCGATACCGGGACACGAAAACGAGCGGATGAGCTCCAGGAGCAGCTCGATGTCCTTCTCGAATGTCGGCACGGCGCTATCTTCCAACGAGTTCGCCCGCGCGCTCTCGTCGAGCTCCGCGGCTTACAAGAAGGACGGCAAACCCAGTCTTTCCATCAACATTCCATCTGGCGTGGGCAGCACCTCCAACAGCGCTGCCAATACTCCAGTCTCGTTGAAGTTGTCGCAGCCGTCCCCGTCGGTTAGTAGGAAGAAACAGAAAAATCTTGGATCTTTTCTAGAAATTGAAAGGTTTATTGACATTTTTTACAGAGCTCTCGGCACGGATCGATTTCATCAACGTCAAGACCACGTCATCCATCGCACTCGACGTCTTCGACATCACATCCGTTCTCGCCAAATTCGTTCATTCCGCCCGCGGGATCTTCGGCGGCATCGCCGGCCCTCTCGGTACCGCCTCCACCTGTGCCGCCAACCTCACTCGAGTCTCAGAACTCGCCGTTGTTGTCAGCTCCGCCGGCCCCGCCTTGCTTGCCATCGACAGTTGTGAGTCAACCCGTGTAGAAATGCATGTAGTACGTGAGACTTTTCAGCACTCATCAGCCCCTCACCATCGGAAAGAGTCGTTCTCTCAGCACTCGTCATCGCTTCTCAGTCCGAACTCTCACTCTGGTGATCGCCATGTACAAAGACCTCCTAACACGCCATCAAGCGGGCCACCGCCTCGAGATCCGATCACGCCGAAGACGTCCCATCCACATTCCAAACAGCCTGTGCGGCCTTTGGACAAGGTACAGAAAGTAAAAAAAAACCATCAGTTAGAGAAGATGAGAAAATGTGGGCTTTTCAAAAATAATATCGAGATATGTGACGGAGTTTTTCAACCACGTCGCTCAAGAGCTTTTTTATTGATAGAAATTGTGAAAGGAAATAAGATTCCAGTAGAGAAAAAAACTTATTATTTTTTAAGAGCTCTAGAATACAGATAAAATCAGTTAGACAAAGTTTAGAAAAAAAGGACGAGTTAGTGAATTTTTTCAGTTGCAAATGCGAGACCTGCATGGAAACGTGCCGAAGCCGACGACGAGCGCCACGACGCCTTCTACGGCCCAAGCGCGAACGATGACGCTGCAGGATGCGAAGCGAAGGAACAGTCAAGCGACCACCGCGCCGAGCACTCCTGTCGTCATCCAGACGCCCAAATCTCACGCCGAAACGGTCTACGCAAGCCTCTTCAGCAAGGACAACAACACCAGGAACATCATCAAGAGTTTGCCGCGAATCGAGAAGAAGTCCTCGGCCGCTAGCAACGCCTCTCAGCCTCCTCCTCCTCATCCTCCTGCGGAACAGAGCAAAGCGAAGGTTCGATTTAAACTATACTCAAAATTATTCTACAGTAACCAAGATTTCGCAAAACTCGAATGACTTTGATTCACCCAAATATCTACGTCTTTTTTCTAGGAAAAAGAACGAGAAGAGAAAAAGAAAGAGAAGGAAAAAGAGCACCGAGGCCGACACAATGAAGATGAATCCAAAGAGGAAAGAGCCAAGCGGAAAGAACAAGAAAGAGCTGCAAAAGAGCGAAAGGTAAATCATCCAGTCAAGTTCGCTCAATTTATCATTTCATTTTCCAGGAACGGAAAGAGAAGGAGAAACATCAGCGCGAGAAAGAAGAACGCAAGAAGCAGAAGCTGGCGAGCACGCCTTCGACGTCAACGACCTCCTCGAAGAAGTCGACCCAGCAGAAGCAAAAGAAAAGGCCAAAGTCGGAGAGTGAGGACGAGGATTCGAGTGATGACAACACGGAGCTGACGGTTCATCTGAAAGCGTTTTCCACTGACTCATTCCTTTTTCTGCAGGACAGACAGCTCGCCGAGCTTCTCTCGGGCGAACTCAATGGCGGCAACTCCATGTACGACCTCGTCAAGCGGCGAAGTTCGGCTCCTGCGAAGGAAGAAAAGGAAAAGGCTCGGCAAAAGTCGTTGGCGAAGATCCGGGAGAAGAACCGCGACCTGGATCCGGTGTTGTTCGCCAAAGCGGTACGCGAATCTCTCAAAGTTCGCGCAACGGAGAATTTCGAAATATTGAGAGCTGCGTTTAAGGTTCTAGAGTTTTTTCGTGAGTAACATTGAAGAAAATCCGAAAGTTGTTAATTTGTGCCTTATACAAGCTTTCTTGCGCAAGTATTGAGCCTGAAAATTCGATAGAAATCAACAAATCTTTTTCTAATGTTGTTTGATATAGAGATAACGCTAGAGCAGACACAGAATAGACCTAAAAAGTCTCGAAAAAACCGCTCAAAATATAGCTCCACGATACTCCGTTCAACGAACATGAAAAAACCTGTTATTTAGTAACCATTTCTTCATTTCAGCATCGCAAAAGAGTTCAGTTCGATTCCTCTGACGAGGATGACGACGACGATGAAGATGAGCCAGAATCGGGAGACCATTCGAAGCTCAAACACAAGAACTCGGCGTCTGAAAAGCCTCCGAAGACGTCCAAGTCAAAGTCGGAAGACGATAAGACTTCTGATGACGACGAAGATGAAGAGGAAGAGGAGGAGGAAGAGGAAACCTCGGCTAAAGAAGTTCCTAAAAGTAAAACGTTAGTTTCCTCTTTTAAAATAAGTTTTCATGACAGTTCTTACAGCACGAAGAAAGCGCCAAAAACTGTCGAGAAAAAGAAGAAGCCTGAGAAGAAGCTGATCACGGATTCATCGAGTGACAGTGAAGATGATGAACCTTCCGCCAAGCGGTCAAAGAAAAATAAGAACAAGAAGCTGGTCACCATCAACATGGAAGACGTTTTCGGCGCCGACAGCTCAGATGAAGAAGTCCGATCGATAACCTTCGAGAAGAAGTCTTCTGCCGCCTCTACGAATGCCGCCTCGTCCTCTCACGCTGACAAAAAGCTCAAGAAGGAGAAGAAAAAAGCCAAGTTGGAGGCGAAGCAGGAAGTTAAGAAAAAGAGGGATCTCTTGGAGAAGGTTGAACCCAAGGTTGACAAGTCCGAGAAATCCCAAAAAGTGGAGAAACAACTGTTAAAGCCGGAGAAAGCCAACAAGCTTGAAAAGGCTGAAAAAGGTGAAAAAGTCGAGAAACTCGAAAAGATCGAGAAAGTCAAGAAGGCAGAGAAAGTCGAGAAGCACTTGGAAAAATCTGTGGAAAAGCCTCTGGAAAAGCCTGTGGAAAAATCTGTGGAGAAGCCTGTGGAGAAGCATATGGAAAAGCCACGAAAGGCGGAAAAGTCAGAAAAACGCGAAAAGGCACCCAAGTCGGAAAAAGCCGAAAAAGCACCCAAGTCGGAGAAGCCTGAACGCCATGAAAAGCCTCCGAAAGGTGAACGCCACAAAAAAGAGCCGAAAGAGACGAGTGCCGACGATCTAGAGAAGGTGGAAAGCATCATCCGCGACGTGAAGGCACGCCATTTCGAAGAATTCGAGACTCCTAAACGAAAAGCCGAGAAAAGAGCCAAAGACATGGTAAGTTTGTTAAGTGGTGGAAAGCTGGAAAATGATGAATAGATTCATTTAAAAGAGCTTTCAATTTAAAAAAAAAATGTTAACGTTATTTTCAATCACCGCCTCACAAGCTTTTTTGAGAGAAAGTTTTACAATGAAATTTAAGTTTTTAACTTTTCGGGTCTTTTAAAACTTCCAGTTGGAAGTCGAAAAAGCACTTTCCAAAGGACAGGAAAAAAAACTGAAATGATTTTTTTCAGCGTGAATCATCTGTTGAAAGCGGCGCCCCGTTGAGGAAGAAGGAACGACGTCGTCTGAATCTTCTCGACGACAGCAGCGGCGAGAAAAAGAAGAAACGTCAAGCGAAGAACGAGTCGGATGCCCAACCAGTAGCTAAAGAACCGGCGGCCGTGGCGAGCAGCGACGTCGAACTGGATGGCGCGGAAAACCGACGCCCTTCCGTCGACCTCGCCCAGAAAGTCCTGGTCAGGAAAGAACGTGCCGGAAGCGTGAGAATCGAAGACAAGGCCAACAGTTTGAAGCGGCCGGTGCCCACAGTCATCGAAGACAAACAAGGTTCGAATCATAATTCTTTGGCTTCATCCTACTTGTACTATTTCAGAACCTGCCAAGAAACGAATGCGTGAAGCATCGGTCAAGCCCGTCGAAAAACCTGTCGTGGAAGAAAAGCTGGAGACTTCTGCTCTTGAGCCAGAAGATGCCAAGGTCGAGGAAAAGCCAGTTAGAGAAGAACCCATGTCATCATCGCCTGTTCCTGTTCATGTTCCTGTCCCGCCTTTCGCAAACGAAATCTCGATCGAGGATTTGAAAGACGAGGTCGACGTCGAAGTTCCGCAAGTAGTGGCCATAGAAGAAGTAGTAGAAGCTACGACGTCTTCTGAACCGCTCCGAGAGCCGCAAGAGCAGCCCGAACAAGTCGAAGAGCCACCAATGGCGATTTCGATCGAGACGGTTGCTATGCCATCACCGCTTGTCTCTCCTACGCTTCTCTCATCTCCACCGCCGAAGAAAATGGCGATCTCTGCTGCTGCTACACCAGTCCCTGTCCAAGAAGAAGAGCAAGTCCTCGCGACGCTCAACGAGGCGGCCTCAAACATCATCTCGCCTCAGCCCCGCGATCGGAAGTCGTCGACGTCATCTGTGGCGGCTTCGTCCACGCCGGCTCTCAAATCACCGACTCCTGAGAAGAAGGAAGAAGACGTTGTCGCTGAGGCTCCGAAGACAGAAACTCTGAAGTTAGAAGCTCCGAAGCCGGAAACTCTGAAGTTAGAAGCTCCAAAGCCGGAAGAAGGTAGGAGCCCCTTTATCCTTGATTATAGTAATATCTTATTTCCTTTGTAGAAGGAGATATGAAGAACCTGCAGACACGGCCGAGACTTCTCACCAAGGCGGCTGTCAAAGCGTTTGGCATCCCTTCAAACCAGGTTAGAGTGATTCTACTTCGTCACCTTTTGGTGTCTTTAAATGTTTCGTATCTTTCTCCGTAGCATGCTAGTGTCTTGATAAAAAAGATTTGTGTTTTTTCGTGTTGTGATTCGTGATTTTAGCCATCGTCGAACGTGGTCGGCAGCCATGACGACTTTGAAACGTCTAGTTCGGACGAATCTTCGGCCTCGTCTTCGCCGTCGTCAAGCGATTCTGAAGATGCTGAAAATGTTGAGCGTCTTGTTCTTGGACAAATCTCTAATGACTTACCATCGGTGGATGTCATCTCGACGGTCGTCGCTGAAAAACCTGTTCATTCGGAGTCTGCCGAAACTCCTGCTCCCGTTACGATTCTAGAGTCTGTTCATGATCAAATCGAACAAAAGATGGAGGAAGCAGCAAAGGAAGAGGAAGAAGGCCATGAAGATGAAGAAGATGAAGAAGAAGGCTCAGCGGAAGTAGCTGTTGAGAATAAAGTCGAAGACCAACCCAACGTGGCAGGAGAGACACCGAAATCTCCATCATCTGAGCCTGTCAGCATGGAAGTGGAAGAAAAGCCGAAAGAAGAAGTCGAAGAGCAGGTCGTTTCCGAAGAGCATGTGGCTGTGAAAGAGCCAAGCACCGCTGTTGAAATGCCAGTTGTCGAGAAAGTCCTTACACCGCCTCCAGCCGTCCCTGTTGCCATTGCACCTGTCGTTGATCTTTTGCAGCCTGCCTTCCCCGCCAAGGAGTCGAGTCCTGGCCTCGTTGGAATCATTACCGATCAGGTAAACTATTCAGACTCGGATTTCAGTGGAAAGCTCTTTTTCGCCATCATTTCTTTCAATTTACGATATTATAGGAAATATAAGGCTTTCAGAGATTTTTTTGCAAAAAGAAGAAAAAGCAATGGAGAAACTCATATCTCGAACAGCATATCAGTGAATAGATAGAGCTGAATCATCTGAAAGTTCGATCACAAGAGGGGTCATTTTACTTTGCTGTTGAGCATATTTTATTTGAAAATAATAATTTTTGTACTAAAAGAAGATCCTGAAACACTTAATTTTAGATAAGTCATCAAAAAGGTTGTTTTAAGAGGCTTGAAAGAAATGTTGAAACTAGACTTTCCCACAGTAATCCGATCTGCAAAAAATGATTCTTTTCAATGTCGTTGTTTCTGTTAGCGCATGGTTATGGCCTGTTTACTGTCCAAAAAAGAAGTAGATTTAACTTTCTGTCAATAGAATAGTTTTAACGTTTCAGGAGACTGCCGATGCTGTTCTGTCAATTTTCGAGGAGGAAGAAGATTTTGGTCCGGTTTACCCGTCCTCGCACGACTTCATCAAGAGCGAGGAGACCTTGACGCTATCCGATGTTCTGCCTTTGGAAATGTTGACGCCAGCTCCAGCTTCAGCTCTGCATTCACCTTCAGCCTTAGCTCTATCTGAAGATCCAACTCCAGCTCCAGCTGATGATCCAGTTCAAGCTATAGCTCAAGATCCATTTGAAGCTCTAGCTCAAGATCCAGTTGAAGCACTAGCTCAAGAACCAGTTGAAGCACTAGCTCAAGATCCAGTTGAAGAACTAGCTCAAGATCCAGTTGAAGAACTAGCTCAAGATCCAGTTGAAGCACTAGCTCAAGATCCAGTTGAAGCACTAGTTCAAGGTCCAGATCCAGCTCCACCTCCAGCTCAAGCTCCAGCTCCAGCTTCAGCTCCAGTTCAAGATTCAGCTCCAGCTCCAGTTCATGATTCAGCTCCAGTTCCAGTTCAAGATTCAGCTCCAGTTCAAGAATCAGTTCCTGCTCCAGTTGCAGCTCCAGCGCCTCAACCACCACCACCGCCGCCGCAACCACCGCAGCCTCCAGTTGCGGTTCCAAAAGCAGCTGAGGGAAAACCGAGCGGCAGTCATTCTGCCACTCCAACGACGAAACCGACTCGCAACCCGCGTCTTATTTCTCGTCTGATTCGCACCAAGCAGCAATTTGGTCTCAACTTCACTCCCTTCGAAATAACCGATGTAAGTTGACGGTAATATTCCTATAATGATTTAAAATTTGCAGGAACAGATTCTACAAGAGAGTTCTTGCGAAGAGCCAGTCATGGAAGAAGATCAGGCGGCAGCAGCAGCAGCTGCAAATGAAATGTACATGGATGAAGAGGAAGACGAAGAAGAGGAGGAACTGGATGAAGAAGAGCTAGAAGAAGAAGACGAAGGAGGAGAAGAAGAACAGTTTGAACAAGGAGCAGATCAAGAAGTAGAACAAGGAGTAGAACAAAGAGTAGAACGAGTGGAACAAGAGATAGAACAAGAGGGAGAAAAAGAGGAAGCTGAAGCAGTAGAAGCTCCGGCCGGCTTACCATCGCCAGCCATCTGCTCTGACAAACCATCAACGCCTTTGGCATTCTCGGCCGCCAACCTCATCTCTCCATCTTCGACATCCTCGAGATCGTCAAGGACCACGTCTACCTCGACTCCGGCTCCGTTAAGAACCGAGAGAACGAGCGCAGCTGAGCCAACCGTTGCTGTGAAGCCGGTGATCGTGTCAGCTCCAACCTCTACCGAGTCACAGCCTCTGACCACGCCTCTCGTTGTTTCTGTTCCTACTGCTGTCCAACACAGTGTTGCTTTACCCACCACCATTCAGCCTAGCCCTGTCACCACCTACGAACAAACGATCTATCACCAGCCTTTGGTGCAAGAAAGACCAAGTCCTGTTGTTTTGGCGACGCCGCCGCAGCTGCCTCAGCAGCAGATTGAAGCTCCTGAAGTCGTACAGAAGGCGCCTGAGCCACAAGTCGTTGCTCCAATTGCGCTGAAGCAAGTTCCGGTGATCGCTGAAACGCCGGCACAACAACACCTGCCAGCCACAATCATCCAACAGGTCGAAAGACGACTCGAAGGCTTCGTTCAGCCTCAACCGACACCGGCGACAACCTCAGCTCCTCTGCCACATCCCATCGCAGTTCAAGAGCCAAATGTCGTTCCGCAGCCGTCCTCCCAGGCTCTGACCGTTCCGTTTCATCCGGTCGCTGTTCCAGCTGTCCGACAGACCTTCCAGACGACTCATCCAGAAGTTGCTGTCTCACTACCTGCCCCGATTGCTCAACAGCGGCCTGTTCCTGTTATGATGTCGCAAGCCTCAAACCAACAAATGGCCATCCCTCAACCGCAGTCCAACTCAGCCACATCAGCGGTTTTAAATCATCAGAGCATATTGTCGCAGCAGATCTTGATGGCAATTTGTCAAGCTCATCAACAACAGCAACTGCAGGCTCAACAACATCAACAAGTGCCGGTAAACCTTTTTTGAATAATCTCATTTCTTAAAAAAAACCTAGTATACTATTGTTTATTATATTTGAACCGAAGTTAAAGTTCGTTTGGGTTAACTCGTAAAATGTCATTTTTCAAAGAAAAATCTCTCAAAATTCCTAGACTAATAAGAGTCGAAATTGGATATTTTTATTCAAGACGATTTTCTAACATGAGGTTAAAAAAATTTGAGCAGGTTGTAGAATCAAATTAACAAGTTATTCTCAAACTAAAAGAAAAATGACTATAAGGCTCATTTCATTTCAAGTTTATGAATCAATCTGACATTTTTCCGTTTGAAGAACACCAAATTTAAGACTTCGTCCGTTATTGCGACGAACGCGTCTGCTGTATTTGCTGCGCGACAACATCAAGAACAAATGAGAATCATGAACGCACATTCGGCCTTTCAACATCAGCAGAAGGTCCATCAGTCGCAGGCTCTTCAGTCGCAGGCCCACCAGTCGCAAGTCCATCAGTCGCAACAACATCAGCAACTCGCTGCGACTGTCGCCGCCAGCATGTCTCCGGTTGTACAGCAAAATCCTGCCGCCGTTGCTTCACCAGGTTCGAAGCACTTTCGTTTTGTCAAAAATTGATTTTCGCCAGAGGAAATAGAAAGTTTTAATTCACGTTGAGAAAAAAAAACAGTTTTTGAGAACAAAAAACCTTTCTTTACCTGAATAGAAGTTAGAAGGAAGTTCAAAGCAATTTTCCGTTATTATTTTTCGATACGACTTTAGGTGGTAATAAATTGTGCAAATTGGGAAAAATGTGGAAGCTGAGGATTCCATATATGTAAAATTGAATCCCAGTCTTCCCTGTAGGGTACTTACTATTTTTTTCAAAAAGCTCTCAGCTCGAAAAATTACAGTGCTTAAAAGTCACTTTGAAAGAAATGTGTCGTTATATACACTGAAAGTAAAAAAAGAAACTTCTTTTGTTATTCTTTGAAAAATTAAAACATACAAAAAATCATCCCAACCTTAATTTTCATTTTTCAGCTGCCAATGTGAATGCACAATCTCAGTTACTGCATCGTGAGTGCCCTTTGATCAATATATTGGTTGATCAAAATTCCCTTTTCAGAAGAGCTTATACGTTTAATGGCGCAGCAGCAGCAACAACGGTTCCAGAACGACTACACTTCACGAGTCTTCAGCATGCTCCAACAGGCTCAACAGGCTCATCAGGTTCAGCAGCAACAACAGCTCCAACAGCAGCAGCAGCAGCAACTTCGGCGACAGCAAGAGCAACAAGCGAAGCCGATTTCGATGTCGACGCCCGGAATGGCCGCCGCCGCCATGGCACAGTTTCATCCCTACCAAGTGGTTCGTTGGAGCGGATTTACAGCCTGAGAACCACGATACTGTAGCCATCAACCAAATCCGTCGATTTCGATGCCAAACCAAGTCCTTAGGAGAAAAAAAAGATTTGCATAATCTTTGGAACCATACTTACAAGGAATTTCAAATACGGGAATTCCAGAACTTTTTTCAAAAACAGGGGAAAAAGCTAAGGTTCAATTTAAAAAAAATTTCTATCCGATAGAGCTTCTTTCTAAAAGGAATTTCGGGTTGGAAATAGATTGAGTCAGACCTTTAGAAAGGACGAGAGCGCATAATCAACAGAAATAAAACAGTGAAGTATGAAGTTTACTTACAATAATACTCACATAGATTTGATTGGAATAATTAATACAATATTCCAACTTTTTTATCTTTAAAACGTCGAAATTTTTCAATAGACAATTTTTCGCTCAGTTTTGATAGAAAAACCGTGTCTCTCAAAAAGGAAAATTTTCAATTTCATCTCTTATCTTCATTTTTTGACTCAAAAATTCCATAGAAAGTTTTTTTTTCAGCCAATCTAAAAGTGTCTCCAGTAGAGATAATGAGTATAGTTCAGTGATAATGATATTGATTCCTTCAGAACCGAACACTTTTTTTTATCCAATCCGCGTTTTTGTTTTGTATTTGAGATTGTTCAACGTTTAGAAAACATTTTAGAGATCAATTATCGCTGCCATTCTTCTTTCCTGTTTCCTACGCGTCCCGCTTTACTTTTTGAAACTCTTCAAGATAGATTTTCCCGAGTTTTAGTCTATTGAGTTCCATCAGTTTCTTGTTCAGTAATGCAGCTAGAAAAATGTTGGTTTTGACATCGAATTTTCAAGTATTAATTAATATTCAAATGTTTCAGGCGGTCATGATGCAGCCGTTTTTGAACCATGCGACGATCTCGGGGAAGACGCCATCTGCCGTAGCGCCTGTCGCGCCATCGTCGGAAGTGCTCCAGAAGCAGCAAGACAAGACTTCGCCGCCAGCAGCTGTGACTCCGTCCAACAATCGCGAAAAGGAGTTTGCTCGCCATTTACAACAATTCGCCGACAGCCCGGCAGCAGCCCTTCTCCAGAAGTTCTACCAAAAGCCTGAAGTCCGAGTCAAGCAGCAAGCTGAAGAGGCCTCCAAGGCTTCTGAGACCGTCGTTCAGTCGAATCCTTTCGCGCCCCAAGAGCAGCAAGGCTTTCAAACAGTGCAGCCGCAGTCGCTTCAATCGCAGATCCAACACGTGCAATTGCTCCCTCAGTCGCAGCAACATTCACATGCGTTCCAACCGCAGCAGTCGCGTCCGCAGTCGAACTCCTCAGTCGTCTCGATCAACCGTCAGTTGCCGCCGGACTCGCAGATCGCCCCTCAGCAGCACCAGAATTCGCAGCCTCCCGAAGCTCAGCAGAATGGTGCCATCGAACAGCCGCTCAACAATAAAACAGTCAGAATGGTACGTTGTTTTTCTTTCAATTTCTTCGTTTGGTATGATAAACCAAAGGAAAAAAGGCATTGGAAAAAAATTTAGTTTAAAAACTTTTTAGCCTCGTTCAAACTAAATTTCAGAACATTAAAAAAAATTGATTTTCACTTGTTTCATGGCCTCAAACTTGATAAAAAAAAAAGGACTGCTGAACTTAGACTTGAAAGGGTTTTCAATTTTGCTTGTCTATATAAGTTTCATGAAAGACATACGGAGCGAAGCTGAAAGAAGCTACATTTTTTTTTAAATGTATTTTGGAAAGTTTTACCAGGGACTACTGAACCAAACTTGAGCCTTGGAAATATTTACTTGTCTTTTTTCTCCCTCTAAGGTACTCTTGAAATGTTCTTTTTCATCACTTAAAATGTTCTTGTTGCTTTTCTGTGCCGGGAAGTGGCGTTCCTGGCTTCTCGCAATCGCAAACAAAATTCGAACGTCGTCCCATTCTGCGCCATCAATAAGTAAACAAATTGGGAAGAAATCCATTTTAAATACTTTATCTGTTTTCCTCTCGACCTTTATCCTTTGTTCTAGTCTCTCCAATTCTTCTCAACGTCCTCAGAATTTTTCTCTATTATGTGAAGATTGCTAGGCAACTGCGAACGACCGAAAAAAAAAAGCTGAAACGGCAAAGAAGGAAAAAATTGGCTTGGATCGGAACGACTTTCGCGGAACGGCGTGCCGGCCGGTGCCACTTCTCCTCCGCTTCGCCGTTCGTGCTGAAGGAAAAAAAAGAAAGTAGAGAACAGTGAGAGTGGCGTGTCCAACGGAAGGCAGAACGCTGGTTCACATTGAACTGAAGACGCACTGCGAACGCGCGATTGTCTTGAGACCGACGCTCTCTCGATTTGCCGTCTTATCTCTCTTTCTTCTGCTGCCATGGTCCTACGGCGATTGTCGTTCGCCGCGTCGAACGTTTGCTTCCAGCGAAATGGGCGTTGCCATCTCGACTGACACTCTCTGCCGCTACGGCGATGCCTAACCAACGTCGCTGGCATGTCTGTAGCGGGCGGTACGCTCGCCACCGTCTCTGGACGCAGCGTGGAATCGCCCACAGCGTTCAGAGTGCTTCTGCGTTCGCAAGCACTCCGTTCGCCGTTCCGCGAGGTCCTCTCTCTTTGCCTGCCTTTTTTCTCCTACTCTCTCCTGGCTCGACGCACTGCCTCAGGCATAGTTTCTTTTCTCCGTTCTTAGTTCTCAACATTTTTTTTTTCTCGCCCTCCGCTTTTTCGACTGTCTACCTCCGCCCTCCCTGCGACGGACGACATCCTCCACTCACTACTCTCACACACACCCAACCGAAGCAAGCCCTTCTCTCCGCATAACACTTCTGGTTTCAAAGCGTGGCCTGGTGTGGCGGACGCTTCAAATCTCTCTCGCTTGCTGGGCCACCTTGTGTGAAGAAGTCCATATTCGGTATATTCTCCTGTATCCTTCGACCTATTTACTGCGAGTCAGCTCTTTTGGACGCTATGTCCTGGAAGGCCTAACCTTCCATCCACCTATGCCTGTATAATTGTGCATATTTGATTATCAAATACCTACCTCATCTTTTCGTTGTCATACCCGCAGAGTATTCTACCTCAATCCTCAAAGCTGTAATCTCAGTGTTACGTGTGTTGTATCGGTGCGCTTTAAGTGAACATTTTCATCTCAAACGAGTTTTTTCTTTCTTTTCTTTTACATTTCAACGTTAACAACTTTGTTTGAATTATCGGTCTAATTTTACTTGTTCGTTCCTTGTATATTCAGTGTTGTACCTTTGGAGTTGTTGTATAGGGTTTGGCGTGGAGTTATTCCGCTGATTCGTTCGCGTTTTAACCGTTGATTGTCGAAGAATCGAAGAACTTACTCGGTGAGACAAAATCTCGCTTACAAGTGCTTCTTTGCCTCGCGTCATTGTTTGATTCTGCTACCGGATTGAGCGCCATCTCTTCTTGGGTATTGTCGAAGCCCGCATTTCTCGATTTTGCACTTCCATCTTTGCAATCAAACCCCATCTTCTTTTTTCTTTTTTTTTCCTTGCTTGAACTTTTATCACCTTCTCTTCGTCCTCGTTCATTTTTTTTCTTTTCTTTTCTTGATTTCTTGGCCCCCTTTTGTTCGTTACCTGCCATTCAAGCGCTATCAATCGTTCGCATCACCCTTTGTTTCAGTTGAGCAACACACAGCCTTTCTTCGTCTGTTGTACTCTGTGTTCCAATTTATAATCAATTTTCATTGATAACCTATATTGATTCTCATTTTTTGCTAATATTTTTTTTTTGATTTGCCCACTTCTTCTCGACAGACTTTTTTCTTTTCTACTTTACCGTCTGTCGACGAATCACAATATACGCCTTTTCTTGACGTTTTTTGTCCCTTTCGACTGTGAGAGAGACAGTTTGCACTTTGTTGGAATCTTCCTGGAGGCGCCCATTTTCTCTTTCTCATTCTGACAAAATCACGAGGCGCTAGGACCTCTTCCTGACTGTTTGCGTTCCAGGCACTTGCCTTTTCTCTACTCCCTGACTTGTTTTTCCCTACTGTCCTCATGAACTCGGAAGAAGCTTTTCGTCATGACGCCGGCGTCACAACAACTCCGCCCCAGCTGCCTGGCTCCGCTACGAGCAGCATGTCGATGAATCCGTTGATCGGACTTACTCAACAGCAGCCGACATCCTCAGTACATCTGCCTGGTCTCCAGCTTCCTCTTGCGCCTGAGCTTGCTCTGCTGCTCCAGAATCTTCCTCAACATCAACCGCCGCAGCAGCAACCTCAGGCTCCTGACGTGTTTGCCCTGGCCGCCGCTCAGATGCAGGCGCAATTGACCGCGTCTTTGACATCGCAAGCCAATCAGGCACATCAAAACGCGGCCGGCTTCAATCCTCTTCTGCTCTCGCTCGTCAATCTTCAACAACCTTTCAATCCACTCTACTCGAACCTGGCCAAAATGCTTCTGACGCTGAATATGAACCAACAGTTGCTGGCGGCTCAGAATCCAGCCAACGACTTGCTCGCCGCATTATCACAGGAAAACGCTCTTTCGGGCTTGCCGCGACCTGCCAACGCCGTCCCAATACAGCAACAACTCGGCTTTCCGCAGTTGGCCCAAATGCAGGCGACTTCAAGACCTCAGTTCACATCGTCTTCTCAGGCTCAGTTCGTACCGTCGTATGCACAGCAGCAAATGTCACTCAAAAGATCTGCTCCCTCTTCGATTCAGTCCGCAATTGAAAGAAAGAAGTCGTGTCCAGTGACTCGTCAGCGGCCGCAGCCAACTGCGCCTCCAGCTCGGCAGCTCTCGCAACAGATTGCTTCGAAACATCATCAGCACCATCCTCCTCACATTCTTCCCATGTCCGAACGACCCTTGAGAGCTTTGACACCTGTCTGGGAAGAGATGAAGAAATTCATCGCCAACATTAGCGACGAGGATAGGGAGAAAAACAACCAATTCAAAAAAGTCGTGATGGATCGACTTGATATTATTCTACTCGAGGAACTTGGACCTTACGAGAACAAGCCGTCTGATAAGCCAAAGGAAGAAGAATTGGTCGAGGACAAACCTGACGCCAAGGAAAAGGATGAAAACTCAGCATCGTTGAACGTGGATGTGGAAGGAGCTTCGCCAGAACCGCCGCCAGGAACCGTCTCTTCGGCCTTTCGTAGAGTGAGTCGCAACATGGAAGCGAGTGCCTCGAGCAACACGGACAGCTCGGAAACGAGCAAGCCTTCTACCTTGTCGCCAAGCTCTTCGCCGTCACTGAGCCCCACCGCCGCCGCTTCTCCTACCGGTTCGCAGTCGGCAGAACTCTGCGAAAAATTGCAAGCCATTGGCCTTGAACACAAAGCCCACACTATCCTACCAGACGTCTTCTGTAACAGCGACGCTATCTTCGACCAGGTGGATATTATAGCATTTCAGTAGATATTTTCTAAATTACCAGTTCAACAGCCCTTAAAAAACTTTTTTACTTAAAAATTTAATCGAATGTCGTGAAAGTCAAAAGTTCAGTAGTCCTTAAAGTGCATCAATTTCGTGTAATGGATTGCAAAACCAAAAAATCGTATGACTCGACAATTTTCCGTCTAGGAGAAAAGGAGAGAAAAGTTTTTTTTTCTTTTCTTGATTTCTTGGATTTTTGCGGAATTCCTAAACTTTGATACAACTAATCAATCAAAAAATGTAGTGACTGTACCAAGATTCTTGTTCAGAAGTTCCCGTTGATGTGGTCGGGCGCAATGAAAATGAAACAGCAAGTGGTGGCCGTGAACCTGCACTTCATCAGCGGCAGCAAGGAGTTCTTCGCGAAAACCTTTGGCTCCTTCGATGGACAGCATCGTGAGATGGTCCACATCAAGCAGCAGATGCGTCTCGAGAAGAATCTTAACAGTTAGTTATATTCATTCAAATTTCGAGGAAAGGTGGTTTGGCACAAAGAGGAAGATAGTTTCGAGAGCTTTCCTAAAAAAGCTTCAGAAAGGTCAGTCAAAATCTCATAATCTGAAATTTTCAATGAGCTTCAGACAAACATATTCATTTCATTAAGGAATTTATGTTACATTTTTAGTTTTGCTACTAAGAAAATCTGTAGCTAAAAGCTTTAATGTAGGGCATAGTAATCGTTCTTCTTCCACTCCCTTTTTCTTTTGTTTCAAGGTCGTTCTCTCTTTCTCTCTCCCTTTCGAGAACTGAAAAATTGAACTTGCCCTAATTGTCTTCGATTTTGAACGCTCCGAGGGAAGTTTTCAATTTTGAAGGTCGGAACACCGATTTGGCTCAAAACCCAAGTCAAAATAGGCAAAACATCCGGTTTTAAGGGGTTTTTTTTCGGTTGAAATGGATGTCTCCCATGTGACTTTCCTCTTCGTTTTTCTTTTCTTCTGCGCGAATTCATTTCGTCGCGGATATCATGATGAAAGGGCGACAAAAAAGGCAGGCGAAACATCAACAGAAGAAAAAAACTTGATCTCTCTCCCGTTCCTTCTTTGTTTATCTTTCCGGAGCGGCGCAAAAGAATTCTTTTTTTCTTTGTGAGAAAGTTGACCGAAAGGTTTTTTGTTTGAGAAACTGGGGTCAATGTTCAACTTTTGAAGATTTGAGCTTCAAGAATCGGTTTCGAAACGTAAAGATGCGATAACTTTTCCCAGTGCAGTCACTTGGAATCCGCCGTCATTGATCAAAGCTGCGTCAAAAAACAAATGGCATTTACACTGAAAAACGTTCTCGTCTCTTTCGCTCCCACACGTCCATGGCGATAGTGGTTGAAAATTTTGAAAGAAAGAGAAAGGTTGCCCTTTGCAAAATAAAAAGGGAAAAGTGAAAAACAGTTAGTTTTTAGTCGCTTCGCACTTTGTATCGCATGGAGAAAATAATGGCGCCCTTTTTTTTCCTTCGTTTTTTCCTTCTTTTCAAATGCAACGAGTGGAGAGGCGCCTTGAAAAACAAAAAGGGAAAATTTTTTGAAAAAATGCACTCGTTTTCGTTGGTCTCCTCTGCAGGCGCATAAGAAGGAGTCCAAGGCAAAAAACAACGTCTAGTCTTGGCAGGGTTCTGCCGAATTTTTTTTCTTTTTTTTCTGGTTGTTTGCCAGGGACGGAGATCTCTATATTGCACGCCACTGGGACTACGATTACGCTCTTGTTTTCCGGAGGGCGAAAAATGAATGGGCGAATGTGAAAAATAATCCATGGGTTCCGCGAATCATCAACAATGCTTCTTCGGCTTATACGATGGGATACAAGAAGGACGTTCCAGATAACCTTTTAGGTCGAAATCGCCATTTACTCTCATATTTCTTTTCAATAATCTCCATTATCAGTTTAAGATGAGAGATGAAAGCGACTGTCCTAATTTTTGTAAAACACATTTTTTTAAAGTTCATACCAAGTTATTTGGTCAAAAAGTTAAAAATCTACATTCAAGTTTCATAGTCAAACTCAAAGTCTTAATTTCCAGCGAAGAAATTTTTTTCTTCTTTTAGATAAGTCTTCTTTTTCCCGAAGCCTCTCAGTTTTCGAATTTTGAGCTCATAAAAGCAGAAGTTGACTCATTCGACCTTTACCAGATAATTTCACTCAGCTTCAATGATTTTACGCCCACAAACCCGAAGATTAAGTATTCGTTTGAGCATTACTAAATTTTTTATCTCGCCAACCGGACTAATTTGACATTTTTGAGCTTTTCTTGATTAAACTGGGTGATTTCACGCGTCCCTGCTTCTCAATTTTTCCCACGTTCTCTGCCCTTTTTGCTTGATTTGGAATACGGAGAGGAAAATCCACACTCCTTTGAAATTAAATTCTATTGGAGGCTGTCGGATGCACTAGCTGAATTGGCCGCGGGCTGCGAAGATTGGCCGCAGTTGTTTTTGGGCGACTGCCACTGCCTTTTGGCACGCATGAGAAAAGACATTTATAAAACAGACCCAAAAAAAATTTTTATAGAGTCTGGGAATGGAGCTGGTCGAGCCTGAAATTCACACTTTTGAAACATTCCCTGGGAATATTGGGCTTGATTCACAGATTTTTCGTGATATACTTGGAATTTTATAGGAATTCCCAGTGCGAAGCGACGTTACTTTTTCATCCAATCATGAGCTTTGATTAGACTCTGGGAAAGAGTTAGCATCTTAATATCGCTTTCGAGGCTTTAGATAATCTCCAAGACTCAAAAAGAAAATATGAAAATTCTATACGAAGAAGGAAAAAGGGAGTATACATGTTAGAAAAAAAAAATCCTTAACTCCAATTCAAAGGTTAAGGTTATTTCCCATCCTTCGATAACCATAACTTTTATTTTTCCTGACGTTTGAAGTTTCAGCTTGAAGTGATAGGCGTATTAGATTCACAGAGCTGAAAATCCTAATTGAATAAATAATTTTTCATCCTAAGTACCAGAACCCACTCGTTCTAGACTCTTTCCTGATGTTATTTTTTGGAGCCACGTGAGCCAGGCAAAAACATCCTCGTTCCCGTTCTCGGCTTAGGCTTCGGATCGGAACATTGTTGTTCTTCGTCTGCGCCAGTTGTGTGTGCCAGCCTCGTGAGTGTGTGTTTTGGCGTGAGCGTGCCGGCATGTCCGCAGCGTTCCTTCGTTCGGTTGGTTTGCCTGGACTCGGAAAGTAACGCCGAGGCGTGCGTGCCGGCTGGCCCACCGAAAAACACGATAACAAGCCTTGCGGACAACAACACCCTCCGACGACGAAAATTGCATTTTGTTGTTTTTTTTTCTGCCCAGGGCTATGGGAAAGAACAAGAAAAAAAACGTTGTTGAAGTATTGGCACTCGTCCAAGATTTTGGTCAAAAAGGGAGAGATTTTACTTTCAGTTGTTTTTCCGAAGGTCAATTCAAGCGGATACTATTCTGGAAAGTAACGGAAGTTTGGGAAGGTCAAACTGTACTAAAAGAAATGATAAAAAGTAAATAAAGCCTTCAGTTTTTAGAAAAAAACTTTTTGAATCCGATTAATAAATTCAACTTGAAAGAAATGGAGAAAGCAAAAAAAACTCTTCTTTTTTTCAACATAGAAAGAAACTTTAAAATCTTCATCAAATGATCACATAATACAAAAAATTTGTTTTCTCATCATTAATCGATCCTTTTACCAATCACTAACTTAGTGAACCATAAAACTAATTTCTTGGCATTTCTAAAGTTTGTTTTCGAACTTGGCCGTCTCTGCACCTGTTTTCATCTTCTTTTCCCCGTTCGTTTGAGAAGCAGAAAATATGAGCATATATTAATGAGGTTCCAAGAATTGGCGAAAGAGAAGCCAGATTATTTATCGCTTTGACGTTCGTTCCGTTCCCATGAAGAGCTGCTCAGTTCCGGGAAAATGAGCGGCGAGGTGTTTTTGACTATTGACGAGAACGGGGTTCGTATAGCATACAACTGGACTGCACAAAGTGCTCATTAGAGAAAAAAGAGAGAGGGAGAAATGGAGCTGCAGCACCGTAATCTCATACTGAATATGAAAAAATTACAAAAAATGAGGAAATTTTGGGAGAAACAAAAGAACGTCGAAGAGAAAGATTTTCTGAACAAGTTTCAGCAAGTTCAAATTTAGATGTTACTTATCGAAGGAATGGGGGTTGAAACTTTTCGTGACAAAAAAATTTTTCTTCGCAGCGAATATTTTTCCTCTACACTTTTACCTTAGAAGTTTCGCATCTCTCTTTCCTAAAAAAAAAAGTGCCAAACTATTATTTTCATTTTCGAAAGTTTTGATTCATGAATTAAAAAAATATACGTTTTTTTCAGCCCCCGAATTCTCCGTCTCACACATTCATGCGCCAAATGCACTCCGGAAACTATGCGACGATGCTGTGTCTGTGCCGCGGAAGCGACGCCAACTCCATCCAAGAACAGCAGAACGTCATGCAGAAGAGCTTCATCGACTACCTCGACCACAAGCAGATCGCCGGCATCGCCCATTTTCAAGAACACGGGGTACGTCTTCAGAATCGAAACAAAGATAATCATTTAATATGTGCTCCTCTTGGAAAATGACAGAGAATGTGTTAGGGATTCACGCACAAGTGAAATACAAGGGGAAATACAACAGCACCGATTTATTAAGAGACTGTTCTTTCCAAAGTTCACAAAGTATGACAATAGAATAACCAACATGTGAGTTTTGCAGGCGCTGCAGCAGACTCTGGTGCACGTCTTCTCTAATTCGCAGTACACCGACAACTACCTGAAAGGAATGGCGGCTGGACTCAAGGAGCATCTCGTGAGCCGCGACATGAAGTTCCTGCTCGTTATCCTCACCCCCAAGGCCACCTGAAATCCTTCTTTTCGATATTGATCTATCAGTTTTTCCTGCTTGTTGAAAGTCGAGAACCGAACCACTCTGAAGCTTTAAATTTTAATTTTCTTGTTCGATTCTCCTACGGTTAGTCCCAACGATTAGTTTGATTATTCTCTCCCCGTGTTGAACTTGATTTCAATGCAATTTTTACTTCCTATCCCCTATTTTATTCTATTATTAGGACCTTTTCCTCTTATTTGACTCTCCCGGTCTTTTGATATTCATCCGGTTTTTTTTCTTATTTTTTAAATTGTTCCATTTTTCCATCCTCCAGACCTCGTGTAATCTGCTCCCTACATGCATTAATCTTGTCCTCTCTCCCATTGTATATCTAATTATTACATTTATGAAAATACACGACCCGTTGTTATCACATTTTTCTTGTTTTTCTTTTTTTCTGGCTGGAAATGTTCTTAATTTAATTCTTTTCGATTACTAAGCCCATCGCTTTTACCTAACAATTATAATTAATTTTTCAATTCTCCCCAAAATGAACGTTTAACTAAATTACCAACGCTTAAAGCGGCAGGGTGTACAGTTGATTATTCTTGTTTCAATTCGTTTAATTTCTGTATTTTTTTATTTCTTGAATATTTTTCGTCTTGTCGTATTTCGTGATTTCTTCCTCTTAATTCCTTGTTTCTTCTTTTTTTTTTGAACCAGTCAATACACTTTTAAATTATCTTCGCTTAATGATTTTCCAAGACAAGATAATTTCTCAACAGAAAAGTTGAGTTTTTTTGGTGTAAATGGCAAGTGGATCATCGATTGTGTAGAATTTAAAAAAATAGAAAAAAATAAGCAAATCAAATTATTCTCGAAATCGTGATTTTTGCGTTGATGGTGTATGCACTACAAGCGCGTCAATTGACAAACTAACTGTCAAGCAGAAAATTTCCTATTAATTTTCTTTTTTTTTTGGCTTTTACATACTGTCGGCTATTTTTTTTATCAAAATAATAATGTAAACATCGGAGAAAACTTTTTCTGATACCCTGTTCAAAGTAACTTCCGAGATATGCGAAATAACCTCTGACTCTTCAAAATTTAGTTTTTTTTTTCTCTGACGGCTATTTTTGGTTTCGCGGAATCGCTTTGAAAAAAGGAGTAGAAGTCGGCAAAGAATATTCGAGAAGGTGAGTCTAAAGTTGTATTCGAAGTGGTCAAACGATTTGACCTCACGCTATAGGTCAAGTTGGCAAAATTTTTTCTGTAAAGGCGGCAGTCCTAACAATTCAAAATTGTCATTCTTTTCTTTATCTTCGTATTGAGCGGTGTGTTGCTTTTCGAAGTCTCATGCCGTGTTCAAAGTAATTTCGGCGATTCCAAAATAGACGCGTTATTCGTTTAAAATGATTTCGATAAATAGGAAGAATTGGTATTCCGGGAAGGTGCAGAAAAAAAAAAGAGTCCTACAACGAAATATTGTTTGATACGCATTTTTTAAGCGTGAATTCGAAATTTGCGTAAAAAATGCTCAAAAAACTCCAAAATTTTGAGTTCGCGCGTGAAATTTACAGTAAAAATGCATATCAAACCACGGCGTTCTGCGTAGTGGGAGAAAATGTAAAAATTCTGAAAATGCGGCTTTGAAAGGTTGCTCCACCTAGATTTACGGTAGACAGCTATGCGCGCGAACATTTGAATTCCTTGTTGCTCAAGTGCTTCAGGTGATTTTTCATGTTTATTTCAGTTGTATCTTTATCTGTTTGGTTCTGATTTACGGTAATTATTTTTGATTGCGACAGCAAAATGCGAAGGAATTTTTGTTTTTTTTCAATTTTTAAAATTAACTGCTCGGTTTTGACAAAATTTCCCTTTTAAAGCAAAAAAAAAAATCCTTTCAGCAACATTTTTTTAGTGTCAAATTGAATTTTTTTATTTGAATCAATCAGTCTCTTCATTTTCGCAACATCAGAATGATATGGCGATGTTACAGGGGAGAAAAAAATACCACTAGGTGGATGAACTAAACCAAACCTATAAAGAAAAACTTTCATTTTTTTATTTTTTTAATGAGTGGGGAAAGACACGTAGAAGCACAATAAGCCATTTTCGGCACAAAATTCCACGTTGTTCACTGAAAAAAAGTACTTCAACTAATTTTAAGGGTGAAAAGAAATGAAAGTTTTCCAAAAATTAAAAAAAACTTTCACCCAAATGTTTTTTGTCAACTAGAAAAGGAATTGTGAAGGGATCAATTTTTTCACGTCTTTAAGTTTGGAAAAACGTTATTTTTCGAAGAAAAAAAATTCTTTTCGAATTTAATGAGTATGTGAGTTAGCGTCGTTCTGTGTATGCACCAAAGGCGTCAAATATTACGGAATTTGTGGGAGGGGCGTCGTCAAAAGAATGCCGTGAAACAATATATCGTTGTAGGAATCTTTTTTTTTCGCGCTTTCCCGGAACACCAATTCTGCCTATTTCTCGAAATCATTTTGAACGAATAACGCGTCTATTTTTAAATCGTCGAAATTACTTTGAAAAAGGAATCAATTTTTCTCTTTTTTTTCCTCTTAAATTTGCCTCTTTTGTATCGATTATTGAGGAAGATTTCAGTGTCCATAAGCCACATGATCTAGTTATGCATATTTTAAGGTTTGTAAGTGTTTGATGTTCAGTTTAAAGTCATAGGCCCTTTTTTAGGATTCATAGTGCTAACTTCACCTTCATAGGTTTGAGGATTCTTTTCTAAATCAGTTCTTAGCTTTTATTTCTCTTAATGACTTTGCGCCTCGTTTTTTTATTCGGTTTTTAAAGTGTTTTTTACGAGCATTTGAATGTCAGCGTTTTTAGGATTATGCTCGAGGATGATAGAAAGTTTTTTTCAGCGCCGCTTCGAATTAAGCTCAATCCACTTAATATTAAAATGATTTTTAAAAAAACTTCCAACTTTGATGAATCTAACTCGAAAAAAATCTTTTTCTTTCTACAAATAGAAAAAAATTATTCGGGTCAGAGCTAAGCCTTCTTGTACTAATAGAAAAAAAAGTTTAAATTTTCTGGGGTGTCTATAAATTTCTTTCAGATAATTTTTGTGATTGTTGTACAGGAAACAAGGCCCGATTTTTTTCGTATTCAATTATTCAATTAATTTTTTTAAAAGGATAAATTGAAAAAAACAGAAAAAGTGAATTTTCGAAATTTTTATAATGCGTTTTCATAAAATTTTAAAAAAATTTCTCTTTTTCACCAATATTTTTTTATTTCGAAAGTTTTTATTCAAAAAAATTTGAAAGCTTTGTTCTCTGTGAAAATTCAAATATAAAAGGTTGTACGAACAATTTTTTTGTTTCGAAATTTTTTTCTGAAAAAAATGACCCCGATTCGGCTTTTTGCTATATCAATTTTTCGAAATTTTTTGAAATTCAAATATTGTGATAAACTCCAAGTTTTTATTCATCTAACTTTCTACTGTGTGAAATTTATTTAGCACCTTTTCTGTAGTTTTTCAGAGAAAAAAATTTTCAAACAATCCACCACATCGTTTAAAATCACTGGGTTAGGTTTATGGAAGGAAGTTTTGTCTTCGTTTGAAAAAAATACACCAGCAGTTATATCAGTTTATCCCTCTCTAGTTCTCAGTTTGCAGTTTCCCCTCTATTCGCAACTGATTAAACGTTTTTTTTAAATGAAACAGATTCATTTGAGTTTTAAACATACATCCGTTACTCGCGTTTTTAGAGTTTCGGTGGTATTTTTGATTCGCAACACATGTATTTTGATAGCTTGTGGGACGTGGTCCCATTTTCCTCAAGATGTAGGAGACCCACTATATGGCACATTGAGGTCTCATGTCTCCTCTCCTTTGAAGCTGCCGAAGCCCCTCTATACGCTCCGGCGGGTCTTTTTCTTTCAAAACAGTTCATTTTAAGATTTTGTGATAAATTAAGCAGTTTATTCAGTAGAAAAAAACAGAAGAATTCGCGTTTTTTACGCATATACCCTTATAAACTACCCTTATAATTTTTGTACTGTACTCGGGTACGATGAGAAAATCGAGACAATTTGAAAGAAAGCTCAAAGTTTTCCAGGGGAATTTTTCATGAAAGGGATGATACGACGAGACTCGCAAGGTAGGAGATTTGATCATCGAACGTGTAGAGTTTGGAATTGAGCTCGGTCAACTCGACGTCGGAGTTGAATTCGGTCGGATTCTTGTGAAGATTCGGAAGATGAACTGTCGTCTTCAATAGGCTTTGTGCAGATTTTTTTGACTCTGAAAAAAATTTGGGAATGATAATTTTTTTATTTTTTTAATTATATAGTCTGTTTGAATTTTGTTATTGAGCTTTTCAAAGGAGTGAAGAAAGGTTTGAAGGCCAAAAAATCTAAAACAAAAAACGACTTCATTTTCAGAATTTTCTGTCATGCTCCTCTTAAAAAGCTAGTAAAAAGAGACGATCATTTTATCGAAATGTTGCGCAAGCCAATTCGACGTTGCAAAAGATTATTTTAAAAGGGCAGGAAAGCGTGATCAGTTAGTTTTAAACAACTCAACTGATAACTTGGACTAAAGTTGTTGTTCATATCACTTGTCGACAGTGATAAAAAAAAAAGAACGCGAACAGCTTGAGAATAGGAAAAGCGAATTTTATTAGTTGCTATAGAAGATTTTGGGCACATTTTTGGAAATTTCTTGCTGAAATTCTTTTTTTTAAGATGAAAATTCACTGGAGACAGAAAGCCGCTTTGGAGAATCCAAGCCATTTGGGTCTTCAAACACCAGAGAAAAAATTTGAGAAAGTTAAAAATTGGGAAAACGCACGTATAGGCCATTCCGCGCTAGCTTGTCACGTTTTTCTTTCCGCCAAAAAGCCAGATCAAATTTGACCAACTTCGCTTCAAGACCTTTGTTTCTTGCTGTTTTAAAAGCAATTTCAGATATATTAAGAAAACTGTTTTAAGGGTAGCCTTTTTTCTGCTTTTTTCAAAAACGTGACCGCCTCGCTCGGAATTCTCCAAACCTGCAAAAAAAAGAAACAAAAGAAAAAGCAAAGTTTCGTGAAGCGAAGTTGGTCAAATTTGATCTAACTCGGTATACGGTCTTTTTGGCAGAAAGAAAAACGTGACAAGCTGGCGCGGAATGGGCTATAACAACCTTTCGAATTTTTCAGATTCAAAAAAAAACTCACTGAAACTTCAGCAGGCCAACAGTTATGAAAAAAGACGGCTTTCAATCGAAGTCCATCTTCTGCGATCACGTTTGGAAACGAATTTCGAAGTTCAAATCTTCCTAAACCGTCGGTCCGTGTCTCCACAAGTAGTTCATCTAACGATCCTGTAAGTTTTTGCAATTTATTTCCATGAAAATGTTTCTTTTGTACCATGTGATCGAAGAAGGATCAACTGTACTGAAGGCTGAGGGACTCCGGCGCAAAGAACTTCTCCCGACCATTGGAAATTCCTCGTTTCCGGCTCGGTTTCTTCAGAAACTGGTGCTGCTGCTGCTGACAGTGAACACAAGGCAAAGGAGAATATTAGGCCTGAATTTAATACGGTACAGTCAAAAGTTAGGAAGGAAGAAAAACTCAACAAACTGTACATATTCCTATACTTCAGCATACCATACATAACTTTGAATAATTGAAACTTGAAGATCAAACTTTCATACTTCTAAAAAACTAAGGTTGAGAAAACCGGAATGATCATTCCTTGATAAAACAAGACTCATTAAAATTAAAAATCCTGAAACTCGTCGAGAAAAGATTAAACTTGAAATGCGGGTCGAGTCGTTTCAATGAAAAAAGAAAGTTTCGAAACTACAAGCTTGATAACGGTTTGATGTTTATACTTTATTGTCTTTGAATTTTCGTTCTTTGTTCCGAAATTCAAGATCCAAAAAAAGAGGTTTTGATATGTTTCAAATTTAAATTTTAAAAAAGACCCACTTTTGAATCTAGGGAATTTCGTGCCTTCAAGCAATCGTAAGACTCTGTCACCGTAGACGCTGGACATATCACCTACAAAAAAAAATTGTAAACTCCGGTCGAAAGAGGAAGAAGTTTATCATTCGTAACACTACTATTTGAAGCAGAAAGAAAGCTTTAAAGTTGACAAACCGAGTAAATATTGGTAAACGCAGTTGAAAAAAAAACCGATAAAGAATAATACACAGCATATCAAAAATCACTGATAAGAAAACCGGGCCCACAAGAAATTCTCCAAGCTTGATACTTATTACGAGTTTCAGGATCTGATAAGCTCCTTTTTTATCGAAGATCTTATAACTTCCGGTTTTTAGTCATAGTGTCTCCTAGAGAGACACCTACGCCATAAAAACTGTACCAACATAAAAATTTTTGAAATTTTTGTTTTAGAAAAAGACGTTCTTAGAAGTCATGGCCGAATGGATAAAAGACTTGGAAATTCATAGCAAAAAAAGCAGAATAAGCGAGAAACTGAATATAATAATAAGTTTTTGTTGGCTCTAAAACAGCCGAACTCGACTGTTTTTCAAAAACAAGCTGAAATTGGCTACTCACTATTTGTCTTACTTGTGAAAACGAAAACTTAACCTGAACCCAATGCAAGTTATTTGGAACTAATAGTCAATACTGAATGAATCAGACTTCATACTGTTTGAACAGTTGGATGACCATGGTCGCAAATTTTTTTTTCGAGTTGTTTCGTCTTATTTTGTTTAGAAGGCCTACCTGGAAAAGGTTCAAAAAATTCTTACACTATTAAGAACACCAAAGTGGTCCCTATCGGGGCAAATCAGAATCCCTTTGAGGTTCCCCTCTTTCCCCCATAGGGGCCACTAAAGCTTGCAAAAGTGGCCTCTATGGGGGATATCTAGTCGATAATTGTTATGAACTTTATGAGAAGAAGCAATGCGAAAAATTCATAAGAAAAAATCAACAGAGGATGCATAGATCAAGTTAGTCTTTTCAATTTTAAAATCTGTACAGTTTTCTCAGTTTATCACAGAAATCTTTTTTTGCGGAGTTTCGATTCCCGCGACAAATAGACCAGACTCTTGAGCTCGTCAAAAACTACGCTGTCGTAAAAATGTTTCAATGTTAAGTGGCTGTTCGAATCGCGACACAACACTATAGAGAAGCCGGGAAAAAAAAATGTCGACGGCGCATTTTGATTAATGAGAGGAGGCTTGGTCCGCAGAAGAAGTGTGGCTCACGGACCAATGCGTCAAGGTGTTACACAAGGTATGGGATGTGGCAAAACATAGGGGGCAAAAAAGACACGAGAGAAGAGCCTTGAGGCCGCGTTTGTTACAAATCCGCGCCATGCCATCGTTCTCCCGTCGACGTCGTTTTCATCCCGATTTCCGCGTTGTCTCTCACTCACCTTTTCGTTATTTTTGGCTCAAGAACTTTTTTTCTGTTGTTTATTTTCGTTTATATTATGTCAGAGCGTACTGAAGTTGATTTGCGAACGGATTATCACCGCTCTCAAGCCTCAAACTACCGTAACTCAATAAAAACCGCAAAAACAGTATATTGGAAAAGAAACTTGGGCAAACCAATCTTGAAGGCAAACTAAACTTCCTTAAAAAACATCACGTTTATTAAAAAAAAAAAAGAAATCCATCAAAAATTTTTTACTGAATTTTATAGTCAAAAGTTGCATGGTTAAACGGCTCGGAGTGAATTTTTTTTTTTCGGAGCGTGCCCGACTTATAACGACTTACGCGCAGAAAAATCGAAATGTATGCCAACGGTTTGGTAAACTTCTAATTGACTTTTAACCTTAGACAATGGTTTCCAGGAGTTTGGGTGAAAAGCAACCCACATAGGGGACAAAAAAGTGGTCCCTATAGGATTCTTTTAAAGTTTTGTTCAGATTCGGAAATTAAAAAAAAAGCGTTATCAGTTCATCCTCTGTTAATAATTTTCATTCAAATAAAATCAATTCATTGAGCTTTTTTCATTTAAATGCTTCTTCTCATAGAGTTCATAACAATAATCGACCAGCAGGTCCGATATAGGCCACTTTTGCAAGCTTTAGTGGCCCCTATTTAAGGGGAGGTAAAGAGGTCCCTAGAACTGCTCCTACACTCTGAAGTTCCTGAGGTGGAGGCCTTCTTAAGACATCCTATTTTCTATTCTCAAACAAAAGGAGCATGCTATCGCTCTCAAATTCATACTAATTTTCCTTTAATGAAGAAAAAGTCAACTTATTAGTCATAAAAAGTCCAAAAGCAGAGGCTCTTCCAATTGACTTCACCTGTCGGAAAAATGGCAACAAACAGGTGCAATATGTAACAAACTTGTCATGTTGGTGGCTACATACACACTCATATATTTGCGACACATGAGGATCCGACGACGCTTTCAGGAAAGCCGACCGCCTGACGCTTCTTTCCGTGTTCTTCCCCAGGGGCATTTCCTCATCGATCCGATCCGATCAGATTTCGTTGCATTTTTTTCTCGCCTCGTTCTCCTCGCCTCACCTGAAGCATTTCATTTTTTCCGAAATTTGCTGAGCAGACTAGACACTGTATCTTGATCTTCTTACATTATCTTCAGTTCGAAAATACAAAGTCATAGATTTCGCCAAAAGAGCCTTACTTTAGATCAACGTTTCCTCATACAAATTTTTCTCTGTCGCATTTTATTCGAGTTATAAAGTCCAAAAATATTTCAAATGTCTTCATTTTCTGTGCTGCTATGATAGCGTGCCGAAGATCCATAACTTGACTAAGAAGCAAAAAAAAAGCTGAAGTTTTTTCGACTAACTTCAGGCTGTTTTAAAACAAGTCTCAACTAAGTTTCAGCCAATTCTTAAAACAAATTTTATCTTCTTTTTGAGATATGTGATAATGCTTATTTCGTTCAAAAAGATAAAAAATTAACTTCTCACTATGAATCTGGTTCAATAAATATTGAAGCAAGCCCCCAATCTAAGGCTTCTCTTTTTCGAAACCTTTTTAGTTCACGTTATCTTCTATCGATTTCATATTTGTCGAAGCCTTTTTATTTTCGAAATTTTTAATCATCACTCATTCAATTTTTTTCAAAATATTTTTTTATTCCGTTAATTTTTAGATTTTTTTGAATATAAATCTTCAAGATTGTCTTTCGAACTTTGGCTCTAGCCTCAACCCACGCAAAAAAACCTTTCAAGATGGCTATTATCCTTCAAGACCTTTTTTGTTCTTCGGAACAAGAAAAATAATTGGAGTTCCACGTACCTTACTTGGCAATCTCTCACAACTATTATAAACTGAGGCCAACAATTTTGAGATCGGAATGATGATGTACATTATCCGTGAAAACTTTTTTGATAATCGTTTCCAATTTTATTCGATTTCGGTTGATCATTTTCTCTTCCTAAATTTTTTTGAGAATAAAAAAAAGGTCATCTGTATACAGTACATGTACTTCCCTTATTTATTTTTCTGAAATAATCATACCTATCTCTCAAGATTTTAGTCATATTTTTCGATTTTTTGTATTTGAAAAATGAACAAAAAATTTCAAATTTTTTCAAATAATTCCTTTTTTCAGGTTCGAACGACGAAGGAGAGAAATCGGGAGGGAACACCTGGAAAAAAGAAAAAAAAACTACGAAAACTACTAGGAGCCCTCGAAAATCATGACGATTTCCTATTCGGACACATTCATCCGGCTTCTTTTTCGGTGGAAAGGCTCATTATGGAAGGCGATTTGGAAACATTTACTTCTATATTTGTTAATCTACTATTCAATTAACGTCTTGTACAGGTGCGTATCGAACTCTTTTTTTCACTTTTTTTCTTCCGTTCTAGTATTCAAGTGATTTTTCTAGATTTTGGATGACCGCAGAACAACAAGCGATCTTTCTCAAATACGTAGTTTTATTTGATAATTGGACAAGAGAAATTCCGCTCACATTTCTCCTTGGTTTCTATGTCGCCATGATCGTACGAAGGTCGGTCGAATTTTTTCTTTCTTTTTTTTTAAACTGTTTTCTTCTTGTTATTGAATGAAACTGAAAAGCTTGAAAATTTTTCCAAGAGTTCCCTTCGAACTCAAAACTGCGCGTTTGGCGACCTCCCCGTCGGGGCAGGCCTGAGCGCAGTTCTGATTGAATCTGACCTTTCTTCTCTCACTGATTGAAAAATTCAGATGGTGGGACTGCTGCCAACTGATCAGTTGGCCTGACCATCTTCTCTACAATGTTTCTGCACTTATTCGTGGCCATGATGTGAGTCTTTTTCTGAATTTTTCAGCGTGATAATGAATTTTATTGTAAGATCTAGAAAGTCGAATATTTGTTTCCATGTTAAAAGTAGTTCACGCAAAATTTCCTTCTATCTATGACTCTCCAACTTCTAGTTATCTTTTTTTCTCTGAAGGCTATTTCGAGTTTCGCGAAATCACTTTGAAAATGACATTAAAAGACTATATAAACTTCTGCTAACCATGAATTTTTCAGGCCGAAACGCGAATAATCAGAAAAACCATCGCAAGATATGCAATATTAACGTCAGTATTAGCTTGGAGAAGTATATCACTACGGGTTTTGACGAGGTATTTTTTTTTTCAAAAGAACAACTTACGAAAACTTGAAACCTCTGACCGTTCTCATAACTCTCAGTTTAAAAACGAGAATTCCAGGGGAAATATAAAAAGAGATGTTTATTTTGGCGAGGTTGGCCGATGGTTGCACTTTGAGGTACCCGACAGACGACCACCTCGTGGACTCGGGACTGATGACGCGCGAGGAGCTGTTGTTGTTCCAGTCGATCACAGTGCAAGTCGACCCGCACCAGGTACCTCTTCCAATCACTTGCGCAAAGACTTTTTAGATACTATCAATATACCAAGAAAGGGTTTGTGAATAAACATGGCTTGAGAATTTAGCGGAAAGTTTCTCAGTCGTAATGATGCACGTACGTAGATTGAATTTCACAAAAATTGGAAAAAAGACCATGAGTTTTACAGATACCTCAAAACTATCAAAACCAATCAATCCTTGTTCAGATAGAAATTCTGGAAGCTGCTGATTCTCCAAAAATCTAATAAGTTAAAAAGAATCTTATTCTCTAGATACTTTAGATACAAACATAAAATTGGCGATGGCAGCTACTATGAGAGATATTATTCTTTGAAGTCAGATCGGTATTTTTTTACAGAAAGTTCCAAACTCCATGCACAGAAAATAATTTTTTTATTACACAAAAAGGTTTTTTTTTATGGCCTGTTGAATGTTCGATGAAACTCTCTTTGAGGTCTTCTTGCTCCAACTAACATAATCTCTGACTAAGAGGAAATATTTAGGAACTCTATTTATTTCTCTCTGTATTCAGTGTATCATCTTGCTACTTTTTTTTCAAATTGCTCATCCGGCGGTTAGACTTTCCTTGTTATAATGAAATGATTTACGAAAAACCGTGAAGGATTGCAGAAGTGGTGGGTGCCGCTAAACTGGATCCAGACGATGATGGTCCGCTGCTTCGAGAAGGGCACCTTGACGCACACCAACGAGCTCCGCGTCCTGCTCGACGCCCTCGAAAAGTACCGTAACGGCTTCTTTCAACTGTTCATCTACGACTGGATCGCGATTCCACTCGTTTACACGCAGGTGACCGTTCGCCCCCAATCATTTTGGCTGCTTTCATGACGTCGCAACAAATGCTAACGCGCAAGTTGGACGAGTTCCGCGACCGTATTGCCCGCATCTTTCTCTACGATTGGATTTGCATTCCGCTGGTGTACTGCCAGGTGGGTGGGGCTCTGCCTCCCAGCCCGTCGTCAGTCCAGCTCAAATCAATTCAAAATCCCTCTGTTGCTCTCCCCGGTGTCGTCCTTTGCAATGTGAAGATCATTTTATGATGATTGAGGCGCGATTCTAGTCGAAACTAGAAATAACTGAAGAGCTTGGATTTAAGTAAACATTTCAAAACAATAACGCATCTTATGTTATTAACTTGTTAGGGTTGATGTTTTAAATCCGAGACTTCGAAAATAATTTTCCAAAATCATTGCGGATTCAAAGTCAAAAACAGAAAAATACTTAGTGGATGGTACTGAAACTCGACGGAATATTTGAGAAACGTTTTTTTGAACTTAGATTACGCGAAATCTAACCATTTCCATTTTACTAATTAACAAACACTAAAACTAAAATAAGATACGATAAGAATAGCGAAAAGAACCGGTAGTTGAAATAGAATCGTAACATTAAGGATGAACACTCTGCAAAAAGGACGGGGGTACATTTTTGGAACAAGTATGAAGGTGATAAGAGAAATAAGGATTCCTTGAGGACTCCGAAGTGGTATCATAGGGGCAATCATAGGGGGTCTTTGAGGTCTACCTCCCTTACCCTTATAAGGGTTGACCTAAGGGCTATTTTGATCTTGTAAACCGGAAAAATTGTGAAACTAAAAAATCTTGCGGACCGAGAGATCGTATTCAACAAGCCTAACCATCTGATCATTAAATCACAAGAATAAGCTTATTCTTTTTCAACAAATTTTAATCTACACTAGCTATGAAAGTTCGGAACCACAAAATAAAATTTCTACTTTTGTTGTAGCAATGATTAGGTTACGGAGACGTAGGAAAAATCAAAAAGGAGTTAACATTTAATATCAAAGAGTGAACAGAAAATTACCAAAAAACAACAACAGCAGCGATTATCTGTGCGCAAAATGTCTCAAGGGGTTTATTTGTTCCAATTTGATCCCACTAACAATCTCTAAAAGTTTACTAATCAGTCCCATCGTCAGGTGTCGACCATATCCGTCTACGGCTATTTCGCCTTCGCTCTCATCGGCCGCCAGTTCCCCAGCCAGAACGAAAACCGAGAAGTCATTGATATGTGAGCCGACAATTTCTCTCTTCATTCTGTTTTATTCCTACTCTCAGGTACGTACCGGTATTCACGATCCTGCAATTCTTGTTCTACGTTGGGTGGCTGAAAGTTGGGGAGGATCTCATGTTTCCTTTCGGGGCCGATGACGAAGACTTCGAGTTCAATTATATTTTGGAGAGAAACTTGGAGGTTTGATAGGTCTCTGAACACATTTGAAGGGGGTTTCTCAGGTGGCTATGCTAATCGTGGATGATCTACACAATCAAGTTCCGCCAGTCTATGTTGAATCTCTCGACGACGACATTCAGGTGGTTATTTGTTTTGTTAATCTAACATATTTTCTTCTTCTTTCTGTAAATTCTCACAACAGTTTTATCAAAAAAGATACGAAGTTTTTTGCTCACAAATTCCTCGTATGGAACTCTACCTTTTTGAATCACTATGTAGTCAATGTTTAAGAAAGTATTTCAGTTACTTCACACTCACGCCTCGTCCCGACTACCGGATCATCCACAGAGGCAACACCTCAGAAAGTACAAATTCAAGCCAGATGCCATTCAAATTACCTACGGGGACAAGAGTTCGATCGATTTCATCAAAAATATCAAAATTAAACGAATTTTCAGCTGGTCCTAACTCGGTGGAAATGCCAACTTCCAAGTCGAGCGTACTGTCTTTCACTGATCTCGAAAACATGGCTAATGGGCCGCCACGAAAGCCCAAATTTTAGGTAAGTGTGTTTTTACAATTCTCTTCAGAGAGAATTTGATTTTAAATCGTACTAAGTTTTTTATATGTTTCCATTTTTTCATTTCAAATAAAAAAAGTGGAAAAACTTTGCAAAAAAACAAAATAGCTCAAAAAAAGATCTTCAAGAAAGTTGTAGAAATCATGTCAGTCCAATTTCAAAATTGTAAACTTTATTTTTCAAAAATCTCAATATTTGAAATGTTAATCTTGAATATGGACTAAAAAGATTCAGGTAGAAAATGAATAGGAAAAATGGCTTCAAAAAAATTAAAAAAATCAAATTTGGAAAAAGAAAATTTGGAAAAAAATTGGGCTTTTGAATGTTATTCATAAAAAAATGCTTTCAAATTATTGTTTTAATAGTATAAAAGATCTGGAATCATATTAAACTTAAAATATTCCTAGTAGTAACTTTCTTCAGATTCGTTAACATTTCTTTCTCACTGGTCAAGATTTTATCGAACATTTAAGAACTCCTTCAAAGAGATATTATTTTTCTAGTAAAATTGAAGCTTATAGAGGAAGCATTTAATAGGAAAAGAAACTGTTTTTTGATTCCCTTATTGATGAATTTGGTGTAAAATCGAAAAATCGCAGAGCTCATTATATTCTCTCGATGAAATTCAAATAGATTCCAGGTACCCTTCATCTCAGAAACGCAGCTGATCTCATCTCGCCGTCCGGGTTTTTCCAACAAAGGCACGTTACGAAACCTCGCGCATTCCTCTCGTTGTTTGAATGATTTGAAATTGAACGTCGTTGTATAAAAGTTAAACTTTTCTCCTTTTTTTTTCTCGTGTACGACGTTAAATTTGCACAATCGGAGCGGGTTTACGGGGCTGCTCCACGCATTCAGACGTGTTGACCTGCGCAGGCGCGGCGTCGAGCTTTAAAAGCGTCCGCGGGAATCGGCAGACGTCTTCTTCTTCTCGGCCAGATGATTGTCCTGTTGCTCTTGACGGTTTTCACTTCGGCGGTTAACGGCTGCGGCGCAGGTAGGAACTTTAAGAGCCGTAGGACGTAGTTGATCAGCATTTTCGAAATGGTCGAAAAAGTTTCAATCAGTAACTTTCTGCTAAAAAAGGCACAAAGATTGAGACCTTTTAAAATGAGCCTTTTCACTACTTCTAGAAATGGTTCTAACGTTGAGAAAAAAAAAAGTCCAAAGTCTGACTAAAACCAGATAAAAATAAAGAGTACAGAAAGGTTTTGAGAACAGAGCTAGAAAAACTTCCTTCTTTAGAAAATTCGTTAGAACCGGCCATTCATGAAGATAGTTTCATCTAGAAAGGAAATAAGGAAAAATTAAACGAATGAAACGGACAGAAACTCAGTTTCATTAGATTTTAAAACAGAAAAAAGTTTGTCAATATAAAAAAACAGCCTTCTCTTCACGAAACCGAAAATTATTCCTTAATTTCTCTTAAGGTGGTTCTGGAGACAACGAATACATCCAGAACCCGGTATTCGCTATGACGATAAGTCCGCCGATTGGCTGGACCTACTTCCCGACTACGGTAATCAGAACTTGGGTGTGTTGAAATAATGAAAAACCCACAATTCAGCCGTCGGTGGCGAACACGGCCATCTGGTATTTTGTCGGCCAGTCAAACGACACTCTCACCGCCAAGGATCGCGCTGACTCCGAAATCACAGCCGCGGTTGGTTCTGAAAACTGAAAATAATTCTAGCCGTTTGAAAAAGAAGCTAGCGTTTTTTATTCTCTTAACGCAATCTTTCTTTTATTGATTCTCTCCAATTTTCGAACATTCTAACCCATAATCGTTTTGAGATGCTGGAAGCGATCGTGGCAGCCAATTTGCCGGTCACAGGCGTCACCGTCAGCAACGATTATCAACCAATTGTGGTAGATCATTCGTTTTTATATTCAAATGAGAAATCATGAATGATAGGTGGAAAACCCAATCGGCTCAACGACTTGGACCGGCTCACTCTACGGAAAAGTCGAAGGGGGAGCTCTCACTCAAACTTCTCCTGGCACTACTGCTGGTTGGTTCTCGAAAAATAGTTTTTTTGGAATTGAAATTTTTAAAAAAAGCGAATGAATTGTCACAAAACGATATCGAAAAAATATTGAAATGCGAAAATTGGGCGTTAGTTGCTCTTTTCGGCCATTCGAATTCGAAACACCGGAAAATATGGAAAATATTAAATTTTTGAAGGGTTTCTCACTTTTTTTCCGTATTTAAAACCTGGCCTTCATTTTTTTCATACTTTTTGATTTCAAAATAGGAAATGATAAAACGAGTCAAGAAAAGATTTTTTTAAAGTTTTTCCAATTTGAAATTTTTTTCGGTTTTTTTCTCAATCTTAAAAAGGTTAATTTTTTTCTTTCACCTAAAAAAATGATCTGTCGACTTCAAAATGATCGAAAAAATAAAAATAACAACAATTGCCGGCCGAATGAGGATTCCAGGCTTAAAAATCGATTTTGAGAGAAGTCAAAATCTTTTATTGACTGAAAACAACTCAGGAACGACTGTACTCACCTACCAACCGTATACGCGTCAACTTCGAGTCACGGTGAACAACGCGGCGACGACGCGATTCTATTGGAACATCGTCAAGAACACGTTCCTCCAGAAGATGTCCATGAACTTCCACGCGCGGTTCGCCGGCGAAGTCACCATCTCCAAAGTCTAATTTCTTGCCAACCTTAACTTATTTTGCTCTAAAATGTACATAATCAAAACAACGCTGGCTTAGAAGAGAAAATGCTTAAAAATGGCTACTCCGTGTTGGGATTTTCTTTTCGCGCTGAATAATATTCCATGTCAAAATTAACCTTTTTTCGTCCAACTTCTCTGAAGCAGCAGTAAAAAGAATGAATTAAAAAACACTCAATAAACGAGTCCAATCAAAAGCTGACAAAGAAACAATTTATTATTTATACAAAGATATAATCTTTCTTCTCAATTCATATTTCATTTTCAATATATCAAATACTCTCATCTTCTATGTACAATGGCAAAAAACGAAAATTTCTTAAACACGAGGGAGGAATTCAAAACAAGAAGAAGAATGATAACAACAAAATACCCAATCGAAAAAAAAATTTAAAAAAGGAGACATCGTTAATTTGACCCCCATTTTTGACCTTATCGGGATTTTCCAGAGAAGATCAGGGTCAAACCATCGGTGATCAAGCTATAGGTACATCTTGAAATGTTCGAAGAAAAATGATAAATGATAAATTTTGCATCTTTCGACAAGAATCAGTTGATAAGCGGCAAGTAAAAAGCTCAAGTTTTTGAAAAGGCAAAAAAGTTGGACAAAAAGTGGAAGAAAGAGAGATTTAAAGCTACACGTAGGACACGTCGCTGTCGTTGCACACCAGGACGTCTTCACGTCTTTTTGAATCCAGTTTCTGAAAATTACCTTTTTTTTGGTTGTAATATCCAGAACTCCATCGAAGCTTTCTGATATCTCAAGAAAGCTCAACGTCAAAAAAAACAAGCATTATGAAAAGATTTCAGGAGAGATTCTTTTTTTTTATTCAAAAATACTCTTTTCAGTTGTTCAAACGGTGAAAATTCGGATTAAGTCTGTTCAAGTTATGAATGTCAAGCAGCTAACTCCGCCCCTGTGAATACAGTACCTTTTCTTGGCAATTATTTATCGCATACAACTTCGATCCATTAATACCGCTACTTTTTTGATTTTTTTTTTCCAACAGCTGGAAGAAGAAAAATGCAGCGCTTTCAAAGTATCTTCTTCTTCCTTTGCTCCAAAATCAAAGGCTCTAGCAAATAGCCACTATGAGGAACCTTCACCCGAACCGTAGATTATTTTTGAGCAAATTTATAAAAAAAAACACTAATAAGTCCCCCTGCTTGCTTTGCGAAAAGAACGTAAATTTCTAACAAAAAAAAAACTCGAAAATCCCTACCACCATAAAAAAAAAACCAAGATGGAAGAACGTAAAACCGGAGAAGCTAACGGAAAAAGGGTGAGGAAACCTGGCATGCAACATGCTTGAGGTGGGCCGATTGCAGTAGTGAGTTTCTGTGTTTTTGGGTGGTGCAGTGGTTGAGGAACCATCAGAGCCGCGTCGATTCCACCTACAAAATTGCAGAAGCCTCATTCCGGTGCTTGGAAAGTTGTCTTGAGTACCAAGAGAATGAAATAAACCGAGTATTATGAGAGGAATGGCTTTTTTCAGAGCTTCCTCCATTTTTTTATTATTTTTGCGCCCCCAAATACCTCCTAAAACTTTTTAGAAGGAACCAAGGATTCTCAAACGAAGGAGAAAAATAAAAAGCGCAAAAACGGATGTCACGCGGTGATCTTTCGCCGCTACGAGTTCAATTGAATTGGCGGTGAAAGGGGACAAGAATTCCTCGAGGGCGCTTCAGGTTCAACAAAAAATTAGGCAGAAAAAAGGAATGCTTCGAAGCGGAAACCAATTTTTTCTACCACAACAACGGTGAACCAAGAAAGAAAAAACCGATTCACGTGCAGAAAGAGTTGAAGATGTTTGGTTTGAGGGAAATGTGACCTTTTTGAATTTATATGCATCAAACAACTACCATAACATTTAAAAAAAAAGTTTACCAGATTCTACCAAAAAGACCATAATAGAGACTTCAAATTTTTTTAAAGTGTTAATGAAGTTTTTGAAACGTGATCCTAATTGAAAAAAAAAATCAGAAATTAGTCCCTAATTCATCGAATGCTTTTTCAAACAATTTTCCTTAATATTAATTTTCCCCATCTAATTCCAAGACACAAGCAGTCTTAAATTCGAGGTCCGAGGGAACTCTTCAGGGTGATCTGTCCTATGTATCTTTATTCAAAAAAGCCTACAAGTGCTCACCTTTTTGGACGTCACATCATTCTCGTTGTGGAACTGATCGGCGTAGTCGTCGAAGACGTGCCGATGGCCGATGTGATTCAGATGATGATGACGATGATCGGCGGTGTCGACGCCGGCGTCCTCATCGTCCTCTTCATCTTCTTCGTCGTCGTTGTCGAAGTCTTCGCGAGTCGTCGACGACGACTCCAGAGGCGTTATCACGATTGAAGTCGTGTAACTCCGTCGCGGCTGCGACGTCTTCTCCGACGCGAGTCGTCGTCGCGATTCGGCTGGTCGCGCTTGAATCGGTGACTCGTCGGACCTCCGAGCGCTATGCGTTCGTTCCACTGTCGCTGAAAAACGAACTACTTGGCAAGACAAAAAAACTAAAAAAAAGGTTTTAAGATAAAAATTTAGAAAATGTTTTTCAATTGTGTTGCGCTCTTCTATTTCATAGTAAGCCTAAGAGAGCAAGAACGCTATTTCTAGAAAATTAAAAAAAACATTATATATAAAGAAATAGAAAAATTATTAAATAATCAGAAAAAAAAATGAGATTTGAGCGATAAATTGCTGAAAACTTCTGAACCTTTCACAACTGGGATGCAAGAGTTTGGCTGAGCCGGTTTCCGGGTGTTCTTCAGAATGTCGGGCGTCGGCGGCAAGAACATCTGGTCTTCGTCATCCTCGTCGTCCAGCTCCTCGTCGAGCTCATCTCCGTCCTCGACGTCAGACTCGTCGCCGGGAACTTCGATCTTGGGCGGCTCTTCGACGCTGTATCGACCGAAGAAGGTCTGCCAGTCCGTTTGGCGGTCAACCGCAAATAAATTCTTCAAAAATAGAAATTAATTGAGAAGGAAAGTACAGCAAGCTCACGTAGGCATTGCGGATCATCACTTCGACACACTTGTTCGTGTACTGAGTGTGAACAATCGCCGCCGCGTGATCGACGTCGGTCGGCGGCGTCCAAATCAAAGAAGGCGTTATCACTGTGGAAAGGTTTGAGGCCCCCATCAGATTCGTGTCTTGGAACCTTAAAAATTTTTGATCAAACCCAGAACATATTTTTATATCTACATTCAAAATATAACAAGGTCAAGACAATATAAATAGCCCCAATGATGAGAATAAAATATAGCCGATAGTTATTGTGTCGAGCACATGAAAGGCAAACTTGATAAAAAAATTATGAAAACTTCAAAAAGCAAGGTTTCTTCCAGCTCACATGATCAAGGTTAAACCTAAGAATATAAGAATATTTCTACATAAATAAACCTTCCAAAAACATTTAACTACTAATTTGTCAAATGTTTCAATGCTGCTCCAAGGGAATGAAGAGGTGTTGAAAGAAAAGAGTTTAAAAAGGTGTAAAAAAGTCTTTCGAAAAGACTCGTAAAAATCCCTAATGTCGTAAACTTTGTTGCTTGCAGACCAAACGCAATAATTGACAACTATTTCAATAATCGCGCAAAATGCACCACTACTCTGGTTTTTTTTTTGAATATAAACTAATTCAACCCCTTAGCATAATCTAGAAAGCGGTTCGCAAAAATTTAATAATCACCAAGACACGCGATTCAAATGGAGGAGGAGGAATTTGAGGGTCTCGTAGTTGCAGGGCGGCAGCCTCCGTAACAACGTCTTCAGTTCTTCCACGGGGTCCTCGTCTTCGTTCGTCTTTGTCGTGCAAGACTAAAGTCATTTTCATTTTTTTTTTCCAGCCAATTTCGATCAATATTACAGTTCCGACGCGGACAAAGTCATGGTAGAGTTCGTAGGTGAGGAGAGGCTCGGGAAGTTTCCTCAGGTAAAGTTTAACCACCGACGCGAGGTTCATCGGGTGGACGTGGTCCAGGGACACTTGATCTTCGACAGAACTACTGAAGAAAAAGTGGATGAAACTGGAAGATAAAATGAATAAATACCGTTCGAAAGCTTCACAAATCTCTTCAATTTTTGATTTCACTCCGCAGGTTCGGTAGATTCCCTGAAAACAAAAGCAATCTTTGATAACCGAACGAAATCCGGGCAAGGTTGAAGAGAGAGAGAGAAAACTTGAAAACTTTGACACAAATTATGGAATAAAAAGGATAAGATTTTGATAAAAGAGAGGTTTATTTTTCAATTTTTTGCTCAAGTCTCATTTTGCGGAAGCAGAGTCGCTCTATTGCATAATGTATTTTTTTGCGATAGTTTTATTTTTCGTAATCTTAATTTCTTTTTCATGATGATTTCAATTTCACTTTTTCTCGGAAAAAAATCTTCTCAAAAAAAAAATTTTTCTCAAGCTGTCATTTCTCTATTGACCTTCACGAGAAGGCCTCTTCTCTGCAGCTGATCGACGCTCCTCTCCAGAATCAGGGGGACACTCCGATGTTCTGCTTCGAGGTATTTCGTGAGGGCCACGCCAAAAATGCTGGTCCTTCGGTCGACGACCCGTGGCGTTTGCCCACAGGCGGCGGTTATCTACAACGAGGAGCCTTTTTCTGATGGCCTTCTATTCAAATCGAACCCTCGGGAAACAAGCTTTGTGCCATTGATAGCCGCACTTGGTGCACTGAACTGTGTACAGTATTGAGAGGGTTTCACAGGCGGCGCACTTCGACGGCTGCATCGTTCTTTGGAGTTTGTGCGACTGGGCAGCCAAAGAGAGTTCGCAGTCAAATATCCGCCCAGCTGCAAGTCGAAACATGAATAATGATCGTGGAGCGGCTTCATTTTCGACTCGATCAACAATTGATTCCCAGTGGCACTCCAGGAAAAATAGTTTCTGACGCTGATTCCAAATCTGGTCTCAAAAACTGCCCTCGAGATGAGCTTGGACGGATCACCTCTCAAGAAATTTTTTTGGGTAAAATCAGTAATTTTCAAACATGAATGAGTTTCATCTTCCAAGTGAAGTGAGTTTCATCGAAATCTTCGTTTTCACAGAGCTTCGTGGCAATTTTTTGATCAGACTTATGATCCGGTTGCAAAAAAAAAAAATAAATCTACTCCTTGGGGAAATTTCTTAACTTTCATAATCTTTATCAGTGGAAACTAACCATAACTCGTCTTTTTGTGCCTTTTCGTGTCCGGCAAGACGCTCTCGTCGTCTGGATTCAGAGCATTCCGCCTAAGTGATGTCAGCGACGTCGATCCATCGCATGAAGCGACGCCTTCGTCCACAGACCGGTCGGAACTGTTGAAATTTTCGGATTAGTTATATTTTCAAAAAACCTTCAAGTCATTTTATTGCCTGAATCAAAACCTTCAGTGAAATTACTCTACTCCCCCCTTTTTTTTTTTGGAAATTCACTAAAGATAGATTTGCGGATGATTTATACCTTCATGAAACTCTTGAGCCCTTTGAATGCGTCTTCTTATGTGAGATTCCCAGAATGAAATCCTCCAGTGAGCTATTTTTTGCACATCTTAACATTTCCTTTCAAAAATTACTTGAATCATCAAAATTTTGCTATGAAATAGAAATAAACAATAACTTTACGATAAAAAATTCCTGGGAGAGAGGCAAAATGGTTCAGAATTAGAGAAAAATTCGCACTGATCTACAAATTTTCTACACATCGTTTAGGAGACTTACTAAATTAAAATATTCGAAAATTGCAGCCACTGACCTGAAAAGAAGCATTGCTACAAAGTAAGTGGAGAAATGAAAGATCCAAGTAATCCAAGGCTTTTATACATTTACTAGAGTTAAAAAGTTCAAAAAATTCTCTCACGGGTAATTCCCATACAGTAATCACCTTGGGAAAAAGTTTCGTGTTTTTAATGAATATTCTTGCAGACGGACTCTTTTTATTGTCCCCGCAAATGAAACGTCTAAAAGTCCGTAATGTGCCACCGACATGACATTTTGCAATTGAGGCGACGTGTGAGAAGGAGCAAAAACCCTTCAAAAAAAAAAGACAAAAAAAGAAACTAATCAAACACGCACGGCGTATTGTCTGGAAAATTAAATTAAAGACGTGCCGTGGCGCTCAAAACGAATCAAAAAAGTTTGCTGATCTCCCAAAAAACTTCTTTTTCGTATATTCTAAAGGCGCCGCACAATTTTGAGATTGATCAAAAGCCAACTTTTTCCAATTATTTCTCGATGGCTAAAACGAATCTGTTCTTTCGAAATCATCATTTCATTTTAGCCGATTGAAAACGTTTTGGTCGCAAGTGGAATGGATCGAAGCGACACAACATTTTTTCGCGAGAGGAGCGCGCGCAAGTAGTTTTGGGTCAGACGCATCTCATCATCACTTCACAGTTGTTAGTCATTCTAGATGCTACCACTGGCTTTCAAATTATGACGAATTGAGCAAATTATAATAGCTTGGAAAACAGCATCAGAGTGTCAAAACGAAGTATTTTTTCAGAAAAACTTTGAAAAAAGTACAATTTCCCAAACATTTTTCTCTTTGAAATCGTTTGCCCTTCAAAGCCTTTTGCATCCTCGTTGCATTCTCTCAACTACTTTTCATAATCGACAATTTTTTTTTTGCTCTTTTTCCAACTTTTCTGGAACTGACATTCAGCTCTGAAGGAAAAAAGGGTAGAAGAGAAAAAAAGGACCTGCTTTCCTCAGGCAACAGAAAACAGACAGACATTGCTCCTCTGGTTGATCAGTCGAATAGAAGGAAAAGAAAGAGAAAAAGAGTTCCGTTTCTGTCGGGAATTAATTGGCGACCGCCCAAGGATGCATGTCAAACCGCAATTCGGCAACAACTCGAAATTCAATAGAGCCCGAGGGAAAGAGCCAGCCTTCCTTCCAACATTATGTCGGACGGGGGCAGGACGAAAAGTGTAAGTTGGTAAGAGAAGAAGAAGAGGAAGAACAAACGGGAAAGATGATATGAATGAGCAAACTGAGAAGCGTTCCAATCCAACATTTTCTCTCTATCCAACAGACGGTGTTGGTCATGAAATGAGTGTCTCGTTTCTTATTTCCCTATTCGCCAAGGTTTCTGAGGTCTTCATGTGAATCCTAGAATTTGGTGAAGATACAAGGACTCTCAATTCAATCTATAAATAATCCTACAAGTTTTTGAAATTTGTCAAAGTTGGTTAATGAGATTTTTTCAAATGTAAAGTTATCTAAAAGTATTTTGGTTACTGGTCAAGGTTTCAAAGGCGCAGAAGTCTCAGTGAAAACGCTTTTTTGAAATGTCTATTAATTTTTTAATCTGCAAAGATCTCGGCGAACTAATGAACGGGGAATTTCGTTAACAGCAAAATTTAGATTTTCCCGACAAAAACATGATGAAAATATTGAAAAAAAGCGGAAAAGAAGGAAAAGAATACCGTATCAAGCTGCTGGAGGAAGCGGCACGGGTCGGCAGGGTGTGCAGAAAGGCCATGTACTCAGCGCCCGGCTGATACTCGCGGGTGGCGTCCGACAGCTCGTGGAACGAGCCGGGAAGTCGCACCCACAGCGTTGCCAACGACTGCAAAAGAAGATTTATTTTGAACATCCTTGAAATTTCGCTCCAGCGAAACACTTGGATCTCTTTTTTAGTACTACGGTAACGCGCCTTGAACGTTTCTAAGAATTTCTAAAGATCATTTAAGATACGCTACTAAGTTGGTCACTAGAAAATCTCCGACACGTCCGGGATCGCATTACCAAGGTCCGAGATTGGTAACGCGAGCCGGACGTTTTTTAGCAAATTTTTGGGATTAATTTAAACTAAGTAATCGAAAAATTCTCAACTATATATTAAACTTCTGGCTTATTTTAACGGTAAAAAATATAAATCTACTGACAAAAAAAAAACCGAATTTGGTCGGAAAATGACGCAGGAAACCGAAAGCAGAGCGGTTTTTGCGTGCCAAAATGGAATCCTTAATTAAACTTTGCTTTTGGGCGCCGTCTGGTGGCACGCGTATTGTTGTTCTCCCGCCTCTGGAGGTAGAAGGAACGAAAAAAAAAAACAAGGAAATGAGCGAATAATTTAATTGGATAAAAATGACGTTGAGGAGAACGATATTCGTACCGAAAAATTGTTTTTTTTTTATTAGAGGCACGGTTTATGAAAAAGGAGACGTGAAAATTCGATGACAGGGAAGTCTAGTCAGAACAAAAAAGGTGAGAGAATCTCAGGTTGATTCATCTTAAGTACACTTTCTTGTTCTTTTCGTTAATACGACTTTTACCCACAAAACTAGGGGTTTTAAAAGAGAAGTATATTTATAAAAGTCGAAAAGATTCAATAACTATGAGCTCGGCGTTAACGATCTTTCATGAGCAAACTTCAAAATCAAAAATACGGTTGAAAGATCATGATCGCAAGTTTCACTTGTTGAAAAAGTCGGTGTCGAGGGTCAAAATCGACTCATCCTCCTATATATGGCCTCACAAGGCTCAACTAATTGAAAGCGTCGCAAACACGGGTGAATACAGATGAATTCCCCTCCCTCTCGTTCAAATTCATGTAGATTCTTCCAAAAAAAAAAACAATCTTATTGATTCCAAAACTACAAAGCTTCTTGCGATTCGAATTTGGATGAAGGGCTAAATTTCATAGTTGCCAATGAGTCCACGCTCAAGTCGTTTTAGGTAGGACATCCATAAGGCCTTTCGCCGTTGAATTCCGTTGAGCCATTCTACGTGCGGCAATAGGTTTTTACTTATCGATTGAAATTCTTCTTTCTAATGCTAATGCTAATTCTTCTTGCATAACTTCTTGTAATTTCCGAAGTGAAAAAAAATGAATATTGCATAAAAAACTCATATTGAGAGCAAAATGAGAAGATGAAAAGTTCAATCAGATCGAAAAAAAGAAAAGTCAAAGTCGGCTTCGAAATCAACGGAGAATCGACGACAGAAAAAACGAGACGAGACTCATCTACGTGGAATAAATTAGTATGAGCGTTTGCATGAGCTTGAGCGAAGGCATGAGTTTCAGAGAAGATTGACCTCAAATGGACTTGAAAGATCGAAAAGGCGCTCAAAATTTTTATATATTCGTTTTCAATATTCAGTAGAACTACTCCAACCGCAACGCGACCGCGACGCTTTGAAAAAAAACCACGAAAAAGCTTAAAATCCGTGAAACTCAATCACGTCTAATGAAAAAGAAAGTAGTGGGGAAAAGTATTTTGATGTCGCTAAAACAAATGGAATCTAATTTAATCAAAAATTCCACGTTTTGTAATAGATTCCCAAAGTTTTTTTTTCAAAATCCAGATAGCTTCTTGTTACTTTCAAGCCTCAAAGTTAGAAAAAAAAACGGTTCGAAAAAAATAATTCACGCTCAATCTTTGACTTAAATCATGAAATTTCGTCTTTTTATACTATGAAACACATCTTTTCGACTTTTTAACGCATCGATATTGTAAACAATGAAAATTCAACCGGAATTTCAAAAAAGCCGAAGAAAAAGTCATTTTGGATACATATAAATGTTTATTCCATCGTATTAAAAAAAAGAGAAAGGATATGATTTTTAGAAGTTTACACACTTTTTTTTAATGATGCGCCAGAGCGGTCTCTACAGGGTTAGGGGAAAAACGATCCCTATGGGGGCAAAATAGTGTTTCCTACAAGGTTAAATTCAGGTGATCCTTTTTAGGGTCTGACACATAAGTATCTAAAACTTAAGGTGTCTATAGGGGTTTTTAAATCTTTTCATAAATTGAAAGTTTGAAAGAAAAACTTGATCAACATATCCTCTGTTGATCTTTTTTCATTCAAATAACGTATCAAATTTTCCGATGGAAGTTTTTTCTCTCATGCGATGTACAAACGACTAGAGAGCTCACTTATCCCATAACTAAACCCGCTATAGAGGCTACTTTTGCTGCCCCGATAGGGAGAGGGATGGCCCCTAAAGAGAAACCTACAAGGCTCCTAAGGTAGCCCTATAAGGACCACTCTGGATTTTCTAAATTAAACGTCTATCGTCAAGTCTTTCATCTCAAAAATTTTGATACTATTTTCCGTCATCTGTGTTCTTGAACCATCAAAAAATAATGAACAAGAAGAAGAAGAAAACAAGGAAACGACCGTTTTGATTAAAAACAGGCTCAAGTACGGGAAGCTATGAATCACATAATGAGGACAATTACGTGGGTGGGTGAAGGGAGTTCGAAATGCCGACAGAAATAAAAGCCCATGAAATTGTCCTACTTTTCTATATCGAGTGAAGTTCATTCTATAAACTTTTCCAAGTGGAAGAAGCACGAAAGTTTTGGGGACTAAAAAAGTCTTGGAAGACTGCGTTAAAAATTCATGCGCGCCGATTGACGTCTTCTTCGGCTAAATGGCGTGTAAAAACAAAAGGAAACAAACGATAAATAAGATTTCTTCCAGAAATTTGGATGAAAAACTTGAGATTGTAACGAGTTCTTCTACAGAACAACCTTCTGATCTTACAGAAACATCAAATTTTTTCTTTCAATTTTTCTCGATAATTTTGACCTTTTTTAAATCATAAAGATATGTGCTCACCAAAAAAATTTAGACGAATTTACCTTCTTGACATTTCTTTTTAAATTTCGAAATATGAAAGCTTTTTTTCTTAATATCTTCTCCCAATCACACCAAAAAAACATGAAAAAAACATTTTTTTCCAACCATTCTTATTCAACTTATCGGGATATAAAAAGTAAAAAAATTTAAAAAAATCGCTTTTTTTAAAATTAAATAAAAAAACTATTTTTTTATTTTTAAAAATCTAAAAAAATATAAAAAAACCTTTTTCGAGAATCGTTCGATTCGAAACGGCTTTTTGAGTCTGATCAAGAAAAAGAAAAATGAAGAAAATATTTGCAGAAATTCAACGGCACCTCAAAAAACTCACACCAAGAAAAAGTATTCTTCAGAATTGAGAGAAAAAAAAGAAAAGAAAGGCCGCCTTGGCGTAATAATCATTTTTGATTTAGTCCACAGCGTTGGGAAGAATAAAGGAAAAAAATAGCGATGAATGCAAGAAAACGAGGTTTTGAAGGCTTTTTCGCACATGAATGGAATTCAATGGTCTCGAATTCATTATCAAACTGCGCCACGGGAATTTTATAACTTACAAAAATGTTTTGGAATTGTAAAGAATTTTTTATATTGAAAACACAAACTAAAACGAGAACTTTCTATCAATGTTTTTTTGAAAAAAATCTAAGACGGAAACCTCCCAGAAAAAAACCTCAAACTTTGGAAATTCCTTTTGTCCAAAATATCGGTTATTCCTACAAAGAACAAAAAATCTGTTTTTGTGTGTTTTCAAAAGAAAATTCGATAATCTTTCCTACAATCCCTCTCGCAAAACCTTTGAAGTGAGTACCGCCAAACCAGTCTCAAAAAAATTCGGGAAAAAGAAAAAAAATTATCACCAAGGTCTGTTACACTTTTTAACTGCGAAATAAAGAAGAGACAGCAAATTTCAATTTTTAAAAAAAAAGAAAGAGATAATCCAGTCCTGAACGCTATCTTTTTTCATCAACTGCGCTCCGTGGTCAACAATCAGTTTTTTATGCGGCATCATTTCTCCCAATTTCTTCAATTCAAAAGCATAGAGCTCCATGCTCCAGACTTTTCCTATTAACTCCGCAACATTTTCATTCAAAGAAAAAGAACGGAAAAAAATATAAATATGAAAAGAAAACGAACCTTGAAATAGTGGGCAGCGCAGGCCTTGGTCGTCTGCTCGCACTGGAAAATCAGCTCGCGAAGTCGTTCGATCACGTTCTCCTGAAAAAAAGAAAAGAAAAAACTTCTTTTTCTCCGTCATGACGTCAAGGAGAAGCTTCTCCTACGTCGTCGGCCCTTTTTTCCTCTTTTTCTTCTTCTTCTTCATCATCACTTTTCCCTCCTCCCATTTTCCGCGCCGAAAAACACGAAGCGACGCTCTACTGCAGAGACAAGCGTTAATAAGGCAATCTCTTCCATACGTTGCTCTTCTTCCTCTATGTATCCAAAAAAAAACTTTTTCTTTTAAGTTCCACGTCAGGTTCTATTCATTACACGCCTTTTCATGATACTATCAGTTTCATCAACGACTCCTATAAAGAAGGTAATTTTTGATAAGCAACGGTCCAGACTTTTAAAATTTTGCTCACGAAGGAATTTAATTTATTTTTTGTTTGGGACTTTCCAAAAAGTTGCCCTGAACAATTCTTGATCTACAGTACCGCTCAAAAGTCTATTAAGTTTTGGTTTTTTGGGGATATCTCAGCGAGTACTTATCCGATTTATATATAACTTTCAGGGATAATGTAAAATATACTTTTGAAACATATACGGTATACAAAGACATGTCCGCAATGACTGTGACGCGTTTTAGGCATTTTTTTATTGAATTCCATTTTTTTCTTTTTTTATGCTTTTTATTTTTTTATTTATTTTTTTATTAAATTTTTTTAAAATTAATAATGTTGCCATATGACTTTTTTTCATGTTTTTCAGACATGGGAAGAACCTTTGGAAAAAAAGAATTTGACTGATAACGACAAAAAGAGCAATCGTTGTGGGTCGTCAAAATGGACTGACCATGATGACGTTGGCAGGAATGTTCGGCGTGACAGAGGCGGGCATTTCTCAGTTCCTAAAGCGTCAGAAAGCTCAAGATGGCTCTACTAACAGCCAACGCACTGGAAGACCACGTGTCACTGATCGTAATGACGATAGGAACATTTTGAAGACGTCTAGAACCAATCCAAGACTCACCGCCCCTGCGATCAGACGGGAAGTTTTCTTGAATTCGCCATCTCCGCCATCCGTCTCGACCGTGAAACGACGTCTGAATGCTGCTGGAATCATGTGAAGACGTCCAGTGAAGAAACCGCTGATTTCTGAAAAGAATCGAGTCGCCAGGGTGAAGTGGGCGAAGGAGCATCTCAACTGGACCCGTCAAGACTGGAACAAGATTCTGTCGTCCGACGAAACGGTCCTCCACCATGTTTCACAAAGGGTAATTGGTATTTCATATGATATCTGGACCCAATTGGTCTACGAACTGATTGAATTCCGTCACTTCCGAAGAGGAGGAACTTGATTTCGTCGGACGACAGAATCTTGTTCCAGTCTTGACGGGTCCAGTTGAGATGCTCCTTCGCCCACTTCACCCTGGCGACTCGATTCTTTTCAGAAATCAGCGGTTTGTTCACTGGACGTCTTCCCATGATTCCAGCAGCATTCAGACGTTGTTTCACGGTCGAGACGGATGGCGGAGATGGCGAATTCAAGCAAACTTCCCGTCTGATCGCAGGGACGCTGAGTCTTGGATCGGTTCTAGACGTCTTCAAAATGTTTCTATCGTCATTACCATCAGTGACACGTGATCTTCCAGTGCGTTGGCTCTTAGTAGAGCCATCTTGAGCTTTCTGACGCTTTAGGAACTGAGAAATGCACGCCTCTGTCCCGCCGAACATTCCTGCCAACGACATCATGGTCAGTCCATTTTGACGACCCACAACGATGGCTCTTTTGTCGTTATCAGTCAAATCCTTTTTTTCAGAGGTTCTTCCTATGTCTGAAAACATGAAAAAAAATATATGGCAACATTATTACTTTTAAAAAATTTAATAGAAATAAATAAAAATAAAAGCATAAAAAACAAAAAAAATTGAATTCGAAAAAAAATTCCTAAAACGCGTCGCAGTGACTGCGGACATGTATTTGTATACCGTATATGTTTCAAAGTATATTTTACATAATCCCTGAAAGTTATATATAAATCGGATGAGTACTCGCTGAGATATCCTCAAAAAACCAAAACTTAATAGACTTTTGAGCGGTACTGTATCAAACGAAAATCTGAAAACCACAACCTGCACATCTTCCTATTTTTCGAAAAAAGGACACCCAAAGCCTTTAAGACTTCTTTTTTTACAGTAGAGAATACTGTAAAACGCGCTTAATTTTAAGAATCGTCTAATAAAAAAAATTTTTAGTTTCTTCAATTTTATAAAGATCAGAGACCTTTTTAGAAAAAAAAAACTATTTTTAATAAACTTTGAAGAATATATAGTTTTCTGCTGATGACAATTTGTATGAATTTTCGATTATTTTTCGAAAAGAGACGAAAATTCTTAAATAATTATCAAAAGGATTTGATCAATAGAGCGCGACAGCCATTGAAAACTCAAAAAAATTATTTATGAAAGATTGGAAAATTTTAAACCAGAAAAACGGGAAGAGATTGGGATGAAAGAAAAAACAGCGGAGGAGCAAAAAAAAAAGAAAAAGATTTGAAGAAGGGCTGAGAAGCGACGACGCGAAGGCAATCATCTGCGCATTCTGTGGCAGGACAACTTCTTTCTTGTCTTCACCTCGTCTCCACTCCCGCCCCGTCCGATTCGCTCATTATTATTATATCAAATCAGTGATTCAGGAGAAGTAGTGAGAACAAACTCGTGAAAAAGAAGATTCACGAAAAACGCCATTTTCGCGTTGGTTTCCGATTTCGTTATAACTTTCTAAGGCGCTGTTTTATCGACTAAAAAACCTATAATAATGAAGAGAAAAGGTAGCTTCCAACAATAAGAGTGATTTTGATAGCCAGTTAAGAATTTGATGAAACTCCGCAGAAGCGTAAAATGAGGCCACATGTTCCCAGTAAGAAAAAAAATGTCTCTACTCTCGTCTTGGAGCCAAGTTATGAAGCGACTTTGAAGCTTCATCTGTAGACTTCCCTAAATCACAAGATGGTTTTTTGTAATCTGAAATCAGGAAACCGAACATGTTTGCAAAATTTGATAGGGTTTTCAACTAGCCACCAAAAACCTTCTCCTTGTAAGCTACAAATTTATTTGAATAAAACTTCGAAAGTTGAAATTTTGTGCTTTAAAAATTTCTCTGCTCAGAAAAAGAACAAACCAAAAATTTTTAAATGAGAATAGAAAGAAGACAAAGAAAAACAAAAAAAACGCTCAAAAAAATGAAAGAGTTTGTCGAGATGTAATTTTTTTAACAGTTTGAAATTATAACTATTTGTGAAACGCGTACGATTCCAGAGCGCTCATTGAAATAATAAAAAAATCAATATTTTTTTACTGTGGTTTTATTATCTCTTCTCTTTGATTATCTGAGAGATCTGAAAATAAACCTCGAAGCCTTCATATTTTCAGACCATGAAAAAAGCCCCAATCCTCTATCCAAAAAAAAAATTCACCACCAAAAAAGACTCAAAAAAAGAGAAAGGAAAAGAGACCCCTCTAAAAACACAAAACTTGTGCGCATTGAATGCTTTTTCGCATGTGAAAATGACGCCATAAACATAAATATAAATAGGTATAGGAATTGTGTATGGCGAAAACTGACGGAAAATGGCAAGACAACCCTTTTCCTTATTAATCGAAATATATCCTACTAGCGGGCGGCTCATTACGTTTGGCGGAATAGCCTCAAAGCAGGAATGATCATGGATTTCATGTTTTTTTTTGGGAATAACGATGGTTTCATTCATTTCTCTAATTGCTCAAAAATCAAAATAAAATCCACAACTTCTTATAAAAAAGCGACAAACTGTAGCAAACAAAAAGAAAAAATTTCTTGAAAACCAGAAACAATAATACTCATGCCTCCCCGCTTGTTTTTATTTATCACAACTTCGAAACGTCTAACTCTGCCCTTCTCTTTAGTATATCCCTACCACCTCCACCGCAGAAAAAAAACAGAAATGGAGAAAAAAGTCCAGCATATCGTGTGTTTCGCAATGAAAATATTATAAAACTTATAGGTACACAAACAGAGAAAAAAAAAAGCTGAAAAGAAGCAAAAAGGGCGATGAAAAATCGTACGAATCACCATGAAAACATTTTCCTCGCCATTTGCTTGTTTCATTTCTCATTCACGTCTGCATTAGAATTTCAAAGAAGAAGAGAGAAACGTCAGTTTGTTTAAAAATACATTTTGGATGTTTGAAAAAAAAAGTGAAGAGAAGAAGAAGAAGAATGAAAATCGTTGCGGTTTCCAAGACGTTTTCATTAAAACGCATATATCTGACTCACGATCGGCTTGATTCATAGAAAAAAAGGGTCTTGGCACGATTATGAAGAAACAGTGCTCAGTAGGTAGAGAGCGCAGACAGGCCACGCCCCCTACTGTCTCAAGCTACCCGCGAGTTCATTTTTGAAAAATTTCGAGATCTCTTTGACCAAAATTTTTCGAAAAATTTCGAACTGAATGAATCTTTCAGATGAATTTTTACCTTAGCTTTGTCGATTTCCCGGCGCCGACGCCTAAGTTCCGCAGTCGTCGCGGCGACGTTCCGTTCAGCGTCTTCTTTCTGAAATTATAAGTCTCAGAAGCTAGGTAATAAAAAATTATACATCCTCATACAAAATTGATGAACAAATCATGATCTTCGTCCAAAAAGTTCGAGATTATAGCGGGCCTTCGATATATTCTACCCTATGCCCGATTTTTTGGTGAATATTTAGTAAGAATCTTTTTTATGGAAAGAAAACGGGTAAACTTAGAAAAGTTGTATATTAAACGGTGTACAAGAACACGCTCTTGCCAAAAAGTCCCGTCTTACAAGAAATTTACAGAGCAACCAAACCGATTTACACATCTTTTTAGCTACCCTAATATTTTCATGATCCAGCAGATAATCTTTTCTGAGGACCGACATTTTAAACTCCGAAACGCACTTTCAAGGCAGCCGTTTCGACGGCGCGATTCCGTTTCTCGATGTCGCGACGACGTCGACTCGCTTCCCGTTCCGGCGGAGAACTCTCTGTCCGCATGCAACTATCCCGAGCTTTCCGCAGCGATTCTTCCCGTAACCTCAGGGCCATCTTTGCCTTGTCGTACGCCTCCTCGCTGTCGTTCTAGAACAACTTTCATCAGCATCTTTAAATTCTTAGAATACACGAGCTTGCAGAAACTCTAACGAGCGGACCGGTATTTTCAAATATTACAGGGAGAGAGAAGGAAACGATTCGTAAAATTTGAGAAGTGACAAAATTTCATGAAAAGAGCCTTATTCAGGAGTATTGCCAATCAAAGTTCTTTTCTGCGCTTTTGGAAATTTTCTCTAAAATTTCAAAAATTAAATTGATGTAACCGGCCAAAAAACTTGCACCTTGATGTAAATCTGGAGTCAAGGCTGCAAAAAATCCTAAACTTTCAAACGAACGTTCCAAAGTCTCAACCAAGCACAAAGGGATACAAAAAAACTCTAAAAGATCCTGTCTCGAAAACCGAATTTTTTTAGGAAGATTTTTTCACGTTTTTCAGTTAAGCTATCAGTAAAAAATCTAAATATCCCACCAATGCCTTTGCCGCTTTGGCCCACTCCTCAGCTAGTGTCTTTCTCGTTGACTCGTGTTCTTTTCTTCTGGACTCGAGAGCCTCAAACATCAGCTCATAGGATTTGAATCAACTGAAAAAAGAACTTCGACGACCCGATCCATAAGATGTTCCGTCGTGTCCTTCGTGTTGCACATAACCTCTTCTTCAGTATCGAAGGACCGCTCGAAAATATCTCGCAGCGGCATGAACGGCTATAAAATCAGTATTTGAAAGTGACGTGTGAATTGTTGATAGAATCAATGGGAAAAAGATCAAAAGCTGCTTTTTTTTTGCTTTTTCGTTAAAAAAAGACCTCCACATCTAACTCTTGCAGCCCAAAGAAACGAAGTTTCAATCTTTTTTTCACCTTGTTGAAGTCGCGTCTGGCGCTCTCGACGAGAAGTCGGACTCGTCGGGCGTGCTCCTGCTCAAGCTGGATCCGGCCACGGACGTACGCCGCCACGTCTTTGCAGTAGATGCTCCACGCCTTGGCTCGTTCAAACGCGATTTCGACGCCATCAGGCCGTGCGATCAACAGCTTGTCGATCTCCATGAGGTTCTCTTCTGAATTTATTATTCTTGTTTCATGAGTGTTTCCATTTGAAATATATATTCTTATCAGTCGACATAAAACTCATTCCCATTCATTGACCTAATTTGCAGGATCAACGAAAAAGGACTTTTCAAAACTTATCGCTGCAAAGTTTCAAACCGAGAAATTTTTTTTTCTTCCAATTTGTTTTATCAGCAAGTACAGAGCTCAACCAGCCTAGGAGGAAAAATTAAGCTGCAAAAACTTTGTGGAATGAAGTCAAAAAACAAATTTTCAAACCAGAGAGGTAGTGTTAACAGAACTAAAAGTAAGTTCTAGCCTCCGGATGTATCATAAACTTTCGTTTAGTAAGATTCCAAAGGCAGACTTCAAAAAGTTGAATTTCCTACGTATTTCTTAGAATTTTTTCAAGCTTTGACACATCTTATCAGGAACCTTTGCTGTCATCGACATCAGAGAAGAAAGTGGAGTGACGCCGCTGCAATGAGGCGGCAGCACTGCCGCGGGTCGACGGCACGTTGAAAGACTCCGTTGACGCCTAAAAAGTTCTCCAATTTATTCAATCATAACAGATATGAAGCAAAACTCAAGTTTAGTATACTCGAAAAACTAGGAAAAAAACATTGTTTTGGGGTGGAAAAAAAGAAGAACTACAACACGTTAATTTTGAACTCAGAGCTTCAAAAGGATTGAACAAGAAACCTCACAGAAGTCAAAGAAGAAAAAAAGCGTATAAAAAGCATAATTCGAAAAAAAATCACTCTTCCATCATAATTGTACTAATCAGTTTCTTTTTATACAGGTTATTGCTCTATAATTCAGAAAACATTTGTCTTCAAAGATCTAAATATATTTTTATCCGTTTTTTTCTTGAAATACTATTTAGGAGCTCGATACTCAGCTAGTCCATGTCTAGTGTCCAGTCTGTCCTAGTCTCCAGAACTAGTCCTTAAAAGGACCCTCCAGATTATAGAATTAATTTCAGATTCCTTATGTAAAAACCCAGTCAAGTAAAAAAATTTTTAATATTCAGAAAATCCCAAAAAAACGGGTTTAACACTTTCAATAAACTTTTTGAAACCGCAAAGAAATTTAATAAACCAAAGGACTGTACATTCTCTGAAAAGTGTTGAGAACGCTCCTGCAGCTCATTTTGAGGACCAATCAACAATTCCAACAAAACTTGAAAGCTTTGATGGAACGTGTTTCGAAAGAAAGGACAAAATCTGGCGAACCGAAGAACCCCGAAACGAATTTAAACGCAAAAGGAGCGACTTTTCTTCATTCGATTTCTGTTGCTCCCCTCAAAACTTAACCAACCACAAGTGTATAAACAGCTCTCGCGCGCGAAAAAAAAGGAGAATTTTTGCAATTTCACGACGCCGAATGAATCATTGTGTTTGGGGCCATGAGTTTCATGCACAGATTCGTAGTCACAGTCCCGCGCAGTGTATGTACAACTGCCGAATAAGGAAACAAAACAAAATTTCAGAGTAGAATTTTGTCTAAAGATTGATAGTAATCGACTTTTTGGTCGCTTGAGACGCTAAGGGGCGTGGCCTGTCTGCGCTCTCCGCCAACTACGCACTCTCTCTTCATGATCGTGTCAGGACTCTTTTTCAACGTTTCAAGCCAAAAATGACTCGCAAAATCGCATTTAGAACGGTTCAATGTGTTGCGAGCTCTGATTAGAACTATATTTTTAAACTTTGAACTCAAATAATTGCTAGTAATAAGCTATGTAGCTGCAATGCGCAAGCCATTTAAGGTCGGCCGCAAGGTGCAAACTAGGACTAGTAAGAGTTTTATATTAAAAAAAAATCATTCGAATATTTTTTAATGAAAAAAAAAATTGTTTCCGCTCTTAATTTAATCAAAGTGGAAAGAATGCAAATGACAGTTGACACGGGACCAAGATTCTCATTCCTAATCTTCTAAAGTGTTTTCGACTTTGCCTAGTGCAGCATTCTAAATCAAAAATTACCATTTTTTTAATATTAAAAAGCACTTGGAACACGAAAAAAATTTCTGAAACACAAAGTTTTTTTAAGTTTCTGTTTTTATATTGCTTTGAAAAAAGTCTCGTATGAAATGGGAACCCTTTCACAAATATTATCTAGCTTCACCTACATTTTGGAAGCAAAAAAGGAAAAATCTGTTTTTTGGAACGCGCATAAATACTTCACGAGTAGTTTTTTTTCTCACAAAACAAGTGGGCTATGCTATGCCTACCAAAAAGGTAACAAAATAAATATACCCATTTTCGAAAGAAAAGAAATCCATTTGAATGTACAAATTAAAGAAACCACAATTTCGATTGTTATCAGACTACTAAAATTCAATTTTCAGAAATTTAAGAGTAGAAAATCCACACAACAAAAAGCCATTTTGGCGGAAAAAAGCGTCACAATGAGAAAATAAAATATCTTAAGGATGAAAAAAAGAATGAAAAAAACTTGATTTAAAGCCGAAAACAACAGAACAATGGGTGTCTTCAAGAACTCAAATTTCTATTTTTTTGAGAAAAAAAGTTAAAAAAAGTAATACGATTTGAAAATTCTGAGAGAATCTGCGTGTTAAAGGGGCAAAAAGCTAAATTAAACTGAAAAAAAGGTACTTCAAAAAGATTTTTTTAAAAAAAATCGGGGCAAATTTTTTTACACTCTTAGAGAACTTTTTTTGTTTCACATTCAAAAAAATTGCGTTTTTTTCAACTTAATTTATGAATACTTTAATGCAAACTATAATAGTACAGAACATAATTTTTTTTTTTAATTCATGAAAATTTGAAGAGCTACGGCTTTGATAACTTTTCTGAACTGATAGCTGGAAAAAAGGCAGAAATGGCTCAGAACTCTGTAAACATCTTATCTCGAAAAAAAGGTCTAAGAACTCGTAACTTTCCAAGTAAAAAGATAATAAGCACTCTTGGCTCGTGAAATTGGGATTGACTCAAAAAAAAAATCATTACCCACGTCAAACGTATGATAATGAAGACGCCGAACAGATTTCGGTTCCGGCCAATTGCTTCAAAGTAAAGAGATCCAAGCAAAAAACAGGCCAAGCGAACGGATGAGGCAAAGGATTCCAGGCTCCGCCCACAAGGAAGGGGGGTGCAACTTCTTTTTTGTTAGCCATAAAAAAGGAGAAAAGAATAGAAGAACATTGAGGATGAAGCCAAGTACTCACGGGCTTCGAACGGCGCAAAAGCGAGGTCGACCGCTGAGATGACGTCACCGAGGGAACGTGGCGGGTCCTACAACGACAAAGATCATCATCTTTAATGAAAATTTATGAGAAATAATCCAAAAAAACTTTTTTTATTCATCAAGTATTGCCTCGGGGAAAAAACGCGTCATTTTATTTTTCTTATAAAGGGGTCTCTTAAGAGGTAATTTTTTTAATGAATATAATTGTATTCGGATGATTTATTCGTTGAAAAAAATCCAAGCCCTCATTGAAAAATTGAATAATGGTAAAATTCTGAAAAAAACTTTATACAGCTTCAAATCGCAACACCTGCTGTAGAAAAAAAAGTTTCAAACCCTTTTCAAAAAAAAAAACAACCAAACATTACCTACCCGATGAAAAAACAAATTTTCAACCACCGATCAAAAACACAAATAAATTTATTCCATTTGATTTTTTTTTCTTCTCTAAAATTAGTCGAAATCCCTGAAAGTCTCCTTGATGTCGACTTGAATTCAAAAAGTGGCTTCTAGGGAATATTAACAATTTTTTCAGGGCAGTATAGTCTGCTTCTCGCAGCTTGAAATGGGAAGACTTCTCTGCTCCCTCCTCGTCTCTCGGGGAATCTCTCCCATTGACGAGCTATTTTCAAATTTTCCTGACCTCGCCGGCGAGGGAACAAAGAGATACAGACACTCGAAAACTTTCAAGTCACGGCGGACGGATTAAGCTGTGACAAGATTTTTAAAAAAAATGTCGAAAAAGATTTCCGCATTTCCGAAAATTAAACGAACAGAATCGTGTTGAGGACGGTGGATTCGAGATGATCAATGACGGCGAAGACGTGGCTCGTGTCGACGGAACACGTGTCGAATTTAAGGTCTGCAAAAAGGGCTCACTTATGGGCATTTATAGAGGAAAGGATTGGAGGAATTGAGCAAGTGGTTTGCTTTTAACACGAAAAAAAAAAACCAAAGGGTTCGGCGCCACGGCGTTCGGCCCGAGGGCGGCAATTAAATTAAATTGTCCTACGGATCGAATTAGATTCAGTTCGTTTAAAAACGTTATGCTAAACTTAGAGCAGATGACTTTGAAAGTTTTGGTGCTCAATTTCGAAAAGATCAATGTTCATTTTCTTGAATTTTTTTTTCTATGAAAAAATTTAGTGGCCGTTTGAGAGCTTCCCGAAGGACTACTTGGAGAGGACACGAAAGTGGCCACTAAAACCACCACTGTAGAAGCCACTACTTTGCGTCTTAGTGGCCACTAAAGTAGTTTTAGTGGCCTAGTAGTACAAATTAAACTCCTAAAGAATCACAAAATTTAAGTCATTTAAGTAGTCACTAATTCGACCTCTATAGAGGTCGCTAAAACTTCAAGCCCTGAAGTAGCCACTAAAAATTTTCCCAGTCATTTTATTTTATTTTCCCGCCCAGGAAAAAAAAAGTTTGAACCAAAAGACCGAATGCTACACGTTGATTCGAAAATTCAGCTTTTCATCGACTTTTTTCTAACGTTACATAAAAAAAACTCGAAAACTTCTGAAGACTGTAAAGTCATTAATAAGTCGCAAAAAAAATTCAAATCTTCTTTATTCAGCTTAGAGTCAAAACATCTCTCTTCTCCAAAATTCGAAAAATTATGAAATTTTCCCTTTACATTCACCATTTTTCCCAATATATCGATACACTTTATTAGTTTATGAGAACGGAGGAAGAAAATTTGTTTGTTTAGAAAATTTCGCAAATCCTGAACAAAAAGAGAAAAAGAGAAAAAAAAGTAGTGCGGAAGTAATGGTGGAGAGGCGTGAAATTGATGGAAACGGAGCGAAAATTCGAAATTAGGAAAACTTTTTCCTTCCAGAAGGGGAAAGAATGGCTTTTTTAGAGCCTACTTCCGATACGGAAAGCCCTTCAATGGATTGGGAGCTTATTAATTGAAAATGAAGGTAAAAGCTATCGGTAGAACTGAGAGAAAAAGAAGGCTTTCTTGGGGTATTGCACACAAATAATTAACATCCAATTATAATACGAACCGCTGCAAATTCAAGACTACATTTTATAACCAACAAAGGAAAGAAAAAACATTTTTCTGAGAGTCCAAAATTTGCACGCAAAATTGGGAGCGTCTCCCATCGCGGAACTAAACCACATGGAGTAAATTCAATTTTAGGCAACTAAAAATTGCAGAACGACTTTGGTTTTTTCGAGTTCAAAAAAAGGAAGCGGTGAAATGGTGAATAACTTGCATGGTGCCATGAGAAAGAAGTAACAAAATTGCTCTTTGGCAATAACTTTCTAGCTGAGATAAACGTCCATTTAAGTTTATAATGTAACCGTGTGATCTGGAAAATTGGAATCGAATTGAAAATTTCTAGTTTTTTTCAAACTAGAGTCATTTATGAAAAAAATCCGGCCGTTAGGAAAAAGGTCTTGAAACGATAAGCTGAATCGTTTGGAAAAGAAATTAATTAAAAAAACTTCAGAATGTAATACGCCTACCTAAAATTTTCACATAACGGTCTCAAAAAAGGTATGAAAAATGAAACCTCTTGACAGGAGAAACATCAAAACAATGAAAACTCGAAATAGTAAAATGAAACTTTGTCGAGAGGATTTGAACCTTGGTCACAGATTTGATAGCGAGCAATTTTATCCATATAGCCAGTTTTTGGCAGAAAGTCACCGATGTCCTTATAACGAAGAAAAAAATTCGATTATTATTCTAGAAACTGAAATGAAGAGTTAACTAGAAACCCAGGTGACAAAATACAGAATACTCAAAAATCCCTCGAGATCGAGCAAGGACCTACGATATGATTTTATTGTTTCAAGTTCCCGTAGGTTTGAATAGTTTTCCGGATACCTTTAACAGACTGCACCAACTGCAGGGAATGGACGATCAGGGCGTTGGTTTTGAACTGCGGATGTTTGAACAAATCGCGCATGCTTTCGCTGACCATCTCCAGTGCCGCGTGTACGTTCACACACATTGACTCGCCATCTGCAAAAGAAGATTCTTTGATGGACGAAACAAGAAATCAAGGCGGAAACGTTAATAAAGTGTGTGTGTGTGTGCGGGGGAGCACAACATTTCAATCATTGAAAGCAAACATTTTTCGTCAGAATGGCTGATTTTTTTTTTCTTCGACATTTTGAGAATCATTTTATGGCCTCTGGCCTAGTGATTCACTAACGAATTTTTATGGGTTTGAATATTTAAAAAATATTCCAAATTCATATAAAACCCTTTCTTTAAATATATCAGAAGCTAGCTATAACATTTTGATGCCTTAAAAAAACAAGATTATGTTTTGAATTTTTCGATAAAGTTTTTTTAGAAGATCGGTTTTTATAAAAATCGATGCATAAGGTCATTTCTCATTTGATAAAAAGAAAAATTGAGGTTCATGAAAAAATGAAAAACTTTCCGAAAATCTTTTTTTTAATTAAGCATCTACAGAGCAATAACTTCATAATAAGACAAAAAGGTGTTTTTCTTCCAAGTTCAAATTCAGAATACAGACTCGAAGAAAATTTGTATATTTTTTACTATTTTTCTGAACTTCGCTGAAACATTTTTTATAAATAAAACGTGAATTCTTTCTTTTCTTGACGATACATTTGATCTCTTACAGTTTCAAGTTTACCCATGGCTCTCTACAAAATAGATAAAAAATTTTCAAAAAATTACCGAAATAGAACTGTTCGGCGAAAAAAAAAATTCTTAAAGATGACAAAATTAGGTCAGTTACAAAGAAATTGACAAAAAAAAGTTGTGAGAAACCTGCGAGTGATACGTTGACATCGAGAGCGGCTCTCAGACGATTGATGAACACTGAGAATCGGTCGATGTCCCGTCGGATCGCCGTCGGAATCTGAAACCTTTTTCTGAAAGAGTGTGTGTTTTTTGACACGGACAAAGTCCTTTAAACAAGGAGAGTCATTTTACTTTGCGGTTTGGAATTTCTAAAAATTGACCGAAACGCTTCTTGATGTACCAGATGGTGATCCTGGAACTTGCACAGCTATGGGTTTTCTTATCCTCCCAGTTTTTTCTCATTAAAGCATCGATAAAAAGGAACAGTCAGAAAAATTGATCAAAATTAGATGAAATTTTTTCTAGTGCACCTAAAAATGAAACGTCAAACTGCGAAACTCTTGATCAAACTTTAACTTCTTCACGATTTTTAACGAAGTTTTCACGAAGCTAGAGTTTAATTAAAAACCGCAGAAAAAGCTGCTACGACAAGGGCGATTTTACCTTTTCCGAAGGGTACTGTATGTGAGTCCGCATTTTGCGCGTGCATTTTGTGTGTTGGCACCTTTCAATCCATTTCTTTAAATATAGAACGAAACAGGAAAGAACGCGAAAACTGAAAGCGATGAGACCACACAGATTGTGCAAAGAGAACACGTTAAATGCGGACTTTCACGTACAGTACTCTTCGAAAAAGGAAACTTCGTCCTTGTCCTAGCAGGGAAAAAAATGAATTTGAAATCGATTGGAATAGACTTTCGAAAAACAAAATGTACTAAAAAAAAAGGACCCTGGTGTCAATGATGAACTCGGCGTCATTTGACGAGCAGACGCTGCTCGTCGAAGACATCGGCCGCCGCCAATTCTTCTAAAAATAACCAGAAATAGAGATGAACTCGAAATGAAAAAAAAAAAGTCCGAGAAAGACGCGACAAATATGCATTTCATTCGGGGTTTTCTTGGAAAAACAAAGCAATTTCGATGCGGCAGATGCAAGTTTCTCGGCCTCTTTCCCCGCTTCCAAAAACATTTCAGAAACGGCACTTTCGATTAGAATAGTTCATTGGTGGCAGGAGAGCGAGTCGGGGCAAATAATGATCTTGACACGATCAGCGGAGGCTTATAGATCTTTACACTAACCTGAGCTTTTCTTGGCTCAAAAAGGAAGTGAATAGCTTATATGTAGATTCAGTAATTTATTCTGGAGCAAGGGTGGAATTTATGAGTGTTCGAAGTAGTTTTTTAGAATTTTATCAGAGTATAAGCTAGCAGAATAGAAATTGAATAACTTTAATTATGTAGTTCATTGAAAAGACGCTTCCTAAGTTCTTTCTAAAAATTATGATATGCGATTAAAATTGAAAGCAGAAAGACGCGAGTCAAAGTGGCAGACTTGATTTCAAAAAGCGTCTGACTGTTTCAAAAAAATTCAGGATAAAAAAATCTATCTAATTCCAACCGCCACGATTTGAGACATGCAACACGCGATCTCAACTTTTGGATTGAAATGAGTAAAATTCTTAATAATGAATTTTTTTAAATTTTTTTCATTTCCAACATAAAAAAATAACCAAAACTCACCACCAAAAAAACGACCATGCTTAGGAGCGCCAGAGAGGTCCCACTAGGGGTTGGTAGAAAAAACAAACCCTATAAAAATTAATAAGTGGCTCTTAAATAACTTGAAAGTTAAAAGATATGTAGGAAGTACTTTTTGTTCCCTAGCCTAGAGGGGCTGTTATTTCTCTTATCTAAATAGATTAGGCAAGAAATGGTGTAAAAATCACTCCTTTTTTTCAGTATGGTTCTCGTTCTGCATCATATTCATCATTTTTGGTCTATTTTTTTCTTGACTTAAATCAAAAAAATGAATACACGAAATCAAAAAAAGACTCTAAATTTGAAATTTCTACGAATTGAAAAACCAATGAGAATGACCACAAAGCTTGAACAAAAGAAGAAAAAAATGAAAAAAAGCTATCTTCTTTCTGAATAAAATATCAGTTCTCATTAGAAATTCGTCACGATCAAAAAAACCCCCTAAAATTAGAATTCAAGATTTCTTCCAGAAGACAAAAATTGGGTGTCACGGTAAACACGCAAATATTATGAAAAGTCGCGAAAGGGTCAAAAATGAAAGACAAACCGAAAGAGAGAAAAAATGTTTGGGGTTAAACAAAGGGTGGAGAAAGTTTGGTTGGCTGTACGCCAGCCAAGCTGATCGCTATCGTTCCCGTTGGGCCTCGTCTTTTTTCCACACACGTTTTGAAAAATGTTGCAAAGCTTTTGAACCTTCGTCTGTGGATCGTAAGGTTATGTTCAACTGTGGCTCTTAAGTCGAATGTTCAGTAACAAGGAGATACGAAGAAAAAGTGCCACGTTATTGAGCTTTTCCTCGAATTTTTCAACCAGCTTACTCGTTTTACGCAAAAGCTTTATTAAACTTTAATCCGGCGGAAAAAGCAAAGAAATATTGCGAAAAATGTTTCAAGAAGGATCATTTAATTGAGGAAACGGGAAAAAAAAAATGTCAAGTGTAAGAAGGAAAAATCTAAAAAAATTTTTTAAAGGTGAAACATCCTTTTTGGATGGGTCAAACTTGGTGGAAAAATGTACTCTATGCAAGAATTCAAAAAGATTTTTTTCGTAAGTCTTGAGATACATTTTTTTCTTCAAAAAGTACAGAACTTTATGAAACTCTAGGATTCATAAAAAAACTATCGAATGACCTCATTTTTTTGCTTCACCCTATTGGGCCTATTTTGAGCATATTTTTTAAAGGGAAAATTTTACCTTACATTTTCCAATCAATCAAAAATCTCAACAGGTTGAGCTCAGGATTTCCGAAAAAAAAAATATTGAACAAAAAGAGATGGAAAGAAGTAGAAAAGGAAGATTGAGTGAGGTGCATGAAATATGAGGAAACGAAACCGTTTTTCGGTGTGTATGCCAGAAAATGGCCTACAACGAGCGGAAAACTAAGAGGCGTAGAAAACGGGACGGCGGCGAGACTGCGAGAGGAAGATCCGCCGTCAGAACAAAACGCGGCGGCGTGCACTGTCCGACGTCTTCTGACGGCGCCGTTCTTTTTTTTCTTCTCTTTTCATTCTTCATCCCGCAGAAAACGGACGCAAAGTAGAGCACTTCTTTTGCTACTTTTCTCTGCTGGGTGATTGGCGTGATTGGATTAATGGTATGGCCGAGAAGTGCATGATAAGATGAGTAAAAAACAGAACTTGAAAGGAGGAACCCATAGGCGAAGATTTGCCGTTGAGAGCTAACTTTTCTCAGATGTTCGGCGAAAATATTGAAAAACGGTGAAAAATTAAAAATTCGCCTGCCATTAAAAGAAAAATATTTTTTTTAAATGTTATCAAGTAAAAGAAGAGCAGAGGAACAACAATACACGGAATTTTCACATGAAAAGCTTGAATCGGAAGATTCTTCAATTTGTTCCGAAGGGTTTCTGGATTGACGTTAGAATCTAAATATGGAGTTAGTTTATTCCAAATAGAAATAGTTCTAGAAAATAAGTCATTAGAAAAATGACCAGCTTTTTGTAAGCAAAGAGGATTTCTCTATAATTAGGATTGAAAGAAGCATTTATTGCGAGCGAGGAAATGATCAGAGCCACATATGTTTTTTTTTAAGGAGATAAAATCAAAAATTTGACGGCGAAGGTTTGATATTAAATTGACTAAAATGGTGATTCAAACGAAAAAAAAGACGACCTTTCAAATCCAGATATTTCAGGACGCTCTTTTTTTGAATTTCAATTTTCTAAGCACCTGTAGCAGCAATATGTAATATGAAAGCGGTCCAACTAGAATTCTCCTATGAGGTTTTCAAAGTTGTTATATTGACATTTATCAAATTAAAAAGAAATTCGAAATAATAACTCTGAGAGAAATGTACAAATAGAGTTATTATTTTTCTTCAATTGAAAAAAAATCGAGTAGAGAAAAAAGAGTGCAAAAAATTCTTCGAAAAATTCTCAGATAGATTACGCGAGAAAGGTGGAAAAGTCTTTGAAAAAAAAAAACACTCAAAGTTCAAACGATTCTAAAAAAGATGTGAAAAGCTCCAAGCTCCTGTTTTAACCTTTGGATAAGGAACACTTCTCATTTTAGTGGTATTCAATCATTTTCCCCTTTCGAAGCTTTCTTTTGAAGTTAGATACTTTTTAAGCTTAACGCCTTTCTAACAAAGAAACTATGTGAAAGAAACTATGAAGCCTTCAAAAACATTTCTAAAAAACTTATTCCCAGCCCCAAAATCTTTCTCAATCTTCTCTTTTTTAAGCTTTTTGAGCACCAATTATTAAGCAGTGAAAGAGTGACGAAACCGCGAAATTTGAGCACCAGGAAACTTCCACCTCTGAAAAAAAAAAAGAAAAAATCCTAAATTCATCTAAAAAAAAAAATTTTCTTCTTGAGACCACGGTCAACCTAGAAGTATAAATGTGAAAAGCTCTGAAGAGATTTTTTGTACTAAAAAAAAAAAGAAAAAAGAAAGGATTTGACCAGCGAACACAAGACATAGAGACACAGAAACCGTGGCAGATCGCTAACAGGGCCGTTAATAGCCGCCGCCCGTCATCTTCTGCCACGACAACGACGACAGCTTCTGCCTCGAAAAACCAGAAGTCTTTTTTCGCTTTTCCTTCACCGCCGCCGTCGCCACCGCGTTCTTCGGAACAACCTTGACCCGAACCGGGTGGCTCATTACGGTTTGTCAAAATGTTATCTTATCGATTTCGTCGCGCTTTGCACTTTGTTAAGCTTGTTTCGAAGGAGATCGGTGACGACTTCCGAAGGGAATCATTCGAAATATTTCTTTCACTTCCTAGTTTATCGAAATAAAAGCAATGCGAAAGCGTAAATCCCCTAGTTTCTTCAAAACATTGCTCAACAGTGTCGGAATTTCTTTAAAACTACTGAATGAATATTTTGATAAGATCAGACCTTATCAATCAAATTATATGAAAAATCGACAATATTTAAAAGAAAGGCAGCAACATCACGCGCTAACATTTTTTGACACCTTTTTCAAATCCAAAATCATATGCTTCGCCTCCAACTTTCTCAACATTTGAATATGAAAAGTTTTTCTTTCTTTGTGATTCCGGGTAGAACAGCTGTTTTTTTCATCGGAAAATACAAAAAATTCGTTTTAGGCTGTTTCTTCAGAAAGAAGTTCCAAAGACACGAAATGGTTCAAAAAGTTTACAGACCAACTTAACTTTAATATATTCGAAAAACATCCAAAGAGTCAGAAGATTAAAAAAATTTGAAGTTCCAAAAACATAGATCTCGTAGGAAGTTTGGACAAAAAAATAATGTACACAGAAATTAGATTACAAATTGTCGAGCCAGATGTTTTTCGAAATACTTAATTTTAGCCAATTCCTGGCTGATTCAGGTTTCGTCTACTTTCAAAGTTTTTCAAATCATAGACTCTTTTTTTGCATTCTTAACCACCAGAATAAGCTTTTTTTAATCGACAAGATCGAAAACATACAAAAAAGACCCATGAGAATCCAGTACACAAGAGGAGCCAGAATAATCTGTTTATGTATCGAAGAGATTTTTATTTCATGTGAACGCTAGCTTCTGCCTCCGTTTTAAAAAATTCTCCACTGGAAATAACGGAAAAGTAACCCAGAAAACTTCTGCAAGGGTCTGAGATGTTCAAAAGAAGAAAAATTCAAAAAAAGAAGAGAAAACATCTCAACTTGGGGAAAAAGACTCTCGGTTTGCAGTTACATTAATCATCAGAACACAAGGAATAGAGAAGAAAAAAATTGTGCTGGAAGAGAAGAAACGGCGGAAAAAAACGCGGAAAAACCGCACGCCCTGTCAGGTCGGGGACAAGCTTCTGTTTATCCAGAATATGCTCCAAGGCGCCGATCCGTTCCTTTTCCCAGAAACAATGTCAAATAAATAAATTTGAATGATTTGTCCATGTAAGTCCTTTCTCTGCCCTGCAGTAGAGCCCACTCTTTTAAAAAACTGAGTTTACAAATCAAGTTCAGAAAAAGCAAGAAAACACAGAACTTAAGATTTTCGAGGCCGAGAAGCCCAAAAATCTTCCTGAATAAGTTCTCAAAACACAAGTTTAGCTACTCTCAAGAAGACCGTTTCTTGGAACCTCATTTTCCTCTGAAAAATATAGTCAAATTTTCCCGACTTGAAAATCGAGACGCGTAGATTGGCAAAGGTGAAGCGTTGCGGTCACGATGCGCCGTTTTGCCCGGGAGCTCGGCGTGAAGTTTGATCATAAAAAAAATTTGGTTTCTATTATTCTTATATATTTATTCGCTTAGCTGCATCATTTCAAACTTTAAATTTATAATTTATTCCAAAATGTTCGAAAAAAAGGAGGAAAAAGGTGGCTCGCGTTCAACCTGGAGCTCCCGACCAAAAAGCCGCTTCGCACACCCAACGCTTCACGCTTGCCAACCTACCAAACTCGCCTTTCACGTCGGGAAGGATTGACTATATATTCAGAGCAATTTTTCGCGATTAAATCGTTGGAATCTAAATGAAACGACGGCAATCCAATACTAAGTCTTAGATTTTCTGGCCAAATCTCTTCGAAGATATCCAAAAGAAAGCGGAAGTGGTGGTGGCGCAAAAAAAGGACAAAGCCGAGGAAAAGGACGAAAAGAAGGCGGTTGGAAAAGGACGAACGCTGGCGGCAAAATAGGTCGCAGCTGCACATTAAACACATTAAACGAACGAAGACGGCTCTTGCCGGGCCCGGCTCTGCGCAGGTTCGAGCCGTGTCAGTGTAAGAGTCGACGCGGCGGTCAACAAGTTGCGATCCGGTGACAAACCAGCAAAATTACAGCCGATTGGTTAATGGTTACATCTTTCAGTTACTTCTTCACTCAATTTGGAGACAAGGTCTCCCACATATTTACAAATTGGAAGTCTTTTTTTGGAAATAATGTTGAAATTGTTGCAAAAAGAAGCTGCAGAGTTAAAAATACGTAGTTTGCGGTAAAAACGCTTTGAAATAATTTCTTCAAGAGTTTTGCTGATACTAAAATACTAAGGAAAATCGCTTTGAATGAGAAGAAGCGAATAGGAAGAAGAACTTCGAAGGAAGTCAAGAAAAAGTTCAGACTTTGCCCACGTTTCAAACTTGAAAATGGTAGACATAGCTAAGAAAGTACAGAACTCATTCAGCCAGAAGATTTGGCTTACAATTATTTTTGGAAAATTGGGAATAAGGTCAACTTTTAACCTCGACGGGGGTAGCCACATTAACACAAGTTTTTTTGCCTCAGGAGGGTTAACTGTTATTTAGGAAAACTTGTGAGGAGGGATCGGCGATCTAAAAAAATGGTTTTCTCATTTATGATGGTAGATGAAAACTTCTGGAACTCATAATAATTTCCGAAATCCTAAATAGTCTTAAGGCAGTTAGCCTAGAAAAAAATTTAATTTAAAAAAATGATAATAATAAGAAACTTCTTTTCTCGCATTTTGTTTTTGAAGACTGTTTTTCTGAACCAAAATATAGCCTTCAGAAAAAACATCAAAAAAAGTTTTTTTCGGCTCAAAATTCAAGTTAAAAAAACTATTAATTCCCATTCTTTTACTTTTTTTAAACTCTATCAGACCTAGATGTGTTTATCAGTCTCTCCTTCGGAGCAGACTTGAAAAGGACTACTTCCAACTAGGGTAAAACTAAAAAGTTCCTCAGAAAGAGCTTCTAGGATCTTTAACAGATGTTTCATTCTAATTAAGCATCTTTTACATTTCCTCTCATAAAAAGATGCTGAAAAACAACTGAAAATATTTCAGGGGATTCAAAAAGAATCTCAAAAGACTTCTCTCCACCAGTTTAGGAGCTTATAGGAAAACTTTTTTAGCTCCTTCTGAGGGTCCTTAAAGGAATTTTCCCGTTTTGCCTATGGATGATATTGCGCAAAATGCCTTAGAAAACAGATTGACAGTGAAAAGAGGGCAAAATACGTGGAAAATAGGCACTAACCGGCGTGTTGACGGCAAGTAATCCGTCGACGCGGAAAACGCTTGCCGGACTTTCCCACTCTCAGCCAAAAGTCAACAAAACGTGGCTGAAGTGAGAGAGAAGGAGGGAGAGCAACTAAAAACGACGCCGGCACAAAAAATTCAGAGAGAAAAAGAGCGGTCGTACTCTCTTTTTTTTCTTGTTCTTTTCAGCGTGTTTGTAAATGGCGACTGGTCTCCGCGGCACGTTTTGGAATCAAATCAGTTGAGGTTTGATGGTTGGTTATGCATGCATGGGTTGGAAATAGGAACGGTTTGTTGAGGAACACGTTGTCCTGGAAATATCTAGACATTCAAATGCGTTCATGAGGAAAACAGGGAGAAGATTGGCTGGATTTGTGTGACTTTATTAAGCTCGTTTGCTTGGTTTAAACTTTAGAGTCCGTTGGGTCGCTGGTTCAAGTCCCATTGAGGTTTTTCAATATTGTCAAGATTAATAATGGTAAAAAAAAAAACTGAATCTCTACGTTGAAAAGTAGTTTGATGAATTATACCTTAAATTTTTTACTCCGTTACTAGTTTGGTTGGATACGAAAAAAAGAATCTAAAATAACTAGCTTTATTGGACCCGAAATTGCACTCAAGATGCGGCGGCTTCAGAGAAGAACTTCCAAGCGCCCAATTTGCTTTTAGGATGTTTCGAGTTTTAATCTGATAGGTTTTCTAACTATTGCTTAACGGAAAGCCCCAAATTTGGTTCTACTGTACTCATTTCCAAAAAAAAAATCACTTGCACCAAAAAGCCGAAGCGTGAGACGACAACAAAAAGGGTTTTATTTAGGGGTAAGCTAGGAACAAAACAACTCGGAAAATTCAAAAAAGCCTGTAAATTGACCGAACGTGAATAAAACAAAACGAGGAAAATCGAAACGTGTAATTTTCGCTTGAAACTTATTCAACCCAAAACGCGCTGAAAGACCATCGAAAAAAGAAACAAACGTATATTTCTTTCAAAAAGCTTTTCCCATTTTGAAAAAGGCTTATAAACATCGAAAAACTTTTAGAAAAATGTTATCAATCTTATCATATCTTTGAAGTTTTAAAAAAATTAAAAAAATATAATAATAGTCTTCATAAAACTCTAAATTTGAAAAATTCCAGGCCTTAGAAACAGATTGAAATACGCAGCTAACCCCTCACGTCTAATAAAAAAATTTCTCCTCACGACGTATTTTTTTCCCACGCTACTCGTCGAAATAGGGAGCCAACCGGTCCCAAGAACACCGTTCAAAGCACTTTTATGGACTCACTTTTGGTAGAGCAAAGAAAAAGAAACGAGCCATTTTTTTCTTGTCTTCCACTTGTTCTTTAAAAACCTGAACATTTAAATAATATAATCAATTTTGATTCAAAGTACGCAATGACCAGCAAAGAACAGATTATAAAAGCCATGAAAAATATCAACATTTATTATTATTCCCGGTTTCAATCGAATGCGATTATTTATAAAATCCACCGATAACTTGTGTCTATTTTTCAATGTTATTCGCTGAAAATTCAAATAACTTATTATATATATTTTTTTCTTTGGAGTGACAAGTTAGCGGTGAATGAGGTTTCGAGAAGTTCCGATTTAATGTTGGCAGAAAGGTGTCGCAGAAATGGCGCGTTTCGAACAGAGAGCTGTCCTGAGGTCGTACTCGGCTTCTGGTTCTCGTCGTCCATCGATTATGATCCAGGGCACCTAAAATGATCAAAAAATTCGAAGGAAAGCACAAAAAATTGGGAGAAGTCACAGAAATGAAGAAAAAAGGTTTCAAAAACTAAGGAAGCGTGGCTCACGAGGAAGTGTCAAAGAAGAAAAGCCCAGATTTCGGTCAAAATTCGGTTAAAGATAGTCCTTGATATGAGTACTCAAAAATAAAATTACGGCTAAGCACCATAGAGCACTGAAAAACAGACCGTCGAAAATCAGTTTTTGAGCTTTTTTGTCCATTTTCGGCAGGCTATTTTGACTTCTCTACGTCGTTATGACTCCGGTAAACGTGAATACATGCATTTTACACAAAAAGCATTATTTAAAGAAAGAAAATGCTGTACCCAGTCGAGATTAGGAGCGATTCTCTTTCTTTCGTTGTTCTGCTGCACGAGAAGCTTCACTCCGAGCTGGCTCTTTGCACAGCTGGCCATACTAAAAAACATTTTTTTTTTAAACATAACCTTGAATAATGGTTTATTCTATGTTTTCCTTCCTTGCAAGATATAAAACTTTTCTCGAATCGTTAGGAAAGGTACGAGGTGAAAAAGTTCACAGCATATTTTTAATAGATGGACATTTCTACGTTCAAAGCGATATTCTCTAAAAAAACATGCTACGTGCCTGAAGAAAGCAAAAGAGATCAAAAACAGAAAACAATGAAAAAGCGCATTCTAAAATGGGAACGATAATTGGAAGTTTAAAAAGAGTAAATGGAAAATCAAAAAGAAAATAATTTGAAAATCTTGTATTCATATGCATAGAAACAAACTTGGCTAAAAATTAATTCAGTTATCTTCCTATTCTTCTTGTCGAATGGCGGTTTTTCGCAGTTCCCTCATTTTTAAGACTCGATTTACCAGAATATCTATCAACATAAAAATACTTTTTTAATCGTTCTCATTTGTATTTGCGTGTTCAAAATGATTTTTGCGAAATTCAAAATTATCTCTGACCCTCCAAAACAGCATTTTAATTGCTTCAATATCCGATAAATAGTTCTCAGAAATCGCTAGTTTTGTTGGAGGTACAAAATTTTCAAAATTACGATTTTTTGCACAACTTACAAGCTGGAGTCGAGTTCTGGCCGTGGTTCGGCGTTTTCGATACACTCGGAAATAGCCGATCGGAAGGAGCTTCTTCCTTGTATACAGACAACTGAAAAAGAGTCCTTTCAACAGAAAACTTGCCAAAAACAGTTTTTCATGCAAAATGTCTATTATCAAAGTTCCCAAAACTTTTTCGAAAGAATATCTTTATTTTCTAATTTTCCAACAACTTGAAGTTGTCCCCATCGCTCAGCTGCTGTAAAATTCAAATTTTAAAGAGCCCTCTGAAACTTTCGAGGTCGTCGATCAGAAACAATTTAACGACGGCACGACGGTCAAAAATAGAAGTTTTCTTTGAGATCCAAAAGAAATAGTTGCTAAAACGACTGGTTTTTGAATTATTCCTGTTTTTGTTAAACTCTAAGATGGTAGGAAAAAAAAATCTTCTTGTAGTCCTCTTAAAAGTAAAAAACAACAGCAGCGTTAGTAGTTCACTGAGCAGAGATTTACTTTTTTTTTCTTGAAAAAAGTTTGATTTTTAAATGAATCGAAAAAAATATCTGTTTTTTTCTTCTTGGTCCTTTGTTCTCTGAGAGGCAAAACTCTGACTCATATCCATTCGAATTAAATAGAACACTCCGTTTAGATTCCTATTCAAAGATATTTTTATTGAAAGGAAAAAAATGTCATGTTTATTGGAGTTAAAATGAGTACACACGTTTCAAACGCCCATTCTGAAATTTTCTATTCAATATTGTGTCAACTCTCGAACAAGATTGCAACAATTGGGCGAGATTTTATGAATTTGGTCGGGTCAGCTTTTCTGGCCAAACCCAATATATCAATACCTTGCATTCGGCCTCAAAAGTTGGTAAAGCCTTACCGACGGGCAGGTAGAGCTGAGGAATCTCCAGAGCCGAGATGACGCACGACTGGAGCTGGTTGAGCAAACATTCGCGGTCGCCGTGCTGACACTCGCATCTGAACGAGAATTCGTTGGGATTTCTCGAGTCTGATTAGGAATCTTCAAAACTTCAATAGCGTCAAAACGAGACGCTTTAACAACATCCTCAAACTGGCCAAAACAATGGCGAATACTTTACCAATCGTCAGCTCAATTATCTCGAACGAACTCCGTTCTGAAGACTTTTCCTTAAAGCCTAGTTGCCTTTCGAAAAATGTTTGGGCTAAAGCTTCCATCTCACGAAGCTTTTCTCATTCAAAATCGGACATGATGATTTTTTATATTGCTGAACAAGAGTTGATCCAGAATCTAATTATTTTAAATGAGGTAGGCGATAGAAACTATTTATTGATTCCTGTGCTACTTTGAAGGATTTGGAAAAAAATATGCATCAGTAAGAAGTGAAAAGCCGATGGAAAAATAGAATATTCCATTCAAAACTGCGAAGAAAAAAAAGAAAATGAGAACTTTCTTAAAAAAACTGTATCCGTCATTTATTTTTTTCCTCGAAACAACGGGTCTTCTCATATAATTTTTTTAACAATTTCTCAGGTTACTCCGTAAAAAATTTTTTTTCTCCAACACCAAGAAAGTATATTCAATTAACGGTTCTTTCTTCAAACTACCTGTACAGTCCATTTTCCAGGTAGCATTCCGATTGAACTCCCGAAGGATGGTACTTCAAAATCAATGATCCAGTTCCTTCTAACGCTTTTGCTGTCGGTAAAAGATGCTCTTTCAGGAATCTGCAAATTTAACTTCAATACTTAAAAGCTTAAATACATATCCATGAGGGACCTTTTCCAGGAAAGTTTACAGCTTTCCCGTCATAAACTTCTATCTTTTACGACATTTTGAGATTCTGAAACTGTAACAAAACGCCAACGCTCTTTCCTTTATTATTCCGGGTGCCTTTCTCAATTCTTTTTTTAAAGGAAAAGCACCAAAAAAAGTTTCTTTGTTCCCTATTCAATGAAATTTTCTTCAGAAAAATTTTTCGGCTATGAAAGGAATAGTTTTTTTATTGAAATTCTCTCACAATTTGAATAAAAAAAGAATAAAGAATGACTTTTTCATTGGAAAGCAGTGAACCAAGGAATCAAAAATGTTTAATTAATTGTTCTTCCCGGTCGAAAAAAACAATTTCAATGCAAGGAAAAAAAGAATTCCAGACTTCTTATGCTTGAAAAATTTGTTCAGCTTTTTATTATTTATGAGAGCAAATCAAACCAAAAAAATAAATAAAAATGTTTTCGAAATGGCAACGAATAATTGATCATTCAAAAACATCAAAAGATTTTTTTGGTCTTCCGTTCTTTTCGATGAGATTTCAGTTTTTTTGGAAAAACTGAAAATAAAAGGCAAAATGTAGATCTGAAAGCAAACTCTTACTTTGAAATGGGTATTAACTAGAAAATTCTAATAATTCTCCTAGTTTGAAAATCACAGTTTGAGCTGTTAGGTGAGAAACTAGAAAAAAAAACATTGTCTAAAATATTTGAAAAATAAAGATGAAGGAGAAACGACGAAAAAAATGAACTTTCAAATGTTCGAATTCCTTAGAAAAGGTATACATTTCTCCCATCCAAAACTTCAAACACAATGATCGCTCGTGGAATGGCTCTGAGAACCTAAAGCTAGTCGCTCAAATGCTTTGCCATGACCCCGTTTTTGGTCGGAAAAGCCTCAAAAGCTGACTGTCTCGACCCATTCAACGGGCGGCCGAAGATTTTCGAAATTGAGAAAATAAATTGGTGGGACATTATAAAGACAACTGGAGTAGAACATGATGGAAAACCTGGTGGTGTCGGGACAAAGCGACTCGCCGAAGACTTCCAGCATAACCGGCGGATCGGCGACGTCGGCCACGCCGAACATGCGTCGGTAGGCTTCGAGTAGTGGCGAGTCCGACGCAACGGTTCCTATAGCCGCGAAGGTCAGGAAGACCGCCACGCGTATCATTGTCGCACACTTATAATGAGGATGGGACTCAACTGAAAAACAACCGTTGGGACCGACGTTTATCACTCTGAATGACGCGTCCAATATCCGCTGATCAATCTGATTTGCGCACAAATATTGAGTCATTTCGCGTGGTTCCAAGACATTCTCACTGTTTACTTGTTTACTATGCGTAATTTCGAGTATTGCACAAGTTGATTCACAAAAACTTGTCGAGATGTCTGAAAGAGCAGGGAGAGGGAAAAAAAGTTTAAAAGTTCCGACGTGACGTATTTTTGAGACCTCATTTTTTGCCTAGTACTGGTGAAACCTTTTTGGAAAGAATGTAACAAAAATATAGGCCAATGAATATTCATCAAAAATGTTTGACAAAATTTAAAAAAAGTTCACTTCACATTGTTCACACGATGTAGTGAAAATAATATTTTTTTCAAGACCAAAAAAATTATAAGGCTTGTTGTTTCTTGATACTGAAAGTAATGAGAAAGTTTGCAATTAAAAAAAATAAAGCTATTTAAAAAAATTTGAAAAAAATTTAAATGTAACTGGGAGCTCTGAAGAGACGGTGCCTCGTCTGTTGCAGGAAAAACCGTTTGCAGCATTTCCGGTACCCCGGGGCAGACTCCGCCCACCGCTCTTTTTTTTTCTCGTCTGTCGCCTCCATCAAACATTTTGCATGGAGATTTTAACGGAATCTCGTAAAACTGCGCTGATCGTCAATTGATTGCTGGGAAGGAAGGCCAGACGAAGCGGAGCCCTTCCGCGCCCCACTGATAACACACCATCAGCGACCATTTATCAACTGGAATCCGGCCTTCAGAAGTTCGGTCAAGTATTTCCCCAAATCTTTTTCTGTTGACCTTTTTTTGGGCTTGATTGAAAGAACAAAAACTTTAGCATTTTTTATTTAGCTTCTTTCCTTTTTTTCTGATAATACCTAGGCATTGAGCTCGAGCTTTGAAACTGTGCGCATTCTTGAAATTTTGATACAATTCCCAGAAAAAATTAGCATCAGAAAGTTAATCCTTTCTAAAATGCCTATTGGATCTTTCTTAACGTCCTCGGAAATTTTCAAATCTCGATTAATACATTTTTTTGTAATATTTAATTCCATGATTCGCCGAAAAGTTTTTGTAAAATGGTTTTTCAGATATTTGAAATTTTTTCGTGCGATTTTCGCTACACTTCGTTGACATTGGCGCTTACTTGAACACGATAGTAATAATAAGTTCGAAATGAAAATCGAAAAATATTTTTCCCGACCTTCGGAAATAAACAAATACTACTACAAAGAAAAAAAATGAACCAACATTTTCTCCCTTCTTCCATCGCAGTTTCCCAACGGATTGTGGCGGCATTGATATTGATCTGAAATTGAAATTTCTGAGTAATCAAGTAATATTTTGAGGTCAACTACAGAGATAACGAGAAGACTTCTTCCGGAAGCTCTTGATAGGTGTAAACAAAAAAACGCACAAAACAGGAGACGAATTCCATAAATTTTCACGTGATAATTCAAATTATAAAGAAAAAAATTGTATGTTAATACCGAGCACGCCTTTTTAAGGCGGCCTGTCGTATTATAGTAGTTTAGATAGATTTTTCGGTATTAAATTCAAAACTTGTGTACTTCTTGTGACATAACTTATCTTGAAACTTCGAGAAATAGGTCCTTAACGAATTGCAAAAAAAAAAAAATGTCCTGGCTCTGAAACTGACGGCGCAATATTAACGATTCGTGGAGCTTTTTTTCTTATTAAATCAGTCAAAACCTTCCGTAAATTAATTTTCACGACGTTTTCATTGGAGAAACGAAACGTGCTTCAAAACGAAAAATCGTGTTCATCGGAGAAACGAAACATGCTTTAAAACGAAAAATCGTATTCATCGCGCCAAAATTGCTCCAAAACAGTACTTATTTTTGTTTTAGAGCAATTTTTTGCGTTTCGATGCAATTTTCGTTTTGTCCGATGTAAAATAAAATTTAAAAAAAAATTTTGATTGCAACCGGTTGCATACAGTGCGCGATTTATATGAGTATGCAAGTTAGCGCCGTTCTGTATATGCACCAAAGACGTCATACTTTACGAAAATTGTGGGCGGGGCGTCGTAAAAAAAAAATTCAAACTACGTCAAAGGAACTAGATAATAACTTTTTATTATTAACTGATTAAATTAAAAACTATAGTTTCCGAAATAGAGTGATTCTTTTCATGTGGCGAAACAGATTTCAAAATTTTGAAAAATTAGGACTTTTAGAAAAATCTTCAACTCTTTTGAGAAAAAAGTTAAAGATTTGAAACTGGTTTAGAAAAGTGCGCAATTTAAAGCTCCACAAGATGTACCCATAGAGAGGCGGATCACATAAATGCAAGAAATAGAAAAAAGTAAAAACCCAATGAAAAAAGTGAAGAAATTCAATTTTTGCATCAGAAACCATGAGAAGGGCGCAATAATGCGCCACGGATAATATGCCGCTGGGACCCAAAATTTCGCATTTTTTTTTCATTGCGCGGAACACCGTGTGCTGTGATATACTCGCATGCTGAGCAGGTGTCTCGACGGGTATACCCGTATTAAACCCATGTTTCTGAGGTTATTTTAGTCTCAGTTGGGCTGACACGGGGGAACAACGGGTGTAGGAGAAATACGTAACCCAGCTGTGCTAAAGCGGGGTCTCAGTTGGGCTAAAAATTAAACCTCTGAATTCAAACTGTTTTTTGCAATGCAAATTTCTCTCTTCATCAAAAACCAATACGTATTGTTTTTATTCAGCATTATAGATCGAAAAATACGAGATTAAGAGTACCGAGAATGGATTAAATATTTGCAGCAGTGAGTTAGCAATTGTTTTCCATTAATAAGTTGATCATCCTGCCTTGTGTAGATATCTAGTCCGTACTGACCTTCTTCCGGGAACTCGATTTGAATAGACACCTGTAATATCCATTTTTCAATTTCTGTCTTCCCCAACGATTTGAACTCACAACATCTCCTCTCAGAGTAGTTCGAGTACAGTTTTGCAGAGCTCTGTCTTCTGTTCGGTTACGATGTAATGAGGCAACAAACTCAGAGAGTGGACGAGTCATCCTGAGACGAAAATTTCATTTTTAAAATGAATTTTTTTATTCTGCTCACAGAGATGAACATTGAAAAATATTTTTATATTATATCTAATAAAAAGAACATTAGGTACGAAGTTCGAAGAGACCAGTTTTTTTACCTAGGAGGCAAAAAAATTATTATAGTTCTAAATCATCGATTGGGGAAAGTTATCACGAAAATTTCTTCATTCTAATACCTGAATCGAATTTCCGCATGTCGCCCAGTGTTAATGATTGCTTCCGGATGAGAAGCTGCCAAAAGTCCGAAAAGTCGCGTCGCTTTTGCCGGACCCCATTCACCTGCAATTTTCCTGTGTGGTAGTTGGAAACTTTTTGGAATTAAAAGTAAAGAAATAAATATACCTGATGCGCACTCAGGCAACGGCACCATGATGACTTGCAAAGATTCGCAAATAACCTTGAAATTTGATATTTTTATTACTTATAAACCATTATAGATTCACTTTGAACTTGCAAACACTCTTGAATTTGATGGGTTGGCCTGTCAAATAAGCTCCTGAAGTGACCGAATTGGCAAAAATGTCTAAAAGCAGCGGTCGTGTGGAAGGCGCGTGTACTCGGAACGTGACAATCTGAAGTTGCTCATTTTTCACAAATTTACTAGCTGGAGTAGTGAATTATATAAACGAATGTTAACTTATTATGGGGATTGCGCTATTTAAGTAACATTTGATTTTATTTTTCTACTTCTAAACGTTTTATCGGAATATTTCAAAACGAAAAAAAGTCAAGATCAACCTTTTTTTTCAAAAGCTATTTTTCAGTTAGGATTTAGTCTTACGTCGTCTGTGACGGATTGCATGACGAATCTTTTCAGTGACAGTCCATTGATCGTAGTTTCTTCAGAATCGAAAAATTTCAAGTTATAATGAAAAATGAGCGAATCGCCATTTGACGGGAGGCGAATAGAAACTGTAGCTGCGCCCGTTCGATCTGTCTGGAAAAAAATTTTCAAGTCAAGTCTATTACAAAATCAAGTTATTAGGGTGGCAGGAAAGAAATGCGTGTTTTTGATGTAAATTTAATTTTATCATAAAAACAAGGTTCCCAGAAATCTATTCGAACTGTAATTCCCATCTGTATTAGCACCTTGTCAACAATGCTCACGCAGAGAATGGATACTCTCTCTGACAAACTGGGCCGCCTACGAGTCAAAGAAGTTGCACCCCCAAATTTGGACTTTATCGGAGTTTTTCAATTTTTTTTTGGCTGTTTAGCGATCCAATGATTCGGACAGATGATAAATGCGAAGAGCCATGTCTGAGCATTGTAGCGGAAAAGCAGAAATTTGCAGAACAATTTTTCTGATTTTGGGCTAACACATTTTCGCAAAAAAGCGAAAAAGCGATATTGTGAACCCATTTTTCATTTCTCCTTTTTGCACTCCGTTGCGTAATAAAACTGTTTTCTCTTGCAGCTATGGGTGTGTATTAACTGAAGAGCCAGTTTCACAGGCGTCTGTTGTAGATCCAGTCTAATGGCCTTTTAAAATCGCCTTTATCGTCGATTTTTCCGTGTTTTTTGATTTCAAAGGTCTTTTCGCCTAGTGAATAGCGCTAAAGCAATTCAAAATGTTAACTATCAGAAAAAAGCATCAATGGTGATCATAATATTGAAAGGTGCCAAGCTTCTGAATTTGATTTGTACTTTTTTTGAAATAACGCGAAAAACTAGGTCCGCGAATATAGTTTTTTTGAAAGAAAGTTTTTCAGAGCTATTTTTTTCTTATAGAAAGGCGGAATGAAAGTCAGCAAACTATATATCCAATGGCGCACAAGGACAAGCCCTTTTCGACAAAAAATACCGTTCTAAATAATATTGCTTCTTGGATGAATTAGAAGCCGACAAAAACGAGCCGCATTTCTTTCATGCCACCCTAATATTTGCTTCCTTGAAAAAATCGTTATATGAACATAGCGTTTTGACTTTCAACATTCGTTTTTGAGCAATATTGAATCAGGTGAAGAATGACTTTTCGATTTTATTATTTTTATGGGATTGACAGACTTTCTATTTGTAACCTATTACTTTCGAAAGTAAAAAGCCGAAAGCTTTCGGCCGCTCTCTGTTCTGTTTTTGAAAAAACCTAGTTTTATTGTTTCCCGGAGTCCCGATTCTTGACTTTTTTTTTAAAAGTGTCTGGCACGCTTCCTAGATGAGCCTTCAGAAGTTTGAATTCTCAGTTAACACACAACATAAAATCGTAAATAGCCACTTTCTTGATTTTAAAATTTTTTTTTTGTTCAAACTATTAAATAGTTTGTTTTCTTCGTAACTGACACCTTTTGGCCGATGCCTGCTCTTTTTTTGAAAGCAATCAAGTTTTATCGTTCTCTGAAGCCCCGATTCTGACCTTTATTCAATTCTAGCACGTTTTAATAGTTTAGATTCACTGAAAAAGAGAAAAAATCGAATTCTCAGTTGATGTTTGTGACGTTTGTGAAGTCAATGATGGATGAGTACCGCTGAGCAAAGACTCACGTAAATGGTGCTTTCAAGGCGCGGGTCTGTGAAGGCGAGGTCGTACTTGAAAAAGAGCGATCTCACGAAAGGAATTCTCTCGAACTGATCGAGGCTGAGAGGGTGCGGCAAGAGCTGCCAAGCCTGCTCCGACGGGTAGAACTCGTAGATGAATTCCTGCACTTTTCGGTTCGAAACGAACGATTTGGTTCGAACCTCAGGATCGGTCATGAAGTAGTGATCGTCGTACTCGTACCGAAGATTTCCATCTGATTTCGCCTCGTGAGTTCCATCTTTAGCGTTCCTTCAAATGATTACTTCTCAAATCAATCACAGTTTAAGCAAAATATGATATTCAAGAAACAGCTTCTGGCGCAACTCACACCAAATGTCTTGCGCCCCAATTGCACTGGACAAAACGCCACGAGCCATCCAGAAATACAGCGTTCCACGTGTTTCTAAAAACTATTGTGATGAAAGAAGAAAGAATGGGAATACAGCTTTAAATTGAATTAATATTGGAAACTTGCCTGAAACGATGGTCGTCGAACGAATAACCGGGCTGATAGCCTGCTGATTTCGAAAAGCCTTTTATGACAACGCAATGTAGCCCAGCGTAACTGTAAAAGTGATCATTGAAAATAACTAAAAATTTTGGATTTTGATGAAAATTCGCTGCATCGTGTTCTAAAATTTCCCGATTCGATAAACCTAAATATGGTTTTTAGTTGAAACTTTTTGAGGATAATCACTGATGTTACTATCAAATTACAGATCGATGAAAAATTTTTTTTTGATGAAAAAGTTATGTCAAAACTAAAATCTAAGGCACTTTGGCAATTCTTTTCAATCAATATCCTCTAGGAAAAGGTCAAAAGAAAAATCAGAAGGAGAATCGAACTACGCGGACGTGTCGGAGCATTTATAGTGACCCCTTTAGTAGCGTCAGCCCTCTGAAATGATCCCTTGAATTTCTCAGCAAGTCCGGAGCGCGCCAGGTTTTCATTACAGAGGTCCCACAACCTGACTGGAAGGCAAAAATTGTAAATTCTTTCTCAGAGTCTAAAAAAAGGTCTCAGTACATCCGAGCAAAGTTGCATCAAACTTTCAAACTGCGCCTTTTTCCCTCTCTCGTGGAAAATTTTATTCAAGCTAAAATTCTAGTGTGGCCACGAACCTGCAGAGCCTCTTGAAAAGTACATGATAGCTCTCGGTTCCGTACTTGATACCGCGGAGAAGGCCCATCGGAGTGTCGCTCTGGACCGACTCGTCGAAGATCATCGTGTTCAAGTTTTTAATCGTGATCCAGCGATAGATGGCCCTGGAAAGCTGGTTAGAAGTTGGATTCCTTGTCTGGAACCTGGCAATGTCGACATCGGAACGAGCTCCACTGCTCAAAGTCCTTATCAAGTCGGTGAATGAGGCGACTTCGTGCCTTGCGCAGTGCATCGCCACCTCGTCGACCGACTGCAAAGCTGTTTTCCGTCCCTTCGCTGCCTTGGCTTTCTCACCGAGAAGAACTCTGTAGACGTGTAGATCTCTTGCTTGCTGCAGGTGGGCGGCATGGGCGGCGGTGGTGTCGACGGATACTGGTCACTACAGTACTCCTGAAATCAGATTTTTTGAAATTTTCATAAGGAGTTCCACTCACGGAACGAGAAGCTTTGAAGAGGTCGAGCATTTCTTTGGCTTGACGATCGACCAGCTCGGCCGTTTGATGCCTTTCCCTCTCCTGAAAAGATTCGACTCCGAAACTTGAATTTATATGCTCAGATTGTTTGGAAACTATTGAATCGACAATAACGAACCCGTCTCTTTGTATGAAGAGTTTCCAGTTTTTTCTCCCTTTTGATTGTGAGCTGTCTGATAAGGTCGTCCTTGCTCTTGGCTGCCGCCTGCCCCTTCTCGAACTTTTTCGCGAAGTCAGCCAAGGCTTTCTCCCATTCTTCCTTGAAAGATACTCCGTTGAAACAGCCTTCTCGGAAGAAGAACAGACCCGCGTCTCGTTTTCAAACTGTTCGCTCTCCTCGGCACGTCGGTGTTGAAACGTCTCGTAAAGTTGGTCCTCGTCTCTTCTGTGCAGAAGTTCGAGTCGCGTTTGCGCGTCATAGTCCTGAAATATTAATTATAGAAAAAAACGTTCAAAAAAACATTCAAAGTCTTCTTTTTAGGGATAAAATAGAGAAAAAAACCATTTGCCTTCAGGGGAATGACATCTCTAACTAGTAAGACCTTTTTTTACTCGCAATTGTCAAAATACAAACTCTAAGGCGTTATAGACTTCAAATCAGCGAGAAGGCTAAAAGAAGTTCAAAATACAGATCATAAAATAAAATTTCTTTCAAACTACCACTCATAAAAAAATTTGAAACTGAACTCCAAAAAAGGTCATTTCAGTGGAAAGTTCCTCAAAATTGCTACAAAACTTTATTTATTCGATGATTACAAGTCTGTTAGTGGTCAACTTCCCTCTGGACCTTTAAAAAGTGCGAGCTTGTAGGAAATGGGAAACCTTACACAAAAACGGTTTTGTCAGGAAATTCTCAATAAGCTTCCTTATCTTATCATATTTTTTAAAATTGTTGAAAATCGTATGAGACACAAGAGACATCAATGCAAGGCTTTTTGAACAACTCACAACGACGTAATGAGCGCCTTCGTGGTTGATCTTTGGGTAAGGCTTGGCGACCTGAGTTGCCTTCATCGCATGGGCGATTTTCATGTCATTGAGACCGGCATCTCTGAAATCGCCGTTATGCCCATTGAGGAAGCGACGGTCGACACCTTCTGTAGTTTTCACTTTTGTTGTTGTTGTTAGTTTCGACGGTCGTCCGGGTGCCGGTGAGCGGCAGATCGTGAGGACCGGCGATCGGAACATGATTTGCACAATAGACTTCCTGAAATCGCGCACACAATCGTGGAGTACTCGAACAGGCCATTCAAAACTCGTTCCCAGAGTCTTATGGCCTAGATGAGGCTCACCTTATCATTGATGTCGTTCCGATTGTTGCAGTACGTCTTCAAGGCGAGGCGAGTTCCGCAAATGTAACACTTGAAGCATCCTGAAATGAAGTCAGTCCAAAAATGCATAATAAGTTATAAGACCTTGATGGAAATAAGCCGAGTCTTTCAGAGGACCGACTTTGTCCGTCGGATACACCTGTTTCCCACACCGATTGCACAGCTGTTTAGGGTTCATCCTGAAAAATTAAGGCGTCTGAAGATAGGAAAATCTTTATTTTTTCTTGAGAAAGAAAAGCAGATTTTTTATAGTTTGTTCAACAGACAATCCATCACGCAATTTTCCAAAAAAATTAGCAAAACTGTGGGCAAAAAGAAGATATTCAGCTTCAAAAAAATATGAAGCTATTTTAAACTTTTATCTTCCAAACTAGCGGTGAATGGAGCTACATGAAGCTGTACAGAGTTAAAAATTTCAAAAATATAAGTCTGAAACTTAGAAATCCATTTTACGTTTATTAGGGAGCTTTTTCAGGCCTTTTTGGAGAAGCTTGACTGAATCGTACCAAAGGCCTCCTGACTGCAGAACAAGAAAAAAAGACATCTCGCAATAGATTTTTTAGAATAACAATTTCTTTTTTTGTTCTGGAATAGAAGATCTTAAAGTGAAAAATTAGCCTAGTTTTATCAAAGTTTCAACCAGGGGCTTCTTGTTGAATTAAATTTAAATTTTTCAAAAGCTTGAAAAAAACTGCAAAAAGTACCCAGTGGATGTTGAAGCAAGGTGACGGACCTCTGTTTTGCAATTTTCAGTCGGAACGCAGTGGTAATCTGGAATTCGAACACTTGGATGTTGAATAAAAATGTGAAGAATGTATTTCTGACGATTTTCCGACTCACACAAGCATCGAGGATCATAGTAAAACGATACTGAAATCCAAAACAGGCAAGGGAAAAAAAAATTAAGAAATGGTTTTCACAAAAATCAAATAATGATGATTGTGTTTTTATAAAAAAATAATTTTTATTTCAGAAGCTACAAAAAAAGGAAATTGCGGCTGCTTTGAAAAAAACAGAAACAAAAACCCCAAAGAAGTTCAATTATTTTAACATTTTGCATTCTTCCGTCAAAATGGTAGTAAAAGAAATGAAAAATTATGAAAAATTGAAAGTTTTATCAATATTCATGCATAACGAGATAAGTTGATAGTATGCTCGAGATTCTTTAATAAATGGCTAATTTCTTCCTGATTCTTGAATAGTATCCCGTTTTAACTAGTTCGTACCCAGTGAATGCTAAAAATATTGTAAAATAGTAAGATTGGAATTCCACAACGCGACTCTCGGGCCAAACAAACGTCTTAAAGTTCTCTGAGTCATGTTTCTACGATAGTTTTTTTTTCTCGTAAACTTCACCTTTTTATGGACGTTGCCACTCTGATTGAGTTTTCTGTGAGAACCATTTATTAGAGAAACTAGCCCAGTTACCAGAAATTAATGCTTTTTCTAATTTGGTTCAATTTTAAATATTTATGGAAAAATAAAACAGTATGATAAAGTTTATAATTCGCAAAAAAAAATTGAAAAGAAAAGGTTACACAAATTTAAAGTTGAGCCTAGACGAATAGAACTTACTTTTAGTCTATTAATCACAGAAGGGGGGTTTTTACCCTTCCAGAAACATTAAAACTGAAATTCCTATTTATCCTAGTATTTAAATCACTAAATGAAGAAAGTCATGCAATATTCTAAAAAAATAAAAGTTCTGAGGAGTCTTCATAAAAATTAGTATATATAAAAAAACATGATTCTCGAATAAAAATATGCAAAAAAGAGCAAGTCGTCGAACAAATAACTGTTGTCCACGTATTTCGTGGAAGAAGACACGACAAGGGGCTGAGAAAGCTGCAAGATCTGAACCGGTTGCGGCCTGGAGTAATTAGCCTCAGCACGACCCCGTTCACTACCCTTTCCCTTCTTTTTTCTCTACTCTAACCTTTCCTTTTTGCAAAGCTTCAAGTTGGGATTAGCTAGTAATGAAAACGGAAGGACGAGATATGAGTATTACAACAGATGGTTATGATGAGATCCTTCGCGAAAAAACTAGAGATGAACAGGGAAGACAGATGGAAAAAAAGAGGTTTCATTTATCCACAGTGCGTTTTGGAATGCCATTGCATTTGGGCGTAGAAAAAAAAGGAACCGGTCGGACCTCTATTGGCGCATCATGCCGAACTTTTTTAGACGTCTCTGGCTTTAAGCGTTCATTCATATTCTTCGGAACAACTTCAAAAGCTTTTATGATGAACACGCGCTACATACGTCTTTTTCTGCAATCGTTTGGGCCATCAAACTGTCTTCTGCCCTAGTCACAGCATAATCTTCTTTTTCAAATGCCGAATCAAACGGAATAGTTGAAATGAAGCAATGAGAATAATTCCGTTTAAACTTGTCAGCTTATTTTTTTATTGTTTATTTTGACAAACTAGGACAGGCGGAAATTTTGTTGAAAAGAAGGAATGTGAATGGTTTCGGGAGACGACATAGCTAGATGAGTTCGGGATCGGCATATCTGTCGAAAAATCATTTCGCGTTGCACTTTTTCGTGTTTCAGGAAGACACAATAGTCCATTTAACGCTGGCTGAGATAATATCCAAGGAAATCCTTCCCATTAATAGCGAGGTCAGTGTGAAAAAAGAAGACGTTTTGACGTCGTTATAGTCAAATTTGAACCGAACTGATTGGGTTATAAAATTTAAAGAGTTTGCAGTCGTTACGATGGTCAAATGGGTTATAAATTTGCCCTATGGAATCTTATATGACTCAAGTGATTTAAAAATTTTTTTGAAGAATGAAAAAGCAGGTTTAAAAAATAGGAGTGAAAACAGCGAAAGCAAAAAAAAAAGCAGCGAATACGGAAAAGGAGGAATTGGGTGGAGGGGCGAGGAAAACCGGGTTCTCGAGAATTTCCTGCCAATCCAAATTTTTAATTGAGAAAGGCAGCAGCAAATCGGGCATGGCATAAAGAAAAAAAGGTAGGAAGAAATTCGCGACACGAAACACTTGAGATGAGCAACAAGTGGAAGACATTCAACGCCTACTAAACTTTGAGCGATTTAAAAAAAGTACTATGAAAATGAAGCTCTAATATAAAGCTTGTGTGGATGTTTCAATTGAGAATTCATTTCCTGCAAGGTAAATAACTTCGAGAAAATCTTGCAGCGCCATTTTATCAACCACTAGTATGGTCAGTACGTTGAATTCCTCAGACTTTTTCCAAGAATTATTTTTTTTGACTGAAAAAACGTTACAGTGGGAGAGAAAATTTTGAAAAAAAAAAATTGTGGTCGGCCCAAAATTATCCCTTCAATTGGAGGACGATATTCGACGGTGAATCAATAAAAATTGGCCAACGAATATGGAGGAAAATCGGAAAGCGCAGAGTGAGAAAAAGTTGTTTGATCATAGCGGAACCGAACCGACATGAGACTCGTCAGAGCCTCGGCCAAATCGAGAGAGACTGAGACGTCGAGAGTCGCCGATTTGGGCGCCTTGATCGACTTTCCCTTTGCATAGTTGAAGCTTTAATAACTTTTGCTGAACTTTACTGGAGGGAAAAAGTCTCTCTGTGACTGCCCATTTTCCTCGGTGCTGTATACTTTTTCATCCGAAAGCTTACTGGGAAGTTTTGAAAAAAAGTTAAGAAAAAAAAGCAGTTAAAACATTTCTTTTTTTCTAAGAACTTGTCACGGCCTGGCAGCCAGAGAAATGAACTTATAAAAAAAAATAAGAGGATTGGAAATGATTTTTCTGCTAATTAAGTCTTTTTTTTTGTTTACGGTGGCTCATTTTCAACGATTCAACTTCTTTCCGTTTCTTGACAAACATTTCTTGAAAGATCAAAACAGGAGAAATACTTGACCACCGTTTGGACCCATCTTTTTCTCGTATTCTGATCCAGACTCCAAAAAGCAAAAAAAAAGAGAAAAGGTCGTTAATCATTAAATATCGCTCGAGCTAGAAGATAAATTCAATATTGAGTCGGGAGAAAAGATAATTTTAATGCCGATTTAAAGTTATTCGGCGAATTTTAAACTAGCCAATCAAAAAAATAGATAACAAAATGTTGGAGAATCAAAGGTAATTTTGAATTTCGCGGGGCATAAACTAGCTCAAGTAAGATACCGAGTGCAGAATTCTTTCGAAAATTGACAAGAAGAGGATGAGAAACTATGGAGAATGGTTTTATGATACTCCCCTCCGAGGATAGGATGATTCACACGGGGGCGACGTTATGACGATTCTCAGGAAGAATGCAGACAGGTGACCTTTCAAAGAGAAACACCCGTGTGCATACATACACGGAGAACCAGCAGGTAACCTCAGCCACCTTTAATGACAGCGACGAGCGCGTGTTGCCAGTCCCAGCCGAATAATCGATTTTTCGACCTTGGCCGATCCGAGGAGATCGTTCCAAGGGAGTTTTCTTTTGTGTTCCAAGGAATTTTTTTTTGAAAATCAGTTGACTTTCATAAAATCAATCACTGTCAGCTCAAAAGGATAGTCGTTTTTTTTTTGGAACTTTAGAACTTTCGGAAAATGAGCCAGAATGCTCTTTTTTCTATCAAATAAAGATCTTCACCTTCACTCTGCACGATTTCTCCGTTTTCTAGAAAAGAGAGTATCTAAAAATGGATAGCGTCCAGTGAACTTCGAGGATCCTCCCGAAGTTCGAAGCGTCTTTTTTTTCATCTTTTAGGATCTAACTAGGGAACGTTTTTTACCCCCCGGTTGAAATTTTGCTGAAACTTTGCTGAAGTGTACTCTAGGACCCCCTGATTCCAGAACAAGAAGAGCATTTCACGCTTTTTCAAGTTTAGACACTTCAAAAGTTCAAAATAGCGCTTTTGTGTCATAATTTGAGTATTTTGCGGACTTTGAAGCAGGATTGGGAAATAAAAAAAAAGCGGACTCGGAAAAAAGATCTATTGCGAGAAATTTTAAATAAAAAACGTTCCCTGATTAACCTTTCTTATCATTTTCATTAATTTTTCAAAGATTGCTCTAACTGTGTTTGAAGTTCGAACCAGTAAAAAGAACATGTAAGAATATTCCTGTCAAAATCTACTTATTATGGTTCTGTTTCTTTTCTCACACAAAAATTTTTTTTTCTTCACAGGTGGGGTTAGTTAATCCACCTAGTGGTCTTATTCCCTCCCTGCAACCTCACCATACCATCCCGATGTTGCGAAAATAAATTGATTGGATTGAATTGAATTGAAAAAGAGTTCTCTTTTTTTTCGTTTCAATCTTCCTTTGGCTTCTTTTAATGAACTTTCTGAATAATTATTATAACGGAAAACTACTACTGCAACCATTTGAAAAACTATTTGAATAAAGGTTCTTCAATCCGCGTGATATGAGTAAAAACATTTATTGTACTTGAAACTCCCGAGCATCGGAGTTTTGATCAAGTTGAAAAAAATTTGACACAAGAAAAAAAGTGAGCTCTACGCTTAGAATCGGTCTCGTTTTATAAATACCCGTCATTAACTAAATAGTGCTTAGAAATTAGGAGGCAATGAAGTTATAAAGTGAGGATTTATCCAGCAAACGGTAGGAATTTTCGTTTCTAAAATCTGAGGCAATTTTAAAAAAAAATAAATCGTCGAGTTTGAAAGCAGAAAATGGCAAAAAAAAATATACCGGTTGACAAGAAAGACAAAATATTAAACATACTAGGGTACACAGATCACGTTTTGAGCAACTCGAGACAAAATCGGGGGTATGTTATCTGCATTCCCTCCGTTTTGGATCCAGTTCTCCTCCAAATGCCTGAAAACCAAGATTGTATCATTTCAAAACCTTCATTATGTTACCTAAATGTTATCGATTCGCAATCGCTGTTTTCAACGGCGGAAATTCCCTGCACCGAGAGCAACAACAGCGTTTTCTTTATCTGGAATGTAGCGAAAGGTAAAAAGAATTCGACAGTACAGAAATAAATAAAAAAATTACAAAAATAATACAAAAGTCAATTTAATCTTTCCTATTTTTCTCTTCTAAAGTTCTACCTGACAAAGGAGGTCACACTTTGCGGATTGGAATTTCTTAGAAACGTCTAGAAAAAAAATCCTGAAATTCTTAAACTACTCAATTTTATGGTTTTTGAGAAATGATGGCTCAAAGCCTTAAAGTAGCTTATTTTGACTTTTTCGATAAGCTTTTTTTTTGAATTTGAGGTTTCCTTTCTCGAAAACTAATAAGTTTTGCCGATTTAACTCTTCAGGAAGTTTATCTGTCACATCAAGAATTCCCTGTTCTGGCCAATTTTTATGAAAATTAAAACCTTGTTTTTTTTTTAACTACTGTTATCGAGGAGTACTTTAGTGACAAAGGGATAAGTGTATGATCTTTTTGCTGTATATCACCCTTATTTTATTTTGTTTTGCGTATCTTAAGGATTTCCCTTTCTTTGTATTAGGTTTTCAAATAAGAAATTAGCCTCAAAAAAGTTCGTTTTAACAAAAGAACGTGGGAGATAGGTCGTTGATGCAAATGGCGAATACTTTTTGCATAAATTTATTTTATTCTTCTTTCTTTTCTAATTTAACGAACTTTTATCACAGAAAATTCATTCCCTTTTCACCAATCTAATATAAATAAGCGCCATAGCAAACATCTTCTCCTTCTACAGCGTTGAAAGAAAAATTCGGAATCGAACTAACAATAAAAGAAGAGTGATCCGCAAAGGCGTGAAGGACCAAAACGGCGTCCCACGTCAGCTTTTGGATGTCGGTCACGGCTGCTCCGCGCACTACTAACCCGTCGTCGACTTGGGACGCGAGAGCTGAATTTTGATATGATCCTCTATGATTTGAAGTCGAAAAAAGAAAAGCTCGTGTTTTTTCCTTAGAATTATCTTACTCGTGTTGAGGCGATTGTGGAAGTCTGCGCGGTTGGTGTTTTCATCGATCCGAATCGAGTTCCAAATGCGATTGGAACTCTGTGACTCGAGAATCACCTCGTTGAGGTCGACGACGAAATCTCCGGATCGTTTTCCTGCAGCGATCAATACCACAGGGGACTCGTCATTCTCAAGGAACGCCTGGAAAAAAAATTTAACATTAAAAAAAGTAGATCGAGTAGTGAATAATTACGTTTTTACACTTTTTCAAAAATGAAGATTTTAAAAAAACAGTCAAAAAAATTAAAAAAATGGCTTTTTCATGATTTTTTTAAGGCTTATTCGCCTTTATCTACGCCATAAAAAGATTCAAGATAAATTTTAAAAGTGCAAAAAAAAAAAATTCAAAACGGTCAGAACTCACTTTTCTCCCTATGTAACTGATAATGGCTCTCTGCTCTTTTTTCAATCCGCTATACTTCTCCGTGATCATTTTCTTCGCCCGGTTGATGAATTCCTTATAGTATTGCTGGAACTTACTATATTTATTGAATTAAGCAAAAGTTTGAAGAAGAACGGAGACCTCTCTTCGAAGAAAAAAAACTTTTTGCTTGCGAATGAGCTTATGAACCCAAAAATGAGAAAAAAAATTCGTATTTTTCATTCAATGCTAGCCAATGACAGAAAAAATCAAGTTATTATTGAAACAGAAACCTCATTGACAGTTTTCGAATGGAAATTTTTGACAGAAGTAGGAGTAGAAGGTGGAGTTAGGTAAAACCAAGCCAAACAAGCAACTGCGATCGTCACTGCGAAAAAGAAAAATTTTTCTTTTGGGAGGTTCCTGCAAAACTTGACTTTTAATGGATTTAATACTTTTAATTTAATATTTCATTTTGATTTCAAGCAAAAAAAATTCAGTAGAAGATCTTTGAGATTCCAATTAACTGATCAGACAAAAACTAACAATTCTGAAGTTTCATCCGTTTTTGTAATAACGTTAATATTTCTCTTCGGTGAAGCCGTGGGAGGTCTTCGGCGGCCCTGCGAAATCATTTCATTTGAAGATTCACAAAAGCAAAAAAAAAACTCGAACAGTTGAGTGATCTACAATATCGGCTGGGTCTTGAAATTCAATTGTTTGATTGAGTTCCACATCCTGAAAAAAAAAGGATTTTACTAGTTCAACTCCCCATTGTTAGACACCTCATCTCCGGAGGAAACTGAAAGATCTCTCGAATTGACCGAATTTGAAAACGAAGACTGAAAATTCATAGTTTTGTTTGATGATGCAAATTAAACTAACTTCTCTTGAGCGTCTGGAACCAGGATCTCCTTCCCCTAAAGATGACTTTTTATTTTTTGTTGGCATCTGAAATGTGAAAATAAAATAATTATACTCTAAAAGGATCATGATGAAATTTAAGATTTTCAAGCCAAAATCCAAAAACTTCAAGAATTAAGTGAAAATTGAAAAGAAACGAATATCCTAATTGTTTCATGTTTTATCGAATAGCACTATAATATATATTTTTTTCAAAAATTTTTGTTCGTCGCAAAAGCTCAAACAAGCAACGACAAACTTTATTATTTCACAAAGGCCCGATTAAGAAGTAGAAAAATCAAAAATATATTTTGCAAGCATTGTGTATTGTCCTTAAAAATCTCTTCATGCCCTTCTTAGCTCAATAAAACTGTTTAAAAAAAGCTTTTGCACCATATGATAAAAAAAGAAATTATCAACAAAAATAATCAAGAAATTTCTGCTATATATAAAAAAATACGCGGGAGGATAAAGCGCGCGCTTTTTGTTTATCTGTACTGTAGCGTTCCGCTCTGCAAACACGCCGACGCAATCGAATTTTTGAATAAGTTGAAAAACAGGTAATTTAAAATTTAAAATGTTCTTGGCGTGTTCATCGGACAAAACGAAAATAGCTTCGAAACGCAAAAAAATTGCTCCAAAACAAAAGTTAGTACTGTTTTGGAGCAACTTTGGCGCGCCGATGAACACGTTTTTCGTTTTTGAAGCATGTTCCGTTTCTACGATGAACACGCCATCTCCATATTTTTATTTTTTTTAAGCAATTTTCAAAATTTGATGTAGAAGAATTATTTTGAAACACTTTGAAGCATTATTTATTAAATTTTTCTAATTATCAGCAGGTGTTGAAAAATTTAAGTTCGTAAAAAAAACTTCGAGGGCATAATTTTTCACATCAGAACGAGGTCGATCACCCAAAGCCGCGCTGCAAAAAGCCCTACTTGGAAGCATCGCAATTTCGGTTCGGGTCCCGGCGAAACGAAACATGCTTTTTGGCGTGTGACCTCTAAGGCGTTTCTTATTTATCAACGGTCTCGCTGGATCCTATTTTTTTAATTAAATTAATTTTAAAAAAAGTAAAGTCCAAACTAAAGCTCTCAGAATTTGAAAAAGCACCAAAAAATCACTACTACTATAGGGTCCCGAGTTGCTGAAAATTTATTGTTCAAAAATGTTCAAATCCTGACTGTAGTGTCTGATTTTTTTCCATGTCAGTAAAAAATAGTTTTCATCACGAAAAGGCCTGTGCCTCCTACTATCTCAAATTTAATTTTCGAGACTTCAAAGGTCAATAATTGTTCTTTTCTATTTAATTTATGCATATGTTCCTTATCCTTTATTAAAAAGTTTTTGGAAAGTAACTAAAACATTGCAGGGGATTTATGGGACTTCAAAGGAACTTTTCCGCCTCACCTATGAAGTTTTGTGTTGATGAACCAGGTGCTTCGAACTTCTTTTTTTCATTATCTCGTTCTTCTTTCCTTAGTTTTTATCAGTTCGTTTCGAAGATGACCATTTTTCAGAACAATATTTTCCGTTAGCCTGCGAGTCCTGTAAACAAAACACGTCATTTTTTCCTTAAAGCATCAAAGACCGCGTGTTTCTGTGTTTCTCTGCTCTGAATGTTCTCGTGTTTGTCAGTGTCTGGTAGGCGAGAGAGTTCTGGATATTGGACTCAAAACATTTTTGCATTCATTTCTGCTTTCTGAAGTTAGTGTGGTTTTATTCGTTTCCATTCTTTCACAGTGTTTCATGAGACGTCTTTTAATATTTTTAAAACTTCATCAAGGGCCTCTTGAGATCTTCTTGGAAATAAGAAATAGTAGGATTTATTCGTGATTTTGAATCTAGCACAATATCATCAATTGAGGAGATGTTTTGGGTACGCAATTCAGAAAATTACTTTTTATTCGATTTGCGTTTCGATTTTTAAAATTTGCTTTTTTTCCATTGGAAGATTTTTTAGATGCAAAAGCACGAAGAAGAGGTTATCGAGCACATTGGAGAGCTAGGTGACTCCGTGAAAGCGAAGCTACGGACTCATGCCCCGGTGGTGGATGATACTTTGACTGACATAGTGAGTTTTCATTTTGAACTTAATTTTTCTTCAATTTCTAACAAAGTTTTAAAAATGATTTTCTATTAGACAGAGGATGTGGACGAGATAGAAGAGGATAATACGGACAAAGTTCACATCGGGGAATTGGGCAGGAACGTGAAGAGCGAACTGCGAGCATCTCCTTACGTGTAAGCTTAACCCCCTATTTTTTTGAAAATCAATTGTTTTTCAGCAATGTTGTCCCGGGAGGCCCTGAAAGTTTCGGGTTAGTTTCCCGATGTTTGTTTGGAAAGACAGATTCTTATCGTATTCTCAATTAAAGATTAATTATTTTTACGCAAAAATATAAGTTTGGCGGTGGTTTGAGGCAAAAACCATCTAGTTTACAAAATTTCTCAATAGTTTAAGAACACCCGAAATGATAGGAAAGCTGTTGAACGCCTTGACTTGCCGAATAAAACTAACTTGGAAACTGGATTGGAAAAGTTGCTGCTCATGATGGATTTTTGAAAGCAGTTGAAAAAATGAAAGAAAATTGTACCTTGTAAATAACGATGTATGACATGCGCATCTCCATAATTTCTGCCGATTTTTGTTTTGACTATCTATTTATTTCAGAAAAGAAGTTCTCAACTTTTGGAATGACCATTATCACAAGCTGATAATGGTCGTGATAGTTCTGGCCGCCTATTGGGCTAATGAACGGTTCAACGAAATCGCGGCGCAGACTTATTCAGAGGACCAGACTCTCGCTTCTCGCCAGGTATTTTATCTGTTTTGCGAGTTCCTTCATCTTCAAATTTGAGGGATTCTACAAAGAGTACATCAAGGAGGCGAAGGCTCTCGTCGGAAACTACAAAAACTTGCCGCAAATCAAGAGTGATCTCATCAATTCGATCGGCAGTAAGGTTGGTTTTCCAGAAAATGATTTGGTTATTAATTTCTCATTTCAGATATTTTTGGAAGATGACGACAAACCGACTGTCCTGTTGGCCGCTGGACCAAAGTCCGCTCAGTTTATCTACGACATTGGCGAAATGATGATGCGGGCTCAGAATTCTGCTTTGAAGCCGAATACGATCCAAGTGAACGGGGTCGGAATCGAGCCACAAAAGTTCAACGCGACTATTCAGCAAGGTTTTTTTCTTCAATTGCAAGGAAAAGCATTGTTCAGTATAGAATATTTTGATATATTTCAACTGCTTCCTTTGCCATTATTTCTTCTGGCTGGTTCGGTAATTGCATGTCGTTGATTTGCATTAGAAAAAAAAACATTTCATTTTCTTAGTACCTTACGGCTTAGAAAAAAACAGAGCTTTTTTTGAGCTTTCCCTATATCAGTGTCACTTTGAAAAATGGTGGACTAAACAAGTCCCATTGAAAACAGACCAAGTTTATCAAAATATTTCTTTGCGCAAAGATCGTATAACGGAAATCACTAAATTCTTTGAAAAAGGGATATTCAAAAATCCGTTTGAATTTCGGTGTCATTTCCAGCGCTGCAAGCCCAGGTGAATACTGGTTTGGGAGTTCACGTTGCGACGATCCCAGACATTGAGAAGCTTTCTTGGGAATCCGTTCAGGTCATCGATTCCTTCGCAGATCCTTCGGACTACAAAGTGGGTTCATCCATCGCTGATCAGCTGTTTCATTCCATTTTCAGGTGAAAAGAGTGTTCATGTTGCTGTCGACTGCAGAACTCGCCGACGTGAACGTCGATAACTGTGAGCAGTCTGTTCTCAGGTTCTTTTTCTTCCCTAAATTCAAACAATTTCCTAATGAAATTCAGCCTTTTGAACAAGTACTGGACGACAAACGGCGCAACTACTGAAGAAGTGACTCCCGTCTTCTTGCACATTGCCCAAAACATCGTTTGTGTTGTATAATTTTTTTTCTTCTCGATATAGCTCAGATATTTTATACCGGTACCTTAACGCGTTTTTTTTTGAACGTGTTTTATAAGGCGAGCAAAGGAAACTTTTTATGTATTATAGTGTTGATATGAAGATTTAAATAAATCTATGATTCTACTCGATCCCCCAAAAAGGAGCAAACTCGCTCCATATAATCTTTAAGCGTGTCCTGGACTTAGTTTATACTCAAAAACGCTTCTTGTGAGATGATTTCATTAATTATTTTTCACCAACTTCATAATTTGGAGGATCGGATGCAATATTTCATTCAAAACAACTTCGGAGATAACGAAGGAAAGGTATATGATGATGAGGTGATTCTGGGAAAAGTCTGAATACAATAAAACGGAATTTTCGAGTAAATCGATAACAATATACACCGTACCTGCTTCACAGAACTAATTGATTCATACATATGTATTTGTACTTGCCCTTCTATACCGGAAGATAACGGGGACTAAAAAACGTGGTTGTTTCGTTGAACGTCTTGGGTGGGGTCTACAGTCTCTAAGAAGGCAGTTTTGAAAATTTCCTCTGACCTTGATGGTTCATTTTTTTTTTACTACTTCACTGCCCGCCTTTCCTATTTTCAATTACGTGAGCCGATTACAAGTTGGCGGTCGTAGAAGTTATGCTTCATCCTCAAGCCGTCAGTGTTGAGTCAAATAAAACTGAAGGCTTGTTGGGACAAAGCTGCATTTGTGCTGAATAGTGTGCTTGGATAGTCGCCGGACACTCCCGGTATGGCGTGCGGATAGACCGATCCAGTCGAAGTCTGCATTCCTGGCAGCGAGGTCGGGAAGTAGAACGCGTTGTAGTTCACAGCTGCAATCGAAAGATTCCACTGTGGGTCCACTTAAAAAGGTAATGTTTACAAATTAACTGCAAGCCCATCAAAACAAAAAACTATGCCTTCTTTGAATGAAATCAGTTGAAAATTTCTCAACTCTCATCTGCTTTTTCATTTTTATCTACAAAAAAAAATTTAAAAAAAGAAATAAGTTTTTCCTATTTTTTTTATAACAAGAGTTCATTCATTAGTTTCCAGAGTCAGCTACTTTTCGAAAGACGGAAGTAATTTTTCAACGCCAACCTGTAGGATTGAGTGCCGAAGCTGTTGACGATACGTCGTGAAGAGGCAACAATCCGAGGATGTCAACTGGAATTTCGTTCTGCAGAACTCTATCCAGATCCGGTTTGGCGCCGGTTGGGGAAATCACATCTCCGGATATCACGAGAGAAGAAGACGGCAGTATGTCCTGATAAATTATCGAATTTTGATATTCAACAACGTTATGGTCTGAATATTGTCTAGAACTAAGACTTTTTCTAATTTTAAAACTAGATAGTCTTTTCGGATCTATCCAAAATTGAAGCAAGATTCTCAGAAGGAAAATTTTTCGTGAAAAATCAGAAGAATTCGGTTTAAATTTTGGATTATCATTGGAGCACATTTTCGCCGCACACTAGCGCCTCTTACGGCTCTTCTGTTCTTTTATTCGTCTAATTTTTAAAATTCTCTTTTGTCTGTGACTATTTTATGATTATTCACTAAGAATAACTGACGAGATAAACGCGAGCTCGGTGGCGGTACATTGACTAACTCGCAAAAAAATGTCGCTTTTTTTCTAGGCGCGATCCCGCATTTCTCTCGGCGCGACCTCGCATTTTTCTCGGCGCCATCTCGCATTTATCTTGCATTTCGGAAATTTTCAAATTGCGAGAGAAAAGCGAGCTCGCGCCTAGAAAAGTGCGAGCTGGCGCCCAGAAAAATGCGAGACCGGCGCGAGAAAAAATGCGAGATGTTTGCGAGCTCGTCAATGTACCGCCAGTGTCTCGCATTTATCTCGGCAGTTATTCTTAGTGTTACCATCGCGGTTATCTATTATGCTATATACACCATTTTTGTCGGCGATCTTGCTCAAAATTATGATAGAATAAAGGAGTAGCTCTTTCTTCAAAAATGAGTTTGACTCTTCCAAAGCGAATCAAAGAGGCTTTTTAAACAGATATTGTAATTTATCGCTGAAATGAGAGCAAACTTCAGCCTCGACGTCTGCGGCGGCTTCTCCATGAGTTTGCGTTGAGACGTCGCTCCGTTGTCGTTGCAGAGAAGAGCAAATCACCTTTAAATGTAACTTTGCGGGAGAAAAATAGGAAATTGAAGCACCTCTGGAGAGCTTTCATCCGCAAACAGCTCTACGAGAAGCGGGTCTAGAGGAATTCCGAACATCCTCGCTAACTGGACGTTTTCGCCAATCAAAGAGCTCAGTTTCTGAATGCAAAATTTAGAAGTTACAGTGCTGATAAAAAAAAAAGACTATTTCCTTGGGCAAAGTCGGTATGATGGATAATGACCGCCAAAAGGGGGGCTCAAAAAAAAGCAGCAGGAAGGAGAGAGTCCCTTTTTTTTTCTAAAATTCAAAGGATCAAGAAATGGTGGAAAAAGAGGAGGCAGCGAAAACGGTGCATACAAAAAAAAGTAGCAGAAAAGGATTTTTATCACCCGAAAAGGAAAATTCCTATGGAGCCTTTTCCGTCGATCATTCCGACTTCGCCTATTTCAAAGTTTCAAAACAATGATGAGCTCTCAGTTTTTGACTTTCTTTCACAAAATCGTCCAGAACTTACTGCCAATGGAGGGAAAAGCAGCAGTAGATTTCCAAAGCGGCTGGTTACTGTTTGCAACGACGGCGCATTGTCTCTGATCATCTGAGAGAGATCATGAATTTATGAATTCTTGCTAAGGTGTTTACGTTGAACAAGGCGTTTTGTACGCGATCTCGTAGTTTTGCAATCGCCTGGGAAGATTGTAAAGACAGGCCTCGCGCGTCTGAAAATCCAAACCTCATCTAAGTGGGCGTTTCCATTCATGAAGGGAACTTCCTTAAAATTGAGCTCCCAATTCTCATCAATTAGATAACGGAGGGAATAGCCTCATAAACTCGCCCTTTGCACATTTTTCTTTTTGATTTTAACATTCTTCAACTTCTCTTTCCTTGATTTTGTATCACCGTCCGAAAAAGGTCAATCTACATTTCACTGGGGGATTTTTTGGAAATTGCTTCATTTCTGTTTGAAATAATAAGTGAAAGTCTAAAGTTTAAATATCCACGGCTCGCTATTTTTTGAAAACTAAGGCTAATAGTCAAAATTGTATTCAAAGTGACTCTACAAAAACCAAAAAAAAAAAGACGGTCGGAAAATAAAAAAAGATAACTAAATTTCGGAAATACTATTGAATTTCGCGGAAATACTCTGAACACGGCATATAGCCTGTTCAGATTATAATTGTCATTTTGTCGCACAAGCTCCGCCCCTAATGGCGCGAGAAACCATTCAGAGAGCGAGCCATATATAGAGCCTTTTTAAATGCCGTCACTGTACTATAAATTCAAAATCTGAACAAACCCTGAAGCTCCCTTAGTATATTTAATTTTCAACCAAAAAAATTTAGAGAAAAAAATGATGAGCATTTTTCAAAAAATTTGAAGATTCTTAGCTAAACTATCCCTTTTTTCGAATTCACCTGGATCAAGAACAATGAGGGCGGTGAGAATGGTCATCTCCGGGCCGGTCAAAGACAACTTTTTCGTAGGAAACACCAAGTCGTCAATGATTCTCCCAGCGAGGTTGTTGCCCACGAGACTGTAAACGATTCATTGTTCCAAGCATTCCGCTTTCCAGTTAACTTTGTGTCGAGCAAATGTCGGGCCGGCTGTCTGGCCACTGTACTCCGGTTGCATAAACACAGCACGTCGCCATCCGAAATCTTCAATTTAAACTTTTTTTTATCAACCTTTTCCAAGTTTTTGTCAAAAACCTGGGCAGTTCGAGTGGCAATGCTGAAGACGGTGAACGGACCAATGATGGTTTTGAGAAGAGCCAGCTGCAAAAGACGATTGATTATCAAAAAACATCATAACGTAGAACGATGTAATCTTGAACTTTTTAGATCAAAATGCTTGAAAAAGTTCAAGCAAGCAATGATAATTCTCCTTTCAAAAAAAAAAAAACTTTAGAAATAGCATTATTCCTTGAAAACGAGTTTTTTTTTAAATATAAAATAGTGCCGGTTTGGGCGCATTTTTTCAAAACGGTTCTCATATACTCGTAGAAATTCTTTTCCGCTAATTTTGAACTATTATGACACGTTCGAATTTATAAAACTTTTTAAAAAAATGGAATTTGAAAGACAAGAGCTAAAATATAGGTATGATTGTCTAAAAATGTTTATAGCTGAACTAGTTCAAATGTAGTTCAAAAAAAAAAATAGGTATACTTCATAGTTTTACAACTTTCAGAAGTAAATCCGAAAGAGCTAAAATGGTGAAATAGCTGTCTTTAAAATCAGACTTTTAGCAGATCGAGCCCAAATAGGGTTCACAGAAGAGAAAAAAGGCGAATCTATAAATTTATACCTTCTCAGTGATATCATCGAGTTGGATAATCTCGAAGAGCGACTCGATCCATTGGACGGCACTCAAAACATACCGTCTGAAGCAAGATTATGGAGCATTTTGATAAATTCGTAGTTACCGTAGTGCCGCGATGAGTTGCTCGACAGAAGCCGTCCGACCAGTTGCGTATTCGATCTGATGAGACTCAGTTTTGAGAAAGAAGCTTTGATGGAGATGTACCTGGAAAGACTCCTCGTTGCGAATGAACTGGTTGAGGAAGAGAGTGGAGACGTCAAAATCGGGATCCTGCTTGACGACGCTGATGCCGATTGGCAGCGAGGAGGCGCCTGGCTTCCCGCCACTCGCCTTCATCTCCACTTCGTTCAACAGGCTCAACAGGACGTCCTCTTGACTCAGAGAACTGGAAAACGCCTCGAATTACTTTTATATCTGCATTATTCATAATTGATGCCGTTCAAAGGGATTTCAGCAAAAAAAATATATTCGTTAGAGAGTGAAAAAAAAACAAGGGAAATTTTGAAGAGCCAGAGATCGTTTTACACAGGCTATCTAAAACCCAGTTGAAGCAATAAACACTACTCTGATCCTTATATTTCATAAAACTAGAAGCCGCTGAGATGATTTTCTATTGCCTTTTTTGAAACTCAATAAATAATTTTTTTCCACTCCCAGAACATTCTATAAGAGAAAAAGCGAGAAATGAATTTTAAGTCCTTGAAAGCTACTAGATGATTCAAGTTCAATCGTCATCAGAGCTGTGCATTGGGCCGAGGTTGATGGCCGAATCGGACCACAATCGCAATCGCAAACGTTTTATCTCATTTCATGAACTAAATCCCACAATTTTCCTAAATAACACATTTTCGATCACTCACTCCGTTAAAATTTCGAGAAAAAAGTGCAAAATTTTGACCGCTTCGCGACCGCGTTGCAACAATATGGTCAGCCCGGCTGGCCCAGAGCACAACTCTGATCGTCATATTTTGAGAATAAAATCTATAAAAGTCAGTTATTTTTACTTCTGAAAGCTGGACTTTCTGATGTTTTCATCTTCATTTCGAGTCCATTCGATAGTTCGAAAACGAACTTTTTGACTTTTGAATATTGGTTTTTATGAAAATGCGGAGAGATTCAAAGGCTTACGCAGACTCGCAGTCTGGCGACGGCAGCAGAGAATCGTCGCGCTTCATCTTCTTCTTGCGTGGATTTTTCTGCTTCCCGATTACGTCGCGATCCGGTCGAATTGCTGGAAAATGCCGCAATTTTTGTTTGAACTTTCGACAGGCCTACCGTCGGGCTCCATTCCTACAGTGATACATCTCTGAAATCGACAGAATCGGCAGGCGTTTCGTTGGTCTGAAATCTACTTCTCCTTCAGTGATTTCACCTTTTTTATATATACCTTTGTCGATGGAGCACTTTTCCTGAAATCGACATGTGTAGCTTTGCGCTGAGCGGATCGTTCGCCGGAAAAATCCTTTGCACCCTGAAACCCTTGTTTACATGTTTATATTTTTATTTGAAAATGTTTTTAAAAGTTATATCAAAGAGGATTTGAGAAAAAAAAACTGCAGAGATACTTTACCATTTTTCACGTTACGACTATAAGTCTTCTCACAAGAATGAGATCGGACCCTTGAAAAAAAAATTTCAGATTCAAATTGAAGAATTCAATAAATTCTTGAATCTCGTGTTTCTTTGGAAAGTCTCGCCATCTTCAAATGGGCAACAATTTGCCCGGTTTGTGGCAAGAGGGAGCGGTTAGAGAAAAGACACGCAGGAGTTGGAAGGAAACGAGATAGAAAGTACGATCGACGGGTAAAAGAAGAAATAAAATACTACATTTCAACGTCAGTTACATATTTCTACTACTAAATCAATAATACCCATCAACAGTACTTACCTCGTTGGTATCAAACTTTTCAAATTTCTAGGAGTACATTAGACCCTTATCTGAGAAAAAACAATTCAGGAACTTTCTCCGCGTTCATCAATTTTATGTTCAGATATATTTTTTGAGACTCTTCCTCAAATAGTAAAGTACATTCACACACTGTTCTGCTAATCGTCTAAAGACCCTCATGATGTACTGTTTCAAGCCAGCAGTTAATGACCTCAGGAGGATTCAAACGCGTTTGTTGATTCCCGAGTTATTGAGGCTACTGTAACGTCAAAAAGAAGCTACATTATCCAATTCTTCCAATATCCCCTCAACATGGAGGCTATCAATGTGTTTCTTTTAAGTGAAATGAAACGCTACCGTAACACGCCATCACGCCGTAGTGTTTGCCGGCGGAGCGGTCGCCACACACCATGCATTGCCCGTCTCCCGCACCACCTCCGACGCCTTCCAAGTCACTAAAATCATCTTTCCTCGGACTAGCGACTTCCATTCATTTTGTTAGGCTTTTCTCAGAATAAAAAAAATTTTAGGCGTTTCTCAGAAGAAACCCAGTTTCGATGGAATAGGTGGAGCTTCGCTTACTTAAAGGTAAAAATTGTTTTTGAACCGAGTCCAACAAGAAGATAAAACTTTGTTCAAAGTAATTTCGCAAGATGCAAAACCTTCGATAGTGTGAAAGGGGTTCAAAAGTGAACAATGCATTAGACTGACCCTTCCATGTCGTCGTCGTCCATTTGCGGAGATCCGGCGACGTTTAGTGGATATCCGATGTTGGAGGAGGCAGTCGACGGAAACATCCACGGCGTGGCCGTTTTACCTAAAAAAAAAATATACTATTCACTGTGCCGAAGAAAAGATTTTAATGTTGGTTGGAAAATCGAAATAAAAGAAGTCTTCTGTACGAAAAATGCGATGTCGCACAAAACTCGAACAAAAAGCAAAAAAAAAACTTTTTCAACTCATAGCCAGATTTCCAGAAGAAGTTGATAAGGAAGGAAATTTCAGAATAATTACTTTTCAGAGCGAAAATTCGAGACTGAAAAAAGCCAAATGCAAAAACATCGAACGATCGGATGTGAATAAACGTGAAAGTTCAGATCCTCAAAAATCGACTCAGAAAATTTTTAAACAATGCCGCGGACATCTGAGAACTAAAGCATAGGGTTTGATTGCTTCGAAACAGTAATATCCGTTTGTTTCAAAGAACTTTCGGAGCATTTCATAAAATTTACTTTTATTTTAGCCGTAAATCCTCATAAAATTTTATGTTCAAACGAAAATTCAAAAGAAAAAAAAAGTGAATAAACTGTAGAGAATTTACTACTGTGACGCGACATTTTTTTTTTTCCGATTCCCACGTTTTTTTTTTTGGAAGCTAATTAACATTAATTTGACCTGCGAAGCGAATATCCAAGGGTTTTCTCTAGGGCTGCTAAGTATTCTTTGAATATTTGAATATTTATTTATTTCACTCTGATACATAAAAAATATATTCTTAAAAGACTTCTTCAACCTAATTCGCCGCGTTTCCTCAAAATTCGCAACTTAGCTTTAAACAAGGCTTTACATTCGAAATCCACTCCCGTAGTTCAAAGTGCCTATTACTGAACCTTTCTCAAGGTTAGTGCACAATAAAAACTTAACACAGCGGAATTGCTCGATTTTCAACGATGACCTTTTGGGCACCGTAAAAGTCTCTCACGATCACTAGCATGTTCAGAGTTTTTGAGCGTTAAAATCAAGACGTTCACGCCGTCAAACCAATCCAATTAAGCTAATCAACAAACTTCGATATGGACTGGAAGATTTGTTTTTTACTGTTTCGTTAACTGTTGGTCTTTCAAGAAACTCAAGAGCTTCAGAAGGGCTTCCCATTCGTATCGTACTGTCGCTACTTAAAGCAAAAAACACTGCAATATCTACGTCGAAAATTTTCTTTCGTTCATTGTTTTCCATAAAATGATTTCTCAAGTCGGTGGTACTAAGATCCCAGCCAAAGAAATTTTAGAGCTCAAAAAATTTTCAAATTTTGTTCCGGTCCCTATACTAAGACGTTACCACTTGCGAGCTAGTCGCTTAAATTCCAAACTTTGATGCGATGGAATATTTTGATTTCTCCTGGTTTTTTCGAACTTGTTGATATATATTAGGTCAGTATTTGTGAACACAAAACTAAAAAAAAAGTTTGAATCAACTCCACTCAAGTTTTTGTCCTAAAGTGATTTTAAAGTTTTGGTTCCCACGTGTGTTAGGCCTTCAACAGAAAGCGATATATCAAGTTAATATTTGATTCTTCCGTATGTTATTGAACTAGAAACGAAACATCATAAAAAAAAACCAGTAAGCATCAAAAGTCCGGCACTTCAAACGGTTAGTTAGAAAACTTTTTAACATCGAAAGATCAACACGGAATTACAATTCAGATGTCGAACTTCATCCTAAAATCCAAAAGAAAAGTTGATAAGAACGATATCGACAGAGTCTTATTCAAAAAAGAGTGAAGCGAATGGCCGTAGCGGAGAAAAAGAAAAACGACCTGAGGGGCGTTGAATTGGAAACATTTCGCGTGAGCGTTCTCTTTGAGCGTTTCTTTTTCTATGTGTGTTTGTGTAGTTTTCTCTCTGTGTTTTTCTTTCCTCTAGCCACCTGGCCCTCTCATTCGTCTCACTGGAATGACGAACAAACGAAGAGAGAAAATAAGAACGGAGTTGCGAATCGGAGACGTTTCTTCAATGCGCCAGGGGTTCGCCACTTTTCGACTATTAATTGATTGGAAAAAAAGATCATAACTAACTTGTAAGGAGGGTTGCTCAGGTTTTCAGTGAAAGTTTATTCACGCTCAAATTCACTTCTTCTTGTTTCATACTCCGTTTAAACTGAAATTCAAGACTTTTTTTTGTAGTGATCAGCTGGTTTTTTTTTTCTCGAGATATTGAGTCAGGCGAGAACAAAATTTGTCACATGTTCAAAAAATCCTTTCCAAGGTTTCCAATTCATCGTACATCTCAACTGTAGAATACGGTTACTCCAACTGATAAATAGTATTAACGACACGGCTTGAAAATCAAAGTGCTTCGAAGGAAGTGGAAAAAAAAAAGAAAAATGTTGCGTTAGAACCTCTTATTGCTATCGACGATCGATTTGGAGAGCGCTGGGGCGCGGCGTTTGCCTAGAGTCTAGTCGAATGTGGGAAATCGAGTGCCCTCGCATGTGACTGGCCGCACTGGGGGTGCAACATCTTGTCTTCTCTCTCACTTTTTTGCGGCTTCTCTCCCAGGCTTTTGGCACGAAAAAAATTATTTATTTGTATGGGAAAATTTCCTAAAACCCGTGTCGGACAAAGTCATTTAGCCGTTTTGTATTTGTAGTGTGCTCCTAGTTTATCGGCATTTGAGAGTTCGCTCCATTGAAAAAACTCTTTGAATGGACTTTCTGACTCGTGGTCTTGAAAATTTTGAACGACGTTTTTTTTATAAAAAAAAAACTAGCTCCGCCCCAAAAGAAATTTCCAGCTAATCTTGAAAAAAAATTTTTATGGTTCCACTTTAAAGGGACATTTTTTTCTTCTTGCGATCAAGTGATTTTTTTGTCACAAAAAAACAGCTGGTGAGCAAATTTCTGAAAAAAATTAAGAAATTTTTCTGTTATGAATCGCGACATGAAGCATTTAAAAACTCTCAGAATTTTTTTCGTGTTAAAAGAGCAATTTTTTTGTACTTTTTTTTTACTGTTAACCTGATCTCGAGCGTTTGGAACTATGTACAAGGCAAAAAGATATTGTTGAAATGAAAATTGCGTCAATCGAGAAGCGGAATTGTAGATAATTGGTCGAGAGACCCGGATATGACTTGAGGTGCTGAGCCCTGAAAATAAGCTGTGAATGAAAAAACGGGCTGTAAAATGAAAAAGAACCTGCAGCTCTTCGGGGATCGAGTACAAGGGCGAACTGACGATTGAACGCGAGACGGAGACTCGACGGATCATCGGAGCCGAGGAAACAGAACGCAACCTGGAAAAGGTGCAAGGTCGCGGGTCTGCTCGCTGATAAAAACCTTGGAGATTGGACTGAGCTTGCCCCTTGGCCTCGATTTTGCTGCTGGCTTTGGCGTCGGTGGGAAGGAAGGACCGGACGTTCTTCCGGAGTCGACTTGAAAATTAGAATTATTGGAGTAGAAGCGCATGGGGAATACGGTCAAAGCCGTGCTACAGCCGACCCATAAAGATGTCATTAAGATTTCGAACTCGTTTTTGAAGCTTGTTTTTAATGACTAAAACTATTCTGCCCTGTCCGAGGGTTCAGGCGAATCAAAATTTTTCAAACTAGTGTTAACCATCTCTATTGGCTTTTCTTATAGAAAAAATTCCGGTTGAGAGTTTGGAGCGGAAGAAAATTTTTTGGGATTCGCACCTCACTGAAAAAACTGAATTATGAAAAATTTTGCTGGTAAATTCTACTTTTTTCCTCATCTTAAAGAGGTCGTATTCGACTTTTATAGAATCTCCCTTCATCCCGAAAAAGTTCTTAAAGAGCTTCTGAAATTAACTTAAGTCTATTTCCTTAACACTAGTTCTCAGCTTCAATATCCGATTCAAATCCACTTCTCACCGAGTTTTTCTTATCTATTTATCTAAGAGTCAATTTATATGAAATTACGCTACGTTTTTCCTAAAACTTAAGATCCAACTGAACTCTTTAGGGTCGACATTAATCATTTATTATCCCATAAATTGGAATTATTGTCAATCTAATCCGGGAATATACTTATTCCTCTAACCTGAGTGAGCGGACGATAGCGACGCCGCCAATTGCGGACGGTGACGATGTTGGCGAGAACGACGGCGCGAGAGGCGGTCATCGGATGGCTGAGGAGGGAGTCGGTCGACGAGGAGCTCCTCTGTTCGCTGTCGACGTCCTCATCGCTGCGCCTCTTGTCCGAGTCGCGAAACACGACGAGAATCGCCCAGACCGGCAACACGAACTCTATCAAGTCGTAGGGACCCTTCAGCAGCGAATATCGCATTTGGTCGTGCATCTTCAAGGGTTTCTGTTTCTAAACAGAGCTTTCTTTCTCAAAACTCACAAAAACTTGACTGCAGTTTTTTTCATTGGCAGCCAGGATATATATCCCGATGTGATATGCTAGGTCCACGAGAGTCGCGGTCTCGAAAGTCCAAAACAAGCTGAATCTGAGGAAATACTTCAATACAGAATCAAAAATTCATACATAAAAACGTGGAAGCGTTGTTTGTTCTGGATTTGCGACGGTGCTGAAATCCGGTCCATACGGCTGCAACCGAATTTTTTTAGTTATTCCGAAATTATCCGAGAGCCAAGAATATAGCGGGGATACTAACCAACCGTAAAATTAAATAGAAAGAGCCGACCATGAGCTGGACTATGATGCACTCTCCCGCAGAGAACCATATCCAAAAAGACGCTGAACAGAGAAAAACCCGTGGACGTGATTTTGATTAGAAAAAAACAATAGTTTTTCTTACCTTTGCAATCCAGATTGAACTCTATCGACAGCAAGAATCCCATGATCAGGAAAGCAGTAAAATAAGAAAACAACAAGAAAAGCGCAACAAAGCACAGCCTGAAATTAGATCAGAATATACTTTCTTGATAAGATAGACTTCCTAAATAAACCAAGGTAAGTTTTGAAAAAAATAATGAAAGCTGAAAAACATTTAAGAAAAGTTAATCGGAACGAAGGTCTTAACTTGAACTAATCGCTCTCATTTCGAGACTTCAACCTAGAGTTCCCGGGCTTCAGTTACAGCATCCGCTGCATTCTGAGCTCGTCAAGGCGCAACTGAATGGAACGAGAACGAGAGGAAGGATCGTAAAAGTCATGCCTTCAACTTTTTTAAGTACACTTTCGGACTGCTGGTTTCAATAGGACTCAAAAGGTCCTTATTAACCTCCTAGTCGATTACATCTACGACTAAAGCAACAAAATTGAGGATTGATTGAATTCGAAGGAAACTTGAACAAAAAAGACCGTTTTCCGGCAGTCGAACTCCAATGCATCATCTGAGAGGCGACATCAAGATAGAAGTAACAAACGATGAGCAGAAGAACTGCCCGAGTGTACATCAGGAAGAGGGTGAGTTGAGACGTCCAACCAACAAGCCATTCGAAAGATCTGAATCTCCCACAAACAGTCTTAAAAGGCATCATCATTTACGCTGCATGAATCCGAAGATGTAAATATCATACCCAGCGATGCAGTGAATCGTCAGCAAGTAGTAGAGCAGGAGTCTGAGATGAGAGGCAGGAGCCATCGAGTGCAGCTTCATGATCCGCACCAAACACAGAAGGGATGTCAAGGCTCCCAGCACACCGATCAGTCCTGATCTCACGCAAGCTGCAAATATCGAACTTGGCAGGGGAGATGTGAAAGTCGGAAGATTGATATTTTGTTAAAAGTATGCAGAGAGGTTTCGTGACCTTTTTAAAACAGATTAATTGAAAATAAATGAACAAAAAACTTTAGCTGCAGCTTAAGAGGTTGCTCCTGAACTAGTTGGAGAGCACACTGAAGTGACCCCTAAAACGAGCTCTATGGAAGCCACTACCTAGCATCTTACTATATAGCATCTACACTATAGTGGTCACTGCAGTAGTTTTTAGTGGTCTAGTAGTACCACTTACATTCCTAAAGAGGAAGCCAAATCACCTAAGGAGGCGCTAATTCGACCACTATAGTAACCACAAAAACGGCGGAACCCTAAAGTGGCCACTAAAGTTTTTCACACAACTTGTCTTGTTTTAGAGACGTGACGTCTCAGATTTGGTCATCTAGTACTAAAGAATACCTAGCCTTCCATATAATATTTTTCGAATTGCCATATTTTCAAAACAAGAAAGTTGTACTTTCAATCTTCTCTAATATGTAATCAGGAGGTTCCAAAGTTCCGTCAAACTATCAACCCTCCACTTTTCAATATCCTTGTGAATAATTTCATGAAACATGATGTGACACAGTCAAGTTTTCCTGCTCTAAACTATTTCAGAAGCTTTCAAGTTTCTCCAAACGCTCAGAAAGAAACAAAAAAAAAATATGACTCATATATAAACATTATGATAAATAAAAATGAACCAAACCTACGACATCAGGATTTCCGATGCAGTTGGCACCAAAAACATCTGTTTCGTTGGCGCCCCTCGTTTCATTCGCCATAGCTTCAACCATACATGAGCAAGTCTAAAAATTAAAAAGAAAATGATCAACGAAAACTATAAACAAAAATAATTAACTTTCTAAACCGAGCCTCATGTTTTGAAACTAGCTTTCCCAAAATACAAACAAAATGTAAAAAAGGGAGAAGAGTGATGATATTTCACATTATTATTTTGAGAGGAAGGAATGGCGGACACGTTGCGCCCATTAAGAGCATCAATACAGGCTAATTTCTCAAAAACTCAAAAAAGCGGACTATTTCAAACTGACAATTCGATAAGAAAACGCGGACCGGCTGATAAAAACGCCAAAGCAGACCCAATCATACCCCTCAAGTTGAAGGTATCAACTTCTGCTCTCATTTCTTCAAACTAGCATAACGAAACACTTATTAATTTATTTTTACTAGTAAGGCGAGAATAAGTTATTTGAATTAGAAAGGAAAAGTATGCTGTTATAATTTTCTGACACGATAAACGAAGAGATCATGAAGATTACATAGAAATTTGACAAAGCAAAAAAGAGGATACAGAAAATACGAAAAAGAAATAGAAGTTACTCCCGTTTGATTTTAAAGGATCTGAAAGTGATAAAGTGAGGTACGAAAGTGGAAAAAGCGATGTAGGAGAGGAGAATGATCATGGCAGTGACGTCATCCGTTTGTAGGGTGTTCTGGACGGCTCCATTGACAGCGCCCGTCATCACGTTGGCCAACAGGAAGAAGAGAAGTCCGTTGGAGTTGAGCGACTTGGTGAGACACGGCTCGACGTTGAAAAACGGGTCGTCGTTTGAACCTTGAGAAGTATCGTTTGACGAGCACACGAAGATGACTCAGACTTTCAAGGGAACTTTTTCTATCAATGTTGATTTTTTGATTAAACTGATCTCATGGTCAAAGTCTTAATAGAAGCTTGTGAAGCGTCAGAACTCGAAAAAAAACTTATCATAATAAAATTTTGAAATGAAATGGTTCTGAAGCAAATTTCAGGCAATATTCGTAAAAAGTTCAACTGGAGGTTCCCTTGTTGGTACATTTTTTAAAGTCTTCACATTTTTTTTTGAGTGAGTTGTTTTCAAAATTCTACGATTCATTAAATCCAATATCAAAATTTTTATCTTGTCTTTCTGGTTCACAAGTACCCTAATTCAAAAACTTACCAGTGGTGAATTGGGGTAAGTTCGCCGACCACGCCAATAACGTGAACATGTGCACGATAAGGCAGCCGATGAATCCAACCATCAAGACGAAAAACTGTAAACTTCGGATCTTTAAACGGATAACTGAAGGCAGAGTATTTGAAATTAACTTGTTTCGAAATTTTTTTCGAGGAAAACATTTGAAAAAAGGTTAGACAAGAAAATTTAAACTCAAAAAATATGGGATAAATTGAATATGAAAATTGAAGGAAATAGGTAAAAATTTTTTTGTTACGTTCAGGCGAGTGCCATTTCGAGTTTTAAAAAATAGATTTTTTTTTCCGCGACATCTTTTTCTCACCATCCAGATCAAAAAAATTATAGAAACAGTCCGTAAATACGAGAGCGCCAACAAAAAGGGAGACAGACAAAATAGAATTTATCAAGTCGAGCTGACTGATGTATATAAAGATATTCTCGAAATTTCTATTGCAAGTCTCAAACAGAAATGATTTGAAATATCATTTAAATTACAGTGTTCCCTCTTTTTTTAATATCGTACATCTTCTCGGTACCGAAATAACCAAAAAAAAATTTCAGAAGACATCTAAAATTTCATTAGCTCGCCTCAAAAGTTTAATAACTAATTAAAATATCCTAACCGGTTTGATCAGCCGTCCTGAGTGAAACATAGCAGTGAAAATTTTGAAAAAAAACCTGGGAAAATATGTAAGTCATATTGACGACACGTCGGGAAGGTGGTCCGACAAAAACTTCCGAAGCTTTTTGTAGGCCATAAGAGACGGCGATGAACAAGGCAATATGCAGGCATCTTTGCAGCCAAGACTTCACTCTTATTCTTGAAAGAAGCCCAAAATCAAGACCAAGGACTACTTTTGAGAAAAACCCTGTGTTGGCCAGAAAACGACCGAGAGAAAGCCCAGTGTAGAAAATGACGAGATATCCGGCCAGAGACACGATCCCTTCGGCATTCGCTTCGAACAAATTCGTTCTTTTATTTTCATCAGTGATGATCCAACGCTGAAATGTTGGGTTAATATTAGGGCGATCTTAGGAAAGGAGAGTTAGGGTTTTCAATTTAAATATCAATCTAAAGCAAGGCCTTGGGAGTTCTTCCGAATGAAAATTGGTGACAGGCCACCTGAGATGGATGAAACAGTTTCAAAAAAAAAAGTCGAAGAGGAAAATTTTTAAGCGAAATTTATTCGACCGAAAAAATAGATACCTGTTGAACTAGACTGCTTGGGATATGAAAACATAACTATTGGTAATTAGGCTACAAGAGTTTGGAAGACTTCAAAGAACCCAGAAAAATACTTCTTTATTTTTATAATATTTTATAGGTTTGGGGCGTGTCGTAGCGCAACGGGTTGTGTGCCTGTCTACGGTCCACAGGGTCACAAGTTCGATCCCCGACCCAACCAAGGGGTTTAAGAAATGTTGGTAGTGGGAAACCACGGCTTCATAATCCCCAGCCGTCACGCCCAGGGACGGATATGTCACCAGAGCCAGTGCACTGATATCAGGATAGGACCTCGGCTAATTGAGAAGAAGGCGAAGAAGATAGGTATATGAACTACCACAATAGCTATATGTTTAACCACTCCAATATGAGTTGATTTTTATAGTCAGCAATATTGAAAAAGTTCCACTCTCGTTGAAAACCGAGCGCAAAGAAAAATTAGGAGCATTAATTTATTATCTTAAAAAAAACCATGCGCAACAAAATGAAAATTTTTAATTTTCTTTTGAATTTAAGGAAAATTACTTACGATGGTTGCTAATCAGACGCAACATTATATGTCAATAATTTTTAGACTTCAACTATCAAGAAAAAAAAGACAGCAAATAGTGGAGTCTATCGGAATGGTTTGAAGAAAAAAAACTCGTTTACCGTATATTTAAATGAAAATTCAAAATTTTTCAGGATACTTTCAAAACATTTGGTACTAAAATAATAAAAAAACGGGATACTCACCTCGTAGCCCAACCCCACAAGAATGAACTGATGGAAGAGCAAGCACAAAATCGCATTCAGAAAGGGATATCGGCAGGGCAAAATGGCGTAGAGAACCTTCAAATAAAATAGTTCATAAGGTAAAAGAACAAAAACTGACGCGAACACAAGCCAAGGTGAAGAAAAAGTTCCAGTGGACACCGTACTCGGTGACATTTTGATGATAGTTGAGGACGCTGAGGACGATCGTCCTTGCCAAGCCGAACATGAAGAGGAAAAGCGTCGAGGAAGACAACCATTGGTATCTGGCCGTTTTTGGAAGGCTGAAATGTTGATGAATATCGTTCAAAATTCCATGTGTGTAGGTGTTTTTTCTTTTTTTCGAAAAATCAACCAAAGCCCGATACGAAGTTTAATTGATTAAAGACCTCGAAAATCGTAGAATCGTCTATAATTCCGAAATAATATAAAACAGCTTGCTCTTCAGGTTAACTAATAAGTTTTACGTCCCTTCATCGCTGTCAGAACCAAGAAAACAATTCTACTTCTCAAGTTTGGAACTGCTACAGATTCAAGAATCATTTTTCGAAGCGGTAACCTTTTTCGATTGTAAAACTTCAAGCTGCTGCCGATTCCGGCTTGAAGAATGACTGCGGACACTCCAAGATCCATCAACGAGTGCCCATACTTCTCTGAACAATACAGCGTATAGAAAAAAACTCAACAGGAAAATTATTCGGGATTTCCAACAAACTTGACCTAACAATCTTCGAACGTCTTCGATAAAAGTTACTATTAATCGTTATTTTGGCCAATATTTGTTATAGAATATATTGTACATTTTCAAAGTTCTCGTTCATCAAAAAACCATGCAAGAAAAGAATATTTCTTGACTGTGCAAATGATATCTCCAAAAAATTTTTACGCAGTAAGCGAATACCAGCTTTCTCGATTCGAACATTCAATGAGTGTTTGAGTGAATTTATATATAAATCCAGATTGCAAGATACAATTACCTATTGAAAAAAGAGCATATTTTTTTGATTGAGTCACGACCTTTTAATTGAGGCAAAAAAATCTTTCTCTTCGCTCAATTGAGAATGTGAAAAATTCAAAGAGCCATAAAAGGCTTGTTCGATCTCGGTCTTGCGAGACCAAATCCTTTTTTCGAGACAATTCAGAGACGCGAATTTCGATTTTCACAAATTTTAATTTTTAATTTTATTTTCCTTTCACACCCAGCCTGATAAAAACTTGTTTGTTATTCAGTTCCGCCCTTAGACGCACACAAAACAATTAAAACCTAACTCTGCAATGATTTTCCTCAAAGTTTACCTGTTTTCGAAAATCTACGAGGAAAAACAGAAAAATCGACAGCTAATATGGCGGAGCATATCGTCACGGAAGAAAGCGCTCTGAAACAATTTATTCATCCGGAAATGCAATAAGCTCACCTGGCATAGGTGAAAAACATCGTCGGGTGTTGATGTTCATCTACAATCCGGTTCATGATCTGCTGAAAAGCACAACGAATGAGATTTGAGATGGCTGATGAACCTTGAAAGATGGCCTGTTGGTTTTGAAGACAGCCTCACAGATGATGAAGAGCAGGAGAGTGCACACACAGACGGTGAGAATCGAGACGACGATTGCCAGATGGGAGGACCAGACCGTCATGGTCAACATCGAGGGGAAAACGACAAAGACGAGGTCCACCAAAAACTTGCACCTGAATTCGAAATTAGGAAGCCATTCAGAAGAAGAACTGACCAAAAAGCCGAGATGCTCTTGTCAAATCGCCGTCCCAAGAAAACCCACGGTAGTCCGACGTTGCGCAACATCAACGACAAAATCGTGATCGCTTGCACTTGGAACAACTACAAAGTCGCAAAATTATATTTTTTCCCGTTGTATTCCGACCTCCTTCTGTGAACATCCCTCAAGAGTGTGCACGTCGTTTTCCATTCTGAACATTCTTAGTGAAATTCAAAATACCTCAGTCCGATAGTTCCTGGATTCAACAACACAGAGGCATCGAAATATCAAAACAACAGCTCTAATACTAAAATTATTCATTTCGGAACGTACAAGCAACAGCAGGAAAGAGGAAAAATATTCGATTCACGAACGGCAGTGTAGAGGTCCGACTAATGAGAGCCGCCAAAAATTTTAAAGCTTTCTAAGTTCCTGAAACTCGAAAAAAAGAGAAGTTGCATGCAGCACCATTGGAGGAGTCCGACGTGAACCGATCAAACCAATAATTATGGAACATAGATTAGCAACAAGGAAGAAATAAATAAGATGGGAAGTGGGAAGAAAGTTTTTCTATTCGACACGGAGAATAATGTGGATGCCGGAGTTCGTGTCGACGACGTCGCTCATTTCTCCGACGTCGAGTCCGAAAGCTGCGTCTTCGAAAGGTTTTTGCATTTGCCGTCGCTCGAATCGCTAGAACAACAGGAAAGTTTCGAAAAGCCTATCAAAGTTACGAAAAATTTTTGAAAAAAAAATTTTCTGTTTTAACTTTTTACACTTCTTCCCTACATTTATGCCGTCTTTAAAATGGTTGTACGAAATAAAACTACTTCTTTATAAAGCTGTCAAATTCGGAATAAATCCAATGCGAATTCATCAGCTTATGTCATTTTCTCAATTCTACAGAAACGAACAAGTGCATTACCGGCTTCACAGTAACTAAAAACAATTTGGAAAAAGTCATTAAGAAAAAATTGCGGAAGTGAACTGCAGTAGCTTCGAATCTTTGTTTCAGTCAACTTAGGAACGCTTAAGATATTTCTAGGCATTTTTTGAATCTCACGGTATTTTTTGAATCCGTTCTTTGACTGGCCCAATCCAGCCTATGGTTAAATGTTCAAAAAAGGAAACCCCGAGATCGCCGCCACGTTTCGCCGAACTGCAGTCGCTGAACTCTTTCGCAATCGACCGGAATTTGGCTTCCAAGTCGGGCGCGCTTCGGATGTCACTGATAAAATCTGCAAAACAGATTTTTTACCTCACCATCTTCCTTCGTGAAAGCCTCAATTGCCTTTCATTCATTTATTAAAACCATATATGTCAGTTTTTTAAAACTCTTATTGTGCCTGTTCTTGTTATGTCTATAAAAAGAAGCAAATTCACTTCAAATAACCTCATTTTTTCTGGTTAAAAAATCAAAAATACATTCTAAATCAGAGTTAAATTATAAAATTGACTTCGCAAAAACCAGAGTATTTACAGATTCTACAAAGAAAAATCGTTTTAATAAAAAATGTACTTTTCCAAATGTTCCACAGCTATATAACTTTTGTCAAAGTTCTGTAAAAGGATTAAAACCTAAAAAAAGGAAACCTTGGATAATGCTGATGGCGTCTTCTTTGCTGCGAGAGATGTGGTCGGATCTCCAACTGGATGGATTTCGGCTGCCGGCGTGCTTCACTAAGATGTGTAGGGCACGGACCGCAGTCAATTCGCTTCCCTGGAAACGAGAAAAAATACAAAGAATCAACAATTCGAGACGACTTTAGTGAAAGCCGAGGCGGAAGGACGGTCCCACTGACTGCGTCCAGTCGCCGTGTTGAAGTAGTACTCTCGGTCTGAACATAAAGTGCATGAGATTGAACTCATCTCGGTTTTTTAAAAGGTGATTCTCAAAACTTTGAAAAAAGCAAAAATGAAAGTTTTGAGGTTTTGCTAGAAATCAGATGGAACACACTTTGAAGTATAGCTGATTCACGGCAGGCTTGAGCCATCGAAAAAAGGGTCCTGACACGATAATAAAAGAGATAGTGCATGGTTGGTGAAGAGCGCAGACACGCCACGCCCCCTCAGCGTGCCAAGTTAGCCGTGAATCGGCTATAACTTTGATGGATTCGACCGGAACATTAACGTCGAAAAAACGCTAAGAACTGACTATTGGAACGGCTCATCCGCTTCTCCCAACCCGTGGGTAGCGGCTCCATTTGGTCGTTTGTAATTCCTTCGGACATTAGCTGGAAACGCTGTTTTCGTTTAGAAAATACTGGGAAACGCGAGAATCCTTTACTGAATTTTTCTGCCGTGTAAAATATTTTTCTACTAAACAAAGTAAATTTTTTTTTCGGAGACTTTCAAATAATCTCGATAGCCCTCCAAATTTCATTCAATCCTCCAACAAAAGCAACAAAAAACTTTGAAAACGATATTCAATTTTTTGTAAGTTGTCTGAGATTTCATACAATCAAAGATTTTCGGTTGCTTCAAAAGGAGTCTAACCAATTCAAATGGAAATATTTTCTTTATGAAGAAGTAAAGTCCGATGAAAACGTTCTTATTATCATACGAGAACTAGAAAAGAAGTTGAAAAATTTATTATGCAACAAAATGAACAAATGTACCAGAGTGAGTTGAACAAGAATTGGAAGCTGTCTCGGCAAAAGAACAATATGAACCGTGGTTTTTCAAGGAATTCGTGACCCGTTGATTCTAGTGCAGCACTCACTGGGCGGAACCGCCCAATTGTAGACGTAGGAAGGTCGAGTTCTGGAAAATCAAAAAAATGTATTCAGAAAAATCGGTATTGAGTTCTTACTGGTACTGTTTGGGACAAAGAACACCGTGGCTCTTCAGCGAATCGAACATGGCCAACATCTCCCCCGGCGACTTTTTGTGCGTCACGAGGTACTCGTTATTGCATCCGCGCGAGGTCCACTCCGTATCGAACCTCGGATCGTGCACATACCGCACTTTCAATCCTTGAATGCATACACTGTCAGTAAAAATTAGGACTAAACATCAACGAAAAGTGTCATATTTCACTGTTGTTTTTTTTATGGGTGTCAGAGCTTCGGAAATTTCAGAATAGCTTTCCAACTTTTCTTAAAATTCAATAACTGGTCAACAGACGCGGTTCAAAAGCCATTGCTGTCCTGTAGACTCAGCAATCAAAAAAATTCCGCGTGATTTTTTTCGAAAAAACTAGATGAAGAACCTGCAAGCCAGGCTCCGACGGAAACATCTTCGTTCTTGTAAGTTCGCAGAAGTTGCGAATTCGTCGATATGAATTTCGCCAATGTGTGAGAGAGCACGTAACCACCACCAAGCTGCAATTCAGAAACAATATCAAAAATTTAATATAAAAGCTCAACATTACTTGCTGAGCTAACTTCATTTAAGAAACCACTCAGACATTTAGAGAAGTTCCAAGTGGAAAATGGTTTTAGTAGGAAATAAGTATCCAAACTATTAGGTGAAAATTATGAGTTTAAAAAGACCTGATAAGGCAGATAACGGTCGCAGAGCATCCACTCCGGCTCACTCCACTTTCCTTTGCGTCGCGGCTTGGCGCGTCCGTCCAAGAATCCCCAGTAGAGCATCGGATGTTGTACCTCACGAAGAGCTCCTAGCAGGCCTTTGATTCGTACGAAAGAATCCGCGTCAGTCTCGAAAACAAGATAATCTTCCCCCTTCTTCTCGCCTCACTTTGAAGACAAAGTCAAAATCATAATTTTTGAGGGCGTATTCAAACGTGGGGAGTGTTTTCTGCGCCAGATTCTCGTATGAATCTTCTAAATTGGGTAGAAAGGCAATGTCTCTATAGGTGTCGTTTTCCTTTTGAAGTTCAACCTCATCCTCGCCGGCAACGGACTTCGTTCCAACTGAGAAGAAGTAGGTGAAAGTAGAAGGCCCCTGGAAACATTTGTGAATAAGCCATATAAATAATTTTTGGCTGTACCTTTCGCCCCAGTTTTAGCCAAGTATTACGAATCAAATTCCTAGTTTCGACATCCTTTCGCGAGGACATGACAGCGGCGACGAGGAACGTTTTTTGCAAAGCGACACGTTCTGCTTCCGTAAAATCTGAAGAGAAACAAGGTTAAAAAAAAGTTCAATAGTGAACTGAAGGTTTAATACGTGTCTGTAAGAAAATCCCTTGTTTCATAAGAAAATCCACAGCAAATGGTTTGAAAACATATTAATGAAGGACGGGGAAACCTCGGCTGAGCTTCTTCTCATGGTTGCTCTGATGATCTTTCGAAGAGCCGTTAGAGAATCCCCGCCAAGCAATCAGAAAGGTGAAGAAAATAGAGAAGCTCAACCCGACCAGTGAGAAAAGCTGAAAAAATTTGAAATTGAAGGAGTAAGAATGAAAATTACTTTCAGAAATTTGAATTGAAAGATCATCTCGTCATCCTTTTACGTCGAACCTTGAAATTTGAATCTAGAATGAAGAAGTGGAAATTTGAATCTAGAATGAAGAAGTGGCAAAGATGTTAAAGGGCCGCCTTATATACCCATCAACTCTCAAAACCTAGATTTCTGGGACACCCAAAAACTCCACACCAAAATTAAGATACCTTTATTTACAACATATTAATTAGCAACCTAATATTCTCCAACACGACTTTCAAATATTCATCATAGCTATTTCTCCAAATAATGTGCTCCATCCGCTTGCAATCATCCGCAATGCTCTCAGTTGCCTTTGTGAAATTTTCAAGCAGATTCCAATTTTTTATAATCATGTTCAGTGAAGGATGGTCGAGTCGCTGTCCGAAAAGTGTAGCACTGTGAATACAACTTTCTTGGGGTATGACCTAAAAACATTCAATAGTTTTTCCGAAAAGATATATTCATACGCTTACCATAAAATCTATAATAATCAGTTGATGCTTGTCATTAAGCCCATAGTTTCCAGAATTAAGATCGCACAAACATAAAAGCTTCCTAATCAAGTCCAAGAGCATTTGATGTTCGTCTGTAAACGGACATGCGGATCGGTGGGCCCGTTTGAAGAATCCTTGAACTAAAACAAAGTAGCGTAATAACATGGTCAAATAAAATCGAAATACCTCTCTTTGTGGCGATATGTAAAGCGAGTGCTGATGTGTAGCACCTCGAATAAGCACTCGGAATGAAATGTGCATCGGCACCAATTCCCATAAATTGCAAAAGCCGATAGACGAATATTTCTCGCTTATCGACGCGTGAATGAGCAGAACCACGACCCCCCATAAAGGTATGATTTTTGACAAAATAATCGGCATTAGCTACGTGAACGATAAATCCACCCTATAAAATAACAGAGAAAACCATGCAAGAAATAGATTTAATAACCTGAGCCCCAGTGTCCGGTTTTGGAGAAAATGTAATCGAAAGAGCTTCATTAGCGAAATAATTTCTGAAGTAGGATGCCACAGCCTGGAAATTGCAATTATTGACTCAATAAAGTGCCGTCAAAAATACTCACTATTTTTATGTTCTCTTCAACTCCAATGATGAAACGGTCAAACACCGTCGATAACTCCACGAACTTATTAGCAAAAGAAGGATACGTATCGAAGAAATCACAATTTTCAAGGGCGATTAAAATTTTAGATCCTCGTTTAGCAAATTTAGCCTTTAAATGATCGGGCTTCTTCTGCGTAACACTTTCGGCAAAAACTAAGCATGCTGCCCAATTGTGCAGTCCACTGTGTTTCTGAAATGCACTATTAGTCATGGGCTTATATTTAATTTCGTGCAACAACAATTTTAAATAAAACTGTTATAAAATTCACTAGCTGTAGAAGAATTGCTTAACACTTTTTTGAATCTCAAAAAAGTCATGAGCTTATATTTACTATGTGCAATAACAATTTTAAATAAAACTAGGATAATAAAAAGTATTAACAGTAAATTCTAATATTAAAAATTCAACTTACAACAACAATTTCTTCGCCAAACTTGATGTCTTGAAGAGGACGCTCAACATCAGGTAGCTCATCACCACGGAATTTGATTTGTTGAAATTTGGGTGGAATACTCGTCACATTCTCAATTTCCTTCACCAGGTCATCGACATGAATCTGAAATTAACACGAAATCAATTATTATCAACCATAAAAGTGAAAACCTGTGGATCTAACTCAATCCTCTTGAATATTTTATCATTATCTTCGCCGATCAAACGTATCGTAGTCTTGACCATCTCTAAAACCAAATAATTAATGTAATAAGTAAAGAAATGATAATCACAGATGTGAAATCACGAAATCAATGCAAACTACGGAAGAAAAGTAAGTCTCTTTTTCTATTCACAAAGGTGGCATGCCGGAAAGTGCGCGCTGTGCGCACTCTTTTCTCGTGCGCACGTAAGGAAAATGCGCACTCTTTTTTCCAATTTTGTACAGGAAATCGCGCTCTCTTTCTAACATCAGGAAAATGCGCACGGTTATCAAATTCCGCTCTTTTCTAGAGAGAAGTCCACATAAACCATCTCACTTTTTCTCTTTGTCATGAAGAAATCTTTCAGCTAAAGATGAATTGAACATCTTTTGATTATTTGATAATTTATGGAGAATATTTCTTATCAGGGAATGGTCTGCGGTCACTTCGGAATGAGACCAGGTGTAGTTTTGCAAAAAAGTGAGATGCTCTTTTTGAGACCAAGCTGATTCCAAGCTTGGTCTCAAAAAGCTGCCGCGAAAATCTGCTAAAAAGTGAGATGCTCTCAAAATATACAGATCTTTTCCATCTGATAACATTAAACAATACAGGGTGGAGGAATAATTACTGCGACAAAAGTTTGTAGCATTAGCTCTCGCCGACCCGAGCTCATTTTTGTTCCAGTCATTATTCCTACCTTCATCAAGCCTTCTTCTATAATATGATGACCGCCGTGCCACGTTGACTTTCGGAAAAGTCGTTTCTGCCTTTTGGGCGTTTATGGCAAGGCAGGCAGGCTTGGCTATGAAGGCCTAAAGCCCCCTAGGCCTTGATTTTTTTTAATTTCGAAGAAAAAGCTCGGGCCAGAGATTCAAGAAACTTTTTTATTTCATTAAAAACATTTTCACCGAAAAATTATTTTTACATGTTGAATCACATTTTTTAATAACTCAATGAAGAAAAATGAGCAAAAACCCCGCTTTTCTCGTTAAAACGGCTAAAAATCCGAAATCAAGAAAACTTCAGCTTTTTGGGCCGGGCCGAACCACCAAAAAATGTTTTCAGTGATTTTTACCGCCAAGTACAACACTGGAAAAAAAAAATCTTGACTCAAAGTTACTTCATTACGCATCAAGGCCGTTAGCGAGGGAGTTTATTGCGACGTTCAGCAAATTATTCGATAAGGTCGCCCTGAAGCTCAATTTGAACGTATTTTCAAGGTTTCAATTCTCGAAATTGATAACGATTCACGTCTATGTAAGCCTGTCAATTAACAGAAGTCAAAAAAAATTGAAGGAATTTTTTCCGAAAAATAGACATGTGTCTCTACTTGGCACGCTGTTTGGATGCTCTTCATAGACGAATCGAGAAAGGGTATCGCGAGACCCTCTGAGGCATATCGCAGGGTCTGAAGCCTATCGATGGTAACCCGAGTATACCTCTGAGGACTTTGAGCAAAATGAGATAGACTTGAGGGAGACTCTAAAGTACCTCCGAGATAGCTCAGATATAGCTAAAAGGTATGCTGAAGGTTTCTCCTTCGTTCTTTTCCAATTTTCAATCTTCTTCTCCAATTCAACCGTTTTGCGCTGTTTTTTTTTCTGATTATAGAGTGTAGAAGAATTGAAAAAACAAGAGCGAAAAAAGTTTCGCGTCAAAAGGGATCGAACCTAGCATAGCGTCAGCGCCATTCAGCAGAGCACTCTCCCCTAGGTCCATCTACCATGTAAGCCTCAATTTCTAACTCGATGTTCACCGCGCACACAGCTGTCAGCGTGCCAAGTTAGCCGTGAATCGGCTATAACTTTGATGGATTCGACCGGAACATTAACGTTGAAAAAACGCTAAGAACTGACTATTGGAACGGCTCATCCGCTTCTCCCAACCCGTGGGTAGCGGCTCCATTTGGTCGTTTGTAATTCCTTCGGACATTATCTGGAAACGTTGTTTTCGTTTAGAAAATACTGGGAAACGCGAGAATCCTTTACTGAATTTTTCTGCCGTGTAAATTATTTTTCCACTAAATAAAGTAAATTTTTTTTCGGAGACTTTAAATAATCTCAATAGCCCTCCAAATTTCATTCAATATTTCTAGGCATTTTTTGAATCTCACGGTATTTTTTGAATCCGTTCTTTGACTGGCCCAATCCAGCCTATGGTTAAATGTTCAAAAAAGGAAACCCCGAGATCGCCGCCACGTTTCGCCGAACTGCAGTCGCTGAACTCTTTCGCAATCGACCGGAATTTGGCTTCCAAGTCGGGCGCGCTTCGGATGTCACTGATAAAATCTGCAAAACAGATTTTTTACCTCACCATCTTCCTTCGTGAAAGCCTCAATTGCCTTTCATTCATTTATTAAAACCATATATGTCAGTTTTTTTAAAAACTCTTATTGTGCCTGTTCTTGTTATGTCTATAAAAAGAAGCAAATTCACTTCAAATAACCTCATTTTTTTCTGGTTAAAAAAATCAAAAAAATACATTCTAAATCAGAGTTAAATTATAAAATTGACTTCGCAAAAACCAGAGTATTTACAGATTCTACAAAGAAAAAAATCGTTTTTAATAAAAAAATGTACTTTTTCCAAATGTTCCACAGCTATATAACTTTTTGTCAAAGTTCTGTAAAAGGATTAAAAACCTAAAAAAAAGGAAACCTTGGATAATGCTGATGGCGTCTTCTTTGCTGCGAGAGATGTGGTCGGATCTCCAACTGGATGGATTTCGGCTGCCGGCGTGCTTCACTAAGATGTGTAGGGCACGGACCGCAGTCAATTCGCTTCCCTGGAAACGAGAAAAAATACAAAGAATCAACAATTCGAGACGACTTTAGTGAAAGCCGAGGCGGAAGGACGGTCCCACTGACTGCGTCCAGTCGCCGTGTTGAAGTAGTACTCTCGGTCTGAACATAAAGTGCATGAGATTGAACTCATCTCGGTTTTTTAAAAGGTGATTCTCAAAACTTTGAAAAAAGCAAAAATGAAAGTTTTGAGGTTTTGCTAGAAATCAGATGGAACACACTTTGAAGTATAGCTGATTCACGGCAGGCTTGAGCCATCGAAAAAAGGGTCCTGACACGATAATAAAAGAGATAGTGCATGGTTGGTGAAGAGCGCAGACACGCCACGCCCCCTCAGCGTGCCAAGTTAGCCGTGAATCGGCTATAACTTTGATGGATTCGACCGGAACATTAACGTCGAAAAAAAACGCTAAGAACTGACTATTGGAACGGCTCATCCGCTTCTCCCAACCCGTGGGTAGCGGCTCCATTTGGTCGTTTGTAATTCCTTCGGACATTAGCTGGAAACGCTGTTTTTCGTTTAGAAAAATACTGGGAAACGCGAGAATCCTTTACTGAATTTTTTTCTGCCGTGTAAAATATTTTTTTCTACTAAACAAAGTAAAATTTTTTTCGGAGACTTTCAAATAATCTCGATAGCCCTCCAAATTTCATTCAATCCTCCAACAAAAAGCAACAAAAAAACTTTGAAAAACGATATTCAATTTTTTTGTAAGTTGTCTGAGATTTCATACAATCAAAGATTTTCGGTTGCTTCAAAAAGGAGTCTAACCAATTCAAATGGAAATATTTTCTTTATGAAGAAGTAAAGTCCGATGAAAACGTTCTTATTATCATACGAGAACTAGAAAAGAAGTTGAAAAATTTATTATGCAACAAAATGAACAAATGTACCAGAGTGAGTTGAACAAGAATTGGAAGCTGTCTCGGCAAAAGAACAATATGAACCGTGGTTTTTCAAGGAATTCGTGACCCGTTGATTCTAGTGCAGCACTCACTGGGCGGAACCGCCCAATTGTAGACGTAGGAAGGTCGAGTTCTGGAAAATCAAAAAAATGTATTCAGAAAATCGGTATTGAGTTCTTACTGGTACTGTTTGGGACAAAGAACACCGTGGCTCTTCAGCGAATCGAACATGGCCAACATCTCCCCCGGCGACTTTTTGTGCGTCACGAGGTACTCGTTATTGCATCCGCGCGAGGTCCACTCCGTATCGAACCTCGGATCGTGCACATACCGCACTTTCAATCCTTGAATGCATACACTGTCAGTAAAAATTAGGACTAAACATCAACGAAAAGTGTCATATTTCACTGTTGTTTTTTTTATGGGTGTCAGAGCTTCGGAAATTTCAGAATAGCTTTCCAACTTTTCTTAAAATTCAATAACTGGTCAACAGACGCGGTTCAAAAGCCATTGCTGTCCTGTAGACTCAGCAATCAAAAATTCCGCGTGATTTTTTCGAAAAAAAAAACTAGATGAAGAACCTGCAAGCCAGGCTCCGACGGAAACATCTTCGTTCTTGTAAGTTCGCAGAAGTTGCGAATTCGTCGATATGAATTTCGCCAATGTGTGAGAGAGCACGTAACCACCACCAAGCTGCAATTCAGAAACAATATCAAAAATTTAATATAAAAGCTCAACATTACTTGCTGAGCTAACTTCATTTAAGAAACCACTCAGACATTTAGAGAAGTTCCAAGTGGAAAATGGTTTTAGTAGGAAATAAGTATCCAAACTATTAGGTGAAAATTATGAGTTTAAAAAGACCTGATAAGGCAGATAACGGTCGCAGAGCATCCACTCCGGCTCACTCCACTTTCCTTTGCGTCGCGGCTTGGCGCGTCCGTCCAAGAATCCCCAGTAGAGCATCGGATGTTGTACCTCACGAAGAGCTCCTAGCAGGCCTTTGATTCGTACGAAAGAATCCGCGTCAGTCTCAAAAACAAGATAATCATTTCAATGTTTCTTTTCGCCTTACTTTCAAAATAAAGTCAAAATCGTATTTTTTGACAGCGTACTCAAACGTGTGGAGAGTTTTTTGCGCCAGATTCTCGTATGAATCTTCCAAATTGGGAAGAAAGGCGATGTCTCTGTAGGTCTCGTTTTCCTTGAAAAGTTCAGCCTTATCCTCGTCGCCGAGGGAATTTGTTCCCACAGGGAAAAAGTAGATGACAGTAGAAGGTATCTGAAAACTTGTGAGAATAATGCCCTGTAAATCATTCTGCTTGTACCTTTCGCCCCAGTTTCAGCCAAGTATTACGAATCAAATTTCTAGTTTCGACATCCTTTGGCGAGGACATGATAGCGGCAACTAGAAACGTCTTTTGCAAAACGACACGTTCCGGCTCCGTAGTATCTAAGCAAAAATAAGAATAAAAAAATCGTCTAGAAGAAAAGTTGAAAACACTTAAGAGCGGTAGGATATAGTAAAATCCCGAAATTCATAATAAATTCCGCAGAAAACGAGTTTTAAATCCAATATAAAAATAAATGAATGAAAAAAACCGAAGGAAACCTCTACTGAACGTCTTCTCATGCTTGCTCCGATGATCTTTCGAAGAGCCGTTAGAGAATCCCCGCCAAGCAATCAGAAAGGTGAAGAAAATACAGAAGCTCAACCCGACCAGTGAGAAAAGCTGTAAGAATTTGAAATTGAAGGATTGAGAATGAAATTACCTTCAGAAATTTAAAATGAAAGATCATCTCGTCATCCTGTTACGTCGAACCTTGAAATTTGAATCTACAAAGGAACAATATAATTTCATAGAGCATCCACTAACAGAACGTTTCGAAATTAGAAAGCTTCAAAACTTCAAAATCAACGGATTTTTTTATTTGCAAAAAAAAATTTATGAAATTTACAGGTTCGTCGACAAGTAAGTTATTAACAAGAACTTTGAAAATAGTGAGATAAAGTGAAAACTATACGAGATAAAATTTATCACGCCCAAAGAAATAATGTGAAGAAAAGCCGCGAGAATGGATAAGAAAAAAATGGAGAAGAAGATACGTTGCAGCGTAACCCGGAACATTAGCCGCAAGAAAAGTGCCGTTTTACTCTGAAAAAAATTGTTCAAGAAATAAAGAAGTGGATAAGAACTAATGGACCAAGCAAATAACATGCCGTGAAAAATTTTGTTTGAAAGCTATACAACTATAAAAGACACCGAAAAGGCGAGTTGAAAAACGAGAGCCGGGTAAATTTGGAAAAGAAAAATCACAGTCGTCTATTATACAATTTTTTTGCGAAATGAGAAGCATAAATGGAGAGAAAAATAAAGAAACAGAACTTGAAGGAGAAAGCCGCAAAATGGAGAGGAGAGAAGAAATCACTTAGAGTTAGAATCGTGATCATTTGCGGCTTGAATGACATATCTAACTGCAAACGCAAGTAGCACCACGCCTGCAACAACAAACATGTTCGAAACGAACGAGCTAAGTCCCGAAGACGCGGAAGCGTCGGCCGCATTTCTGAATTGACTTCGTGATTCATGAAGAAGGCCGCTGACAGACACAGAAAAACACGGGAAACATACAAAATATACCAGAAACTTGAACTCTGCTCGTTTCAATCGACTTTATACCTGTATTTGGGATTCTACTTATGAACCTTTTCTCAAAGTTAAATTTTTTTGAATTTGGAGAAAATTGATTTTTCAAAACATTCCTTTTCACTTTCAAAAACATCGCCTGGCTTATTTTTGAATTTTTTCGAGCCTTGAGCCCCTGAAAAAAAGTTCAAAATACGTATTCTGGAATTTTTCCTTATCATACCTACGGTCTCACGGGAATGTCTATAATTATGAAAATTTCCTTGTTTTGCAATAAAACACGTATACAAGTTTTCACCAGCTAAAAAAATGGCAAAAGTTCAACCTCGATTTTAGCAGATAAGAGTGACTTCAGGGAATGAAACCAACTTGGATTTGTTCTTTTCTTCTTGCTCTCGCTGGCTAGCCTCCTCACTGACTGCCGACAGTAACTCCAGCTCTTTGCGGATTTTCTCGGCTTCTTCGGGAAACAACGAACAAAACGTTGAATTCTGCAAATAGAAACTTCTTTGCTTTGCTGGCAACTAGCAAGTTCCGAAAATTTATAAAAAATTTTCAGAACCTAAACTATAAATTAACTTCATTATAGTACTTTTTTCTGGCACATGTCCTGCAAACTGCCGGAAAATTCCCAACCACGAAGTTATATTACCTCGCTTTCAGCGTCCCTAGTTAGCCAAAAATCGGCTTTAAACACAAAAATTGAACCTTGAGATTAAAGGCTTTGCTGCGAAGAGCCAGCTTTCTTCGTTCTTCGTCTCCGACGGAGACACTTCCGAGCGTCGGTTGGTTGTCGTTCATGAAAGACAGGAGTCCTGTGATGATTGTGGAGACCTGAGTTTCGAAAATCAGCTTTACGGTTATAATATGTACTAACTGTCCATGCGGGATTCCACGTGTCTGGATGATAGTCCGATATCGAGAGACACAGCCGAGTGTTGACCTAAAAAAAGTCTTCTTAGCAGTTTATATTCTTGACCAGAATCTGGAAAATCGCCCTGAATGCCCAATTGGCGGCCTTCCACAAAACTTCATTGAAAGAATAACTTTTTCTATCTCAATTTTTAAGATTGAAAGATAAGAAAAGTGTTTAGTTAGAAAAATATGAGCGACAAATTCAAAAAGGTTTTTTTTTTCTTTCCAAGGACTTCCTGACGTATACATCATTTTACTTCAAACAAATTTTCCACTGCGATTAACTTTTAATTTTCAGTTTTTCCTATCAGATAACGCTGAAAATTCCGAAAACAAAACGGGTTAAGAGCAGAAAAAAACCTGAAATCGGCCGTTTGGAGTCATCATGTAGATCGACGGCGGCTTGAATGGGAAGTCGGGCGGAAAAATAAGTTTTCCATGGTAAACTCCTCCTATCAGAAAATGATGATTTGCCGTTAGAACAGGAAATAAAACCTTCGTACGGAGTATTTGGAGCGCCCATTATGACATAGTGCCATTCCAGGATATTGTTTTCCAGAGGCGCAGCTTTCATGAAAGGCACTGGCTCTCTTTAGAAAAAAAAACGGTTTTAAAAAGGTATAAAATGTATTTCTTTACTTGAGCAACTTGTGATAGTCCTTTTTGAGCCGCGAAGTCGCTGTAACTGATGCTGCCGGCATTTTCTACAAACCAAGAAATTAGCCAAGAATTATCCTTCAGATCTTCTTATAATAAAAGCGAGACCACAATCAGCTTTGTGGACTTCTTATCTATCAATTTCGAGCTAGCGACGGATTTCGTTTCGTACGTCCGATGAAACTATTAAATTTTTTTAAAGGAACCACTTCAATAGCGTAATCACCAACTGATCACATAAATTTTGCGAAATCTGTTGTTGAACAGAGCAAAAACTTTGAAAAGAAAAAAAAATAAAAAAGTACAGCTTGGATATATTATAACCCAATCGTTAACCAAAAAAAAAGTCTCGAAATTATGCGATAATTTATGCAGCAACGAAGAAAAAAACAAAGTGGATAAACAAGCCCGAGATGAATGAGAACATCGAAAGCAAAGAAACTCACGATGAAAGAAAGCAGGAATGAAGTGATAATAACCAATTCAATCGCGAGCGTTAAGAAGGAAATATTCAAATGCAACCGGAAACGAAGAAATCAAAACTTTTGACAGCACGTGAAACCGAGTTTGCACAGAAGAAACCTATCTTTCTGAAAATGAAACAAGAAAAAACGAGCTTTAAAGCTAACTTTTAGGCTCGGCATAAAACAAAGCGGATGATTAACCGGGTCAGGAATAAATCAACTCGTAAGAAATGCTTCAAGCCTTGCGGATTGAGATAAGGCAACGATTGATCGTCAGAAACGTGGTAGTCTGGTGAAAAAAAAATTGGAGTTCCTTATAATTGGAAACGTTTTCCTTTTTTGAATAGGCAAAATTACTTCCATCAAAGATGCCGTTTTTTAGTATAAAAACGGTCTTCAGAATGTTTGAAACCTATTCGAAATATAAATTTGACGGATGTTTTGGGGCGAAAAGCCGTTATTTAGTGCCATTTCAGGTCATGCATAAGTTATGCGTTTTTAACCGACACAGTGAGTGATTTCAACGAACTTTTTTTGAAGGTAACTGTGAATAGAGTAAAGGTTGATCAGAAGGCTTACACCATGTATTTAAAAAACTTGATTATATAATTGGAGAAAAAGACAAAAGCGTCAGTAAGTTGATGAGGAATAGCGTGAATAACCCGATTATGTGGTTTAATCACAGAAAAAAAAAAATGAAGTTTTCTTTAGTCGAGAACGATGACGTCGTCGTCTTCCACAGCGTTGCCGAGCCGATTGGTAAGACCTTCTCCCTGAACTTCGTCTGCCTTAGCTTTCGCAATGCCGGTTTTTAGTTTCTTCTTCACTGGCTCATCAACCTAAAACCCAACTTAAAAAAATCGGCAAAAAAACGACTGAGGTAAAAAAATATTTTTTTAGTTGACATAAAAAAAGTTTTTGCCTAAGCCGTTATGAATAACAGCGAAGAGGTTAAAAATATTTTTGAAAATAAAACATGAAAATCATCTTCTTCTTTTTTTCTTCTCTGGTCCGTGAAATCAAATTATGTGTACTCTGACATCGAGGGGGAGAAAAATAGACCAGTCGGTCCATTTCAAAGTAATCTCTAAAGGTAATTCCTGTTATACACTTATATCCGCCAAGAGGTCTGAGTACGATAGCTGAACTTCCATAGGCAAGCAATTTTGAAAAACACTGATCAGATGACGTACCGTTGTAGATAAGGCCGCCTGCTTCTTTTTAGCCATTTGCTCGAGCTCTTTAGAGAACCTGGCAGCCAGAGAAGGAAACATCTTAACAAACTCCGGATTCTGAACTCGAAACCGTGGGAACTGTCAAAAAGGGATAACCAACGGCTAAGTTGTATCCTTTGCTGGAAGCAGCGTGTTGGCGGCAAATCTCTGGAGGCTCGTTCACAGTTCCTGCAGCCATATCGTCTTCATTCATGAAGCTGTGCAAGCCAACCTGAGAACAAAAAAAAATTTGAAAGATGATTTTCCCTCTAAAATCATAAATTTTTCTCAAGCTCGCTGAAAAGGAACAAAAAATCAAAGGTTTTTCGAAGGGACAATGAATAGAGCGTTCCGTACAAGACGAACTTGTTTTCAAAGCAAAGCAGAAAAAAAAGGCGAATGCACAATTTTTTTTCCACTTTTCTTTCCCAAGACAGCAAAAAAGACAGCAAACAAATAAGGTCTTAAAGCGAAGCCTGATCAAATGTGGTCTAATTTGATGAACGATAGTTTTTTGTAGAAAAAAATGCGGGACATACTGGCGCAGATACGCTATATCAAAGCCATTAATGGCTAGGAAGCGGCCTTGAATTCCTTGATCAACACGATACGACACTTCTTGCGAACCAAATCCGAAAGCTCCAAAGGCGCTTTCCGGAGATTACAAATTTATACAGTGATGTCTAAGCTTTTGATCTTATTTTCTCACCACTTTTCCAAAAAAGCAAAAACATCTTTATTAGATTCCATTCATATCCTATAAAAATATGAGAAAATAAAGAAGAATTCTCTTACAAGGATCGATGTGACCGTCCATCCTGGATTCCACGATTCGGGGTGATAATCGGAGATCGAGAGACACAGACGCATATTCGGGTGGAATCTGATATCGAAAATAGGTTTAAAATCTTGAAAAATTCTCCACCTCCCATTAGGAGTGATCATGATGATCGCGGGAGGCTTCCAAGGGAAATCGACAGGGAAAATTAGTTTCCCATGATAGTAACCTCCTGGAAAACACAAATGCTTTTTTTCGGTCGGAAACAAGCCAACCTTGGTAAACCGTGTCGGGAGATCCTCTCAAACAGTAGTGCCAAACGAGAATATTCTCTTCACATGGTGCAGCTTCGATTCCATCGGCGGGTTCCTGAAAAAAAATATTGAAGATTTCAAAAAAGCTTTTTAAGAAGTTTAAATAAACTGTTTATTGCATCTTTAATGTAAGAATACATGTGCAATCGACTTTTTTTGATTTCGATTTGTTACTGTGTTTTCAAAAGGCGGCAGAAACTGTGGCTTAGGTAGAGAAGTTGTGAATTTCGCTCCTAGAATATCAGGTACCAGAGAGGTCGTAGGAAAAAGTACGGTTCCGGCTTTCCAAAGGCCGATGGCAGAGATTAAGCTCATCGCTGCACGCAGCTCCCATTCGCTGGTATTACTCGCTTGTACTACCAACGAGCCTAGATTGTTTCCTAACGCTTTCAAGAAGTGAATTTGATAATTAAATACACGTTAATGAGAAAATTCTTTCTTTTTTTTTGAGTAGAATAGTTCCTAAAACTTTTTGTACCTCTTGAACTTAATACTTTGTCGTAACCAGAAACCAACCTGTTTAAACTTTTCGAGGTCTTTTTGCAAACGCCGAGCAGCTTGTGGAGAAACCGTATTAGGGTCAGGTTCCACGACCCCTAGAGAATACATCATCTGCAAAAGAAGAAGCGTCATAGAAATAGGCCTTTCAGTCATCGTAGAAATCAAGATTATTCACGGGGAGAAAACATCTTTAAAAAAAACGATTTGCAATATTAAAACATAATCAAGTGTTCAGAAATAGTGAAACTGTTCAGTCCTCGCGGGTGGTAGCCGCAGTTAAACAGAGTAGTTTAAACGAACTTTTGAAGTGATCAATAGAAAGAAAGTCCACTGAGGGCACACATAGATTGTAGAGAAAAAAAAAAACAGTTATAGCTGATTCACGGCTGGCTTGAGCCATCTAAAAAAGGGTCCTGACACGATAACAAAAGAGATAGTGCATGGTTGGTGAAGAGCGCAGACACGCCACGCCCCTTAGCGTCCCAAGCTAGCCGTGAATCAGCTATACCCCGTTTTAACCCCGCGATATTTAAGACTTCAATTCGAATGAGTGTTTTTAAAAAAAATTTTTTATGAAATGATCAGCTCGTTGCATATATGATCTGCGATGATGGTAATAAAGAATAGGAAAACATTTAAATCTTCACTAAAGTTAGAAGTTCAAAGGTGATTATATTATCTATACGTTTCAATAAAATAACGAGCCCGCAAATTACGGGAAAAAAACGATCGAATACATCAGAGATTTTGAACATTTTATTACATATATTACATCACAAGCAATGAAAACACCGAAATTTTCCGATAGCATATAGTACATCCTAAAGACGTCCAATCACGTTCAGAAATCCCTGAAAGAATCGATTAGAAACTGATCATCCCTTTCAATTAGTTAGCGAAGAATACCACCCTAAACTTACAAGAGGTTATTAGAGTTAGAGCTACTAGCAGGAGCATTTGGAGGCGGAAAACGTGACCGATTCTGAAAATGGAAGAGGTCAATCAATATTTTAGCTTTTAAGGAAGCGGAATGAAAGAACTCACAGAAACAGAAGAATTTGGTCCTGGTGGAGGCGGCAAAAGTGGGACAACATTCGTTGATGTTCCCGTAGTAGCTTTCGGCCGTTTGACCGCTGCTCCGTCCATTTTCTTGAATAAAATCGAATGAAAGTTTTAGAAATAAATGAAACTTACCCCAATTTTTATAGATATAGTCTGTCCTTCTCTGAAAGCAAGATCTGGTAGGGGTTTTTCCGGCTCTACTGCACCACCAGAAGAGCAGGCACGTGACAAATGTTTAAAATGATCCTAAGAAGGTTTAACGATGTTAAAAACAGAAATTTAAAAACCTGCAATGCGACGTTCAAATCAAAAGAGTCTCCCCGGTCCGAGAATCCACAACCAACAAAGGCTGACTGACCAGAATCGTTCTCAAAGAAAATATATACTCTTCTATCAGTTGTAGGCTTTTCCAATTAGGAGTTTAGGTCAAACTTTGGCTGTTCTGATAGAATATCACTAATGACAATTATCGAAAAAAATAACCTTTAATCGAATTACGAAATATCTTGAGCTGTCAGTTACAGGCTCAATGGCGAGACCACCAGGATAGGCGTCGATAGGGCATTTCGCGTACAACGCTCCTTCAGATAAAAAGAAATGGGAAAGACGCTGTGCAAATCGATGATACCAGTGGTTTTGTCTTCAAGACGTATTTCTAGTTTGTCGCCTCCGATTGAGACTAGCTTTAGCCTTCCTGTCCAATCTGGTTTGTCAAGATTCCATTCAGCTGCTCTATAAAAATTATGATTGATAAACTGAACTTCGCAATTAAATGACGGGTTTTTGATATAGTTCATACGAAAACAATATCCTTTAAGCATTCAGCACGAGAAAGCCATTAAAAAAACCTCTCTCTGATAATTTGTTGATTTTTTTGACCGCAAAAAACCGTAATAGATCATACTAATTGACCAATATAATAAAAACGAACTTGTGTCCTTTGTTGCTCCCGAGCGGCGGAATGCGGAAAACGAAAACTTCTGGTTTGACAAGTGAAACACTTTCATATTCATCCATCTACGATGAACTGAAAGCAAACATTTTTCAGTGACTGGTTGACTAGTTGATAAGCCAAAATAGCACGCGCTCAAATTTATAAAATATTAGACGTCTCAGCAAAAAAAAACGACGATACACGCGCGGAGAAGTGAAAAATTTTTTGGCTATAGCGCAAAACTTCCGCAACAATAAAAACCTCGAACGAGTGATCACAAAAAAATATTTCATCTTTTAGAGACTTTTCGGAAGAAACATAAAGAGAATATGAAGCTGATTAAAAAGGAATCTCATCTCATGTATTATATAGCGTTATCCAACCAACTGAATGAAAATTAAACGACACGCGGAGCAAAAAACTTCCCAAAAAAGCCTCGCATACGGAGGGTCGTCAACTATATTGTATGTGTTGCATACACACTCGACGCCAATTTGCATACAGCGAAGTTTAAAATTTTCAGAAAAAATGTTTAACCCAACTTATTTAATCGTGAATTCAACTTTAAAAAAAATGGAAATTTGCTTGAATCAATTTTTTCCAAGTTTTAAGCTCTCAAAAAACTTCTATTTCATCACTTTTTGCACAAAAACGTTGTTTCGATTAAATTGAGTATGCAAGTTAGCGCCGTTCTGTGTATGCACCAAATACGTCATATTTTACGATGTATTTTATTAAATGTTGGGCGACGCGTCGTATATCTCGCATGCTGAGCATGGTAACCCAGCCGTGCTAAAACGGGGTCTCAGCGGGTGCCCCCGTATTAAACCCGTAGAAGCATGGTTGGTAGATCTTTTGGCAATTTTTAGCCCAACTGAGACCTCGTTTTAGCATAGTTGGGTTATAGTCTGTTCAGATTTTGAATGTCAAGTCGTCGCTCAAGTCCCGCCCATAATGGTGCGACAAACCAATCAGAGAGCGAGCCATCCACAGAGTGTTTTTGAATGACGTCATTGCACTTGACATTAAAAATCTGAACAGACTATACATATTCTTCTTACACCCGTTGTTCCCCCGTTTTAGCCCAACTGAGACTAAAATAACCTCAGAAACACGGCTTTAATACGGATACACCCGTTGAGACACCTGGCCAGTATGATAGTAGAAAAAAGCGGCATGTTCGCGAGTTTATCAATGTACCGCCACCAACCTCGCATTTATCTCGGCAGTTATTCTTAGTGTCGCCGACAGACCACCTTGCTCCAAATGAACGGCAAAGCCGTGTTGGAAGTGATTCCACAGTTTTTTTTGGCAAATTTTAATAGAACAATAAATGAACGAATAATTTAAATAAAAATTTTATTTTTAACGGTTCTTTACTAAGACAGCTATTCGACTATCTGTTTTTCTAACGAGGCTAAAGCGAGAGTAGTGTGTCAACCAATAAAAAAAAAAAGAAAGAAAAAAGAAAAATGGCTATCAAGTTCAAAAAAACAACAACAGAGTCCAAGAAAAATGAGGACGAAGGAAAACAGAGAGGCAGGTCACCAGATGAAACAACACACGTAAAAATTTCGAGAGCCGTTCATTTCGGGAGCAAAAGTGTAGAATAATTTCATACCCCGTTGATAAGGACCACCGTTACGGTAATTCTGGCGAAAGAAATCAGAAAGAATCGATGAAAGAATCAAGTAAGAACATAAGGCACTTCAAAACGATAGAAAAGTGCTTGGAAGTTTTTGAAGAAATTGAAAAGGTTAAGGAGCGGCAAGAGAAATTAACTTGTCCATGTTCAATTAAGTCCGTCGATATGCGCGATAAACAGTAAAATCCTAGATATGTATGAAAGGTGGAATTTTCTGAGCCTCGAGGATATAGAAAAATTAAAACTGAAATAAATGATGTGGAAATTGGCAACTAATTGAATTAATTGTCCGACGAACATCCGGGGCAAAACCATTTTCCATCCGGTTCCGAGTGCAAACCGACGCAGTCGAAGTGAAACCAAAGAGTGGGACACTGGAATCATCATTTAGAAAGGAAAAAGCTCAAGTTTACTCACATTGGGACCGTCACAGGCAATCATACGCGAGTCCGAGGAGCCCTGTAAGAAAAATATTTTTCATTCAGCACAGTCTTCTCTCTTTGGAATCGACTATAGCTGATTCACGACCAGCTTGGGACGCTAAGGGAGTGTTTCCTGTCTGCGCTCTCCACGAGTCAGGCGCTATCTCGTGCATTATCGTGTCAGGACCCGTTTTTCGATGGCTCAAGCCAGCCGTGAATCAGCTATATGCTTCAATAATCAACTCTAACAGGTCGACCACCGGTTATGTGGAGAGCTGTTCTCCAATATTCCTCGTCGTCTTATGAGATCTCAAATATTTTATTCCACCTTCTTTTCCTCATTGCTCATGAGATCTCATCAAAATCGGAAAATTTTAGGTAATCAAAATTTTTAATGATGATGAGTGAAATAAATTTTTGAAAAACACGTACTTTTGAGTATTATAACTCAACTAAAAAGTTTTAAAAACTTTTCCGGCTGCTACTCGAAGCTACAAAGGAGATCTTACGTGTGTTGCAAATGACCTTACGTTCGATATTTCGGTGGTATGAAAAAAAAAAGACCAGAAAAAATTCTAACGGCGACTTTTCCGATTTTTTCATATCTATAGGGAACTTTCCAACGGCCACCTTTCCGCCGAATCTTTTTTCCGATTTTGGACCTTTATATTTTTCGGTTTATAAAATATTTATTAACATTTTTTTCCTGTTTCTTTGTGTTTCAATCATGAACCAACTACCTACATTATATAGGAAAATTTAAAACTAAGGTTTTATCGAGAAAAAAAAGTCGGAAAAAGATTTGTCGGATAGGTGGCCGTCGGAAAGTTCTCTAGCGGTATGAAAAAATCGGAAAAGTCGCCGTTTGAATTTTTGCTGGTCTTTTTTTTATACCACTGATATTTCAACGAAAACAAGAAGTTACTCACGTCTTTGCAGAAGCACCAGGACTGTTCATCGTCGGCGCGGCGTTTCTCCTCCTTGGCGCGATTCATCTGTACCAACTCGACAGCGCGATCCGTCAATCTCAAACTGGCCGTTGTTTGTTCTGCCGGATTGGCCATCAACAACTTTCTAGGGCGGCCATGCATACTCGTGTCCGAGACCGTCCCGAACATGAAGTTTCTTTTGCGCCTTTCGTGCTGCGCGTCACCAATCGTTGGAGTTTTTCCCGAGCTGACGACCGCCGGACTTGGTGTCTGAAAACATGGAATTGCTGACCAATTGATTGCAATATACGTAAATCACAACGAATTGAAAGAGTCTGGCCTTTCGGCGTCTATTTTCCCTCACCTACAAGGCTATGGAAAGGTGAAAAACTAGAGTTTCGCTGAAAGAAAGGGGTTATTACAAAACGTCAAATTGAGACCGTATCAATGATAGAGCGTTTAAAAGAAAAATAAAACTTGTCTGAAAAGTACCGTAATAACATGACACAACTTTAAAACAGACTACTACGACAAGCAAAAAGTTTTCCTATTTTGAGAACTCAAAAAAAACAAACAAACTTTTCATTAGGGCTAAAAAATTCGAAGCAACTGATGATAGGGTACTTTTGACTGATTTTTGAGTGGGGATAGAATGAATATTTAGAAAAAATTTCGAAATTGGGCGGTCTTACTTCAAATGAATACTGATTATAACTATTTCAATACCTATCTTGGACCATTATAAAAGGGGATAAAAGTTTCAGAGAACCGGATTCAACTCACCGAACGCTCACCGCTATCAAAGCCATTTTTCTGTGATAGACGCTCATCACTGGTTGGATTGGTCTCGAAGCCGTTTCCGAATGAAAAAATGCTCGAATCCTGAAGTTTATCTATTTTTTGGCGGGGAAGCATCTCAATAAAAAAACAAGAAAAAAGCTTTAAAAATCTAAAAATTGATGATAATTGAGAAATTTTTCAACCGAAAAAATGGTGGGTAGGGTTGAAAACTTGAGAGTTTATTCTGAAGCAAACATGGCATTGAAACGGAATTTTTCAGTGCATCATAACCATGACAATTGGAAAAAACTTATATCTGCGAAATGATTTCTCTTGTAATATTCTCGTTGTGTACGAAACTATTTTTTGTACTTCAAATGCCTAAAACTGACATCGAGAGCGTCCATGATCTCGCGCGGCGGCGATGGAAGAGCACCCGGACAGAAGTCGAAGGCATCCATGAGGTCGGCGTCGTCGTCGTCAAGGTTGTAGTCGTTGGCGTCGTCGGCGACGTCGGCGAATGCAGAGGCGGCCAACGCCGACGCACGATCGCTATCTCCTGGAGTGACCATTTCACAAAATGCTAGCTTTCTTCTTCCACTCACCATCGCGCCATTCAAGAGCCCCTGACGAGGAAAACTCGGTCGGCGCCTCACTCGAGTCTCGCTTCAGCCCGGCTCTTTCTTCGCCTGAAAGGGAGTTCTGATCCGTTGACTTGATGAACCAACCAGTGGAACTCGCAACGGAAAAAGGTGTCAGACGATCTTTTTCGCCGTTTTTGAACGAGTGTCTCTGAGATGCTTCGATCTTACGTCGTTCATATGCCTGAACCACAGAATTTCGTGCCAAAAAGTTTATACGGAAGATCCAACCTCCATCATTTTGGATTGTTCGCGGAGTCGCTCAGTTTTTTTCCTCATATAGTTGGACATCCCAGCCTTTTTCTGGAGATTGGATTTTTTTTTTTTCGATTTTGAAACCATAAATCTTACCAATTTTCATTAACATGCAAACGTCAAGAGTTTTACAAAAGTTAAAAGTACTAGTATTGAAAAAGGAAAAAAGAAGCTGATCACAAAAAAAATGAGTTGAAAAAACGAAAGAGGATAAACTCAACATAACTTACTAAAATTAAACAAATGCCAAAATATTATAAGACTTTACAAGTTTCATAAATAAAAGTTCGATCGGCTTCACATACCCGACTTTAGTTCCCAACCTCGTAAACTTTCTTTTTTCCTCAATTTTTGAAATTTTTCGAATTTTCAATAGGAACACTTTGTTAAGAGAAATCTTCTAAAGAAAATCCAGAACAAAAATTGAAACAAATAGGTTGAAAAAAGGCTAAACCTTTTTGTCGTTCTTGTCAGCCACTTTGTTCGGAATACGAGCACTCGACTGCTCAGATCGGTTTAACGTCCCGTTTGACCTCTCTTCTAGAAAAAAAAATCGTTTCAAAGCGAATCCAACGAAAAAGACGCACTGAGAACGGTTTTAGGTCTGCCGACATTCTTTTTCGCGACTGTAGGCTTTCCTGCATTTGAACCGCGACGGCTATCTTTATAATCATCTCTGAAAATGATAAGAATGCACAATGAAGAGAAAAAAAAGATCTCACGAGGCTTTCGAGCCAGATTCGCAGTAGTCCATCATTTGTTTGTCGAAGTCATCAGAGTCCTTCTCGAAAGGATTCTCGAAGTTCGTCACTCCGGCCATGTGATCCAAACCCAACAAATGATGCAGGCCCATAGCCTGGTAGAACACTGAAAATTGTGATAAATGCGAAATTAGGCCAAAATAACTCAGCATTTCGAAGAATGATACACGTTTTTAAAATAATGTTTTACTCACATTTCTCGCGTTGTTCTGCTGACCCTGGGTTGTCCACCTCCATTTCAATTTTGAAATGATACGTCGCTTCGCGAATCTGAAGATAAATACTCGATTCACGGCTTTTTTGGGAAATATTTCAAAGATCGCAGAGATAAGTCTTGACAGGATAAGATAAACAGCGTGTAAACGGCGGAAATTGACACAGTGGGATTTTTTTTGAGTTTCGCGATTACTTAGGATTTACATCCCAAATCGTACACACGAAAATTTACGCAGCGTAAATGTGAGATTGTAAGCATTTCATCTACACAAAACATGTCTATTTCTGATTTTATTCAACACGTTCATCCTACAAGTTTCGCATCCCGGGAAAGATATAAAGTTTACCCGCTTCAAACAATCATTTGTACTCAGGAGCGCCAGAGTGGTCCCTTAGAGGTTAGGAGAAAAAAGAGCCTCGGTAGGGGACAAAAATCCCCCTTATAGGAGTAAAACTCAGGGAGTGCTTATAGGTGCCTAAACCCCTAAAAAGGACCTTGTTGAAAATGGCGATCAGTACACGCTCGCTCCGTTCCACCAGCCTAACTTTTTTCTCAGCCAACTCCCTCATTCTGCACTTTTTCTGGAATAAAAGAGAATTTATTTTGAGCTGACAGCCGGTTGTAACCTCGGCGAGCAACATTGCTTGCTCTTCCCAGATGGCGTCTCTCGGAACATCGGAACCGAAAACACGTTGATCGAGGGCCTCACACTCCACGGCAAGATCTAAACTGTTTTCCTTCTAGCGTTAGCTCCAACAGTAGACCGACCATGAACTCGTGCCTCCCATTTCGCTATCTTTCCCAAACGATGCGTCATTTCTGCAGAAACATCGCGAACCACTGAAATTAAAAAAAATCATGAGAAATTCTTTATGAAGCTGAACTCACGATCTTCAATGTCTTCGACATACGGCTGTTGCATGCGGAACTGGCTTGGACGATCCTTTTGCCCAGAACTACCAAACTACTAAATATTGCGCGAAAACGCGAAGATAACTGCTAGAAGCCTGAAGCAAAAAAAAAGTGTCAAAAAAAATACGGGGCGAGAAATGAGCGGTAATTTACTAGTGCGACACAACACCAACACCTCACACAAAAAAACAGGACCGGGTGATCCCCTTCAGTATACGATAGAACCTTTTATCAAGAAGAACCAAATAAAATACATACTAAAGCAAATTTCAAGATAATACAAACAGATTAGTTCATCTGACAAAAAAAAATTGCACTCGACAAACCAGTGTGACCTGTATCTTACTAGGCAATAGAACAAAATTTGAAAGAATCCACATACTAGTTTTGCAATCTATTGAAGTGAAAGTGAGAAGAAAAAACTAATCGAAGTTCTGGTTACATTTTTTTCATGACTAAAAATTCTTTTTATCATTGATTTTTTTCGATGAAAAAAACTTTCGATTTGGTCAAAAATTTGACAAAAATAGTTATCGAAAATAGGGTATTTAATACACGGGCAATTTTAGAAGGACCCAACAAGAAGCATTGGAAAATGGCTTTAAAAGGCCCCACAGGCTCCTTTTTTTTGGGGACTTTTTTTCAAAATGAACTTTCAGAAGAAACGGGAAAAAAGGTGAAAAAAAAAAGAAAGATTAGAGAAACTGTCAACGCATTCTCAGAAACTCAAAATAAACTCTAAATTCTTCTTTTTTGAGGCCATTTGGACATTGCCCTAAATTATCAGCAGAAAAAAGTAGAATATTTCGAGTCAATCTCAAGAAACTTAAAGCGAGAATAAACTAAAGGCGAGTAAAGAAACTCAGAAAATGGAGTCTCAGCACACAGAAGAGGAAGAGCCATACATTGAACTGAGGGCAAGGAGAAAAGGTAATAATTAAACGTTTGCACGCCCTTTTTTCGCACTAAATGAGACGTCCATCAATTTACACTTGCGTCGCTGGGGATTCGATTTGGGAGGCTCGCCCTTTTCGGCGGCTAATCTTCTAGATGCAAAACTACCTTGGGAACAATCTGGTGTGAAAATTACGAACAATGTTTGACAAAGTTCAAAAATCAACCCAAACACTTTTAGAAAATGCAATGGATAAATGTTAGTGAACTATGAGGGTATATCACAAAGAAGAGTTGAATAAGTTAAAGGAAAAAAATGAGTTAACGAAAACACAGAAATAAGGAACAATTTGATTCACAAGCGAATGGTACATGAGTTTGGAAAATGACTCAGGCGAGGGGATCGTCGTCGTCTTCGTCGGCCAGAAGACCTTCCCGCTCGACGCTCGACCCGTTCGGCGCGTCGTAGGACCGTTTTCTGTAGTAGTAGTACTGCGAGATCATCACAGCATCAAAAACACAGCAGCCGAGGCTTCCCGCCAGCCAGGGAAGGTGCCTGAAACTTATTTCTTTTTAACACAGAATCAATGAACTGTCAAAACTGTGGAACGAACAGCTACACAAGTCTCTAAAAAGCAACATGAACTTTTAGTACCAACGGTTGATGGCATATCTCAGAGAACGTGTGCTAATCTCTTACAACACTTCTTTATAAATATAGGCATGAAAGTTTGAAACAGTCCAGGATTCCCTGATGTTCATGCTACGGAAAGAATGTGGCTCAGTTATGATAGTTTGATGATTTAATCCAAAGTTTGTCTGGAAACTCTGCTCATTTTATTTTTTTTTCCATCTTCCTAATCATCTTTCCGGTGACCCAACACGGCTTCAGAAACAGAATCTCTTCAAAAAGCAAAAAAAAAATTTTTGAAACGGAACTGTGCTGCAGAAAACTTGCCTTAAAAGGTAAATCCAGCCGGTAGTAGCCATCAAAACCGAAATCCCATAGGTCATGTTGGCTGCAACAATAATGTAGAACATCGTGAGGGAAAGTCCTTCGCAGCTCTGACGTTGATAATTCTGAAATACGTATATTGACGATTTCTCGCCGTCCGAACGGCTCGCCTTGATTATTTGTGGGATCCTGCCACCAAAGTAGCACAGGGCGGCCATTGAGCCAATGATGTAGCCGAGCTGAAAACGTTGAAATTCTTTCGGTTGGCCTGAAGATATACCAAGTCCGTGTAGCTTTCAAAGATGGGCCACATTTGCAGCATTGAATCCAGTGGCGGTTGCCCAGAAGGGCTAAAATTGATCAAAATTCAAAATGTTTCGTTTTTTCAAGGGGTGGCAGAGCTACCATTTCCTCACTAATCAAAAAACCGTACACATGTGATGCTTTCTTACTTATGAACCTTTGAATATGTAAATTTTGAAACTTATATGATAGACTATCATTTTCCATTCATCGTGTTTAATTCAAGTTTGATTAACGTTTTGATCGGAAAAAGATCAACTTTTATCTGAACTGTTATTGGAAGAAAAGAGAAAAAATTTCACGCTTTTATATTTTTTATCAAGCGCGAATTCATCGCTGAGACAAACTTTCGTCTTTTTCTTCTTGGTATTTGATACTTTCTTTTTTTCACATCATCTTGTTGGAAGATATAAAAACAACAAACTCAGATGCAGCTGAAAGGTCAAGGACTCCTCGTCTGAATCGCGGCTGGGCAACTGCCTGATCCGCAAAAGTGCTCAATGCGCAGAGAGAGCCGAGTGAAGCCAAAGCTATGCAGGGCACGACGATCGTTCCGCCTATAGGATTCATTGAACCAAATATTGGAAGCAGGTAAAATCAAACTTCTTTGCGTCGTTTTGCGCGGATAGATCTTCATATAATAACCATATTGTGCCCACAACACGAGATCCTCAAAAAAAATTTTTTTCAATCGAGAACTAACAAACTTAATATTTAAAAAAAAATAGGAGTTTTTTTCGCGCTTATTCAAACTAATGATAAAAAAGCTTTTATTGTTTTATGACCCTATCTTTCTTTTTTTTTAAACAAAAACTTTTTTCTTGTTTATGACCCTATTTTCAACCTGAATAATATAATAGACGCCGATGATCTTCTGAATGGGCTGTTGGTTGGTCAAAATCGCGCCAAGCATGTTACACGTGTCTCCAACCAACCTGAAATTAATCGAACTTTCAGAGTCAAAGCAAAAAAAAAAAATGAAGAAGAGCGTTGATTCTGCTCGATACTGTGACTATATCTGTAGGTGAACCAAAAATTTAATAGAAAATTAAAAAAATGAAACTCCTCATTTAGATATTTTCATGAAAAGTTCAGAAAGAATGACTTTCGAAGGATTTTTTTTATAGGAATTTCCTGCAATCTTTCTTTTCTTACACAAAAAACTTTTTTTTTTCTTCACAGGTGGGGTTAGTTAGTCCACCTAGTGGTCTTTTTCCCTCCCTGCAACATCACCATACCATCCCGATGTTGCGAAAAATAAACAAATTGAATTGAAAAAAAAAATCTTCATGAGGGAGATCTTGATATTAAATCAAAGTGCGAAAGAAAAGGGAAAACATTCAAAAGGTTTTTTAATCTATAGTGAGGATATAAGCAACTTTAGGAAGTTTTAAAAATTTATAGTTTTGGAAAAAGGCGATTTTTCATCGTGGAGTGTGTCAGGAAAGACTTACCAAAAGAAAAGAAAGACGAGGGAAAGCCCTTCGCAGCGTTTCGTCTTGTAGTTTTGCCAGAGCTGCGGAAAAAGCGGCACCAGCCACAACGCAAGGGAAATCAGTCCAATCACAAAACCGATGAGCTTCATATCCGTATCGACGCAGTCTGTGAACACCTGAAACCTTTTTTTGGATGAAGATTTGGAATTGATTATTATATCAATGTCTTCTTTTGGTATGTTATCCTATTGGAATCATGAAACTAACGTTTTTGATCCACTGAATTCCCTGCGTGCAGTTGGGATCGGACTTGGTGGCCCATTCAGTCAACCCGCCTTTCTTCATCTTCACCGAAGACTGTAAATTGAGAATTTTTTGGCTCGGTTTTTATTTAAAAAATCAAATATTTTGATATTTAATGATAAATCAGGAGGCGCATGCCGCAAAACTACTAGTCCGTAAGCACATCAGCGCAAACAAAATTAGTCTTTTTTTCGAGAAAATTTGAGAATTTTATTTCCAGAAGCTTGGTGTATTTGTTCACAATGAATTATGGGACAGTGAAGTCTCTTTATTAGCTCACAGAAGATGGTTAAACATATGAAGATGAGAAACAGCAAAATAAAATATTTTTCTGCCAAACGATAGGCGAATACTGTTTATGGAGAAAGAGAAAATGATGACAGGAGAATCGATTCGTCAGAAATTCAGGAAAGATGTTGGATTTTTGGTTTCCTATTTGAAATTTTTAATGGCGTGCTTTCAGAACTTTTACAATTCTTTCGTCGATTTCTTAATAAAAATTGATGACGAATATGACATTGGCTTCAATCGCTAGAAACTTAATTACACTAGAAAAGGTGATTCAAGGAAGTTCTAGCATTACACAAGTACGAGTTATGGTGCCGTCGTGTCAACCGTACGAATTGGCCGGTGGCAAAGCAGCCACACTTTCCATTTCGTTGTTTGAATCTATTAATGGGCATGAAACGTTAACAAGTTCGTGATCGATGTCAATTGAAACAATTTCTCAATGAGTTTATTCCTGAGAACTACAAACTAAATTTAAAAAGTGAGAAAAATATATCTAGACTTTTGCTTCTCATAAAATTACAAAAATACGTAAATGAGATATTTCTGGAAATAAGTAAAAAAGTTCATCAATTCTTGAAAGAAAAAAAAAGTTTTCTACCGAAAAAAAAAACTCGTAAAGATTATCATTACAACTCTGAGATGCGGGGGAGACAATAATTATCTTTGAAACCTGCAAAATAAATATTTTTCTTCTACTTTCTTTTCAAAATCGCATCCGAATGTTTACGACGCATGGAGTAAAAATTCGAAAGTGTGAAAAAAATATCAGAAAAAAATCGTGAATTTTTGAAAGTGTGAGATAAAAAAAGCAATTTTCTGCTATAAATTCGAAAAAAAAAAATATTTGAAAGATACTTTCTTGTGAGCGCGACAAAAAATTTTCAAATGAACAAGGCCATTACAAGATAATAAAGTTTATTTTCAATAGTTTCCTACATTCATCATACTTCACAATGCGTTATACAATGATTTCGAGTTCAGAGACGGTAAATTTCACTAATTGAGGTAGAAGCAAGACTTCAGTGGACAATTTACGCTTAGCAGCATTGAAATTCTACAAATTGGAAAGTAACTAGGTACTTAAGTGAGATCTTAACAAGGAAAACGATACACGTTTTGGGTTTCCGTTTTGTTTCTAATATAAAAATACGCATGCTGACAGAGTAAAGCAGAGTAGCTCTTGGGGCAGGAATTTGAGAAAATTCTCAAAAAAATATTTCAAGCACTATAAGACAGTGTTTCCAAATTACAACTTTCAAATCATATATGAAAAAAATTTGAGAAAAAATTTGGGAAACGGAGATAGAGGTACAGGTATACAGATCTGGGATAAATCGTAAGCAGGTTATTAGTACAGAACATATTATACAAGAAAGAAAGAGAGAGACTACTCTTGGAGATCGCAACCGACGTCCTCCTCTCCCATTTCTTCGTCTTCTTCGCCTTCTTCGTTTTTCGTCGTCGGCCCGACAACGTCATCGTTCTCGCCGTCGCCACGATCCAGCGTCAACAACATTTTGCGGAACTGAAAAGCCGTTTCCAATTGTCTTTTATTCATTTTGAATAGGAAAAAAAGTTTAATCCGTTCGAGGAATTTCAAAAAGTCACCTTGTTGATCTTGTGTGCCAAGTTGTAGTTGCCTTCCATCGTGTTTCGTTCACTCGCTTTATTACCAGACAGCTCTTCTAACGCCGACTGCGGAGAGAACATTTGAACGTTTTTCCGCGACGCCGCTTTCTCATAAACTTTGGCGGCTTCGGACGGCGAGTATTCTTGCACCTTTCTGGAATCGAAAAAACAATCGTACGGATCAAAGCAGCCTTTCATACGCTTCAGTGAAGCTGTAGACTTTCATGAGGAAACTTCTGAGGTAGAGGAGTAAGAAACACGATTGACAGTTGATCATCAGGTCATACAGTTTGGTCTTGTCATCAGGGAAACGTCCTAGAAACATGATGGATAGAACTGACAACGGGAAAAATCATACTGTAGAGGTTTTCGGGCTCAAACAGGAAATCGTCGTCCTCGGGCTGCTGAGGCACATGCTCGTTCAAACCATAGGCATGAGACGAAGGCAAGAGACTTTCCTGAGCATGAAATGGTTAGGAAGGAATGAACACGAAGCAAAACCTTGAACTGATTGACAATCGATTGGCCTGACTGAGCGACTATCTGGTCAACCGTTCTGATCACGTACAAAGGCTCGTCCAACATCTATAAGAGAGTTGACATAGGAATAGTTGTCAATTCAAAACCTGATACGGGAACATTGCCAGGTTGTCAGCGACGAATATCCACTCCCCCAGGCAAAGCTTCTCTCGGCTGTCATCGGAAAAGAGTCTGTATTTAACCGAAATTAGAAAAAAAACTTCTAGGAATGTTCAACTTGAGGGTGGACTGCAAGAAAGATCTCCGCTGCTGTCTATTGGTCCGCAGTGTTTGGTAGAGGCCGCTGAGTAACGCCTGGCCGTCGTTTGAATGCCGCGGTAGCGCAAAGTAATCTCGGTTCGGTGAGGGATCTCAAAAAGCTTTGGTAAGATTTCACAGCTTTCCTCGGAAAACTTGATGTTGTCGTCGCGGAAAAGTCGCAGAAGCGAATGCCTCGGACGATCGCCGCATTCCGGTTGCCTTTCTCCAACGCTGACTCGTAGATCTTCGCCTGGAACTTGTAGGCGAGGCGAACCCCAGAATTTGCCTTGCTCTGTAAAATAACATGTCTCAAGGATTTCTATTTGAGCGAAGCTGTACCTGCACCATTCCAGCGTACTTGGAATCGATCTCCTTGAGAAGATTCTCTACGCGGTGACGGATCAGCTGAATTGGGTCCGTCGTCATGGCGATCAACGTCGCGATCGAGGAGCCGGGGGTGACCAAACCCTGCGAGAGCGTCAGCCAAGCCACCTGAAATTAAATTTAAATTTCTGAAAATGTTTGTGATTATTTGCTACGTCGCATAGTTTCGAATACTACCTAGAAAGTCATCGAAGAATAAAAAAAATCAAAAAAATTATGAGATCGATGTCATTATAGTTTAGCTTTACTGAGTTCCTAAAAATTCGGTGTTTTCACTTTCCTCGCCAATTTTTGTAAAATTCTCTCAAAACTTAAATTTTTGGAAAATATTTTTGAGCAAGATGTAAAAGACCAAAGCTTTTTTGAAGCTATTTTTAAGTCTGCTCATTAAAAAATTACTATTCTTTCTATAGGTTTAGTATAAAACATCTTTTTTCCGCAGTTCTTTTTCTGACTTTTTTTTTTTTCAAACTGCCTTACCTGGACAGTGGCCTGTCGAAGCTGAGGATCCGCATTGAAATAACACATGAGTGCAGCGTTCCAATAGAGCTGAATGACCGTGGAGCCTAATCCAGAGCCGCTCAGCTCCATTTCCTTCAAGTTCTGCTGCTCCTTGCTCTTTTCCCCTGCAAAAAAGATTTTTCAAGCCATCAGAGAGACGTGTCCTCACATTCATCGTTGCTTCGGATCAGCTTTTTCTCTTCTGTTTGTAAAAACATTTCCAAGTTTCGCAAAACCTAAAATTAATGGTTATGGATCTTGACAAGAAATAAAGACCTGAATGCGGAGTTGGAGCATTTCTGGAGAAATTGAGTTCAAAATCGTGATGTACATGTCTCGAACCTCGTTCCTGGTCAGGTACTCGCTGTACTGAGCACAGAAATGTCCTGAGATCATTTGATTGAATTATTTTTTCCGAAGTTGAATGCGTACCAATAGACATGAGTGCTCTATGGCAAAGACTCGTCTCCTTACTCCGAGAAAAGAAAGCTAATATTGAGAAGACATCGTCGCGCAGATTCCTGAAAATGGTCATGACGTCAAAGATTTGTTATAAGTTCCACCTTTTGTCAGGATTGGCCTCAGGACCGTACTCAGATAAACCAAACTCGTTCTCGTCCTGAAAAAAAAAACATTTACTGAAGAACTCGAAACATTTTCTACATTGCTATCAGTTGATAGAATATCGTCAAAGTCGAAGTATCGAGAAAGAACGCCAATAGTGAAGATTGACCTAAAAAGATTGAATATCAGATATCAGAAAATAAAATTGAACCTTTGGATGGTCGGCAGCTTTCTTTGATCTGGCTGAAAGCCAGGGTGACGTTCGAACTGCGCCTTCGCCATTTTCAAATATTCTAGATGATTTCAAACATTTTCGGTGTATCAAAGTACATTCTTACTTATAAACGACAAAAATGTGTCAGTGAGCTTGGGACGACAACGTCGAAACTTGTGCCAGATGGCCGAAGCGCAGGAAATCGCCGTGATAACGAGTTGCATTCCCGATTTAGTTACCATCTTCGTGAGGTTCTCGTCGATCCTTAATACATTTCCATGGCTTGACTGTGAGATCTGTAGTTATACATTTGAAGGAATTGATCGCTCGGATGACTTGTCAGAGGCACAACTCGTTCCAGCATTCCGATGACTTCGTTCATGACCTATAGAAAAATAGAGGAGGTTGGGTACGGCGGTTGTTGTCTTACAGCAACTTCTGCAGCGGTTTTGATCGAAGTTTCAGAAAGATACGGCTGGAGCGTCTCGGCGTGTCGGACCATAAGCTCTGGACGGACCTGTAAGAACTTCTAACTCATGAGTAAAGTCCAGAAGGGCTGAAAAAGAACCTTTGGAAACGATGTCTTTCAAAGGAAAGAATTTTTGAGAAGAAAAAAAAAGGTGGAAAAAATTTCGACACTTTTTAGGAAACGAAAAAGGAGCGTTTGACAAAAAAAAACATCACAATGGCGTGCTCATCGGCGAACCAAAGTTGCTCTAAAAGAGTACAAATTTTCGTTTTTTTTCTGATGAACACGCCGTTAGAAAAAGAATAAGACAAACAATCCCAAATTGAATAAAGAGATTTTCATTAAAACTCGAGCGACCTTGCTGAAAATGGCCATCGTGGTCAGACAAGAAAGAAGTCGATCTTGGTTGTTTTTCTGCTTGGCAGTCACGTTTAGAGCGTCCTCTCCATCCGGTTGCACGTTGGAGACGTCGTTTTCTGTAAAATGACCATTCTCAATCGTCTAAATTGAGGAAATAGCTAACCAGACGCCATTTTGGTCTCCAGCTGCAGGATATTGTCCACCAAGGCGTCAACAGTCTGCTCGCAAGCCAACAAGACGCTCTGAACACAACGAATGAAGGGTTGAAAAAGCTAGAAATTATTCACCTTGTCGCCTTGTTTGATTATCGAGTGAATCAATTGTTCGAGCATTTCGACCGTTTGTTCGTTGATGCAGTGCTGCACTACGCCAGACATTATCAGAACCTGAAAAATAAAACTTCACTTCCTTCTGAAATTACTTCCTAAAAGATCCCGACAAAAAATTCTATCTTAACTAACTTTTCAAGTAACCTCTTGAACGATAAAAACGCTGAAAGCTACAAATTAAGAGGAGCATAAAAATGAAAATATTTTGTGAAAAAGACATAAAAAAATTAAAAAAATTATACAAGTTGGTGTCGAAATCATCTAAATCAAGTTTTTTTACAGAATTTATTTGATAACTCATTAAATTAATAGAAAGCTTTCAACTTCTGAAAAAAGTTCGCGAAGAAAAAAAAATCTCCATCGAGTATACGAGATACATTTCATTATGCTTCGACAAAACTCAGGCCAAAACCCGTTATCATCTTTTCTTTATGTTTTTACCTTCGTATATACAGCAGGGTGATTTTTGTAGGCAGACGGATGGAACCAAAGAGTGTTGAAAGTCTCGTGAACCAGCTTTTTGACTCCTTCCTCGTCGTTTACCCGTCGGACCATTTTCGCCAGCATTTCAGGTATCTGAATGTTTCATCATACGAATCAAATTTACGATTTGTAAAGAACCTTCTCGTAGTTTGGATATTTCTCGCAAATTTCCCGCATGATCCGGATGACACGCTTGCGCACTGCCGTTCCAGAGTCCTTAAACAAAAACAGTTGAAAAGATTCGGAGAAGATGGTTGAACCTTGATTCTCTCAGTAATAACTGAATAATACTGATCGATGAACTCCTCTTTCACGAGGAGGAATTTTCCCAAAAGTTCGATGGCGGCTTCGCGGACTTGAGCATTAGGATCCATCATGCGGCTATGCACTGTTTTGCGAACTTCTTCCTAGAAAGTAAACTTGAAATTTACATCAAATCGAGGGATTTACCAGTCCCAGAACTTCATGATCAGCTTCGATGATTTGCGTCAGACACTTGAGCGCTCGAGTTCGCAAGCTTACAGCTGTTTCTTGGCCAACTCCGTAGACAATCTTAAATCAACCAAGTTCATTCTTTTTTTTTCTCCGTTTAAAAAGCCTTATCAAATGTTATGAACGTGTCAATTTCAAAGAAAAATGAAAAAAAAAAACGTTCAGTATATGATAAGCAAGAGAGTGGAGGCAAAATTTTTTATTGCTCAATAACCAAGGTTGCAAGGATCCGGGAAACGAAGAGTGGAGCTTCCAATCACTTGATAAGGACCAGTCGTCCCCATTCCACGATATGATTCGGTACGGTTTGTTCGAGACTTTTCAATTAAATTATGCAATTTGAGTGAACTTCTAATTCTGAGCGTCGCAATCGCGGGGGCCGATGCCGTACTTGGTTGGGACGGAATTCAGGCAGTCTCGGAAAGTGGATTCAAATGTCTCAAAAGCCACAGTAAGCTCAAGTTTTACTTTTTTTTGATAACTATTTTTTTCCGATCATTGTGGATTTCCGTATGAGTGACACCGAAAATTTTTTATTTTTTTAATGTTCCCTATACCGGTTTTCGTCCATCAAATGGAATTTCTCAAAGTGGGAAAAAAAACTCGATAGTCAAAAACACAATTAAAAAGATATGTTCAAGCCAAAGAATCAATCACAAGAAGTTTTATCGGAACTCTTTTCTTTTTCTCAAGTTCCTGAGGTCGTATGCAATTAAGTGAAAATGACTTTCCGTCGTTCTTGATATAGAAAAGGCCGGAAACTCGCTATTAATCTATTAATTTCGATTTTCTACTGTATTAATGATTAATAAGAGTATTCAGATAAGAAAGAGCACATTTCAATGTGAAAAAAGCCGTTTGAAGGTAATTTCTAGCTTAAGGAAAATCGCCGAAAATCATTTTCCACTTTATTGTATTAGGACTCTGACTTCTCTTAAAAAAGGAAACAAATGAACGCAAAAACTCGCAACACAAGTCGGCTGGATCCCACCACAGGGTGGGCGAATAGCAGCCAAAGCTTCTAAAAGTGCGGCCTATTTCAGTACATTTTAAATATTTTTTTTTCACGCGCAAAAGGTTGGGGTGAAATCCAGCCGATGTAGAACTCGCAAAAATACGTGAAACGGAAATAAAAGAATTTTTTTTGGATTTTAAAAGCAGAAAATATAATAATAAAACGATCATCAATACACTCTGCATATTTAACTACTCTCAGACTACGACTTCTTCATCGGCCGAGTATGGACCAGTACTGGCAACTACGACGAGGTCGGCATTTCCAACATAAAGAACGCCCGCGCAGCCGGAGTCACCGACGTTGGAGCCTACATTTTCCCTTGTCTGGCGACTCGTTGTGCTCCTCCAGCTAACCAAGTTGAAGCCACCATCAACAAGCTCAAGGCCGAGAAGGCTGAGGTGCGGAAAAGAATGAAAAGGGTGGAAAAAAAATTTTCGATTCAGGTCAACTACATCTGGCTTGATATTGAAAGACTCGCTTGGCCTGCTGACCACACGCACAACAGAAACTTCATCACTGCCATGGTCGACGAGGTTCAGGTAGGCCTAATACTCTCTTACACTTTTTCTTTTTGAGTTCGAAATGTTTAAAAATGTGGTCTTCACTCCGAAAAAAATTAAAGAAAATACATGAACCTGTGATAAAGCCTGCGAAATTTCTCTATTGATTAATTGATTGAACCAATTTTTTCGCCATTCATATATAGTAGTCATGTATGGACCTTTCGTTTTAAATTTCTTTGTTGACCTACCGGCCAATTCGCAAAAGATAATATTGATTTTTTGAATCGTTGGCAAACAAAAAAAACGTTGACAACTTTTGAAACTGAGACAAATTACAAATATACTATCCCAAGATTAAGTTATAAATCTTACAAACTAGAGAACGTTTTTTTAAAAAAATTTTTTTAAGTTGTACTATAGGACCTTCTGAATCTGAAAAAAGAAAAAAAAAATTTGCAACAGTTCTTGTTCTCGGCTTTCGAAGCTAAATTTCAACTTGAATTTGAAAAGTGAAACAAGATTTTTAGGAGAAATATTTGTTCTTTTTTTCTGAGATCAGGAGGTCCTGGCAATGGCTCTTTAGCGATGTTTGATCTAGAGTTCAAGCTTCTCTTCACTTTTTTTTCATTGCTTCTTTCGCAGAAAATGGGCTACAAACCGGCGATTTACTCTAACAACAACAACTGGGAGGCGATCGTCGGCCTTGACTGGAAGCCGTTCCCACACCTTCCACTATGGTGGGCCAACTACAACGGCGAACAGGGATTCTCTCGGTTTGCCTTGGTCTAAAGCGCATGACTATTTTTTGCACAGATATCAAGAGTTTGGTGGCTGGGCAAAGCCGCTGATCCATCAATACAAGGGCACTACAGCAGGTCCTTGCTCCGTCAGCATGGATCTCAACTACAAACAGTGAAACCCCCTCGTAGAAAACAAATAAATATTTCCCGTTGCGATTCAAATTTGAGTCAAATGTCCAAAAATAAAGATGAAAAAAGGTGACAAACATTTTTGAGATATCCATCGAAGGCGTTGGCAAAGTCGTGGTTTCTCGCAAGGTACTTGACGGCCCACAAAGCATCCGACTCGAGCAAGCCGTTTCCATTTCTGGATTTAAAAATTATATGAACAGTCTATCAAGAAATTCAATATCAATAATTCAAAGGTAATATCCATAAAACTTTGAAAAATGCTTTCTCGCCTTTAAAAAAAAATTAGCCCCAATTTCTAATGGTAAATTGAAAAACCTTCATTTGAAAACAAAAAAAAAAACATTTTTAGGTTCATAACTCACGTGGAAAAAAACCCAATTTCAAAAGTTTTTGGTGAAATAAAAGAAGAAAAAAGATAACCTGATCATTTCAGATCTTTTGCGTAGATGCTTCTTGTCGACCAGTTTTATGAGAAATTCCTTCATCGCCGCGCCTTTTTCATTCATTCTCTCAGTTCGTTTCTCCCATTTCCGACGTTCCTGGGAGCATCAAGATAGAAAAGGGGTTTTTGAAAACATTCGGTACTTTTTCACTGAGTTCGTTGCCACGGGAGGCCATAACTTGTTTGTAGTCTGCTCGAGCCGTTTCGAGGTCCTCCGCCGTCTCGTAGTACCATTCGCCGGCGTAGAACATTATAGCGTACTGAAATTCTTCCTTCGGCAATTTTTATCGGATTTCTTGAAAACCTCAACGCTGACGTCGGAATCGCCCTTCTTTTCTATGAGATAATCAATCAACGACTGTTCAAGCTTCTTCAAACGATCCGTTGTGGAGAGCTGAAAATTTGATCTATTTGATTTTTTTAAATGGCGGTTCAGATAGGCTTGGCAACCACCACTAGCTCTATCAGAATAAATATTTCAAGTTCCAAATGTTTTCACACTAGAAATGAAAAAAGCTCTTTCATTTATATTCCTTATATTATAATTTATCAAAAATTTCTGAAAAAAACAATGGCTTTTTTTCATCGAACCACAAATTAAAAAAAAATTGAAATTTTTGCTAACAAACTTGTGAGAAACTCGCAGTTCTCGACGTCAAGATAATGAAAAAAGTGCAAAAAGCGAAAAAAAAAAATCAGACTTTCAGAATAAAAAGGCATAAAGCAGAAGTGGATGCCGTTATAAAAATATGGTCTATACGCTTTGAGATTCAAACACAGTCACAAAGGAAATTTCAAAAACTCTTAGTCACGTTTTTCCCTTAAAATATGGATACTTTATCATTTCGCGGCAAATCAGATTAAATTATTTTTAAAACACAAAATGAAAGCTTCATTTTTTTACCTTGGAAATGTTGACATCATCCACCGTTTCATACGTTTCGTTGTCGTCTTCATCATAGACAAGGGTTTTGACGACAAGCTTAAATAATCTTTTTTTATTTATTTATTTATAAAAAAATAACTACTTCAAGGCGCTGAGCCGAGTTTTCCCCGGCCGCTCGCGCGTCTTTTCGCAGTCGGGCCGTGATAGAGCCCAGGTAGTCCAAACAAGCTTGTCTTATCACAATGTCCGTCTTGTTGTTCCTAAAAACCTATCGTACGATTTTCGCTCTGACTTTCCTCACCTGAAGTGTCTGAGCAACAAAGCTCCCATCATCGAGAGGATATACTCGGCAGCCGGCCATTCCGGTCTGTAGAGAGCCAGAAGAAGATCCTGAGATAGGGAATTTTAGACGGAAATTCTTCGCGGAGCTCACCTGGAGGAAGGAATCAAAAAGTCGGCGATAATCTTCTTCGCCGTCCAACTTGTTACCCTTGCAGGAGCATCTACAACGAATCAGGCACATGTTAGGGTTTCGAAATTATAATGAAAAAGCGAAAATAAGGGGAATTAATTTTTTAAACCCGGTAACCAGGAAAGATCTCATTTTTTTTAAACCAAAATTTGATAGAATTCAAAACGAGTTTTGCCGATTTTTCTTTAACTTTGATTTGTATTTTGTGACTTCTGATTTTCTTTCTATTACTATCGAGCTAGGAACCTGTGCGCCTAAGAAAAGCTCATGTAGATATTGAAAAAGAGTATTTCGAGTCTGCCACAGCAAAATCTCCACGCACTTGGACAAAAAGCCGGCCAAAAAAATGTTGGTGAGCTTCTTGGTTTTGTTGAAGGAGTCTTTGACGACAGCGTCCAAGCTCATTTGAGTTTTCTTGTTCTCGTCATCGTCGTGTTTCCGGTACTTGGGCATCTGAACCAATCCTTTTTTTATTTAAAAGGCTGGAAAGACCAAGCAGCTCACCTTGACAGTACTTTGGATGAGTTGCAAAACAAGAGCCGTCGTGTTGGAAATCCATTGATCGTCGCCCAGGCGATAGCTGTTGCTGGCGTTTTTCCCAAGAGGAAGTCTGGAAAAAAACAAAATAAAAGTTCAGGGGATGGTTGAGCCAGAAAATAACCTGTGAAGCGAGTTGAGGATATCGTTCATGATGGACAGTTGGACGGAATCATCGGCTCGGGCGAAAATGTTGGAAACCAAACGCATTGCCTAACCAATTTTGTCGTGATCCATGGAGGTTAAAGACTAGGAACCTGGACTTGCAGCTCGCCGACGTTGGCGACGAAGAAAGCGGAGACGGAAATCGTGGCGAGGTGGAAAATGGACGATTCGGAGAGTTTGTGGACGCGAACCAACTCAGAGAAACAATCGAAAATGTCGGAAATACGCGTGTAAATGATTTGGAGGATCGGCGAACGGTTGTTGGCCGCCGTTCGGCGTTTTCGACGCGAGTCTTCCACATTCACTGAAGTATTAAAGAAATCAAATTTTATTTCTAATTATTTTTTTTTACATTGTTTGAGTGAACTCAATTAATTGAGAATAGTAAACCAGATATAAAAGGTGTTATAAAACTTTTTGTGGTTACTTTGTTGCGTCGTTTATTTTCGCTCTAGTCAGTTCATAGAAGTATATAACTAGCAGGTAAAGACGGGAGCGTCGATGAGAGGCCCAATTAATAATAGTGTTTCAAGCTACGGCGAGTAAAACTCTTTGAAATTACGTTATCTTATGAAAACTTCCATTGATCAATAAAATCGAAAACCTCAAAAAGTTCCACAGGTATCTAGAAAAAAACGACACAAAACAAGCAAAAAAAATCAGAAGACAAAAAAAAAAATTCAAGGTTTCACGATATTATACAGATCAAAATCATTCAAAAATTTTTCCCGTAGTAAATCCCTCAATTTTAAACATAATTTGATCAAACCTTTCTTTTTCGACGACTTGAAAAGACTGTCCGAAGCAGGGAAGATGATGTGGTTGAGGTACTGTTTGGTGAGTGAAATGGAGCGTTCGATGACGTCTTCAAGAACCACCTGGAAGGTTGGAAATGAAGAATTGGATTGAATTCCGGAGACGACTTGTTTTGGCATTTTGTGGCAGGTCATGATGAGCAGCGCCGTAAAGGCCGCGTCGGCGGCACGGATCAATTTGTCGTTGACGTCGTCGCGCCACGCCGCCGGCTCCTCCTCATTACCCTGAATTATTTTTTGATTCGAGCAATCGCTTCAGAATGAGGTCTCACGTCGTCATCCACAGGTACGAGAAGCTGCAATCCGTCGCTGCTGATCACGTCACGCGTGTTTCTTTCCAACATGGTCAGAAGTTTGATTATTCGATCTACGGGAATCTGAAACAATAAATTCATTTTATTTTGATGGGATAATTCACCTATGTTCATAAGAAGGCAAATAAAGACCTCAATTAGTTCAGTAGGAGAAGGCTACTCTTCAACCTTTTAAGAAAAAAAAAACGAAAAAAAAGGTTTCATGGCATAAAAATAAAATGAAAAAGATTCGTTTTAAACTACTCATCGCAGGCCAATTTGCAGCCAAATTGGATAGATTTGAACCAATCTGATCCATTCAACACTTTCAGAAGAACCCTTCAACAATTTATTGATAACTTGATGTTCGCGTATACGCCCAACACCTACAACAGATACTTTCTTAAAGATCAGTACACAAGGAAATAACGGGAAAAAAATAACGTGAAAGTTGTTTTGAGGGCTGTTGTCTTTTATCAAATAATTATATGCTTTTTTTCAAACCTTGTTCAGTTTCTGCCAGTTTTTCAACTTCTGGGTCTCGTGTCGGAGCTCGTCCATCAATTTCCTCTCGATGAGCATTTGCGTGGTCGCGTCTGTGTCAGCTTCTTCGTCTTCCACATCCGATTCTGACAAAATGATGGGCGATTTGAGTTGAAATCTGAGTGATTCTACCTTTTTGATTTTTCTTCACACTGAGAGTCAGATCGAGATCTTCAACTTGCTCGAAAATTGTGTCGACGAGTGCATTGAAACGTACAAAAGAGTCATTTTCAGCAAGGACCTGTAAATTGAGAGTCAAGGTAAATCTGAAGACAATCAACGGACGTCAGTGTTCCACGCGCCCTGATCTTCTTCTTCGCGCTTCCGTTTCCTGTTGTTCTCCAGCTTCTGCAGTTGACGCTCTTTCCATTCTGCATCCCGAGCGGATATTACTGAAAAATGAAAAATTTTAAACATATAGTCACCAAATTTTATTTTTCGATTAAAAAAAAAGATGTTGGATCTCCTGCCTTTTCCAAACTTATTTTTTCTATCAGCCTCAGTGCTATTTCCATGTTTCTGTGATCTCGCTGCTGAGCGAAAAAAAGGGCGCAGACAGGTCAGACTTTTTTTAATTGGTGGCGAATCATTTTTTTAAATTAAAAAAACTTAATTCTTTTTTTAAAGATCATCCAACTCAAATTTTTTTGTATTGGATCTAAATTATTTGCAACAATCCACCAAAAAACTTTTTCCTTAGGAGATTTGTTGACAGGAAAAAAAAGCCCCGAAACGAACCATCAGTGGGAGTTGGAGGTCGTTCTGGCAGTGCACTTTCTCGCGTCCGTTTCTTCTGTTTCTTCTCGAAGAACCTCGTCTCCGTCTCACTGCCGTCCATGTCTCTCTCGCTGCTGTTCCCCTCGTACATCTGAAATTTTGTTGAGGGTATTGAAATTCGTGGAGCAACTACATCGTTGATGCCAGTGACGCTGCTCGGCAACGTCTCGCCGGCCTCCATCGCCGCAATCAGCTCCAAGTCGCGTTTGTGCGCCTGAATACTCATTTTTAATCTAATAATTTTTCTTGAAAGAGCAAAATAAAACACAAAAAAAACCTCTTCGTCGTCTTCGGAAGCCCCGTGGTTGCGAAGTCTTCGCCGCCTTCCTTCTGATGGATCAAAGTAACCAGTGAGGGAGTCGTACAAACTTTCCACCTTAAACTCTAATTAATAAAAAAAATATATGCCTTTCAGCTCCTCATGACTTATATTAGAAAATACCTAAAGTGAGAAAACAATATCTTGTTCTGCGCCATAAAAAGGCCATTTTGATAAATTTTTCTCTAAATCGAATATTTTGTGAATCACGATTTTCAGAAAGATTTTTTACAAATAAATCAAAGTATCATCACCCGGCTAGTTTTCGAGGTACGATGATTCGAAGGGTTACAAGTAAAAAGCTTCAAAAATATCATAACTCGGCAAAAAATCGACAAATCAAAGCGTAAAACTAATTTTCTGCGATTTTGAGTCTATAACATCATGTGTGCTCATATTTGCTCATATTAGAGATTCTACTTAAGTTTAGCAGAAATTATTTTACCATATCTCGCTTCCGCCTTTGATTCCCTCCGTTTCCACCTTTTGGCTGTTTTCCAACAGAAGCCATTTGCTTTCGAATCTTGTTCGAATCTCTTCCCTCCTAGAAACGAAAAAGTTTTCTGATTGAAATCGTTAGATATCCCCACCTGGACCAAAGGCGAAGAGGTTCCCGAAGGACTCGATCCAGCGGTCGTCGTTTCCACCCGTTCCACAGGAGCGTTTCTCTCTTCTCTTTGGATTAATACTCGCTGAAAAAATGCCACGAGTTTTTATCATCCAGAGGAGTTCCTACCGAAGGTCCGGGACGTACTAGATCTTCCTGCATTATTTGGTCCTCATTCTCCAGAAGTTGCATGTTATTGTGAGAGTCGACGTCCAAAGCCTGGAAAAGTCGCTCGATATTAAGCTGATACTTCTGAGAAAATAAGTGATATTTTTTTTTTTGAAACATGACCAGTCGATATATTCATGAAACTTTTTTTTCATTATCATGGACCCTTCAAAAAATGGCTCACTTCAAATATGCATCAAAGAGAGATTTCAGAACTAACTTTTAAAAAAAACTCACGTTCATGTTGAAACTGACTACAGCTTGAATCAGCGGTGGCATTTGGTCCATGAACAAGTCATTGGTCTCTTTCTCCATCGGATAAAGCTTGTCCAAACGAGTTGGTCTATAGAACAAAATTTTAGGAAAAAAAAGAGACTCGGTTTCTAACATATCCTCGTCGGCGTCGACCATACTCAAAGCTTGCGATATCGCGGCAACGATTTGTTCATCGCAGAGCGCCAAAATTTCATCGCGATTTTCGGGCAAACTCACGAAGGCACTTTTCGACGTGCTCATGCTCTCGTACGGCAAAGGAAGCATTTCGACAACTGAAAATATTGTTCATGTTCAAAATATGAAAAAATTCCCGATACGATTGAAATTAAGCAGACACCATCAGGATCAGCTGTTAGATTTATTTGATTGTCTTGATGTTTTATATTTTTGTATTTGTCGTGCAGATTGCGGAATGGCGAATAAACACTTGAAATGAAAAAATGAAACCTTTAATAGTACGGTGAAGCCATAACTCCGAACTTTTAAAAATGAAAAAAAAAAATTTAAAACCTAAATTTATTCAGAATGGTTTTTGGGACCAAGATTTTGCAATATGATATAGTGAGTGCGGTAAAAGAAAAAATCCTAAAAATTCTATTTTTGACTTTTCGTTCTACTCCTATTTATCTAGAAAAGCCATTTCGCGCTTTTATTCTAAGAAAAGCCATTTCGCGCTTTTGTTCTAAGTTTAAGTTCTAAGTTTTCCGAAAACTTTTTTATAAACCTCTGAAAGTCTAAATGAAAATACTTCATTTATCTGCACAATACTTTCTATTTAATATTTCAATGTTTGATCTTAGAAGTGTCCGTGTTTGAGGGTGAATTTCAAAAATCACACCTCAAAAAGAAAGCGACAGAGAGAATATAAATGAGAAATATTTATGGTTTCTGTGAATGTCAGTTTGGCAAATATTCACTTTTACGATAGATACTGTTTATGATTGAAAAAAAATTCTGAATAAAACTAACAGTTGGAATGGAAATGAGTGGCGACGAGAGTCAAAGGCTTCCCAATCAGACGAACCCGCTCGTGCATTTCCTCCGTCGCCTGAAGGCACATGTCACTGAGGAGTAAAAAAGATGTGATACCTGGTCAGCTTCGTGCTGCTTCTGTTTCTGCTCAGCCAGGTACTTCATGAGGTTGGCGCGCTTTCTTTCTTCTTCTTCCGCCTTGATTCTCGCTGCCTCTGCAGCCTTCGCAGCCTCTTCTTGCTGAAAAACGGTTTTGAAATGCCTATTATACGGAGGAAAATACCTTGGCTATCTGTTCCAATCGCTCTTTCTCGAGTTTATCTTGCATTTCGCGTAACCTTGCCTTCTCCTCAAGTTCCTGTAAATGAAATTCAATTTTTCATGTCTTTATGAACAGCCAACTTTTTGCATTTGAATCCGAGCGGCTTCTTGTTTTCGCTGCGCTTCTTGTCTACATTGTTCCTCGTACAGACGTTGTTGTTCTTGCTGAAAACATAAGATATTTCAGCCAAAGAGCTCTTATCGTTCAGACTCACACGCTTTAGAGAATTTGGTCGAAAGACCCAAAAACTAAGCAAAAAAAAGTTATAAAGTGAGAGATCCTTGTTGGGTGCCTTTTCCAATTTTCAACATAAAGCCTATGAAAAACGGGTAGTGAAACTTACAAATATATGTCTCTGACTTTTTAATTTCAAAAAAGCAATTCCTATGTTTTTCATTGGAATTCAGCTTTTTTCCTACAGAAAGTGGGATACAAAGCAAAATTCCGGCCGCAAAAAAAAAGATTTTTTTTGCTCATAATTTTAATAAAAGCTTTGCTTTCCACGCAAAACTTCATCGTTAGTTAAATTCGAAAAAAAGGATCTGAAAAGTGAAACTTTTTGAATGCAACTGAAACTTTAAAGAATGCAATTTACCAATTGCTGCTGCTGCTGCTGTTGTTGTTGTTGTTGTTGTTGTTGTTGCTGCTGTTGTTGCATTTTTTGCTCTTGTCGCTGCTGATTGTAGAGCTGTTGTTGCTGTAGAAGTGCGTGATCTTGGATCTTCTGAGACGACTGATGTTGATTCTGCAGCTGCGAATGGTGTTGCTGATGAAGTTCTTGATGTAATGGCTGATGTTGCTGCTGGAGAAGTTGATGACCGGCGGCGAGAGAAAGTTGTTGCTGCGTCGAGAGCATCTGCGAAGGCGGAATTTGGTTCTGTGGAGTCAGAAGTTGTTGTTGGAGCATCTGGAATTATTTAAATCTTCGTTAAGCTGATTTTTTTAACCTGTTGTTGTTGTTGGAAGATAGGTTGAGAATGCTGTTGCATGGCGACTGCAGCTTGAGTTTGCATTTGAAGAAGGTACTGCTGTTGATGGAAATCCATCAACTAAAACAAAATATAAAAGTTTCAAAACGACGATTATGGGTATGAACTTGATTATTGGAAGCAGCATACGCAAATTGGTTGAGATAGGATTGCGGAAAGAACATCTGGGGAGTATATTGTCCCGCCGCACTGCCATTTTGCACACCTGACAGTTGATTCGATTGCAATCCATGACCCCCGATCGGCATTTGCCCATTGTTCCCAATATCGATGTTCTGAAACTTCGATACTGACATTTCAGAAGAGCCGATGCTACTTCAAAAAGAGAACAGGACATCTAACTTTTTCGTTGAGTTATTTCACTGTTTTCGTGTTAAAAGATACTGAAAACTGCAAGGTTCGAATTTTTAATTTTTTTTCTCAAATCTCAACATCCTTCGAGCAAAAAATACATAAAACACAGCATACCTGCATATTATTAGGATCCATCCCGCGTTCAGATATTGTCGTCTCGCACTCTCAAAGTTCTCATTCGCGAGCTATTGTATACTCAAATTCGAATGCAACTGAACAAAAAAAGAATAAATAAGTGAAAAAAAAACAAACGAAAACAATTTGAACAACATTCCAATTTGAAATAAAGCAGCAGAGATACGAGTGCTATTCAGAACGCCACTTTGAAAATAATAACTATTAACTTATAGTGATCATATTTAACTAAAAAAAAATTATATTTCAAACATTGTCTATTCTGAGATTACAAACTTATGTTTCCTGGAAAAAAAAATTCCAAAAAGATTTGAAAATCATTTTGCTTCAAGGAATCAAAATTGAAAAAATAACAATAAAATTGGATACTTTTGCAAAATTTTGATTAAAAGCGTAGATTGCAGAACTGTAAAAATTCAGAAAACTGTGAAACACAGCGTTGAATTTATTTATTGCCGTGTTCAAAGTGACTACGCGAAATCCAAGATAGCCGTCAAAGAAAGAAAAATATAATCAAATTTTTGATAGTAAGACACAATTTTGCATGCGGAAATCACTTTGAAAACGGCATAAACTACTTCGGTGTAAAATACCAACTCCGATTTCAGACTGATTCATCAAAACTCAAAATAGTTACCAGGGAGTGAAAAAGATAAAAATTTTGGAATCACAGAAATTATTATTTTTTTTTAATTTTCGCAGAAGTTATTTTAACCCGGCATAAACTTTGGTAATGATTCTACATAGAATAGAAAAACAGGAATTCGAATTGAAAAAAAAACGCGGATTAATTTTTTTTTTTCGGGCGCATGATCTTTGGCGTAAGATGTCGTTCAGATTGCGTATGCTGCATACTTCACGCGCAAAGAGTTCAGCCGTATTTCTTTTTTTTTCGAATTCACCCAACATAAAATGCCGATATCGCAGCGGGCCGCACGCGATATAGCCATGGCTTCTCGCTGCGATCTCGTCAACATGTCGCTGCGACCTCGTCAAAGTCTCGCTGCATATCGCTCCCTCTCAAAAAAATTTGAAAATTGAAAAAAACATTTTTTTGCTTTATTTTTAAACTTTTTATGATGAAATCAATCAAATTCAGGAAAAAAAAATTTTTTTGAAGAAAAAAATTTTTTTCAGAGATCGATATAGCGCAAGACGTTTGCGAGGTCGCAGCGAGAGGCGAGCGATATCAATCGCGAAATCCGTCAAATAATGTTTTTTTATTATAAAAATGATAAAATTTACGAATGAAAAAAAGAAATTTTTATTAAATCAAGAATAATTGATAATTAGTGCATTTATCCATGTGGGTCAGGTTTTATTTGTCTCGGCAGGCCGTACGGTGACATTCCCTTCTGCGAGGCGCACTTGTTTGTTCCATACTGTAATTATGTATTTTGAAACTGTTATATCCACGTTGAAAGCAAATGAAATAACTTGTCTTTGATATTTTTTTATTTGGAAGTATATAGGTGATCCTTGGGCCTAATAACCTTTTTTGCGTCGAAAGGTTCTTATTTATTATTTTGTGAATGTTGTTAACGAGGGTCTCCACACGATTATCAAAATTTTAAACGAAAAGAAAAGGTTCAGGCGTCTCCAATAAATATTTCTCGACTCTTCGTGAACGAAGTCTGATAGAAAATCTTATGGGGCAACATTATTTTTATTTTTACATTTAGCAGTGATTTCTCATTTCAGTGGAAAATACGAAAAAAAAAGGTCAATTTTCAAAATCTTCACAAATATTAGACTTTTTTTAGATCAGTTTTTTTGAGAATGAAAGTTTTTTTGTTTTGCAGTCTAACATAATTCTATCAGTCTTCTATCTATGCGAAGATTGGAAAAGTGACCTGCAGAGGGATGACCATCTCTCCGCGTCGGATAACGGCCACCGGGAACTTGCGTGGACACGAATTAGCCAGTTTGACGACCCATGGCGGATAGTCTAGATGCGGGTGCCGCGCCTGCGCCTGCGAGTCACCTGCAGATGCACAGAATGTTAAAAACGGAAAGAACTTACGACTGTCGCTAGTGATCGTAGACACTCGATAACCTTGAAAAAATCCTGTTTCTATATGAAAAAGTTTATTTCTAACCTTATAGCATTGCTTGTTCTCGTACAGGTCGACTGTTTGAAAGCAGCTGATCTCCATAACTCCGAACTTCTTCACGGCTTCCAGAAAGTTAGATATATTTTCCATCTGATTTTTGAAAATTGAATCGTTGTCGAAACTATTGAAAGAAACCATGTGAAAGGGCATTTTAGGTTTTCGATTATATGCCACCGGTGCCGTTGGGTCCAACGTTTGCATGAGTCTGAATTTCGCGTTAAGAGAATAATATACTGTTGAAACGGACTTGCACAAGGCGATTCCGTCCTTGAGAAGACGACAAACGTCTTCAGAGTTCGCACACGAAGATGTGGCTATCGCAAATGGCTCACCGATCATCTGAAAAAAAAGTGTTTTTTTTAGAAAACTTTCCGGAGTTCTTTGCCTGTTCTATCCAAGAGAGAACCTCGATAGCTTCTTCCAGCACGAAACGCGCTTCATTCTGAAGTTTTCTCATTTTTACAGAGTTGTTATCAAGGAAATTAAAGTTGAAAATGTTCAAGGAGAGCTACTAAAAACATTATTCTCGTTTTTTCCGCCCCTTTATCGGTATTGGAATTCAACTTCATTCAAATCTTAAAGAAAATTCTAAACGAAGACAAATGTAAAGTATTGTGGGAATTCGGGGGTTGAGAAACGTGACCTAATACGGCTGCGCCAGACCACCACAACAACAACAAGCGCGGCCATGTAACTATGTTCCGAGTGGATCCAGGTCACTCAAAGGAGTGCTGTATTGTATAACTCGTTTCAATACAATTCAACGAAAATTAAACCTTTTTCTGAAGCTCTCTGCTCAAACCGTAGCTTGGTCCATGGTTAGCCATTTGAATCAGCTGCAAGTCTGCGAATTCATACGTTTTCTGATAATCTCCTAGAGCATGAAAACAGTTTTACGTATTAACCGAGATCAAACCAAAACTTCAAAAAAAGTTTATTCCAGAATCTCCTCACGCTTTAAGCGAAAAAACAAAAAACTCGAATAAATCAGCACAGAAATTCTGCCACCTAATACCTCTTACAATGAGCCGTTTTAATTTGAAAATTATATTTAAAATTCAATAGAAAGTGCTGGAATTATCAGAATAAAACAAGTACTAGGAGTTGGCGGATACAAAAACAACTACGAAAAAAAAAGTTTCCAGAGAAGGAATGCCAGAGAAAAACTTTTGGCTACAGAAAACTAATGTCTTCATTTACGATTGCGTTTTACTAATCATAAAAGTCGAAAAAAAACCTCACCGCTCCTAACGTGAAACAAGATTTTCCGTTGTAGTTTGCGGCTGATGAATGTCTAGGAGAAAGAAGTTCTACAGCATCAAGAGAAGAACATATGAAGCAGACGTCAGTGTTCGGAGGATATCCCTTTCTGTTAGATGCGCGCGATTTCGACCCGCCCACAAACGATAATCGTTCAACTCTTGCGTATTTCTTTCCATGGTTATTTGTAAGCTCAAATAGTTTAACCTGAAGTGTTGTCCCTGGTTCAATCGACTCAATATGAAACGAGGAAAAGGTACAAAGTTGGAATCCAGAAAAAAAATATATATTTGGCTTTGAAATTCTTTTTTCGTTTTCAAAAAATATCATTCTTCCAAAAGAAATCAGCCGTTATATATAGAAGAAATTTTTTTTGTACCAGGTCTATAGTCTTCAAATTTTCCTAGTTTCCGGGAAAGAGAGTGGGCTGATTTCTTTTCCACAAAGCGCTTGCTCGCAACTGCAACAGGACCTTGATAGTTTTCTTGGACTTTGAGGCGTGTGTTCTCGGGAATTAGAAAGTTTTTAAGGCTGAAAATTCCCTCTACTATAGTCCGTGTGCCACGAGTTTAAACTTCAGCGAACGACATTCCGCTGTTCCGCTGTGCGCCTTTGCGAAACCTTCGTCGCGCTTTTAACTTTTTTTTATCAAGGTACTCCACTTTCATGTGATCCCACAGCAATAAAAATCATCTGAACGCGTGACCTAGATTTGAAAGACGCTTCGCGAACGCACGCAGCGAAACAACGGAATGTCGTTCGGTGAAATTTCAAGTCGCGGCACACAGACAACAAGGAAAGTTACGGCCAAGCTGCAAAAAGTTTCAAAGGCCCTAGAACGAACTTCGCTGTGAAAGAAATGAGGGCATAAGTTTACTAACTCCAGGAAAAACTATCAGAATTAGAAACGCCTCGTAAAGGGTTTTTGTGAGTTGCAGAGTACAGTTTTCATATATTCTTCGTGAGTTCATAGGTAGGGACCGCAGACGAATTTCCAAAAATTTTTTTTCAGCATTGAGCTTCGTATGGTTTGATAGCTGTTTCGATTCAAAACTCAGAACCGTTTAGTTTTTCAAAAAAGATTGAGGATGAAAAAAGTTATGACGAAAAATGTGGGGCGCCGCGCACCATTTTTTTAGTACTGAATTTTTGGTATTATCCATTTTTGACATTTTTCTCGATTTTTCTTCTAGAACAAGTTTTGTTACTGGTCTATTATGATGTAAAAAATCATAATAGAGTGCTAAAATGATGAATATTTGCTAGTTTGCCGAAAAAGTCAGTATTTTCCAGAAAACAAAAAACTGACGCTTGCGGGTATCGAACTCGCGACCTCAAAATGAAAAATCGCAGCGCACGCGCTGCGCCAAGCGGTCAGGTCTAGAGAAGGGAGCATCCATCCGCCATACCCTTCAGCCGTTTGAATAGCACAGATTGCCTATTTCAAAAATAAAAATTTGAAGTAATTTAGCTACTTTTATCAGAATATGTTCGCAAATCTTTACTCAAACTTTTCGTGGAAATTCACTTCGAAAAAACTGTTTTTTTAGTGCTTTTTGCCTCGTTTAACGATCGCTGCATTAAAACGGCCCCGTAAATTTTTTTGGCAAAGACGAATTTTTTTATTTTATTCTTTTTAATTGAAAGATTTTTTTACTAATAAATGTATATAATCGTTTGAAAAAAACCTGCGTTCGACCGCTTTCTGTGTGATAAACGCCGCTAATTCTGTTCTCTAGTTTCAAGAGCATTTTTTTGCGTATTAAACAACTTTTTTTCAAGCGAAGATGCTGTAGAGAAATATTTAAGTAAGCTCATGATCTAAATTTTTGAAAAAAAACAAAAAAACTCGATTATATTCGCTTATTAACGATATTTTGAATTATGACTTTCGGCACTTCCTAAAATTTTTGGCAAAGACGAATTTTTTATTTTATTGTTTTAAAATTACCGTTACTTGAATCAAAATCATTATTTAAAAAAAGAAAGAGTGCGTTCGACCTAAAAACACATGAAAAAGCAAAAAACGACAAAATTTTTTAGTTCCATTCACGTTTTTGTACGACATTCCGCGCGAACGCATCAAAAAAGCGTGAAATATTTTTTAAACAAAAGAGGAAGCTTTTCTGTACATGTGTGTCAAATTTTATTCGCCAGTTCCACATATTTTACAACTACAACAAAATGAAAGTTGAAAACCAAAAAAAAGCCACTTTTTCTATCGCGAAAAGGGGCGTGGCTTTGCGGTCCCCTATTCATAGGCAAATAGAGGAGTATCGCGATTCCCTCTGAGGTATATCGCAGGGCCCGCCTAATGTCCATCGATGGTACCTCGAGTACACCTCTGAGGACTTTGAGCACAATGAGATTTGAGGAAGACTCTCAAGTTCCTTGGAGATGGCTCAGATATAGCTAAAAGGTATGCCGGAGGTCTCACGATGGAAACATTATGGGGCCTTCACGATCCATTCTGAGAGGTATCTTTGTGGACACATTATGGTACCCTCCCGATTCGCATTGCAGAGTTTCAAGAAGTGGTTTGTCAAGGAAGCCGTTCATCAACTCCTTGGAAGTCGGAAAAAAAATTATCTTAACACAATTATTACGATATGGGAGTCAAAACTATCATTGTCATCAGACTGGATAGATATTCAGACTCAGTTCAAATCCCTAGTATACCACGGGCCGGCCCTCGCACAAGCCTGGTGAATACTGCTCCATGCTCAGAGCACATGTATTTTTGATGATTATTGTGTTTTTCTTTCAATTCGAAAAGCTTAGTCTATAAAGCTTCGTGATCTTCTGGCTTGTCGCTGGAAGAACTACGCGACGTCGCGACCTAGGCTCTAAACACAATCAGTTTGCCAGAAGGTTCCTAAAACGGCAAGGTCATGACCTGTCGGCAACGCAGCAGCATTGAGGAGAGGCGGCTATTGCGACGGAGCGTACTTTCCTGTTGCGGGTTGCGTGTTTTTCTGAATACCCCCGTGATGACATTTCTATAGAATTTACGCCGTTTCTTTAGATTATTTCACAAGTCCTTGCCTTATTAGAACTATCTCTCAATCAGTTAAGTTGGGGAACATTAATGTACGCTTTACCCGATTGCGGTAGCATTCGTTTGTTTTCTTCAGCTTTTTTTCTTGTTCATACGCTTCTTAACTTTGAACAAAATTAATGACTTCTATTATCAGATATGGATCAGATAGATTTACCGGATGAACAAATGGACAAGCTACGGCAGTTTCAAGTAAGAATATTTTCTTTTCTTTTTATTTCATGCACCTCAACTTTCAGGAGATCACCAACATCGACGACCTTCAGGTGGCCATTTGCAAGTTGGCATCACTCGACTGGAACGTCCAGAGAGCTATCGAAGCTCATTTGATGCCTGAGCTAGACGATAATGAAGAACCAGTTATTCTCGAAGCTCCTCCATCACGACCTGCTCCTTCCAGTGCTCCGTAAGTATTTCTTTGTTATTTGAGGCTTGGAAAAATTAGCTGAAGAGAGCCTTAAATTTAATCCTCTGATCTTTTAGACAAATGAAAGTTTTGACGTTTATAGGAAAAAAGTTAAAGCATCGAAATTTTCTAACTTTTCAATTTTAGTCAAAAAAAACTTTCAAATGTTCAAACTGAGTATCACTTTATTGGTAAGTTTTGGCTATGTGCTGGACACATGTCTTGCGATTTTGAATATTTGAATATGCAAAAAAAGAATATTTGAACAGCCGAAAATTATCAACGACAAAAAAGTGCTTTTTAAAATTACATTGTAATTTTGGCTGTTTCAGAAAGAAATGGTTAAAATAATTTTGAAATGTCAGAAATTGTCTTTATTTGGGGGAACAGAAAAACAAATTCTTCACTGAAAGATTTATTGCCGAGTTTCACAGAAGTTATACGCAAAATATGAGCCGCAGACGTCCGCGGCATAACGACAGAGCTCAAGCCCCTGAACCGGAGGTTCAGTTTTCCCATTTGCACAACTAATTTTGAAAGCTCTCAGCCTTTGCACTCAGCTTCTGTCGGTATGAACTCCAACAATTCGAACGATCACGGCGCAGTCACGCGAACTAGTAAGTTAATTCGTCGATGGTAGGGAAGGAATTTTGGGTTCCGGAAAAATTCGTGAGCGTTACTTGTGCATACACCAATCTTGGAGGCTCGAATCTTTGAAAATTTGAATCTTTGCAAACGATTCTTGGGAATATTCACCTCTTTTTTGAATCTCCATCTTTTTTTCTTTCCTTCATTTTTTCCTTTGTCGTTCTATTGTGAGGATGTCGTGTTTCGACCACAAATGAACACTGTATGATTTTTTTCAAACTTTTTTATCAAATAATGCGTCTTTCTCGCATACACATAGTCAAATATTCGCTGCAGAACGGCTACCACATTTTCATTCACTCTGTATATATTCTCCATCAACTTCTGTTAACAAAAACATTGGAAACATTATAAAAAATCAGAAAATAGGTGAATATTCCCAAGAATCGTTTGCAAAGATTCAAATTTTTAAAGATTCGACCCTCCAAGATTGGTGTATGCACAATTAACGCTCACGAATATCCGGGAACCCAAAATTCCTTCCTACCATCAATTCGTCTGATACACTTGTTTTTAGGCGAAATATTTGCCTGTTCCAGTTCTTGCATGTATTCTGATTCTGAAGAAAACTTTTTTTCTGGGAGCACTGCGCAAATTTGTATCTTAAAATTGTTTTTTGCAGGAACAACCCGCAACGCTTTTTCTGAAAGAGGGCCTTCATCGTCCGCCAGAAATGCGACGCCGCCCGAAGAAACCGCTGGAGACGATGAAATGCGCTCTGATGATGACGACATGTACATCGATGACGGCCACGACATGGAAGCAGATGTCGTTGTGCGTACTGAAATTCTTAAACTCGATTCTTTTTTTTGTAATCGTTTTCATATTTGAATCAATTAGAATATTTTCGGCTCGCAATCAAAATTCAAAAATTATTTTTGATTGCAGTAGAGTTTTCCTTGCTGTGGTAGATGATGCGGTTTTCAATTGCAAGATTATCTATGGCTCTTCAAAATTTAGTTATCTTTTTTTCTCTGATGGCTGTTTTGGATTCCGCGGAATTAATTCGAACACCAAAAGAATTTTGCACGTGCTCTAACAATTTCAAGTAATTGAATCTTTTGGGCATGCGCGCTCTATTGCAAATTCAAAAGGTGCCAACATTTCACTTTTTTTTTCTTCCAAATTGCTTATTTTTTAGCAGTTATGAGCTCCTATTGGAACTTTTTTGAAAGCTTATGGCCGTTTCAGTCGGCTAGTCGTCGTGTGGAAGGCCTTGTACCTCTGATTCCTCTTGATTCTTCGGATGTCCATGAGGCGTTGCAAAATTTCGTTGCTGTTTTTGAAAACAGGTCCGTTTCATCTTCTTTCTTAAAATTTTTTTTTATATTGATTAGTCAGGCCCAAATTTCCCAAATTTATGTTGATTCGAAGTACATTTATCTAAAAGACTTTTCACTTTCTCATTTTTTCTTTTGTTTTCGTTTGAACTTCATCAATGTTTATCTTTTAACTGAAAAACTGATACATTTTTGCTCTTCCTCGTTATTAATGAGAATTATTACAGATATCGTGCCTCAGGGAATATGCCACATTTTTCTACGGAATCGTTACCCGATGCGATACGAGCGGCTTTCGATAAGCCAGAAAGGTTCCTTATATTCGAAATTATTTTTTTTTTGTTCGTAGGTCATTAATTTCATTTGATTTCAGTTCGGATCGTCGGCCTCTCGCTATTTACATTCACAACGAAAAAAGCATTGCGGCCAATATTTTCGTAACTCAAGTCCTCTGTACTGAGGTCATTTCGTCGTTGCTTCGCCATCAGTTTGTGCTCTGGCCATGGGACGTCACTTATGAGTACGTTTTTTTTTTTGCATTCGTACTTTTTCTCAATCAATTTTCCATTTCATGCATATGTCTCGCAAGAAAACTTTTTTTTTCTTGTTTTTGAAGTTTAACTTCCGATAATTAAAAGTTTATTTAATTAAAAAAAAATTTTTTTTTCGTTTATCAACTAACAAGTTATGAAACACGTAAATCAAAACAAAGCTGCAATCTATCGAAATAGTGAAAGTGATAGGTTTTCACTTGGTTGGAAAATTGTTTTGATTTTATTTCACCGATCACGTCAATCATAAAAATAATTTTGAACTTCAGAAAAAGTTTCTTGCTTGTCATGATTTCCCATAGCTGAGCGAGGAAAGTAAAGAAAAACTCAACTAATTTTGTCTAATTCAGGGAGAATGCTAACAAGTTGCGCGAATGGCTCGAGCTTACGCATATGTCTGACGTCATCTCTTTTGATAACTTCAAGTACGTACGCAGCGAGACTTTCCCCATGATTGCCGTGGTGGTTCGCGACAAGGGATCTTTCATCCCCGTTCAGATGTGCTGCGGTTTGAAATTTCTCTTCATCCACCAAATGAGCAAAAAGTTGAAGGAACGGACAGTATGGATAGTGTACTGTCAAAATTGATGTCTGGAATCGATGCCTACGAAGCGATTCGAGTTCAGGAGCAGACCGAAAAGCGCGAAAGAGAGGAGCGCGAAGCTATTCGGAATCAGCAACATGCTGAGTTCGTTTCAACGCTTTTAATTGGACTTATATAGCTGATTTGCAGGTACGAAGAGTCACTAGCGGCTGATAAAGCAAGGATGGAAGCGAAGAAACGAGAAGAAGAGGAGAAAAGGGCGAAAGAAGAAGAGGAACGCAGGAAAGAAGAAGCAGAAAAAATAAGGTATTATCCAGAGACATTTGATCAATTATATCTATTGTAATTTCCGTTTCCCATAGATTTGTAGCCTAATCAGTCAATTAGGGTCCATTATTAATGAAGTCAAGTGTTATCATTCCAATTAATTTTTTGAAGCATACATGGGAAAGAGAGAAGATAATTGACTACAATGCGAATTATTAACAAATAATTCTCCAAAGCTTTATATAGTTTTTGAATTTCGCAAAGTTTTCTCGTTGGCTTTTCAATTTTTACTTTTTTTTTTCCTTTTTTTGATCTTTATTTTGACTATACTTACCCTTTTTTGTGTGCGGTGGCCAAAGTCAGTTCATAACAATCTTTTATTTCGATGGAATTTCAAGATTAATGAAATTCCAGACGAGAAACGCTGGCGAAAAAACTGCCGAGTGAGCCGACCGAGTCGGAGCAGGACGTGATGCAGGTGAAGTTCCGGCTGCCGACAGGCGAGCAGACGATGCGTCGCTTCCGCCGCAAAGAGCCGATCCAGGTGATGGTCGACTACCTGTCGTCCAAGGGCTTCTCGCCCGCTCTCTACAAGTACTTCAACTCGGATTACCCCAAAAAAGAGGTTCATATTGTGTTTTTGAATTTTCAACTATATTTTTAAACTAGGCTGTTATTAAGATTTTCGCTGAATTTTTGAGAAATTAATGATGATGATGATGATGATGAAATACTAACCATAAATAAATACAGAACATTAACTTTTGACCTTTTAGGAATCCCATGTATCCTTTGTAAAATCCTATGCATTTGATCAGTGAAGAAGGAAAAAAAGTTCTAGCGATCAGCGGAGTTTTATATAACTTAGTGATCGCTCAACTAGTTTCTGGAACTTGTGAAAGCTCGCATTTCATGAGAATCATTGAGCAAAGGAGCATTTCGATAAATTCATCTCATGGTTTTTTGGTGTCCATGTTGTTTTTTAGAAAATAGTATCAAAAAGCAAAAACGTATTAATTAGTGCTATTAACAGACTTCTCTGCGCAAGTAAGCCATTGTAAAATATCTAAGAAAGCAAGCTACGGAATTGATTATTAAATCGACATTAATTTTTACGAACTTCATCGACGCGTTACAGGTGAACTCTCACTTCGACCTCACCCAATCATTTTTTGACGCGAAATGGCCTGCTCGAGAACAGATCCACGTCGAAGAAATTTGAACATACCCTTTTTTACTGACTCCTCCTTTTTTCACCTCTTTGTTCTAGAAAAGTTCTACTCGTCGAATGAGGCCACTTCGGTATCGGAATCATGAATACTTCATTTCTTGTGTTTCGCTGTTCCGATTTGTATAAACTCCCAGCTGTCCCATTATACGGGTGCGTTGCTGCGTTTGTATTTTCCCTATGCGGTCGCTCGTTACTTTAAGATCCACGATCGCACGTCACTTTCTATTGTCCTTTCTCCTTAGAACTGTTTTTATTATAAATGACCCGAAACGCCATTCGTTTCTTTCCCTTCACCTCTTCTGTTTCTGTGTTCATTTTTATTGCTTTGTATGGAAATAAACTCGTTTTTTAAAATTATAATTTTGTGAACACTTTATTGAATATAATTTTTCCTAGGTGCTTTTTTTGATGTGTTCTGCGGCGTGTGAGATGGCTCCTAGCTCATCGCTCACCCGACCAAACGCTTGTTCGAGGTCGCCGGTGCATCGAATGGTCTCGACGGAGCTGGTGAACGGGTTGTAAATCACGGAGAATGGGCGGTCCATCGACGAAGCGTACTTCCTGATATTGTCTGCTGTTCGACGTGATTTGGAAAAGAAACCGAACTTTAGTTTGGAGAGGGCTTCGTGCAGACTGTCGGCGACAAAGTAGAGCGGCTGGTAGTCCGAGTCTTCGTAGGTTTGGAGAGCAGTGACCTCTGGGTCAAAGTCTTTGTGCTGCGGAACGTCTGAGCACGCGTGCTGAAACGATTCGAATCCGAGAGCCTGGTCTTGAAGCGAGATACCATCAACTCGCCATAGGCCGACAAAAGACCTGCGCCAATGGCTTTCAGCCGTCCATCTTCTCGACAAAGTCCAAACTCGATGATAAACCTTCAGAAGTAAAAACTTTAAAAATTTAAAATTTTTCCTTTAAGGTCTGTTATTCATCATTTATACTAACCCCTCGCCGTAATTTTCATTCAAAAGGCAAATTTTGAAAAAGTTTCTTTGAAATCACACGAAATTTTTGTTAGTGGAAGAAAATGCGAAACCAAAAACACAGTGGGCGGAGCCAAAATATCCGCCGTTCCGTCATGGGGACGGCAGAGATTTCGGCTCTTAGAACGTAATTAACAGGGCATATTAAAAGCACAGGCCACCGTATTGCCAGAGGTATTCAAAAAGAATCGAAATTTCTCTATATAAACGCAATTTTCTGCGCGAATGCGGCGCAGTGCATGCACACGACACACGACACTTTACGGAGGAAAGTGGGGCGTGGCGTCGTAGAAAAAAACGCCGTGATCAGTGAAAACTATTTCGACGATTTTTAGCTTTTTTATACGTTTACAATTCAAAAAGTTTTGGAGATTATTACCCAAAAACACACCAATAGACAGTTGCCAGCTTCTCAATCTTTTCGTCATTGGCTCCAAGGCTCATTAGACCGATGTCTTGGCTCATCTGCGCCAAAATAGGATCTGCGAACATAGGCACGTGTCCGAGGAGTTCATGGATGAGATCGGGCTCAGGTGAATGGTGGGGACTTTCGGAATGCCTCAGGTATGTCGTGGTCTGAAAGGATGTTCTCTTCATGTCGGATGCGACTCTTCTCAACTTGAAAGACGCGGAAGGCCAAGCTGGCGAGAAAGTCGCGGGCGGAGAGAAGACCACTACATGGCCGCAGAATGAAGCCCGATTTTTCTGTAGTCTCTCAAAATTTTTTTCGGCCCGACAAGACAAATTACTCTGTAAGAACTTGTTAATGTCGCGAATCTGTGGAATGCGCTCGCTGTTCAACACATTTTCTTCTTCGAGCATCTTGAGATTTTCTCTGAACGTGAAGTTTAAGCTTATCCTAAACAGGAAAAGTTCGAAGGGCGCTTAGAGTTCCTCTAAAAAGGTAGAAAAAGTTTTCTTTTTGCTGCCTTACCCTTTTTCCATTTTTTTTTTTTTTTTTTGAGCCTCGAAAAATTAAATTTTCATTGGAGGGACCTTTTTCAGCTCCACCCACGAACTTTGCCTGGTTATGCAGGTACAATCAGAAACTGCGGAAAAAACCTGTAAGCTGTGCACGTGTGAGAGACGTGAAGTTCTCGTAGCTTTTCATAGACGGCTTTCCACGTTTGGTGCTCCGCTTCAGTGTAATCAACCAGTGGAATTTCGTCACCACTATTTTCGAATTGATAACTAACGACGCATAGAAACTTACTGCTTGTATTCGAGAGCTAGATCGTTGAGGAATTGTCGTCGTGCGATGTAGGCTTCGTCTCCATGTCCCTGCAAGCAACCTGCACATCTAAATAAATCATTCAAACTCACCGGATGACGTGGGTCTGTCGTTGGCTCGTACTTGGTGACGCAGCGCGAGCACTTGTCCAGGTCACTGATGTGTCGAGGAAACCAAATCTCTATAAAAGGCATAGATTCCGTTAAACTTGTAAGCAGGCTAGTCCACCTGGCTCTTCTCTTTTTTGCTTGTAAATGCCGAAGGCCGTGAGGTCCCGATGAGACTGCGTCAATTTGGACGCCGCTTCCAGCAGCTGCTGACGAGTTCCTTCACACTCGCTCAGCACGTCGTAACCTTTTCCATCTGAAAAAATAGCATTTCACAAATTTTTTTCTAAATTTTCTGTCAACCTTCCAAAAGTTTCTGAAGATCTAGATGAAATTTCCTCATAAATCGTTACTTCTTCAATTTTCAAATTTATAAAGGTATGCACGCTTTTTTTGTAAAACGCTTGCCCCATCACTCAAAATTCAGAAGTTTGGAAGCGACTCTTTGTGGAAAAATTTTTTAAAGGATAATTCCCGAGATATTTTTGACCTTGAGTCTTGAGAAAAGAGAAGAGTTCGAGTGTAAGAGTTTATGTAAAGTCTTTTTTTTTTCCGAAAAAAGAGTTGAAGATGGCCAGATCTTGTTTCCAAATGAATCCTATCGGAAACAACCTTTGTTGACTCGAGATTCAAGATGTCGAATACTCAAGTCAGCTGCTTCAAATGCATGCACGACATCGGCGACAAAAGAACAGAGAGACGCTGAAAAATAATTGAAATCTTTTCAGCTTTTCAAGTAGGTGGGTTTGTGACCTGTGCTGCTCATTACCGCAGAGAATGAGAGGATTCGGTCGTGGTCGGCCGTCCAGATGAGCTCGACGCCCTCGTCGTTAAGTTGTTGTAGGATCTCAAAGTATTGAATTTGTTTTTGTCTTCACTGAACAGCACCTTTTGCCCTCGAAGTGATACTTCGTTGTTGAGCTGCCGTCGGTGTTGAAGGGTGTTTTGACGCCGCAGACCCGCCAAATGCTGTGTCTCGCAACTGGCCTCAATCCGAGAAACCTGAGAGAAGCGCCAGGAGTTGACCAACCTGGTGAGCAAGACTGAACCTTCGTGGATGCTTCTTTTCGAGTGTATTCTTTTCCGGCAAGTCTTCTTCGATCGCCTGAATTTCTGATTTTCGTTTGCTTCGAATTCAACGATAGGGAGCTGTAGAATAATTGATAGTCAAATAAGAAAAGTAATTTTACTGCGCTTTTTGGACCTTCGTGATTATTTAAATGGAACTATTTTAAGTTCTGGAGAGTCGAAACCCGCAGAACAGACTATATTAAAAACATAAAAAAAAATGTTTATTGCATTGTCCAAAAAAGCGATGATTGAGGCGTGTTTTTTTTTAGCAGAAATGAATAGTCATTCAGTACGAGACTCCCATGATCCTCATGCAGTTTGGCATGTTTTCGGAAAATTCCAGGGTTCGGAGTAAAATATTTGCCCTCTTGAGCAGATCGGTATAAAATTCTCATTTGCCAGCCCTTTTTTTGACATTTTTTTATTTTTTTAGTATCTCATGCTCCATGGCTTTTTGCACAGCCTACAAAAAAACCCGAAATAAGACTTGAAAAAAACTTCAAATGAAAAATTAATTGAGATCAGTAGAAAATGTGAAAAGAAAAAAGCAACGAAAAATATAAGATAATAATACATCTTGGACCGAACGAGGAGTCAAAGGAGAAGGCGAGAGCTTGGGTATCGACGTGGCGACGTCGGCAACCTCAACAACCTTGCCCAACATAACGTCTCCTGGAATAATTTTGCTTATATTCTATTCCAACACCTTTTGTCCATAACGTCGGCCATCAAATTTTTTATTATCAGGTAGCATTATGCGCTTTTTTTCCCCTACGAATCGCGCGGTGACAACAATAGAGTGGGACTAGTTCAACAAGCCGCTGAGTGGACCACAATTGAAATGTTCAGATGGTTTCTGTAGGCTACTTTTTTCTTCTGATGGAATATTCCCAAGTAAGATCACTCTATTCAGAGCTACGGAATTTACTGGAAAATACTTTCATGAATCAGATGAAAACCCACAAAACTCTCAACCTACAAAGTTTGCTAATTTTAAGTATTGAACAATCTCTTAAAGTTCTTCATACCTCATGATGTTCTCAAAGAGTAATTTTGAGGCGTCGGTTCTTTAAAACTGGGAATTTTCGCAGACTGAGGCTCACAAGATTATTATAAAGTACATCAAGATGCGTTTTGGGTAATTTTCGTGAAAAAAACGGATACTTTGAGGTGAACAAAATGAGAAGCCACATTCACACTTCTGACTTTCGCCAACATAAAATCTCTCACTCTTCTGTGGAAATTATTTTTTTTGCAAAATTCTCACAAACCTCAATGTATCCAGGTTGTTTTTCAATATCCTAAAATGTTTTAATGCACGTTAATGCAGCATTGCTTCAAGATATATTTAAAAATCAGATCCGCTTCGGCGGTTCTGGCCTTCATGTCCCCATAAAGAAAGGAAGCTGCCTCCATTTTTTTTAACACAGTGATTTCTTATAATTTTGGATCGGACTTGGAATTTGAGTAAAAATGAAACAAAACCTCGTAGAAAAATGAAGTAGCGGGAGCAACGTACGGGAGACGGAGTTGGATAATGACGGAGCTCAGGTTGTTTCCTTCCCTTCTGGCGTCCATGATTGCCGCAATCGAACTGCCCCATTTGCTGAATTCTTCTCCTTATTGCGTCTTTATTTTATTGCTAACCATAGGTAGATCCAGGGAGGAAATTTCCTTTCTGCAGAGGGCCGTCGTGATGAAAATAAAATTGTTTTTTCGTTCTCACAGGAAATTTTATTTTCAAAACTCCTTCATATGGACAATGAAAATAAAGTTTATTGATTGCAGCCGGATTTCTGTAAGCCTCTTGCTGTCGCAATCGAACGGCTTTCAGATCGAAGAAGATTTCAAATAAAAATCTTTAAAAAAAGAGACTTTTTATGAAATTACAAGAAAGAATAATCTTCCGGAGACATGGAAAATAACCAGAGTACATTTTTTTTCTCTTGCGAAGATTTTTGATTATGTGAATCTCTCTGAAGTTCAAAAAGTGAAACGATGTTGGGAATTATTTATGAATCGAAGAAACATTTGAGACGTCAGGAATGCGCGACCAGGTAGTAATTGTACTGTTCGAAGAAAGACCGAAGCCGTTTCACGATGCTCAATACGATACCTGAAACCATTATGGAGTCTGAGAGGGATCTCTGGACAAACTGAAGACAAAGTCGAGTAGCGGCAAGTGAGGGAGAAGGCACAACGACAGGAAAATCAGTCGGACGAGCCGCATCTCGCCGCATTTGATCAAACTGAAGTAACTTTTTTGCTTTTCCAAATGACGAAAATCTTACGATTCTACTGCTTTCTCTAACGTCAGGAATATACCATATATGGTCCAGTAGCGCATAAGAAACGTTAGTGTTTGCTAGAAAGTTGAACTTATTATTTTCTAAGCTTGATTGAGTTCACCATGCGCTCGCTGATCTCGGAGGGATGCATTGGAGCCGGCGCGGCTTGAGCGCTCGGAGGAAGCAGCGCCAGAATGGTGGCAGCGGCAGGAAAGAGAAGAGTCTGAAAACCGAAGGAATTGGAATAATTCAAGTGAAGGTCAGACCATCAAGACGAGGACCATTCCTACTGCGTCCTGTGCCAGAAGCACAAGAAAGACGGCTGCGATTCCCGTGTACAAAATACTCTCCCGTCGCATGCTTGTCGCGCGTTCCATTTCCGCCCACCTTTAAACAATTTTGAATACAGGTTATTCAATAACTTTCGGAATATGGGTACTCTTCGGTTTTGGAGCTTATAATTCCAAGAACTGGATGTTTCTAGACTACTTGATAGACTGGCTTCCCTGCCTTGTTTTTTCTAACCAAGATAATTAATTTAATTTTCGTCCCTTCGGCACAAAACTTTTTCTTAAAAAAAAAAAAGCTCATCAAAGGAGTTCTAGCCAATGTTTCAGAAACTTTCTAAGGATAAACAGCAAAATTTCTCTGACCAAACTTTCCAGTAATGCACTATATTTGAGTTTTGGATGAAAAGCTGACATTGCGCTACGTCCGGAATGTGCGTTTTCGTCGTAGAGATAGTTGCAGATGATGATGTTGAGCTTCCGAGGCTCGACGTCCGCCCAGCAGTTGATCAGCTGCATTCTTTGTGCTTCTACAATCGGATTGTACTTCTATGGAAGTATTGACAACCTCGAACTGGCTGTGCTTCGGTGGTCGGCGCAATATAACTGGCAAGTCGCGCGAAGAGTCCTTTTTGCGGCGGCTTGACGACTTCTCGTTCGGACGCCATGGATCCATACTATCATCAAAGATTGACTGGTTATATACAAGTTAAAATTTTTGAAAACAAAATTGAGGTACCACCGAATCAAAAAGATAAGATGGGAAAATTAAAGAGATAAGTTGGGAAAAAAATTAACTGTAATGTTTTTTCGGTACTTTTGAAATCGCAAGACTCTATAGTCGATTCACGGCTAACTTGGGACGCTGAGGGGGCATGGCGTGCCTGCGCTTTTCATCAACTAGGCACTATCTCTTTTATCATCGTGTCAGAACCCTTTTTTTGATGGCTCAAGCCAGCCGTCAATCAGCTATAATTTCTACAGTCGTCTCATTGATCATGTTTTTCGAAAACAATGAAGAGCAGGTTCAGTTCATCAGTTCAGACCTACAGAGATCAGTCCGGTTTGCACTGCCTCGTCTCCACTGGCCATACTAGACCATTTCTGACCGTCTTTTCTATTTAATAAAACGAGCACGGCTGTTTTCGACATTAACGAATAAAAATTACAGGAAATATTTTTTCCTTTTTACTTAATTAAGACAGATTTCTCCAATTAGGCCATTTTTAAGACTTTATGACGTATGCAAGAACTAAATTATTAAAACTGAATTGGTACCATTGAAAATTTTAGTTGTCGTTTCAAATTTGTTTATTTTCCGAACAAAAAATCTAATGAAGATGTCGCTCAAAAACCGTGATCGATGTATAGTCTGTGTGCCGCGACATGAAATTTCACGGAACGACATTCCGCTGTGCCGCTGCGCGCCTTTGCGAACGAACCTTGGTCGCGCTTTTAATTTTTTTCTTTTATTAAGGCATTCTACTTTCATGTGCTCCCACATCAATAACAATCAATTGAAAACGTGAACTAGGTTCGAAAGACGCTTTGCGAACACACGCAGCGGAACAGCGGAATGTTGTTCCGTGAAATTTCGAGTCATGGCACACAGACTATATAGTCTATTCAGATTTTGAATGCCAGCTAACTCCGCCCCTGCTGAGATGGTACCTTTTCGCGTCGATTTTTTATTGCGCGGGACGATTTTTGATATTTTTTTGATCTAAAAGATAGAAAAAGAAGTCAAAAAAAAAATGCAGCCTTATTAAAGGGCCATTGTCACCTGTAGATAAAAAATTGACGAAAAGATATTTTTGGAAAATTCGTTTGAAAGAATAATCTCTCTATAGCTCACATTTACATTCTTATTTACAGAACTTAGAAGATGACGATGAACCGACCTTCATGGGAACTGGCTTCAGGATCTTCGTGTTGCTGTTGCAGAATTCGGGTTTGCTGTCCACTTCAACCATTGCTTCAATGAGAAATGAAATTTCTTGGTACGTGTATTCATTTAATGTAAAAAAGGTGAGTTCATCTTCAAATTATTTATTGAATAGTTATAATTAATAGTTAAAAATCTTTAAAGAAGATATCACAACAATTTAAACATTAAAAAGGTAATAATAGTGCCAAAGAGAAATATATTGGGAGTCCTTGGAGTGACGTCATCACACACAAGGACTGGCCGCGTTCTGGATCCCGTTTTGGCTCTGACGTATTTGACCCGACACCTTAGAAATCTTCGGTTTTTTGAAATCAAATTAAAATTTCACTTGTTTTCATTTCGGCGCGGCAACAAAGGTTTCCGTTCTCTGAAAACCGAAGTGCCTGTTTTGGTACGTGACAAAGTTCTGTTGGCGGCCGTCGAACTGCCATGCGTCGTGGTCGGAGCTGCCGTCGTAGTGGTTGTAGAGGTAGTGGTGGTCGTAGTGGTGGTCGAGGTTGACGTCGTCGAAGTAGTCGTTATGGCAATTGGCGCAGCGGTCACCTGCAATGCTACAGACGTGAGTGAGAAAAGAAGACAATTATAGCCAGCTTGTCACGTTTTTCTTTCCGCCAAAAAGACCGTATACCAAATTAGATCAAATTTCTGCTTTTATAACGGCAATAAACAAAGGTCTTGAAGCGAAGTTGGTAAAATTTGACCTGGTCTTTTGGCGGAAAGAAAAACATGACAAGCTGGCGCGGATGGCCTATAGCTCACAAGGGAACATTTTTTTGCACGCGGGTTATTTTTTGATGAAACTTGGCTAAAATGTACTTCAAAACTTCCTGATTCTAAAAAAATAGCTATAAAGCTTCTAACCTCAAAAATAACGTTTTTCCCATTATTTTTGTAATTTGCAAATTTTAAAGGCTCTTCACTCTTGCGAATAAAGTTTTTCTTGTTCTGGAATGAGGAGGTTCTGCTGTGCAATTCAGCATAATTTCATCGAAAGTTCAACCGCGGCCATAAAATGTTTCTTTGTAAGAAAAAAAGGAGTAGTAGTTTGATCCCACTTCCTTAAACTTAAAAAGACTGGAAAGATGGGAAGGAAAACGGAAGAAGTTCTGAAACTCCATAAAGTTTCACTGATAATAAAAACCCAAAAAGATGAGTCAACTTTGTGGTTATTTAAAAGATCGAGTACCAAGACACGTTGAGGAGGTACGGGCGACGGCGGCGGAGGAACTATCAAATCCATCGCAGTCGGGTCGCACGTTTCCTGATCTATAAGGGAAAGTTGCTCCAATATTGAGATCTGGATTTACCAGGGGGAACGAAGCAACAGCAAATTGTGTGTCCTTCGTGTTGGTAGCACCTGAAACTCTATGTTTTGAAACACTACGACTTGCCGGAATTTTATTTAAAAAGGGATATTGCAAAGTTTCTACGCTTGAAAATAATTACAAAGTTTTGTTTCAAATGGAGTTGAAAAATCGATTTAAGAGGTGAGCCATAGCGAACAGGTTGTATGCCGGTCTACGGTTCACAGGATCACATGTTCGATCCGCGCCGCAAATAACCGAAGAGCTCCAGATATTTTTATAGTGGGTACCACGACATCAAAAATTCCCAGTCGTCACACACAAGGGCGGATAGGTCACTCAAGCCAATCCACTGATTATCACTGATATCCGGATAGAACCTTCTCTCATCCACTTGGGGCACAGAGGCGTGAGAAAAAGAACAAAAAAAATCGATTAAAAAAAAAATTAAAAGTTATATTGTCGGAAAATTTATACATAAACGATTTTTAAGATGCTCAGAAACATGACCAGATCGAAAAGTTTCCGATTTTTGATTGTTCAGTAGGTTGCAGAAGTTGTATACTTGTCCAAGTCGAGAAAAAAGCTTTCTTCACGTTTCAAAGTTGTAATAAAAAAAACAGACCTGTCTCCATCTCGGCTGCTTCCCTGGTGGACTAAAAGACAGTATCGATAAAGTTCGTCGTTTAGGTGACGGTAAACACAATGGTTTTCTTGTAGTGGTTCTTCCTCTTCCTCATCTCCTGAAAATATTTTTCGACAGGATCAAAAAAGAAAAATTGAAAAGTACCGTCAACACTGTCTTTTTCGTACTTCGAAAGACTTCGTGAAGTACTCATCGGTGCTCGTGCTGTTGTTGTGAACGTTTTCAATTTTTTTGGAGCAAATGTCGTTCTAATTGTAGTTGCTACGAGTTTTGGTTTGGGTGTTGCTGAAAAAACTCGCGAAAATTTATCACATTCGGGTGCAGAATACAAATAGTAGCAAATACCTATATTTTGAGATATGAGAATTGAGTGATTTGAACACTTTATTTAGAATTTCAGAGAGTTTTTCAAAAAACTTAAAAATTAGAAGTACGTTCGGGATTTCACTTAATAAAACTTACAGAACATATTGCAAAAATATTTCTTACTTATTTTTAAAGGAAGATTCAAGGAAGGCATAGTGGGCTTTGGAGTCTTTGTTGTAGACACCACAACGTTGTTTTTTGGTTGTGTTTCAACTTCAAAGTCGACGTCATCTAGGGTGAGCTGAAACTATAAAGTTATCTCCGGATCTGAAAAGTTATTCACCTCGACAGCGTCTACATACTCGTTTTCTTCATCATCATCGTCATTGTAGAAACGACGCACACGTTTTATTTTTAATCTTTCTTCTTCTAAGTAAAGTATTAGTAATGAAGTTTTGTCAGGGGGAAACCATCGTAGTCGTATTCTTCATGAACTGTGTGGAGAAGGCAGCCGACGGCGCCGGAACTGCATTCTTCGTGGAAACAACGGACCGGAGCTGTCGGCACAACCGCTGGAACGATCTCATGATCAGTTTTTTTTTTGAACTAAAGCTCCGTCACAAGCCGTTCAAGCAAAAACTAAGGTTATCAAGCAAAGACAAAATGTACTCACGGAGAAAGTCTTTGCCCGACTGTACCAATTTTTGAAGTGTCGACTGGAAGAGGGAACAGCAGAAGCGAATTGACATGTCTGGCATGCCTTCGATGTTCACCTCATGCTGAAACATTTTAGTACCTTGAAACTTGAAATGAAAAAAAAACCTGGGAGATTAGGTATTTGACAAATGCTGGGTTGAGCTGCTCCAAAGTGAGCTTCGAACAACGAGGAGTCGCGCCGCACAGCTCGGAAAATAGCGGCTTGAAGACGATCTTTTTCAACTTTTGCTTCCATTACGAATGATACCTTTTCAAAAGTACGATCTATTTCGTTGCTAGCATCGCCTTCAGCTTCAAGAATCCCGCTGTCGACGCAGTCGTACACTCCCACCTTTGGTTTTCGAAGAAAAATGACTTGCGAAAAACAAAAACTCACTGTTGGAGCTAGGCTTACTGGGTCTGCCATGTCAAACTCGACGTAGCCGCAAGACGTCGAAGAAGAAGCACATAGTATTGGAGTATTGGCTTGTTTGGAGTAACGACGGCCTTGCCGACACATTACCTGCAAGCAACTAAGAACTTTATTCTGCGGCACAACTTTTCTTTTGAATAAACCCCAGATTTTTTGAATGCATTTTCTCTTCTTTCATAAACTTGAGTATTGTTTTCTACTTATAGTTGATTCTGCGCAAGATGGTCACGTTTTTTTTCAATGAAAAAAAAAAGCTGCCGTTTCTCCAAATGGGGCGACATGGCTCAGCTGGTAAGACTCATTTCTAACGTCCGCAAGGTCGTAGGTTCGAGTCCCTCCGAGGCCGACCAAGCCTTTCATCCCTCCGGGGTAGATAATATTGGAAGCTGCATGCAGTGAAAAGGCTCAATCTCTGCTATCGGCCTTTGGAAAGCCGGCACCGTACTTCTTCCTACGACCTCTCTTGTACCTGATGTTCTACGAGCGAATTACACAACTTCTCTGCATAAGCCACAGCTCCTGCCGCCGTTTAAACACAGTTAACTCAATGAAAGTCGATCGCACATGTATTCTTACATTGAAGATGCAATAAACAGTTTTTTTTTAAAACAGTTTCTCCAAAAACTAGCAAAAAAAAGACATTGAAGCGAAGTTGAGTCAAATTTGAATAAATTTTGTTAACGGTATCTTTGGCATAAAAACGTGACAAGGTGGTGCCGAAAAGGCTTTTGCCGTGCGAGACTCTTCCCAAATACAGTAGATAAATAAAACTTCAATCTCAAATATTCTTCGTTAAGGTACTTCACTAGTCTTATTTCGAACTGTCCAAGGACTTCAAAATCACCTTCACATTGTAGGGAGCCAGCGGGATCTCTAGCTCTCGTTTACAAAAGCAGCATTGCAAAGTGAGCAAGAGGACCAGAAGTTCCAGTCGATAGATGAGATATTCGCTGCTCATCAATACAGATCATCAGTGTTGAGGCTCCAGATTACTTCATTCGAAGGTATTATTATTCGAAAGCTAAAAAATCTAAAATTTAATCCTGTTGCTTTTCATATAGATGTGACAAGTGAAATGCGATGAGATCGTTTTTCATTTTTTTTTATCGAGTAACTTTTAAAAAGTATTTTGGTGCCAAGGATTCCAGAACACAAATTTAAAATGATGATTCACTTGAAGGATGTCGAAAAAAAAGCCAGAGCGTATATCTCGCAAGAAATGTCTCTCTCTTCCTCTTCCTCTTCCTCTCTCTCTCTGGGTACTTTACAAAGTCTCTGGAAAACGCGTAACAGTCGTTGGCATTTGACGACAAGACCTAGCGTGGACAACAACACGGATAGTTGTAAATATGGGATGATTACAAGCTTCGATGCGGTGATCATAAAAGTTAGTTATGTTTCGATGAATAAGTGGTTTTTATTTTTATTGTTTTCGGTCCGCCAGAGTTTTAATTTGATTCTTCTTTGATTTTCTTTTTTTTGAAACGGAAGAACCAAAGCGCGATTGAAAATAAAAGTAAAGCTTTGATGCTAGTTAACAAATGAGCCAATATTTGAAATTAAGTGAGTTATTTGATTTTTGTGGCAAGCTGGTGTTATAGGGTAAATTAGGCAGTTTCAAGATTATTTTTAGTTAAAAAATACCTAGGTCTTACTAGGAAACTACTCGGACTCGGGTACGGGTTTCGAGTTGAAACTTTAGTGGTTTATAGACCCAAGTCAGAATACTTGAAAACAAGAGAGAATATCTGCTAACCCCGTCAGAGAACTGAGAAAAAATTAGTAGAAAATGTGAAAATTAGGCCGGAAAATTTTCAGAGTACTGCTGTTTATCTTATTTGATAATTTAATACAACCGCCTTGAATGATCCGGCTATGATAAACTCTAATAAACTTTTTCCAACCAAAAAGAAGGAGAAAAGCAAAAATTTGACAATTTTCAAGCCTAAACTGTTCATTTTCAAAAAGCTTCTTCTTAGAAGCCTATGGGGTTTAGCAGATAATCTATCTTGTTTTCAAGTATTCTTACCCGGGTCTATAAGCCACCAAAGTTTCAACTCGAAACGCGTACCCGAGTCCGAGTAGTTCCCTAGTGAGAAAAAAAAAAAACTAAACCTAACTATTTTTTTTATTAGATTTCAATGATTCAAAAACATGGCCTCAAACAAATAAGAAATATCATCATGCTTGCGTATCTTATAATTTATTAGAAAATTATTAAGTTTTGATTGAAAGATTTTATTTTTAACTGATAAAGGAAGTTGGAAAAGAGCTTCAAAAAGTAAAAGGGCAGGCGAGAAAACGCGAGGATATGTTTTAGCCGGGACTTGCCTCGGACAACAGCTGTTGCCGCAAGCTTAGGGTCCAGGTTCCTCGTAGTCCACTCCACAATCAAATGTCCTCGGCAGGAGTCTAGTGACCTGTGAGACACCAAAGAATCAGTCAAAATAATTTTGAAGCTTTCTTTTTTGAAGCTCGGTGTTTCCAGAAAACACATATAGCGGAAGTTGATAAATTATGGTAAATCTAACAAGAAAATCGTAGGTAATCCAAATTTAAAAATTTTGAACTTGGTCGGTCTTTCATCTTAATGTTTGAAAACTTTGGCGATTATTTTTAAAGTTTAATTGTTAGTTAAAGTTGTTTCCTAAATAAAATGGATCTTGACTCAACCCAACTTTTTTTCAGTTCCTGGATAATTTCTCATTGAAAGAAAAATTCTAGAATCTTACTTATTTGACCATTATTTCAACTATAATGTAGATAATCGAGATCATACATGGCAGACCATTTTTTTTGAAGACCTCCAGTGTTTTTCACCAAGCTTTTTTAGTTGAGGACTACATTAACTCGCGGAGGTTTTTTTTTTACAATATCGTTATTACTTCCTCCCTGGAATTAGAAATCACTCTTACCCGCTATTTCGGAAGAATTTTGTAAGCCTTCCCTCCCCTGGACTAAAAGTTTTGAACTTGCACAGTAACATCGAAGAGAGCCTTAAAAATTGCAACTCGCAAATTCTAAAATTGAAAAAGACATTTTGAGTATGCGATAGTGCGTCTCGGTGTGCTTACACCCTAAGCATCATAATTTACGAAAAGTCTTGACCTTGCGTAATGAAAAAAACACCGTGACTGACAAAATCAAGCGAATGATCGCCCACATCCCGGTCGGTAAAGAGAATGAAATCTGACATCATAAAATCCTGTGGGATTCGTTTGTCTGTATAATACACGGATAAACAGAAAAGAGCAGAAGAATAGATCGAGGCTGGATTCCTAAATAGAGAATGAGGTCAAGCGAGTTTCGTGCTCGCTGTCTTCCGGAAACGTGCACGACGCCGTTGGACCGGCCTTCTGCACTTCTTCTTCAGCGTATTGTCTGTCTTAAACTCCGCATTTCACTGTTTTGACAGTCTCCAAACCATATTCAATCCAACAGGAAACTCCAAACCTTCATTCTTTATTTGTCAACGGATGAACTGGAACTTGCACTCGCAATACCTATCTCTTGTTTGATAAAGATTCTAAAAGGTTTTTCGGTAAAGTTTTGTTTGATACAGAGATCGATGTTCTCGATAAAAAAAAAATGAACTCGTGAAAGGGAGCTCATGGAAAAAAATAGAGCAACGGAAATTTTAGCACGTCTTCATTCTTTTTCTTTTAATAGAATCTGAAAATTTTTAAACATCAACTTCAACTCATTAAGGACTTTAAAAATTACAGTTTGATCCCGTTCAAAACTGTAGATGACCAGTTTTCACGAACTCAAATAACTTCAGCGTTGATACTTTGTTTAAAAGCAAGCTGTATCAAACTATGAGTCGATGAACTTATTCGAAACTAGGTTTGAAATGCCGCGTGGCAATTGCGTCTTTGGCTCTAATTTAGATGACGTCACGCTGAGAAAGGAGATTAGTCGGGGAATTCGTATGGCACAAAAGGTGTGCCGTGACCTGCGTGACCCTCCATACCGAAACGTATATGAATGTTAATGAGTCTCAGGTCGACAGGTTCAATGAGCCGAGACCGCAATCCACCAGCTTTTTAATGTTTTTTTTTCGGAGTCACACGGGTTCTCTTCTTTTTCATTATTCTTTGACACTAAAACTTGCTGGATTCTTTGGAGGAGGCTACGCGAAACTCAGGAAGATCTCATGGTGCAAAGCCTGTTACAGTTTCAGTTTTGGCGATCAACTAGTTCTACACTATTGACAACAAATCTTTATTTCATAGACTATCACTCTTTGATGTAGATTGAGACTTCCGGAATTCTTGATCTAGTTCATTAAGAGTGCCCCGGCCAATCTTACTCTATCACGTTAGATCTTCAACCAAACAAAGTTCTTTCAACGAAAATGGCTGACAAAACTGTCAATCTGAGTGCAAAAGCCAATCGACCGGAGTCTCGAAAATATCGGTCAAAGGGCTGGAAAAAAGACACGGAAACTCCGACACGACCTTCCTCGGTCGTCTTTTTTCTCCGCTCCACACATGGCTCACCGGAGAGGCGGACGCTGTAGAAGTGGAGGCGTGACCGATTCCCTCAGAATTCTTCGGATTGTCTTCTTCTTGTTTGCCTCATCCAGACTCATGTAAGCCTTTCAGCTTCTCCATATCTCCGTTTTCTGATTGCATTTTTTTTTTCATTTTCTACAATATTCGATTTAAAATCTCCATTTTTAAAAGTGTTTTGCACGGTTTTTTTTTCCAGAAGTTAAAACCGTTTATTGCAGAGTAATAGACTTTATTTTCAAAATAAGGATGAAACTCGAAACGTCTAGTGTTTTTCGCACTCTTAGTTGGTCTGTTAATGGTGGATAGGTAGTCCGAGGTACAGTAACAGTTACGCAAGTCTAAAGTGCGATTTGAACAATGGCCGGGTCAACAGCGCATTATTCGTTTTGCTAATGGCGCATGTCCTTGTTCCTTTTTCTTATTTCCGAGTTTTTGAACTACGACTATATTTGAAGCTAATTTTTCAAAATAGAGATATAGAATACTAAGACTAATTTTATTTTTTTTTTCACGAGGATTAGGGCCGTTTTTTTTCGGACACCATGAAATCGGTTTGAAGCATTGATCATTGTAGATGAAAGTGGCTTCGTGCAAGCGTAGAAAAAAATTTTTCAAAAAAAGTTAAAATTAACAAAAAAACACTCTTGATTCACAACTCCGTTTGAGAAATTTGAAAAAAACGCATTTCAAAAAGTAGGAGTTTTGCTCGGAACTTTTGGCTTTTTCTGGAATTTTTCTTTCATCCATGTGTAGGACTTGTAAGAGAATCAAAAAAACTGCACGACTTTTTCTTTTGAAGTTTTTAAAATAGAAGAGATTCATCAAAGTCAGTCGAGAATTTTTCGATCTGATTTTAATGAAGTTCTGAAGTTCCTATGTACGTGGAGCTCAATAAGTCCCGAAAGGGTGGTATGAAAAAAACATCAGCGAAAATTAAAACGGCGACTTTTCCGATTTTTTCATATCGCTAGGGAACTTTCCGACGGCCACCTTTCCGACAAAATTTTTTCCGACTTTTTTTCTCGATAAAATTTTCGTTTTAAAACTTCCTATATAAAGTAAGTAGTTGGTTCATGATTAAAACACAAAGAGATAGGAAAAAAAATTTCTATAGATGTTTTAAAAACCGAAAAACATAAGGGGAAAAAGTCGGAAAGGGATCCGTCGGAAAAGTGGCCGTCGGAAAATTCCCTAGCGATATGAAAAAATCGGAAAAAGTCGCCGTCTGAATTTTCGCTGGTGTTTTTTTCATACCACCCCCGAAAGAGTAGCTGACTTACAAAGATTGGAAAAAGTAAAGTATAAAAACAACTTTAAACCGCGGGGATGAGTTTATTGACAAATATTTCAATTTTTAACCTTAATTGATGATGGCGGCGTCCTTTGAAAAGGTCTGCCCATGTATGAGCCCCTGGTGAAATCAATTTACTTGTTATAGAAAAAAAAAATTTGAATGTTTTTAATGAGCTCTGCGTGCCGCCATAGGTTAGTAGGGACCACTTCACGGTTTCTAAGTTGGCGGAAAGGTGGATGGCCTTTCCAGGAAGAGGCGCTGCCTTTGGCCGTCGGAATCCGCGGCTCTCAGAACCTATTCTTGGCACGGCGCCCTTGAGTGACCTCGCCGTTTCTAATTGCTATCCTTTTGTATACACGTGTTCTTGCCTTACGCCCTCTTCGGCACGTCGTCATCTGCGTGTTTCAGTTTTAAAGAAGGACATACATGCCTCAGCCGTTTGCAACGTTCGCCGCTCTTCTCATTCCTCTTTTCGCCCTTCTCGACGCCTACGAGTTTGACACTATCATATCAGGTTCATTCCTATTCAGTCTGAACTTTTTTTTTCCTCAGCCGAGCTCTTTTTCGAATTCATCTAAATATTTATTTTTTTTTTCAAAAATAGGTTCCAGTGATCTTGGAAAGATCCAAATTCTTTAGTCGCATCTTACGGTCCCAGAAAAGCAATAAATTTTGCCAAAATAATTAAAAAACCCTTTCTTCATAGCTAGTTTTGCTATATTTGGAGACTGCTTATTTGAAAAAAATCGCTGCTCTTCCTAATTTTATGTGAGCTGAGTAGTTCTTCGTTTCTAATAATGAAAACCCTGTGAAAATGAGGGCTCAGGTGCTTTTAGAAATTAAATTCTTATTTTGAGTCACAGCTTGGAGAAGTGAAAAAGTTTTTCTTTTTCGAAGTAATTCTTCGAAAATTTCAGACAAACCAGAGATTCAGTGTGGAACCGGCAGTTTGGTTTTTGAAGATAGCTACGCAAAATAACGTTGCGCCTTCACATGTTTTTGCAAAAGGACATTTCCAAAAGGTACACAGAATAAAAGATATAGGAAAAAATAAATTTTTTTTTGCAGGAAGGATGTTCATTTACCAATTCAACGGAGACCACTTTTGAGTTTGGCAAATGTGACGTTGCGCGTCAAAGAGAAGTTAGTTTTAGTTTGATTTTCTGCTTTTTTGAAGCTTTTCCCCCAAAATAATTGATTCCATTGTTCATGAAAATTTTCGGTTTCCACAGGTGCTTTGCTAAATAGTTATTTTCAGAATGAGAACAGGTTTTTGGGGCCTTAAGATTTTTTTCGAAGAAGTATTTCTTTGACATCTCTGTAGGAAAAAAATTTCGAAACAAAAATTTCAGAATTTAAACACTTGAAATGAACGAATCAAAAAAAAAATGCACTTTGTAAAAAGAGATGGAATGAAAACTCTCAACCAGATTAAGCTCCGGAAGTTTCCAACTACAGACTTGCTATTATTTTTTTGTTGTTGTAGGAAGCGAACATCGAAATAAAAGTATAGCGCTCTTTTCTGAAAAATAGGAAGCCCGGAAAGTTAAATCTCACAATAATCTCAAAAGAAAGGTCCTTTTACTATGTGTGGTAGGAAATTTCCTGAAATTTTGTCAGAACATTTTTTGATGTACCAGAGAAAGATCCTGAAAATCTCAATCTGCAAAACTCCCTATTTTTTGAACAAAAATGCCTCAAAGTCAAAGAAAACCATCAATAACTGCTAAAATGGGTCATTTTGCTCTTAGAGTCATTACTTCTTGAAAATTAGGAAATTGTGCAATTTAAAACTTTTCAGATCTCAATTTGTTATTGTGGCCAATTTTCAAGAAGTTGCCAACCGCAAAGTGAAATGACCTTTGTTGTCAGTAGAGTTTTTAGTCATCTATTCTCGTTTTCCAATCCAAACAAAGTAACTTTCATGTGATCCAACCCACTCAAGTTTTCAACCTGTGCAGGTTAACCCGAAAGGGATGTCCTACACGATGACGGTGATAGTGCAACTGCATCCGCTGTTCACGACGCGCGTCGACCGAGCATACCGCGTCCGTTGCTTTTACAAGGAGACGGAGAAGGCCGTCGGCGCCGAGTTCTCCGTCAGGTACGTTTTCGATCATGTTTGTCCTCGACGGTTATTGCCGTCGACGTTAACGTTTCGCCAAATAATTTTACAACATTTTGGGGCTGTATAAGAATAATAGGTGAGAAGGCCGCCGCGAGATCGACGAAATGACCCTCGTATGGCCAATGTTTCTTAAACGACAACAATTGGCGTCGGCGATTGAGCAATTTTTCGGGGCTCAGCCTTCAAAACAGTGTGAACGTGTGTTGAGTTCAGTCAGCGGATTGTGAAAAAAGACCTCCATCGAGACCTTGACCGTGTGAGGAGCGTAACCAGAAAAAAAAAAGATCAGAGTAGATCACACTTGGAGGCCATTCACGCAAGTTTGAAATCAGCGTACATCGAACTTTTGCCTATTCACAGCCTCTTTTCGAGGTGTTAAAAAAGCGAACCGAAAAAGTTCGAGTTTTCCGGCGATAGTAATTTCCAGGGTAACTTGAAATCAAGTTCTACTTTTTTGCCATTGAAGAGCCCATCAAGCCGTTTCTAATTGACTATTAAAATTCATATTTTTTGTGATCATGTAGAAAAACTCAATAAGCCAAGAAGAAAGGGTTGGCTTACAAATATTCGGAGGAAAAGGTTTAAAAAAATTAGTTTTAAACTCAGAGAGGTAGTATTGACAAGAAAAATCAAGTTTTTAAGTTAAAACTTAAAACTTTTTAACCTCAGGAGTTTATACCAACTTTAACATTGAAATATTTGAGAGGAGGGTTAGCAGCGTTAATAAATGGATTGCCCGTGGCATTTTTGCGATACGAGTTTTATTTAAAGGAAGTTTTCGTCAAAAGTAAACCCGCCTTAGTCCAACAGGTTATGGGCCTGCCTACGGCCCAAAGGGTCACAAGTTCGATCTCCGCCGTTACCCATCTAAAGGATTTGAGAAATGTTGGTAGCGGAAAATCACGGCTTCATATTCCCCAGTCACAAAAAAAGAAAGATATGTCACTAAAGCCAGTCCACTGATTATCACTGATATCAGAATAGGACCTCGGCTCATCAACTTGGGGCGCTGACGCCGCTCAAGCCGTAGAAGGCGTAGGAAGAAGAAGAAAACTTTGCAAAAAAAAAATCAAAATGAAAATCCTTCATGAGAGAGTTGCAGCGATCCATCGCCGACGTACTTGCCGCAGGAATCCATACAGCCCACTTGCGTTTACACGCTTCATATGGTTGGTTATTTTCGCGAAAAAAGCCATCGAAAAAAAAAAAATTAAGGGCTCTCCGAATGGTCCGCTAGCCAAATACGCGAAAGTCGGCGACACCGTTTATCACGTCTGGGATTGCGCCAGTGAAGTAGTCTTTTCTTTCGATTAATTTATGTTGAAATGGAAAAAAAGAGTCACCTTGAAGTAAAAAGCAACGGCGTTTTTCAGATTTACGAGATGTACGTGCACGATTGTTTCGTGGTGGACGGCGAAAGCAGCAACAACCGCCGAGTCATCGACGACAAAGGGTCCGTTATTGAAAGATCGGGAAAATCACGAAATTCTCAAGATTTTTTCAAATATCTCAATCTGCCCAACTTCTTTGTTCTTTTGAAAGAAGGGACAACAGTTTTTCTCCGGCTTTTAGGCTTTTTATTTTCAAAAATATGGAGTAGGGGGTTTTTAGGCTCTTCATCTAGTTAATCGAAAAATATTCTGCAAATTTTCACAAATCGAAGCTCAAAAAAGCGTTTCAAGAAAGAGCGAGTGATCTCTCACTGAAATCAGCGTAAAATCATGCATAAATAGAAATTTTATGAACTTCGAAATTAAAATGTTCAGTTCTGTGAAAATCTGGCAATGAATAGAGTATAGTTAGACTTCTTTTTCGTTTCATCAAGAAAAAAAGCACCTTTTCTGTGTCAACTCGTTCATGTTTGTTTATTTTCCCTGTTCTCCGTCCTGAAAACCTAGAGAGACACCTGGCATGCTTATGATACCTCTAAAAGTAGGTCCAACTTCCTGAGTATGCCCTTTCTGCCGCCCCGGTCTCGACCTTCAGCCCTTATTCAGAGCGCACCCGACCTACTTATAACTCTCTCAAACTGCAATTACCTGTACTCCCGTGCCAAGCATAAGGCAAAACATGCTCGCTTTCCCATTAGGAAAAGGGGAGCCTCGCCTCGTCCCAATTGTTGTAATCATCGTCCGAGACGTTTTTTCTTCTTTTTTTTCCGCTTCCTTGTACGGTTTGCAATTCGACCTTGCGGATGCGCGGTAACCGATGGTTTAGCACTTTAACGACTGTGCGACGCACCTGTCTTCACTTTTTGCTTTTTAAGAAAATAACAGCTTTCAAAATGGAAGAAGATCTGCGTCATCCAAAAATTGCCATCAAGATTGAGGAATAAAAAAATAAATACAGAGAAAGATTCAAAAAAAAGCCATTAAAATGAAAGATTAGGCAAGACACTCTGTATAACAGCAGCTCCCGAGAAAAAGAGGTGAATTCTTGGGAAAATAAGCGAATTAAAGCTGAAGAAGAAGAGAAAATAGCGTAGCTCATTCGGCTTCTGAAACAGTCTCAAATGTCCGTACCCTCTTTTCCTTGAAGAAAAAAGAAAATAGGCGATGGAAAAGCAGGCACAGAGGAGCAAGACTGTATCAAGTAGCGACGAACTTCAAATTAAGCTCAACTGAAGCATAATCTTTACGTGGACCCCTCATTTTCACAGATTAACTGGAAACTGCATTATTTTGTCTAGTTTCAGGTGCTCCACAGACGTTTTCATCATGCCGCAGATCATCTACAATGGGAACCGCTCCAAGGCCTTTGTGGTTCGTTTCGAAATGATTATTTTTCACTAGTTTTTCAAAAAAAAACATCTAACAGTATATCAAAGAAAAAATAATTTGCAGAATTCGAACGCTTTCAATTTCCCTGACCAGAATATTGTCAAGTTCAACTGTCAGATTCAAATTTGTCCGACTTTGAGTGGAGATTGTTATCGGGTTGGTAACTCTTCGGAACATTTCTCAAGTGTCCTATTGCAGCCGAAGTGCGACGGACAAGCTGCAGCCGACCACGACGACACCCTCTCATCAGACATGGCTGAAGACGAACTCATAACTACAGCCACTCCGCCTGCGGAAGTCGCCACGACATCAGCCTCCACCATTTCCAGCACCTCGACCACCTCTTCCACAAGCACCACGACGACAACTACCACTACCACGACGACGACGACGACAGCGCCAACAACCCAACAAACAAGTCTCACCGTTCAACTGTCTCTTTCTAGAACGCGAAACTTCAGAAACGACGACCATCCTTTTCCCGACTCCCGAAGCGTTATTGAAGATTTTCTCAGACAGTCCGCGCAACATTACTCATCGGCTATACGATCTCGAAGGATCCGGTAGACATTTGCGCATTAGACTTGGGCAAAATGAAGCATTTTGAGGCCTAGAGATCTCCTCGAGAGATGAAACCACAACTACGTTCACCGTTCTCAAATCAACCAAACGAAGGAGAGATGCTGTGGACGTCGACATTTCTTCCCCAGAGTTGATGATCGTCGATCGAGATTTTGGTGGGTCATTTCTTTTCAATGAATCCCAACAATAATATTCACGAAAACTATGAAGAAACAATTTAGCATCTGAGCTGCCGACGGCCCTGGAACTGTCGGAGGAAAAGCAAAAGCCGGCGGTTTGCCTGCCCTTCGTCGTTCTGTGGATCCTTGGAGGTGTCGCGATCTTCTCGATCTCGATCACGATGACTGCTTTGTGCTACTCTCTCAAACAAAAACCCAGTTTCCACATACTACCGTAGACTTTCCTCAGTTGTTGAGCTTTCTGATTTGACTTTATCTCTCTCAAATGACAAAAAGTCATTATTCAGAAAGCTCAGCGAAAATTTGTTTCGCTCCTTAATAAAGAAAAGCTTTAAGAGTTTTATGAAACCTTGCCTTGGTTACCCGTATTGCCCCTACTTTCCACGTGCCAATGACAGTTTTCCCTTGCGCCTTCATGCGGCTCATGTTCTGTAATTATCTTTCACTCGTGTTGGTTTCTTACGGTAACAACTTTTTGTATTTATTATGAGTTTATACATTATGACACTGACGAAAACAAAAATAACAATAAAAAGTTAAAAATTGTTCACCCGTGGTTTAGAATGAGATCGTCGGAAGTTGGCAATGGAGAGTATTGCGAATCTAAAAATATTCCTTTCACCTGGTCTGAGAAGGTTCAGAAATCTTGAGAAAGAGCTCAAGACAAGTTACGAAAAAAAATCAAAAATTTCTGCTCAAGTTTTATTACTAATGAGCCGAAAGAATACTGAACTTATGTCTTATGGACAAAAAGCAAATGTTTAAGAATGGCTTTCTTAGATCTCAGACATTGGTTACGCGGAACGGACGCGAATCGGACGTGTCGTGGCGTTCCTACACTAAGAATAACTGACGAGATAAACGCGAGGTCGGTGGCGGTACATTGACGAACTCGCAAACATGTCGCTTTTTTCTAGGCGCGACCTCGCATTTATCTTGCACTTCAGAAAACTTTCAAGAGAAATGCGAGCTCGCGCCTGGAAAAGTGCGAGACCGGGGCGAGAAAAAAAAGCGATATTTTTGCGAGCTCGTCAATGTACCGCCAGCGTCTCGCGTTCTCGGCAGTTATTCTTAGTGTAGTGACCACTCTAGTAGCGGCAGCACTGCTAAGTGGTCTCTAGGAATGTTCAAAAACATCCCATTTCCGAGATGAAGTTATGAATTTGGAATTTTTCCCATTCACAAGGCTTTCACCCCTATAAGTCTTATTAATTTTCGAGAAAATATAAGGCGGGATTTTTTTTTTCTGCGGCCTAAGTAGTTCTAATAAAAACACGCATAAAAATAATAAAGAAGACTGCTAAAATTTTTTGGAAAATACCTGGGGAAAAGAGCGAAAATAACTGTGATAACTTCTGCGAGCCAAAACGAAGCTGTGCACATAAGTTTGCCTGGAATACCCGTAGGCGTGTCTGGCACAGTTCCTGAGATCCACTTTTTTTTTTTGAAAATTCAGATTTTCGGCTCTCACCAGGTAGAAGAATGGCACTGTAAGCGAAGAAGAATCCAAAGTTGAAAAAAATGAAAAAAATAAAGATAACAACAAGAGGCCAATTCTAAAATACAAAATTCATATAAAGTTCAGAAAAAAAATGAACAACCCAATAACGGACGACCAGTGCGAGATGGAAGCAATTGACAATCATCATAGAATTGTCAATGTAGAAACCGATTTCCCAAACGCTCGCATCTGTGTTGGCAACCGTCTGCAATGATTGATACAATTTAGGAGCTTCGGAGGGCTGCCTATAGGAGCATCCTAAGGGGTCCTTGAACTTTCCTCTCTAGGAAGCACTTTATAACCCCTATAGGAGCTTTTTTCTCCAAATAGTAACCTTTTTTTAGCCTCCCTTATTTGAAAAAGTTTTTATGCAGATCTTCAAGACGTTTTTTGGTGAAAAAAAAGGATCAAAAACTTCACACCACTTTCTGTTCAAATTTTTTAATGTCAATCCATAGCTCAAGCTCCGCCCTTAATGGCGCGAACCAAATTAGAGAACGATTCGTCCACAGAGTGTTTAAGAAAGACGTCATTGTGATTGACATTCAAAATCGGAGCAGGACTATAAGATTATCCATTGCTAGATGCTCTGGAAAAAAGGATGGCAGCCCAAAAAGTTATTTTCCACCGGTTTTTTGAACCGAATTACACATTTATCCTATTGCTGTGATCCAGGTGAATCAGATTCTTGAATATGTGCTTTCTTTGTAAGTTAATTTGAACTAACCATATGAGCAACGTAGTAAATGACTGCAGCTTGGTAAATCCCGTCCAAAACAGCGAAAAAAAACAGTTTGGTCGTGTAAAGCTGCCCCTGAAAATCGAAAAGCGTGAAGACCTTTTGATAGTAGAAAAACTCTGTCCGCTCCGTAAATGGATGGATTTTCGGAGAGAGTAGAATCTGAACGATCTTGATCCCACACTCCCACGAGAATTGGTTGAACACTGTAAAAATAAAAAACTTCGAGAGAATACATCACGCAAAACCTGCTAAAAATAATTGGGTACAACAAGCCCCAAAGTGGGTCCATGACATTCGTTCCAGAGTATCCATCATAAAATTGATAGAAAAAGAGGATGAAGACACAGTTCTGAAGTTGGAAGTGTGAAGGAAATTTGCACAAGACTACCGTGTTTTTGTAAAGAAAGTAGAGAAAGCTGAGGGAGAGTCGGTAGTAGCACCAGTGACCGTGGACCAGCAGGAGACGCGTGAGAAACCGGAAACGAGCGATCGCGAAATCGCAAGCCATGGCGGCCTGAGAAGTAAGTGTTTCAGTAGGCTTACGAGGGAAGTTCAAATAGTCTAGCTTCGAGAATTCGTCGCTACTAAACCAATAACTGCGGAGATAGTATCCTGATTCCAACAGGAAAAATTTCTCATTGTTTTCCTTTTATTGGATTTTTGGAGTCTTAAAGACGCCAAAAGCCTTGATTTTCTTCACTACTGAACTCTTTTTGAAAAACGCCCTTGTGAATTAGATCGCACCTGAAGGCCTTCTTTGCCGGCCAGTCCAATTCCGACATGAGCTGCCTGGATCATTGGGACGTCATTGGCGCCGTCTCCGATGGCCAGAACATTCCCCTTCAAAACGCTCCTTGAAGGTTTTTCTACTTTCACAAAAATACATAGGAAAAGTTCCGAAAGAAAAATGTTCTTTTCTGCAGCGAAATAGGCTACCGAACGTAGCTGTTGTCAATAGTGTGCAGAAAAAGGTAAACGAAAAGCTTTTTATTTTTCCTGTTGAATAAATCCTTTCTTGTACTATTCCAAGATAGATCAAAAACCGTTTTTTTTTAGTTCAGCCGTTTTTTTTTTGTTTCTTAGGATTTTCCTCAGCAATTTTTACATTCAATTCTCATACTTTGATCTTTTCCTTAACTGCCTTCACAATTGTGGCTTTTTCAGAGGGCGTCATACGATAGCAGAGAACGCTTTTTGCCCTGAAACTTGAATTAATTATGAAAAACCGGAGCGCAAACTTCTTCAGTGTTGTGATCAATATTTCTTTTCCTTCCGGGATCATTTTAATGACTACTGGTGATAAAATGAGGTTGCACCTAGAATAAAAAAAAATGAGAAATTTCATTCAAAATTTCTTTTCACCCTTCCGCTTCTGCTGCAGCTTCAACGTCTTCTTCATTTTCAATGACTCTAAAACGAGAAAACATAACTTTGCGATTGGAAACAATTTGATTCAGTTCGTTTCATAAGACTAACCTCACTGGTCTGTTCGGTTGGAACAAACCACACGACGTTGCGATATTTTGAGCAGTTTCCAGTTTATCGCCTGTCAGAACCCAAATTTGAATACCAGCTTCTCTGAGTTTAGTCAGTGTTTCCGGTACCCCATCCTGAAAAAAATAAAAACGAAAAATGAGAACATTAAAAAAAAAGAGCGTAATTAACCTGCAAGCGGTCCTCGATACCCGTGACGCCCAAGAGAATCAAGTCTTTCTCAATCTCGGAAGCCTTTTCAGAGAGCATTTCCTCTCGTTCGGGGGACGCGTCTTCCATGACGAATCGATAGGATTGCTCGAAATCCAGGAACTCGTCCACAGAAAGGTAGCGCATCGCAAAACACAGCGTTCTTAGTCCTTTTTTGGAATAGGAGTGAAGTTTTTCCTTGATGTTTGAGACACGTTCCAAGTTTTCCTCGTCACCCTCTTCCAGTCTGAAATCTTTCCAAACTAGATTAATTCTACAAATAAACTGTAATGAAATACTTGATTTCAATCAAGCATTTTGATTATAGGTCACTACAAACTATAATTAAGTCAAAAATTAGTTTTTACATTTTTAGAGCTATAGTTCAATTTTTAATGGCTTCATATTTATAAATTAACAGGACAGGTTGGACTTCGTAATACTGTTGTACAGGTTTACGTAGGACTTTGAATCAGAAGGGTCGTTTTTTAATCAAAAGGTTATAATAATAAAATTGCTTTTGAACCTTAAAATAATAAAAATTTTTCGTTGAGTTTTCCTAACTTTTCGTGAGTATTTTTTGAAGGCTTTTTGACGTACCAATCTGTGATTTTTTTATTTTTTTGTCCAGGTGCCTTTTTTTGACCTGCACCGCGAACTTTTTCAGAGTTCTCTGAAAAAGTTCTCTCAAGCGATTTAAAAATTCATAAGATGAAGTCAGAGTCTAAAAAAATTTTTCATAAGATGAAGTCAGGAAGTCTCAAAAAAAAATTTTCATATGCTGAAGTCAGAAAGTCTAAAAAAACGGAACCAAATCTATAGCTGAATTAGAAAAGGTAGCTTTTTATTCAATTTGATTTGTAACCTATCGAAAATAGCAGAGTCGGCTCCTTTGCAGTACAACAAAGGACCTTTCCTCGTCTTGACGACCACCGACATTCTTTTGCGGATCGAGTCAAACGGCAATGTAAGTAATAGTTCGTATCTGGAAAGATTACTTTGAAGAGGAATCGAGTCAAAAGAGATCTCAAGAGAAGGAAATATAGATCTAAACAAACTATATACCCACTTTTTCCTGCCAACTCGAGGCTTCGATATCGTCACAAAGTTGGCACCGCGCTCTTCCAGCACGTAATCGTAGAGAGCGGCGCCTTCTATCAGGGCCAGTTCATCGGGACTCTCGGCTTCGTAGGGACACTGTTCTTTTTCATGAAATGTGATTGCTCTGCTTCTAGTCGGTATTCTGGAAAATGCAGAAGACCCGAATAAGATCAAGAAAAACTGAACCAACAAGTTCGTGATGGGGCTGATTATGCTTCTCCGAACGGCGGTCGTGAACTTCTTCGACAAGAATGTGACTGATGACATCGTCCGAGAAAGGGGTGTAGATGTTGACGTGGGGGAAGGTATGCCTCAAATGTCCATCAATGAACGAAAATTGTTTTTAGAATGGACCGACTCATAACAGACGGACTCATGGGCGTCGGCTCTTCTTCGGGTATCGCCGATAGGTTTTCTAATGATTCAAAGAGACAGAGGCTAAAACATGATGTACTCTTCAATATCCCAAAAGTTTCAAGTCACTTCTGAGGCCGCTCTTCTTGTGGAACTTGTTTGATTTCTTTCAGCTTCGCCAGGTATCGTTCTTCTGTTATATCGTAAAATGCCGAGTTTCCGAGAAAGTAAACGCCTGCTTCATAGGCGCCAAGCTGAAAGAAATGTGTACTATTGTCGAAAATCTGCCGGGAACCTCAATAGCATCCTGATGGGGAATTTTGTTGACCACGACGGAATTATTGAGAAGAATGTTGGCGAAAAAATGCTTCATCGAGGGATTCCAGCTCGACTCGGTCACCCGTCTGTACAAGGCTTCAGAGCGGACTGGCTTGTTTTTATCGATCTCCTAGAAGGAAATGCATCTCAGTCCGGAAACTGCCACTCACGAGTCCCTCCTCAGCTCCGTAATCAGTACTATCAAAAGCACATTGGCGAAAAATCATCACATTTTCCGTGAGAGTGCCCGTTTTATCCGACAAAACATGCGTGACGGTGCCGAGCTCTTCTGGAATGCTCAGTGAATGGCAATCGATAGTTCGGTCCTGAAGAAATAATTTTCGACTCGATCAAGCTATTTTGGGAAATACCGATTGCTCATCGTAAAGTTCAATATCTTCACTGATGAAATAAATTTGGGCGGCTTTTATCAGCTCAACCGTGATGTAAAGCGATATCGGCACGAGAACCTGATTCATCGAAGCTTCGAAGAAAACTTTGAGATTAAATACCTGATAGCAAATAAAAAAAGAGCCGACATTTATAAAGCCTTCGATGACCGGCTTGGGAATGTTCCAAACGATGAAAGGCACCTAAGAATGAAATTTATGAAGTGATCGGGAGGTTCAAGTAACCTTGTCGGGATCGTGGTTTGCCACCCAAAAAGCAGAGGAAATGGCACCCGCCGTCACCATACCAAGCAACAAAATGAAGCAGATGATAATGAAACTGAAATTGAACAAAAGAGCATGCAAAAAATTAGCTTTTCTCCAATAAATCAAACCGATTAGTTAGACGCTCAATTCCAGAAACTTTTCGTGGAGCTCGTCCGTTGTTCATCATCACCTTCGTCTCGTGTCCTCAAAAAGAAAACTTAAAAAATTGATGAATAAGAGGAAAATTCAATACAAACAGAAAAAAAACATTATGTCGTGTTAAAAGTGAGTCGGAATGAGTTCTAAAATCTAACATGTAACATGTAAACAGCCTTATCGTCAGAGAGACAATTTTGATCATATCGCTTTTTTTCTCAACCTCTTTCTGAAAACTAAACTGTTGTAGATAGTGAATTGAAGCAGCCACCGAACCATAGTTTCAGTTCAAATACTTTTTTTCAAAGTTAGGTTGCGGTCCTTATCTATAGTTTTGAGAAGAACTGACCAGCGTATACGACAATTCCTTCAACAAAAGTCGTATTTTTAACTCGACTTCCGCGGAGCAACATGTTATCTTTAAGAATAACATCGCTCTGGCCTGAAAATTGCAGTTCAGGAAAAAAAAAACTTGGCAATTAAAAAAGAACAGACCAGGTTCATATTCTACTTTGGCGCGAATCGTGTAGATGTTCTTGTCTGGCTTCTCGCTTGTCACAACTCCACTGAACTCGGTCGGTTTGAAATTTGAGTCTTCCTTGAAACAAAAAATACTTTCGAACACCTTCAACAAGGAGGGCTTACCGCCGAATATTGTATTACTTTTGCTGGGACGCAGCGTTGTTTCAAAGCGGATTCGCCGTCCAAGTTGCTCGTCTCCACGTAGCAAGTTCCACTTTCATTCGATGACCTGTTATATGTTTTGTAAAAGAACAGAGAGCACACCGATTTGGTACAATCGTGATAGCACACTGTATATTGAAATTTTGCAAATACCGAACGAGATTTTTGGGCTCTACAGCTGGCTTGAGCCATCGAAAAAGGGTCCTGTCCTGACACGACAATAAACTAGATAGTGTCTGGCTGGTGGAGCGCAGACAGGCCACGCCCTCTTACCACCACAAGCTGGCCGTTAATTGGCTACATATATATGCCGTGTTCAAAGTGATTCCGCGGAATTCCAAATAGAAAATTGTTGCATTATACGGAAACTTTTTAAACACGGCAATAACTTTATTGAAAAGGAGTTTTTCGTATAAAAAAGTGAGCGGATTTGGCTTTTAAATTAAAATTGAAACAATAATAGAGAGAAAGTGTTTGAAAAAAAATAATTTTTAGCCAGCGCCAGCAAGCCTTGTTCCATCAAGTTTGTTTGATAAAACTCGGTGGTATGAAGAAAAGACCAGCGAAAACTCAAATGGCGACTTTTCCAATTTTTTCATATCGCTAGGAAACTTCCGACAGCCACTTTTCCGCCGAATCTTTTCCCAACTTTTTTTCTCGATGAAATTTACGTTTTGAATCTTTCTATATAAAGTAGGTAGTTTATTCATGATTAAAAACACGAAGAAATAGGAAAAAAATGTTAATAGATGTTTTATAAATCGAAAACATAAGGGGAAAAAAAGTCGGGAAAAATTTTTCGGCGAAAGGTGGCCGTCGAAAAAAATTCCCTAGCGATACGAAAAAAATCGAAAAAGTCGCCGTTCGAATTTTTTTGCTGGTCTTTTTACACCACCTATAATTCGTCTTTTTAAAAGATAAATTCTTATGTATTGGTCGCTTTTACTCTCATCGCATCGTTAAATTTTCAGCTCAGACCCTAAAATTTAAAAAAAAATGGCCTAAAGATCTTGAGCGCTAAGAGTCCGAGTGAGAGTAACTCTGGTGTAAGAGATCAAAAAAGTACCTCAAGAAGAGAATGTCGGCTGGCACGTCGTGCTCGTTGGAAATGTGAACGAAATCGCCAACGAGAATGTGCTGCCACTCCATTTTTCTGTATGTCCCGCGCTCTCTTAAGATCTCATTAAAAGAAAAATACATTAAAAATTTTACCTGTCCCAAACGTGGCAGCTTTTCTTGTTCACTTTGTTGTCAAACTTCCACCGACGCAAGTCTTCGACTCCGTCCTTTTGTTTGCTATTTGACTTTTAATTGAGATGATATACCTTGATTAATGTTGTCCCTAACACAAAACTAATAGGTATCAATCCGAGATACTTCGTATAGGCGTTGAAAAAAGGAATCCAGTTGAGAACTATAAATGCTAATTGAAATTGTACCTTAACTTTTGCCACTCACTCGCTATCAGGACGAAGTACATATTCGCATATTTAGTGGTTATTTGATGGAAGATGTTGAGCGGGACAAACGTCAGCAATGAGTACTTTGTCGTTGAAATAGCGTTGTTGGAAAAATTTCGGTAATTGTTCAGTTCATAGCGTGGCGCTTCGAACATATGATTGGGCTGTACTACTCGAGATCTGCGAAATTATTGACTTTTCATGAAATATTCAGCGAGTTTTTTTAAATATTAGTTTGCATCAATTGAAAAAAAAATAATTTGTTTCAATAACATTAAATTAAAATTTTCCAACAAAAAAATTGGCGTATAAAACGTCGACTAAAGAAAACAAGAAGGTAAGATTTTACCCCGTCTGTCGAGAGCTTCTGCCGCGAAAAATGGAAATAGGATTGTGTAATGGAGCTGAAGGAGGAACCCATTTTGAGGAAGATCTGTAATCACAAGAGAGTTTTGAATATTCGTTCTTAAGTTGAAAAAAAAACGACCAGTCTTAAAATTTGCTCGTTAATGATCAAATTTTCCCACTGTGAGAGAAGAGTGAAGAGTGTAATTTAATAAAAGAGAAATTTGAGAATTAAAATTTAGAGAAGATATGTCCTACGCAATTTTTGAATGGCGTGTTCATCGGAGAAACGGAACATGCTTCCGTTTCCGATGAACACGCCATAAAACTGAAAAACGATGATGCGAAATAAAAAAAAAACGTCCGAAATAAAAAAAACGTTTCCATGTATAATATCGAAATATAGATCCTAAGAAAAATTAAACAATTGCGCCAAAACAGAAAGTCTAGAAGGTCTGAAAAGGCAAGTTCGAAAAAATTTCACCCTTTGAATTGAACAAAAAGGCTATAAAAATGCCCTATTGGCACTCTAACATGACGTATACCAGAAGAAACCATTCCAATAAAACGTCATACGCGCAAATTTTTACCTAGAAGCTCAGGAACAAGTTCTGAGTAGTTTCTTGAATTCAAATGATTTCATAAAAATTCAGAAATAAATATTGAATTTTTTTTATTCTGGCGAAGGAGGAGAAGCGAACCTGCGATGGTGTTGAATTGTGCCCATAGGTCCTGGGAGAAGAGGTGTTTTCTCGTCGACCTCTTCTTGTCGCCAAACGTGGGAAGGCAGTGTGGCGAGTGAGTCAACCAATAGAAATCAATAGTTGATAACAATGCAAACAACAAAATTTGATGCCGAGAAGAAGCGTCGGAAATTTATGAATAACCAAATCGCACATTGCGTTGGGCACGCGTCAGCGCGAAAAAAATCAACAAGTGAAGCGATCAATGCGTTAAATCGACGGCAAGCGAGTAGTCTCGGTTGTTGACGAAGTTGAAAATCAGCTGGAGAGCTTCCCGAGGACGGTCCTGAGGCACGAAATGGCCGCTTCCTCGAACCGTCACAAAATCCACGTCTGGAAGTACCTTTTTGCGACATATTTAGACATCATCCGAGGAAAAGTAATGATCAAAAACCAAATTTGAACCACATGGCGACGAATTTCCCATGGCCGAACACCACGCGCATGGGTTGTTTTGTTGACCTTGACACAACAATCCGACCAAATAAACAGTCGAATTTTGAAATGAGAATATTTTTCATCAAGTTGCAAATCAAAGAAACAAGCTAATAATCTGTGATGATCAAGAACCAAGTAATTATTTGTTTCACAAATTTTTTTGAAATTTTTGAAATTCGGGAAATAAACAGCAAAGAGCTTTGAAAAAAAGTTTTTTTAGCTCAACGAAAACCGATTATTTTTTTATTTGAGGATTTTTTTCTTTACTATTTGGATCTTATTTCGGAAAGTTTTATTTGAATTCGATATTTGCAAAAAAATATGAATATAAAAAAATTTTTCGAGGCGCACGTTTCAAATTTTTCCCACATCCAATAAAAAGAGGTTTTTTTCAGAAAAGTATCATGAACTATGAAAATATATGTTATAGACAGTTGTTATGATTATAATCAACCACAAACTCAAGAAAGTGGCGAAAAAGGAAACAGACTTCCTGAGTACTTGAGCTGAAAGCCGGCGACGCTGTCCTCGGGTGTTTCGCCGCTGAAACGCCAAGGTTCGTTGACCCGCTCGTTGCCCTGCAACTAATCTTCCTAGCAACACGAGATGGAAGCTCCCCGTGTAGAGCTTCAAAAAAAAAAAGAATAATTTACCAGAATTGTTCGGTTGAGGTTGCTCAAAAATTGAGCGTTCATCACATGGTTGCACACCGTATCAACGTCTCCATTGTAAACCAAAACCTGAAAATGTATCGATAAATGAGTCGGAAACTACCAATTTGACAAACTATTCATTACAAATTTATAAGAAGAAAATTTGAACTGGAAAAATACATTTTTTTTTTTCAAGCGAAACGAGAGGTTCACAACACAAATGACGCAAAAAAAAGCAACGTCTAAATCTCTGCCATTGACACTTATTTTTTTTTTTGTTGTTGTTCTTTTCTAGACGCAATTTCTCGAGCTTGAGAAATCGGCTCAAACCTTCCAATATTATATCTGTAAGGAATAAACTCTCATCGAAATTCTTTTTAAATTAGCAAGCTTTTTTTTTGCATTCTTGATATTTGTGAAATAAGAAGAAAGGTAATTGTTTTACAAATCAAAACGAGACAATTCTCAAAAAAATGTTAAGATTAAGAGATAATAACAGTATTTATTCGTATTTCCGAAGTCTCACCTAAAAACAATTTTTTTAAAACCGAAATCGTCACCTTGACCCCGGCTGCGATGATTTTCTCGAACTCGGGCGTCATTTCGAAGTGTGTGGTCTTGTAGACGTTAAGAACGTCGTTGCTGCACTCGTTCCAGAGAGGCAGCGACGAGGGAATGTGCAGGGCTCTCCGCACGTCGGCTCGGTTCAAGTAGGCGTAGGTGTTGTTGGTTTGAGCACATAACGGGACCGTCTGAACACATGATAGTAGAGGTCAGGGGCGAGACGGGGTTTTTTGAGCTCAAGATAAAAATAATTTCATCGAGAAACAGGATAAAAAAATTTAATTAACACATGGGCTTCTAAATCAATGAGAATTGAATACGATATCAAAAATTCAAAAAAAAAAAATAATTTTCGTGATCTCGTTATTTCCTTTCAAAAAGACGTTTTGAAAGAGTGTCAACACTAATTCTCATGCGGAAATCTAAAAAACCCCTACGAGATACTGAAAAAGACGTTCACAGTCGGCAAAGCTTCATATATTACGCCATTATTTCATCTTTTCTGCTTACAAAATCCTTTTATTTGCGTCCAGTCTACTCAAGAAAAGATCAGATTTATTTCTGCAACTCGATACGAAATGAGATTGTCAACTTTTGACCGAAACGAGATCTCCTCAAATGTCTCGAAAAATCTCAACTCATTTGGAGACGTTTGTTTTTTTTTTGAAGGAAAAGCTTTTTTAAAACATCGAAATTAATTAGAGAACGTTCTCGTCTTTACTCAAGGTTATGCTGTGTTCGAATTTCGCGAAATGTGAAATAGCCGTCAGAGAAAGAAAAATATAACTAAATTTTGGAGAGTCAAAGATCATTTTGCATTTCGCGAAATTACTTTGAACACGGCATTACATCGAAAAAAAAAATATTTTTCTGTGAATTTTTGGAGGTGAGGCAGGTCCCATATCAAAGAGATTCAGGCAAAAATTTGAGCGTCAAAAATGATGTTTCGACAATTTTAGGATCCCCTTTTGATACTGGACTTTTTTCGAAAAAAAAACGCATTTTTTGTAAGGAAAGCTGCTTTAGAACTTTCTTTTTTCTTTTTTCTTTTTCTGTTACCAACCGATTGAGGGGCCGCCGTCCTGACCGGCAGACCAGCAATCCGACGCATCGCTTTTTCGATGTGTGCGTGCTTCGAAATTCCGTCTGGGGAGTAGTAACACGTGTAATACAAATTGTAGGGGTTCAAGTCGTTCGTTCCGTTCAGAGCCTGTCAGAAATTTTCCTTCTTTTTCAAGTCTACCTTCGATTCTTATATACTTCTTTTAAACTTCTTTCTCTAATTCAAAAATACACAAGTCTAAAAAAACCTCAATGATTAAATTACGACAAGTCGGATCGCTGAACTTGCCAAAAATATCGCATCCTTCGATATGGCCATTGCAGCAAGTTTTTGCTATTCTTTGATATAGTCTTGAAAAAGAATTTGACGTTGAAACTTCAAGAAAAAAAACTAACTCGTCGCGAACCAAAGCGTGGTAGTAGTAAAGCGGTACCATCGTGTTGTAGTTGTTCGGGAAGTTCACAGCACCGTTACCTACGGCCATTCCCTTCAATCGACCAAATAAATCATGAAAGAGTTGCGATTCGATGCCTTGAAATTCGGAAAGTTGATTTTGTCGCTCAAAATTAGCACAGCAAGGGTTGGCAGGTACACGCCTCCATAGGACTCTCCTGTGATGTAAAAGTCTCGCCCTTTGTACTCTGGGAACTTCCCAATAAATTGAACCTGAAACATTCTGCCTTTTTCTATGATTTTTCTCCCGGCTTACCAACGAGTTGTAGTTCTGCAGAGCGACATCATCGTCAGAAACAGTAATATTCCCGTCAACTGAGTAAGAAAATCCAACACCTGCTGGAGATTCGAGGAAAAGGACGTTCGCAAACTGAGAGAAATCTTTTTGCAAAGCTTTGTTACATACCGAATTCCATGAGTACGGGTTAAGATAGACAGTTTTGCCGAAATCTTGAACTTTGAAAGGTCCCAATTCCTCGATCAGTCCTGCACTTCAGGAAGAAAATTTTTTTGAGATCTATTTTATCCTTAACCTTCTAAACTTGAACATCCGGGTCCACCATTAAGCCACAAAATCAAGGGATCAAGCGACGGCTTTCGAGAAGATTCCGTGAACCTGAAAATAGTTGATCAAGATATTTCGAATACACACGCCAAATAACCAATAGTGGAAGTATTTGGTTGAAGAAGCTTGCAAGTAGCCGGAGTAGTGCTTAAAATTCGGAACGAAGCTCAGTCCTGGAAGGGAAACAACTTCGTCTCCGTTTGGGGCACCAACTACTCCCAAAAACAGTAGAGCGCTGAGTAGCAATAGACGCATGCTCATAGTGATAGTCATTTATCACTCTTTGGTTCGTTATAGAGAAAATTCTTATCATATGAGTCTTGAGATGATGAAAAAAAATTTCTCGATTTTTACCATTAGGCAGTCTGGACTTTTCTACTATGAAATTATTGTTGAATGCCGAAACAATATATAAGATACTTTTTATTTAGTTAAAAGCCTTTCTATGATTTCAGGGATTTTTCAAAGATTATTTTTTAAAAAACTTAATCTTTGAAGGGGATATGAAAAAGGTGAAAAATTTTACTGAAAGTACCGAGGCATACAGCCGTTTTTTTTAAATCTCCGGCGAGTTTTCAAACCTTCAAATACCCTAAAATGTTTTTAAACAGAAAAGTCGTGAAGGAATTTCGATGCGCGCTTGCGGCAGTTTGCTTCAAAATAGTTCCTTTCAGTTGACGAAAAACGCGCCCCATGGTGAATGCCCCTTAAGTGAAACTTAGGGTGGATTTACGGCGGTTTCAAAATTTTTATTTCTTTTTTTCTTTACTTCTTTCTTCATAATATCAACATATTTGCATAACTTTGTGAATTTTTCGAAGTGAACGAAATGATTTTTACATTGTCCTTCTGTTTTTCCAAACCATTCAGATTAACCCATGCTGTGCAAATTTAAATTTTTCTAGCCTACTAGAAAAATTATGTTTTATGATATATTTCAGTTTGAACTATTTCAGAAATTTTAGGGGTGAATGCCTCCAATTCTTAGAGATATCAAAACCAACAACAATGTGAATCGGATTCAACTTGAAAATGAAGTTTATTCAGATGTTGTTCTTTTTTTGATGGTTTTTTATTTTGAGAGGAGCATGAAGTCTTCAACTTGCAACTATGAAGAACAGCCGAAAAAAGGAGAAGAAGAAGAGGAATCATACATAGGTCTGTCAGCTAAAAGCATGAATATGTGTTAATGTTAAGATGTTCTTCCGAATGAGCTTCTCGGAAAAATCGTCAACCATTCAATTAAATCTCCAAGAACGCTCCTGACGTTGAAATCAGTCAGTCGAGGCTTTGAAGAACTAGTTCAACATGAAATATCGGCGGCTGCGAGGATCAATCCAATAGCCGTCGATGTGTACGAGTTGTTCTCCTTTCAAGTGGGTAATTTATTCTTTTATTACGTTAAATTTTTTTTGCAGAACCCTTTCAAAATGAAGGTTTACGATAGTAAACGCAAGAATGAATTTTTCAACTCGGTGAGGAGACTGTGCACTTTGCTGGAAACTTTGGAGCGAATCGGTTCACGTTTTTCTTTAGGTTGGCAATAAAAAAAATGAAAAGGTCGGCATGTCCCAATTTTTTAGAAAATCTGAAAATCGAATCACTTGGATGGATCGATTACAGTTTGACAAAGGTAAGATGTCCTTACCTGCTGCAGAGACGCCTTCGTGATGTTCTAAACAAGTTTGATGGGTTTGTTTCTTAATATTTATTTAATAACTGACAATAAAATTTTCAGAACGAGCTCTTGGACTTATTTTTCTCATTTATTTCGACCTTCTCGCTTTTTTGCTGTTTTCTCTCATTGTCTGGAAAGAATAACATCTTTGGATTTGAAAAATATTCGAGTAAGTCTTATTTTTATTCATCGATCGTCTAATCAATTTTATTCAGAACTTAAAAAGTTTGAAGCTACGAAAGGTTTTCGAAAAACTTTCCAATCTTAAGGAGCTTACTTGGCACAACGCAAGTCTCCCCTTGCTGAAGGTTTCTGCAAATTTGATCACTTTTTGAAACTATCAATATTCAGGTTTTATCGAAGAGTGCTCTTTTGAAAAAGTTGGTCGTTACTGTAAATCATTCACGAGCAACAGAAACCGCGGATTATGAGTTCTTGGCGAATTTCAAGGATCTGGAAGAATTTTCTTTCGGAATTTCTTCAACCGCCGACCAAGATTCCTTCGCAAGGTTTCCTCTTGGAATCAGGCTCTAGAAATGGAATTTGGTTCGGTCTATCTAGTTATAAAAAATTTCAGACCCACTGTCCAGCTAATGGAAGAAATTTATGAGAGAATATGGTCGAAAAAGGCGTACGAAAACGCGGTTAGAGAAAAAAATAGTTTTTTTTTTCTCTAACTGACGGTTTTTCAGACGGCTTCAAAGGGAAATTTGTTGAACGCTTTGCCGTCTTTGACTGACGTCACTTTCTGGCGTTCTCCACGAAAAGTAGTCAGATAGAAGAGACAAAGTTCTAAACTTTCCCTCTTAGATATTCGCCGATTTGCTAACAACTGGAAATTCTTACAATTCTGTGTCGTTTGGCGGCGAGAATATCTCCAGTGAATGGCTTTGCCCTGTTCCTAATTTTCTTGAGGTAAGTTTGAAATAAGTGAAACGAGCGTTAAATTCAAAATGAAAAACGTTCTGCAGCAGCGCTTTTCTGAGATCAGGCTGAAACTAAGCATCGTTTATCAGTTATATAAAACGCGTTGAAGGATTGAAAATAATAAAACTTTAAAACTTACTGGGGAGTAGTTTTAGAATAATTTTTCTCATTAATCCTTCAAAGCCAAAAAAAGGTCCAATTCATAAAATTTAACGTATGAACATTTTTAAAAGTTAACATCATTTGATTTCAGTCCCTGATGTTTTTCGAGGAAAGTGAACGACCTCCACCCGATATCAAGTGTCTAAACGTAAGTTGGCCAAATTATCCCGAACCTTATTTTTTTTCAGTTGTTCCTGAAAAACACCTTGCAAAATTTCGATTTGCCTTTTATTCTTCGGAACTTCAACGTGAGGACGGAAAAATTTAAAAAAAAAGAACTGGATTTCTTCAGAGAATGGACCGCTTAGAAAAACTGAAAATAAAAGTCGACAATTGCTGCTTCATATCGCCCCAGGAAACCACGCGCAAAAACCAACAGCGAGGATTTTACTCTGAGTTTTCTCTTGATATCGAGAGGGTCGAAAGTTACAATCTGGTAAAAGTCTCCATAAAACTTGAAAATCTTCCTTCTTCTAGGTTTCTTTCGAGAAAATTCTCAATGACTTACCCGGATATTTGTCTTCGGGTTTGCAAAAGTTCTCACTCTCGTTGCGGATTTCGGAGAAAGAGTCGATGAAAAATCGTGTCCTCGCAGCTTTGAGGGCTCTGGTCAAGAAGATCTCTTGTTTCAACAATTTTCCCGACCTCGAAGAGCTCAATTTGACTGTTTGGGGTCCTCGTTGTTTGAAAGTGAGAATTTTTTTTTTCTTAATTAATCATCATTTTTTTTTTTGAAAAAGATTTACTTAAAAGAAAATGTTGAGCTCATAGACGCTAAAATTCTGGCACCTAAAGTTAAGTAAGTTGAACTAGAAAAGAAAAAAAACGGTTCAGTTTGGACTTACCTTATCGCTTACAGACTTACCCGCATCGATTTCCATCTTTTTACTTCAGGAGCTGTTGGAGATCGTCTCCGACTGCACAGCTGATTTTATAAAACGTTGCTCCGTCGTTTGCAAGCCAAACTCGGAGCAAGAAAAAGACATTCTGGAGGCTCTCGGAAAGTTTGTCGGCTCCTGCAAGAAGTTAGAAAAGGCTTCGTTTTCTGCGGAAACATTGCGGCCTCTCATAGAAAAAGGTATCAACTTAAGAAAGAGAACAATTTTCCTGTTTTCTGAGAGAAAAATGAGATAATGATATAAAGCATTGATATTCAAAATACTATTCTGTGAAATCAAAAAGTCGGAAACTCTTTTTTTACTTAGGTTAGGCAATAAAAATCGTAATTTTGAGCAATGCAAATCTTTAAATTTAAACGTTTAAAATCGAAAATAATTATTTCGCGCTGTGGCTCGTAGAAAAAAAGTTATCGCCGCTAGCCCATTTCGCGCCAGCTTGTCCCGTTTTTTTCATCTGCAAGTAAGACCCTTTTTTTAAAGTTTCTATATATATGTAATTTCCAAGGGACAAAGTTATAAAGTTTTCAACCAAGCTTGGTCAGGATTATCAAAGCTTCATTGATAAATCTGGAATTTTTATTTTGAAAAAATTGAATTGAATTTTCAGTCAGCAAATCTTACTTGTGGCGCGAGATCTTGCGCGAAAAAACAGCGTCTTGCGGATTTGGAGATTGTCGCCTAGAAGTAGTCCCAAAACTTCGACAAGACTTCCAGCATGTAATTGTTTAACTTTTTTTTTTACATACTTTTCTTTTTTATGAATAAATTTCACGATATTCTTGATATTATCTTTTTAGGAAGAAGAAGAAAGCGATGGCGAACCGGAAGTTGAAGAGGTTTAATTTGATTGTTTTAGCAAATCCGGTGTCCAAAACCATTTACCTTCAAAATGTTTCTGACCTCAACTTTTCAAGTGCGAATTGAGTGGAGAGTCATTTCTTTTTGATTTTTTTCATATGAAGGAAAAGCAAAAGTAAAAAAAAATTGTTGATGCTACCAATTTATAAGCAGCTGTTTCCGAAGCTTTCTGAATGGGAGACCTTTTGCTCAAACTATTTTTAGAAAAGTTCTTTAAACTTATGTGAAGGAATCGTTACTAGCCGAACAATAATAATATCAAGACACTAGTAAAACATGAGTCAGAAAAGAAACGGAAGAAATAGTGAATGTGAAAGGTTCGAAGACATATAATAAATGGCGGTTAAATAGTGCTGAGGGAAGGGATCTCGAAGGTTCTGTAATGTTCCAGAATGAAAGCGAAGTTCAGAAAATATTGAGATTAGGATAAAAGATAAAATATTCCAGAGTTTCAGAGATCTTTCCCGAAAGCAATAGAACATTTCCGAACGAACCTTCTAGAAATGTAGAGAACAATCGAAAAGACTGTGGAAAATCATAAAAGATAATCAGCTTGATATAACCTTTATGCTAACAATAACATTGTGGTATATTGGCGAAGTTCTCATCTGCTTTTCAACCAAAGTTTTTCTTATGCACTGACATTGCTTCCCGTATTCGATATTTTCAAAATAATCGAGCTTTTTCATTGGAGTAAAATTCAGAAAGTTGACGAGAGCGAATATGGAAGCGACGAAGAGAGCGACGAGGAATTCGTGGTGCGAGACGAGAAGGTAGAGATGTCAGACGAAGAGAGCGAGTTGGACGTTCTGGAGAAAAAGTTGAACGGCGAGACGGAACGACGGCACAAACGGTGGAAACGCCTTGACGTATGTTTCTTCCCTGCTACTGAGAAAGTAAACAATTGATTCACACACACTGTAAGGGCAGACCGTTTAACACAAAAAATAATTTTGATCATAAAAAATTGTAATCTTCTCTTTCGTTCACTCGAGTGAGCTCTTGGAAACCCCAGAAAACTCAAAAGTTTTAAAAAACTCAATTCTGACTAATTTTATCTCTACGTCATTATAAAAAAGCTTGAAATTTTCTATACTGTTTTTTGTTAAGATATGGAGAGACTTTTCTTCGAGGCCAAAGTCTGTTTCCTATATTATTTACAAAATGGGTCTAATTGATCTTTTTAGGTTGCCTCTTCACCAGAACCAGAAGAAGAGTCCGATGAACCAGAAGAAAGTCTCGACGAGATGGACGAAGAAGAAGAGGAGCCATTGCGGGTAAAGTATACCCAGATCAATTTTTCGCTCAGTAGAAAAGCTTTCAGAATCCATTTTTGGATGAGGAGGCTGTTGAGACAGACGGATCAGAGTCTGTTGACGACGAGGAACAAGAGCAAGAACCGGACGTCTCGGAAGATTCTGATATCGATTTTGACGATCAACGACTTTTCGATGTAAACTACCGGGTGATTGCATTCAGAAGATAGAGGATTTTCAGAATGACGTCAGAAGGCTGAATGAAGAGCAAAAACGTCCGAAACGCAGAGCTGCCGGTAACGCCGGCGGCACGAAGAGAAGGCGGGTTATCGGTAAGTTTTCTTTTCAATTTTTAGTAAGTCTAGTCTTGATCCAATAAGTTCCGCTTTTCCAAGGTATGTAAACAGTAAATTGAAGTTGAACTGAGGGAAAAATATGTCAGAGAAGTTGTCATTGCATTCTACAAGAAATACGCGATTTTCGAGAAGTTAATTAAAACGAACTCGGACCTTGATAACGCGGACCGGACGCGAATCGGAAGGGGCATTTGTAGTGACCCCTTTAGTAGCTTCAGAACTCTAGAACTGCTTAGAAACGTCCGGAGCGCGACCGGTTTCCATTACCGGGTATCATTGAAGGTGTACAAAACGTGATTTACCGTACTTGCTTCTTCAAGTTGATTTGAAAAAAAGGGCAGGAGAAAAACAGTAGTAGTTCCTCAGAATTTGTTTAAAAAAGTGGAGAAGAAAATTTTCGATTTTCCAAGTTGAGCGCTCTTTCTAAGCTGATGCATTCTCGGTGAACTGTCGTTTTTTTTCTGAGTATGCCATTCAAAGGAAGTAATCGCGAATTTGGTTCCAATCAGAAATTCGGACTCAAATTCATTCAATTCTTTCAATAACTTTCATCAGACTTTTACTAAACATTGGACCGTTGCAGTGTCGGACAGCGACGAAGACTAGAAATCTTAGAAATACTCACATTTGACTAACGTGTTGGCGATTCCCAGATATAACCACTGACCACAGACATTTCTTTGTCTTTCGCATCAATTTGTTGCTTCCCTAATATTTATTTTTGTTGATTACGTTGTATTGATCTTTGTTGAATGAATGTTTTTTTTTCTCCCGCAGGAGGGATGTGTCAAACGAATGACGTTTCCGCAAACAAGAAAAACAATCTCAGTGTCAAATGAAAGAAGTCTCAATAGCCAATGTTCGTGCCCATAACATTAGCCCTTATTTTTCTTCAGCATATTCATCGGTAAGTTCTTTTTTTATAGAAAAATATTTGCACTTCTTAATAACTATTAGTATTTAAGAATTGCAAGGAATTTATTTCTCTCTTCCTATTTGATTTTGAAATTTTTGTTCGGTTCAGACGAGGTAAAATGGAACTACATATTTTTCGTTAATTTTTTTAGTTGCCTAATCACATTTTCCATTTTTTTGAAGACTACTGTGACCGCAAGAAAAAAAACATCTGACTTTTTTTGTTAATTGAAAAAAAGATGTTGAAAAATAGAACAACGATGCTCTTCTCGATATAAATAACCGTATAACTCGGAACGAAAGTGGACAAGGACTTTCCTGGCTGGAAATTCTTTGCGACGACTTTGGACATCGAAAAGTTGGGTCGACAGCTTTAGAAGAGTTAGTTTTTTCTTTCTTTGGAAGAATTCCCTTTTAAGGTTTTCTGTTTAAGAAACTCTCTGTAAAGATTATGAAAGTGTCGAAAGGCGAGTTATTGAATAATTCTCAAAAAAGAAATGACTTATGATCAAAAAAATTGAAGTACAGGCATTTTTTTCACATCTTCAATAAACTTTTAAAACTTTTCTTATTGTCTTCCTAAAGTTTTCAGAAGACTTGTTAGATCTTTTTCTGTTTTCCATTTTTTTTTTTTGAATAACGGAAATTTCAAAAATCAGCTCGATAAAGCTTGAAAATTAAAGTTTTAGGCCTTTTCTTTTTGAAATCTTTTTGAAAAAACCACTTTCTTTGTCTAAAGCGCGATCGACTGGATCTTGAAGACGTCGCGAGCCGAAGGACTCTCTGCCCATACGGAGCCAGTGACGGGAATTCCAAACTGGGTCCGACGCCATGACCGCGCCTTCGTCCTCAGTGAGGCCTTCATTCGATTTTTCATATATTCCAGTATTTCAGAGCCGCGGATCCACCGTCTCAACGTGTTGGCCATCGACGGATCCCCGCCGGGAACTGTCGAAGGCGAGGTCGTCCTCCTGCGTCATTACGACGAAATACCGGTCTGTTTTTGTTCAATGGTAGAAGAATATCAGTAAAAAAAGAAACTCGAGATTTTAATCTCGAAAAATTCGTCATATATTTTTAAAGGTCAAAAAAATTGACTGCTTTAAATACCGTGCTTCTAAAGAAAATCTCCAAAAAATGATTCTAAAAAAATCTCCAAAAATCGTTATTTTTTACTGATATTTACAGAGATCATAAATTTCGCTGAAGCGAGGCTTTATGACCAAAGTATTTTTTAGTTCTATCAGAATCGATAGCTCTCTGCATTGTGAAACTTGTGGAATGAGCAAAAAAAACTTCATTAGATGATATAAAAAAGGGTTGAACTAGGAGGTTTGTAGTTTCACGTTCACGTTTCATTTTCCTTTTTTGAAAGATTTCGTTTCATTTTTTTTAATTCTATGGTTTATAGTTTTGAGTCTAGAAGTACCTGACTTTTTCTACGGTCTGAAGCATACCGTAGGCATAACGGAAGGCTCACGGCCCACTTTAAACTTAGATAGAACTCCTATCTTCAGACGGCTAACGTCTCTGGAAAAATCGTCGTTTTCTCACAAGACTGGAAAGGGTATTCAAGAACAGCCAAGTACCGTAAGAGCGCCGAGAAATTGGAAAAAAGAGGCGCTATTGCTGTTCTTGTGAGCAGCGTCACGCCGAACTCTCTCTACACTGCACATACGGGAGCTGGAGCAAGGGGTTTTTGATATTTTGAGAGAATTTCGTATCATATAATTCAGGATCTAAGATTCCGGCGGCGTCCATACCACCGGAAGAAGCGCAAATGATAGGCCGATGGTTGAAACGAGGCATTTCCGTCAGAGTTCGTCTGGACATCACCTCCACAAACTTGCCTGAGCCGACTTCCTCGCGCAACGTAATCCTAGAACTGAAAGGTTCGTCTTTAGTTTTTGAACAGCGAATATTTAAAAAGGCATAGGGGCAGTAACGAAAAACGGGGTTTCAGGTGAAAACAGTATCTTGTATAGTTTTTCTTTGCGAATCGAACGGTGTACTCAAAAAATTACAGATGTGACTACTTTTGAAGAAAATTGTTGTAGCATCAAAGCTGTAGAGCCAATCACCGATTTGCAATTCTTAAGCTTTTCTAGATAATCCCCACATAGAAGCTTTGAACAAGATAGTTTGAACCAGTCAAATGGAGCGTTTAAAGGCACAGAGTTGGAAAAGGAAGTGGTCCTTCTGGCAGCACACGTCGACACTTGGGATGTCGGACAAGGAGCCCTCGACGACGGCGGCGGGATGGCCGCCATTCGACAGACTCTTCTGGCCATCAAGCGCTACATCGACGAGTCCCCGCAAAATCGCCTCAAGAGGTAGATCAGCTCAATCGAAGCCTCCATCAACCGAAAAAAGAACAGAACCATTCGCGGAGTTTTTTTCACCGCCGAAGAACAAGGAAACTTTGGCGCCAAGCAGTACTTCGCAGACCATAGGAACACATCGGAAAAGTTCGTCTTTGGAGTAGAGACTGATCAGGGCGCCTTCCGACCCAAGAACTACAATTCTAGATTTGAGTTCACCGGCAAAGAAAATCAAAAGTGAGTTCATTATTGACATTATTCATGCAATATTTCAAACTCGTTTCATTCATCTTCATACATAAAGCTGTAATTTAGATTTCCTGACATTTTTAGCGGTATTTGGAAAGTTTGGAAAAGATCGAGTAGTCAATCTTTACCGGCTTAAAAGGCGAGATGGGTAGATTGGCAAAGGGGACGCGTCTTTTGGCGGAGAACAATAATTTGAACACTTTCCGTTCTTTTTTTTATGGTTATCTCTTTTTCTTTTTTTAAATAGTTTTCATTTTTAATGCTTTGGAGAGATTCAGTTGAATATATTATAAATATAAAAATAATGGAAAATGTATTTTCTCCCATTGTACGACCTCGAACTCCCATTAGTTGATTCACCGCTAAAGTTCGATTTGTCTGTGCTTTTTTCTCCTTGAACACAGATCATCTAAAATTGAAAATAGCAAGGAACATCAGAACAGAGAAATTAGACGAATGAGCAAAAAAAAATTGCCTTGAAATTGTGAAAATTCAGTTTCAATTATTTTCAATGATTTCACATCAAAAATCTATCGACTAGAGTTTTTTGGAAGTGCCTTTTGAAGAATCATTGTCAGCATTTCAATTGGATACATTTGGTTTTCTAGAAGTCCTATGTCGAAAGTCGTGAATGATTTGAACGACCTTGGCTACCCGATCAGCCTCAAGGATTCTCCGTCTCAAGTTTGTTCTTTCTTTTCTTATTCTGGCATTTTTTGATTTGATAACACTTCAAGTCTAAGTTTTCAGGGACAATTAAAGTACTTGGCAGATACCGGTGTCCCAACTTCTATCTACGTCTCAGACCGAGGTTTTTCGCGAAGAAAATTTAGCAGAAAAAGAAATTCTGGAACATTTAGGCGACGACTTCTACTTTCAGTTCCACCACTCGAACGCCGACTATTCATCGGTTTTCGAAGCCGAAGACATCGACCAAACTGCTGCCATGCTCGCCATTGTGGCGCTCCGTTTCGCCAACCAGTAAATCTGTACATTTTGTTCCAAATTTTTTTTTGTGAAAATCGAAGTAAAAAGATTCTTGAATCTAGAGAAGAAAGACCCGGAATCAGAATGTTATGCTCCGAAGAGGCGTGGTTTTTATGGGGGCGGAGCCAGGCGAAGCGTCCTAAAAACGATCTGCTCACGCATCCCGATTCCAGCTGTTATATTCGAAATTGTCAAATTTATTACTCTCAAGAAAATGTCTCAACTGACCGACGTTTCCGTCGTCACCTGTTCTGTTGTGGCTTATCCGGCCACCGACGCACAAAATCTTCTTCTGAAATTCGCCTCGTTCTCTGGTCTCACGTATTCTTCTCAGGTGAGTGATTATTCAATTTTTAATCATCCTTCAATCACACAGATTTTTTGAAAAAATTTTTCGAAGCTCTAAAGTTTATAAAATTTCAAAAAAGGAAGTAATTTCTGGAGCTCAGTTAAGTAGAGTAAAACTTAGCTCATGACAATTATATATAATCATTTTTTTGATATAATTATATCAAAAATGATGCAAAAATTTTCAAATATTTTGAATAAAACAAAGTTCAAAGGTAAGGGTGCACACATGCGTCAGAACTCGAGAACAGGAAGTTCCCGAATGAAATGATAGGGCCGAAAAGAAGGGTTTCGAATTTCTGAACTAGCTTTTGGCGTCATTGGAACTATTCAAGATTTCCTCTATTTACTTCAGAAGAAATCTGATAGTTCTCCAGAAATGTTTCAAATTCATTCTGTTAAAGGTTGGCGAGCTGGCCACGGCGTTCAACGGACAAAAGTGTGTGTTTCTGGAAGAAAATGTGAGGCTGGAAAGTCGGGAAAACGACCACCGGGTCGACGTTTTCATGGTGTGCGTCTCTGTCGTCACAAGTGACCTCAAGAGTCTTCAGGATACTGTAAGTTTTTTTCTTTTCCAGAAAAAAAAATAGGGAAAAACTGACTTTCCACTGGTTTTTTTTAAAAATCTTTATGGATTTTCCATGCTAAAAAAGTTTCAAAAGAGTAAAAGCGCCGCTATTCAATCACAAAATTCGCAGGACATAAAAAAGATGACTTGAAACGAGAATAATTTCAAAAACTTCTGTGACTCTAAATATTTTTTTGTAAAGAGCAGAATCGGATCTTGAGATAGTTTATGAGTTGGACTTTGTCAGGAGACTTTAATATTCAGAATGAAAAAAAAATTGGAAATGAATCACGGAAAGAGTTATCATTCGTCTGTTTCCTGCTTGAATTTGTCACTTCCTCTGAGTGGGAAGCTTGCTTTTTAGTTTGGACAGGTGTATTTTTTGCAACTTCAATAAAATTATGAAATTCTTTAAAATCAGCTTCACACGTTTGATATTGATAAAAACTAATGTGTCCAGCTTGCAGGGGCTAACTTTCAAAAAACTTCTATACTCTCAAGTAAAAATTAAATCTGTAAAATAAACTTTCTCGTGGGTCGATTGCCGACAAGATGGCTGGGCAAATTTGTCGATATTGACTTCCCATATTGACTTCATCATTTTCAGCTTCAAAAAACGATTGACGGGAAGATTCATGGGGCTCCGTTTATTATTTGCGGCACTCATATAGAAGAGCGGCTCGGCGAGCAGAAGACGTTGTCGCTGAGCGACGCCGAGCTTTTCGCTTCTCAGATTGGAGCCCTTCGATACGTCGAGTGTTCGGCCAAAACCGGGGTTTGTCGGTTCCAAATTGATAATTTCGAAACTTCTACTTTTCAATTAAGCTTTTCGGTTCCAGGAAGGAGTAGACGACGCGTTTGAAGACTGCTTTCAAGTCGGCAAGCTACACGCTTTGAGAACCCTGCGACGTCAGAGAACGAAGCAAAGACTCGAAACGGATGTAGCCAAAACCTCTTGCATCACCCAATAAAGCTCAAAATGAACAAAATCTTCGAAATACATGAAACACTAGAAAGTGAAAAGTGATTTTTTTTTTTCCGTTGTTTAATCAGAAAATTGTCTTCGAGAAAAAAAGAAAAACGCAGAGAAGCCAAAAATTTTTGCCCCTATCGAAACTAAATAATGAACAAAACTGAAAAAAAAAAAGAAAAAAAGTTCTTCATTCGATGAAGGTTCAACCGACCGGAAAACCCGCTTTTCGAAAATCAAAAATTGAATCCGACCCATAAATTTTTATGAACTAGATGGAGAATTTCAGTCTCTTTGGGAAATCTCATCAACATTCCATGTGGCGAGGTGCTCTCCGACCAATCTTTTTTGTTTGATCTCATCATTTTTTCTTTCAATCTTCAAAAGCAAACACTCGACAACCAATTGGATGCGAAGATTCAATCATCGAAGAGAAGCTCAGAAATAGAGCTTTCCTCTGACGGAATCGCGTGAAATGCGTTTCGAATAATGATTTCCGCTTCATGAGTTGTGAAAGAATTCGATTTGATTTATATATGTACAAAAATTAAAAAATTATAAAGTACTAAATGAAGAATTATTTCAAAAATGTGTTAGTGTAGAGAAATTTCAATTTTAAAAAAAACCATTGGCCAGAAGGGTTTTTTTCCTTATTCAAAGTTTAGACATTTGAAAAAAAGGGATTTGTTCATAAGTTGGCAGTTAATCGAGGTATAACTTTTACTGCAGATGACAGCTTGGCTAAATTAGTGCTGTGTCAAAAGGTTCCTGAAAACCGAGAAATTCAAATTTTATCCGCTTTTTTTTTTGAAGTCACCGTCTTAGGAACGAGAAAACCACATAACCTTCTGGCCAAACTGATAACGAATGAGCAGAACAATCGCTTAATAAACATGAAACGATGAGACTGGTAGGAGATGTGAGCTTAGGCCGGGTTGACGCCGGCGGGGAACGACGGCGGCGGAGCGGCAGTGGCCTGGTTAGAGCCGCCGCCTCCAGAAGAGGAGATGTTGCGGTTGTTGAAGCAGACGAGAGCCTGTAAACCGTAGGCCAGCACCAGGAACACCGAAACTGCCTGAAACTTTGCTTACTTCGATTTGAACTTATATGTTAACAATGAAAGTGGTTTTACTCAAATACTTTCAAAAACACAAAAGTTGAGTTCAAGTGAAGAAATCTTCAAAGTTGACTCATATAAAAAATGAGTGAAATCGGACTCACGCATCACAGATTTCTGCAAGACAATCAAAGAATGTCTCAGGCAAATTTTAAAAGCTCCAATTTTATGAGAAATTTCTTTTCAGAATATCTTACCGTCGCTAAGAGGAACCAGAAGTTGAAGTGATAAAAGATGTTGCAGAAATAGTAGACAGTGTTCAAAACGCTGCATACGGCAAACACAGCACTATATCCGAGTTCCTGAACGAAATATGAAAAAGTTATTTGTTATTTTCAAAATGCGATGCAAGATTCCGGAAAATATTTTAGAAGATTTCAATTCAAATGATCTGTTAATCGATGTCTTATGTCTTAACAAGGTCCATATTCTCAGTTTTTTCTTGTCGAGACTATTTTTTGAAACAGAATAACTCATTGGCACTGTTTTCTAAATGATCATTTCCTGTTCCAGTGAGAAAAAGAAAACGGACTCCCAAATTGTAGTAGGAATGGTCGATGATGGAGATGTGGACGAAAAAAGCGGCGACGACGGCGATGGCGACGATGAACTCGAGGATCGACGTCAGACAAACGAACCATCCGAAGCCTCGGAGGCCTGGACTCGCCATGAAGATGATTTGCAGGAGGGTTAACAGCTGTAAAGTTCTTCATGAACAATCAGAACAAGAATTTTTAGGTTATTTCACTAGAATTGCGCTAAACCTATAGCAGAACATCGCTTGATTCCTGATTCACTGTTCGAGGGGCTTTCCACATTTATCGATTTTCAATTGGACTTCTAAAACTCCTTGCAGAACAACGCTTAAACATTTTTCAACTCCACGCTTGAACTAACAGCTCATCAAATTTGATCATTCAATATATTTTAAAGGCTTTATTTCATTTGACTTCAGTAAAACTCGCCTATCCCATATTTGAACCCATTTCACTCCATCTGAAAAAAATGAAACTTCAAAACTCACCAAAAGCGCCGGTTTCAAAATATGCGGCATCTCCTTCATTTGTCCGTAGCTCATCTTGCCTTAATTCATTAAATGAATTTTAAAACAGTGATAAAAAAGGAAATAGTGAGACTGAAGTTGAACCAAAAATGAGCGTTTAGAACAGAGGATGCAGAAAAATATGCAAATCCTTGGAAACAACAAACAACTTTTGAGGTGAAATCACAGGCGAAAGAACTTTCCAGCCGCTCATCGATCGCTCGAATTTATTATCGATAAGAGCCGAGGGTCGACCATTTTAATACAGAACGGCAACTCTTTCCGACAATCAGACCAACCCATTTTTCGAGAAAAAAAAAGTTATTCTATTTTTTAAGTCGATCCTAAAGCATGGACCAATTCTGAAGATAGGAAGGGACGAAACTTCTGCGTAAAAATTGAGTTTTAACAACAAAAAAAAATTAAGCGATTTCAAAAAGAGCTTTTTTTGGGTCCTCTTTGAAAATCGCAGTTTTAAGAACAACTATTCTTAGTAAAACATTGAGAAGTTTTTTTATCTAATTTTGTATCATTTTTTTAAAAAGTTCTGCGTAATAGAACTGACGAGTGAAAAAAATGAGACTAAGTAATTTTTTTCAACTTATGCCAAAAAAAACTTTTCAACTAGATGCAGTTCAATTAAATAAATACTTTTCCGCTATAGAGTATGTTTTTAAAATTTTTCCGGAATCAATTATCCAAAATCTGTAGTCCTCCTCATTAACACAGTGAATAAAAATGCTACAAAGACGTCAAAACATTTTCTTTTCTCCCACTCGTTTGTTGATCGTGTCAATACCCTCGATTGTTTCAAGCAGGGGGTGAATTAAGCTTACAGGATCCAGAAAAATAATGAAATAATGAAATTCTTGTGAAAAAGTCGAAAGGAAAATCTTATCAAGGAAAATACAAGGATGGGAAAGCAATCAAAGTGTTTTCCTAATAGTTTTGAAACTCGAAGTCTACTGAGAAATCGATGCCCAATATTTGTTTGGGTGAATCATTTTGAGATTGCTTATCGAGAACGATCATGCACTTTCGCAACCCGAGAAGTCAACACTTTCTGACACGCCAAAGGCCTCGGCAGTTTATTAAGGAAAAAATAATCGGAGAGAAGAATGGGAAAGTAACATCATGAAAACTTCCTCTCGGTTTACTGGTGGGGCTGCAAAAAAAAAGGTTTCTGGGAAATTGAAAAAAAAACTTTCGTAGTAGTTTAAAGTGTAATCCGGTCCGAAATTTAGCAGGCAGTGCAGCTGAACAGCCAAGGCTGTAGGGTAAACATTATGCGCGATTTGATTCTGGCAGCAATCGCGTCGATATATTTGGACTGTCTTTGTTTGCAGTTTTGGGCCTTTACCCATTTTCAGAAGTTTATTCTCTTCCGAATCCGTTTTTAATCTTACATGAAAGGTCATTTTACCTTGCCGTTTGAAATTTTTCTGAAATGGCTAACAAACTTCTTGATTTACCTGAAAAAGATTCTCGAAGTCTCGACTTGTTTTTTAGAAATAAGGTCTCAAAGCTTCAAAATAATATTTCAAAAGATGTTGAAGGTTTTATTTGACTTTCCTTATCTTGACTTGACTTTCGAGGTGTCTTTCCTCGGAAACCAGAAAGTTGTGCAGGTTGAGACTTTCAGGATCCTCAGCTTGTAAAACAAGGAGTGTTCTCACCGATTTTCAGTGAAATTCCATTTTGGAAATCAAAATGATATTTCATGTTAATATTTCAAAGAGTTGCTAAGAAAAAGTTCTTGAAAAAATCGCCATCGGAAATTCTCCAGAAAAGCACTTAAAATCTGCCTTGCCGTTCTTCTCATATAAGCTTTTACAGGACAGTTCTTTCTAGTTTTGAAAAAACAATCTGGTGGAAGAAATTTTCGAGCCTACGCCTACTCACACCTTGATAACGGGAATCGGACGTCGGGGGATTTCTAGTGACCACTATAGTAGCGGCAAAACTCTTAATTGATTCATCGAATTGCTCAGAAACGTCCAGAGCGCGTCCAGTTTTTGTTACCCAGGTCCGAGTTTCTAACAAAAGATTTTTGAGCCAAACTTCCTTTAGATCTCAAAAACTTCCCTATCTACACAGAAAGTTAAATAAAAAAACTAACGCCTGGTTAAAATTTCTCAAACCTCGAATTCCTTTTCCTCTCGTTCAAAGTTTCTTAAACATTGAACAAACTTCAAAAAAATAATATTATGATTAATTAAGTAAAATTAAGAAATATATCAATAAAAAAATAAGCACCTTCAATAATGCTAAACCAATTGATAAAAACCTTCGCCCGACCCATGAATTCTCTGATGTTTTTGCTACATTGAGAAAAGTCGCAAACAGAAAAAAAAAAATACAAAAAAATGAACGGAGCTGCTGACCAGGAACTCGGGAACGAAGCGATTCTCGAAGTCGTCAACGGTCCGCTGGTTGTTCTCAGTCTGCGCCGACCTCCGAAAGTACTCCCGTTGATTTTCTGCAATCCGTATGAATAGAACTCGACGATTGAAATTTGGAATTCCAACTTTTCTCTCGTGAAAGACGGATATTGGTTCGGAAAAGGAAGATGATCTGTCCCAAACCCACAACCACAGCAAAACTCACAACACCAACACAAATTTTCCAGAATCTTCGATTCGCTTCTTTGAAAATTTTTAAGTTTGAGAGGAAGAAAAGAAGGAAAAGTTTCACCTGATTGCTTTGAGTACTTTTCCCGAACTTTTTTCACCTCCTCGGGATGGAGGACGTATTTTTGTGTCGATATTCGTGTTATGGTCGGCTTTGAAGTGGTGTTTTTGGGAAAGAAACTGTCAGATCCATTTTTGGGCTTCGTGGTGTTTCTCGGCGTCTTCGATTCCGCCAAAGGGCTAGTACCGGGCTGACTCGAGGAGACCCAAGAATGGGTGCTTGGAGTGGTCCCGTTTTCAGCCGACCACTGGCCCTGAAAAACTCTTTATTGCATTCAGCCATGAATCCAAGGATTTCATTGTTTGAAAAAAAAAAAAACATTACAGTCAAATTGTTTGCTGATTGATTGCATAGTGAAGCCCCGATTAATTGAAGAAACATTAGCCAACATCTCATTTTGAAAATGCTCAGGCTTTCACGTAACACATTAATTTTCCTCGTTTTTAGCAACCGACGCGACGTCATTTGATACGGAGCCGTCACGAATAGCTTGAGGAGAAATTTGGAGCCCCGGACTTGCTGTGACATACACCATTCAGCAAAACTTATGACAGTTATATTTTTTTTTCTGTGTTCATTTCTGCTCCCATGTTTCTGTGATCTTGGCGTGAGAGGGAAGAGAGCGCAGACACTTCAGACTGTTTCAAATCGTAGAGAATTACACATCATGTTTCACATTTTAAGGAAAAATTATTAGTTTTTCCAACAATTCAATTCATCATTTTTCTCGATAAAAATTAGACATTTTGTTAATTTGCTTTTTATTCCAAAATTAAAATCTCACTTCGTTGTATGACCTCTTGAAAATGAAAACATTCACTGAAAAAATTAAAATAATTCAAGTTCAAGTTCCTTAACAATAAAAATTTTCGAAAAAAATTTAATATTCAACTTCAGTCCGACGATTTATTACACAAACATGAATCAAGTGTAACAACATCAAATGAAAAGATTGAATTTTTTAAAGCTCTATTTTCCTCATTTCGAAGGCTTTTTTCTTTTGATCTCTCTCCATTCTTAATTATTTGCGTCCTCTTTCTCAAGTAATCTAATTCCTACAATGTATGAATTCCCATTTATATTACAAATTTTTTTTTATCAAGTCTATTTTGTTTAGGACTCCATAGTGAAGCTGTTTTTTTAACTTTTTTTATTATTATTTTCGGATCAATTCAATATTTTTTTCCTGTGAGAAAAAAATATTGAGAAAAAAATCAAAATAGGAAATTTATACAAGTTGAATAAAACAAGAAAAATTGTTTCTATTTTTCTTATTAATCACGATCTTCACAGCCTTTCGAATCAGTATCGTTGCTAATTTTAAAACTTTCATACCTTTTCAAAATTTCTGTTAGGTTAATAAAATAAGTTTGAAAAATTTTTTGGAAATAGACTCGTAAGCTGAAATATTTGGCTACGCGAAAAGCTCTCAAAGTGCTTCGAGTTTTTTGGCCTCAAGGAAAACGACCGCCAAGTTCAAATAATAAAGCAGTTTCTCTACTATCTTTTCATTTGGTTGGAAGGTTGTAGAAGATTGAAACGACGTCTGCATAGGGAAGGTACGTGGGAACCCGAACCTCAACAACATCTTCTAACGAGCCATTCGTCCTATCTCGCCGCCGCAAATCGATTACGAGCCCATTTTTCTCGTATGGCACTCAGTTTGAACACTTTTCGGCACGTTGTTTTCGGAGAAAAAATCGCATTTGGCGTGGAAATGAATGCACTGTTAAATGCGAACTCTCGCGGCGCCATAATTCTTTGGGCAAACTTTGCCACTCAATTAAAACGCACGCGCAATGGTGTCCCATAATTGCCCGCTGCTGCAAATCCAATTAACTTTTTGCTCATTTTTTTTTCATATAGATCATGGAGCTAGTGAAGGTTTAGCTATTAGAATAGTTTTGGAATGTTGAAAGTGTCTCGAAATAAGAAAAATCGGAGCTAAAGATCCCATTTCACGTGTAAAAAGCTCGAAAGTCAGGAGAAAAAAAAATTTTGGTTCGTTCTATATGAAACAAACTTAGTCGTTCGAAGCCTTACGGAATGAAAAACTGAGAAAAGGAATTATTTTTTTCATATTTGAATATAACAGTTTTTTTCGTGGAAATATAGGTTTGAGGGATTTTTCTTCTTTCTACTTATGAGGGATCGTTTTAAATTATTCAAGCTTCTAATAAATGATGTACAAAGAAATGGAAAGAATTTTTTTTTCAAAACACGGGTCTAGCTCTTTTTCAAATGATTAACAGGCCTCAGGGCTCTTAAAATTATTCCAATCCAAGTTTTAATCCATCGCCTTTTCATCATTGTGTATCCATAAAAATGAGAACTAATAAGTTTATAGTAATAAAAATGCGTTTCTGAAAATTGGATTTCTTGAATCAAAGCTATTCGTAAAATCATCCGACATATAACTCTTTAGAAAAAAATTTCAAAAAAATTGTCCAAATTTTTATCTTACTACCTCAAAACCAAAAACACCTTGGACTTGCTCTTTCCCTTTTTTGCAACTAGAATAAGTAACCTCATGGGAATCTTTTCCCCTTTGGAACGCTGGCCGTGGGATTATCCTCACTAAATCGATGGAATTTCGGGGCCACTCGAATTCAACAAATAATCCTCATTGTTGCTTTGAGTCGCATTTCTTCGATTAATTTTTTTCTCCGACGTTTTTTCATTCTCTTTCTGAAGGTTTTTCTTTGTTACTTTAACTCCTTGAGCGGCGATTCAACTCACAAACTAGATAACCTTTTTTTCTCGAAGAGTGAAAATTCGAACTTAGAAACTGTCATAACTCTAAAGCCCTTTTCTGTTTTGCTGCTAGCAACAGGGCTTCTGACAAATCCTCTCTAAACTCCGCCCTCCCTCAGAGTATCACCTCAGCTTATCCGTTTTGGCGGTATCAATTTCCCCTGGAAACGGCGAACAAAACGCAATTCTTTCCCGCCAATAGGCTTCCCTTCTCGGCTACGTCATCTTGTCGCTGCCAGGCTCGCCGCTGCTCCGTCGCCTTGTCTCCACGCAGTTCGAAGATTCCATGAACAACCGTGTCCTCCTCAACGTCGGCGGCCAGCGTTTCGAGACCACAGTCGCCACCTTGTCTCGCATCCCGGACTCTGTAAGTTCTGTTTTTATATCCCAAAAATCAGATTTAACTTTCGAAACTATTATAAAGTTCTGATAATTTGTTATTTCATCATGGTTTGAACGTTAAAACTCGCAAAATGCTTGATTGAGAATCGAAACTCAATATGATTGGGCGAGGAATTTTCCTGACTTTTCGATGTCAAGTTTACGACTCATTTTGAGGGCTTATGAATGGAGATGGAAGTTTCCCAAGAATTATTCTTTCAGAAAGGTCTTCTTCATAATGAATTCTCGCTTTTTCATCGTTCTCTCTGAACATTTTTCCACGCTATTTTCTTGGCATTTTCTCGAGAAATTGTCAGGTCTACGAATTGGAACTCTAATTTCCCGAAAAAAATTAAAATTTAAGGGTGTTCATAGTAGAAACGGAACATTTTTCAAAACGCAACTAAGAAAGGTTAAGAGGGTCCCGATAGGGAATTGGCCATTTCAGGGCCCCGATAACGCGAAACGGACATGCTCCGGGCGCGTTCTGGGCATTCCTAGTGCCCGCTTTAGTAGCGTTAGCACTCTTTAGTGATCCCTAGAAATGCCCAGAAACGTCCGAAGCACGTCCGTTTCGCGTTGCCATTTTCCGAGAATTTTCTCGAGTTTTGAAACAATTTTCGTTTGTTCAATGAACGCGCCATTAGAAGGAAGAAAATTTCGGAAAATACGAAACTTTCCGAAAATGCGTTGCTGTGTATATATATTCAATAGTTCAAAACACAGTAAAAATAGCCAAAAATATGTCGTTTTCAGTGTCGTTCTTCCGACCTCTCTCTCTTTCTTTGCCACCGATTTTGTTCCCTCTAGAGCCTTCAAAGTAATAGCGGAAAACAAGAGGGTTGATACAAACTGAAAATTTGAGTCGTGAAGAGAACCCTAAAAAACAGAAAATTCGAGCGAAGTAGGGCAGGAAAACGCAACTAAACATTCTCCAGGTTTTGGCTACAATGGTTAGCGATAGATGGAAAAAAGACGACGAGTTGTTCATCGATCGGGATCCGAAACATTTCGGCAAGATCCTAAACTTCCTTCGCGATGGCGACGACTTCGTCGCTCCCACCGATTCTGAAGCTACCGAAGAACTCAAGCGAGAAGCCACGGCGAGCAAAAGAGACCGGCGAAAATAACTAAAAGAATGTTTTAGTTTTATAATCTCCCGATCCTCATTGATCTATGCATGCCTACAGTATTCGACGTCGGGGATGTTGTAAGTGTTGCCTACTTATTATCGATTTCAAGCCGTTTGAAGGTTCAATGGAGACGAGAAGCCGTGCCTATTTACTGGAAGCCATTTGTTCGGTACATGGTCGACGACTCGCTCTCCTTGCCTTTTATTTATGACAGGTAACGTTTAACTTCCTTATTCTGATTCCGACGGAATCACTTTGAACGAGGCTTCTTTTGATTCAACGATTTGCATAAGCTATTCATTCGATGGATCAAAGTGTTAAGAAATAACCACACGTTGGCGAGATGCGTCGCCTGCGAAGAGTTCCAGGATCCGAAGTGTTCGTACCTTTTTGACATCAACTACTCGGCGTGGGAGCCGATGCAACACCACATGCTGGAGATGACCGGCGAGATCACGCAGCTCATGGGCGACCAGTGCTGCGTCGTCGCCTGGGACAACGGCCAGCAAATCCATCTGCCTCGATCCGCCCTCCGCAAGAGCTGAGCCCAAACATTGCGCAAACCAAAAATTGTATAAACTTGTATCATCCTACAAGGTTCTTTATTTGCATTTGGAAAGGCGTGAGAAAGCGAGGACACAGGAGTAAAGAAGGCGGCAGTAGAACCGATCATTACGTCAAATTAACATCTCGGAGACGTATTCAGAGTTGACGGCAAAAGCCGGTGGCATGACAAGCCTGAACCGAGCAGAATCACAGACTCAATAGGATGTTAATCTACCTATCGGCGTTGTTGTAGACGTTTTCCGGCTCCATCAACGTCGAGGCTTCAATTGAAGGGTTCACTCCAGAAGGCGATCCACCTGTCTCCAAAAGTCCGCTGCAAGTACTAAACCTTTATCGTTGAGCAGCTTCATAGCTTCGAGCATGGATAAATTCTTTTAGAACCTGGGATTTTTCAAGTCTTGTACAGCTCAACGTGAAGATTATAAGTACTGGAAAAAGTTTTAGTGGCATCTTAAGTGATTCCACAAGGGCTATTCGGAGAGTCAATTAATACAACCTCTATAGAAGTCACTTAATTGCGTCTTAGTGGCCTTTATAGCAGTTTTAGTAGTCTAGTAGAGCCCCTAAGAATCTAAAAGACCACTAATTTTGACCGCAAACCGTGGCCACTAAAAATTTAGGCAGTAACACTGATGATTTTTTTTTGGTTCTCATCTTAGAGGGGAAACTTCCTTTCCATATTTGCGCTCAAAAATCCAAAGAATACAATCTCAAACTGACGTCATTTGGGGCACGTCGAAAAGAAAAACTTCGGAAAGCGCGTCAAGTTGATATTGAGAAGGCACACGTCGCATCCTCACTGCGCAGTCCACTCAAAGACTCGTTTTTAAATTGATCATTTAGTTTTTCGAAAATTTTCCAGGGCTAAAAAACAGTTAAAAAATTGAATGGCCATTCCGAAAGCTAGGCTTTTTCTGAATGAAAATTTCCTCATTGAAATTGTTTCAAAAGCTGAGAAAAAAAGAACTAAGGACAAATTCCGTTATTCAGGCTTTTACAATCAAAATGGTACAGCCCATTTTTCCTGTTTTTTTCTGAAAAAACCTCACTAGGAAACCACAGGATCTCCTGAATCTAAGAACAAGAAAAAAAAATGTCTCGAAATAGACCTTGTTTCCAGTTATGGAGCTTCAAAGTTTGCAGAATACCTAAACTATGTCAAAAAAGCGCTATTTCGAGCTTCTAAAGCGTCTTAACTATAAAGACAGACTGCAAGATTTTTTCTTGTTTTGCAAAAAGGTGGTTGAAAAACGTTTCCTAGTCAGAACCTTTTTGCAAATATTTTCCATAACTTCTAAAACCTGGGCCTTTGTTGAGCTCCAGCAGCTGATAGTAGCTAACTGGCTCATCCTGTACCGCTAAGTTCTTCTCCTCAGCTTCCGGCGTTATCAGGTTGTACAGAGCGACAGCTTCGGGCTGCGCGGCCATAGTCTGCAGAAGACCTTCTTGGGCCTTCGCCGACGTCACGTCAGAAGATTCCATCGAAAAGCTCTCTTCTGAGAACGTCGTCGTTTCCGCGCAGCTGCTCTCGGCGCAAACTTCAAGGTTCCTCTGAGAAAAAAAAAAACAGTCAATCAAGTTTATTGTGGATTCTTACAAGTTGACGTCGGACGTCTTCAAGTTCGGTGGCGGAGACTTCCGAAGCCGTAGAAACGTCGTCGTCTCGGGGATGCATCGTTGGGTAATAATAGTGACTTGATACTCTTTTCCACGCTGTCATTTCGATGTCTTTGCAAATAATTCACATAATTCCGTGCGACGTCCCTCATTTCTAGTTTAATGACGAGATTTGGTAACTTGTTGAAAATATTTCTGATCTTCCGTTTCACTCATGAAAGCTTTTCGTTTGACCTTCCAGCAAAGTTTTCGGTACATTTCTGAAATGTTTTCCTATTCATCAAGAGCTTTTTCCAGAGGTCCGTAAAAGAATCATCTCCTGTAAGCCTGATCATGCCAAGTGCTAGTGAATGGACATCTGCCAAAATAAGTCGTCACAAAAAAATCCACATGGAAATTGAGTGGTCGAAGGCGACGTTTGAGGAAGACTGCAGCACGGAAAACCCCGAAGTCCGCCTTTTGAAGAAAAATTTCACATGATTAATTTTGAAAAGTTAATCTTTGATTTAAAGGTGCATCGAGTGTTTCACTGGCCAGGTGAAAAAGTTGAGTTGCCCTGTAAAATGTGCTCGTGGGAGTCAATTTTCAATGGTCTACCCAAGCGATGGGCGTTGGCTCGAAATGTCACAGAGTTCTTTCTCAAGTTCAAAGTTGATCATTCTTAAAATAAATAAACAAATCATACCTTTTTCAGCACATCGGAACAGATCAAGGTCCAAAAATTGAGTTGGTCGAAAATGTCCCTTTTCTGGAAGATTTGAGGTTCATGGGTATTGAGAAAACATAAAAATTTTTGTTTGAGTGTCGTAGTCGATAAGCAAAAATGGAGCGACCTAAGTTTACCGCAAAATCGCGAAAAAGTTTTCCAAATGCAGAAGCCACCCGTGTTTTATCAACGAGATGGAGTTTTAACTATCTACCGGGTATTTTGATAGTTTCGAATAACTTTAATTCACCCGAAGAAACGTCAAGGCAAGCGCGGCGTCGCAAGGCGTCTACTTCTGCCTGGACGATCATTCGACGTCGAACCCGCACGTCTTCCACGTCCTCTCTGCCTTTTTGCCGCCCGTCAAGTTGCCGCCACTTTCCAGTGACAAAAGAAGCATACAAAGTTGACTTATCGCGTTGCATGAAGGTTAAAATCTACTGCTTTCAGGCGACAACTGTGCTTCGCGGAATCGCCTGTTTGCTTCTCACAACTGGCGTTTCCACTACATGCCGTCGCCAATTCGGGAGAAACACGTCTGCGAATACCGCGGCGACGATTCCGAAGATTGCTTCGACGTGAAAAAGAACTTTGAACTTCATAACTTGTCAGTTTTTCAGATGGAAGAATTCACTCCCATTGAAGGATGCGAAAATAGCGAAACTTCCTGCAGGTAATATTTCACTACTAAAAATTTGATTTTCTACACTGCTTTTGATCCTTATCTTATAAGTAGAACATGATGAATGCCTCCGTGAAATCAAAAAACAAGAGAAAATAATAAAAACTTTCTTTAATAATTTTCCAAAAAGTTCTTCATTTTCGTTAATCCAAGGAACTACATTCACGTTCAACCTGCTTCCTTTTTGATGGGACCGTTTTCTTTTATTCAAGCTACTCTAACTTCTATCAAAAGCTTACAGACACGTTATTCAAGACAATCGGCTCCCGAACCACACGATTCTTTCCATCAATTTCAAATGGACTCAGTGGTCTCCTTGCGTTTCTAATCGGCAAATTAGGGAAGGTAGACAATTTTTTTTCAAATAGTTTTCGAGTTATTGAACTTTCAGGTCATTGTTGGATAAATCTAGAAAAACTAGACGAGCTGATGCCTTTGACAGATCACTGGAGTTGGTTGTTGGAATTGTGGACCCTTCAGAAGCAGCCGACATTCAAAGAGGGCATACCACTGTTTAGGTTTCGCTCATTGAAAATATACTCAAAAATTTCAATTTTAGTTCATTCGTCAGTTCTTTCATTTACGGCGTAAAATTTCTATCAAAGTGTGATGACGAGTACTTGGCGACTAGCACTTCTCGCGAAGCGGTACACATCTTTTTTTTTTTGGCATCCTTCATTCACTTAAAAAGAAGAACGCTTTTATTTATTGTAAAGTAAAAAATGAATTTGAGCCATATGAATATTTATGTGTCAGGAAAAGATGCTCAAAGTCTCAACTTGCACAATAATTGTTTTTCGAGAACGGATGTATGAAAGTTCCATAAGAAGGTCAAAAGCTTCATGAGTCTTTCTTTTTTAATTATCAGGAAGTTGCCCAAGACTTTTCGAACCTTTAAGAATAGATCATATTACTATCAAAGCCAATTTTCGACAGAAAAAGTAAAAATTTTCCGTGTTTGTATTCATTTACTTTAAAGTATTACTTTGCAGTTAGAGAATTTCTACCTGACAGTCGTTTTGCCCTCCATCGGACTCACACATCTTTCAACAAAATTGACCAATGCATTCCGTTTGTGTTTCAAGTACGCATGTTGAGTTTACTTTAATCAATCAATGATTCGTGACAGGTTTGAAAAAATACCGCCAGATATTCATTTGGTTGGAACCTACGCCATCGATAAGCGCAAGTGTTGACTCAAACATTTGCACCATGGAGAAATATCAAAAATTGAATTAGATAAAGAAAAAACTTTATCCAGTTTTGATCAACTTCGATTTTTCACACCACATGCAAAGTTCAAAGAAACATTTTAAAAAAAAACTTTTTCGAATAGATGAAGCATGAGAACCCGTGAGTAAAATGATGGAAAATTCTTAACGAACGTATTGTGGTTTGGCGGCAAGGGTTGAGTAGTCGCCAACCATCAGAGTACGGTACGGACTGTGAGGTTCGAGGACTCCGAAAGCGTTCCGAAGCGATCGGAAGCACACAAACATGGTGATGATCGAAGTTGTAACTGAAATAAAAATAATTTCACCACCTTTTTTACTTTGACATTTTCCCTTAAAGGCATAGGGGCAGTAAAAAACGGTGTTTCAGTTCAAAGCAGTATTTTGTAGAGCTTTTCATTGCAAATCGAACGGTGAACTTGGAAACGTACAGAAATTCCTAGTTTTGGAGAAAAAATAATTCAAAGTCGGAGAAAAGAAAGCTTGAGTTCCCGCGAAAAAGGCGCCTTGCAGTAAAGTTGCTCTATGGACAACAGGGTTCGCCATCTTCCGAATTTTCGCTTTTTTCTTCGTTTCTTTTAATTTTCAATTTTTTCTGTTGTCACCAGAGTTTTTTTCGTCACCAAAGCCTTCGATTCATGTATAATTTGCAAACTTTGATCGCAAAAAAGCTTTTCTGGTGAAAAATGATGATTTTACACAGGTTTCGATTGGGATAGCGATTATTTGTGTTTTTCTTTATTATCACTGTGTTTTTCGGTTTTTCTTAATCAATTTTTTTCAGAGAAGAAACCCTTAATTTGAAGCAGATAGCCGGTCATTTCATACAAAAATGCGAGTCTAATAAGACGTCCGCAACATCTCGTGCACGGCTACTGTAAACAGTTGTCTGCATACCGATCCAAAGCTTTTTTCAAAATTAAAGGCGGGAAAGTGAAATCGCGTTTTTCTTCTAAAGTTGTCACACCTGTAATTTTTTTGAGTACACCATTCGATTCGCAATAAAAAACTATATAAGATGCTGCTTTCACCTGAAACCCCATTTTTTACTGCCCCTATGCCTTTAAAAGTATGCGCGGTAATAGAAAAATTTTTGGAATGAAAAAAATTGAAATTAAAGCAGCATCATACAGGGATTTTCGTTACATCTCAAATAGTATACTTAGTCCTTTGATCTCAAAAAAAAAACGTCCGTAAAGGAAAAAGATAACAAAATTTTGAAGAATCAGAGATAATTTCGAATTTTGCGGGAATTACTTTGAACACGGCATGGGCTTTATGAAAAAAAAAACCGAAAACTTGAACCCGGAAGAAAATTTCAAAAATATAGTCTGTTCAGATTTTAAATGTCAAATCGTCGCTCAAGCTCCGCCCCCAATGGCGCGATAAACCCATCAGAGAGCGAGCCACGCACATTTTTAGAATAACGTCATTTTAATTGACATTCAAAATCTGAACAGAGTATACAGGATCTGTTATTTTTTCGATGAATCGAATGAAGATCAGTTTTTTGTTTATTGTTCTTATCGTTGAAAAGTAAACTCACACTCGACGAGGCTCAGAACGACTATCTGAGCGTGAACGACGTGCTGGAGATGAGAACAGCCGTCGGCGGGAAAACACGGCGAATTGAGAACCGAGCCGCTCAACAGGAACATGCCCGTCGACAGAATCACCGAGACAAAGGCGAACCAGAAAAGCAGAATTTGTGCGCACTTATCCAACCGACTGCAGAAGTGAGGTTCAATTCAAAACAGGGAATATGGAAAACCATGTTGTGATGAAGCAGAAAATTGCACAAATTATAAAAACGAAAGAAGCCGAGACGGCGAGGACGCTCTTCGATACGTCGTTCGTTGCCAGATCGAATACCTGTAGGCTTTTACTTAATTGTTTTGATTCTAAATGGAAATTGGGAGTTTCATGAAATCTTCAGACCGGAATAAAGAGAAAAATTAATTAATTAACTTTTTTCTTCTTTTAAGATTTATGGAGAGAAGATAATTTGAGTCCAATTTCGAGATTGCTTCTTCTTTTCCTCAGAGCTTTTCATTGCTTTGAGTGATGGCTCGTTGAAAAGAAAGTTGAGAGAGAGATACTGAAAAATGTTTGTTCAAGCTCCGGAATATTTTGCATTCCTAACTCAAATCTTCATGTTTCAAAAAAAAAACTTGATCTGACCAATAAAGAAACTCCGATGAGCAAGTGGACAATAGCCAAGATGTTAGCGCAAGAGGCGCATGGCCATTGTCGAGCTTGATCTCCTGAAAAGATAGTTGTGGACCACATCTTCAAATTTACATGATACCTTCATCGAATCTTTGAATCAAAACTGATGAAGACGTTGCCGATGACATGAGCAAAGTTCTTTGATCTTCTCCAGCCATTCTTTGCAGGAAAGAGAAGAGCAAGAAGCGTCTAAAAATAACTGTCTCCTACTAAAAGAAAACTGAAAACAAACAAACAGAAATAAATAAATTCACAAAAAAAACGGATAAAATGCAATTGGTTGAAAACATATTCACTATACAGCTGCCGCTGTTTCAGTCCGAACGCTTCAATGGACTCATAATTTTTTTTTTCAAAAGCAATTAGCAGGAAGAAATTAACAAACTGCAAATTATTGTGGAAAACGAGGTGATGAACAAAAAAAAAATTAAACGGAGCGATGCGCCGACCTCCGTGTGCTTTGTAATGTCGGCCGAAATCCCTGAAACGCCCCATCGGCCATCGAATTCGAACTTTTTCCGCCTCTCTGTTATGTCGATTTGCAACTTTTGCCAATTGCTCAATTGCTGATTTTCTTGGGGTCGAGCGGCTGCTGCGGTTCGCATAAGTTTATCAGTTTTCTTCTGTGTCTGCTCCTGAGGAAGTTCCGCAAGTCAAATATTACCGAATGAGTGAAAGGGCTCTACTACTTCTGCTAGGAAAAAAGGAAATTCTTGAACCATAAATTATATAAATTAAAATCGACGGGTGCCGATATACTGTTTTGGTTTGATAAACTTATTTATTCGAACGCTTCTTCTAAGCCTCCCATGAAAGCGCTCTCTTAAAAAATATTTCTTTTTTTTTATTCTTTCATTATGAGCTCCTTATATCTGAAAAAAAGGCCCAACAGCAAAAAAAAAACATAGCGGAAGACGAAGAGGATGAATATTTAACTTACTTTAATTTCTTTTGTGAAAAAAGGTGATCAGATTATAAACATCAAAATTTATTGAGCGCAGTGGACAATTTCATGAAACGAAAACGACAGAAAAGCTTCTTACAATGTTAAGGTAGAAGATATCACATTTCAGAGGACAGAAGCGATTTTAAACTTACTTTTTTGAAGTCATTTTTTTTACACTTGGCTTAACCCGTTCAAAACCAAGAGCACGTCAACATAAATTTCAAAGTGAGCTGTGGGACTTCGATATGATCGATATTTTCGGCAACATAATTTTTTATCTCCTAGTTTCAGGCACCCGGACTCACTCGTAAAATGAAATTTTACAGTAGATATGTACAGAAAAAATCAAAAAAAAGAAAGAAAAGCATAGGCTTCAATACAATATCCCGTATTGATTTGCAACAGTTTGACTTGTCTGCGTCCTCTTTCCTCTCATGGGCGAGGTCATAGAAACACGAAAAGTCCACGTGAACATGAGTCGACGAGGGATGTGAGCGCTCAGACAATTCAGGCTTTTCAAATCGAAACGAATAAGTCTTTGAAAAAATGTGAAGAATAGGGAGGACAATTTCGTGAATGCGAAATTCAGCGAAGTTTTTGAATTTTTAAATATGACTACCAGATATAACAGCCTTGACTAAATTGAAATGAATTGTTCAGTAAATGAGTTAAAGTGAGAAAACCTCGACTATGATCTGTTTTCCGACGTCGCACTTTTCGGGTTTATAGCCTTAAACCATAGATTTTTTAAAAAGAATTTCAGAAAACAGACCGGAAGGGCCGGCTTGAGCCAGACGGCATTGTGCTGAATAAAAGGCAACGGCTGGCGCAGAATCTGCGGCCGAAGGCGTCCCAGACATTGAACAAACGCCGAAAAGCTGCAACTCATTATACGAAAAAAGAAATCACCGCGTTACAACGAAGCTCACTGAAAAAGTTTGTCGTGTGTTCTGAAAGCCTTTACTATCCTCCGCTTGCACGCTCGGAATTGCTCCTCGAAGCCATATAGTTGAAGCAAAGTCGTGAACTCTTCTTCGTCGATCACCTGATCATTTCTTTCTTTTTTTTCATAGAGTGCGATTCTCAACCTTTTTGGCAGTTGAACTAACAAAACGGTCAATGTCGAGGTGGGGATTGCGCGCAATAATCACTTCCAGGTCGGTCATCAACTTAAACATGTTCTTTACACGGGAAGTCATTTTACTTGTCGCTTTTGAATTTTCTACAACTTTGCTTAAACACTCTCTGAATGTTCAGATAAAGATCCCTCATAGTCGCTACCTGCGCAAACTTCTAGTACTTGAGATAGTAGTTTTCAAAGTTTGTGTTAAAAGCAGAATTAGGCCTCACAATGAGGTAGTTTTAATTTGTGGAAATTGCCGAAAATTCGCTCAAACAGCCTCTTAAGATTTATATTAAGATCCATCAAAAAAGCAACCCGCGCCAGCTTCTAGTTTTGGAAATAATCAATTTTGAAGGTCGAAAAGATAAGCCTAAAACACATTTTCCGCAACTTTGGAAAATCATATCTCAAAAACTAGAAGTTTGCACAGGTTGCGAGCGAATATGAGTGATCTTCATCTAGACCTTCAAAGAGTGTTTGAGCAAATTTGTAAAAAATTCCAAACCGTTAAGTGAAATGACCTCCCTTGTTAGAAACAATTTAAAACTGAAAATAACCTGTGCGCGATTCCGGCCTCTCCTTTCTTGTGAGGACGTCACCCTGCTTGCTAATGTTGGTATTATCGATTCGGCGTTCAAATTGAGCTCTTCAGGTAGCGTTATCCTTGAAAAAGTGATAAAAAGGGCTAATGCTCATATATAATAACGTTATTGAATACATTTCCGCACTTCCCTTTTTTTTGAGAAGATTAGAGGAAATTCATCAAAAATTTCTGGCAGTGACTCATTAAAAGGATTTTTTTTTCATTGTTTATATTCTACTTCTAAAATTACACAAAATTTGTGCGTTGATAGAATATTTCAGAATGTCCTCACATGGTGACAGCGGCGTCTCTTGATATTTTTTCATCTACGAGTGCCGTGGCGAAAGCATGAACATCGATGGAGCCGCCGCTTGGAGAAAGCAACTTCAACATGTTTTTCCACCCGTCTCCTGACTGAAATACTCTTTTTTGGCTCGAAGAAGTTTTTTTTTTCGCGAACCGCCGGCAAAACCTCTTTGATAGAACTCAATACGATTTCGACGCTGATCAGAGGGGCCGCAAAACTTCTAAAGGGGAGAATATTTTGTTTTTTTCTTTTCCTGAGAAACCGCAGAATGTCGACGATTCGCTGGACCTCTTCGATCGTACAGGAGTCGAGTTCCACCTGCAGGTCCGGCGTGTCTAAACATTCTCTGAAATTAAAAATAAATCGCCTTAGGTCACAATCGTACTGGGCAAACGTGGCGGATCGTCGGTGGCGTCGAAAAAATCGTCGTCTCGGTCCCCAGAGGCCGAGGAGAAGTTGGTTCTTTGAGATGACGTTGGGGACAGCGGTTGTTTGGTAGAATCGACGTCGTCTTCAAAGATTCTTTTTGTCCGTGACTCATATATTGGAGCGGAAAGAGAAGCGGAAGTCACAGGGGACGATTTCGGGTGAATTGGCGGAAGGACTGCGAGCTCTCGGAGCTGTGGAGTGGAAGAGGAATTGTTCTGAATCAAAATATTGAGTACAATAATAATATTATGAAAACTATTTTCAGGATAACTCTATGAATTTACTTTATTCCTCAAAAAGAAGAGAGACCACCGAAAATTCTTGTTGAGAAGCTGTTGGATTCACTGATAGGTAGTGACCGTAAATCCCCGCCCCTTTTCGCGATTGAAAAATGCATTGGTTTTTCAGATTATGTGTTCGTTGTTTTCGTAAAAACGCAATACTGAATCAACCCGGAGAAAATTGGGGGAGCATAGTGAAAACCTTTCTTTTTAACCTAACAAAAGTTTTATTAGAAAGAATCTAATTTTATAAACTTCGTTTAAAACGAAAAAAAAAATCGACATCGATATCGTTACCAAAGCGCTGAGCATATAAAGTCTGTTCAGTTTTTGAATTTTGAATGTTGAGGCGCCGCTCATCTGCGTGCTCTTTTCTAAGGCTATCAGCCACAAATGCGTCTGCGTGCTCTTTTCTAAGGCTATCAGCCCCGCTTCGACTCGAAAACTCTCACAGTAGGTTGTGTAAAATCTAAGCACAGAAAAGAATAATAACACTGAAAATACATCGGAAAGGCAGACGTTTCGTAAAAGCTGAGAGTAATAAAAAAAAAATAATAAATAGTTCGATTCTTATTACTCTACCTGACGCCGTACGATTTCTTGGACGTCGTGGAGAAACGAAGACGGCGACGGCGACGCCTCATCACTCATACACACGTGCCAAGGCTCATCAGGCGGCCGCTTGTACTGGAATTTCAGCCAAACTCGGAAACCTTGATTCAGGCCGGCTGTCGTCGCCCATAACAATAGGCCCCGCCCAACTTTGCTCGCCTCACTGCGCGATACTGGTTAACGTCTGAAGCCTATCATATCTGACTGGAGTGCCAATTTGTGGGCGAGTGCAAAAAAAATTGAGATTGGGGGTGTAAAATTCAGGTATCAACACCTCGAAGCAAAAAGGATATTTAAAAACAAAGAAAAACATGTTCTTATTTTCATAATAGAGATAATAGCTTTAGAAATTTACGGAATATTCTCAGCTTGAAGAATACAATGTGAAAAAAGCTAGCTATAAACGCTTAGAAGCGCTCTTGAAAAGGAAAACCTGCGAATTTCTACCAAGAATAAAATGTCTTGCCACCGCTCTGTGCGGTCAGCTGTGTTGGCCGCAATAGACCGCGACGCAAATACAAAGCCAAATTGTTAACTTGACCTGAGAAAAGTTTAGGGGTCCTTATATGGATTTGGCCATTTTGGAGCCCCGATATAACGCGATAGGGGTTGAAAGACCACACCTACAAATGACCACATTTTTCTTCCTATAGGAGCCCCCTAAACTTTTCTGAGACATGATCAAAGTTTGTAAGCGTACAGTCCTTGATGCTTTTTCTTTAAAAAAAAAATCTTTTTTTTTAGTTATCTTCGTAATCCACCAAAAACGTTCGCACGCATGAATGCAAACAATTTTAGGGTGAGGCGATGGAAGAAAAAGTCGATGGCACTCGATGGCGGATCGAGTGGCGGAGATCTGAAGTCGTGCTTGCCGCTGACCACTCGCCGGTTTTCTGGCAAGTGGTTTTTTTTTATATTTCTGCGAAATAACTTGAAAGTTATGAGGAGAACAGGATCTTTGGAAAGTTTTGTAAAATAAACTAATCCAAGCCTTTTGCAGCGAGTATCACTTCTTTCTAGGAACTTTTGAAACCCTAACTCGATTCTCCCTTTTTCACTTTCAGCAGAAATAACTTCTTATTGTTCTGACGAACTTTGATTCGCTCTTGTAAACAAATTCTTTTACGTTATTTTTTTAAGAGCCTTAGATGTTTTCTCACACTAAATCTTGCTCCAAGCTGAGGCAAAGAGTTCAAGAACATGCCTCCCAATCAAATCAAGCCAGCCCTGATCAGAACCCAATACTCGAGGTTCCGATTTTGCGGCAACAAGAACACCCACAATGGCAGTTGTTTACCGAGGGGTCGACCTCAGCCTTCTTCATAATGTCCTCAGCCATACTCAAATATTCGCCGTTCCTTTGTTCTTTCACCTTCAACATCATTCTCCAATTTTTACAAAGTATCGGATTTTAACTAATGAAAATGTATCAAGTCCTCATGACGCGACCAAACGCTGTCTTTGTTTTATTTTGAGATTCATCTTTTTATAATCTTTCTTTCTTGAGCTCTCCTGAGAACTAGTCAAGTTCAGGCTCATTGCTTTCGTCGAACACGAACCCAAATGTACATATATGGCCATAAGGCACACAATAACGCGCTTCAAGCATTTCTCGCGCCTTCGCACCGTTGAGCCTCACCTTTTCCCGTCCGGTACGTATATATTTATAGAGCTTGCCTATTCAACCCCCAGTTTCTACTACACAAAGTTTTTTTGTTGAATCCGTTTTTGAACACTTTCACACTAGTAATTTTGGTTTTTGATAAGCCTTAACTTTTTCGGATATTTTTTTCTATGCCAAAAAGCTATTTAATTGGCCTATTCTACAGCTCAGAGAATTATTTCATCAGGTTTTCGATCAATGAAATTTTCTACAAAAAGAAGAAAAGACAAATATTTGTCGAGGCCTCCAGACTCATATTTTTCAAGATGATTATGCTTTTCGTTCGCTTTTTCAACTTCAGTTTATTTTTGCCAGTTTCCTTCAACAGTGTAACGTTTCATTTGAAGCACTCGGAAAAAAGTTTGGAGCTCGTGCTCCGAGATACTAGGAGCAGAGTTATATACAGAAGAATGAAAAAGGCTTACGAAGATAGTTTTTATAAAAAAATGGGACAACAATTTTGACGAACTTATTGATTTGTTAAGTTTTAGCAAATTTTCACATTACTTTAAACATCTGCATCCTTTACCTGGACGCTGAGTTAAAAACCATCTTTTAGAGATTTGAATTTTAATTCAAGCGCCTTACTGAACCTTGCCATCTCGAGTATGAGTTGGAAAAATCATCGCTTATCACCACGGCTTTGGCCAATATTTGAATTCCTACTGTAACAGAAAACTTTCAAATAAATTTAACTGAACAGAGAAATAAGAAGAAGGCGATGATGGCCAGTTGAAACCCAATAAGGAGCTTTAAGAAATGGCGATCTATCCCAGACTTGGATTTTAACTTTCCACATGTCTTTGATGCTTCATCCTGTTGTGAATTTCCGACTTCCGAATTTTGCGCTCAAGGCGGCGAGAAATGATGTCCGAAGATTGGCTGCTGAATGGCCGACGGCGCAAAAGTGAGAGGCTGAAGAAGTGCTGTATTCGTGTGTGTTTGCCTGTGGGAGAGCGCCCTCCGTGCCTGTATTTGCTTTATTAAAACCTACGTACGGGAGTCCGGTTGGCTCCTCATTTCGACGTCCTTTGCTTCTTCCACCTTCGCTTTTTCATCTCGTTTTTTTTCTTCCCTATTTTTTTTTGGCTCCATCAAGTTTTTAAACAGTTTCTTTCCCGAATTTTTTAGCTGCCAATCAATGAAAACGCATCGTTCAGAACTCGCGATCTTCTTTCTTATTTTTTTTTAGTAAACCGAAAAGTCTATCAGAACACGGTCATATTTACCAGAGGAAGATTATCTCCAAAGAAAACATCGAAGGACTATTAATCGGTATCTGTAAACTTTGGTACTTCCAAAGCATTCATCTTTTCAGAAACTCCCAACTGCAAAAAAAAATTTCTCGTTACTTTCTGAAACTTAATTCAATCTTTTCGTCGACCCCTCGGCCAGGAAAAAATGTTTTAAAAGTCCAGCCCGCTTCGAAAAACGATGGCTCATCACCCTTTCCTTTGTTTTCCCTTTTGTATGTTTGAAATGTTTTTTCTTCTTTCATTTCGTTCTATTTTAATGCTCCTCCGTACAGCTTCTGTTCCGGCATCCATCCATTCAATTTTCTTTTTTCAACATTGATTTGCACATATTGCGAAGAAATTAACAGAAAGGCAAGGATATTTTTTTTATTTTTCAAAATTTTTGGTATATGATAATTAAGTTTTGAGTTAAAGAATTTTTTTTTCACATTTTGATAGCTATTTGTAACGATTCAGACCTCTAGAAAAGAAGTCAGACCGAAAAACCTTTTGAGAACCATACACGAGCATTTTTCATTTTCAACTTCTCGTTAACATCTAGGCAAAGAAACTTCAACGGTTCTTTGCCTGGACTTTAACGAGGCAAAAATTTTTGCATAATTATCCAAGCTCAAAAACGATGAAGGAATTCTGGGAAGGTAGCAAAAAAGCTGAAAACGCTGCCAAGACGCAGATGCGATCGCTAGATTTGAGACATTTCCGCACGGGTGTCGGTGACGACGGATTTCCACATTCGTCCGACACTAATTTTGCCTCATTATTAGCGACGGTCGGGGCTTCCGACAGACCAGTTGCGTCGCACTATTGCAATGACATTGGGCGAGGAGGAAGACGATGAAGGAGAAGAACGTCGTCCCGTGGGCACACATTTCCTTCTTTTCTTATCCATACCACGTTCCCCTCATCTTTTTTGATAACTCACTGTTGAAAAGACTCTCGATGATATGCGCTGTCGAAGGTGGTTGATCATCATATCTTGGCGATGAGGCTTCTGCAGAAGACTTTAACAGAGGATCCGCAAAGCCACGTGCCTTTTTACAATAAAAAAGGCAGTTTTTTGGCTTAAAGATTAGCAGAAAACAAAATGATCCCAGAGAAAGTACCCTACCTTGAGACAGCTTCCTTAATTTGAAAATCTGAGAATAAAATCTCATCAAGGTGAAAATAGTTCATCGCTAACTTTTCCCGAAACAGATGTGTATCTTTTTAGCGTTTACTAGAAATCTCCACACTTATTATTATATTTGTTTTAAAACGAAATTCTCAATAATTCACTCATATCTTAATTAGCTCAACAAAGAGAGGAAAAATTGTTTTATTTCACTTCATGATCAAAGGCAAAGAGAGCAACCATGATGAGAATAGGGAATCAAAATTGGAGCTTTTCAGGAAAAAGAGTTTATCTCGAGGTGCATAGATAACTTTTTCTTGAATTCACTTTCGATTTGCTTTTTCGCCACAAGATAAAAATATAATAAATCAGACAGCTTCAATTTTCAAACAAGTAGGAAACAAAATGATCAGTCAGTTTCAGTTTATGGCGAAATCTTAATAATTTTATTCCAAATTATTCTTCTGATAGGGGTTCTACTAGTTTGTTAGTTTGCTGATACTGATTTCGGTGCGCGAAAACAGTTGTGAGATATCAGAACTCGCAGCGGGACGTCGCCTTATCAACGTCATCAGGCGCGAACGATCTGCCACATGTTTAGGCACGACGCCGTTCGTTTTGTTCTCTCATTGCCAATCATGGCTAGCCGAAATCGCGAAAGCAACGGAGGAACACCCCGAATAAGCTAGTTATCAGCTTGTTTCGACTAGAAAAAAAAGCGTTCCCATCAATACGGAATAATTACACTTTTGTAATCTTTTTTTTTCCTTTCTTTCACTTTCCGTCTTTTACATTATCGAAACATGCAATTTGATTTCGAAGTGCATTTAGTGTCTCATGTGTTCCGATCCTTCTAGACTCAATCCATTACTATTTTCGAGTCTAAAAATGGACTCCAATTTTTAGTTATACGAGTGTACTTTACCAAACCTGAATCGAATGCCCAATACAAAATTCTTTCTGAAAATTCGCTTTAGACACCTGCACATAGCATCATTTCAACAACAAAAAACTCTTATCATTTTTTTTTCGCTTATCAAGTCATTGTGCTTTGAGCCAATATCATTTTAATGCATTTCATAAGCCACTCAAGTCGGTTAAAACGTCTCAGTTGTTCAAATCCCAATGTTGAAAGTTCATCCGCGACAGAAATTAGAAGTTTAGCTTGATAAATTGACTTCATTTTTCTGCAAAACTAGACACGTTAGAGCTTTGCTCATATTCTATTTACGTAGGTTGAAATCCCTGTGTCATAGAGAAATGACTTGACGGCCAAATTTTTTTTTTTCTCTCGGAAGACGCCTCGATTTCTAGGTGTTTGCCGACCCGAACGCCGTGGGCGGAATCTACGCCACGTAGGTCAAACTTGTTGCTTTTTCCTCTCTTTTCTTCTCGAGTGTCTTCATGCGCTTGTTCCAAGCCCAACTGAACACATTTCTTCGCAACATCAATCGAAAAATAACTCCTGACTTTTTTTCTGCGATTTCTGATATCTTTTGCTTTCCAGTTGATTTTAAATTTTACAATGAACTCACCTAAATATTCTTTAGTCAAATCAATTTGCAGATCAGTCAAATTCTCCTAATCAAGGTTACTTTCAAGTAATTCTCGTTTATCTTTTGAGGATAAAATCACTGATTTTTTAATGTTAAACTAGCAAAAAAATTAATAATCTGTATATTTTTTTATAATCATCCTCTATTAACGGGAAACATAAAAGATAGCACCCGTTTGGTTAAATTCGTCTTTTTTTTTCTTCCATTTTTCTTTGATCACTTCCATCATTCAACATCGGTAATCTGAGGAAGTTTTTTTTTTACAAAGAAGATTAGTTACAAAAAATTTGGTGATTTTATCAGTTTGTTTCATCTTCCACATGTTTTGTCACAAGCCTGTATACGTAGCACAATTTTAAAATCTTTTTAAACTTTACTTTGTAATTTTTTAAAATTTTTTCTAATTGATGTGAATATGAGCACTAAAATCTAATTGCCTTTCCGATCAGAAAATGTGACAATTTTATGCTTATAGGCAAAACTGAGATAGAAATTTTCTTGGGTTAAAGTCCCTCCGAAGTCTGGGATTCGTCCTCAAAAAAAGTTTCGTGAGAATCAAACGTCGAAAAACAGTGACGTTCTCAGGGAGCATAGTGGCCAAAGTTCGAAGCCTTCCCAACACCTGTTCTTCAGACCGCCGAGCCTTGTTTTTAAACCTTACCGAAAAACTTAAGCCGTCAACGAGACTTTCCAGATTGTTCGTTGAACTTTCAAATTTTCATCAATAACGAAAAGTGCTTTTCGAAGTTAATGTTTTTGAATCAAAGATGAATAAAATAGATATGATAGTTAGACTTGCTTTTTTTTTCTCTCTCTCACGGTAATTCTTTCAAGGTGAACGATCTCACGATTTGAAAGCCTTGTGGTATATAGTTAGTAGTAATTCACTTATTCACAGGCAAAAACAGAAATAATGTACAAAAAGGTAGAGTAAAAATAGCAGATAAACCCGCAATAAATAGATAAAAAGGCAATTTAGGCTCTAACAAGTCTCTGGGCCAGTAAATGAAGTTGGTTCTGAAGGTCCAAAGTTTAAATTTTTTTAGTTATACCGGCTAGGAAATAAAAAGCGCAGAAGAAATAATTTTTCTTTTTAAAAAAATCGATTTTTTTGAAGTCGGAAATGTTTTTTTATCACGCCGTCTCGAATCAGGCTTTTTCTTTCTGTTTTAAAAAAACTCCAAAATTAATCTGTGAAACCACGTTTGAGCCTACGCAAAGTAATTGCCAGGGTTTCACAATGATCAAAAGCGACGGGCGGCGACACCTGTTCTCCTCATTCTTGCGTGTGTCTGTATGCTCCAGGCGGTTCTCCATGTAAATATTGTTCGCGACAGAAGGAAAAAAAAGTTACGCGGCAACTGCTGGGCTCACCGTTTTTATTTTGAGTACCGGAATTTTTCGAAAAAGCAGTTATCATGAATCAGGAATATTTCAAAAAAAACCTTTGTGGTCGGTTTGAAAAATAATAGTATTTTTTAATACATGCTTGGTGCAAAAGCTTCTGATAAGGGAGATAGAGTTGTAAACTAATAAATACTCGAAACAGTTTGATTTTTCCGGGTCGTCTCATCTTTCGTGTACGCTCGCGTGTTCACGTGCTCTTTCGAAGTTTGTATGGCATTTTCGATGAAGGGGAAGAGAACACAGGCAGGTCAGACTGTCTCCAGTAGGGACGAGTAGAGTTTATTTTAGATAATTCCAGAAAATAACCTCAACTTTTCCGATTTTTTCATATCGCTAGAGAACTTTCCGACGGTCACCTTTCCAACGGATCCCTTTCCGACTTTTTTCCCTTATGGTTTTCGGTTTATAAAACACCTATAAACATTTTTTTTTTGATTTCTTTGTGTTTTAATCATGAACCAACTACCTACTTTATATAGGAAGATTTAAAACGAAGATTCTATCGAGAAAAAAAGTCGGAGAAAGATACCTCGGAAAGGTGGCCGTCGGAAAGTTCCCTAGCGATATGAAAAAATCGGAAAAGTCGCCGTTTGAATTTTCGCTGGTGTTTTTTTCATACCACCGAAGTGTTAACTTTGGCTTCGTTCTCGAATATTTCTGCAAATCTATTTTTTCTGAAAAAAATGTAAATTAAGTTTGAAGACGAGTTGAAAGGTTCTTGATTAAATAAGAACTTTTTTCTTTTTCAGTACATGGTCTAGGCTTTCTATTGAACTCGATGAACGTTAGGGAATAGATGTCGGACGGTTTTGGGTGGCGAAAAGAACGAATTCCGATCGAGCGACAGCCTCTCGGCGCATTTGCATGAGTCATGTTTCCTTGTGCACACGTCGCTTTCCAGCCCTACAGGCATCATCATTTCTCTCACCATTGGGACTTGACGAGCTTCCACGTCTTTGGAGAACACCTCCAAGGTATCACTCAAGTGTTTTCTACCCTCTGAGAAAACTCTCTTGCGGTCCCTTGAAAAAGCTTTCTCAAAAACTGGTTTTAATTACAGTAACTATATTAAAACATCAACGGGTGAGATAGACTTTGGAAGAAATCTAAGTATTTCACACAACCGAACGACCTGAAAAAAGGTCATGATAAGGAAATTGTCACTTTCGCATTGAATACTGTATTTGGGCAGTTTTCCGTTTTGATTGGACTCCTGTCACTTCTTGCTATTATTTTGATGGCTGTATTGCTGAGAATAGAACAATCATAGCGCGAGTCTTTTTTAATTGGAAAATTATCGGGATCCACCTACCAATCGTCATAGTTAGATGTATCATCGGCCTTTCGGAGGACATGAAGAAACATCTTTTCGATTCAACTTTTGCAATAATTTTTCATGTGAAACGATTTTTTTCTATTTCAGCTTCAAACTTTACACTCATCAAAATCGAATTGATCAAAAAGTAACCGATATCTGCTGCCTCCTGTATTTCTCTCTTTTCTGATGCCTACTTAACAAGGAATTTGCTTTTCTATGATTAATGATTTTCGAAATAAAAAGACCTTTCACCTGAAAGTTTTGATTAAACTCCCCATTATCAAAGTGTCAGAAGTGAGTCACTCAGTTCGCCCTATTTCGGCAGGTTTTTCTTTCTTTTTTTTGTTCATTTTTTGTTTATTTTCACGTATTTTTTGATTTTTTTTTTTAAATTTCAGAATTTGAAAGTTTCTGGCTCTTATTCAAATTCAAATCGTTTCATTAAATGAAGAAATTGAGGTACAAATTTTTGTAACTTTTTTTTGTTGCGAAAATCGAGCTTTAATATTTCGATAAATATTATTTCAAGACCAAATTATCAATAAATTCAACTTAATTTATAATTTTTCATTTTTTTATTTTTTTAGAATTTTTTTGAGAAATATGTTTTTTTCCAAATTCATTTCATAAAGGAATGAATCATTCAGATCCAAGGGCCTAAAAAGAATCCACCAAAGGCCTTGGACTCTTTACTTCACCGGAAATCGATACCGAAAAGCAATTGCCCCTTCAACCGTCTCTCCTCGGCACAATTATGCGCGGCCTTCGAGTAATGTCGTCATGAAGAGAGTTTTTAGTCTCAACGACTCCTGAAACTCAAGACCAAGGACGTTTCTTTCTCTAGCAGCTTAAGAACTCTTAGGAACTCCTATTGATGAACAAAACCAGAAGATAACGTGCTGAAGAAGCTTTAAAGAAAGTTTAACCAAGAACCAAATTCATAAAAGAATAACTTTCCCTCATCTAAAATCATTTTTGTTTAGGGCATGAAAATATTCTTGAGAAACAGATGGGAAAGCTCCCAAATATACTGGGAGAAAGTCGAGAAAAGCAATTTATAAATCGTCCTACAGCCCGAGAAAATAAAGCTTGATAGCTATATTTCTTGGATCTTCAAACGATATGAAGAGTTCTAGGCTTATTATTTGAGAATCTTAAGTTTCAAGTTATATCACCCCTAATGAAGTTTCCTAAAAAAAATTCTTTGAAATTAGATATATCATTGGATTGCTACTGTTTCAACTGCAAATTACTGTGCTGCATTTTCAGACTTCTCAATGATCCAAGCTACTCAATGTTTTAGTCCTAATAATAATTCAAACGTGGACCTACGACCACAGACCTAACCGATCAATCAATAGTATGAATCTGCTGTAAATGTTTGCGTGCGCCTTGTTTTTAAATCTCGAGCTGAAGGCAAAAAGCGATGGAAACAGAAAAATGAACGGACGCAAGGGCTCCGGCGTGTTGTAATTTCTCTGTGGCGTCTCGGTTCCTGCCTGGAGGCGCTTCCTCCGTCTCACGGGCATCTGATTCTGCGCTGTCTGTTTTATAGGTAGTCCGAGTCACAGGCTCGACCTCCAACAGCTCAATATACGACATCCCTGAACTTTATTGGCCCTTCACGTCTCGTTCCAATTAATCTTAATCTTTTAACGTTTCACGCTTCTTAACTGTTTCAACGTTCATTTTGTCATTTTCCCGATTTCAGAGGTACTGCCGACGCCAAACTCAGTCGCGATCTTTGTCGACGCCCGTCATGTACGCCGGAAACCCCATTCTTGACGTTTGTAGTTCTATATTCCCGGTGTTGCGCAAGAAGAAAATTATTTCGTTATCACTTTGTAACCTCGAGGAATAGGTCCTTAACTAGTTTCAATCGATCAAATCATTTATTTTGTTGTTTTAGTCAGATATAATCGACAAGAACTTTTAAAGCTATAACAAACAACCGCCTTTGGCGAACTAGAAGTCCTAGCGTGTAGTCGAAAGAGTGGAAAGCATGGTCTTACTTTTCTCGCCTCGATCTTCTGCGCGTAGTCCGTTCAGTCGTAAACAAAAACTTCCTGGCTCCTAAAATGACGGCTCAATATTGATCTTTTTCACATTTTTCAGTTGAATTTTCCAAAAATTTAGTTTATTACTGGATCTCGTTGCTTCACTATAGGTTTCTTTCATTTGTTTCATTGTGCTTTCATTTTCGAAAAATAGTAGGTGGTTTTTTTAGGTAAAGTTAACAAATAATGGAAAGTTTTAAATGACACAAAATGTTGCTTTCTTTCTTCATGTGGAACCTATTTAGATATCGGATTTCTCATTTGGAATCATTTCTTATTTACAGGAGATCAAGAAGGGGTTTAAGCTGCGGCCGACAAAAACTGTCGACAAATCCAAGCCAATCATATATGCTGAAGGTGAAGATGAATCCGAAGTTGCACCGACTAAGCGGCCGCCTCCGTCTGGCATCGCTCCGCCAGGAACATCGACAGTTCCTAAGCCAGTCGTTCCCAATGGCTTCATACCACCTCCGATTCCGTCAGGAGCTGGCGGAATCCCTCCTTGTCCTCTTCCAGCTGGAGGAATACCACCGCCTCCGCCAATGATGCCTGGTCGAATTCCTCCGCCGCCACCACCAATGCTGATCGGAGCCCCACCACCGCCGCCAGCAATGGGAGCTCCACCTCCGCCGCAAATTCAAAGAGCTAAAAGTCCACTGAATCCAGCGCTGGCTAAGCTCGGCGGCAAGAATCCGCACACAGTTGACCATGGGGCACTGCTCAAGGGAATCCAAGGCGGTTTCGCTCTCCGCAAAACCATCACCAACGACAAGTCCGGCCTGGTCGTCGACGATGAAATGCGCGAGAAGAGTGTGACGCTAGTCGAGCGGGCACCTTGCGAACTCATTCCACAGACGCCGGAGCGCAGTCGAAGCCCCGTTCCCCAACGACCGCATTCTTCTCTCGGCTTTTCATCTGACGACAGCAGGTTTGCCTTTTTGAATAGTGTAAGACACAGAAAGAGGCTTTTAATCGACGCCTTGAGCCGACTGGAACCAAAATACGTTCATCGAACTTCAAATGACAGTTATTGTAGGAAAGTACCGGCTATTCGAGGATTCCTCTCTTTTGCGGAAAAAAAACAAATTGTATTCGCTTCAACAAAAGGGGGAACTGAGCGCAAGATAATGAATACTTGAATGGAGATTTTTATTTCTCCTGAAAAGTTATTCATAAATTTTCAAAGAAAAAAAAAAGCTTGAGTCCGAATTCCATACGATGAGAAATTATTTTTCAAAATTGTTGAATAGATCGAACGCACTTAGTCAGAACTTGATGGAATGTTGACCGTTTGTGGAATTTTAGGCTGAATCTTTCAAAGATTCAAAGAAAATATCAAGGATTTCAAGAAAACAATTTCCAGGTTTAAATCAACCTACATTCCACCGGTTAAACGAGACGATTCGCCCGAGCAACTTCTCGGACAACGTCGTCCGATAGTGATGCGCCGCAAAGGAGAGCCGCCTCCGCCGCCCCCAGAATGCGGTTTCGATTCGCAGTCTCTGAAAGTCACCGCCGACGACATCAACAAGGAGATCAAGAAGGGGAGCGTCGCGTCGAAGATGGCTGCTCTCATGGGCAACATGGGTTTCTCTCAAGGTCCTCTATTTTTTTTTCTTTATTCTTTCTTCGGCGTTTAAGTGATGTTCAATTTTTGGTCTAACAGTTAATGTCCTCACTTTTCTCTTGATGCAAGTATAATCCGCAAAAGTCCGATCTGAAACATAAATTTAACGAGAGTGTCTAATCAAGCTGAAATTTGAGAAAACGAGCAGGCAGTTCACTCGTTATATTCAAGTATCGCTCTATTTGAACTTCTATTTCCATAATTATCAGTGAGAGTTGAACGGCAGCTTGAGTCTAAATATCTTATTCAAACGACTTTTCGAAATTCAACGTCATTGGACACTTTTTTGGAACAAATTTATTACAAAAACACATGTTTGTTCATAGAATTTTGCGCACTACTGTTTGTTTTTAATTGATTCGATTTTTTTCAATAAAATTTGATTAGATTTTTCAAAAGATTTGAAAAAGTCTGAAAAAGAATTTTTACCAACCAAAAAAACAACAATGAGATTCGTTATTGATGTCTTTATTGGAAATTGAGCTCATATTTGAAATCTCAGATCAAATACCTCAAGGCGGCACGATACCGAGAGCAACCTTCCGGCCAAGTCCAGTTCGCAGTAGCTTCCTTTCTGAGGTAAAGCTTGATTTCCTTAACTTGAAAAACACCATGATTTTTTTCAGGTGAACAACAACAACAAACAGGACGAAAAACCGAAGCCGGTTTCAAAATGGGCTCCTGTCGACACGAGCCACGGGTTGAGAACGGCCAGTCGAGGTGCATTGAATAGTTGATTAATCAAAAAAATCAAGATTTCAAAGAGTATTCACCTATTCATCCAGTTAGAACTATTTTCATATAGTTTCTTTTGCGAAAAAGGGTATTTTTCCATTTAAGATAAGTTAAAATAAAGTTTTTTTAAATTTTTCTTTTTGCTTTTTACGCGTGATTACTACTACAGATATCTATAGATCTTTTGATTTGGCCCTTTTTTTTCAATATTCGTATTGTAGTTCAGGCTCATAAGCGTAAAACGGCGTTCGAAGTCTTAAAAGCTGAAAAAAAGCCTAGCCGAAAACATAGATATAAATAATCTGTGGAAATAAAAAACTAGAAATGTTTCGAATGAATCAAGAAAAAGATTACAGCAAACGTTCCGGTGGTGAAGGACGACCGGGCTATCTCAGTGACGCGCGACCGAAGTTCATCCTGGCTGGATCAGCCCCGACCGAGCCTAGACCGTGCCCGAACCCAAAGTCCCACTCCGTTCTCGGCTCGACAGCCGTCTTCCGACTCTGACTTCGACATGGAACTCGATCCCGAAGAAGAGTATGAAGACGAGGAAGAAGTCGAGGTCGTCGTCGTCGCCCCGAAAGTCGTCGAGAAGCCTCCGCCGCCCAAGCCGGCCCCTGCTCCCACCCCTTCGTTCGCTTCAACGTTCTCGTCACGGAGAGGCAATAAAGTTCCAGATCCCATCACCGTAAAGTCAGTTCTGAATTCATAGAGGTTTAAGAAAGGTTCGATGTCTCGTTTTCCGAAATTTCGAAATTGAAAGTTTTCCGAAATTCTTCTCGGACAAACTCCTGATAGCTCTCCCGAAGTATTGGTCGTTGAAAAAAGAGAACTCAAAGAGTATAATATTTTTTTACAACGCCGAAACTTTGATAAGATTGTTTTCGACCATTCTTTTCAATTTTTTGCAAACTTTTTGTCTTTTTTTCTAAATGAATGTAGTTTTCTGATTTTTTTTTTTTTGTATTTTCCGATTACTCATTAAACTATACTGAAAAAAGGTATTAAATTGTTTTCCTCCCGGGGTTCTATAGATCTAATACCAGTTTCAAAATTTTCAGGACAGACTTTTCGTCACCGGCTCAAAAACCATCCAAACCGACGCCGGTCATCCAGGAAACTCCGCCGACTCCGGCTGGAAAGAAAACTTACTCATACTCGAACACTAGGAGTACCGCCACCACTTCCAACAACGTTAGGTACATCTTTCATTTAATTTTTTCTTTCGACATCTGATTCTCTTTTTCAGGCCGTCAACTCCCGAAACGATGCCGTCTCCGATTTCTACACAGTCTTCGGCTCCTTCTCCGTCTTCGTTGTCCGCCGGCAGCGCTTCGCCGGAGTCGGTCCCCAAAAAGAAGACCTTTGCGAATCCTGCCTTTGAAAAGGTACTTCTGTTCTGGGGAGTTCGAGAATTTAGGAATTGAAGTCCGGTTAGAGGAATGGTCTACTATTTTTTTGAACATGACTTTGTCTTCAGAAGAACTGACTCATCGTCAAAATTCGTTCCAGTTTAATTATTCGAAAAAATGCTCAAGGAATGCCTTCTCAATTCATATTTGGTGAATTTCTAAATTTGAAGGTTACAAGGTAACTATTATAATGGGAACTTTAAAAAAAAATCGCAATCTTCAAAACTTCTAAATTCCGATGAAGGGATTATTCAAATTTATTTTTCCTTCCATTCTCTTTACGTTCTCTTTACGGAACTAGGGATTCTACCGGTTGAACTTTTTGAGAAACGTTGCTTTTCTAATTAGAATTTTTCTATTTTGCTCACCAGGAAACGTTTTTTACCAACCGGTGGGTAAAAAACGTACCCTAGTTAGTGATAAGGCAAGGCAAAATGTTACAGACGAAGGAGAAGTGGGGTGCAGCGGTCGTGGCCGAGGACTCATCGGCAAACGTAACGCGACCCTACTTGCTCAAAGAATCGACGACACCGGAACGGTCGACGGCCAACGAAGTCAAGGCAAGAAAAGCGTCTGTCGCTACAGACAACGCAACGACGCCGAAGACGACGGCAGCGGAGGCGAAAGGCGCCGCTGCCGTCGCCAAAGCCAAAAGTGGCAAAGGAGCTTCTCAGCCCAAGAAGCACTCACCCTCACCGCCCACTAACAGTTCCACGGCTTCACACACAAGCACAGTCGCTGCTGCTCCGGTCGCAACTCTCAAGAAAACGCCTCGAGCTGCCGCGGCGACCACGACTCAGAAAAAGTCTGAACTCGCCGGCGGATCGATCCGCGATCGCGCCAACAAGTTTCGCGAGTCTCTGAAGGCCGACGAAGAGAAGGGTCGCAAGTCGCCAGCTCCGCAGGTTAACAACACTGCTTTGCACTGTCTTATGTTCTTAAAACTAAGTCTCTCATGTATGGTATTACGCAAAAAATTAGTTGTGGCGAAAATATCGATGGAAACTTTCGAGCTGTCTTTTTACAAAAGCTTTTGAGCTAATTTTGAACAAATGAATTCAGAAATGAACAAAGAGAGATGGCTTCAAAAGTGTTTCCCTGTAAGGTATTTTTAATTTTTTTTTTTTTCAATTTGTGTGATACTTTTTTTTAAAGTTTATCGCTGCTTTAAGTTTCCACTAACAGTTTTAATACTTTTTTCCTCGAACATAACTTTAATTCTGTTATTTATTAACAACACGTTATTAGTGTGTTTTACTAATTGGTGGAATCGTTCGAGTTGAAATTTATGCTTTTTCTTATCAACTTATGAGGTTCAAGCTTCAACGAGTTGAAAAAGACTTGAGAATTTTTCACAGCTATTTTCTCTACTATCACATATGCTGGCTTCTGGAAGAGAGCTATTTTCGTTATGAAACACTGAAAAATTGTTTTCAAGTCAAATATATCATAACATATAGTCTGTGTACCACGACTTGGAATTTCATCGAACGACATTCCGCTGTTCCGCTGCATGCTCGGCCGCTTTTAATTTTCAACTTTACTTAAGAACTCGACCAACACGTGTTCCTAGTGAAAAATTCCATCTATCAGAAATGAGAACCAATTCAAAGCGATACCGAGGCTCGCAAAGACGCTTCGCGACACAGCGGAACAGCGGAATGTCGTTCGGTGAAATTCCAAGTCTTGGCACACAGACTATAACTAATGGGAAAAATTTCAGTTTTTTTTTTATTCAAGTCATCTATCTCCTATGTCTAGAAAGGACTCCAGTTCTCTACTATCTATTCTGACTGCTGATCAATTTTTCTTTTCAATTGAAAACCTAAAATTACTCCAAAAAGTCAATATATCGCCGTTTTACAAAAAACTGTCAAAAACAGAAACAAGAACACAAATAGCCTCGTTTCTGTGTGGGTTGAGCATGGTTTGATGTTTTCAGCCGTCACGTGTGGTGAACGTGCCGATCTCGGCGCCATGGCACCGCCGACAGTCGGTGACGTCGCCTTCCTCCGGTGACTACTTCAGTGACTGCTCGCCGGTAGGAGCGCCGTTGCGCCGCAGCTTCGCCGCCGACGGCAGGTCGTCTTCCGTGACTTCTCCTCTGACAACCACGTCTCATTTTGATTTGCCTTATCGGGTGAGCATGGGTTTTTCGTGAATGTTTGCTCAAACGCACGCATCAAAGATCAAAGTCGCTGAATTCAAACTGCGTTCAAATTACAATTTTTGAAGATTTTCTGTTGAAAACTTATGATCGTAAGGTAGGAATGAAATTTCAAAATTTCAATGTTTTGTTGAAATGGTTTCTAAATGTATGAATTTGGGCATTATCGGCATTTCCTGCGCCAAAAATCAGGTTTCAGTGATACTAGGAGTATTTGTTTCCTTATAATCTGTAGAAATAGTCATGTCATTGCTGACTCGTAAATGACAGCTGTTTGCTCAAATGTTAACTATAAGAAACAGATACTTTTTTTTCGTTTAAATTAGAAATATCAAAAAGAGAAGATATTGAACAGACCGCAGCATCCAAAAAATCGATTTCACTATTTTTGACCATTTTAATTTTACACTGGTAAATCGGGAGGTTGTACAAGTAGGTACCTTCAATCGGCGTATAGTAATCGGTGGTCGTTTATATGCGGCCGGGTACAACCTCTATGGCACCTAGATAATACTGGAGAGCTATCGCGGGTTTGATTTCTGACGAGCGTATGCATACCGGTACCATGAAAGTAGCTAATCGAGAGCTACCTCACAAGCGGTCGCTACCCGGTATCTACTTGCATCGACCTCCCGATTCACCTTTGTATTTTTTTCATTTTTTGTATTTTATACAAAATTTCCATTCTATCGAATTTCAGTTTAATTTTTTTATTTTGCTTCCTCGAGTTTAGGCGAACTCAAAAGAAATTTGCTTGGCAGACAGGAAAAGTCAGTAGGTAGACGGGAATTGATTTCGCCGTGCCGCCCTGGTTCTTTGTGTCTTACTCGCTGCGTAAGCGCATCCTAGCAACAAATCCTGGGAGACTGCGAAAGTGCAGTGGAAACGTTTTTCTTCTAGATTTCCCATCGAAAGAAGAAAGAGTGATATAGTTGGTGATGGGCTTTCACTCCTTGACCCAAGTTCAAAATACAGTTTATTATTTTTTTAACAGGAAAATAAACGATTTTGAACAGCTGAGAAATTAGAAGAAATTGGAGCAGTGCAATCCAATCCGTCGAATGAAATTGACGCCTAGCAGAGGCAGCTGCGCGAGAAAAAAAAAGCGCGTCGATTTTTCCGAAGTATAAATTTGCTCAACGATCGAAAAAGGATTGAGGAAAAAGGACTTTGTTTGCAACGATTATAATGAAATTTTTCTCACAAAAGACTGAAGGCGATGTTTTGAATGCATGTTAAAAGATAATTTTTGCGTGTTTTTGAATTCATAATCATTTTGTGAGTGATGTCAGTAAAGTGAGCGTGAAAACCGATGTTTCACAGCATGACTCCTTGAACGCCTGAGCCAATTTTCCCAGATCCATAATTTGAAAATGAAAGCACAGTTCATTGCAGCGGCCCACTCAAAAATCAAAAATGAACGATTCCTCGACCTAGTTCGGGAGAAAAAATTCAAAGAGAATGGGGATACATCGTTAGAAATGAAAAATGAGAAAACTCAACTCATCATACGTATGTGCTAAGAAACCGCAGTGGGAGTCTGTGAAAATTTCTGACTAGGGTATGGTCTCCCCTGCTTATCGAGTTGAGAATTGAGACTATATGGGTTTGATAGGCCTGGGTAAGAGTTCAAAAATAAAATTCTGCTAAACCCCATAGGCGACCGAGGGAAAGCTTTTTGATCGTTTCAAGACCCTTTTCTCGAAAGTTCAAGCCGGTCGTGAATCGCTATGATTTCAAAAGTCCCGCTGCGACCAGAGTGCTTAACCTGATAAGATACTCGAAGAATTGGCTCAAGCGTTTCATGAATGAACTATCTTTTTGAGACGACTCCATATTTGACGAAAGAATGAGCTTGGCTTCAGGGGGACAACTACTCGATTCACCCCTCGCAGTTGCGTGACGCCTACCGCTTCGACATCAACTTGGCACGGGATGTGCCGATCTCAATCAGTCGGCGATAAGACCTCCCAATTTTCTTTCTTCTCATTTTGACTCAATTATTGTCGAAAAGACAAAAAAAAGTGCCTAGACAATTCTTTCTGGCTTCATCGACAATATTCATCTTCCCCAGTGCTCACATCATATACTTAAAATGGCGTCATATATTATCCATTAAATGTTCTTTTTGTTTGTAAATATCGGGTGTTTTATTTTTTTTTTCCTCTTGCTAGCTGTTGCTTCAGTTCAGTTCCTACCAAATATGTCAAATCATCGATTTCTCACGGTGCTTCTATTTTCTTTAAAAGTTCCTTTCTTTTACTTCAACCCTTCTGAACAAAATTTCATTGATGTTTTTTTTTTCGCTTCCTAGTCGTTCCTTTTAAATGCAATAAACTTGCTTTTTTGAAAAAAAAAAACGTTCATGAGACGGTTCATTCAACTTTTTTTAGGAGGAGGATCGACAGATTTTCAAAAAATAAAAAAATGAAACAGAAAAAATACAACCAAAGAGCAACAATAATAATTTAGAATTACAATGCGAAAAGAGCAGAGTAGACCAATATTTTAAATACAAATGTAAGAAATACTAGTTTCAAACAAACATAATTAAAAAAGTTGGAGGTTATGAATTAATTATGTTAACAGGTACATATACGAAACGATCAACAAAGAGTAAAACGAGAAAATGAGAGTCAGAGGGTTAAACCAGGAACAACATGGTGAAATGGGCCGAAGATTTTGTGCTGTCTACGACCTGAGAGGGTAGTTTTGGATGTAGTTGTAACATGTAGATTGAAGTTGGAGTATCTACGATGCTCAATCGCTCTCCTCGCCACCTTCGCCCTCGTCGCCATCCTCCTCTTCTCCAGAGTCTCCTTCTTCCTCCTCGCCTTCACCTGTAAAAACCGAATATTGAGGCTGGAAACATTTTCTCTTTGGAATTAATTATAAGTCCGAAATAACTTCGCAATTGAAGACTTTTTTTTCCTTCAGTTTCTCTACACAGTGACAAGTCACTTTGAACGCGCTCTTATTTTTAGCATGGCGAGGTTTTCACAAAAAATCACCTCCTTCAGAGCCCTCGCCTTCGCCTTCAGATGACTCCTCGTCGTTCACATCTTCCTCATCCACATCGTCATCCTCCTCCTCTTCTTCATCCCCAGCGACCGCCTTCTCTGAAAATTCTCTCCGTAAAATTTTGAACTTTTGCAACTTAAAGAAGCATGAAGTACTCTTTGCACTGACTTTTTTGAAAGGAAATACTTTTTTCTTGTGTCACTTCCTAAGACACATATTTCCCACACATTCTTGATCGATTGTAAATTTGGTATTGCGCTTGCGAAAGGATGCCTGTTATCGAAGGACGAGGTGTGCGTCGCGGTCGCCGCTCCGCATTACTCTGCGTCAAACGTGAGGAGACGCTGACCGTCTAGCACACGCCGGCCTTGTCTCCAGACATTGAGCGCTCTCTCGCATTTGGCCGTGCGGCTGTCGTAGCGGACTGGCCACCCGTCGCCGCTGTGTGCTGTGTGACTCGACGACGTCGCTGCATGTCGTTTCAAAACGGCGCTCACAACACCGAATCTCTGCGTCCGCAAAACGATAGATGCAGCGCCGGATGAAAATTAAAAATTTTTCACCATGAAATCTCGATTGCATAATGCATAGCGCGGCGTTTTTCTTTCATATCGAACCACTTGATAGTGGAAATCGAAACCAACCTTTAACTGGAGCCTTGTCCTTGGAGACTTCCTCCTGCAAAACAAACACGTTAATGGAATGTCTCGTTAATGATTATAAATAATTCATAACAAAGTTATGAAAGAACACTATGAGCGTGACTCGAGCTTATGGACTATAATGTCTTACTATATCGCTACTTTTTTCTGGCTAATACTAAGTTAGTTCATCAAAAGACTTTGCTTGCAAGCGCCAAGTGCACCTCTATTCCCTCAACACGCGGCAGTCTCTCATACTCTCCCCCTCTCTTTCGGCCACTTGGCATCGCGCCATCTGGCCGCGCGCCAATTCCCTTCCTCCGTCTCTGCTCGAGACAACAAGAAATAGCGTGAAAGGGTAACGCTACAGCACAACAAAATTTGAAAATTGAGCTTCTAGCTTCTACGAACTATATCTTCCAATTGCGTTTTCCGTTGAAAAATTATGATTACAAACCTCGGCTTTGCCGTTCTCGATGCGAGCTTCCTTGGCGTTCACCTCATCATTTTCGTCTCCCTTGTCCAACGGCCTCTTCTCAGCGGTTCTCTCTTCGACGGCGCTCATTTTCGGTTATACTGCAAAAAAAAAAAAAATATCTTCGGCCGTAACAAAGAATGTCTCATTGAGAGACAATTGAAACGCATAAACAATCTATATACACGAAATAGGAAGAAGAAGAATCATGAGTTAAACGAATTTCTCTAAACGGCTATGAAGAACTGAAAGTTTGTTTTGTGATCACGAAACAATTCGCTATGAAAACCCGTGAATACTAAGAACCGTAAAAAAACTTTTCTCTTTCAAGCACTTGGACAAAGTTAAATAAATATCCAAAGAAAGAGTTTTTTTGTATGACGAAAAATTTGCACAATTTGTATGTAAATTTAAAAAAACGAAGAAAAATTGAGAAAAAAATTAGTTATTTTTCTACCAAGTAAAAGTATAAGCTTAGCCTTGGCGGAGAACTACGGCGAAGAGGGTTGCCGAGCTCCCCGTTTCGGCGCGTGGAGGCGGAGCCAATGGATTACTCTGCGTCCCGTCGACCCTTCGCCGGTTCTCTAACGCCTCTCTCTCTTGCAACCACTGTTTCGCGCCAAAAACTAACACGATGCTGACCGCGCCAAGATAAATTTTTTTGATTTACATAGTTATTTTTGGCGGAACTGAAATTTCAACAAGAATTTAAATGTAACAAGTGATATTATTTGCAAAAAAATTAATAATAGATTAAAACAAAACACTGCCACTCTGCTTCTTGAAACTAGCAGGCTCGTCTTCTTTTGAACTTCAGACAGCGATGAAGAGAAAATTTTGAAAAGAAAGAGAATAATATTCTTATTTTTCCTAAAACACACACCGAATATGCAGAAAAAATATGATCGCTGAGGATCAACCAGAAATGAATGAGAAATATTTGAAATCTAAGCTGGAACGGTCATGATTTGAATACATTTTTAACTCGAAGTGAACAAAAAATTTTGGGCGCTGTGTTTAAAGTAATTTCGGCAATTTCCAAATTGACGCGTTATTGGTTTAGAATGATTTTGAGAAATAGGCAAAAATTCGCAGTCTATAATGCTGGCCAGCACCCGTTGGGATAAAACGTTATATTTTGCAAAACCGGTGCTACTGCGGATCATCCAGTGTTTTTTTAACGTTTCGGGTGATCCCCTGGACCTAAAAGGGGGCTCGGCGTGTGAACTGGGCGTTTGTGTAGTGCCGCGTTCAAAGCTAATTTGAATTTGCAGCGAAACAGTTTTTTTTTTTTGGTTCAACGGCACCAGCCGAAACGCAGCAGGTTTCCAAAACGTGACTTTTTGGCAAATGTCCAATATAAATTTATTTTCAAAATATTTTTGTTGCCAGATGGGCGGACACAACCAATCACGTCGTGAGAATCTGCTGCGTTTCGGCTCGTGCTTTTGACCCAGAAAAACTGTTTAAAGACTGTTTTCTACGCGCGACAAATTAGCTTTGAACGCAGCATAGACCCGTTGGACTCTTAGGGGATCTATGCGCGGCTAAAAATTGCGTATCAGGTGCTCGGCTAGGGTTAAACGGGTGATCGGTTGTAGCACCCGCGGATGCTACTGGCAAACATGAGAGTTCCAATATGGCGCGGAAAAAATGAGTTCCTAAAGCGATATAACGCAAGATATTTTCTTTTACAGCAAGTTTTGTGCACGAATTTGAACTAGTTCCAAAATTTTGACTCATGTTTCCTGCTTCCTCTCGGAATTCTAATATTTTCTATATCCCGAAATCATTTCAAACGAACAGCCAGTTAACTTTAAGATCGCCGAAATTACTTTGAACACGTCATAAAATTTGAATTTTTGAAGCTTTCAAAAGTTACTATATGAAATTTCATTCAAATCCACGAAAAGAATTTTAACAAGATATCTTGGCGTTCGTCTCTTTAAAGAGGCTTACAGAAAATTTATACTTAAAGGCATAGGGGCAGTAAAAAACGGTGTTTTAGTTCAAAGCAGTATTTTGCAGAGCTTTTCATTGCAAATCGAACGGTGAACTTGGAAACGTACAGAAGTTCCTAGTTTTGGAGAAAAAATAATTCGAAGTCGGAGAAAGGAAAGTTTGAGTTCCCGCGAAAAGGGCGCTTTGCAGTAAAGTTGCCTATGGACAACAGGCTTCGCCATCTTCCGGATTTTCGCTTTTTTCTTCGTTTCTTTCAATTTTCAATTTTTTCTGTTGTCACCAAAGTTCTTTTCGTCACAAAAGCTTTCTATTCATGTATAGTTTGCAAACTTTGATCGCAAAAAAGCTTTTCTGGTGAAAAATGATCATTTTACACAGGTTTGTGTTTTCTTTATTTTCAATGTGTGTTTTCTGTTTCCTTAATCGATTTTTCAGAGAAGAAACCCTTAATTTGAAACAGTTAGCCGGTTATTTCACACAAGATGCGAGTCTAATGAGACGTCCGCAACATCGCGTGCACGGCTACTGTAAAAATTTGTCCGTATGCCGATCCAAAGCTTTTTTCAAAATTTAAGGCGGGAAAGTAAATCGCGTTTTTCTTCTAAAGTTGTCACATCTGTAATTTTTTTTGAGTACACCATTCGATTCGCAAAGAAAAACTATATAAGATACTGCTTTCACCTGAAACCCAATTTTTTACTGCCCCTATGCCTTTAAGCAGTGATGATTACACGAAATGCGCAAGATTAGAATAAGGGGAGCCGGTACAAAAATAGGGTCCTAAAACGAGATGGCGACTTTTAAAATTATGGTTAAAAAAGTCTGATCGCAAGGTCGCTACCTCGTTGCAAGTACCACTTTTTGCACGGCCTTCGAAATCCCCACTTTTCTTATTTTACGAAATCATTTTAAACAAGAAAAAAGTCCATTTTAAAATCGCATAAACAGTATTGAAAACTGCTTAAAAATTTCACCAGGTGCTGAGAACCCATCAAAGAAAAAACGAGCAAAAATACCATTTTCCCCGAAGTATTTCTGCATGACTTCGTCTTTTACGCCGCGTTCGAATTGCACGGCGTTCTGCGTAGTGGAAGAAAATGTAAAAATTTTGAAAATGCGGAGCGACTTTGAAAGGTTGCTCCACCTAGAATTACGACAGAGAGCTATGCGCGCGAACGTTTGAATTTCTTGTTGCTCAAGTGCTTCAAATGATTTTTCATGTTTATTTGGTGGTGTGAAAAAAAGACCAGCGAAAATTCAAAAGGCGACTTTTCCGATTTTTTCCCTTAAGTTTTTCGGTTTATAAAACATTTATAAACATTGTTTTTTTTCTATTTCTTTGTGTTTTAATCATTAACCAACTACCTACTTTATATAGGGAGATTTGAAACGAAGACTTATCGAGAAAAAAAGTCGGAAAAAGATTCGTCGGAAAGGTGGCCGTCGGAAAGTTCCCTAGCGATATGAAAAAATCGGAAAAGTCGTCGTTTAAATTTTCGCTGGTGTTTTTTTCATACCACCGTTTATTTCAGTTGTATCTTTATCTGTTCGGTTCTGATTTACGGTAATTATTTTTTTCATTGCGAGAGCAAAATGCGAAGGAATTTTTTATTTTAATTTTCTAAATTAACTGCTCGGTTTTGACAAAATTTCCCTTTTAAAGCTCAAAAAAATGCTTTCAGCGACATTTTCAGTGTCAAATAAAAATTTTTTTCATTCAAATCAATCAATCTCTTAATTTTTTTGCATCATCGAAATAGTATGGCGGTGTTGCAGGGGAGAAAAAAATACCACTAGGTGGATGAACTAAACTAAACCTGTGAAGAAAACTTTTTTATAAATGTTTAATGAGTAGGGAAAGAAACGTAAAACCATAATAAGCTATTTGCGGCACAAAATTCTACGTTGTTCACTGAAAAAAAAACACTTCAACTAATCTTGAGGGTTAAAAGGAATAAAAGCGTTCAAGAAGTAAGAAAAACTTTCACCCAAATGTTTTTTTGTCAACTAGAAAAGGAATTGTGAGAGGATCAATTTTTTTCAAATCTGTAATTTTGAAAATACGCTTTTTTTTCGAAGAAAAAAAAAATTTATTTTCGAATGAGTATGCGAGTTAGCGTCGATCTGTGTATGCACCAAAGGCGTCAGATATTACGGAAATTGTGGGAGGGGCGTCGTTAAAAGAACGCCGTGACTGATTTCGCGAACTTAGAAGTAAACTCTGTCTCGCCGATATTCTGTTCATCTTGGAATAATCCGACGTCACCAAAATGTTTGATTTTCAGCATGAAAGTATAAGCATTCGATCCGTCTCATTGAAATACGTACGAATATAATAAAATTATTTGGCGCTAGTAAGAATAAATAAACTTTATGGTGTTCAGAAACCAGAAAAAACTTCAAAAATTTCAAAAAAATTTCGCTGCATTTTTCGACGCTGATTCAATTCAACTATCGCTACTACGCCATGAGAAGAAAAAAATCTTTTTAAAAATAGGAAAAAAATTTGAAAAATTATTCGGAAAAAAACAATGCAAAAAAAGAAAAAATGAGAAATCACAGTAAAAAAATAACCGACCGCGTCGAAGCCCTCCCTCTAATTTTTTTGCTTTTTTTGGAAAATATATTTTTACAGGTTTTTTAGTTTGCAAATCGTTTAGAGCTACCTGATAGTGTTTTTTAGTGTCCACGTTTTGAAACTACATGCTTTTATGTCAAGTATTTCATTTATTTGACGAATTGTTCACTGTGGCTCAGTTTTTTCGAAGCGAGCCACAGTCGGCTTCGCTCTATGCGCGCTCCGCCTCCGTGTGAAGCCTTAAAACTGAGCCTATTTTCTTAAGTAATGCATGAAAAGAAAAAGCAAACACTTCTATTCCTCAGAATAATTACTTGATTGAAATCCAATAAAGTTCATCTTAAATTTTTCTAAGTGGTCGGCGCCAAATAATTTTATGATATTCGTACGTATCTCGACGAGACGGATCGAATGGTTATACTTTTATGCTGAAAATCAAACATTTTGGTAACGTCGGATTATAGCTTCATCTTTTTCACTATGCGCTTTCAAAAAAGTCAAGGATTTTTGTTTTACTTTCAGTGTTCGCGAACATAAAACTTTTAAAAATTTCCGATATAAAATTCGAACTCGGTAAAAAAACTTGTTCTTCATCTTCATACGCAACCTCGTTTCTATCGCAGAAAAAAAAAACACACACACACAGATAAAGATATGATTACAAGAGAAAAAAACGACTTAGAAGAAGCCTCCATTGATCAAAACGGTGAGCAATCTATTGAACACAAAATTCCCATCAGAGAAATGTTTTATCTTTCCATTATCGCCTGATGAGAGGGGACAAGAGCAAGTTTTCAATATCCCCGTTTTTTTTTTTCTATTTTGATTTTGACCTTCATCGAGATGGATTATAACTATTCATTCCAATTTATTGAAAAATTGAATTAAAAAGCAGAAAAACTATTAAAAAACAAGAAAAGGAAAAGTAAACTCGCTTTTGTCGTAGCACCATGAGAGGCCCTGAAACCTCTTTATACCTACTATAGAACTTAAAACCACTTCCTGAGAAAAGTTTTTGAGGTTTATACAAATCGATTCTAAGTTTTCTGTTGTTAATAATAGGTAATGGTTCTTAAAAACAAATATCCATGTGCTAAACGCCACATGGTGTCAAGAAAAAACCGTTCAAAAATTTACATGCAGAAAATCTCAAAGCAAGAAAAAAACAAGGAGAAAAACATATATCGAAAAATTCGATGAAGAAAAGCGTTTAATTTTTCCTGAACAATTTCAACATGCTTCTTCTCTTATGGCGTGTTCATCGGACAAAACAAAAACTGCTCCAAAACACAAATTAGTACTGTTTTGGAGCATTTTCGGCGCGCTGATGAACACGATATTTCGTTTTGAAGCATGTTCCGTTTTTCCGATGAACACGCCATTAACTCTAAAGCGTCAAAACCATTATTGATGATTTTCAGACATCTTCCTCACTAGCAAAAAAAAAAAGCTTGAACAGTCATTTCTCCGATGAACACGTCATTAATGTTCAAATACTTCTGAATAAAAAAGAAACGGCCTAGAACTGTACCCACAGAGTGGATGCTCGACTTTCAAAAAAAAAAAAATGCAACCGAGGCAAAGTGCGCGCCAACGCTCATCGAAAAGTACAGCGGCGTTGAATACTCAGTGAAGGAGGCCCCTTCTAGTTTTTCCGTTTCTATTTTACTATTTTTTTTTAAATTATGATAACCTGTATCTTGTTTCATCTCTTCTCATTTCCGAATTGACGAAATATTAAGATCATAAAATAAATAGAAAACAAAAAAATTGAGTTCAATTCATTTTTTATGTTATGCCGTGTTCAAAGTAATTTCCGCGAAATGCAAAATGGTCTCTGACCCTCCAAAATTTAGTTATCTTTCTCTTTCTCTGACAGCTATTTTGAATTTCGCGGAATCACTTTGAACACGGCATTATTTTCCGTCACGTTGTGTAGCTTAAAATGTTTCGTAGTTCCTTCATATAACTTTTACTTATTCACTATGGAGCAAAGTTCAGTTCATTTCGACTAATTTTGAAATTTGAGAATGTTATGTCTTAAACTTTGAGTTTCACTGTAGTTCCATTTGAAACTTTTTTAAAAAGCGCCAGTTATGAATATTTGTTTTTAAAAAAATCTCAAGAACTTTATTTTTTTATTACCAAAAAAACTTTTTGAAAAAAATTTCATTTTTCTTCAACTTTCTTGGACATTTAAAAATAAATAAGAGAGGTTTTTTGAAATTCGGTAAGCATTTGGTACAGACATTTTTTGGATTTTTTTGTTAGTCGAATTAGACTATTTTTGAAAGAAAAATTTGTTCCGCTAGCCTTTATATAACTATCTTTTGGTCAGGATTTTCATTTATTGCTGTATTCAGGGTAACTATGGTGCACGTAGCAGGAACCAAGGTTCGAGTTGTCAAAAAGAAGATCACGAAATTCAAGAGACATGAATCGGACAGGTATATATATATTTAGTCCAGCGTTTACTCAATTTATTTTTTAGATACAATCGTCTTAAGCCCAACTGGCGCAAACCAAAAGGTATTGATAACCGAGTTCGTCGACGCTTCCGTGGTATGCGAGCGATGCCTACCATCGGTTTTGGATCCGACAAACGCACCAGACATGTGCTTCCCAGTGGATTCAAGAAAGTACTCGTGAAAAACGTCAAGGTCAGTATGATTTAAATGTTTATAAAAGACGGCTTAAATTTGTGTGTGCTGTTTTTACAAAAAAATTTAGTCAAATTTCAGGAATATTTTTGACCTATTATATCCTAGAGGGAAACATGAAAACGTAAAAAAATTTATAAATATGTATTGAATTTCATTTTTTTATTTTTCGAAATAGGCGACTTAAGCCTCAAAAATACTTATTCTACATGTTCGGTGAAGTAGGAAAAAAATTCCTAAATGTTATATTTTTTTGTAGAAAATGTTTAACGTGATACAATATCGAGTTTATCATTCGGCCATGCTTTCTAACTCAAAACTTCAAAACAGCTTTTTTGAATGTTTCAGGACCTCGACATGCTTTTGATGCAGTCCTACAAATACATTGGAGAGGTTGGCCACGCCGTCTCCGCCAAGACCCGCAAACTCATCGTTGAAAGAGCTGCTCAGCTTAATATCAAGTTGACAAACGGGCATGCTCGTCTTCGCACCGAAGAGTCTGAGTGAAGTTGTTGAAATAAATTGTTTTGTACTTTTTGTTAATAAAAGCGCAATTTTTATATAATGAATAGTATCACACAGCTTCACGGAGTCTTTGCAATCTTTTTTCGATGCTTTTCTCGACAGTTTCTTCTTCATCGAACAACCCGAATTTGTTTGTCGGAGCTTCCGGGAGTCGAAGAGGAGATCCGTTCTTGAAAGTGATTGATTAAAATAGATGACACCGAGATTTTGAAAAACCTTCTGAGCATTTACGAGGTCATCCAGTTCTTTTTCCAAGTCTTCATCTCCAGAGATTCCTACAGAGGGCATGGGTCTTGCCATTGCTTCTTCTATTTCACGATAGTCATCCAACGAAGAAACCACTTCATCCATAGCCTCGTCGATCTGAAAGACTAGAGAAATGAATAACCAATTACTTTCTTTTGCTTACTTTGTCGGGAGACAGTCCATGTCTCGAGAGGCTTGCTTTGAAAGCAGCGGTTCCTGACTGATAAGCGTCCAGTACATCTCGGTTATGCTTCAAACAAATTATCAACCAAGATTCTGATATACGCTACCTTCGCTGATGAGATTTGATGAAGCATGGTCAACAAGCGTTGATACTGCCCATCCTTGTCCGAAATATCTTTTTCGGTCCGTTTTTTCTGGCGCAGAAGGTTTGCCGCTTTGCTTTTTTCTCCGGAACGAAGAGCAGCTCGGCATTGCTGGTCATATCTTCGAAGACTTTTATTAAATTATTCGGGGGAAGAACTCACCTTTTGACTTTGAGCTCCAACGAATTTATCTCCTTCTCTACTTTTCCCATCGCTCGGCGGATGTCGTGTAAACTTGCGTCAGTTTCAGTGAAGCAAACCGGTTCTTTGCTCGAAATATCCTTCAAACTCATAGTTTTTCCAATATTACAGTTTTTTTTCGATAAATTTTGTATTGATAAAGTTCTTTTATGTGGCGGAATTAAAATAATCGAGGCGATGAGCTGTTTGTAGTGATACTCTAGTTCATTTCGGACCTCTCTGCCTTTGAACAACTCATAAAGGATTTTTTATGACTAGTGGTTAAAATCGAAGGGAAACAAGAAGAGTACAAGGCTTGGCAAGTAACGAGATTGGTATGTGATCCGAAAGACAAAAAAACTATTTTTTTGACTGCCATTGGAATCGCAGGCTCTGAAGTCTCAAGATGGTACCTCGAGTATGCCACTGAGGACTTTGAGCAAAATGAGATTGAGGGAGACTCTCAAGTACCTTCGAAATAGCTTAGATATAGCTAAAAAGTATGCCGGAGTTCTCACGATGCACACATTATGAGGTCTTCACGATCCATTTTGAGAGGTATCTTTGTCGACACATTATGGCACCCTCTCGATTCGCCTGTGCATTTCCATTGATAAAAAAAACCCATTAGGGTAGATATAATCTCTCGTACAACTACGGCCCTGATACTGCTCACTAGAGTTATTGTTAAAAAAAAACGTCTTTCGCTAACCTTGAACTTCAAAATTTTATCGCCATTTTTCGCAGCTCCTATTGTAAGTTCTCCGATGTCAACCAGATGATCTAACACCATATCGAAGTTTTCCTGAAAGAACCAGTTTTCGAAATAATTTTTAAGAAGATATCTCTCACAGTGTTACAAATGAAACCAGTTGAGAGGTCGTAAAGTTCAACGTAACCAATCAATTCTCCGGAGCAATCAACTTCTGATCGGAGTTCGTCGTTGTAAACTTTTAGCAAACGTTCTGCTTGTTTCTGAAAAAAAAATATTTTTCCATTTCGAAAGTTAGTAATCCAAATTCGCTGTCTTTCAATGCGCATGAAGCAGTCAAATAAATCATAGTTTGCGAGAAATTTCCAGATACGTAGAATGGAAGAGCCTTCAGACTTTATTAAACCGAAAAAAGATATACATACTTCAGAGATTAGAGAGGGATTTAATAAAATAAGTTTCCTTTTCTACACTCGGAAATGGGGTCTAGAAACTGATCGGAGTTCAACAATGATGATCGAACAATAAGGATTCGTGAAACCAGATGAGCTATCTCATTTTTTCGGAGCAAGCAGAGCTGCTGATCAGACCGGAAGCCTCGCCCCGCGAAGCGGTCACACTGTTAGAAGATTTCTTCACAGGTATTCAATGATATAAATGAATTTTCCTTTTTTTCGATCAATAGATTTCTTTATTAGTCGTTACTCTGCGGATTTTTTCCCTTATACTTCATTTTAACATATCTGCTCAGCAGCCAGAGCTGTGCGTTGGGCCGAGGCAGATAGTCGAATCGGCCCACAATCGCGAACTTTTTTTTTTATCTCCTTTGATAATTTACATCCCCTAGTTTCTCTAAATAACAATTTCCGTTTACTCTCTCCCCCATAAACACATTCCGTGAAACTTTCGAGACAAAAAGGTTTGAAAACTGGCGAATTCTCGACCACGTTGCAAAACTATGGCCAGCGCGACTGGCATAGAGCACAACTCTGAGAAAAACCTTACCTTGAGGGTCGGCAAATGAATCAGTCGCTCAGCATCGTTTTTATTTCCGTACATCCAGCTTTTCGTTTTGGATATGCCCCATCCTATCCAACCAGAATGTTGCGAGCGCCAATCCATTTGAGACACAGCTGTCCCATTTCTGATATCAGAACAACTAAAACACGATGAAATTGTAAAATACTACCTTTTCATTTCTTCAATGACAATATCAAGACTGGCCGGTATCCTGTCACCTCTTCGAAATCTCCTTTTCAGAACATTCAAGTCAAACACGGAACTTCTCTCGCCAAGGCAACTGGCAGCGATCGCCTCAGACCAAAACTTGATCTTTCGATCGTGGTCAACGGAATTAACATATCTTTCCTATAACACCGATTTCTTTAATAGAACCGATGAAAAATATCACCTTTATTACTGACATCATGCTGTGCATTGTGACATCGTCCTTCCATGACTCTGGTAGATATAACGACGGGGTTTCCATTGCCTGAATTTTCATACATTGAGTTATTGTGAGCTTACCTAATCACATAAAAAAAATATTCATTCGCGAATGTGGCCATCCTCGAAAGTGGAAAAATAATTGTATAAACACTTTGGAAAAAATTAATACAATTCCCTGAAAACTTTCTCTACGAAACGACTCACGGAATAATATGATTTTCATGAAAAGGCACGCCATTTTTTTGCTTTGAAAATGTTCAGGAAAAGAATTATGAAGCTTTATGCCGTGTTCAAAGTGACTCCGCGGAATCCAAAATGCCGTCAGAAAAAGAAAAAGAAGACTAGATTTTGGAGAGGGAGATATAATTTTTCATTTGCTAAAAAATAACTCTGAGCTCAACTCTGAGCTGAGTGCGGCATTAAATCATTAATCGAGAGCTGTTAGTCCAGAAGGCATTTTTTGTGTTGAAGAAGTCCGCCAGAGCGCAAAAGTTTTTGCTTTAAAGCTGAATGCAGCTCGAGCGCTCTGACAAACTGGAGAGAAAAACTTTGATAGAAATTTTTTTTTCAAGCCGTAATAAAAAAATTAGTTCTAATTTGGATTTCCTTGATTCAAAAACCTCCCTACACTGAATTGTTTCAGGGTGCTAAAAAGTGAGATTTTCGAATAATTAGTTTTAGCCAAGAGTATTATTCAATTCTCTAAATATTCGAACAAGTTTTGTGAAGGAACAATCATCTCAGAAATCGAACTCTTCTGAATCGATTCTGTGTTTAAGCTGGAAATTCTCTTGTGGCGTGTTCATCGAAGAAACGGAACATGCTTCAAAACGAAAAAGCGTGTTCGTCAGCGCGCCGAAAATGCTCCAAAACAGTAACAATTTTTGGAGCAATTTTTTTACGTTTCGAAGCAATTTTCGTTTTGTCCGATGAACACGCCATTGCTTCCAGCGCGCTTTTGAGGGCTGGGCGGCGCTTATGCAACGTCGCGGCACGGTTTTCTTTGTGCCGTAAAAAAAAGAAGAAAAGATCTGACTTCATTTTTTTAAATTTTTAAAATTTAAAATTTGTTTTTAGTTTGCTTGAATCGAGAATCGTAAAACCTTTTCTTGGGTATTTAGTAATGGATAATCATTTGATTGCCTCCAGTTATACGGTGAATAGTTCGTATGATCTATATTTCCTTTCATTCATTCCTTCTGTATAGTTTTCGTGTCTGTAAACGAAGCATTTTGTTTTTACTTTGGCCGAACGCATTTTTTTTTTCTCATTAGAATTTTCTCTGTAAATATTTCGATTAGCAAAAAAACTGTGATATACTTCATGTGCCCATCGCATTGCTTTCTGGACTTTCGAAGACCTATAAAAGCCCCGTGTGAAAGAAACTCGGATAATTATAATGAATTCAAAAATAATTTAAGTTTGATAAATTTTTTTAAAATCTCTGTTTTTCGGAAAACTCAGAAATAAGTGGAACAAACTTTTTCTATTTAATTTATTAAATTTACATGTTTTTCGTTTAGTTTCGAGTTTTTATCAAGCAAGAATACGTTTCTTTTTTTCAAAATTTTTTTTGGACTTCTTCCAACGAAATTTCCTGTCTCAGAACGGAAAAGGATTCATGCGTCTGTTTGTTATTCATATCGCTTGCTTTCATTTCGAAGATGAAACATTTTTTGCAGGCGAAATTATATCAACGGGCGCTGCTTCTTTCCAAAGAAGTAACTGTCTGTTTGGGAAATACAAAAACCATTTTAAAAGCTATCCAACCTGAAAGAACTCGGCAACTCGCCGGATAAGGGCGACGCCCTCGGCCCAGATCCGTTGGGTTTGTTCATAGCCTTTTTGTAATTAGCGATAATGGGGAATTTAAGATATACCGGGCGAAGGCGTTCAGGAGAAGTCGGAAGATATAGATTTAGAGTCAGAGTTTCTCGAGGATAGTACTAGGAAACGTTGCTCAAGTTTAGCTTTACCTTTCGAGCCGTTAAAGGTTTGATCGTATAATAGGTTCGCGATTTTCATTGTTTCCAGCGTGTGAGGATGGATTCTGGCGACTGGAAATTGCATCAGATTGAACCGTCCAGCAGCTGCATGAACATTTCCAGGGAATATCAACAGAATGTGGATACGTTGACAGGGATGGGGTAGGCAGTTTTGAGGATTTTATTGAAGTGTGGTTTTTTTTTGACCGATTAATCTTTTCAAAATGAAGCAGTTCATGAGTTATGGTGGTGTTGATCGTAACAGTTTCATATTATTGAAGGTCGAGGCTCATCATTCATTTATAAGATTGAAGATTCCTGCTTTTCTTTTTCTCAATTTCGCATTGTTGAAGGTTCAACGAAGCCGAGTGTCACGAAGCCCTGAGAATGTCCAGTAATGATTTGGAGAAATCTCTCTCGTTTCTCACTCGCGAAGTATCGGGCTTGGATAGTGTCATGAGCTCTACTTCTAGTCGACGCCATCAAGGTTTTTATGCGACTCAATCAGCTTCCACTCTTTCTTTACTTACACTGAACAGAAAAGAGTTATAAATTCTAGGGTTCGCTCTGAGTAGATACGTGGAAAGTGACGAAGAAGAGCTTGATGAGGACAACTACACATGGCGACTAGAAGACGAAATCCGTGTCAAGTGCGTCATAGACACTTATGATCGTTACATCTTCTACAGAAAACACGGCTCATTTGCCCGTTGTCTTGAGGTTGAGTCCTTCTCCAGTATCTTCAGCAGCCGTTGTTTTTCAGGCTTGTTATAAGATCTTGAGTCGTGGAGAAAAAGACGTTGACCTTTGTTTGAACTTCATCGACGAAGTTATGAATTCTGCCATGACAAGACATGTCAATCCACCGGAGGTATTGAGATTCTTTAATTTTCGCTTTATCTTGAAATCGTTTAAGGGAGTTTTCATTGGACCACTGGAGATCGGTCTAATCAAAGAACTGTATCGAGCAACGATTCCCGTTCTAGCTCTACGGTTAGTTTTTTTCTCTGCGAAATGAAATCGGAATTGTTTGCCACCATTGGAGCGATAGTTTTTTTTTAAATCAGTAGATTCGTCTGTATTCTAACTTCGCTCAGCGACTGCTTCTTTTTGAGTTGTTATTTTCGAAATATCGGAATTTTCAGAAAAAAAAAGTCGTGAAGTATGACCGAATTTTCTTGTTTCGGAAGGTCCAATAAAACGATCTTTCCTTGCAGACTTCGGTTTTCGCCGATGAATATCAAAGTCGTTCTTTGTCTGGAAGAGATTCTCAATCAGCATAACAGGTTCCTCACGAGTTGTCGAGCGATGGATGATGAGCTCTCGTGAGTTCAAGCTTCTCAATCGCATAAAAACCAAAGAAAAAATTCTCAGAAAGATAGGGCAAAGTACAGTAACTCAAGTGGAAAAGCCGCTTTGGTGCGACTCGACATTCGTTGAAATACCGGAACCCAATTTGTTTTTCGTGGTAACTACCGTTATTGAATTTTTCCTATTAATTGGTACAATAATTAGGAAATTGTGGACGACTTCATTCAGAACGTCATCCCATCCATCGATTTGAAGCTTGAAAATCCCAGCGCTAACGTCGTTGTAAGTATTTCGAAAGGATTTTCAGAAAATAAGAAAATGTGATTTATTATATTCCGACCTGGTGGTATGAAAATAAGACGAAAATTCAAACGGCAACTTTTCCGATTTTTTCATACTGCTTGGGAACTTTCCGACGAATCTTTTTCCGACTTTTTTTCTCGATAAACTCTACGTTTTAAATCTTCATATATAATGTAGGCAAGTTATTCATGATTAAAACACAAAGAAATAGAAAAAAAAAAGTTAATAGATGTTTTATAAACCGAAAAGTACAAGGGAAGAAAGTAGGAAAGGGATTCGTCGGAAAGTTTTCTAGCGAAACGAAAAAATCGGAAAAGTCGTCGTTCGAAAATTTTCTGGTTTGTTTTTCATACCACCTCCGACCTATGTACACCTTTCGAACGGCTCTGCGCTTTTAAGCAATCACTTTAGGGGTTTGAGCGCTTTTTTTGGTGTTTACATCAAATATCAGAACACCACCAATATATTTATCTATATCTAGTCGATTCCATCTGACTAAAACAACAAATCAATATTAATGATTGATGATGATAAAAAAATTCTGAGTTTTTTTAACAGTCTATCTATTTCTAAACGATAATTTCTTTTTGTTTCAGGATATAATCTATCTTCTCCGCACGTTTGCCATAACCAGTGCCTTTGTCGACAAAGAAAACAACGAACTTTTAAAGAAAGTCGACTCTTGGATTAGCTTCTCTTTGGAGATCTTGCTGTCCTTGAACGAAAAAAGCATCAGAGACTCAGTTATTTCTTAATGTCTCATGCATTTTTACCCAAGTTAATTTTTCAGAGCTTAAGACACACTGTTTTGGAAGTTTTTTGCGAGCTGACGAAACTTGGTGAACTTTTCAAAATCGACGTGAACGATGCGATTGCGGTAATTGAGATGAGAGTGAATATATGATTTTTTTTCTCGATTTCCAGAGTTCGCGTATGGAATTTCTCAAGAAATGCATTAAATGCTCTCAAATGGAATGCGCCCTATTCGCGATGGAGGAGGTGATCTAGTATATTTCTTTTTTTGCTTTTCGAAAGTTTAATGGTACTTCGATACATGCGATCGTTCTGTTTTTGTGAGCGCAAAAAATAATTAATTGAATTCTTTTAAAGTTGGGTTCTTTGGCTGATAGCTTCTCGAAGCCCTTCGTTCGTGCGCGATTTGTTGTACCAGAGGCTAAACTGAAAGGTTGGCTCCAAGAAAACAACGTCCTGCAGATCGGTTGGATCATCAAAATATAATACTTCTGCAATTTGTTGTCCTTTTTCAGTCCTTACCGGAAACATGGATAATATAATTTACGTGGACAAAATCAGGCCCATCTTGCACTACATGACGTCTGAATTGACGGCAGACGACCTCAGTTTGTGAATCATATGCTTCAAAACCGTAAATGGTCGTCCAGAGTTCGTGTGGTCCCTCCGTAAAGGCCGCTTGGGCGTCAGTGTCGACAATTTCAACAAAATCATGGAGTTGATCGCGAAAGGATTGAATATTCAGCAGATTGAATGGATGAGCGAACTATTCCAAAAAGTTCACAATCTCATATAATAAATAAAGGGAAAAGTTTCTAGAGTTTTCGAAACAAGGAGGTCCGATTATTTGAATCGATTTTTGCCTACTGTCACTTGATGGCACAGTCGACCAAATCAGAAGAAATCAAGCAGAAGGTTAGTTTTTTGTTATTATTTAAGTGGTAAAAGAAGACAGAAGTTTCGCTAAAATGAAAGTAGGGCAGCAAAATCAGAATTTTTCAAGTTAAAGCAAATAATAGAAAATCTAACCACAATTAAATGTATTTAACATCTTCACAGAATCGATAAAACTGAAAGGACCATTTGCAAATGGCAAAAATAAAGCAGTGTGTTATCGTGACTGGACTACGTACGTGTTTTTCTTTGCAGCTGTCAGAAGTGCTAATGCAACTTTTGACAATCGCCCACTGTCCGCCCCAGGTCACGCCATTCAAATCTCTTGAAATGGGCATTAAAAAGCATATCGACATCATCAACATGCTCGGTGACAAATCTGGTCGCGATAGAGTTCTCAAGCAGTTTGTGGATAAAATCAAAAGCGAAGTGACCTATTTTCGGAAACCTTCATTTTTTTTTTGATTTTCCGCAGGACTTCAACATCTTCGACTTGATCTATCTTTACAACTTGCTCGACAAAATCAAGCGTATGTTCACGTCAACCCGACGTTGCGGTGAGATTTTATTCTCATTGTTTTTTGTTCAAACTCGAGTCATCTGGTTCAAAGGAACATTTTGTAGAAGTCCTAGATCTATATGACCTCTTTTTGAAAAGAAAAACTGTTTTGTTCTGGTTTTAAGGCTAGTTCCTATGATGACCGCGAGTGAATTGTGCATAAATCAATATTGGAAGCTCGAATTCTCGAAAATTTGTATCCTGGAAAACACTTTTTAGAAATATTCGATTTTTTTTTGTTTTTTTGAGTTTGCCAATTGTTTTTGTAGACAGGAGTTGATTCAGAAAGCATACAGAAACGATAAAAAAATAAGATGGACATTCAGCAAATCTTTGACGACGTGTATGCGATAAAGGCACGTTTTTTTGATAGAAAACGAGTTGAAAAAAACTATACAGTAAAAACAACAGAGAAAAAAAAATAAACAGAAAAATAAAAAAAAGAGATGGATATCTTTAAGAATCGTTTTTCAAGATTCGAATTTTCAAAGATTGGAGCCCCCAAGAACGTTGTATGCACAATTCACGCTCAAGAATTTTCGCGCACCCGAAATTCCTTTCTACCATCATTCCTATGAACTTACCAATTTTAATTTAAAAAAAAGATCATTATCCTTTTCCAAAAAAAAAACTTTTTTTTTCGTGTTATGTGTTCAATAGGAATTCGCTTCATATTCCTCTGATTAAATCAACTAAGAAAGCACTTTTGGACTTTTCAGTGTCGTATGACAATGTGGCGCTACTGGAATCGATCCGATCGCTGTTAAGAAACTTCGAAATTTTCGAAAAGCTTGTCGACCGCCTCATCGCCTTCCGCGAAAGAACTCATCAGTCTTTTCAAGATGCCCTGGGAACTTTGAACGGTACTGTGAATATGGATTATCGGATGAAAACTTTTTTTTATTCAGTGGGAAACTACAACTACCAGTTCTCTGTGATAGATTTCCAAGCAGATGGAAGTGCGACCTATGGTTTTGTACTCGACAACTACCTGCGTCTTCTTCGGTGGATCGTGGACAACGATGTTGAAAGAAGCATTCATGCATGATTAATCTTAAGCCATTGTTTTCAGATCGCCACACTCTCCGTCGAAAGAATCTCTAGAATGTGGGAAGTTCTAGTCCTCAGCGACAACAGCACGCCCAAAGAGAAATCAGTGCGCGACTTGGCCTTTGTTCTGTCCATCAGCGTCTTTTAGAAACTATTTCGGTGGCTTTCGGACTTCAAACCGAAGTTCCTCCCGAAGTCTTCGGCTCGAGAAGTGCTCAATCTTTTCTGCTCTCTTTCGCCCTTCACTCTGGAGATTGATGGTTTTTGTTAAGCGAAAACTCAAAAAAAAAAAGATTTTGGATAGGTCTTCGTTGCTTCACGCTCTACCTGGACACTTTGCCTGTTTTGACGAACGAAGACATCGTTGTCGAGGACGCCACGGCCATTGTCAGTTCGGAATCATCGCTGCTCTAATGGCAAACGAATTTAGCTTATGAAGAACTGCTACCTTTTCTTCTGGAAGTTGGCTTTGTTCAACGAATTCGACCAGGTGGTCGACAAGGTCATGATCACTTTTTCCGACAGAGGTGTGTGCAAACGAGAGAACCGGTCCTTCAATAGTTTTTCAGAAATCGTCAACGTCGATTCGCCGATCTTGCTCAAGGAGAACATCCTTCGCGTGCTTTCAGTGTTTATAATGTACATGGAGAAACTCAAACGGTAGCTATCAATATTTTACCCTTTTCATCTTTTTTTTTTATTCAGGGAGATTTTTCAAAGAAACGGATTAGAAGAACGGGTAATCGGCCATAGTTCAGAGCATGTTTTAAGGTGAGACCATGAGTTCATCAGGAAAATTCTCTTAAAATTAGAATGTTTATCAACTTCTTTAAGCAATTTCAATATTTTTCTCCTATTCTAAGTCAATATTTGGAGGATCGAGACTCACATGGCAATTTAAGGCAAAAATTTGTCAAAACTAATCCGAAATGTCACTAAGAATAACTGCCGAGATAAACGCGAGGTTGGGGGCGGTACATTGGCTTTATCTTGCATTTCGAAAATTTCCGAATTGCAAGACGCGCCGAGAAAAATGCGAGATCGCGCCTAGAAAAAAGCGACATGTTTGCGAGTTTGTCAATGTACCGCCAGCGTCTCGTGTTTATCTCGGCAGTTATTTTTAGTGGTCCTACTAGATAAAAAGAAACAATAGAACTGAGTTACTTGAATCTAGTCTTTGCGTGTTTGGTCATTATCACTTCATGACGTTTAAGTGAGGAAGAAAGGAAGCTGTACGATGTTCCACTAGGCGAAATGTCGGACGAAGCAGTGGCCAGGAGCATCGACCGTCTCTTGCGTCTTTTAGTTCGTCTCATCTCGGTGGGAAACGAGAAAAATCAGGTGTCGTTCCGACGAAAGAATAATAAGTGATTGGTCTTTTCATAGATGGTCCGCCAGAAGCCTTCGCACGGCTCATCGATTTCGGGTCACGAAGTGGTTTTCAACATCGAGCTCCAGGTGGATGACGAGGCTGAGGAACCTGTGCGCTGGAGGTCCCTCTACGCTAACTCTCACTCCACTGTCGGCGAACTGCGCGTCAGAATCGCTAGCAGACTTTTCTTCGTTCGTTTTGATTGGAAATTCGTTAAAGGTTTAGCGCAAAAGTTGCGTCGTTTTGCTAGTAGTTTATGTATTTTTACATGCATTTTTAAAATTTATTTTTGTGTTAAGGATATTGGTAGATCAGCTTTTTTCCGGCTAGCTCTATGAACAAAAAGTTTCTGTTCCGAAAGTTGTTACCATACGTGGGCAACCCCTCAAAAAGGCCCCCCGGTACTACCCCTTTTTTTGAGCAGACTTCCGGAACCCCACTCCCGCCCAGTTTCTCAAAGCGAAAAAAAACTTTTTTTTTTCTTTTTGGTTTGAAGATTTCCTTGTTATAAAAAGATACAAAAGGTTTAGAAGAAAAGTAAAGCTCTCAAAAAATGTTCTCCACCGAGTGGAAGCGAACCCGCTACCTGATGATTGTGATGAGGCACCTTATACCATTAGGCCACTTGCACTCCTGCCGGGCTTCGATGGCTGGCGGGCCCTGAGTCCGTTACCCTGTGTGTTTTTTTTGCCTCAGCTTTTGAAAAGAGAGGGAAATAGAACATCTTTCTGCAGGCGTGATCTTCAAAACGAAACAAAGTGGGAATATGTAAAATGATGCGAGCAATCTAAAAAAATAACTGTGCAATGGTGAAAAAAAGTGACTATGCCAGAAAAGATGGAAATGGAAAAAATTTTTTGTTGTCCAAATTTTTTAAAAATTCGTTTATAGATGAAATAAAATACGTAGATAACGGGAAAAATAATAAACTTCTGAAAAAATGATTTGCTGCAAAATGGGAGTTCCGGGAAGATTTCAACCGATTGAAAATTTTTTTTCAATCGGTTGAATTTTTTTGAAAAATGAGGGAGCTTTTCTAGAAATATGACGGGCAGCGTCAGCGTGGTTGATTTAGTCAGGATACATCCACAGACCTTTCTGGAGAAGGTGTTTTTCGCGCCTGCTGATCCGGGGGGTTTTTCACCCGTTCAAAAGCATTGGAGCAACGGGTGAAAAACCCCTTGTGAGTACTTTCAGTGGGAGGAATTTGAAATAGCTCAGAACTCTTTCTTTATCATCCCATTTCTCAGATATCAGGCAAAGTTTCAGTTCGAAAATTCATTCGAGTTTTTGGTCTACCGACGGGATAATGAGATTACTTCGGAGATTCAGTTGAAACATGACTGGATGACTCTGAATCAGGTTTTTATTGGCACTGGAGAAATTTGAATCATTGAGTTCAGGTGAAACTTGCAAGTCGATGCGAATCCATTTTCCAGATCGAAAAAGTAATTCTCAACATTGTCACCAAACAAAAGTTGCTTCTTAATTTTTATGTGATCTTAATTTTCCATTTTTTTTTCAGTGCATTCATGGTCAAGAAGCCAGTGTGTGACAGAAAACCGTTCCACGAGAATTATTTGCCTGCCGCCTTGGTACAAAGTTGCAATGTAGGGTTTTAGATTCCTTTCAAGACTCTGTTATTGTTATTTTTTTAAATTTTAGTTTTACGACCTGATCCATGAGCTCTGTCTAATCGAAAATCCAAGTATTCGTGCTTCGTGCCGAGAATTGCTCCTCACATTGCCCACGCAGGACTCTTTACTGGAAATGCTTGGCTCCAAGGTGCGTGCTCAACTCTTTCAGTTCCATTTTCTTGATGATTTGTAGAAGGATTACTTGTCTCAAGAAGATAGAGAACTGCAAAAAAACTTGGAAACTTTCAAAACGACGGTCCTCAACCCACGAGAGCCTTATCGGATGCTCTACGGAATCGAGGTCTGTTTGTTCTGAAATATTCTGATGTATTCTGGTTTTCATCTGAAATTCATTAGTTTTTGACAATTCTAGGGTTTAATGGAAAGGATAAAATACGTACGAATGAAGAAACAATTTGTAAAAAATAGTTGAATGAGTAAATTAAAATTAAAATAAAACGCGAGGCCGTGTCGAGTCTTGAAAGTATACGGCTTTTGAGTTGACTCTCATCAACACATTTGCCAAAAAGGCCGTCCAATCGCGCTGTGGGAACCTGCTGCTTTGGATCGTGATTTTGATTTCTACAGTTGTTGCATTCGTGATATTTTCCGACTTTTCAATCAAATATTTGTAGAAAAAGATGAAGTTAGGAAAAAATTTCGAATTCAGAGTTCTTTTCTGTTTGTTTGACTGTCACAAGTACTTTGGGATAATAATAGTTTATTCACAGATCAGTCTGAACCCCAGCGAGTTCATTTCGAGAAAAATTGATGTAGAAAAAAAAAGTGAAGCATAAAGTACAAATTGAAATCAGTTAAGTCTTGGAGGAATAGAGGTGAAAGTTTCGTTGCGAGGTAATAAATTAATAATTTTTTTAAAGAGTTAGAGTGAAGGTTGAAATTATATTCGGATGTAAGTTTATTCGTAATAGGACTAGTTTTGAAGAAAAAGTTGTTAGAAAACTGACCTTGAGAACGTAGCTGAAGTGGATTTTGCACTAAAATTGATCTAACCAGGGGATGGTCTCCGGTCGCAGTGGGACTTCTCAATGAGACCAATTTTTCCAGATGTAGTTTTTCACGCTGATCTCAAATCTGGTCTCAAAAACTGCCGAGGAGCTCTGTGAAAAAAGTTATGAACCCTCAAAAGTCGAAAATTTCAGTGTTTCCGATTGAGCTCATTTTTTAAGGGTCTGTCCCTCTGGTCACGAAGAACTATCAAGTTTTTCCATTTCCTCGAGTTGAGGAAAGTGATCATGACCAGAGACAATCTTGTGAAGAGTGATGAGATCAGAAATAACTCGTCTAATGTAAAGCGGGGTTTGCTGAAATGGCTCTAGACGATCTGAATAGGTATCAAAGGAAAGGTTCGACCGAAAGTCAATTTTACGTAAAGTTTTTTTTTCACTTCGAGCTGTAAACAATGGGGCAGCTTTATCCAAACTTTATCACAATTTGGAAAAGAATTTTATAGGAGAAAAAAAGAAAATCAATGTGTCACTAAGAAACTAGTCAGTGAAATCGAAAAAACTTTGAATACCAAAATGTCTAATTTTCAAGGCTATGGCTTCCATTGTTTCCCCCACGCGACTCACCGGAAAGTCGTTGATCCTCGCGAGCAGGCTGTCCTCGGCAATTGCTGACACTGACGTCCACGTCGCTCTCATGGACATCTTCCGTCAGCCTCACACCGTTCCGACCATCTCCTCTCATGACAGGCATTTGATTTTTGAACGCGTTCTGCAAATTCTGAGGTTTGCAACCCTTCTCCTTTTACTTAACAAAAAAGGTTACAGAATCGTGTTTGTTCAAAACGGCAACGCCATGAGAACGCTGTGCGACGAGCGCGAAGTTCAGTCTGATATGGGAAAGTACGGATCGAGGATGACAGGCGCTAGCGGAATTCGGGCGCTTCTGGAGAGCACCGGCGACTTTTCGCCAATCAACCTCCCGACCCTTCCCGGTGACGAGCCGCGCGGAGAACTCGAGAACAATCCCAACTTGTGTCTTCAACCCGACGTCATGCATTTCCAAATGTTTGTGTTCATTTCCCTATCAGAGGTAGAAAAGAGCGAAAATATTTTCCGACTACTTCCAATAGCTTACTAAAAACAACAACGTGACGGTAGATATATTTCTTTTATTTTTTTGATAACTATTTTTTTCTAAATTTATTTCTTGCTAAACCGATTCAAAAAAAAAGAAGCTAATTCTGAGTTATATAAGTTCTCATTAAAAAAACCAAACAAAAAATAACTTATTAGGATCTGAACAACATCCGGAAGTATTCATCAAATCTAGCTACTGCATAGTCTGTTTTTCCATTTGGCGTTTTTTTCAACCCCTTTCTTGCACCAATGGCGATAGATAGGGAATAGACGGTGAACGAAACGGTTTGGGGCGATAATTTCATTCGCATTCAATAAAAAGCTGAGCGGTTTGAAAATTCGGAACACTTTTCTATCTTTCTTTCGAAATACATCTTCCAATGTTTCAAGTTTTTTATTTTATTCGCTATGGAAAGAATGCTTTCAGAAATGCGAACATCAGGAATTTAGTTTTATAGTGTTTTTTTTTTGTTGAATGTAAAACTGAATCCATTTGAAGCTTCATTATCGACTAAAAAATGGTGTAGGAGAAACCCAGAAATTTTATCAGCAAGAGCGCAACTTGAATGGATAACAGCCGAGGCCTTATTTTCCAATCAATCAATTAATCAAACCACATCTATTTTTGAATTTTGGAAAAGTTTCCTGCCGCAAGTCATCTTATATCTTCTGAATTTTTTTTATACGAGATCACCGCGTTCAAAAACTATCTCTTCATAAATTGATAAACATACGAGCCTTGAAAAAACGCCGAAGTAATCTAGTATACACGTTATTTTTCGCACAAAAAATTCTTCACACGAGTGGTCGGCTATTTTTTACTACTCAAGCTCGAAATCTATTTAAAAAATGACCGACGCAATCATTTTCATTTCAGGGAAGACACAAAGGTTGTCGTCAAGTGGAACTTTGATCAGTGTTTCGGAATTCTGTCGGAGATCAGGGATTTCATCTGGATTTGCGTCGCAAAGTCCTCCGATCAGTCGGCGGCACTCGTTCCCTACGTTAGTGAGCAAGAAGTTTTGGCCGGGAACAACGTGACAACCGCTAGTTCTATGATTCGTGCGGAAAATGATCGCAGTTTTCTATCCTCAAACAATCAAATTTCAATTTTTTTTTTCTAAGGAACCGACGTTTATTGTTTCCCGATCGTCCGAGAGCTGCTTACTCTGATGTTTCAAATCGCTCATAAATGGATCGTTGAAAATCAAGCTGCCACAAAAAAAAACTTGCCCGTGCACATTTTCTTGCATCCGGCCTGGGGTAACTTCTATGAGGATCTTCTCGTCAACACTGCGACCGCTGATGTAACGTTTTCTTCGTTTAAGAAAAGATAATGAGCAGTTGGCAATTTAGAACTTGATAAAAACATTTCTAAAAAAAAATTTTGATTGATGTGGATGGAGAATGAACAGTTAGGGAATTGTCTGGAGTGAACGTAGCAGATCTGGTGCAAACTTCTGTGGTAGGAATCCCTGACTATGAGTAATCAAAAAAAAAAAGTTATCTGCTAAGCGTCATAGGGTTCACAAAAATAGCCCGAAGAAAATGTACAGGGAATGCCTGAAAGCTGTTTTTTCGAAAGTTTAAAAGTGAAAAAGTTTTTTTAGGAGGACACAAAAAAATAATATTCTCAAATATTCATACTTAAGACTACCCGTCACATAAGTTTGGACCAGACATTCGTTGTTCACTTCAGGAACTTCTCTCGTAAATTACGGAGCCTTTCAACTGATTTTTCTCTTGTAATATTATCATTTTTTTTCCTTTTTCAGTTTCGAACTTCTATGCATGAAGCGCTGGTGATATTTGCAAAGGATTCAATCGAAGTGCGTCATTATATCTTGCGGATGCTTCTTGAACTCGTCGCGAAAAAGCTTCCATTTGAAAATAATAGAACTCGCGACCTTGGTGAGCAGACTTCAGAATTATTGAAACAATGGGAAGCAATAGAACCTTTGAAATCTTCTCCTCTTTTTTTTTACTTTGAAGGTCAGCTTTTTTCTGGCAGTTAGATTACATTCAGAGCCTACATTATAAAACTGGCGAAGAAACCTCTTTGTATCCGAAAACTGCCTTCAGGCTGCCTGCAACGGCGACAAAGACAAAATTCGCTGGAAATCGTGGCGACCATCACAGATTGTTTGGTGCCACGTGAGAAGAGCGTGGAAATCAAGATCGAATGGAGCCAAGTCGGACCGCAGCCTCTTTCTGTATTCTTTACGTCGTTTATCTCGTTTTTAACCACTATTTTACAGATCGTCAACGCCCAAATGGAGAGTTTCATGGAGTTTCCGCCGTTTTTCGGCAACACTCCTGAATCCTTCATCGATGAACAGTATGCGGCCGCTAAAATGAAGGTCCTTCTTTCTCAAACTTTGAGCTTTGTTTTAATACCAAAATTTATTTTAGTTTCATAGTTTAAGGTGTAATATTTGACTTTTCATATATTTTTTTGCTTCTGTAAAGTACTATAGAAGTTAGGATCAATCGAAGAACGACTCTGTAACTTTATTATTGGAAAAAAAGGAGAGCGAGCTTCGTTTATTCACGGAATGACTTGCAAAAATTAATTCTCCCTTTTTTTCCTTTTAAAAAAATTTTTAAGATCGAGCGGGAATATAAAAAATTGGTTTCATTGCTTTAACTCTCACGCATTTTTCTTTTAAATAACATAATTTTTTTAATTCAGGGCACTTGTTCATCTTTATTCATCTTGGTTAAATTTTTCCGCTTTAATGTTTTTTTTTGTTCCAAAATAAAAAGTAAAAAAAACGTCTTTCTTTAAGCTGATCAGTACTCTGCTATTTTGCTGCCACCTGGAAGCCAATGAAACATGTGACCGATTCCTCGACTTTGTCTTCACAAAGTTCTTGTTTCCCTATACGGCGGTCACCAGAAGGTTTGCCACAACGTGTTCGGAAATATTTCCAACCTTCCGAATGAGTAGAAACGAGACAGTTCACGAATCGCTGCGATGGGAAGGCCATTGCCGCGAACAGGCCATCAACGCCTTGAACATTTTGTGCGGTCGCAACTACAAATACATGGACAGGATAATGCACTTCATGGAGAACAACCAGAACCTCGCCAGGAAATACGACTCCAACTATCGAGTATGGCTTCGATCTGAGCGATTGAGAGCGTATAACTGTTTTCAATGAGTCGAAACAAAAATTAAAACAATGTTCAGTGCTCCATGACTTACCATGAAACTTGTCTTTAAACGTATATTGGCAATAAAAAACGGGGTTTAAAGTGAAAACAGTATCTTGTAAAGCTTTTCATTGCTCATCGACCTTTAAAAAATAAAAGATATGGGAAGAAAATAAGCTTACTAAATCATGATCAAATTTCTATTTTTGTGATTCAAGCTGTTAATGAAAACGAAAGACGTCTCATGTATGATCTCAGTTTTTCCCGAATTATCATGAGTTTCAAGGATAGTTTTCTTATGCGCCACCATTATCAGCACAACTCTCAACTTAAAATTTATGAATTGTTTGAGTAAAGTGAAAAGAATAGTTTCGGTTAGTGAGATTTTTCAGAAATCTCAGTGTATCACATCAAAAGTTCTTAACGATTATTTGATTTTTTTACCCCTAAATCGAAAATTATCAGCTTTTTTTGTAGGCTATAACCCGCTCACGACTACACGACCAAGTTGGAATGAAGAACGATGGCGGTACCTGCTACATGAACGCGATCATTCAGCAGCTGGCACACGTTCCTGGACTCGCCGCCCAATGGGTCTCCATGCAATACATCGACCCTTCGCTCACCTGGGGCGAAGACACCGCGTGAGCTCTTACAAAGAATAGGAAAAAACGGAAATCTGAGAGAAACTATGGCTTAAAACTTTTTTTGATCTTCTTTTTGTAACAGATTAGATTAGTATTAAAGAGGGGGGTTTTTAGCAGATAGAAAATAGGAAGTCGGAGCGTTCTGGCTGTCCAGCTTTGAATTTCAAGTACTTCACAAGGGAGCTCATTTTACTTTGCTCAACTTGAGGAAGTTGTGCAGGTTGCGACTCTCAGTATCTTCTTTTGGTACATCAAGGAGCGTTCTAGCAAATTTTCAGGAAATTCAGAACCGCAAAGTAAAATGGGCTCCCCTGTCAGAGCGATTAAGTTATTCATCGAACTAGTGAGGAATCGAGCCCGACAGTGTTTAAAAAACTTAGCCCCTTTTTTCGTATCTGATAAAATCGCACAGAAAACCGATAATTCATTAGCTATCGGAAAAAGCTTTATTTTTGAGCTGAGCTTGATTTGCGGATAGATTTAAAGTATTTTCAACAGTTTGTTTTTCATGTCACTGCGCTTTTGTGCGAGTCGCTAGAAAGCGGACAAAGGGAATCATATTGTCGAGGACAACATCATTTTTAGAGCCCTCGTCGTGGAAATGCAGAAAGTCCTCGCACTGCTGCTTTTCTCGAAGGCGCAGGCCTGTGTGCCTCAAGGCCTGTGGAAAGTGTTCCGATTCGAGCCAGACGTGCCTCTCAACACGAAACAACACCATGACGCCATCGATTTCTACAGCGTTTTGTTGGACCGTTGCGATAATGTTATGCAGGTTTCCACGGCTCTCCATGTGTTTCCCACTCACAGAACATTGTCTTTCCAGAAACTCAATCGACCGCCTCTCTTTCATAACAGGTTTTTCGGCAAGTATAGCTATGAGAAAATCTGCTACGGCTGCTGGCACAGGTTCACTCTCCGCCCGTGTCGTAATCGAACTTTTCTCGCAGGTACATTAGCCCGGATGAAGAATTCAACTGTCTCTCGTTGGCGTTACATGGCGACTCTCTGGAGGAGGCGCTAGAGAACTTCCTTGATGCTCATGTCATGGAAGGAGACAATGCCTATAATTGCGAAAAGTGTTCGGAAAAGGTTAGTCAGAACGGCTTTTTCATTAGCCAAAATCCGAAAACTATATGTTAATAAAAACTTTCCCCAAAAGCTTTTTAGTCCTAAATACCGTTCAAATTCAGCGATGGAAAATTTTTCAAATTTTGACACATAATTATTGTCGGTCTAATTCTTTGGCATTTTGTAAAATATTTAGCAAAGGTGCCGAAAATTCGAGAATAATCTATGTAATGATTTTTCAACGACGAGAAATTTATTGAACGGAAGTTCATCCTACAAAAAAACATTTTTTTAAGTTCAAATATTGAACGTCTTTTTTTGAGTTCGAGAAGTAAGAAAAATCTTTCAGTTTGAAATGAATAACCCGTTTAAACCTAAAAATTATATATATAAGAGAAAAAAATACACCTGAAAAAGTTAGGGAAACGCAAGATAAAGTGACTTTAAAAATTATTATTTTTTTCTAGCCAAAGATTGCTTGAAAAAAAGACTTATCGGAACTAGAATAACTTTTTACAGAAAACTACTTTAAACCGAACGTCTTTCCGGGAATTGCCGTCAACGCTCTCGATTCAGTTGAAACGGTTTACCTACGACGTTGTGAACAACCAGATCAAGAAGGATAATCAGTTTTTCAAGGTACACTGGAAAGACGAAAACAGTAAGCCATCTTATCTTTTGCAGTTCCCAATGCGCGTCGACATGTCTCCTTACATGACAGAGTCTCGAATAGTTCCTGACGAACATGTCAAAGATCTGTTCGACGACGTCCTCAACTTCAACAACGAATCAGTTGTCTGCAGTCCTGGTTTGATAGATTTCTTCGTGACGAAGAGCTTTTCCGAAGATGATTAGTCGCCTAGACGTTGTCAAACTTTTCCAACAACGAAAACGTTTCAGTGTGAAGCTTGGAGTTTCGCTATTTCATATAACATAATTTGAAGAGGGAACCTTTATTTTTTGTCATTTTGCTTCCTCTATACCGACCTTATAGTTTCATACTGTAGAGTTTCATACCTTATAGTTCCATATTTGCGAGCGTCTAATTTTCAAGACATGTTTTTTAACAATTCGCGTTCAAAGTATAACAAGGCCTGATAAAAATTTTTTAAGGCGTTGAAAATCAATGTCTTTAAAACAATAATTCGGCGCAAGCCATTCTCGGAGATTTCCATCTAGACTTACGGAAAACGTTCGAGCAAATTTTGCAGAAATTCCAAAAATCACCCCAAAATTACTTTCCTTGTAAGCTTTCTTATTTGCAGATCCGACGTCATCGCCCGAGCATCTGCCGTCTCCGGCGGCGAACGGCAACGTTGCTGGACAGTCGCCGCAGAAGAAGCTGCGACGCCACAGATCGTCGACGATGCGACTCTCTCAGTCGCTGGGATCGAACGACGCCCCCGTGCCGCAGTCTTACCTCTACGACTTGGTCGGCGTCTTGGCCCACAGCGGCATTGCCACTGCTGGCCACTACTATTCGTTTATCAAGGAGCGCAGGTGCGGCTTTTTCAAAACGCTATGGAAGGGGTAATATAGCTTGACTACGGATTTTTGGACCAAAAGGAATCTCATTCATTTTATTAAGTTTAAAGAAAGAAAACCGAGTTCAAATCAGGGCTGTGCGAGATCTCGTCTCGATGAGAAAATCACTTGCCTTGTCTCGTCTCGAATTAGCGGTGGTATGAAAAAAAGGCAGCGAACTTTCGCTGGTCTTTTTTTCATACCGACGCTCATACATTGAAATTTTTCTCACTTGTACGTTCAAAGTCATGAAGCGGATTTAGTTTTCCAAGAAAATTCATTTTACTTCGCACCCATGAAGTTCTTTGAAACAGAAAAATCTCCAACGCTTTTTGGTATACATTAGAGGAAGAATTTGAAAGTTTCAGACTGCTTAGTTCTCTCGTTTTTGTAAAAGTTGTTTGAAACTATTGAAATGGAACACCGTTAAAATAAATTCTCTATAGAGACCAAGTCTTTTTGATCTTTCCAGCACTGAACGTGTTTCTTTTTAACAAAGAATCAATGATTTTTTAGTCCATTTTTGGGCTTTATCTTGAAATTTGGACTTTATTAAACTTTCTACGAGATTTGAACATATAAAAAAATGTGGAAAGTGGAGAATGGGTTTAAGAAACTGAAAAGAAGCTTAAATTAGTTAAAATTTAAAACAAAAAATTGATTGAATTTTTTTTTTCCAGAGAAGAAATGAAGGACTCTCCTTCTTATGGAAAGTGGTACCAAATCAACGACACTCTCGTCTCGCCGTTGCTGCCGGATTCAATTGCTGATCTCTGGTTTGGAGGAACTTTCTGCAACGAAACTGGTTATCTTAAATCGTCCTTCCATCATTCACCGTTCTTCTCAGGCTTCAACGATTTGCCCGATGAACGGATCCGCCACTGGAATGCCTATGTACTCTTCTACGAACGCGTCGAAAATGGTCCGGTCTTTTGAAAATACTCCATTCGAATAAAATGTTCCTTTAGTTCCTCCGCCGATCGATAACGAAACAGAAGACTCGCTCAACTCGCTGACAGAGGAATCTTTGAGCTCTCTGACCTTTGACGGCAACGAGATCGTCATAAAGACGTCGAATGATAGGTTTCAAGCGGCTCTATTGGAATTTCTGAAAAGTTATTTCGCAGCAACGAAGACGGATCGTGCAGGAAAATGAGGCAAATCTACGAGTCTATGACGGAAGGCCTGAGGCTTTTTGTCGAGTCAGAGAACTTCAAGTTCTGCAAGGTAAGCAGTCGATAGAATAGATAAAAGTAGTGAAGTTCAAAGATGAATTTGTTTTTCTTCTTCTTAGTACCTGTTCTCAACTTTTCGGGAATTCCTATTCAGTTGATAAATTGTACGTGTATTACATATATTAATCTTTTAAGAAAAATGTAGAAAGAGCCAGGAAAAAAAAGTTTATTGATAGCTTTATGATATTCCGAATCCAGTTTTAATTTTTTTTTTTTAACTTGTGAGAAGAAACGAAAACTCCTTTATTTATTCTAACAACATAACGAAAGTCTTTTAAGACTTGAAGTTTAAAAAATTTGATCTCATTTTCCGTTAAACCTTTATCATACGTGGGGAATTGAAAAACCGCGAGAAGGAGTTGACTTACAAAACAAATTTTAAAAAAAAATGAGGAAAATGTCTACCAATATGACCTTGATAAATGCATTGCACTGTCTTGATCAAACATTCTCTTTCATTTTTAGGAGCGCGACTTTTTTTCAACGGATTACTACAATGTTTTCGTTGGGCCCTGCGTTGAATTGCTGAAAAACGACGCGCTTGCCTACACTCTCGACTATTCGCAGAAACAGTTCTACCAACAAGCGTTCACTGTGAGTTTCATTCCTCTATCCGCAGAAGGAAATATCATTATATTGATTGTTTTTTTTTTTTCACATTCATTTAACGAAACTGAATATCTGAATTCAAGTTTGAAGAAAAGTCGGAATTTTTGTAGATAGATTATTTTTTTCTATATCTGAGGGAATTCAGCTTGGATTCGAGTACATTGCTTACGTGGCTTGGCAAGTTTTTGACGATGTCCGGCCTCCGAATTTCCCGCGAAATTCTGTCGAACTTCTGAAGAGTTTGATGGCCCGGTGCCACGAGACTAGGGAGCAGTTCTTCATCACCATCGCCGAAAATGAGTTTGAGGTAAATTATTTTTTAGGTGGACCACTAGCTTTTGCGAATTTAACAGAAAAAAAAAATCATGAATCAAAATCGAAAATCGGAAAGCAGTGCTTTTAGACCGCTTATGTAAAAAATTCATTTGCAACGGCTGGAAAATTTCAAAAGACGTAAAATAACCCTAAAATATATCTTCCAAAAAAAATTTTTTTTTTAGCTTCTCAATCGACTCGTCGAAGTCACTGAACCAGACGTAAGAAGCGCATTCTGGCAGTGTCTTAAGTTTGGACTCACGAAATGGATGACACACTGTCAGTACGCGAGCCGCTCGCAACTGCAGGACAGCTCTGAAAGCAGCGAAGATGAAGACGAGGAAGAGGATTTGGACGACGAGACGGACAGCGATGAGGAATTCGAAGACATCAGCTACCGACCTGGTGCCCGCATCAGCCGCTCCATTTCGGAGCACAACATCAACCGGTCGATCGTCGTCAACGAGGCGGTGCGCGGCATCGTCCGACGTCTTCTTCACTTCTTCCCGTGAGTCCGACGTCGATTTGGGGCCACGCCAAGTTTTGTATGTTGTTATAGTTGGCGTACCTGGGATAGTCGCTCGATTACAATTTTAACGCTCAGATTATTTTTGATAAATCTGGAGTATGAACCATGTCGAAATAAGAAAAAAAGAAGTACTTAATTAAACCAAGCAGTGTTCCAATAAGTCTTAAAAAGTATTTTTTGCGGGAAGTTGGTCGAAAAATTCCTGATTTCTGAAAGAAAAGCTCTTTTGGAAAAGAAAAAATACACATTTTTCATCTCGCAAGTTATTTTCTGTGCTATTTTGTGAGTCGATGGCGAAACCTCAAAGTGTTATCCTACATGTTAGGTTTCTAGACTTCCATTAATTTTCTTGAAAGGTGAAGGTTAAAAAAGAGTGTCGACATTTGTTTGTCGAGAGAAAATGTAGAGATTAATTTTATACCTAGTTTATTTTGGCGATTTTTTAAAAATTTTTCTTTCTGTAGTGTGAATCGGATCGAATACATCGGGAAGCACACGGCTAGACTGGCGGTCGATTGCTTGTTTGCTATCGCGCGAGGCAGTGCTTTCGGTAATCGCTTCCTAGAATCGGCTCGTGTCGTGGAAATCGCTGGAGACGTTCTCCTGGAGGCTCTTCGTTCGACGCAGTTCTCTCAGGTACGAGATCTACGCGACAAAGAAAATAATATAGCTGATTCACGGCTAGCTTGAGACGCGAAGGGGGCGTGTCCTGTCTGCGCTCTCCACGAGCCAGGCGCTATGTCGTGCAATATCGTTTCAGGACCCTTTTTTCGATGGCTCAAGCCAGCCGTGAATCAGCTGTAGAAGAATTAGGAAGGTTTGAAAACATTTCAACTTTTGAAGCTCTATCTGAACCCATTAATGAATTTTGGTTTAAAAAATAGATTTTGAAGCCTTACCCTCGATTCCGCGCACCGGAAATGCGACTGAAGTCGCTGGGCTTGTGGCCGAACCTACCTTCGCTTTTCGTCGAACTCCTCTCCTCAGGACTCGACAGTGCTCGAGATCCCGAAATCAGCTTCTTTATGAACGTTCCTAACAGTGCTATGTAAGGATTTTCGCCAGCATTCCATCGTTTAATCATAATATTTCAGATTCATGACGTCTCTCTTCATCACGGCAAAAATGGAGGCCGACCGCTACACAGATGTCGAAAAAACTAGCGAAGAATGTCGCCATATTCAACGATGCGTCATTGATTGCTTCGCTCAGCAGATTTCCAACCTTCATGTACCTGGAAACGAACGGTTTTGCAGCGGATATATCATTGATATTTCCCAAACGGTCCTCAAGGTTTGGTCGTTTTGGACAGTTTAGTAAGCTAAAGCCGAAGACTTAAAGTAACAGAGGAATGATAGGTTTTCATATCAAAAGAGAAAAAAAGGTTTAAATTCAAAAAAAAAAAAACAGAAAAAAACACTCTGAAAAAAAGTGGTGTGAAGACTGACTAGTTTAGGTGGGAAGATTATCAATTTATTACATTTAGCCTCTTTTTACAATAGCTGTTCAAAAAGGCACATTTTGGCTAGTCATTCTGTTCGATTCGATTTTTCAGGAAATGACGAATCCTCCCGGTCTGCCGATGCCTTACGAAGAACACTGGATGTACTTGGTTCAATTGATGATATGCGTCAGTTTCATCGCTTCTTTCTGACTTTACGAGGGGGTGATGAAGAGAGAGATGCGTGGTTTTGCAATCAATGAGCAAAAATATGAAGTTTTTTTTCTCAATGAAACGGTGATAGCGCGAGATTTCATAAGCTTTTTATCAACTTTTCTTTTTAAGACGAATCAAACTTTTCAGAAAATAGCGAGTGACAGTTCTCTTTAACATCAAAAGTAACAAGTGCAATAGTGGACGCAACTAAGTTGGGTATGCGTCTATCATGAAAGAACTGTCGTCACCCTCTGGTGAAGTGCGAAAAACTCTGCCCCGTGTTCTTGTATCCCGGGTACGAGTCCGCTAACCGTCGATGATGATTCGTTATAGTGAATGATATAGCGTCTTGCAACTTAATCTTGCGCTTCTAAAGTTGAGAACATCTCAGTTGATGGAAATTATTTCCTCTCAAGACGCTAAGAACACTTACGATGCTTTAGAGAGGTCGCAGAGAATGTTTCAGCGATGTTGAAAGGCGCGTCGTTACATTTCTAAAGTTTGTCCACTGTGATTACTAAAAGGCGAATCTGAGACTTATTTTTAAAACTTCATAACAAAGGAAGGTTTCAGAATTTTGCGATCATTCTTTGATTTCCTTCAATTTTCATTCTGCGGGTTGGATACTTTGTTAAACGTAGGCCCCTTGAAAAAAATAAATCTTCAAGATTGAGGAAGATTTTATTTCGAAAAGAAGTCGGAAAACCTCCTTTATACTGAAACTATCGGCCTTTTAAAAAGTTCGCTCGGAAAACGACTATATTTTATTGACTTCATTTATCATGATTTTTTAGGAACGACAGAATAATTTTCCCATTGATCCTATCTTGATTTTATAGGTTGGTTCAAAGTTGATTTCGCTCGGTCACCTTGACCTAGCCCTCCAACTAATCGAAGGAATCCTGGATCCTGGCGACATTTACTTGAGGAACAAGGTTTTTTGGATTCCCATCCGATCAATAAGAATTTAATTGACCTTAGGGGATTCATCCGGGTATTTTGTTCTACGTCGGCAAGCTGCTCAAAGGGAACGATGTTTCTCGTGCAGCAAAGCTTTTCGAATGTGTCAACCAGATCCGCACGTGCCGAATTCCAGAGTAGCTTTTTTCCATGGAAACTGCGTATTATTGGATTTGAGATTTGCCATCATGCCGCTCCATTATCGTCCCCGTCATCCAAAGGTCTTCGAAATGTTCCTGATTGGCGAAGAAGAAGCTTACGACGATGCGCTTCTGGAGCAGGCCGCCATTTCTGATGACGACAAAATTCTAGATCAAATGGAGCTGGCCACTGATAGTGAACAGAAGTCTGATAACAACGCGGCGTCAACAATCGAACTCGAGGATTCGTCAGTTTTCATTTTGATTTTTTGCTTCCATCTAAATTGACTTCTCTCGTCCTTTGCTCTTTCTTTCACGTCAGGCACAGAGAACGAATTGAAAAAAAAAATAATGGCATTTCAGACCGTTGGCGACAGCGACGGTTGTCAAGAGCAGCGAGATCGACTTAGCGAGGGATTTGCTGCCAAAAGAGAATGACGATTTGGGGTGATTCAGCTTTTCGGGATTAATTTCTTCATTAGATCCTTTTTCAGAATCAAAAGACCCACTATTGTGCAACATGATAGCGCTTCAAAGAAGCCTCGCAACCAGTTATAAATTATTCCTTCCCAGTTTCTTTCTCTCAGATTTCAATGGTTTTTTTTCTGTTCCTTCATAATCATTTTCTGTTCGTGTAGAATACGGATCCGGACTCTATCTGTACGAGGTTGTGTGGGACTCGCACCGAGAAGTCCAGCTTTCTTTGTATCTCAGCCATTCTTGCTTTTTGTTTTTTTTTTTGTTTTTGTTTTTTTTTCCCCGTTCTGTAGGGTTCTTGAGAGATATCCCAGGTGTCTATATATACTACAAGGAACATTATTTTGTAATATTTAACTCTTTAGATGCCTAGATAAAAATGGATTTTCAGCGCAACGTTATTCCTGTAAATACTGGAAAGAACAATTTTTCGTTTCTTTTTTGCATTTTCTAGCTTTAAGTGGCACTAACTTACTTCAAAAGTCAGCTAGGTTTTCTGAAAACGGCCGCTGTTTGTTGGTTCGTTGGTGATGATCCCTTTTTTTTTTTCGAAAGTGTAACTTTTTTTGCGTCTAGCTTGTTCTACAATTGAAAACCATATCAAAAAAAAACTTTGGTTACAAAAGATGGATCCCGATGCGACACGGAGTTTTTTTAATTGTATTACTGAGTTTTTTTCATTCAACTTTTTTTAATTTGTATTTTAAAAATTTATTCGGACGCGTTTTAACCTCTTTATATTTCATTTTTGCTCTTTTTTTTTGAAAGATTTTTTGAGTAGTATCTCAAGCTTTCGCTGTTAAAATATTGATTTTTTCTTCAGCAGGATTTATCCTACACCAAATAATTTCGTCGTGGAGATATCTATCCGCTTACTTTCCCCGCGAGTTAGGAATCGAGAACGTGGCGATCGGACTTTTTTCTTTTTTTTTGTGTATCGTTCAAACCGTGTGCTTTTTAACCCTCTGATCCTGTTTCGTTTTTCTGGTAACATATTCCGATGTTTTTTGTGAAATAAAATAATATCGAATTGTACGTTCGCACGTTCTTTGGTAAAATCCTCGCCTGAATTACTTAATTGAAATTTTGTCTCTTTTTTTTTTTGAATTTTTCTGATATTGAATTAAGATTGATCGGAGTGTTCGTTCAGATTTTTTACTAATTAAAAGATAATGTTTGAAAGTATAATTTTTCAAACCTTCACGGCTGTGGACCCATCAATAGAGAAATATATTTATAACTTTTTTTTTCCCGTAGTGTCCTTTTCCAAAGTTTTTAGAAAAAAAATCTCGTCTTACAGCTCATTACGCCAGCTTTTCACGATTTTTATTTACTTCCGAGCCACAGTCTTTTCCATGAAGCGTCGCTTCAATGCGCGCGGCCCGCCTCTTTGCATGTGGCCTGCTTCTTTGCATTTATTTGGCCAAAACTGTTTCGTTATAAAGGCGCATGTCCACAGGAATGCCACGTGCATCGTATAGAACGGTTCTGTAGCTCAGAGGAAAATCAAAATCGTGACAGACTGGCTCGGAATGAGCTATACTAGTTTTTTTCCACTCGAAAGTAGAACAATATGATAGATGTTTCTTCCACTACAGATGCGACTATACGCTCGGAAACAAAGTTATTTTTCAAGTCTGATTTGAAGGAACGCAATATATTAAAGTTTTTTTCTGAGGCCGTTTTTTTTTTTGAGATGCTTGATATTGGCTGGCTTTGTGGCGCTGCAGTGAGAGCTGTGTACTGGCTAGTGATGCTCGCCTGCAATTTCCTCGGTTATTCTCCAATGTGGGCCAAAAACGCGTTGAAACGCCGTAATATGGTACGCATTCAGTTATATAACACATGAAAAAAATTCAAAATTTTCTAGGAAAGTTTTCGCCTCCGAACACCATCTAATTTGGCGATTCTCTACACTGAAAGAGTTGTGGAGAAGGTATATTGGTTTCACTTGTGTGGCTTTGTCTCAAGATTATTGATTCATTCAGGAAGAATTGAGAAAGTTGATTGAAATATGCAGCAAATCCGGGGTCCGACACCTTTCCTTGTACGATCATTGGGGCGACGTTCAAAAGTGTGTTCCAAATTTTGTGGACTTTTGTCGGTTTAATGTGAGTTCTTCGAAGAAACTCGTTTAAAATCCAATCATCAGGGAATTCGATTGATTTTGGGAAGAACCGTGGAAGTGTCGCCCGATTTCAGTGCGAGTGGCATGACTGTTCAAGTTTTGTCCTCAGACTCGGGAAAACGAGCTCTAGTCGATGTCTGCAAATCTGTGAGTCGAAATTCTCTTCAAATAATCATCCAAGAGGCTGTTGAGGAACTCGCAATGAGATGAAGAGAAAGCTTAAACGAATGCTTGTTTTACAACCGCATTTTCTTGAGTTTTTGTGTTCTAATGCAAAAATAAAAGTTAGCTAGGCAAGAAGAGTTTGGATCGTTTTGATATTTTCACGATGAGCTTCACAATTTTCAGCTGTGTGAGTCAAATGTCGAAATAACAACCGAAACGATAAGTGAAAAAATTGCTTTGGATCATCTATTGGTGGACCCGGACTTTTTAATCCAGGTAAGTTTTTCTTTCTTCTGAAAATTGGTTTGAATAAGGGCACAAAGACGTTTTTGAGAAGCGGTGATAATGAATTTTCGCTGAAATTTAGAAAAATGTACGTTTATTAAAAATGTCTCTTTCATTCATATCCGGTTTAATCGTCGTTTGGATCATTTTTATTTTTCAAAAACTGTTTTTTTTTTCTTTTTTTTTATTTCAAGAACATCGGGGCTATACCTTCTTGTGATATTTCATTAAAATTTTCTCATCAGCTTAAAGTTCTTATCAAGAATACTTCTCAGAATAAGTTAAAATAAAGATAAAGTTTTTTTTTGCAGAAAGAAACAATTCATAGAGAAAATTTTGTAAAGTATTGGGAGGCCTGAATTTGCAGGTCGGCAGTGTTCCTTCGCTTTGCGGGTATCCTCCATGGAATCTTCGGGTGACGGAATTCATGCAGACCCAACGGCTGCCGACGACGCCGCGCGCCTTCGAAAACTGCATCGAAACTTTCAGCCGACGTGACATACGCGTTGGCAAGTAGCCAGCGTTTTTCCTCCTAGTTCTTTTATTCATACTTCTAGACTTGCCTCGTTTTTTTTTTGTTGATTTTGCCCTTTTTTAGGCGTTTGTTATTCTCAGCTTTATCTTGTTGTGCGCCGTACTCTATCGAAATGATCAATTCATTCACAGCGGTGTATGCGATATTTTTTTTTTGTCTGGGTGTGCTTCTTTTTCTTGGGGTTTGATTGTTATAGCGTTTTTTCGTGATACCTTTTCTAGGTACTAAGAAAGAATCTTTTCCCTTATTTTTTTCAAATGTTGTCATTTGCTACCCAATTAAAGGTCGTAATGGGGTAAGTACAAAAGGTTGCTTTTTTCTGAGCTACGTCTGGGATCAAAGATGAAGAGGTTTTTTGGATCTTTAAAAGGGACAAAATTTCATTTCTGCTTTTAAAGTAACTAATACTTCTTTACCGAGTTGAATAATGAAACAAGGATTCTTACTCCTGGAGTTAAATTTTGAAATATTTTTTTTAAAAGTCTTGTCGTAAATTTGAGAATGCTTTATTTTTAAACTTTAAATTTACACAGACATGGATGCAGCCAATATAGTCATAAAATTTCCATTCAGCGAATTAATTTGAGTCAGATGTCATTCTCAAGCCTTTTGTTCTGACGAAACTATTTTTCATCTAAAAGATCCTGACCTTCATATAGAAAATTTATCTGCAATGGTCATTCTAGTCGGTAGTGATACTTGGAACAAGTTTTCTCGACTGCGGTATTTTTTTGTACCTTTTCTCACCGAAGTTTGACTTTGATTGGTTGTCCGATTACATCACCCTTCATTTTTCTTTGCGTTGTACTGAATTTGCAAATTTATAAACATTTTTGAAATTGAAAGCTTTGAACTTCGGCGTTGGTTGAGACGACCAGAGCGGTATTGCAAGTGTTCTCAACCTGAGAACCAGGGGGTGGCTGAAAAGCAAACACTTTTCGATGTTTCTCTTTGTTTTTTCATTGCCTTTTTCTAATATTCCCTTTCCAGGTTATAACGAACTCTTTCTGCTCAGCTGGTCTGAGTCTAAATCATTAATAACTAACCAGTCTCGCTAGATCAAGTTAGAATTTTTGAATCTTATTGTTGCAATGTTCTTACATAGACTGGTTTTCTTCACAAGTAAACTAAACTGAAGACTTGGCAATCAAGTAATCAAAGTTGAGCTCGAAACAAATAGACATGTGAAAAACGCTGGTCTCTTTTTTTTTTCTCTTGCTTCCGTCGCCTTGGAAATTTTTCGCTTTTTGGCTTATTGATGACGACATTTTTGCTGACAAAAGGTTTCCCAACGCGATGAGATAGCTTTTGCGAAGAGATTGCCGCCTTGTGTGTATTTGTTTTCACTTTGGACGCTGAAAAGCTGTGGTCAGAGTGAAACTTGAGCAATTTCAGCCTTTTTTGTGTTTTCTCGTTTCTCATCTATTCCAAGCATTTTGATGCTTAATATTGATTAAGTTTGAAAATATACATCCTCATTCTTTTGAAGTTTGCTTTGAAAAGCTTTTTAATGGAAAGTAATAACTTTCATTTGTTAACCAAATTTTTTCGGCCTTGAAATTTTGATGGTATAAAAAAAAGCGAGCGAAATTTCAAAAGGCGGCTTTTCCGATTTTTTCGTATCGCTAGGGAACTTTCCGACGGCCACCTTTCCGACGAATCCCTTCCCGACTTTTTCCCTTATATTTTTCGGTTTATAAAGCATCTGTTAAAATTTTTTTCCTATTTCGTTGTGTTTTAATCATGAATAACTTGCCTACTTTATATAGGAAGATTGAAAACGAAGAGTTTATCGAGAAAAAAAGTCGGGAAAAAATTCTGCGGAGAGGTGGCCGTTGGAAAGATCTCTAGCGATATGAAAAAATCGGAAAAGTCGCCGTTTGAATTTTCGCTGGTCTTTTTCCATGACACCGAACTTTTGCTCATCTGGTAATGGACCTGTTTATCTTAATAAGCGGAGATTTGTTATGTTTTTTAATCGACTCTCCATTTTTCAAATGAGTTTTCTTTTCCAAGCCATACTTTTATTCAAAGTGAATTTCGAAGTATTTCAATTTTTCTATAATTTTCTATCTATCACAAGTTTTTTAATTCTCATATTAATGGGGCCGAAAATTCACACGTTTTGTGTCACAGACTTGCTTCTCCAACCTTTTTGTGAGATGATCTCTGAACTATTGCAGGATAAAGTAAATAAAACTGTGACGTCTGTTGTTTCTATAGTTCATTCATCCCTAACTTGATAAAGTTTTGAATTTCAGATGGGCCTTCTCACCAAGGGAAGTCCCTTGAGTTGGGAAGAGACTGTACCGTACATCGAATACATCAAGGTTTGAGAGAGATTCGGATGGATCAATAACTTTTTGCCTTTTTCAGAAACATGGAATCGCTCAGTTCATTAATCTTTACCACCGACTGAAGTCTCGACAAGGAGATCAGTTGAAATGGGGAGACGAAGTGGAATACACGATTCTGAAGTTTGATGATGAGAACAAAAAGGTATAACTTTGAGTTTTCTGCAAACTGGCTATTCTTTATAAACCTGATCACGGTTTAGGAAGTCTCATTTTGCAAAAATATCTTTTTTTTTCGAAAAAAAAAAGAGGGCTCAAAGAGGGATAATAGGCTATTTCGTTTGATTTTAATAGCTTTGTTTCAATTTGAAGCTTCCTTTCTCCAAAATTAGAAATGATAGGTTGAGACTTTGAGTACTATCAAGGAAGTTGGCCGATTCACAGAAGATTTTCGACTGGGAAGTGAAATGACCTTCCTTTCAAGGTACGTGTTTCTTGTCGCGCGGAAGAGCTCCTGAGTCGGCTTTCGGCTGAAGAAGAGGTGAACGCGCTTGTCGGAACGGCCAACAGGTGTCTTTGGCGTCCCGAGTTCGGTTCCTACATGATTGAGGGCACTCCCGGCTCCCCTTACGGCGGTTTGATTATTCCTTCATGCGCGATGTAGTTTTTCACATTTCAGGCCTCATCGCTTGCTTCAACGTCGTCGAAGCGAACATGAAGATGCGTAGAAAAGAAGTGCAGCGGCTACTGAAGAAGGTTACCGAGAAGAATCTCAAGACCAAGTTTTTTTAAAGTAAAATATTGTGTTTGATTCAACTTCCTCAGTTAATCTTTCTTCAAAAAGACGAACAAATGGAATACTTGTAGAAAAATTCTAATTGTGTGGCATTGAAATTTTTTGGAAAATTTCTTTAATTTTTTTTTTTTGACGAACGCATTGAATATTATTCTGCAACCTTTTATATTTAAAAATTCACTGTACCGGTTTTTTTTTGAGTTTTGAGTTTTGAAAGAAAGAAAAGAGGACAATTTGGTGCCGTTATTATATATTGGTTTCTGGACAACAAAGGCGTCTTTAAGTGTTTAAAATTGCAGGGGGAGTCGATTTTGTCGATTTCCTTCCCATCATTAGGAGCATCGGACTTCACATCGCCGTCTTTCAAACCAAATCCGGAGAGCAACGAGTCGGCTGGAAGCATTTTCTGGCCAGAGCAGGCTGTCTTTTTAGGTCACCCAAGGTGAATTAATTCACAAAAAAAAAACCTAATTTCGAGTTTAAGATTCAAAAAAACTTGACGAAAAACATCCGAGGCCGTCGAGGGAGCAAGGTCGCAATCAATGTACCAATTTTTAAAGATACCAACACGCCAAACCCTTATGTTGTAAGTGACTTCAATTACTCTTTTTTTTGATTCTCAGCTGAATTCAAAAAAGTTTGTTTTAATTGCGTATTTTTCCATTAGAATTTGTGTTCACTGAAAATTGGAAAAAAATAAAAATAAATTGTCACTTTTTCTCGAAAAGTGTTTTCTCTGATAACTATATCCGAGTCATCAAGTTTTCAGGAAGATTTATCAATGTTTGGAAAGGCTGAGGACTACAAAGACGCCAAACCGGATCACATTTACATGGACCATATGGGTTTCGGCATGGGATGCTGCTGTTTGCAGGTTTCTTTTTTTCCAATAAAAAAAAATTTTTTTGAAGTATAAATACACGGTTTGTTTTTCGATTTAAAAAGGAAATATTTGAAAAAGGAGAAAGTTTTTTTCATTAGAAAAAGAAGGAAATTTTTTTGAATCGGTCTGCTTTTTTTAATATTAACAGTTAAATGAACTACAAAAATGCAACGCTTATTTATGAAAGAACAACCTAATATTAATGCCAAAAAAGTTTCAGCTTTTTTTCCATCGTTCAAAGTTTTTTTTTGGAGTTTTCTATAAATTTGCCCAGAAACTTCGGAAAGTTTGGGTTTACGAAATTTCTAACTTTCCGTTTAGCACAGAGTCAAGCTTGCGACCAATAATACGGAACTTTGAAAAATCGTATTCCTAAAAATTAAAGTACGTTGAGGTAGCAACTATGACGAGACTTAATGTAAACTTTCAAATAGTTCGGACAGATTATTCAAAGCAAGTTCTAAAGTTGACACTAAAATAACTTTCTTGTTAGTTTGCTAGAGCGCACTTTGAAGGTTTGAAAAACAACTCCAATGAAGATTTTTCGATATTTCTTTTCTTGATGTGAATTTGCTACTCGGGACTTTTTTTTGATAGAAACTTGCTACTCGGGATTTTATTGATATAAATTTGTAACTCGGATTTTGGCAGGTGACCTTCCAAGCTGTCAATGTGAACGAGGCTCGATGGCTCTACGACCAGCTCACTCCAATCACTCCGATCCTGCTGGCTCTTTCTGCCGCGACGCCGATTTTCCGGTCGAAATTATCGGATGTTGACTCGCGATGGGACATCATCAGTGCGGTAAGGACCGTGAGTGAAGAGAGTTTCTTCTAATTTCGGGCTGTAGAGTGTCGACGACCGAACTCCAGAAGAACGGGGACTGGTTCCGCTTAAAAACTCCAAATGGACAATCTCCAAGAGTGTTCGTTGTTCTTCTGTCGTTTTAAAATTTGATATTTAGTCAAAGAGCTTTTTGTCATTTTTCATTGATTGTAAACCTATCTAACCAGTATTAAAAGAAACATGTCTTAATTTTTTGGTAGTAGAGAATTTTTACGCGGAACTTTAAAAGGAAGGTTATTTTACTATGTGATAGATAATTTTACTGAAAAATGGCCAGAGTTTTCGATGCAACAGTAGGTAATTCCAATTTGCACAACTTCCTGATTTTCGATAAAAACCATCAAGTCCCTCATAAAGCCATAGTTTTGACTTCATCCATTGTTACTTGAAATAGAGGAAGTTTGGCTGATTACGGTTTTCAGACCTTACAGAAAATTTCAAGGTTTTTATTAAAACAACAGGAACTTTGGAAAATAAGCCTTGAAAAAAGAGCGGCCCCTTCGAAACCCTTACTCAAACGTTACAAGTCTAAAAAAAGATTACTGAAGAGATCATTTATTTGTAGAGGTACGACAGTACGGACTGCTATATTTATCCCTGCTCCGTGGGTTACAACGACATCCCGCTGCAGTACGATGAAGGCCTCTATAAGCAGATGCTGGACGGCGGAATCGACGAGCCGCTCGCCAAACACATCGCCCACATGTTCATCCGTGATCCTCATCAAGTCATTTTTCGTTTTTTGAAAAGTTTTCGAAAAAGAATTTTTCCAAATAGAGCCCTCCTAGCATCAACCCTATAAAAGGCTCAATTTTTTTCCAGGTGTTCCGCGAGCGAATAGAACAGGATGATGAGAAGAGCAGCGAGCATTTCGAGACGATCCAATCGTCCAACTGGATGAACATGCGATTCAAGCCTCCGCCTCCAGATGCCCCCGAAATCGGATGGCGCGTCGAGTTTCGGCCGACGGAGGTCTTCTTTTCTTCTTTTTTGTCTATTTCTTCTTAGACGCGAACCACACGCGAATCGGACGTGTCGTGGAATTCCTAGTGACCACTACCGAGTGCACTTTTGAGTGATCCTGCTCAAAAAAGTCCAGAGAGCATCCGGTTTTCATTACCGCGGTCCGAGTTATCGTGAAAATAAAAAGTAAAAATAGTTCAACTTTATTTTTTTCATGTCGCATTCCGAAATCATTAAAAAAATGAAACGAATACTTCTTCGCGAGCTTCTCTGCGTTTAAAAAGCGAGTTGAGACCTGAGTTCCTACGAGAGTTTTTTCAAATTTCGGTTGCACAAATTGCCTTTCTGAGCTTGTATCTTCTGATTTTATGATTATTCTTTTGCTTAATAACTGAACTTTGAATGCGCTGTCTCTGTATTTTTCGAAATATTCCGAAAGATATGTTTTGAGGGGCTAGAAAGATGGATCTCCGGGCTCAAGCTCACGGTGGATGGAAAAATTACTAGAAAAACACGAAATTGTTGAAATTGCAACTCAAATTGTACCGTAAAGTTGAAATTGCACCTGAAATTGCAGTCCTAATCGATTGATATACATCATGTCTAGGAAAAATTAATCCCTTCTTAGATACGTAGGCGCTCACTTGCCTACCCTAACCTGGCTAAAGTAGGAAGAAATTGCTTAAAGGTTGCGTCCGCATTTCTGATTATGATAAAATCAGGTTAAGTTTTTAAAATCTTTATTGTACCCGTTGTTTTTGAGAATTACAGAGACTGCGTGTTCAGAGAGAATATCTGATTGAAGAGAATTAATGAAATGAAAATAAGAGCTTTCTCCAACCCAGAAGTTTTGCAGGTCCAACTGACTGATTTCGAAAATGCCGCTTATTGCTGTTTTGTCGTTCTTTTAACCAGGTGACTATTCATTCGTGTTGAGAAAAAATTCTCCAATCACAGAGTGATTATTTCGTTCCGCTTGACTTATTTGTTGCCCATCTCCATGGTGACAGAAAACATGAAGCGAGCTCAGAAAAGGGACGCAGTTCTTTCTCAAAAGTTCTTATTCCGGTGAGATTGTCTCTCAGTGGGGATAGAAGAGTTCTTTTTGAAGAAAGGGTCTCGCAACGTGCAATTCGGCCCCGGAGAGCTTGAAAGGGACCGCCAAATGTGGTCCACCGAGCTCAGATATAGAAGAAATGACGGTGGCAGAAATCATAAACGGTCGGTTCTTTGATTTTTGCGAGAACGTTCGAGCTTTTTTTTGTTCGAATAATCAAAGAAAAAAAGGGATTTAAAGTCGACTTTTCGACTGATATGTGAGAAGACACTGAGAAGCTCAGAACAGTCGATTTTACTCAAATCGGAGACTAGAGTTTCCATGAGAATTTTCCAGTATAAGAAATAAGCATTCCTTTTGAGACCCAGCTGAGAATCTTTTCGGAAGACTAAATTGAATGAGCAACACAGGTCTCGTGGGAGTATGAATTTTTTTTCATCGGATCCTCATAATTTACTCGTAAAATATTATGTTAGCTTCATAAGTTTCACCTGACTAACCATCTTTTTATTTTGCTTTTAAACGTTCTTCTCCTTTTGATCGAAATATTCGAATATTAATTCCAAAGCCAGGGTTTCATCGATAAAGGTTAAATGATTTGTTTATTTCTCCCGAAAAGTGTTTGAAAGAAAAAAAAGGCCTGAATTTCACCTATTAGATAAGCCGAGTCTTATATAGTCGATGTGTCACAAGTTGAAATTTCATGGAACGACACTCCGCTGTTTCGATTTGTGCGGTAGCGCGCATCTTGTGAATTGCCAACCTTGGCCACGCTAATTTTTTTTGGTTTTAATTCTAATTTTGATCGTTTTTAAATTGTTTTATTTCTTTAAATCGTTGAAAAGCATAAAAAGGTACAAATATAAACGAAAGAACACAGTAAATTTCATGATCTTCCTCGAAAAGAGCGATAAAAAAAGTGTTTTTGTTAAAGCCATTTTTTAATGTTTTCATCGTTTTTTTTTCTGTTTGTTGCAGTGGTTAATGGATTTTTTCAGAAAGTAAGTGGCTTATAAAATGAAGACGTGTACGCACTATGAAATTGAGAGATCGGTTTCAGTCAACGGTTTTTCACTGCTTATTTATCCTCTGGTTGAATTATTGGCAATCCGAAAAACTTTATTCATCCATTGCACTGCCAAAAAGTTCATAAAACTAAAAAATTATCGAAGAAAATGTATTTGAAAACGGCAAATTATATAATGGGAAAGCGTGACCGAGATCCGCAAAGGCATTGATTCTTCACAGCCACAAGGCCACCGAGCGGAGTGTCGTTCCATGAAATTTCAACTCGTGGCACATCGACTATAAGTATTTGGAGAAAATTTTGAAGTTCTCAAATGTTAAGTATAAAGTTAGCTTGTATCAAGCAGATGCGTGATATTGCGCCGAGATTCAGAACTTTTTTGAACCTTCTGTGCTTAAAAACGTGATTTCAGGAAAAGAAAATGGGTTCCCTGGCTTGATCAACCTGATCAGACAATATCTTGATGGAGCCGACGTTGATGTTGACACTCGCTGTACCATTTCTCAGTACTTGAACTTCATTTCGGTTGGCTGAAATTGGGTTGGACCTGGACTCGACTTCCTTTTCAGAAACGAGCGACCGGCGAGATTTCAACTTTGGCGCATTGGATCCGCAATTTCGTGACGAACCATCCTCAGTATAAGCACGACAGCGAGGTCAGCGACGAGATCATCTACGAACTCATGAAAAAGGTCGGTTCTTTTTTTTCTTGATTTATTATGAAAAACTTAAGATTTTTGGATTTTAATTTCCTTTTAAAAATCAACTATCTAATTTCAGAAAAATTCGAAAAGCAATTTCGCCCTCATATAATTTATTGCAATACACTGCTCAAGATTTTCCAAAATTAGGAAGAAAATATAAACTTTTTTCGAAGTTTAATTTGTTTTTTTTCTTATAATGATAAAAAGGACATATTCTTTTTTTTTCAAAAAGTAAACTTTAAGATGGATGCGATCTCTAGCGAAAAAGACCATTGCGAGAAGTTGCTGGGCTGCTTCCGTTCGAAGACGGTCCATTTGATCCCGAGCTCAGTGCGGCGAGCCGAAGAAGGCCTCGTCATGCAAAATCAGAAGAGAACCCACTAAAATTATTTATTCTTGTCAATGCGTTTGCAAACAATTTCCACCCAAAAATCTCTTCGTTGTGAACCACATTTCCAGAATTCTCTCGTCTATATTATTTTTCCTTTTTTATCTGCGCAATATTCATAATAACAGTGATAATAATAATGACATTTTATATGAATTGGAATTGAAACGATACCGAAGTCATGAAAGCGTTTTGTTTTTCTTTGTTGTGAGATCTTGCACGGGGACGAAATTTAAAAAGAAAACGGTCTTCAAAATCGTATGGCGTATTTGAATGGTTATTCTAGCGCCACAATACCTCATTTTTGTTTTGTAACTTATTGACGACTCATCATCTTTCTGTTTCAAAATGTTTAACCCTAAATTTTACCGTTAATACTCTATTTCTCGAAAGGAAATTTATCTTTCTAAAATGTTAAACCACTCTACACTATCGGCACAGCTAAAATAAAAAAAAATTTCATTGAATAGCTTCATTATGATTTAAAAGCTTCCCGTATCCCATGGAAATATTATAAATAACAAAAGATACTCTAATTTCGATCGAAACGTCTTAGCAGAAGATAAAAACGAAATTTTAAGAAATTGTAGACTCTTCAAAAAAATTCTGTTCGCTTCAACGAAAGCAAGGGCGCGGTTAAAGGGCATGCCCAATCGGCTGGCGGCCGAGTTCCCTTTTGGAACGCCTCGGGGCCCCGATAATCTGGTTTAAGGCCCACTATAGGGGTTAGTTAAAAGGGGCCCCTATATGGGGCAGGATCAAATTTTCACTGCAATTCGCTTATTCATATTCGTCCCTAACTCTTTCAAACAACGGTTCTTAAACAAATTTAAAAGAAAAAATCCTTAAGGGGGTACAAGAGAAGCTCCGAGGCCCCTAAATTCACAGGCGAATCGAGAAGGGACCATAATGTGTCCACCGTGAGACCTCCGACATACCTTTTAGCTATATCACGGTGTTTTTTTCATTACGCAAGGTCATGACTTTTCGTAAATTATGATGCTTAGGGTGTAAGCACACCGAGACGCAATATCGCATACTCAAAATGTTTTTTTCCAATTTTAGAATTTGCGATTTCAGGATAATAGTCCTGAAATGTTCGAAATTTGTCAGTTTGAAGAATATGATGTGAAAAAAACATTCACTTACGTTAAAAAAACATTTAGGAACGATTTCGAAAGGGGAAAACTCTAAATTACTGATTACAAAATAAAAACAAAAAATATTAGGAAGGTGAATCAGCTCCCATTGAATAAGCATTTATAAATACGAGAAATATTGAAATGAGGAAAATTCGAGGAGCAAATGAAAAACATTTTATATACCTCGAAAACCTAGTTTCAGAAAAAAACATATAATGGATAGAAAGCAGAAATTTTAGAAAAACCTCGTATGGCGAAATTTTTTTTGTTTAAATCTGAAAAACCATCAAAAAAACTAGAAAAAAATATATAATTTAGATGATGCATATATCAAAAATCATTAAACTGCATCAGCAAATTAAATTTGGCTCTAATTTACAGGAAACCGGTTTCAAACTACGTCAAAGGAACTAGATAATAACTTTTTATTATTAACTGATTAAATTAAAAAAACTATAGTTTCCGAAATAGAGTGACTCTTTTTCATGTCGCGAAACAGATGTCAAAAATTTTTGAAAAAAATTAGGACTTTTTAGAAAAAAATCTTCAGCTCTTTTTGAGAAAATAGTTAAAGATCTGAAACCGGTTTAGAAAAAAATGCGCAATTAAAAAGCTCCACAAGATGTACCCATAGAGAGGCGGATCACATAAATGCAAGAAATAGAAAAAAGTAAAAAACCAATGAAAAAAGTGAAGAAATTCAATTTTTGCATCAGAAACCATGAGAAGGGCGCAATAATGCGCCACGGATAATATGCCGCTGGGACCCAAAATTTCGCATTTTTTTTTTCATTGCGCGGAACACCGTGATATCTGAGCCATCTCGGAGGTACTTTAGAGTCTCTCTCAAGCCCCTCACATTTCGCTCAAAATCTTTCCCGATTCGCTTGTTTTTCCCCTTGCGGGGCCCCTAAACTTTTCTTAGGAATTCATTAGCCTATATGAACAAAAAAGGCAAAAAGATAAGAAACTACTGAGGGGCCGCGCACGATAAGGACGCCTGAGGCGTCGCGCACGTCGTACTGGCGTTCTTCCGGAAAAATTGAAATAACGGAAATTTCCTCGCTGTGTTTGCAGCTTTCAAACTCACAGTATCCAAAAAAAAAAATTGTCATACGCGCATTTGTGCAATTGTTTTCTCGAGTTCAAGCTCTAGGGCGTATGCACATTTCGAAAATTCATCATTGTTTCGAAAGTTTTGAATTTAACTCTAGTTGAATTTGCTCCAAGTTATTAAACGGAAAATATCTTCTGAAATTTTATAATATAATTGTTTGCGTGGTAGTATATATTTATATTTCAGAGAGAGCATCCGTGATTTTCGCTGAAATGCCCAATGTTTTTGTGAAGAATTTACAGACAGAAGGGACTTCAGGGCAGACTTTCGAGAGCTCGAAAGGAGACGCTACGAGGAATGTGTCATTCCGGGAGGTTGGTAGTTTTGAGAACTAATATTTTTTTTTACTTGAATTAAACAATTTTTTGGTTTATTTTTTTGATTATTTAATGTTTTAGTCTGGTGGTGGTCCAACTGCGGTAGAGCTCGAAGTAATTTCGCAAGTTAAAGCCTTTGTCGGGAGTGCCTTTCCAGAAGATGTCATGCTACGCGCAGTTCGGGTTAGTCCTCATTTACTTCTGGATGAAAATTTTTATGTAATAAAAATATAGTGTTTAGTTTATTGTTTCTGTCAAAACTTCGCAAGCATTTTTTTTTTGCAGAAACAACCAACGCAGTGTAATGCGTCTCCAAATTTTTTACAAGACGTCATTAACACGGTCTTGGACAGCGAAAATCAGCCCATAGTTGAGAAGAATCCATCGAATAAGGTTTTGATAGGGATATTTTTTCAGAGACGTTTTTTTTTCAGCAAATTGCTTCGTTAACAAAAGTTAACAAAGAATCTTCCTTGCAGAAACAGGTTAAATAAATGTAGTTAAATGTATTAGCCGGTTAAAATAAACGTTCAGGTTTCATTCAACAGATTGCCCGAAACCGACAAAAGCGACAGCAACGTGGTTGATAAAGAGGAGAGTGATCTTCAAAAGTTAGTTTTGCATTTCACATCTCTTTATTCTCTAACATGGGGTGCATAAAGGCCGCCACAACTCTTTCTCTGACCTACGTTATTTCGTCGTTTTCTCGCAGCTAGACAACGACGAAATAGAGTCTGTCAGAGAAAGAGTTTTAGCGGTTTTTATGCGCCTCATGTCAGAGTTGTGCACAGTGTTTTAACGATCTATGGTCTCTTGTAAAGGCCCACCCCGGGGCCCCTAACTCAAGCCTTATCGGGGTCCCGAAAATCTATTTTAGGGTCCCTATAGGAATTAGTTGAAAGGGGCAGGATCAAAGTTTATTTGAAACAGACAATTAAAAAAAAATTTACCCCCGGGCCCTGAACTGTTTGAGGGGTTCAAGGGAAAGTCCCAAAACCCCGTCGGGCGCCCTAAAATTTTTCTTAGAAGCTGTACTCTTTGAATCGACCAATTTTTTCAGAGCCCTCCAAGAATCTCTGGTTCTTTCGCGCAGCTCTTTCACAAAGCCTTCCATTTCGGGCAATCCCGAAGATCTCATTCGCAATCCTTCGCTTTCCGTTAGTTTATCTGGCCTGTAGCCGTCAACATTCGAATCTTTTAGACGGGTCTTTATAACGCTGGGAATACGTGCTGGTTCAACTGCGTTGCTCAGGTTTTTTTTCCCCTGAAAATAATCTCTCGATCTTTACGTTGTTGGAACCTTAGATCATCTCGTCCTAATGAATCTTATTTGAAAACACAAAAATTTGCAGATCCTCTTCAAAATCCCACAGTTTCGATATCTCGTTTATACAGTGGTTCCTATGAGTTATTCACAAGATTCGTCAAACATTGACGAAATAACACCGGTTAGTTTCTATTTTTTGTCGAGATGATTAATGAGTAAAAAGCTTGATTGTAGTTGCTTCTTTTTCTGGGAAAGTTTTTGTCCTGAAATTTTCAGGCTGCGGTGAAAATTTTGCAGGAAGCATTATAGAAAGTTTTTTGGGAGTGTTTCTATTTATAAACTGCATCAGAAACATAATCAACATGAAAAGTCGGAATAGGGGAAAGAAAGCAGCATATTTCTCAGTTTTTACAGGAGAGTGTGCGCAGTCGCGACCTATTGGTACAATTGCGACGACTCTTCGCCGAGATGGAGTTTTCCAAGTGCCAATACATTGAAGCTTCGTCGGTATTGGTGGTGATCGAGGCTCTGGGAAAGAGTGCTCAACTGAACGCGTTCCGAGTCGGCCAACAACAGGTAACATGACTCTTTCGAATATTAATCAAAACTTCTGAAGGACGTCGCTGAGAGCTTCATCCGACTCTTTGACTGGATCGACAGCGCCATGCAGAAGGCTCTGGAGGACAGGCTGCGGCCGGAGTCCATCAGAATCTCGCCGACGGCTTCAGACGACTGGATTCCAGTAAGGACCTTCCTACTCACCTTTTCAACTAGCTTCTACAGATCGGTTCCCAGCCGTCAGCTCATCCGGAGCTGCCATTCGACGCCGACATTCCTCCGCCTCCATACGCCGAGACTCCCGAGCAAGGCGCAAATATTGTTCTGCCGCCTTCTGAAATTAAACCGAAACTTAAAAAACAGCAAGACGAGAACCTATTGAATAACAACGACAGCGGGCTCAAAATTGGTGATCTGTCGCAAAAAAGTCCCACTAAGCTGCCTTCCGACGACCTTCCCCCTGCCTACTCTCTGAAACCTCTGGACATTTCTCACTTTTCTGAAAAAGGACCATCGAGTGAGCTTTTTTTTTTTTTGAAAATATACGTGGTATAAGCCGACCATAATCTTCCTCACGAGGGGGATCAGAACAAAATCTAGCAAAAAAAATTAGTTAATTTTTTTTCAGTTCAATAAAGTTAGGAAACAACTAATATTTGGAGAAGGAAATGAAAAAAATATGTTTTAAAGTTGCCAGCTATTTTATCTTTACTCATTCATATTTTTGTTGGATCAAGTGTTAAGTTATTTAATGTTATTTCCAAACCATTTCTCAAGTTTAGATCTGAAATTATTTTTTTTCATACTTAAATACTATGTTTCTATCCATTTGATTCATACATTTAATAGCTCATCGCCAAATAGTTTCTCTTTTTTAATTCCGAGTTTTTATTCTTCCCTTCAACAATATTTTACTTTTTAATTTTATCTTGTTAAATTTATAGACCCCACGACGTCTCAGCAGCTTCTAACAAAAGAGGTTTTTTCTTTTTATTTTCGAATTATGTTTTTTTTCTTTTTTCACGGTCAAGACGTTCAAATTTCTCTTTTAAGATTGTGAAATATGAGAGTCGCTAATATTTCCAGAGTTATAGTAATCATTGCATCATTTTTTTACACTTGTTTTCGGTTATGCGATAGTTCGGTTTTTAAATAAAAGGATTAAAAAAAGTATTTTTTCTTAAGAAAGATTCACTTGTAAGTTCTCCAATTAAGAAGTCATTCGAAAGTCTTAATCATGAATAATAAGAGAAAAAGAATAGAAGTAAATGTTTAAAATTGTCTTTTCAGGAAACCGGATCAGCGTCTCAAAACGCAGAGACATCGACAGCGCCTCAAGGTGCGTTTTTCGAATTACGTGAAACTTTTTGTTTTTTTTTTCTTGAAGCGGGCTCCTCTGCAGTCTCTGACGAGGAAAAACTACTAGTGGAAACGTGCAAAATGCAGTTGAACGAAATGTTTGAGGCTCAATGCGTCGAGGAGCGTTCTGGTGGTTGGTTTCTCCTCGAAAAACTAGGAAAATCTTTATTTTTAAGGAGGCGAACCTCTTTTCATCCAAAACCGGCCCATGATCATCCCTTTGATGGTGAATTAATCAGTTTATATATGAGTTTATCGCGTGTTAAAACTGTTTCAGATAAGTAGCTATTTTCAAGTTCACCTTCTTCTTCGGTTGACGTGAATTTTCTGATGTAGTTTACAGAAAAATACTGAATGCCCAAAAATATTATTTTTTGGTTGCTCATCAAGAGAAGAAACAAGGCATCCGATTAATAGCTCGATTGAGCTCATCAAAATTCTCTTGACACGATGAATAAAATTACGTAGAAGTCCCAGTTTGTTGTCCAAAACCAGCAGTTAAATCATTGGAGAAATCTTAGATTCTAAGCGAAAAGCAATAATCATTCTTCATTTCCGATCTGAAATATAGAAATGTGTTTCAGAACTGTTCAGTTTTTCAATAATGATGGACTGTATCTAATACGGAAAGTGCGAAAAGTCGAGGTATTGGAATTCGATGAAACTTGGTATATGCGTACTTCGGACATTCTGATTCCTAAGAAATTGAGAAAAAAGTGCGCCATTTTGATTCTAGTCGAGCTATGGCGCCTCAAAGTTTGCACGCACAAGGTGCATTGGATCAAAGGATTTTTTGTCATTTTTTTCTTGGAAAAAAAAATGATAAGTTTAGGATATAAAAAACCGCAAAAAATGTTGTTATTGATAATTCTATGTCGCTTTAAGCAAGATTCTCGACAAAAAAATTTTTTCTTCTTCAAAATTTTTTCAAGCTTAATGGACTTTTCACTATACCGTAAGAATTTTTTCAACAAAAAATTTTGTCGGAAAATAAGGAAGAAAAAAGTATTGCATCCAATTTTAAACTTTTAATTGATTAAAATATTTTCAAGAAACTGACACAAGGAAAGATGAAACATAAAATTTTTGTCGAAAATCTTGCTTAAAACGACTTAAAATGGTGAACTTCAACATTTTGTCGTTTTGAGCAAGATTTTCTTTAAAACATCGTTATTTTTTCCTAAAAAAAAATTGGCAAAAATAAATTTCACAAAAAAGGATTCAAACCTGCATCATAGGTTTTACAGCGCAAGGCCTCTAGCCACTGCACCACGCCGCCTGAGTTAGTCGCCGCATTTACTTCTTCTATTCAACGCATTTTTCATCGCAAACTTTGAGCCGCCATAACTAGACTAAGACCAAAAAGGCGCACTTTTTTTCAATTTCTTTAGGTTCAAGATGTCCGAAAGCACCTATACAACAGTTCATCGAGTTCTAATACCTCGACCTTCCGCAATTCCCGTTTAAGTGGTTTCCGGATGAATTTTGATCCTTTCAATTTTCATTTTCCAGGTAACCTATGGAAATGTTCACGACGCACTTGAAGCCGTCGTTTTTGATTCATCGGATCGCGTGGTAAAAAGTATCTTGGAACCAAATTCTGAAGCTCTTTGTTTGAGAATTGGTACGAAAAACTGCCGGCCGTGGTTTTCATGACGCTCTCTCGCTTCCAGTACAATGGGAGCCGCTCGGAAAAGCTTCATAACCGCTTTTGCTTCCCCAAGTCTCTGTACTTGGACAGATATATGAGGAGGTCTTATCATTTTTTCCCCAATTCGGCCTCGAAGAATCTCAATAAACCACTCGTGTGTGCTTGAAAAATGTCCAGTTTGCAGGAATGCGCAAGCGGTTGGCGTGCTGCGGGAGAAAATACTGACATTGCGTCGCGAATTGGCCGAGACCTGCGCCAAACTCGAAGAGTTCTTTTCCAGAACTTTCTCGAGTGCAGTTTAATATTTTTGCAGATTGCAAAAGTTTCCGACGGGAAATGGCACTGTACGGTTGGCCGAGTCGTTTGGCGTCGTCATGAACGCCTTGGCGACGACGTGGGAATCTTTTAAAACATTACGACTTTCGTGTTTTTATTTTGATTGCAATCAGAATGGTTTTTCTGTTTTGAAAATAACTTATTTTTATGGGTTTAGGTTATAATGTCTTCAACTTTCATAATTGTGAGCTCCAAAAGGTTCATCCATAGGCAAAGTCGGAAAGGGTGGAAAAAGGCTCCATAGAAATGTTCTTTTTAGGATATCGAAAGGCTCCCTTTTGCTGCCTTTTTGCGCCATTTCATCGGCTCTTATGCACCATTTTTGCTGCCTCTCCCCTTTTCCACCATTTCTTGAGCCTTTGAAATCCCAGAAAAATGAAAGGCTCGATAAAGGGACTCTCTTTGCTGCCTCTCTGCGGCCTTCTTTGAGCCTCTCTCTTTTAGCGGCCATTACCCACCATTCCGACTTTGTCATGTAGCCAATAAAAAATGATTTCTTTGCTCACGCTTTCTTTATTAGAAAACTTTCGTTTTCGCTCATCATTATTTCTTCCTTTAGAAAAATATCTGTAATATTTTTGAAGCGCAAAATGAACAGAAAAACGATCATGTGAGCGGTTTGTTAACTTGACCTTCTCCTCGGAAAAAATTTTATTAAATGTTCAGATAGGCAGAAAAAAGGCCTTTTTAAACGTGATGTAATCGAACCCGGTTTTGTCTTTTTTGTGCACCCCAAAAGATTTATTTTTAGGATTCCCCACGAGCAAAAACCAATTTCGGAGTCTTTCCTTGGAACGTCTTCTCAACAATCCTCTTCCCTTTTTCTGGATTTTCTGAGACGCGGCGAAATTTCAACGCAACTGGCTTCTGATGTGATTGACGTGTTGGAGAGGGCGCGTCAAGAGCTGATATCAATTGAAAATGGTTTTTTTCTTCTCATCAACTCATTTGACTCATGTAACTGTTTCAGAACAGCTCAAGCTTCAAGGGGAACTGACGCGCGAAATCCAAGAAATTTACGACGTTTGTTCTTTTTCGAGTTCAATTTGTAAACTAAAACTAATGCTTATTTTTGAGACATCATTCTAAAAAAAAAGAAGAACAAGTAATAGAAAGCGAAAATATTTCTAAAAACGCATCAAAATGCCATTATAAAAAGTCATCGAAGTAAATGATCTCACTATTCTGTCAGGACATTTCTGTAATATGACCATAAAACTGTTCAGAACTCTAGGTACTGAGAAAATCGTAATATTTTACTCCCTAGCGAGAAACGATGCTAGAAAGTCAAAAATTCTTGAGACCCCAGAAATATTATTTAGCGCAAAAATGTTCTGTATTCTGAAATATTCTGACCCTTTCACAGAAAGTATCCTTAGGCATATATTTCTGAAAGTTTTTTTTTAAAATATCAGCAACACGAAACCTTGAACCTTTTGAAGATTCCTGCGTTGCAAAATGACGAATACCGTCTTCATGCAGCTGTTGTCCACTCAGGAGAAATGGATATTGGCCATTATTGGTCATTTATCAGAGGTGCGCTCAGTCGGGGATCTTTCTCTTATTTTGGTTGTCAGCTGACGAAACGGCGAAACGAGAAGAGCCAAAAGTCGAAGGCGACCTCTGGGAGCGGCTCAACGACAAAAACGTCGACCAAGTCTCTTGGGAGCAGGTCTCTTTTTGTCTCATTTTTTGTGGGCTTTCAACAGAAAATTTAAGACTTGCAATTAAGAAAAATTTTTGGCGTTTGTGAAAGTGTCAAGACCAAAGCTTTTGTTATGAAAAGCTCTTTTCGAATAAGAGTGCCTCGAAGATCCTGTAGTTTTCCTTAAAGGCATAGGAGCATTTAGAGCAATTTTTTGCGTTTCGGAACAATTTTCCTTTTGTCCGATGGACACGCCACTAAAGTTCTCACATCTGTAATTTTTTTGAGTACACAGTTCGATTCCCAAAGAAAAACTATATAAGATACGGCTTTCACCAGACGAAACCCCAACCCCAGAAACCCCATTTTTTACTGCCCCTATGCCTTAAATTTGATTTTGATTTTTAGGTGGAAAAAGACGGATTCGGAAATGGAACGGCGAGCAGCTCATGTGCTTATTTCCTCGTCTACGTCCGCACTGATGCGACTTGGATCATGGAAAGAGGCATATTTTCTTTCTTTTTTCTTTATTCTCTTTAAGCAGGACCGTGGCTTTTCTTCCCATTTCAAATTTTTTAAGTGTTGCACATTTTGAAAATTGCGCTTGCAGATTCGATGACGCCAGAAGAAGCTTTTTCGCTTCTTCCAGACGATCTCCGGGGTTTTGTCGATGAAAAAGCACATATTTTTAGCGAGGAAATATCAAAGTATGACTTTTTCAAAAAGTAGCCGATTACTCGCCGAACAAAATTTGTCGCCAAAAATTAGAACAATTTGGTGCTTGGATCTTCGATTAAAAAAATTGTCTCGTGCTCTTAAAAAACATGTTTTTGGGCAGATATCACAACCGAAATCGCAAAGAGGACGACGACACGAAAATGGAAGTGTGCCAAACAACTCAAACTGAAGATCTACGATCTGTAAAGGTTTGATAAATCTTGCTGTTTTTTTTTCTATTACCCACTTTCAATAATCAGATAATTTTAAGGTCATGAAATCGGCCTCTACGAGGAAAGTCTCACTGCCTGAGCACGAAGGGAAGATGATGGGCGACGATTTGAACGAGCTTCGAGACGCGGTTTGTCTTTTTTTCCCGCACTGAACAGTATTTTTTGATTTTCAATGGCAAGGTACCATAAATCGCTTCAGAAAATTAAGTTCTAATCATATGGGGAACGATGCCGAGGAGTTCCTTTCAAGTTGCTTTGAATCTGAAATTTTGCTTCAGGTCTTTTTGAAACGAGATTAGGATTTTTATTTTTGATCAAACGACAATTGTTGAGCATAATCATGTAAGAAGAGGGAAATTTGTGAATAAACGAAGGAACAAAAATTGTTGAGCAGAAAAAAGTCAATACCTAAGTATATTTCACATATCTGGTCTGCTAGCAACGCTCTTTGAGGCGGAGGGATCAGATCCCTAAAAAAAAAAATGAATTCAAGTATTCTCTTTCTTCTCGTTCTGTATTGAGCTTTATAAAAGAGGGCAATCAAAAAATATTATTAAGTTTTGAAAACTATTTTCTTATTTTGGTTCTGAACTTGTTTTGTTTCATTTAAAGGCCAACGGGATTCGATCGGACGTTTTGCGGTCGCTGAATTCGGTCAGCGACCCTGAAATAGGCAGCATGCAGCTGAAGTTCGTTGGAATCCCGAATGACGAGCCCCTGGACGAGTCCTGCGATAGTCGGCTCTTTGTCCAGTACAGACAGGCCGCGAGGCTCTGGACCCAGTGCGGCAAGGAAATCGTCGAAAATCTACTGTGAGCCATCAAAATTATTTCGTAGAGTTTTTTGGTCAAGAAATATAATTATTATAAATTGAAAAGGTCTAAGATAAAAAGGAGACGCCGTGAAAGAGTTGAATTCAGCGTCAAACATAGATCAAGTAGGGTTTGTCTGTTTAGAGGGTAGACCACGCTTCTTTGCGTCCCAAGCTAGACTTGAATTGGCTGTATCCGTTCCAGATAACTTTGAGATAAAAAAAAAGCCAATCTGTATGAACCAAAGCTTTGGAACTTAACTATTCGAATTGTTTAAGTATTCGACTACGAAATTAAACTAAAAATCAGTAAAAAAAAAAGTGTTACTCGGTATTAAAATTAGAAAAAATTACTGAAATGAGAAATGTGAGGCAAAATCGTTGAATATTATTCACCGGAGCGTTCGTAAATATGGTCAGCCGGAACTTCGAGAGAAGATTCGACGAAGCGTTTATTGTTTCATGCTGAATTTCGCCTAGGTTTTCAAGAAGACGGCTTCAGATACTTTTCTGTTTTCGAACCGTCTTTTTACATTAACTTCGACTATCTGTTCATTTATAATCTGGTCTTTTTCAGAGGTTACCCATTGTGCGATTTGAAGGATTGCGAGAACGATATAATGGACGCTTATCAAAAGGTAAGCCGAACAAAAAAGAAAATGAAAAAAAAAACGTTCTTTATCCATGAAACATCATTAGTTGTTCAACTGTCTTTTCTGAGTCCCACATCACTCTCCTAAAAATAACTTAAGTTTGTCGGCGACTGGTTCGAGAACTACGAACGTCTGCCGGCACCGCTTCCCCGCCTCTTCACAGAGCCTTACGGTTGCTTCCAGAACTTTCTCGAGGCTTTGGGCTTTATTTTCCATGCTCGGGTATGCCCTCGACTTTGTCGGCCGAAAGATTTTTTTTTTCAGATTTATCGGTTCATCAACGTGTCAATGCTGAGCGTCTGCAATGTCCCGTGAGTTTTTAGGTGTCTGAATATTGAGTTTTTGTTGCGCCCTAATTTTAGAAAAAAAAAAGCCGCGGAACCTCCTAATACGGCTTTTCGGTTTCGCAACTTGATATCAGACTTTGAGTCTTTGACGCAAGCGCAAATGCAAAAAGGATAAAGGCGATTTTTAAAAAGTCCATTTTTGCAGCTTGCCTCTCAATTTTCCACGTATATTTAACCTAATAATCAAAGTTTCCAGCTCGTTCAAAGAACTTGCTCGGGCTGAGCTCTACGAGTTCAAGACTAGCAAGCCCGTTCTCTACAACGAGTGTTGTCTTTTGGCCGAGGTGATTTCTTATCTATATATTTTTCAAACAAAGTTGGGTTGATCTTGACGAAAATTAATTATTTTCGAAATATGCGCTTTCGTGTTTGAGTGATCGAGAAGCTATAAGCAATTACTTCAAAACACCAAATTTGTTTAAAAAAAAGTTAATAAATTCTAAGTTTTATAATTTTTGAAAAAATTATGAAATATAGGATGTCGATTTCCTACAGTGTTTTGTGAGATAAATGTTTTACTTCAGAATTAAAATTAAGCTGAGTCAAACCTAGAAAAATTTCTTTCGGAAAAAATCTTTCAATCACGAATTTCACCGTGAAAGATGAGAAACAACGCTAATCAACTGTTTCCCAGTACATTTCTCTTCTGTACGAGACTCTGACCTTGGCTACGCTTGGCTGCAGCATCGCCGCCAATCATATCGTGCTCTACATGAAGGAGCCCAAGTGATTGTGTCTTATTTCGAAACGTTTGCAATTGATTATACTGCAGGCTCGAACACTTATACAACTCGTTGCAATACTCTAACCTTGCCAACTTCCACTTCATGCGATATGAGCGAGAAACGGTATCATCTTTGTCAATGTCAATGATACATACACAGGCAAAGTCGGAAAGGGCAAGAAATGTTTCATAGAAGTGTTCTTTCAAAATCTCTTAAGGTGACAGAACTCCTTTTTTTCTGTCTTTCTGTGGCCTTTTTTGAGCCTTTCTCTTCTAGCAGTCATTATACATCATTCCGACTTTGCTCGAGTAGGACGATGTCAAAAAAAGAGAACTGATCCCCATTCCAGTCAAAGATTTTTATCACCGTAAATACCCAATTTCGTGGCTTTTTTTTCATGCCTGTTCCAGAGTTGCACGAGACTCGATATCCTCTCTATTTTTCTGGTCTCGAACATTTTTGAGAAATTTTGAATAATAGGAGCAAAAAGACTAAGGTTTGGCGTAAAATGTGATTGTCCCATTGCACCAGACGCAAAGTAAATCGAAATTCGACGGATGAACTAAAAAAAATAGTCAAAAATATCGAAAAACAGTTTTTTTCGAAAACAAGTCTGAAGTTTGAAGTTTCGCTTTTTAGAACTTTTTTTTAATTGTTGAGTTTCAAAATTTTATCTTTTTTCTTGTTTTAATCCTATATACTCAATAATTTTACGAAAAATGTTTCCTTATTTGATAGTTTCAAGGTTTTTTTATTCACACAGTTTTTTTTTTTCGATCTCGTTTCGGTCTCAAAAAATAACTTCTCGTGCACGAGTCGTTTAACCCTGGTCTCTTTAAGGCGGGTGGTCTTATTACGACAGTTTTTATAAGTTTTACGATTATAAACTGAAATGACTGGCTGTTTTGATTTGTGTAAAATTTGAGACAAAAGTTATTTTGTGAACTTGAGAAATAGGTTTCATACAAATTAAAAGAACGGAAAAAAGTTTTAAAAATGTCCTGGCTTCGAAAGAGACGGTGCAAAGTTGACCAGTCGCCTTCGCACTGTCAAAATGAACAAGTAGAAGGTAATCGCAAAATAAGTTAAATAACAACGCTAGTTCGAACCATAGAGAATTTAGACAACATAAAAAACTTAGAAATTTTTCATGGAAAAAGCCAATAGCGTCGAGAAGTCAAATTTGGTGGTCAGGACCTCGCGATTTGTGCCAAATGAGATATTTTACTGCCGCGGTGAACTTTAACTCACTTCAAGAAGTAGATCTTTTAATTTTGCTAAAATGTTTATTTCGGGAATTCTCTTGCAATTACACTTTAACAAACTTACAGAGTTTGAAGCAGCTGAATTTGATTCGGATCCTACAGCAATGGCAAATTCAAGCAATTACTATCATTCCTCTATTGGTAAACTGATATTTTAGGATCAGAATGAAAAATCCGAATTTCAAGCACTTGGTGAAGCAGTTCCTGACGTTTCTTCTAACAAAAGAGCAGACCATTGAAGCGATGATGTTCGTGCCGCAGTCTCCATTGACGCTAGCCAAGGAGACGGTTGGAGTTGACGAAATCGTTTCCAAGGTCGTAATCGGCGTTCGCGCAATGAAACGTTGGCACGAAGAGTCGACCTACAGCACTAGTAAATTTCCTTCGTCTGGACTCGCTGTCAATCTCCTCCTCGAGGTTAGCTTGGTTATTAGAAAGAGTGTTTCAGCATCACTAACAGCCGAGATAAGTCGCTGGCTGTACATTGACGACCTAAAAGTGCAGTTTTCCAGCCGCGCCGGCCTTGGATTTTAGAAGTTTTTCATTTCCAAATACGAGATCGCGCCAAGAAAAATGCGCGTCCGGCGCGGCGACAAAGTGATATTCGCGAGGTTGTCGATGTACCACCCCGGCCTATTTTATTATCTCGCGCCGGACTCGGCAGTTATCTTTTTTGTAATTGTACAAATAACAAAAATAATGATTATTTTTGGTACCAGGGTTGCACGGCATTCCGTTACCCGTCTTTTTCTTTCTTAACCCGATTTCCATCTTCCTTAATGAAGTTTTGTCTTCAACTCTTACTTCAAACATTTTTTAATTGATAGATCAATGCCGTGTCGTGAGTTACAGGGATGCACGGAAGTGAAACTTTCGAAAAAAAAAGAAGGAACACGGTGTAAGGAATAAAAAGCAATTTTGAGGAAGACGGAACACGGGTTAAGGAACAGAAAAATTTTAGGGAGGAGGAACGCGGTTTGCCGAAAAGATTTTTAAAACATGACGTGCTAACTCTGTAATTCTCGAAATTTTCTCAAAAACAGCGGGTGCAGAAAAAAGTATTTTTTGATCTCAATGAAATTTCAACCAGTGTTATCATGTGACGTCAGGATTACGGAAAAAACTTTTTGAGCCATTTCCTCCAACTGTAACCGGGTTACGGTAGGCGTAGGCAGGTGGTCACCTGCGTATCTATGAACTGACGAGTTTTCTCTAGGCAAGTAGTACACCAATCGATAGGTAAAGCAATTTTAGGAAAGATACCATCTTGGGTAAGTTTTCTTGAGACATTTTTGAGATACGGTATTTTTTGTTCGCGATTTTGCTTTTTTGAAAATCCATACTTCTTTTGGGTGTACTATCATCGTTTCACCCTTTTTTATTGGTCTTTCACGTAGTTCCTGCATCCACCAAGTTTACTTCAAAATCTATAAGTTTCAATTTTAGCCTACCCGTCACCCTGAAAATCCAGTTGGCTTAGGCTTAGGACAAAACTGGCCTGTTAACGATGTTTTTTGAGGTTCAATGCTTTGTTTTGGAGTCGCTTTCGGGTTGCAACGCGTTCTCTCATCTTGCTCTTTTATTTTTGTGCTACCCACAAATGCTAATTGACAAATAAAATGAAAAAGAAAACTAAATGGAAACGACCCCGAGGGGCCTTCTTGCGACACTACATTATCTCAATCTGAGACAAAATATGGTATACTTTTCTAGCGTTCAAACTTCACTGGTAAAAATTATAGACTCAAGATGCACCCTATACAGAATTCGAGGCGACAGGGAAAAATATATCATCGAAATATAAGGCCGCAGAAACTGTTTTATTCCTTAACCTGTGCTCTGTCTTCCGTGAAAAATTTTTTGTTCCGTAAGCCGTGTTCCTTCTTTCTTTTTCGGAAATTTCTCTTCCGTGCAACCCTGATTTGCAGAGCTGCTGACCAGACCGGGGCGCCCCGCCCCGCCTCGCGAAGCGGTCACGCTGTTAGAAGATTTCTTCACAGTTACTCAATGATATAAATGATTTTTTACTTTATTTGACCAATATATTTCTTTATTAGTCGTTAGTCGGCGGATTTTTTTCATTAAAACTTCATTTTAACTTATCTACTCAGCGGTGCCGTGCGCCCCGTCAGCAGCACTGCTTTTTATAAGGATGGAATTTTTATTTTCTAGGCGAATCTCGTTTCTTACGACAGTTTTTTCTTTGCGCTTTGCACTAAAGTTAACTGCCGAGTCTGGGGCGGTAGAGAAATGCTATGTCGGTGGCGCCAAATTGGCGAGCTCGCAAACATCTCGGCGGTTGTTTTAAAAAGGGAGGTCATTTCACTTGGCAGTTCGAAAATTTTTACAAATTTGCTCAAACACTCCGAAAGTCTAGATGAAAATCCCACTTAGTTGCTAATTGCTCAAACTTCTAGTTTTTGTGATATGATTTTGCAAAATTGCGAAAAATCGGTTTTAGGCTTAAATTTTCGACCTTCAGAATTAATTATCTTGGAAACTAGAAGCTGTTGTGGGTTGCAACTTTGATGGATCATACTATGAACATTCAGAGATTATTTGTAGGAATTTCCAATGCGCAAAGTAAAATGACTTTGCGTGTAAGTGTTGTACATGGAACTATACGATTAAGGACGGAAAAACAGAGTTCTTAGCTTAACAGAGTGTGAAATCAGGAGGAAAGCTATCTTTCGTGCAGTCAGACATATTTAATGTCCAAAAATGTGAAGTCGAAGAAAAAAGAAGTATTTTAGGTCATAAACCAACTGACAACCGTCTTCGAAGTACTCTTCTCGTCAAAAAACTTCGAAGGTGACTTGCGACGGATGCATTTGATCAATGTGGGTGGCTAATTATTTTTTTCATACTTTAAAGAATCTTTTCAGAGGGTACTAGAGTCTTTGCGAGAGTTGCCTCTGGAAAACGAACGGCCAACCGTTCGAGTCGCCTCTGTTCCCGCGGTCGAGTCTCTGACTAATGTAAGGAATGTTCGAAATTTACATCAATAAAGAAAAAGAAATAATGATTGAAATCAATGAAGTTCAAACGAGGCTATCAACTATTTTTCCTATTCATTAACTACTTTAAAACATTCAGGTCGAGACAAAAATGGAACAACTTTTCTGCGGCTCCATCGCTGAGGTTAACCACGCTTGTTCCACTTTGTTGGAAAGCCTTCAGTCCATCTTATGCAGTATGTTTGACTAGATGGTTTTAGCTCTTGGAAATGCTCCGTTTTTGCCCTTTTTGTGTGGCCTTGAGTTTTCTATCCGGTTCGCTTTTGCTCATTTCGATGGAAATGAGAAAAATTGATTGGTTTTCTGTGTCAAATATCTTCTTTTTATTGTCAATATTTCTAAACGCTCTGGCACCTTGATGTGATATTTATTACCTGTGAAATGTATAAATTGATAGAAGAATTAAATTTTTGGTATTATTTTCGCTTTAATGCTTCAAATTCAGTCATGCTTATGGTCCCAAAGATGGTGGCGCATAGGTTGCTCTGAAAATTGAACACTTGAGTAAATTCAAACTATTTGGCTTGAATTAAATAAAATTTTTCAAACTCGAAAACAAATTGCTTGGTTTCCAACCTATCCGGTTCGACTGCGAAGTTTGTGACATTGTTGACGACGATGTATTCTTGGTTCTGCGAAGCCGTTGATGTCGTCGTCGTCGTTGAGGTCATTGAGCCGTTCATCTTCTGGGACGTCGCACGTCTCCTCGGATCTACGTCTTCTAGTACTATTCCAACCCCTGCTTTTTGGCTTTGCAGCGGTTCAATCTGCATAATCAGTTAGGTTTCATTGGGTTTTCACATTTGAGACAGAAATGTGTTTGAGTGATATAAATAAACAAATCAAAATTCAGCTCACTTTGGAAAAGTATGATCGCATGGTTGGAACTGGTGGAGTGCAGTCGATCGAAATCAGGGTTGGCGGCACTTCATCCTTAAATCATCGTTACATTCTCTACTTGTGTCTCGATCCCTTTTTCACAAAAATAATCATTGAAGATATACTTAAAATCGAAAATCAAGTTAAAACTATGATGGATGTTGAATTAAAAAAAACCACTCGATTGGATATCAAGGACTGCATCTAAAAAAAAGACAAAAAAGCTTTTGGTAGAAAACTCATGTCGGTGGACCTCCGACATGACTTTCGCTCGTATGAACCAAAGAAAAAAAAAAATGAAGTACACTTTGAACAAACTTTCTCAAAAGATACCGAGTTTTGTCGCTTTTCTTGTGCGGTTGCTGCCGCTTTTGTCAGCTGAAAAGGAAAACTTGCTCCTGCATCCGGAGTTTTTTCGCCATCTGCAAAAAAGCCATTTTTTCGCGAATATACATCTAAAATTTTCTAGATTTTTCGAGACCTACCTAACATATCAAGGTATATGTTTTTTTCAAAGACTAAAAAAAATTCAGAATTTTTCCAGTATTTCTCATCTTCTAGATGTGATTTTTCAATTATGACAGATTCAGAGACGGTGTCTGCTGCGAATAATCCGTTATATATTTATTTTTTTAGAGGCATGGAATATATGTATATATATATATATAAATTAGCAGTCGTTTGTAAGTCGAACAGACCTGCCCTAGTAAAACTTGGTTTCGAGCTGAATTCAGGCGAAAAATCCGTGAGCTGTCGTTTTCTGCTGGACTTTAGCGTTTCGTTGACTTGCGGCCGGCGTTGGTTGATCATCTTCTTCAAAAAAAGTAGAGAAATTAAACAAATAAAGCGATAAAAGACAATGAAAGTATTCATTTTGAAATGTAGGTCGGTTTTGTCAACTTGTGGGTTGGCATTAATCGAAATTTGATTGACGAATAGTTTGATTTTTTGGCGACATTGACATTTTTACATATTTTTAGCGAAAAGCTCTCACCCCAACTGATGAGAGTCGTCTCTGGGTTGTTTCTAGGCGTCTGGTTGTTGCTCAAATAGCCAGAAGTCACAAAAAGAGGAGCTGAAGGACGAGGCGGCCTCGGAGGCCGCATGGCAGACAAACTTTCCGTTTGACTCACCGTCGCCTCTTCTTTATAGCTCGTCCAACTCTAAAAGGTTTCGGTTCCGAAGATCTTCATCACAGAAAAACCGGGAAAACGGCGCTTTTATGACAAGGAAGGTCGTTTTTACTTTTGCTGTTGAGATTTTTTTCTGAAACTGACCAGAACGCTTTTTTTGATGTACCATAAAAAAAGATTCTGGGAGTTTCAACCTGCACAACTCCCTCGTTTTTTTGAGAAACGACAGCTCAAAGTCAAAAAAACCCCTAAAATCCATAAAAAAATAGGGTAGTATGAAAAAAAGATCAGCGAAAATTCAAACGGCGACTTTTCCGATTTTTTCATATCGCTAGGGAACTTTCCGACGAATCGCTTTTCGACTTTTTTCCCTTGTACTTTTCGGTTTGTAAAACATCTATTAACCTTTTTTTCCTATTTCTTCGTGTTATCATGCATAAACTACCTTGTTTATATTGGAAGATTCAAAACGAAGAGTTTATCAAGAAAAAAATGTCGGAAAAGGATTCGTCAGGAAGGTGGCCGTCGGAAAGTTCCTTAGCGATATGAAAAAATCAGAAAAGTCGCCGTTTGAAATTTTGCTGGTTTTTTTATACCACCAAAAATAGGCTATTTTGAGGGTTTGAGCCTTTATTTTCGAAAACTAGGGAGTTGTGCATGTTTAGACTTTCAGGATCTTCAGCTGGTATATCAAGAAGTTCTCTGGCCAATTTTCAAGTAATTCCCAACCGCAAAGTAGAATGACCTCTCCTGTGAACAACAGTTTTATCGATTCCATGGAGATGTTAAATAAATTGAAATGTGGTTAGATTTTTCTACTGTTTTCTTTAACTTGAAAAGTTCTGATTGCTGCCCTACTCTCACTTTAGCGGCACTTCTTTTGTATACCACTCGAATAATAACAAAAAACTAACCTTCTGCTTGATTTCTTCTGATTTGGTCGACTGTGCCAGATTCGGTTTGAATTTTTTTTTTTCAATTTCAAACATGACGTTTCAAAATAATTTCAAAATTTGAAAATGATCAGATTTCGTTCTGATTTTAAAATATCTCTCTGCGGCCCTATTTTTTGGAAATAAAATCTCACGGGAAGGTTAATCGCTTCAGACGGCAATGATTGCGCTTCTGCCATTGCCTCGTTCGAATCTCTTGTAGTTGCTGGATTTCTGAAACCTACACAATTAGAAATGGAGCCTTGACTTTTGCCGCTTCGCTCTAATTAGGGGGCGCAAAGCCCCGCCCCTTCACGCCACCAAAATGACGATTTTTTTGTTGCAGAAACGGTTTTGAGGCGTTTATACTAGCTAAAGTTCCACTTTAAAAATAAACTGTTTCTGTTAATCTATGTAATCGACAACGCTCTACAAGACTGAATATTTTTTTAAACTATGTATTTTTTTCAAAAAAATAAGCGAAAAAAAGTAAGATTTAACTCGAAAAAAACTGACAAGTTTCACAAAAATCGTCGCGTTTCAGAAAACCAAGTGAGGATCGCTTCCAAATTTTGAGTATCTTACTTATTAACACTTTCTTTATTTTTTGAGTAAAAATTTTAAAAAATCTAACGACGCGAAAAAAAAATCGAAGCTTGTAAAGTGACACCAAACTTTGAAGCTGAAATGCGAAAAAATTTCAGCGACAAGGTATACTTTTTCATTTGATTTAAAAACTCACAATGTGTTCAAAAAAATAAAAAAATTCAGAATGGAAATAATTATTGGGACAGCGAATCAAATTATATTTGAATTTTTACCAAAACCTCCATTTTTTTCGTCTGCCTCGTTGACGCATGAGAGAATAGGATCGCGTCTATACTTTTTGCTTATGTTATTAAGCGTTCAAAACTCTATCAATGGAAAAAAATTATGAAAAAAATCTAACGACGCGAAAAAAAATAACGGCTTTTCAAAAACCTCGAAAAAAATGGCAATTTTTTTGAAATTTTTGGGAGAATTCGTGCAAGCGTTCGTAGCTGTGTTTGCGTCAAACACACCGATGTGCCATTTTAAATGTTGCAGGAGCCGTTTTTTTCGGAGTCAAATGGCTCATTTTTCCTGTTTTTATTTCGAAATAACATTATTTTTTTCATTTTTTTATTTTTTTCCAAATCGAAAGATAATAATTTTTTTCTGATTAGAAAAAAAGAAAAAAATAAGCTGAAAAATTCCTTCTGACCTTTTTTTCTAAGTAGTTTTTTTGATATTTTATCAAAAAAATTCTTATGAGAGTTATACAAAAAGATTTATACCAAAAACATGAAGCTCAGTTCGGGCAACCTTTTAGAACAAAAAACCGATTTGAAAACGGTTCAGAAATGCGCAAAAACATTTAAAAAGAAAGCGTGCGGCAGCGGGTAAACCGTGAGATTTTGCCTCCAGTTGTACGCCGCGCGCGCCAGTTTTTTGGCCATAACTTTTTTCTTAGTGAACCTTTTTTCAAAAACTAAACGGATTAGGAAAATGGACAGTCTCCTCTATCGAACAATGTAAAAAACATATTTTTTGAATTGTTCTGAAGAAATGGCTTGCGGACCCTAGCTCTAATATTCTTTTCGGGCTCCAACCTAGGCAGTTTTTCTTGTTTTCGTTCGTCTTTCAGGAAACGCTTCATCCAATTCGGTTTATCCTGAAACCTTACGCCCAATAAATAGAGTCGCACAAAATATTGAACTTTTGTCACCGGCTTCTCATCTTTTTCAAATTGCTCCGAATCTTGCAAAGCAATACGTCGAGAAGGTCGGTAGTCGTCTATGAATCTAAACTTAGAATAGGTCTTTTTGAGAGTCAAAAAGTCAAAATTTCTGAAAAATTGAATATGGCTAACCTTCTAACGCCCGATTTGGGCTTCTCACAAGGAATGGACGGCGGAGATTCCTTTTCAATTTTTTTACGCAGGATATCTCGCGTGTCTTTCATAGCCTTTAAAAATATTTTTTTCTACTGAAAAAAAAAAAGAACCTTGTCCATTTCTAAAGCCACAAGAGAGTAGACGTTGCACAGTTTCCAGAGATTAAGACTGTCGCTTTTTTTCTTACATCAATCGACTTTCTCAAATAACGAGATGCACGGTCATGAACTTTCGCGATCTCGTCGAACCGCTTCATAGGCAAATCTACTCTGAAACGTTCGAAAATGTGGCCCTTTCTCAAAAACAAGCCACCTTGAACCACTGAAAGTCT